TTATAAGAAGGATTACTTTATTAAGGACTACCTATCTCTTCTAGCTACTTAATAAGCTATAAGAGATAATTAAAGATAGAAATAGTCTTCTTAGTTATCTTACTAAGAGCCTATAATTACTATAAAAGACCTAGAAGTAGTAGTTACTAGGGTCTTTATATAGATTATAGAGGATAAGGCTAAGGTCTAGACTAGAGTTATAAGAAAGGAGAAAGTATATAAAGTAGAGGAAACCTCTACTATTAGCTCTATAACTTTAAAGTTACCTACTTCTATCTCGTTTAATAATTAAGTATCTTATAAAGTTACCTACCTTTTAAAGGACGTTATAAGTAAGAACCCCTCCTAATAGTATATAGATTACTAGTTTATATATAACTAATAAAAGCAACTATTTTAGAGGACTATTAATTTAAATTAGGAGGAGGTACATCTAGGTTAGAGGTAGGATCCTATACTTAGATTCTATAGGAATAGCTATACTAGCTAATTAAATACGAAGAGAGCTAGAGTTATAATAGACGCTTTTTATACTAGGACTTAGTATAAACCTAATATTAGTAAGAAACCTCTATCTCTAGAAGAGGCTAAATAGAAAGTTTAACTCTAACTCTATAATAATAGTAGATACTAGTAGAAATGTAGTAGTATATAGTAAAATATAGTATAGAGTATATATTATTACTAATGTCTATCTAGAAAGACTACCTAAGTAACTTAATACTATAATGCTAGCTATAGATAATACTACTATATATATATTTAATACTATCGTTTCTCCTTAAGAGGAGGAATTAAGCTTAAAGGTATAGGAGGAGTATTAACTCTAGTATAGAAGAATTATATATCTAGGACCTAAGAAGATTAGGAACTTATATAAAGTTACTACTCTAGAGAAGCTAGTCTAGGTAACTCCTAACTATTAGTACATTATCTATTTAGTTATAAACATTAGAAATAAGAGAGGTATAATAAGTAAGAGAAAGGAGGGAATCCTTAAACTTATCTATATTAATACTTATAGTTAGATACTAGAATCTTATAAAGGATATATTTACTTCATTTTAGTTATTAATAACTTCTTAAGGAAAACCTAGATCTTTCCTATAAGGGCAAAGTTAGATATAGCTCCTATCCTAAACTAATAGAAAAAGGAAGTTAAAGGGTTAATAGATCTAAAGATCCTAGTAGTAAGGTCTAATAATGCACTAGAACTAGAGAACCTCTTTAGATCCTAGAGATAAGAATTAGGTATATAATATAAGTTAACTATCTACTATACATTAAGTTAAAATAGACTAGTTAAAAGATTATACTAGATAATTTAGAATGGTACTAGAGCTATACTAAAAGATGCAAATCTACTAGTAGAGCTATAGGTTAAAGCTATATAAGTAGACGTCTATATTAGGAATAGAGTCTTAAATAGCCTAATTATTAATAGAGTATAAGTTAGCCTAGAAGAAGCGTTTACTAGAATTAAACCATCTATTAACCATTTAAGAGTTTAGGGTTACTAAGTAGTTTTATATATAAATCTAGACTCCCTACTATAAGGTACTAGGAGAGATAAGTTTATAGATAGAGGTAGATATTATGTGTTCCTTAGATATGTTAAAGGGACTATAAAGTAGTAGCTCTTCTAGGCTCTAGATATAAGGAAAGTAATTAAATTATATAGAGTAGACTTCTTTAAGAATAAGTAAGAAGGAGACCTATAACTAGATATTCCTAGACGAGCTACACTAAACATAGCTCCCCTAAGAAATCTAAGAGGCTGTCCACTATTATAATAGACTCCTATAATAGATTTAATAACTACTCTACTAGTTATAACTACTACATTAAAGAAAACTAAACTATAAGTCAAGATCCTAGCATTCCTAGAGCATAAAAGATATCTCTATTAGGACTTTACATAAAGATCTAGATAGCTATAACTAGAAAATGGCGCTAACTTATAGGAGGAGCGTAATTTAGAGCTATTAGAAGAAAGTAATATTAAGTCTTAGGAGGAGCTACAACTATCTTTATTAGTAATAGCTATAATAATAGTACTAGTAGGTACAACTATAGGAAGAAAGGTCCTTTCCTACGTTATAATTCCCTAAGTATTAAAGAGGATAAGAGAAGAGTATAGTATACTAGAAGGATAACCTAATTTTAAGTTATATAAGGTAATGCTAGTAATTAACCTTCTAAGTCTAGGAATTAACTTAGAAGATAATAATTAACTTAACATCCTATATTATACTTTTATAGTAGCATTCTTAGTAAAGGAAGAAGTACTAATTCTAAAGTTATATTAAGCTATAATTAATAATCCTATATAGGGACTACTATAGTAAGAAGCATTTAAGCTTAAAATAGATGCCTTATAGGCAAACGGGACTTTTGAGATTACTAAGCTACCTATAGGGGCAAATATTATTATAAGTAGATAGGTACTTACTATAAAACATAACCTAGATAGCTCTTTATAAAAGCTAAAGGCACGCCTTATTATAAGAGGGTTTACCTAGAAATTTAGAGTAGATTTTAACTATACCTTTACGCCTACTTTCTACTATAATATACTATAGGTGTTCTTTACAATTATTATAATAGAGGATCTTAAGTGCTATACTATCGATATTAATAATGCCTTTACTAAGTCAACATTAAAGGAGGAGATTTATATAGTAGTACTACCTAGAATGAACATCTTACTAGGTTATATACTAAAAGTACTAAGATCGCTCTATAGCCTAAAATAAGCTATAAGAGATTAGAATTAGAGCTATATTAAATTATTATAGAAGATAGGTTTTATCTAAATAGACGCTAACCTATACCTTTTAAGACATCTAGAGAAAGAGATCCTTATTCTAGTCTATATTAATAACATCCTAATTAGAGCTAAATAGATAGATAACATTAACTAGTTTAAGAAACACTTTAGAGAGATCTATAAGATTAAAGACCTAGGAGAAGTAAGTAAGATCCTAGGAGTTTAAGTTATCTATAATAGAAAGAATAAAATGATTACCCTAGATTAGTCCTACTATACTAAGGATCTTCTATTAGGGTATAGAATAGATAAGGAGAAGGCTAATCTAATTAGTATTCTACTAAATGGATATAGTCTATTAAAACTAGCTAGTCTATAAGATAAGAGAATAGACTAGAAAGAATATTAAAAGATTATTAGTAGCCTTATCTACCTAGCAATTCTAATAAGACCTAATATTGCATTTATAATTAGAAGGCTAAGCTAATATCTATTAGATCCATTAGAAGAGCACTTTAAACTTTTAAAATCCCTTATAAGGTACCTATAGTTAATAATAGACCTTAGCCTAGAATTTAATGTAGAAGGTATATAATAACTTATTAGCTACTCTAATTTAGACTACGTAATAGACAAGATAGATAGGATATCCATTTTAGGAAGTATATTTATAATGGGTAACTACCCTATTAGCTAGTCTAGTAAGAAGTAGAAGTTAGTTATAACCTTAACTATAGAAGCTAAGTATATAGCTATATATTAGGCTACAAAGTAGTTATAATAGCTAGCTTAACTTCTAAGAGACATAGGCTATAGTAAGTACATTAGTTATAACTAATATTAGCTAACTATAAGAGAAGAGTAAAGCTTCGTTATTAGATTACTAGTTAAACTATTTAGTAATAATTAAGCTTCTCTATCGTTAGTTAGAGATGCCTATACTTATAAGAGGTTAAAGTATATTAATGTTATATACTATTATATTAGAGACCTATACTAGAAGAATAGGATTAATATTAAGTTTATAGGAATAAGAGATATAGTTATAGATAGCTTTATAAAGCTACTACCTAAGCTAGACTTTCTAAGATTTATTAACTAGCTAGGCCTTACTAATATCTACTATCTAGACTAAGGAGGAGTATTATAATATAGTAGTTAGGGTAATAGATATAGTAAGAGGAAGTTAGGTAATATAGAGAAGCTATAATATAAAGACTTTTATACTATAATAGTAGTTAACTAACTTAATTATAATATACGTATTAGTTCTACCTCTTAATAACTATTCCCCCTAGAGCTCTAGCTTCTAACTACTAGGCAATACTTTTTAACTTAAACTTTATATACCTCTATACTAATAACTAATACTATTACTTTTTTCTTACCTCTCTACCTTCTAGAACTTTATTATATACCTTCTTATACTATTTAACGCTATAGAATCCCTTTCCTACTTATACTATATAATCTAAACCTTAATACTAAACTATTAAAACCTTAACCTCTACTTCTACTCTATCTTTTCTTTCTACTCTTTTAATCCTTTTTTTCTTCTTTTCTTTTTCTTCTCTTTTCTTTTCTTCTATTCTCTTCTCTTCTTTCTCTTCTTTTCTTTTCTCTTTTTTTCTCTTCTTTCTCTTCTCTTCTTTCTCTTCTCTTCTTTTCTCTTTTTTTCTCTTCTTTCTCTTTTCTTTTTTCTTTACTTCTAATACTTTTACTTACTTCTCTCTACTAAATAAAATCTAGCTATCTCCTTTATATTTTCTTATAACTATTACTATAAATACTTTAAATACTTCTTCCTATATATAACTATAACTAAATAAGATATAACAAATCTAAATAAGCCATTTTTTTATAGTGTAGTAATTACTAATATCCTACTTCTACTCTAAATATTTATTAACCTAATTAATATAGATTAGACCCCCTAAAATTAAATGGATTGGACCCCCCTAGAATTTGTCCCCCTATATAGAATTAAATAGATTAGGCCCTAATCTATAACTTTATAGTAGTTTAGAATTAATCCCCTCTCCTTACTAAGCCTAAAATCCCTGCACTAACTAGGAACGGAATCAACTTAGTTCCTTCGTAGCATAGTAGTTAGGAACGGAATTGACTTAATTCCTTCGTAGCATAGTAGTTAGGATTTTGGTGATGGCGTCATTATTGCAGAATATTCGGTAGGTACTCCGCGACGTCTACGGGCGGCGGAGGCGGAAGTCTGGCCCGTCTGGCAGCGTTTGATTTTAGCGAACCCTTTGGTCGAGTCTAGACGGCACAGATTCAAGATCGAAGGAAGCGCGCAGGCGAGGCGATCAGATGGATCCTATGGCAATTGCGTCTGTCCAACTCGGTCTCCACGACATGCGTGAGAGATGGACGATAGCGCGGCCGCTCTCATCCTTAGCGCCCTGCCCGACCTGACGCCGCACGACTTGTCTGTTGTCGACCGCCTTCTTGATTTGCTGCGCATTCACATTTCGACCGCTTCCTCACCCGCTTCGCCGCGCCTGTACGTGGCCGCCGTTGACGCCCTTCACTCTTCGACTTGCGATTCCCTCAATTCCTCGACCGACTCTACCAGCGACGACAAAAGCCATGTCACCCCTGACGACGCAGCAGACGACACCCTCGACCATGCGCCCAATCGCACACGGCACCATGGCACAGACCAAACCGCGACCGCCGTCGAGTTCGACATCAAGACGCGCTGCTGGAAGCTGAAGCGCCGGCGCTCGTCCACCGATTCATTCTCGTCCACCTCGACAGCTCGTTCCAACTCCCTCGGGCCTTCCTCGACGACCACGAGCCGTTCCAACTCCTTCAAGAAGCGACAGCTGTCGCATCGACAAGGCATTGGTGCACCTGACAAGAGCGAGGAAGGGCACGCCAACAAACACAACAAGAGTGACCACGAAGCCGTCAACAGACATGAAAAGAGCAGGGAAGACATCAATGGACATGACAAGAGCAGGGAAGACCAGGACAAGCTCGACAGCAGCAAGGAGACGGAAGCAGACTGGACGTCGCACATCCCCCACAGTGAGCACAACCAGTTCCTGATCAACACCCGCTGGGACAAGACATCGCTGGGTCCCATGCGCACATGGCCGCCTATTCTGCAGCTCATGACGCTCAAGATGCTGGCAGACCCCCGTCCGGCCAATCTCTACTGGGGTCAGGACCGCATCGCAATCTACAACGAGCCCTTCGCCGTCATGGCACACTCGCGTCACCCGGCCATGATGGGTGCCACGGCCGCAGACGCCATGCCGGCCACTTGGCCCTTCCTCAAGGTCATGATGCAACAAGTTCAGGACACCAACACGGCCTTTTCGCTGCCCGAATTTGAGATGGAAGTGCACAAGGAGAACGGCTTCCTCGAAGAAGCGTGGTACGATGGCATCTTCTCACCCATCAGCGACACCAATGGCCGCTTCCAAGGCCTGTACAACTCTGGCTACGAAATCACAAACACCGTCCTCATGCACCGATACGCTCGCCTTATACACCGTATGGCCGCCACTCCCGACTTTGACCACGAGTCGCCTTGGACGCACATTGTCAAGAGCTGCGAAGAATTTGGGAGAGACGTACCGATGCTACTGGTCTATTCTGCACACGTCAAACCGACCTCTCGCTCCGACCACTGCACACTACAACTCAAGGGCTCCCTGGGCATCAAACCACCTCAAGGCCAAGCGCTCAACACCTTCGACCTTGATGATTCAGATCATGTTCTTGCTCCAGCTTTCAGATCAAGCAAATCACTCGGCCATCCTGTGTTGCTTGATACCTCTCACGAATCATTCCAACACTTCCGATCAGGCATCGACTGGCGAGGCTATTTGGAACCCTCGTCCCGCATAGTAGTCATGCCGGTCCTCACAACCGGCCTTATTGCTGGCTTCATAGTCATGGGCTTGAACCCCAGAAGACCCTACGATGATGATCTGAAACAGCTTGTTCGCGATATCTGGTTGACTTGCACTTCCGTACTCTCGTCAAGTATCAGTTTCGATCAAGCCAGAGAGCGTGAAAAAGTCTTGACAAGAGAACTCACCCAGCGCGAGCGTTTCATACGTAAACTTGCAGAGGTCACCAACGTCGGAATCTATTCTTTGTCGCCCACTGGCATCCTCACCTATGCGAACCCAAAGTTTCACGACATGCTCGAATCGACGCTCGAAACTGAGAACGGTCAAGTCTTTGGCTTCGATGACTTTGTACTTGATGACGATCTGCACAAAATCACCGCTGCTCACGAGGAATGCAAGGCTCAATGCACCAACGTAAGCGTCGAGATTCGTCTTAAACGAACTTGGTTTCCTCCAGGTTCATCAAATGAGCAGCCTTGCTGGGTATTGAACTCTATCGTGCCAGACATCGAAGACGGTCAGATCAAGGGTGTTATCGGTTCTCTTTCAGACATTGGACATACCATGTGGGCTTTGCAACTACAGAAAGACTCGACCGAGTCTGCCCTCGAGTCCAAGAAACACCTGGAGCAGTTCATTGTAAGTTTGTGACTCGACACTCGGTACACTGTGGCTAATCAAACTCGGCAGGACATGACCTCACACGAAGTAAGCCGACATGGTCACGAGTTTTCCGCCTCTTCTAACATTCACACAGATGCGCAATCCTCTGGGCGCGACAATCCAATGCGCGGAAGATATCGCACGTACTATCGACGAGGCGAGAGTATCTTTCAGCGACAAGGATCTGTCGGAACTCTTCGAATCAGTAAGCGAAAACGCGAAGACCATCGCGTTCTGCAGTGCCCATCAGAAAACAATCGCGGACGACATTCTGGTAGTCTCCAAGCTGAGTTCGTCGCTATTGTCGCTTTCTTCAGCTAGCTGTCAACCAGAGACGGTCGCAAAACAAGTTGTGCGCATGTTCAAGGCCGAGGCTGCCAACGCGACTGTCGACTTGGACTTGGAGGTGCACTCTTCGTACAGCATCGACTGGGCTTCGTGCGACGCGTCAAGAATACGCCAAATCCTTATCAACCTCGTCAGCAATTCGCTGAAATTCACCAAGGGCAGAAACCAGCGACAAATCAAAGTCATCGTTGGGTCAAGTCATGTCGCGCCTCCTGAGTACATGTCTGAGTTGCAATGGCATCCGAAAGAGCTACTTCCGCCAGTCCTGAGCAACAACAACGAAATCTTCCTTACACTCCAAGTGCAGGACACTGGCAAGGGTCTGAGTCGGGAAGAAACGGACAAGCTCTTCAATAGGTTCGCGCAAGCAAGTTCAACAACCAGCTCTACTGTAAGCCTCGGCACCATAGGTTTCCTCAAGTTTCATGGCTGACATAGTTTCAGTATGGTGGATCGGGTCTCGGTCTCTTCATCTCGATGCAACTGGCTGAGCTGCAAGGTGGTCGCATCGGCTTGTCGAGTCAGCCTGGGCAAGGAAGTACGTAGCGGTCCTGCTTTGAAAGATTTACCGCTAACTTTTCCAGGTACCTTCGGATTTTACGTCAAGGTGAAGAAAGCCATGGCCACCCAAGAGCAGGAACAATCTCTTAGAAGAATCTCAGAGACGTTAGAAACTCATCTTCCGAGGAACGTCGACAAATCTCTCGACATTTTGCTCGTCGAAGACAATGTAATCAACGCTCGCATCTTGAGCAAGCAACTTCGCGCAAAAGGGCATCAAGTCCACGTTGCAATCCACGGACAGGAAGCACTCGACTTTTTGCGTACCACCAAGTATTCGCAAGGGTCCGACAGCAATGCCGTCGAGCTGGATGTCATCTTGATGGACTGGGAGATGCCAGTGCTCAACGGTATTGATTGTACGAAACAAATACGACAGCTGGAAGAGCAAGGCTCGCTTAAAACACACTTGCCCATCGTTATTACTTCTGCGAACGCGCGGCCAGAACAGATCGAGGTAGCCTATGCTGCTGGAACTGTAAGTGATCGAATCATCGTATGTACACGACCTCACGGGCTAATTTCTGCCATCAGGATGAGTTCTTGTCTAAGCCTTTCACTGTCACACAGGTTCTTGAGAAGATTCGGCAGATGAACAATTAAACTGAAGCGGAAGATGTTGGATAATGTAACACTGATCTGGATAATGAGCTTCACGAACATATATCAATACACGACAGAGAATACAAACAAGCGCAAAGATGAATCATACACGGACATACCCTTCTTTGCTTAGACTTGCTCAATACGTTTAATGGGATGCTTTGCCTTGTCAAAGTGCCGATCGTAAGTTGTTTTGACCGTCGCAAAGGGTTTCGTTCGCCATGTCGAGCACGCTAGTACCCCATGTCACGTCCGTCTCATTCTGTAGTTATTGTCGATGGCGTCAAATTCTGCCTGTAGCTCTTGGTGATTAAGGGGGAGTATGCGAATCTTCCGTAGATTCTTAAGGTCTTGTATGCTTCTGTTGGGTGATACAAGCCAACGAGGAGACTTGTGAAGGCAGAATTGACCCAAGGCCCACATTGGTATCGAAAACTGCACGGCGGTCCCTCTCTTAGACACTGACCATTCCTTGTCGCGTTCTGCTAGACCCTTACTCTGGTAGGCATAATGCTATCACTGGCCGTGTACAGACAAAAATCTGCACGTTTCTACGAATTTAGACCCTTCTATGTTTAAGCTATGTGTTCTCCATGTCTCTGGAGGCCGGTGCGACTTTTGACCGCTTCTTACTGCCGCTCGTATGTCCGGTACCTAAGTGCTCGCCAGATCTCGCTATCCTTAGCACTTGACAATTGTGTTTAAGGTTTTTGGCTAGCGGCGTTCACTCCGGTCGGCAAATGTCCAGACTCAAAATGCCAAACTTCGCGAACGCTGCTTAGACAGGCAACTTCTCCTCCGACATTCACCTTAAACCGCGAATTTGACTACCAGATTCAATTTCGGGTCTCATGTGCGAACAGTGGCCGATTTTTGCGGTCTAATATCTGCCCGGTCTCCAATCTTCGGACGCACACGACGGAGATGTTTAGAATTTACCTTCTATTGCCGTGATGGGTTTGTCCATCTACTTGTCTCTACTGTTTCGCTGACAGAGCACAAGAGAAGATGGACGCGGCCAAGAAAATTGGTCGGCAATGACAGCATTTTGTAGACATGAGTTCTTTCGTGATGGAGGATAGAATTGCCGTGTCCGACACTGAGACAGCAGCTACGCAATATATAAGGTGATCTCTCTGCCTGGAGACTACAGGACCAACAGTACAACTGAAACTTCAACTCTCCAACCCACAAGCACTCGGTCAAAATATCGGTTCATGTCTCGCTACGCCGCTGCATTCGCAAACACCGCCGGTCCTGGCGACGCTCGTCCCACTGCTCTGCAAATCGTCAAAGACGAAGGTGCTAAGGGCAAGTTGGCCGGCAAGGTCATCGTGATCACCGGAACCTCCTCTGGTCTCGGCATCGAAACTGCTCGAGCTCTCGCGCAAACAGGAGCGAGACTGATTCTTACTGCCCGTGATCTGGAAAAGGCAAAGACCGCCCTTGAAGGCATACTCGAGCCTGGTCGCGTCGATCTTGTCGCCATGGACAATACCTCTCTGGAGAGCGTTCGCGCTGCTGCGAAGGAGGTTCTCAAGATCTCGGGCAATCAAGTCAACATTCTCATCAACAATGCTGGAATCATGGCTTTGCCTGATCTTCAGCACACTAAGGATGGCTTCGAGATGCAATTTGGCGTCAACCACCTGGCGCACTTCCTCTTCTTCGAGTCGCTAAAGCCTGCACTTCTTGCCAGCGCCACGACTGAGTGCTCTTCTCGGGTCATCAACCTGTCTTCATCAGGCCATCGCATCTCTTCCATCAATGAGTCTGACAACTACAACTTTGAAAAGGGTGGGTACCACGGCTGGGTTGCTTATGGTCAATCCAAGACCGCCAATGTCTACATGACCAACGAGATCGAGCGACGCTACGGATCTTTGGGTCTCCATGCGAATGCCGTCCACCCTGGCCTGATCGGGACCCCACTCATGAAACATGTCGACGCGGACGTTCTGGATGGTTGGGCTCAAAACGAGGCGATTGGTCGGCTTATGAAGTCTGTCGCACAAGGTGCTGCGACCACAGTTTGGGCTGCTGTCGGTAAGGAATGGGAGCATAAGGGTGGAAAGTATCTTGCTGAGTGCGAGGTCGCACCTCTTGGTGAGGATGACCACAAGGCTGAGAGCTTCGGTCACGTTCCTCACACTTATGATCCTGAGAGAGAAGCTCGTCTTTGGAAGGACTCTTTGAAGATGGTTGGACTGGAAGACAATTAGATAGTAAGTCTTGTACTATGTAGATCTTTGCAAGCAGGATGATTCGACATCAAGCCTCGGCCTTCTTGGTGACTTCGAATCCGCTCCAGCTCTCAATTGCTTCTTTGCAAACACGTTCGTACGTCTCTATGCCAGCCAAGTAGTTCAATTGCTCCCTCTTCTTGCCTGGAATGTTGGCTCCCATGTACCACGAGTTGGTCAAGGGGAACAAGGTTTGTTCGTTCATCTCTTGGATGTCGGCTGCCCATTTGTCCGCAGCTTCTGGGCGTGCTTCAATTGTCTCGATACCTTCTTCGTGCATCTTCTTGATCATATCTGCAACCAGGTCGCCTTGTACTTCTATCGTTGTTGTGCCGTTTGACAATGCGGTGGGCGCTTTGCAACAGTGTTAGTCAAGTCAAATGTGATCAGTATGACGTGAATGGAACATACCTTGTGGACTGTACACCATGAACATGTTTGGAAGACCTGGTGCGGTCATTCCAAGATGCGTCTTCACTCCCTCCTTCCACCTCTCTCGGAGATCAACGCCCTGTCTGTCTTTCAATCCCATACCAGTAAAGCTGCCGGTGATAGCGTCATAGCCAGTAGCAAGCACAACGGTGTCGAACTTGTGCACAATACCATCCTCTGTCTCGACTCCCTCGGCAACAAATCGCTTGATGCCGTTGTTCTTCAAGTCAACCAGATGCACATTATCCTGATCAATGCATTCGTAGTAATCTTGCTCCAGACTAGGTCTCTTGGTACCAAGAGGATGCGGTGGTTTCTCCGGTGCGACCAGATCTTTTTTGGCTTGATCCTTGATTCGAGCACACACCTTGTTTCTCCAGAATTCATACATCAAATCATTGGTCTTCTGGTTGAACATGCAATCTCTGTAGTTTGCAGTGTTGAAGGCGAAAGCTCCTCTGGCCCAGAGTTCTTCCCATCGAGTCATGCGTTCCTCTTCGGAAACTTCATCCAAGGCTTTCCCATCTGACCAGTAAGGGACACCGAAGAAGCATTTTCTTGTGGCTGCGAAGATTGTCTCGTAAATAGCTTTGTACTGGTTCTGCTCTGCTGCAGACATGGGTCTTTGCCTCATTGGTAGAGCAATGTTAGGAGTGCGCAGGAAGACAGTCAGGTCGGAAGCTTGTTTGGCGACTTCTTGGACAATCTGAACTCCAGTGGAGCCTTAAAAGCGAATGAGTAAAAACATCAGGGTGTCAGCAGATTTACCACATACCTTGTCCAATCACAGCTGTAGACTCGCCCTTGAAGTAGTGACCTTCTTCAGGAAAGTCGGCTGAGTGCAGCAAGACACCTTTATAGTCCTCGATTCCTGGAAACTCCGGATAGTGTTTCTTGTACGATGAGCCAGCAGCAACGATCAGGTATCGACAGGTAACCTCTCTGCCAGATGCAGTCTTCACCGACCAACGCTTGCTAGTCTCATCGAAGTTGCACTCGACAACAATCGTCTCAAACTGGATGTGGTCATTCAGATCAAGAGTCTTTGCTGCATGTTCGAAGTATCGTCGAAGCTCTTCGTGACCTGGGAATCTCTCACTCCAGTTCCAATCTTTCCAGACTTCCCTGACAGTGAACTGGTAATAAGGAACTTCCGAATCGACGCGTGCTCCAGGATACCTGTTCCAATGCCAGACTCCACCAAGAGCTTTGCCGGCTTCAAAAATCTTTGCGTCCAGACCCAGCTGGCGAAGTTTATACAGCGTGTAGAGGCCGCCGAAGCCACCGCCGACAACCAATGCATCGAGCTCGATAAACTGATCTGTCCGCCAATCTCCCTTCACAGATGCTCTGTTTGGAAGGCCGGGCATGCCGATAAGCGATTCGTTTAAGTAATGTCGAAGTGAGATGTTGTCGATGATTATGAAGACTGGGTGGTGAGTGAGCTTGCAGAAGAAGTGAGCAGATTGGAAGGAAGGAGTATTATCGTAAAGTGATTCGCAGCTTTTGATCTGGTACCTATGTCATTGTTGAACCTAGTCTGCTAGGATATTTGAAAACCGGAGCTCAACGCCCACTTTCAATTCGAGGGCTAAACTCCGCGGTGCGATCATACCCCAACATGGTTACCCCGCTGTCAACGGCGCGATCTGCTCCTGAAACTTTGTTCTTACTGTCGTCAGCCAAACCTATTGAAAGACTACGTCAACTATAGTGCCTGAGTTTCTGTTATAGGCCTCGAGGATCGTATTGGAGCCTCGCCATCTTCATGTATCGCTTGGCTCCATGAACCCGCATACTCCGGCCCCATATGATCACAGGTAGCCCCAGAAGTGCAAAGAAGACTGCGAGACAGCCTACGCAGACAAAAAGGTCATACATTCCTAGAGCTTCCATCCACGGTGTTGCTGCGAACACGATAGCAGTCGCACAGATGTTGCGCACAAAGGCGACACCAACGAGGGCGTCGCCAGCAATATTTCCGTAGCCGTCCAGAAGGTATGTTAGAACGCCATGGCCCAGTCCCACGAATCCGTAGCCGAAGATACCGATGCCGATGCAAGGAACGATCCAGAGCATGCCGTGCGCTGTTGATAGACCGTACACGAACACGCCAACTGCAGAAGCTATGGCCGGGAAAATGGCAGTGTACAGGCGAAACTCTGGCTCATAGATACCATTGTTGCGCTTCGCCAACCAGAGGATGCTCCTGTCAGAGAGCAGTGCCGTGTAGACTGACGCAATTGATGCACCAATGAAGGCAGGCAGATTGAGAAGACCGACACCAGTGGTCGAGAAGTTGTATGGGGGATATGGAAAGACAGAAGCGCTTGTTGTGTTGACCATCGAGTACCAGGCTAGTTGAGTACCCCAAGTGAAGGCGACGTAAGTTATGGCTGGGAAGGTGGCCAAGATGATGAACGGCTGCCAGACGTGACGCAGGAAGAGTTTTGCGGGAGCATGAGTTGGCGTGACGAGGGCCATGCGTTGGCGGTATGATCGCATGGGAATGGCTTAATCAATATCCGGAGTAGAGACAGCGGATGCATACACTTCCGGCAAGTCAGTCTTCCTATGCTTGTCGATAGTGGACTCTTCGATTGGCGGGAGAGGGTGTTCATTACCAAGTGTTGTAGGCATCGTAAACTTTGTTTCCTCGTAACAGAAGATGAACAAGATAATGTTAATTACGATAAAGATAGCGCACTAGTAGTAGCCCTAGCGCTAACCTTAAGAGCTTGCGATAAAACCGGCAGCTATTAGAGCGAGGAAGACCTATTATATTAAGAAAGTCAGTCCATATAATTTAAGAGACTTAATCCTACTTACACCGGTGTTAGAGGTAAGGAGGTATATGCTATTCGCTATGCCGCGCTAGTAAACGAAGAACAGATCTTTAATAGTTATCTAGACGAGGACCTTACTAACTAACCTAGTAAATCTAGATATTAGATTTGCTAGCATCAAATCCGTATAAGTGTTTGCTTTCGCTAGCTAGATTAATATAGCATAGTTAACGATACTACTACTAATATAGATTAGTCTACGACCATATTTTAACGCTAATAGTATTAGGAAGATAGATCCTATTATAAGACTAACGTAGTTAACAGCGAACGTGTTATTTTCCTAGCTCTATAAGACTCTAAGCTCTTTAACTTAAGCCTACTATAACGTAGGGCTAATGTTAAGTCTACGTAAAAGATATGTTAGCGATAAGTACTAGAGGTTACATTAGCGCGAATTATATAATGCGAAGACAAGAAGGGTATAGAATGCTATAATGCTAAAGTTAAAGTATTTTCTGCTCGTATTCTAATTCTACGATAAGAGCATTAGCAAATGTAAAGATTATCTAAACTTATAGGCGCTTACTAGTAGATTATTAGGGTCGTTCGAAGGCACTAGCTATAGTCTAATTTGTAAGCTAGTAGGCCTAGCAAACTCTTAGTCTATATAAGACTATATTAGATAAGGGTGCAAAAATGGTTTAGGTAAGTTAAGTATAGACGTACCTTACTTAATAAGTACGGTGCCTAGTAGAAGTAATAGCCCTTCTTCTATGCTATACGATGATTTTAGAGGGACTAAGATGTAGCGAGTATAGCAAGATATAGCCTTACTCGTAATAATGTAATTCTGCTTACCCTTAGTACGATGTCTTGTAAATACTTATTAATGTTTTTAGATATAAGCAACTTTAAAGTACGTACATTCGATAAGTAAGGTAAGCCTATTACTTTCTCTAGGCCTATCGCTAAGGCTACGATAGAAAGGGTAGGTTCTTAATATCTTAAGATAAGTCTAGGACTAAGTTAAGGATAAGGATGTAAGCTATCTCGCTATAGGGTTTAGGGTAAAAGGCGGGACTTCTAAAAGCGTAGACCTTCTTATCGTAGCAGGTCTAGGTAGGAGAAACTTCATTATAATCTCTATCGTAAGGATGTTAATTACGATAGCGAAAATCTCTTAAGGTCTAACTAGCTTTACTTCTTCTTTTCTATATTATCTTAAGGCGCGTACTTATGCCCTACAAACGCTTTAATCTTACTATAATAAGCACTATAACCGTCTTCTATAATGGACTTATTTTTATAGGAAGAGAAGACGCTACATCTCTAGTTAAAAGAGATATCGTCGTTATAATTAAGAATAATAGTATTATCTTTATAGGTAACGAGACCGATGTTTAAGTAGAGCAAATTATGTAGGAGAGAGATATTATTATAGTAGACTTATAAAGTCGTAGCCTCCTTCTAGGTCTAATTAATAGGTCGGTACAATTAAGTTATGTTTAACTTACGTATCTAATACTATTCTAGTTATATGCACCTTCTCCATTTTAGGGGTTCTCTTACTAGAGGCAATCTTAGCAAATGTAAAGATCTAGCAGTAATTAGAGATGCTATCTTAGTAATAGCAAAGTAAAAGCTAAACGCAAAGCGGCTACTCTTCTATAGCTAGTTCTAGGATTCGACCGACGGTAAGGCTTTAGCTTCTATAATCGACGATCTAGATCCCCGACCTATCTATATCGATTCATTTAACTTATATACTATATAGTGCAACTCTACAGCCATTATCGAGATAGGCCTAAAAGACGTTCCTAATATAAAAGGTAGAGAGGTTAGAAGAGACGAGAATAGTAACCTAAATGGCTATATTGCTAAGCTCCCTATTATAACTATCGTAATCCCATTTCTCGTATAAGCTACTAGTAATAAAGAGAACACGATAAACGTCCGTTTAGCGCTTCGTACTTATAATAATGTAGGCTATACTAGCGTAGCTAAGCTTACTATAGACGAAGGTTAATAGTAGGTCTTACTTAGTATAAGGGAAGAGCTTACGCTTTAAATTGCTACATACTAGTTAATCTCTCTAAGCGAGATAGAGGCGAAAGTTCTAAATTAGGTTAACAAAGCTATTAAGATAAAGAAGCTATATAACGAAATAACTTTGCTAGATCTATAAATCTAGGGCATTAAGTTAATTTACGACGGAATAGTAGATAGTTACACTACTACCCTCTCTAAGCCCTATAGCTATAACTCCGTCGAAGCGGAAGTAATATAGGACGCTTTAACTCTAGAGAAGGTCGTACGTAAGGCTACTAACGCTAGCTTATAATGTACATTATATGCTATTAGTAATAAAGCCGTTACTCTAGTAGTAGATGCGCTTACTACTAGAGGATTACTAATATGCTAGCATTGAATTAAGTACCTCGAGCTAAGCAGTTCTAAGGATGTATAGCAATTAGGTAAGCTTAGTATTCTAGCCTTAGTATAACTAGTCTACTTAGACCTATACCTTCTACGAGCATAGCTAAAGTTTATTAGCGAAGAGCGTTATTAACGAGCTTTCGTATATAAAGAGTTCGTAGACTATAGTACATACATTATAATTAGAACGGACGCACTAATAGTACTGCATCTTCCTTTCCTAAACCTATATAATGCGACGATAAGACGCTCCGTAGTTTAGCTAGAGTTATAGGAGAAGACGACGTAGCATTTTAAATTAGATCTCTTCGAAGCTATAGTAGCTATAACGTAAGGTATAGCCTACTCGATCTTTATAGAACATCGTACTAGAACTATTAAGGTAGGCAAGAAAGCGGATCTTATAATTATAGAGATAAAATAGAATGCTAGGGACTTACTCTAGGCTAAAGTATAAGAGATATAGTAGGTAGGGAAATGTATATTTAGAAAGGCTTAAACGATTAGGGATATTAGTTACGTCTTATAATCTCGTTGTTAGTGTCGCAACTTATAGCATATTTACTCGCTTTAGGGTTTCCTATAAGAGGGTTAATAGAAGGGGCGCGTTTCGTAGACCCGTTAAAAGCAAGAATAGAATAGATGCTATAAGTAGTAAGAAGGAAGAGAGTATTAGTAACTAGTAATAAAGTTAATAACGACTAATAAGAGCCGATAATAACTATCGCCGAAAAATCATTTACGGTAAGGGTCTAAATATAGTTCCTAGTTAGAAGTCTTCATATAGCCCTACGTTTCTACTCTCTTAACGTAACTACCCCTTCCCTTCTACCTACTATAATAACGTTAATATAGTTAGTCCTCTCTTAATAATCTTATATAACTGTCGCCGTAACTAGGAGTATTACCCTACTGCGCGCGTAGCCCTCGTTATAGCTAATAAACTCGGCAATTTGTATAGGCGCGTTTTAACGTTATCTAGCGTCCCTAAGAGCTCTATTTAGTTAACCATTAATCTTAGTAGTACGCGCGACCACTAATAGTTAGCTCCTCGTTTAGGACGTCTAAAGACTCTCTTAGATCGTAAGGTTCATATACTACTACGTTATTATACTTAAAACCCTAAATAGAACTATAAGAGGCTCTTAAAAGAACTTCCCTTTAAAACTAGCTATACTATCGCCTACTAAACTCTACGTAACTACGACCTCCTATCCTAGCGCGCTAAATAACGCCCCTTACTTATAGAGAAGAGTGTCGCTACGCGCTTAAAATGGTGTAAAAATCATAAGGACTAGACCCTTAATATATGGTTTCGAGTCATCTTTTTAGACGAGTGTTCTATAGAGCGAGGATCTAGAAAAGGCACTACTTAGGTCAAGCGCTATATAGGCTAGGCTTTTAATCAAAATATAGTAGTTCCTACTAATAAGAGTAAGGATATACGTGTTATAATATAGGGAGCAATTTTAGCCTACGAAACATTAGATCTTATTATTATAAAGCGAGATATAACTGCCCCTAAGTAAGGCTACTTCGCTAAGAGCTATATAGAGGCCTTAAAGTTCGGCCTCTTACCTTTCCTAGAAACTAATAGCATATTTATGTAGGATAACGCTCCTATTTATACTATAAGAAAAATAACTAAGTAGCTACATAAGAAGCGCATCTAATTGCTTCTTAAATGGCTACTATACTCTCCGGATTTAAACCCTATTAAACACATATAGGCACTTCTAAAATAGAAGCTCTACGAACTATATCTAGACTACGAAACTTAGGGTAGAACTAAGGAACAGATCTATTAACGTATAGAAGATGCTCTAGTTTACGCATTTAAAGCTATTAATAAGAGAATTATAATAGGACTAGCCGAGTTAGTATAGGACCGCGTAGCAGCGTATATTGCCGCGAAGGGGTAGTATACGAAGTATTAAACTTAAAATTTGACCCATTTAAACACTAATATTACCTGTATAACATATCTAATTTTAGTGAGGATCTAATAGAAACTAAGTATAGCGCATAGGTTAGCGTAAGGGTAGTTAGGGTATTAATATAGGGCCGTACGAAGACTTCTAACTAGGAACTATAGGTAAGAGGGGAAGAGCTAATGCCCGTTCTAGCGGGTCTAAGCGTCCTAGCTATATGTCGTGTCTAATAGGGTTGTCTAGATAACAATACTTAAACAATCTAGTTAGGTAATTATAGCACGACGGTATACATTCCCTCGTTTTCTAGCTACGGACGTTAGATATATCAATTATAAGCATGTCCAGTATAATTTTCAGCGGTCTCTAAATAGAGACCGATACGCTATAGAATGAAATCAAATTCTAGGATCGAATTGTAAGACAATGCATTAATAACGCATGTAACAAACCGCACATCAAGGAAAGAAGATGTAATAACATGATTTTGGTCGACAGATCTCCTTATGAGCATGTAGTTTTACTGTTTTCGATACACTTATCCTAGCCCATCTCATCTTCGATCAAGTGACTTGGCTGTTCTATGCTACAAGACTGCTTGATTGCTCGAAGATCGAGCGGGCTTCGGGAGAACCACCCGAGGCTTACTAAGCTTGCGGAGCTTGCACAAGGCACGCGTTTCTCCCGCGTCTTCTGTTTACACGACCGGACCAATCGAGCTCGGTGACATGCCTGATGTCTATCTATGGTCAAAGAATCGGAGATGAGAAGCCTACCACACGGCTAGCTCCTGGTTAGTACTCACAGTCGATGGGTCCAAGGACGCGACGCGTCGCAGCGTATGTGCAGTGACAGAAAAATGTGCTGCGAAACAGCTTGTTGTATTGTCGTAAGTCCCCCCAACCAATCCCATGTTCTTCCCTTGAACGTTGTGTCCTATACCAATCCCAACCAAAAGCTTAATGATGAATGATGCTCTTCTGGCTATCACTGTCGTCAGACCCCATGGCACTGACATCAACAGTGACCTTCTTGCGAATCCCGGCGTCCATCTCAATATCTGCAATAGATCTTGACTTGCTCGCTGTGCTTTTGTGTCCATAATCGTTTGTGCGAAGGTATCCTCCAGTATTGCTTCCGTGGGTCCCCTTCCTCGAGCCGACCGAGCGCAAGGCAGGGATGATCTTCTCGAACAATGGCCGCAGGCAGGGCGTACATGTGCAGATCATGGCAGCGGTAAGTTCTGCTTGTGACCAAAGTACGACTTCCACAAGTCCCCAGGTCAAGTCGTTGAAGCCAGACTTGTATAAGACGATGATGGAGCGCATGCGGAGGATGCTGACGAGGCACGAGATAGATCCTGTATCACAACGTAAGTTATGAAAGCTTCAGAAGCAGGCGGGTCGTTGGCGCTTACCCATTGAAAAGAGACCGGTAAGGATGACCTTCTTGCGCGTGTCCGTGTTAAGACCCCAAACGATGGGTACAGGCAGGATGAGAATCATGATATCGGAGACCACGTTCAAGGCAGCATTGGCAGTGTAGAACTTTTCAGTACTGATGCAGTAGTCCGAAGGAACATCAAGAGTCCTGTGCAGCTGAGTCAGAGAGTTGTAGAGGGCTTGTGTTCTGGGTTTGACCTACCATGCTGATTCCATCGGTCTGCACTGAAACAGAGATGCTAACATGCCTCCGACCGAATAAGCGACCGTAAAGGCAACCACAGCCCACCATCTTTTGGCGAAGTTGACGATGGGGAACAAGCGGCGATAGAGCAATAGGATCGACATTTTCGAGAAAAGCATGGTTATGCTGTACATGACAGCGCAGACAACCCAGCCACGCAGAAGGTTGGGGTAGAGGTCTGCGACACTGATGTCGTAAACATGCTTGCCTGCTCCGAACTTGCAGGCATATTGGAACAGTCCAGTCTCACCGATCCAGCATGCAAGAGCAAACAATGTGCACCCTGTGCTTTCTGTCAGTCATCGAAGCAAGCAGTGAGGCAGCATCAGACTTACAATCATCCCACCAGAGATTCTTGAGAAGGTGAATGCGAGTATACATTCTCATGGCGACAACAGTACACACGATGATCATGCAGATGATATCGCATGTTGTGATCATATGCGTTCTGCCAACCGCATGGTGGATGTGAGAAACCTCGCCTGGAGGCGGGCGGCCAGCGGGAATCTCGGTCAGGGGTATGCCCGACTCGACCAAGAGCATGATCTGAGCAATTTGTGCCTCACTTGCCATGTTGACGGTTGTGAAGAGATGGTCGAATGGCGGGGGAAGACAGGTCTGAGGGGAGACAAGTTCAGGCCAAGGGAGCAAGTAGGTATCTATAGACAGATAGCAGGGTGGGGCAACCCGCGGCAGTGCGTGTAGGAGAATGATTATGGCGGTACCAAATTTGTCAACCAAGATCCAGCACAACAAGGCACATCTAGTTTCAGATGGGCTTGACGGACAAGATCACCGTTTGGCGCAGACTTTGATGACAACCGCCATCACTGACGGTAATCATCGGCAGTTGCTGTATATCCTCAGCCAAGAACATACGGCAGACAGATTGGGAGTCCTGAGTGGTCGATATTAGGAGAAGATGTTGCAACGATTCAGAGACAAAGTTCCTGTAGAGTATTCGGTAGACTTTCCGACAATAGAGTTGGCGCGCGGGAACAAGCACGGATCGTGCCCACAACGGGGTGACATTTATTCCATCTCAACGGCGTGGGGCACCTGAACAACAATAAGAAATTCCAGTTGATGGTGCTTTGATCATTCTTGGTAATTTACAGCGATCTTAAGAAGATTGCAAAGATCTACGAGATCCAATATACCCAAGGGAGATCTTGAAAGTGAGCGTAGTCTCGATACACGATAAGAGTGTCCAACCCGAGTCATGGGTTCTCCGTTGAAACGTCGATGTCAAGCTATCGTGGTCGCAGCATTCGAAGTTGACTGCCGGCTAAACTTGTTGCTCAGACTTGGATGCAAAATTCCACGGCGCATGACTCCTGTCCATTTTGTCAAGATGGGCGGACAGTTGGACATGATCCAGAGAAATCGAAATGCCTGCCTATTGTGACGTTCCCTCAGGCTACGCACGTAGGGCTGTTGTTCTTCGAGATGCACTGCCGCTCCCATGAGGATGCAGGCGAAGCTTAACTTGGAAGACAGGAACCTCAAATCAACTTCCCAGAACGGTACCTGCCAAGCAGAAATGTCGTCGAGGATTGACTCGCATGCTCAAGCCGGCCGGCCGGACCCCTTGCAGTGTTTGGAAAGCTACCTAAGTAGCTTTTCGCAATGTCAGAAATGTACTGTCAGACTGCCATTGTCAAAAACGTAGACAGTAGATGCCGTCCATGGAGAAGCATGTGATTGGTTTCACGAAATACGCTCATGCCCGTCGTGATGTTGCATCGCAATCTGAGCAGATGCTCAGAGGGCGGAGCAATGCGATCATGTCAACGGTCCATCTGGGATAAACACCGACACAGCACTTGTCTTTACAACTTTTCTACGCAACACTTGCTAGCACAGGCTTGAAGCTAGAATGAAGCACAAAGAAGAGCCGAAAGATCACGAGCATCACAATCGTGTTGAATCCTGCATAAGATTGGAAACAAAAATTGTAACGAATACCCAGGCGATGCGCTTGTTCTTACGGTGTAAGGAGTGTTGGCTCTCGGCGATCATGCCACAGCCCACCTTGTGCTGGTAAGACAGAGTGCAGCCAGATCGCTGTCCACCATAGGAAAGACTTTGGTTGGTGTCGGATTGTGCAGGTTGAATCGTTCTTTCTTCCGCTTGTTCCCTCCTGTCCGACTGGATGAATTGTTGTACGTTGGTATCTCCAGAGTGAAACCAGCCCGTCATCGTTCAACTGATTGCCGCGGGTCAAGCAACAAGATTGGTTGATTTGGTAGTAAGAGAATACTAACGTTTCGCAACTGCCAGCAGTCCACTTGCGCCGCGACTCGAGGTAGAATAGCTTAACCCAACCGCACTCACCCGGAGCTGCGTACCGACGCGGCAAGCAGCAGCGCCTGTGAGCCCATCGAGAGATCAACGATACTCGACAGTCGCTTGAGAGTCGAGCTGCGCCGAGAATTCTTGACTGCAAAAAGATGGTCTGAAGGTCAGGTTTGTTGAATTGTTGATGGAGAATGAAGGGAGAGTGCGAAGAAAGGGTGGGAGCGTTCGAGTCCGAGTTCGAGGTTGGCGGAGACAACGGGATGATCCGCCGGCGCCGAATGAAGCAGGGACCAGCAAGCAAAGCAGATGTGAGGTGGGGAAGTCTTTGATCTCAGCAACTCTGGCCCGTTCGATATTAGCGACTGACTCTCGACCCTCAACCAACCGGCAACATTGAACCGTCGCCGACATTGCGCAACTCCACTCCCGGCATTGATGGATTGCCTCTCGCGACCCCACGGCCACCCGTTGAGCGCATGTCCATGGCTGACCAGGCGCCGCCTTCCCAGCCGGCGCCTGCCATTTATGTCCAGCGCCACCATTCACCTCGACCAAGAAGGACATGGTTCACGCTCAAGCGAAAGTCAGCAAATCTCACATAAACACAGGCGCACTCTCCCAGTCGCGGCCGCATCCATCTCTTGCCTTGTCCTTCGGCATCTTCTCCTCTCAAGAAATGATCAGGATACACATCGTTCCGTCCTCTGAGAGCAACAACATCAGTACAAGAGCTTGAGTATAGAAGCGAAGGGGTGAAGAGTGCCTACGCTGGTCGATACCATGTGGCGGAGCCATGGTCGATGCTGGAAACGTATCTGCCTGCATACCTGCTTTCGAAGAACACCCGCCACTACCTCACACGAGTCTGGTCGTCTAGCTGTCTGGATCGGACATTGCGTCGCTGAAACTGCCATCTCTTACAAGGTACTACACATGCTGTATACCACCATCGTCCATCCGAACCGTAACGTCTCGCTGGACGCGAATTTGCTGTTCGTGCACTGACTGCGACGCACTCTGCTTGCCGTCATCGTCATCCCCCGATCCTGTCGCAGAGCTTTGTATTCGTGACGCACCTCCGACAATGCGATTGGTGGATGTCCACAGCTCGATCTCGTCCTCAGCTACCGTCGGACCTTTCCAGCTGCAACTCATGTCGGCTGGGAGTCTGCTGCGGCTTTCGTTTGTTTTCCGTCGTGACGAATTGGCCAATCGTGAGACCTTTGATCGAGATCCGCGTGAGACCTTTTGACCAAAGCGTTTCACCAGTGGTCCAAAGGTTGGCACGCATGCCACAACCACTCCGAGGTTTATTTCTACGGCGGACCACTGGATGGATCCTTTCGAGTCTGTGTATGTTGCGAGCTTTGCAATGCTCGTCAACCGAATTGCTTGGACAATGGTGACGAAAAACCCTAAGCTGAAGACAGCGAGGAGAGCAACCTAGAGACCGAGTGAGTATGTGATTGCTTCTTCAATACGACTTGACCGACCTTTCTCTGCCAGTCAAGCTGGAGCCTCCGCAAGATTGGGAAAGGAAGGATGATGATAATCAAGTCCCACCCTAGACTTGTTCCACCGAGCGCAAAGTAAGCTGGTAGTGCGTTGATGCACTTTCCTGGAATGCTCGGATCCCACTGCTTTGCGATTGGTCGACAGCCAGCAGAGAGTAAGATGGTGAATACGATTTGACTGATCACGACTGAGACGATAACAACCCAAACGATCGTGGCATACGTTCGGTTGAATCCAGCCACTCGAAGGTAAGATATGAGTAGCGACAGCTTGAATCCAAGGACGGTCAGGCAGTATAAAGGACCACCAGCGAATTGTGTCTATCGCTCGTCAGTACAGGCAGAGGAGGTGAGCAGTGAGAGACCCACCCTGCTGAAGGGAACTGCATTCTCAGGAGGAAAGTCTGCCGCGTTGAGTCCCAGACCCCATTTCGTTTCTGCGGACACGATCAGTATGATAACCAAGGCCTGCTGAATCTCATTCCCACTCACGATATATCGCCGTCGCACTGTATCCTATGTTCAGGCCCTGCATTGAGAGTCAGCAAATGTATTCCCATCCTTGACCGCTTGAGGCGTACACAACTAATGGCCAGTGCAACATCGTCCCATCCGACTGAGCCGATCGTTCTCAGTCGGATAGTGAATTTGAACCCAACACAGAGGACTGCCACGAGAGGGAACACAACGGCAAGCGCAATGATACCTCTCGCATCACTTGATGCAGGCGCGGTTTCGAGGTTGTGCACCCATCCGAGAGTATACGGTGGAGCCGACATGGATAGTGTCGACAACGGAGAAATACATTCTATCTCAAAGACGAAAGATGCGGTGCAAGGGTAATATCTGCCTTGCCGGATGGTCTTCCTGGATCATCATGCCAATCCTTCGCTCGAAGATCTCCAGCAGTAGATCCCTTGCACATGCCAATATTTGGTCCTTGTTACAGACGAATCTCCGGCTCGATTCAACATGACCCACCGGTCCTTGGATTTTCTCAGGTGATATCTTCTTCGGGGGACTTGGGCCGACGCAACCTTACTCGAAATCATCAATTATGGTTTAGCATTTGGCGAGGGGAGTCATTCGCATCGACGCACAGAGACGACTCGCTAAACGTACAACGTCCCACCGCTTCAATCCGCATATCTCTCGTAGTCAGCATCAGAATACTCGGCTCTACACAATCGCTGATGCTTCCTCTTGTTGTTATGGCCGTAGCGACGAATTCCTGGGTTGCAAAATTTCGGCAGCCCTATGGACCAACTGACTGGGACAACATTGCCGATGTGATCTAAGACAATGCAGATGAGTCCATCTCACGCTGGAGGATCTGTGGACTGTTCCTCTCGGGTTGCAGGGCTGCAATACCCTACGCCCGTAGGATGGATGGAGCATCTCGAGGTTTCTCCACTGAACTTATGGTTGGACTTGACGATTTTTGTCGAGATGGAGCGACAAGCCACCAGGTGGTCCCTCATCAACATTGCCCTGCTTGATAAAGTCAGCGCTCCGAAGGTCCGAAGGATGAAACAGTTTACCCTGAGATCAAAGCTTCTCCGCATGTGAGGGAGCGGTCGGCTGCTTTCCGTATTACGCGAACGATCTACATTAAATATTCAGGGAAAGTGGGGGCCGCAACACCCAGCTTCACCTATAACAACTACGGCCGTCGGCAGCATTACCTTGTTGAGTATGACTTTGGATATCGTATTCTTGCGAGTCTTTTAGTGCTTCAAAACTTACTCATAGGCGCATGTGCCTGATCGACGACCGCGGCTTTTTCGCGGATTCCATGCGGTTGGCTTTGCCGAGTTATCCTGCAGGCTGCACTCCGCAACTTGCATCCTTCTCGAGATTGTCGTTGAGGCCACGAGGTTCGGCAAGTTAATGTGTGTCGTAGCGAGAGTCTCCGAGAAGTGCCTCGTGGGCGCAGGGTCCCTGAGTCGTTCTGTCCTTTATATACCTCGCTGAGGTTTGCCCAACTTTATTTCCAACAGACACAACCATCAACATGCCTCGTCTGACGATCGTTCCTGGGCTTCTTGCCCTGGCCACTTTTTCATCTGCTGCAGCTTTGGCTGTAACAGCTGATGTCGCTGTCTCAAATGTCGCTCCCACTGACTGCAGATGTTTCCCTGGAGATGCCTGCTGGCCGACTTCGGCAGAATGGAGCAGCCTGAATGAGACTGTTGGTGGTCGTCTCATTGCCACGATTCCTCTCGCTGCTGCTTGCCATGACGATCAGTATGCCTCATACGACGAGGAGAGATGCACTGAGCTGCAGAACAGCTGGCTGGATCCTGAAACACAGTGAGTTGAATCTCGTATAGGAGTCAAGGTACATCGGCTAATATCTCCAAGTCTGCCCAGCTCATCTTCTGTCATGGCTCCCTTCTTCGCCAACCAGAGCTGTGACCCTTTCCAACCTCGCTCAGCCCAGTGTGTCATTGGCACCTATGTCCAGTACGCTATCAACGTCTCTACCGCCAACGATGTCGTCAACGGTCTGAACTTCGCTACCAACCACAACATCCGTCTTGTGGTCCGTAACACTGGTCATGACTACAATGGAAAGAGTACCGGTGCTGGTGCACTCGGCCTCTGGATGGCCAACCTCAAGGATACCGAGATCAAGGACTGGTCTGACAAGCACTACATTGGAAAGGCTATCAAGGTTGGTGCAGGTATCCAAGGTGGCGAGGCATACAAGATTGCCGATGCTGCTGGCTACCAAGTTGTTGGTGGAGAGTGCCCTACTGTTGGTATTGCTGGTGGTTACTCTCAAGGTGGTGGTCACTCAGCCTTGACTTCCAGACACGGTCTTGCCGCTGATCAAGTCCTGGAGTGGGAAGTCGTGACTGGTACTGGAAACCACCTCTTTGCCAATCGCCAGAACAACACTGATCTCTACTGGGCCCTTTCTGGCGGCGGCGGTGGCACTTATGGTGTTGTTCTTTCCATGACTTCCAAGCTTCACCCTGACACCCCCACTGTCGGCTTCAACTTGACCTTCGCTAGCGCTGGTATCCCGATGGACACTTACTATGAAGCCGTCACGGCATACCATGCCTCTCTTCCCGCAATCGTCGATGCTGGAGCCATGAGTGTCTGGTACTTCACCAACGAATCCTTCGCCATCTCGCCCATCACCGCTCCTGGAATAACCCTCTCAGAACTCCAAGACCTACTCACCCCCTTCATGAGCAAGCTCGACCAACTCAACATCACCTATACCCACTACTTCGGTCAATTCTCCACCTACCTCGAACACTTCGACACGATGTTCTCTCCCATTCAAGTCGGCATCGCACAATACGGTGGTCGACTCATCCCCCGCTCAGTGGTCGAAAACAACAACACCGCTCTCACAAACGCATTCCGCTTCATCAACGAAAACGGCGGCCAATTCATCGGTGTAGGCATCAATGCCTCCCTCGCCCGCTCCGGCTATCCCGAGAATGCAGTAAACCCCGGTTGGCGCGACGCCCTCATCGACACCACTCTAACCACACCGTGGAATTTCACCGCACCTTGGGAAGAGATGGTGGCCAACAAGGATAAAATGACCAACCTACTCATCCCTGCATTGGCAGAATTGACACCGAATGGAAGTTGTTATCTCAACGAAGGAGATTTCCAACAACCGAATTTCCAAGAAGTTTTCTACGGAAAGAATTATCAGAAGTTGAGTGAGATCAAGGATAAGTATGATCCTCATCATATGTTTTACGCTACTACTGCTGTTGGGTCGGAGTACTGGGTTCCTCAGAAGAATGGCAGATTGTGTAAAGCAAATTAGAGTAGTTGGTGAATGAGCACTGAAGAGTAATTAACGAAGTCAATCTATCTACGACGATTTTCTAGTCTTGATTTTCTGCAAACATGCATTACCTAAACCTTTGATCAGAGATTATCTTGTATCTGAGCTTATAGACAAGGCTGTCACAGTAACCCAAGCTCTTGATAGAAAGCATCATTACTCGGTTCTCTTCCCAGAAATTCGAGTAGTGTTTCCATTTCATCAACACTGCCTCCCCTCTCCAAGATGATCTTTCTATACCTTTTGCCCCCATTTGCATCCATTGCATCTCGCTTGAACGCAGTATAAAACATTTCCGTCGCGTAAGCCCTCGAACTGGAAACTTGTTAGCACACCAGAGCAACGAAGAAGACCAAACGAGCGAAGAAAAAGTGGAAGAAAGGGAAGATGCACATACTAAAGATAGCCATAAAACCCAGCATCATAAACCCTCACCAAAGCATCAAATTTCGCATATCCATGACCCCAATCAAATCCCTCAGGAGTATTGAAAAAAGACATGGAAGTATGAAGGCGATTCCACTGTTCCGCCATATTCATCTCTTGTATTGCTACAACAGAAGTAGCAGAATGAACAGTCATGTCGAAGAAACTGCGATGTAGCAGGCGTGTTTGGTATAACGCGCCATTGACATTTTTACTCTTGACCAACGCGTTGATCATGTTGCTGGAAAGATGTTTATCCGGCTGTGCTTTGCCAGAGTTCTGATTCTGCCACTTCTGCAGATGGGAAGGGGAGAGATGGCTCCAATGATTGCTTAGCTGGCTCAATACATCGGGATCCCAGGCCCAGAATTCTAGCATCTGGGATGGCGCTTCACAAAAATCATCGACTGTGGCTGTGCCATGGAAGATTGACCATTTTGTCTGGGCGACGAGATCGTGAATCCCATGTCCGAGTTCGTGGAAGAGGAGGACTACTTCTTCATGCATGAGAAGACTTGGTTTTGTGGAAGTTGAGGGGGTGAAATTGCACAGCAGTGCTGTTGCTGGGTAATGGCGTTCGCCAGTCTTGTGAGTGAACCCGCATTGGAGGTTTATGTTGCACATGCCGCCGTATTTGCCTGATCTCGGGTGGAGATCGAGATACAGGTATCCTAGAAATCCACAGCCGAGTTGTTCGTCGTTCCAGACGGCGAAGAGGAGGACGTCGTCGTGCCATGTGAGATCTTCAGCTATACCTGTAGGTGAGAACGTTCCTCGGTCTTGTATGGTAATCTCATCGAATCGCAGACCGAAAAGATGAGAAAAGATATCCATGACACCAGAGACCGTCGTTTCCAAGGGGAAAAACTCCGCAGTCGCTTTTCTGTCGACAGAAAACGAAGTCTCAAGCATCATGCGTTGATAGTAAGCATAATCCCAGAGCCAAAATTTGTCATCCTGATCTTCTCCTCTCTCAGCCAAATCCTGCCTCTTCAACTCCTTCAAGCCATCAACATCTCTTTTCGCACCAGCAGAAAGTCTTGAGTTTAGATCATCTAAGAAGTTCATCACAGTCTCAGGCGTCTTGGCCATCTTCTCTTCAATTCTGAAAGCGGCGTGATTGGCATATCCAAGCAATTCGGCAGCTTCTTGACGCAAAATCATGATCTCTTTGAATATAGGGATGTTTGCAGGACATTTGTTTTCGCTTGCAGTGTAGTAGACCCGACGGGTCTTGCTGTTCGTAGCGTATTTCAACACCCCAAAGAGATGTAGGAAGCTAAAAGTCAACAACACTTTTCCTTCGTTTCCGTCGGTGCCTTTGTCGAGAGAGGAGATCAGGTCAGCGGATACACCTGCTAGTTCACTGAGATTGAACCAGAGACCAGCGTTTTCTTCTCGGAGGTTCTTTTCGAATTCGCTTGTGAGTTTGAAAAGCTGGCTCTGAATTTCCTTGAAGCGGTTCCGTTCTTCCAATGAAATGCCGAGGCCATTGCGTAGGTAGTCTCTGTGATATCGTTCCAGAAGTCTTTGATCCTCAGGTTCCAGAGATTCACTCTTCTTCGCAACTGCTTCGACCAAGTCGAAAAGACCTTCGTGAGTTTTCGTCTCGATTTCGAATTCTGCATAAAGCTTCTTGGCCTGTGTCGATGCCTCGCTGAGACCAGGATCCGTCGAGACCGCCTCGTAGAAACCGAGGACAGGTAGCTCTCGAGACACAGAGTTTTGATCATGTGCAAGAGGAAGGATGACATTGGCAAAAGTCGCTGTTTCTGGTGTGACGGTCGATAGGATATGTTCTTGCACTTTCCGAGTCTGAGTGATCAGGCGCTTGACGTGTGGAATAATTGTGCTCGCATCTCTTGTGAACAGAGGCGGTGGCTGAGGCGGTGATTGTGATCTGCTGCAAGACATATCCGATGCTATCTTCTGGCGGAGGCAAGTTCGAGCGCAAGGACAAGTCTTGAGAAATTAGGAGCGTGCAGACAAAGAGTTAGACGAGCGTGTCAACAAGGAAGAGGATGAGTAGGCAAGAAAGAAGACGGGTCTTTGATACTACACTCTATTCGGCAGGAGGATTGATGCGAAGTTGCGGTTAAACAAGCCTTCACGATAGGCGCTGATAGCGGCTGATCAGTGTACCACCTCCCCGGATACCGGCAATTCTGTGATTGAACCTGGGGAAGAAACCCACGGAACAACTCTACGAGAACGCGTTCAACAAAGGTGCCTCTCGGCCCAACCATCCATTGAGATCTAAACCCGGTCTTGCCGTCTGTTTCCATGCCGCTAGTATCAGCAGAATTCCCGCACCATATACGCAATAAGAGCCACTACAGTGACTGCAGTGACACTCTGACCAAATGCCACAATTAAGGCAAGACCAAAATGATACGTCCCATCAGGCCTGTCTGCCTTGATCTGTTCTGCTCGTCGTAGCAAATGAACAGCAGTGAAGATCGCATATAGACACCCTCCAGACGTTCCCGCGTCCAAAAATTGTGGTGCGGTTCGAGGACAACCAAGGAAAAGGTATCGAAATCCAAGGCATGATGTCAGATAACTGGCTGCGAAAAAGAGCAAAAGCCAGGTTCCTAGCGTGAGTAGGGGTAGTATAATACCGCATAACAGCTCTTGTGGCGCTAGGGTGTAGACTTGAGAGATAAACGCTTGCACATGCTGTAAAAAGGTTTGATCGTTTTGATGCGTCTTGTACCACTCTTGTACGCCAGTGTGAAGATATATCAAACCGAATGGTATCCAGAAAGGCGAAAACGGGCCCATCCAAGGCGCGTAATCGAGAAGCCATGATGACAGTACCGGGTAGTCGTGGAGCAAGTGGACTAGCAGCAGCGAGACACTGAAGATGTGAAAGTGGCGCATTGATGGCCCTGGCTCAGGAAAACTATGGTCCAGCAAGCCCTCTTTTGCTAGTTGGTTGGATGTCGCAGTCGAGGTGATTTTAGAGTCTGGCAACAAGACTGAGTCGATGCCAACCACCGCTATGATGAGCGAGAAGACCATGTTCCATGCTGAATACTTTGCAGAAGTCGTATAGATCGTCATGTCGCACCAAGCTATTCCCAAAAGCAGTAGATCCATTCTTTTCCAATTGCGATGTCGAAGCCCATCGAGTGCATACTCAGCGACGATTAGAGCGAGTTGTATCGCACACAAATTAATCGAGACCCTCTTGGAGCGATCAAGTCCCCATAGTCTACCTACTGTGAGGTTTGTGTGAAGTATTGGTAGTGCTGCATTGAGGATGTGTGATTTGAAGGTTTGCTGTCTAGCTTTAGAAGGCTGGGGGTGTGACTTGTCGACAGGCAGAAGACTTTGTGATTTGAGTTCCTTCTGATCCGAGTTTCGCATTCGCATAAAGCGACGGTTGACTGAATCTCCCCAATCGAAACGTACGAAAGCAATGTACGTCAGCGCCACGCTGGCTGGTAGGAGAGGCGCGACATCCAGAAATCCAATAGTTGATAAGGATTGCATTTCTTACACGAAATTTTTTAGGCCGAATTGTAGATGATGATGGTTGGAATGGATGTTTATTGATGGAAAGACACATCCAGAAAGCTCTTGTGTCTTCAGTCGATATAAGTATGATATCGGATGTGCGGCTTTGGGCACTCGATGCTATTCTGGAAGGATTCATGCCAAGCCGATCAGCAATCCGTGGGCCGTCACGGCCGTACTGTAAGCATTATTCCCGAGGGAAAAGTGGACAAGTTCAAAGGCCTGTTAAGCATACGAACGATCGATTATAACGTCCAACTTCTCACAGATGAGACGTCTGCCCCGAAGTGAGTTTCTCACTCAACTCCCACAATCTATTCGCAATATCCAAATCGTGTGTATAAGGTGCAGCATCAGCGATCTGACACTGACTCATGTAAACTCCCTTCTGCGGCTTGCTTAGAGCAGGATCAAGCGCAGCGACCAGAATAGTGGAAGTGCCTTGATCGAGGGTAATCCATTCGCCTTTGACAATGCTGTCCAAGAACTCACGATCTTTCTGATTGAGGGAGCGTGAGAGATCTGTTTGGATGGCTGGGATGGAAAGTTAGCGATGATGTTCGAACAGAATTATCGAGTGTGATTTACCTCCAGGATGGCAAGCGTAGCTACGGATGCCTTTGCTGCCGAATCTGTCGTTCAAAGCCAACGAGAAGAGAATGTTGGCTGATTTGGTTTGACCATATGCTACCCAGACGGAATAATTATGACCATCCTTGAGTCTCGCTTGTTTGTTGGACGGCTGCTCTTCCTCTGGAACTTGCTTTCCTTCAAAGTTGTAGTCGTGAAAGCGAACAGGGCCAATACGATGGCCTTCGGAGGAGACATTAATGATTCTAGTGGCTCCTGCCTTGTTTGACTTGGCCGAAGTCTCAAACAGAGGCATCAAGAGAGTGGTGAACAGGAAATGACCGACATGACCAACGCCGAATTGCATCTCGAGACCTTCCTCCGTACGACGCAGCTCGGAGTCAACTACTGCAGCATTATTGATGAGGATGTCAATTCGGTCAACGAGCTTGGTAACATCCTCAGCACCTTTCCGAGTTGAAGCTTGTGATGCGAGATCCAGAATTACAGTATCGACAGATACATTCGGATATTCCTTCTTCACCTCCGAAGCAACAGTGTCGAGTTTGGATGAGGTGCGAGAAGCGAGAATCATACGTTCAGGGCCATACTTTGCAATGTTCATCACCAGCTGTTGGCCGATAGATTTGGGCGACACTCCAGTGATAAGGACTGTCGCCACGATGAGAGCGTGAGCGAGTTGTGCGCCATAGCGAGATGAACATCGAATGATGAAATGAAAAGCGGCGTACCTATTTTGTCTTTGATGTTGTCAGAGAACTCATTGGCAACTTGACTGCCTGGAGTCTTATTGCCATAATCTTGATGTGTCGTCATTGCAGCGAGATTCGACTGAGGTCCAGGAGTGAGTAGGCCTTGTCAGGTAGTGCGAACGAAGAAGCCAGGAAGTGCGAGGGTGGTTGTAGGAGATTCGGCAGTGTGAGTAAGAGACTTGCCGTGTGCTTTCGTTGTGTTGTGAGATGGAAGATGAGGTTCGAGGTGATGATGCATGAACCCCACTTTGTGATGAGGCGCCCCACATTCACCCCTCAGTCTTGGACAAGTACGACCCTGCTTGTATCAACACCGACACCGAGATGTTTGATCATATGCAGTGATATCTCTAGCCAAAGATGGAGAACAGCGGGGTAGCTGCATGAGATGAATACAATATTGATGGGGTCAAGACTTGAGCTCGGCAGCTGGATTACCGACATGAGCATTGAAGGAACATATATAAGCTCTGCATACCACTCAAACAACTCGGATCTTACTTGTGTCAATTGATGCAATCGATAACACTGACTATGACAAGCACGAATGTCGACAAGGGCTCTCAAGAGCAGGACACACCAACCAAGACCGGCATCAAGGTCGTCATTGTCGGAGCAGGTGAGACAACGTCAATGCAGAAGTCAAGGACGGCGCTTACGGTTGGCAAAGGCTTTGGTGGACTCACAGCAGCCATCGAATGCCACAGACAAGGCCATGATGTTAGCATATACGAATCGTTCAAAGAGCTCAAAGTGCTCGGCGACATCATCTCATTTGGTAGTAATGCCGGGCGCATCTTCCGCAGATGGCACTACAAGTCTGGAGATCGAGTGTCTGATCGGTTGAGACCGCTCTCGATCGATCTCAGTAACCATGGCTTTGACATCTACAAGTGGACAGGTGAGTTCGTCATCAATCAGCCAAGTCCAAAGGCGGACCCAGAAGCGCCAGTCTTCAACGGGCATCGCGGTGAGCTGCATACTGTTGTATTCGAGTATGCAAGGGACGAGCTTGGTATCCCGATACACCTGGGCAAAAGGATCCAAAAGTACTTTGAGGACGAAAAGCAAGCTGGCATCGTCTTGGAGGATGGCGAGAAGGTAAGTGCATTCTGAGAGCCGGTGCCACAGAAGACTGACGAGGAGGTCTAGGTTCACGCGGATGTTGTGATTGGGTCCGACGGTGTCAGGTCAAAGGCGCGAGAGCTCGTACTGGGCTACGACGACCGTCCAAAGGCTAGCGGCTATGCAGTCTTCCGGGCATGGTTTCCCAACACAGACATGATGGCGGACCCGCGGACTCGCAAATTCTGCGAGCATGGCGACACGTTCCAAGGCTGGATCGGACCTGATGTGCACTTCCTCTTCTCGACCATCAAGGGCGGTAAAGACTGCTGCTGGGTCATGACGCATCGCGATGACAAGGACATCGAGGAGAGCTGGTCCCTGCCTGGCAACATGGAAGACGTGTACAAGGTCATTGACGGGTGGGATCCACTGTGCAAGGCGATTGTCGAGAAGACGCCGTCCTGTGGTGCGTATGCTTCAAGTCTCGTCGCGTACTGATGCTGATGTGACTGAACAGTGGACTGGAAGCTGGTGTATCGCGACCCTCTACCTCGGTGGGTGTCGGACAATGGGCGCACGTCTCTGCTCGGAGACTCGGCTCACCCGTTCTTGCCTACGTCGGCCCAAGGCGCGACTCAAGCCATGGAGGATGGAGTGACTCTGGCCTACTGCCTCAGGGTGGCAGGCAAGGCTCAGATCCCAGCAGGGTTGCGCGCCTTCCAGGACATCCGCTACGAGCGTGTCAAGGCGGTGCAGAAGACGGGCGAGACGACCAGAGACATGTGGCACAAGGCCGACTGGGAGCGTGTCAAGGAGGACCCCAAGTCGGTGCAGATGCCGCGTGAGGACTGGATCCACGGTCACGATGCAGAGACGCATGTGTCGCAAGTCTTTCAAGACTCTTTCAACAAGTTTGTTCCGTCTCTTCTAGTATAGCAATCTTGTATGCTCTTCCCAGCTCTTTCTATCCAGACTCGTTGCAGGGCGTAGGACTTGTTGCGTGCGCGTTGAACGACATTGGGAGGCGCTTGTCGGACGGGAGAGGATGGTGAAGTAGAGTCGCCGAGTGTATGCCGTCTTTGTTGAAGTGCCGTCTTGGACTTTCGATCTTGGTGCGCCTTGAGAAGGATGAAGGATGAAGGATGAAGGGTGAAGGATCAAGGTTGAGGGTTTGACGGGCCGAGACTTTGGGCTTGTTTACTTGTTCGGGAAGTTGGGAAGGCGCCAAGCCGCACACCTGCCTCACCCACGCTCACCCCTGTTCTACCTTCCCATCAGTTTCCATCAAAATGGTTATTGGCAGCTCTACTCGCCATCTTGCACACATATTCTGCTCAGTTTCAGTCAAGCGTGCTGTCACTGCCTAATCTCGCATTGCGAAAAGCATACCATTCTGCGACTCCGCACTTCCAAGACCGGTACATTTTCTCCAGAACATAAGTCTTGCTCTCGTCGTCCATCACAGCCGTAATTCGCCCTACCAGTATTGCTGCTATGCTCTACTTGGTCTGCGGCCACGTCCAAAAAGAAGCATCTTGTTGCTCATCTCAATCCTCCAACGGTATGCCGAGACACGAAACTTTATAGCTTCACTGTTCGGCCGTCCGACAATGTGCCGCCATGGCTCAGCCACGCGTCCCCTCCTATTCTGATTCCTCGTTGAAACATCCTCGAAAGATTCAATCCATCCCCGCGCGTTTTCTTTACCTGTCCTTGCGTCGCTCGTATTTCGTCTTCCGTCTACCATCGTAAACACGACCCTCGTAATGCTATCAACACGCAAGCATACCGAAAGATGGCAGCGACTGACCAATGGCTACGGGAAATACTGGTACTTCAAGAGCTTTGTCCGCTGGGTTTCCCTGATCACCGCTGCTGTTAATCTCATCGTCTTCGGCGCAGTATGGCGTGACTATGCACAGTATTACTATGGAGAGAACGCCCAAATCGGGATGTGGGCCTTTGCCATTGCATGTGTGAGTTTTTTATCTGTCGTCTCTCGCGCGCAAGTTCCAACTGACTATTACTCCAGCCTTTGTTCTCAGCCATTGTGCATGCGTTTGCTATCGTCTCGCTTTTCAGGATGCGCAAAAGCTCAAACTTCAATCCCGGCCTTCTTTTAGCTGGCGACATTATGGCTGTCTTGTTCCTGGCCGTCGATCTGGTTTTCACTGGACCTCGTCTGTACTTTGAAACCTCATCTTGGACTCCGGAACGGATCATTTCTATATGCTGGGGCTTAAGCGTGGCTGGTGGTGCACTGCATGTCATTCCCTTCTTCACTGGAATTTGGGAGACTCACGTCTATCGCGGCATGCGAAGAGAGCAGAAAACTGGTGCATCAGGCAAGAATCTGGATCTGGATGATGACGTGCAGGAAAAACATGCCACCCAAACCACTTCCAAGGAGTTAGAAGCGGCGACACCAAGGAACGCGGTAGCACACTCGGATGGTGTGTTCAGGGTAGAATTGCCTGATGGAAGAATCTTTGAGCTGCCAGAAGGATGCAAGGTCGAACTGCCTGCCGACCACCGTGTTGAGTTACCGGAACACCCACGCGGCGTTTTTCTTTGCGAACTCGAGGCGCCCACTTTCAGGACGAAGGCATGAGTCCATGATTCGCCGGCGCTCATTGGTACTGAAGTCAGGCTACGTTTCTACAGCTAGAGACCCAGCTCGCTGCTGGAACCAATTACCCATTCCTTGCCACCGATTGGATCCCTCCGCCACCAAAATGACTGGTGCCAACATACGGCGGCTCTTCATTTGGTTCGTCCAACCCCCATTTGTGGATTCTACTGGTTCCAAGTTGGCCTTGCATCGTCAAATGCTCGTGCAGAGCATACTTCCGTACCGCTTTCAACATGGGCGCTACTTGAACGTATTCGTCTTCCAACGTTATCAAGCCATGTTGTCCATCGACCATTGCATGCTGGATCCGATGATTCCAGGTCACAGGTCTGGGTCCTGGATGCAAGTTTGGATGCGCGGGTAAAGCATGACGAGTCTGGCCCGGAGCCTTTGGTCTGATCCAGGATTTATACTTCCAAACGAGTAGGATCTCGACCCCAGGAGTGTCAGGCACTGGTCTTTGCATGGGGGTCCGTGGTGGAAGCTCGGTCAAGTTCTCATGCTCAAACTGCACTCTGCCGCCGTACTGTGCAAAGTTCGCAGAGATCTGCAGATTCCGAGCCATGTTCTCGCGCTTCGTGATCTTGTTCCCGAACATCAAACTGCAATCTGTCAGTCTCGTGGAGCGTATAGGTATGAAGTTGAAGGATCAAACCTCTCGCATTTTGACAGACTGATATCCTTCAACTTCTCCGTTGCTCTTTCTACAAGATCCTCTTCGTTTTCTTGGTCCTCTCGTGCAACCACATGGACTTCGCTCGACATGGGTGAAGTTGTGATCTCTATCATATTGAGATCAACGAACCCACCGATCTCGGCTCTGAAATCAAAGTCAAGCACGTCTTCCGACGACGACTCCGAGTTGACAATATTATGCCTTCCAGTAATATGGATTCGCGTTGATTTTTGTTCCATCATTGCACGCTCGAAGCTCTCACGGAGATGATCATCGCTCATGGCGTCTGACACTGCTTTGGAGTTCGTATCGATTCGTGAATTATCCACGGCTGAAGCTTTGGGCGTTGTCATGACTGCCAGTTGTGTAAGCCAGAAGAGCAACATGCTTGACTGATGAGAGGAAAAGGAAGAGGGCCGCGCCGAATATCTGAACCGCATCCATCCGGCGTCGAAGGATTCGGGATCGTCAATCCTTACGCACGAAAGGAACGGCATGTGGAGATTTGTGATCAAGATCGCAATGATCTACACCCATATCGATGACTAAAAATGAAAACATCTTATCCTGATTCCGCTGTCTCTCCACATTCATAGCACGACCTCAGGTCCTGGAAGAACTACACGCTCAATCATGTAACCATGACTGAAGCAATAAATACAACTGCCAATGCCGTCTAAAAACTACACAACCCACTAGTAGCACCGTCCTTCTGCCTAGCCTCTGGAAAAGTCATACACTTTCCATCCGGTTTATCGTACTGCGGCGCCACAGAAAAACTCTTGATCGTATACAACGTAGTACCACAAGATCCTCCATCATTACTCTAACATTCAAACCCATACCATGAATACGATCGCACTTCTGCACAATTCTCTCCCGGATACACTGATACAATGCGAGAAGCATCATATCCCGCTTGATATCTCTTGTCATCACCCTGTTCTGGAGAAATCAGGCGGTAGAGGATGGACGAGTAATTCGCAAAAGAATCCTAGAGGTAGGAGTTTTGGATGGTCCAGTGAATTCCAAGGGTTTCCGGGTCGTTGTTTTGTTGCTAGGCGAAAGTGTCTTATGTCATGTTTATGTATCCGGAAGTCGTGGTGTCGCCGAAGTATTCGCGTAGACTAAAGCAGTGGCCGCCGATGGGTTAGGCGTGGGTTGTGGTTATGAAAGCCAGAGATGTGTTAGCGGAAGTGTTGAAATTGCAAGTGTTTTCCTCATCGGGGGAGAAGAATTGAAGGGTCAGATTTGTACTGTTTTAAATCAGTGAAAGTCGCCGCTATATTTAAGAAGGCAAGTACTCTAGCTATGCTTATACTATAAATAGTAATAGTAACATAAATGATAACCAGATTGCTATATCAGGATGATTACGCCATCATGTAAGCAACCAGCCCCGAAACAAACAGACCCCAAGACATCGCCTGCGTGCTTCCTAGCACAGCAGCACTATTACCCTTTCTGTCTCTCGAAAAAATGGAACAGGTATAATCATCGGAAGACCTTCTCGACTCGAATTTGAAACTCTTCATCGCAAACCCAGCTGTTCCACACTCGCCTTGCTCATCCGTAAAGCAAGTAAATCCATGCCACTCCTGACCAGTAGAATTGCTGCATCCTGTTTCTTGACAGAGAGTGATCAATCCATCGGCGGGATTGCCGGAGTCAAAGACGACTTGTCTTTCCTCATGCGGTATGGATTGACGATAGAGTACGGATGAATAGTTGGCAGAAGGGTCGTAGATGTCGCTGTTGAAGAGGGTGTAGTTTATACCTTGTGAGATGGTATGGTTGTAGGTGCTGAAAGGCTGGGACTGATTGACAAAGCCCTCTGTGGTGTTACTGCCGAAGAGATCGCTAATGTCGAAGCAGTGGGCTAGACGCGGATAACTATTTGTGGTGAAGGTGAGGGCGGCGCTGGTGTTTGAGTAGCTGCAGGAGTTCTCATCTTGTGGGTTTTGGAAAAAGCGGAGTGTGAGATTTGCGCTATTGAGATTAGCCAGGAGGAAATGAGTTGTGGTAGACAGATTGTTGCACACTTTGGGTCTGACTGTGCGTTGCAACACGCCATTAGCAATGCCAGAGGCACAATAGATGTTGTCAATGATGGCAGAGTGAGCATTGTGGTTATGTTTGTGAATCCGCCAGATTCTTCAGGTTCTCCAGATTGGAGAGGAGATGACAGTCAGATAGTGCTTCTGTGTGGATTTATGTGTTTTTCTGAGTTGCACTACCTGCCAGGTCAGGTCTTGAACATTCGTCAGCCCAGCATCTCAGATACTACCTACGTCACGCAGGATGTCTGCTTCCAGAAGCAAGACGGACACAAGAATAGATAGAGTATAGTAGTACAGCGCTCTTATGCATGGGCAGAGATAAGATCCTGAGCCAACAGGACGTAGGATTCGCATGGTGCAGATGTATGAGGGGTACATGGCTTGGCTGTCTCTCTTCTGTCTTGAATCAGAGCGAAGGATCCGAACGACAGGCCAAGGGCTTGGTTCAGGAGACAGTGGTCAGCTTGCATAGCAGTATGCACAGTGCAATCCATCGCAATGATGCTGAAGTGCCTTCATGAACGAATGAGGAAGGCCGGCGGCCAAGACGAATGCCGTGGACTGTATCGAGTCATTCTTCCAATGGCATACCTGCGTTCTTACTGGACAGAAGTGGTTAGTTGACTCCAGGCCCTGTCCGACGAGCGACAACATCTTTGACGAATATGTCTGCCACGGACAAGTACGGAGTCCGGCTGAATTTCACTGGACGCTCGCGGCAGACGGACTCAACTGCCGACAGCACAATTGATGGTCCACATACAGACGGGAATGGTATTCGAGGAGTCGATGTGCACGAGTATCACCTCATGACTCGGTGTCTTGTTCTCACACCTCGAAATGGAAAGTGCAAAAGGAGGAGATGGAAAGTGGAAGAGGATCAGCAATTTTCGCAAGATGATCAGCGACCCGCCAAGATTTGAAAGTGTACGTGCAGAATCCTTTCGGAAGCTCCTTCTCCGTGCGACTCAGCAGAAGTTTCTACGTTGTATCCTTTGCGACAGACTGGAGCAATAGAACAATCATGCGTTTGAGAACTGATGCTCTTCAACAATGCTGTTCACGAGGCCTGATATCTGACTATAACATGTCGAAGGCTGAAAGGCGCGAAACGAGGTTCATGCCTACATGGAACCTGGGGCCCCTCGAATGGCGACTTTGTTCAGATCAGCAATCTGCTGAGGCTCAATGGTTCTGACTAGTTCAGTCTGATACTGTAGACGGTAGGTCTGATTCGGTCTTCGAGCGACAAAACTTCTGTCTCAAGTCAGCTTTCTGGTCAACGACATCCGAGCTTTGCAAGTGGACGAACTCCACTCGGGATTGGAAGTATGGTACCGATATCTTTCGCTGACGCCACTCAATACCGTTCTTCTTCTGGAGCTGTCAAACGGAATTCGCAGCCTGTTCTCGGTCTAGCATGAGACCTCTCACGACTCCTGTCTTCTCCATTACTCGTGTTGCAGGACCTCTCATCTTCATATCCTTTCACTTTTCCCGTCTCGATGGGACCAGCTCAAATTTCTTGTCTTGGAACTTCACGACTGTACCGTCTGACAGCTTGGGTGTTCTTCTACATTGAGTCTTGATTCAGCCTCCTCGGTGGCCCCCCAACTCGCGCTCTGCATCGCCATGGTCGCTTCAGATGCACCGCCCACGCTGTACGGACTCGGAACCATTCCCAAAGAGCTTTACGGTGTTTCAATCTCTCTTCTGGTTATCACATGGTCTGCCGCCCTATCAAGAGCATATGTTCGTGGCTATGTGCTACGGTCAGTTGGCTGGGATGACTGGACTCTGATACCTGCTCAACTCTGTTATACCGTCCAATGTGCATACATGATTCGCATGGCACAAATGGAGATGAATCCAGACAAGAACAGTGATATTCGAAGCATATCACAACTAGTCACTGTATGTGCAGTTCGCATCACGGAGTCAACTGAAACATGATTTGCTGACCACATGTCCCTATAGAACTTGGTCGCCTTCGCTGGCATCTACGCTTTGACCTGTATTCTTCTCAAAATATCGCTCGGCCTCTTCTTCCTACGAATCATCACAGAAGGATGGCAACGCAACGTTATCCATGTTGGCATACTAATCAACACGCTCTACGGCATCACATACTTTGGCCTATGCACTTTCGGCTGCGGCGATCCTGCGAAATACCTTTTGCGTATCACTCTCAAGCAATGCATTTCTATTGATCGTGTCATCATTCCTGCTTCGTATGTCTTCACCGGATTCAATGCCGTCATGGACTGGATCATGGCACTCCTTCCAATCACGACCATTTGGCACCTTAACATGCCGAAGATGACAAAATTCTGGGCATACTCTCTAATGGTGCTTGGGGGGACCGGCAGTATCGTCTCGCTCATTCGCTTTGCTTTTGTGAAGAGCTTGGAACCCGACGTCAACTTCTTCAAGAACACTGGCAAGCTTGCCTTCTACTCTCATATCGAACCCGGACTCGGGATCGCAGCTGTCTGCCTTGCCACTCTCAGACCGCTTTTTAGACAGTGTCTCGATGGCGCCAAATCCATGTCAAGCACACAAAGAAGTCACGGTCCCAGTGGCGCAAAGAGAACGAGTGTTGCAGGCGGCTCTGAATTGCAAGTGACCAGCATGAGAAAGAGTCGTCGGGTGCGAGATGGGTTTGTCACATTCGAAGATGACAGCGACGGAATGCAGACGCAATGGTCCAATGAAAATGAGATTGGCGTCAAGACTGAATTTACAGTCGAGACTCGTCCAACGAGTTCTGATGTAGAGCAGGGACAAGAGATGTTCCCTCATTAGCTTTCGTCCACCAACCCCTCGAACTGCAACAAGGAACCACTCTGCCGCTCAGGAATAGCGACGTCCTTTGACAGTCCGCATCTGTGTGGCCTTTTTTCTCTCAACTTTGTCTCATGATTCTTTTTCATCAGGAACCAGCTCAACCACACCATAGACACAATGAAAACACAGACCGTAGGCGTTTAGGACAAGTCAAGAGTCGAGACACTCGCACAACCAACTCATCCAGCACCGTCCTCAAGACTAGTCCATCCTCGATATCTCATCACAGCCAAAGCCTAGCCTGACGGGCCTTTTCGAATGTAATCAAGTGTTAGAAGGGCATGATTGTGACGTGTCTTCAGAGCCCGCGACTCAAAAATACCCATAGGATCATAGATCATTGCATCAATAAACCAGGGCTGCTAAGCTCCACTACAGCATGTTCGCAAAACGCAACACCGCGGCGCGGAGCACTAAGCTGGCCGCCATGTTTACGACTGACTCGATATCTGGTATGTGTCTCGGTAACGTTGCCTAGCTGTCGTGGATCGAGTAAGTAGGGCAACGGAAGCTAGAAACTCGGCCGAACCGACCCGTGAGACGGGAGCCCCCTTTCGCGCCGCGACCCTTATTACTATTTCCACCCTCATGTGAGATGTCTCGACCTTTGGACTACAGAGGGTCGATGTCAACAGTCACTTGTTCCTTGGCTTCATGAAACACCGAGTACTGGATGCATGAATTGAGCAGATTTAATTTGAATACCTCCATGGTGCCGACTTGGGAATGATCGTTGATTGCTAAACCAGATCACGACTATCTGGACTTGTCGTTGGTAGTCTACATATGGCACCACATCCTGCCACTACTTATTGGCCGATGGGTTACACTCAGATCCCTTCTCCAATCAAGACGACTCGTCAAGCAGCTCCTGGATGTACTCATCCATCGAAGTGCCCTTCAGGTCAGGGTAAAGGTTTTTACCCAGCATATAGCCAAGGTACTCCGCATTGTGAATGTTATTGTCGCCTCGGACACCCCAGGAGTACTGGTACTCGTATACTGCCTTTTGAAGGAAGTTGTCGTCGCGGATGCCCACATCCTTAAGCTGAGCCAGATTTGCGAGTAGCTCATCTCCAGATATCTGTAATGCCGCAAAGTCAGTCCCAATGTGTGTCTGATTGCCACAAGTAGACATCGACTCACATGGTTTCTAGGAAGCGTCTCGCCGCTGAGTTTCTCGAGCTGATCATAAACTTGATTCATTGTCAACATCTCGGAGTAGATGAACACAAATTTGTTCAATGTGCGAGGGTCCAGTGTCGCACGAACGACATATCTGCCCACGTCGCGGTTGTGTGTAAATGCTGAGAGCACATTTCCATCGCCAGGGATACGTTCGGCAAGACCACTGGCGGCTTTATCGATGCGGCCGGAAGGAAGTTTGGGTAGGGTCAATTGGTACCACCAACCTACATCGATGATGGTGTAGGGGAGCTGTAGTCTGCGAATGTGGTTGAGGACGTCTTCTTTCTGCGCATGGAGTCAGCGTACAATCGTGATGCAAAAGTCTTTTGTGACTACTTACGGTATCTCTGAGGGTGGAAAGTCCCTTGGGAGGGGCGACAGGAGCGAACATGGTTGGTATGAAACGCTTGACTCCAGCTTTCTTTGCAGCAGTTGCGAGTGGAATCTGGTCGATAGTCGCAGCAATGGGCAGGATGGCGATGAGGACTTCTTGGCCTTCAAGAGCTTTTGTCATGTCTTCAATGGAGCCTTGCAGATCGATTAATTGGATTGCGACACCTCTGGCTTTGAGGTCCTGGACCTCTGGCTTATCGGCGGACGAGGCTCTCACAAGAGCGGTGACATACTATAGTCATTCAAGGTCAGTGATGGGTCTTGTGTGCTTGCATTGACGAGCTTGCAACTCACGACTGCATGCTCAGAAGCTAGGAGCTCGTCGACAATGTATCTGCCAGTTGTCCCGGTTGCACCCAAGATTGCGATGTTCATATTGATCATGGTCGTGAAAAGTGATCTTGTAAAGCTTAGAATGTGAATGAGGATTTTCGTGACTCGAGAGAAGTTCAAATGATATATGCACTGCACACAGTGGAAATGTAACGCAGCGGGGTCCTGATCAGTAGACCGTGAATGCAGTATAGCCGTGTAGTAAGTACTGTATGACAAGCTTTCAAGAAAGTCAACGGGCCGTTTGTGACTTTCGAAGTCTAGAAACAACCACGAAGTTCGTTCCTGATCGACGTACGTATTGCGTGTTATGTTTTGCGTATTGCGTATACAGACTTTCGCCGCTCAGATCAAGATTCCGAGACGAAGAAGGGCTTGGTCCAGCGACGCTCATGATGTAGGAAAAGTCGCCGAACAGATCAAACCCCCGAGAAGAACCCCGAGGTGAGTCTGAGCAAACATCAGCTATTGTCAGCAAGAGATTGTGTCGTCACATCAAGTCCTCAGTATATAGGTCAGAGATTTGGACTGTGTTGTTCCCATCAACCAAAATCAAACATCTCGTCACTGGAATACCATCGAAAGGCTCAAAACAACCTGCACCATGATCTACAACGGAAGCTGTCACTGCGGAACAGTCAAGATCCAGCTTGAGGGTTATTCGCCCTTTTCCTCTCCTCTCCATGAACTTTTCGAAGCTGACACCTGAATAGCCGAGTCTGTAACCAAGGCTATCTGCCACTGCTTGGATTGTCAGAAGGTCTGTCGACCTTTGTTTGCTTTTGTCATCATTCATCGCCAACTAAGTTCTAACGTAAATCAGCGAACTGCCAGTGCTTTCTCTGTCAACGTCATTGCTCCTAGAGAACACTTCAAGGTCACTCAGGGCAAGTTCCAGTCTCATCATCTTCCCTCAATCTTTCGACTGACAGTTTCATTCTCCCAGGCAAGACCAAGACCTGGTCTTACACCTCGGACTCAGGCAAGGATTACATTGTCAACTTCTGCGGTGACTGCGGAAGTACTCTCTTCGGCGAGCCTACTAGACTTCCTGATGTCGTGTCCATCAAGGCTGGCTGCTTGGACAACAGTGGAACAAACCTTGGCTCCATGGACGCCGAAGTGTTTGTTGAGCGTCGCGTGGATTACCTCAAGCCATTCGAGGGCATGAAGCAGATTGTTGGTATGATCTGAACGTTTGGTCTTTCTCTGTGAACGTATTTTGGGGGCTTTGTTAGACAAAAATCTTGTGAATAGTTTCTAGTTTAGTACCATAAAGGAATGTCTTGGTTATATGGTTCATGTTCTGCGGATCGTAAGACATTGATCGCAACAAGAATTTGTTCACGCCTTCAAAACAGCACGTCTGAGCATCTGCAAACCCCTCGGCAGTCCCCGCCATACACTTCCACTTGTTGACTTGATTTGAAGCGCGCGCGGCCACCTTCTTGTTGTGCTTGTGTGCATAGTGCGAATCTGTCGATTTCCACGTCTCAAATCTATTGTCTTTGTCAGCTCTTTCGCTCAATAACCTGCGGATATCGGTTCACATACCTGGACTTGTCGAACGTTTCTGCAGCAGCACATGCGCTTTGCTTAGATTATCTTTCAACTGCGCCTTTGCCCATCCTGGCTTATTTTTTGCATCGCCTGCATCAACAGGATCTATACTGGCCATAGCCCGCACTTGACCTCGCTGCCACTCAGCTGTGTGTTCTAAAGCAGCCATGATGAGCTTATACAGTTGGCCTGGACCCATACCCATGTCCACGAAAACAAGATCCTGCTCTGGTTGCTCGGATATGTGCTTTTCAAAGATCTTCTGAACGCAGTCTCTGTAACGGAGTGGTCGGCGCAATACGGTGGCGTAATGGTTTGCGTTTAGTGGCGAGCCGGTAGGTAATTGAATTCCCAAGGACGACCAGTGGTCAATGCCAGGTAGGACTTTACAATCTTTCGAATCTTTCTCCGGGAAGATATCAGGACTGGAGCGAACATGATCCGCAAGAGCTTGAACGTGTCCAGAATGCTTCATGCGCATCGATCAGTTTGTGACATCCTAACAAACGTTACTTCAAACAAAACTTACCATTCCAATGTCCAGTTTCACACGCTTGAAATCAACGTCAGTATTAGAGAGCTTCTCCAAGGCAATGTCCAGCTGAGCCGCATCGCCCGCAACACAAGTGGTAACCGGGCTAGAAAATCCTGCAATGTCCACTGTCCCCAGTAGACCTTCTTTTGCCAGAACCTGCTTGATGGAGTCGCCATCTGTGAAGACTAATGCGAGACCACCTTTGTTAGGAAACAGGGAACGATCTTCCAGCAGCCCTTCCCGTCTTGCGAGTAGTTTGACCATAGCGGGCAGGGTATAAGATCCTGTGAAAGTGCCCGCTGCAATCTCTCCCAGTGAGTATGCCATGACACTTTTCGGAGAGATACCCCACGACTGTAATAGCTTTCCGAGTGCATATTGGGCTGACACAATGACCAGAGTAGCCGAAGGGGGTAAAGAGTGCTGAGCGGCGCTTAGAGGTCGATCGAAAGATGCAGCATACGGTGGTCGAATTTCGTCTTCCTCGAAGTAGTCAGTCAATGGTACATGAGCCTGTCCAGGAATGGATCCGTCGTGTGACAAGCCATTGATTGCCTCTTGCACATCGGTGATTGCTTGTCGGAATGTTGAAGAAACTCGGTACAGATCGCGGGCGGCTTCTACTGGAGGAAATCCTTGACCAGCGAACGAGAAGACAACGTGTTGCGACGGCATATTGAAAGGGAAGAAGAGTCTCACACACAGGGTGAACGGCTGTTTCGAACGAAGCGCATCCCTGCGTTCTTTATCAATGTCTGTCGTGATGATGCAAGCTACTTTCTGCTTTGGGAAAAAGCACCTGATCGTCAACTATGGTCGTAAGCATCGTCTGTAGGGCTACATCTATATCGGATTGTCGCAGATTGCATGCCAATGACCCATCCTGTCAGCTCACTCAAGTGCACTCCTACAGAAATTGTGTGATGCTGAGTTTCAAGAGTTCCTCAGGGAAGGTTACCAGCAGAGATTTCACAACAAACCAGTCTCGAAATTCCAATATATTTTGTTACGACTGATATTGAGTCGGTGGAAAGGCTATTTCTGTTGTGGTGAGTAGCCCGCCGTTACTTAGCATTACTAACCATTCTAGGAAAGTGCATCATCGAGAATGCAGACGTCATAGGGTCTATTCTCCACTGTAGCAGCTTCAACATTTCAAAATGACGCATAAAGATCAAGCCTGATATCTACTTCAGTTGCGATTCGGATTCTCTCAAGCGTCAGAGCTGTTGTGTCTTGACCTTTCCAGACAAAGTAAGAGACATCCTTGCGGTTACCCTCGAGTTTCCCCAATGTCTACAGCGACTGGACTTCTACTTAGCAGTGTTCATCCTCGTGCTTAGGTATACAAGTGCGGCTACTGATCATTGTTCCACTGACAGGTTGACGTCATTGTCCTTAAGCAGAACCGCGCATAGTGCTGTTTACTAGAGGCATGTCGCTCAGCAGCAACTCCATGTTCGTACGAATCAAGTCTTCGGCACCTTGTGGTCGCCCACCAGCTGCGTGGGGGTTGATGATAAAGTTCGGCGCCAATCACAAATCTGAGTCTGAGTCGAGAGGCTCTTGTGGATGTACAACCAAAGCACCGCCTCCTATCTTCCCATTTTTGGAGGTAGCAAGAAATGCATCATGGTCAATCGTCGATGCTCGACCTACATTGACCTCCCAAGCACAGTCGAAAGTCTGCAGTACATCAATTATCAGTCGACAGACTGGACTATTGACTATCTTTACTTTGCGGCTTCTCTTTGAATTAAGATGTTCTCGGCCAATGCTTGCAAATTTTCGGCTTGCAAGATGGCACTCAACGCCAGCTCGACGCTCGTCTCCCTTCGAATCCAGTTGCGCAATTCGACAGAAACGAGTGAGTCAAGACTGTAGGAAGCAAGGGGCACGTCTCCTCTTACGTCCTCGCGCTCGATCATGGTCATGGCGGATACCTTCGAAATAAGCGCCTCGAGCAATCCAGTAAGCGGATCTTCCGCCGCTGTCCACGACGCCGTAGACAATCCCGTGTCTCCCTCAACCCCGGCCTTCTTTCTTCTGCTCGCCTCGGCGATAAGTCTCTCCTTGGTGTGGACAGGGTGGAAGTATTTCCAGGGCCCGTTCTGTACAGCTTGTCCGTCCAGATACATCTTGAAGGCAGCGATTTTACCATCATGGTGGAACGGCGAGCTCTTTCCAAAGATTGCACCCTTCACGGCAGCCCGGATATCAGCCATGGTCAAAGTAGCACCAAGGGTCTGCTTGAGAGACTCGCTCAAGTCGTTCTGCGCCACGTACCCGACGTCGAGAACAACGGGCAGAGCAATCGATACAGTGTGTTGGCCACGAGCATTGCGGTACTGAGTGAAGCCGTCATAGAATGCCTTAGAGGATGTCAGCTACAAGTTGCAGAACTACTAATCGATCACTTACCGCCGTGCCTGCGTATATGGCTTGTCCAACGTTGCCAGTATCTCCCAGGAAGGACGAAAGATTGATGAAGAAGTCGAGGCCTTCTGGGAAACAATGGTCCAAGTTCCATGCTCCTCGCACTCGAGGACCTGTGATGATCTGCCAATCTTCATAGGTGGCCAACTCAAAGAGTTTGTCCTGGGAGGAATGTTAGTGATTATGAAGAGCATGACATTTGTGGTGACATACACTCAACAAAAGAGCGCTGTGAATAACGCCCCTGACGGGAGGAAGATCCTTGCCGATGACGTCCACAATATCTTGCAACTGCTCTGGAGAGCCGACATCACAAGCGAAAGCTTCGACATGAACGTCGGTATGCGCATACTTCTGCAAGAGTTTCTGAACTTCTTGACTAGACCCACCGCTGCGACCTAGCAGAACGATATTACGAGCTCCGAGATCGATCATGAGCTGCGCAAGATCAAGTCCAATACCTCTAGTGCCACCGGTGATCAGGTAAGTCGCGTCGGTTCTCATCAAGACAGGCGTGGGCTGCAAGTCACTTTCTGCGATAACCTCATCGTGAGTACCAAAGGTAAAGATGATCTTGCCCATGCTTTCCCCCGACTTGATCTTGCGCAGTCCGGATGAGAAATCGGAGATGGGCAGAACAGTAACCGACTTGGTCGGTACAGCGACATTGCCTCGAATCAACCTGGAGACTTCTGCAAATATGTCCTTGACCTCCTCTGGGCGTTGTGTGTAAAGATCTCGAATATCGATGCTGCTGAAAGCCACGTTACTGTCGAACGGTTTCATGGATAACAAATGGCTCTGAAACGCATTCTTTTTGCCAATCTCGATGAAGCGGCCGCCCTTGGCAGTCAACGACCAAGTCTCTGTCATCAGCTCCCCGCTTAGGGAGTTGACAACAACGTCGATGCCTTTACCGTTCGTGGCGCACAGGATGCTGTCTCTGAATTGAGCATTGCGGCTGGAGAAGATCTGCTCATGGGGAATACCAAACGTCTTGTGCAGGAACTCTCTCTTGGTTTCGTTACCAGCCGTTACGAACACTCGAGCGCCAAAGTGCTGCGCCAAGACGATGCAAGCCTGACCGACCGCACCGGTTGCTGCATGTACAAGCACAGTCTCACCTCTTCTAAGTCTTGCGGTAATTTGTAGTGCCATTACCGCAATCGTGTAGGCCATCGGAAGACTTGCAGCCTCATTCGTCTCCAGAGTCGATGGGACTTTGCATGCAAGCGAGGTTGGCAACTTCTTGTAAGTCGAGAAAGCGCTTCCCTCAGCTGAGAGGAAAGCAACGCTATCACCTTGCTGCAAGCCCTCGACTTCACTGCCCACTGCGACGACCTTGCCAACTCCGTCAAAGCCAGGGGTCGACCAAGGGATTGTACCGAGGATCAGATCAAGATCTCTGGAGCTGAGGCCAGCCGCCTCGACCTTGATTAAGATCTCGTCAGTCTTTACAGCTTGCTGCAAGACATCAATCCTGCGAAAGAAGATGGAGTCCGGACTGCCAGCTGTATCGATGGTCATCTCGAGAGCTCGCTCTCCCTCCCAGAGGTTGAGTTGCTTGCGGAAAGCAATTCCGCGCTCGATGGCGAATTGTTCTTTGACCTCTTTCAACTGTCTCATACGAGGGAAATGGATTGAGCCTTTGTGCCATACAAAGTCCTGGTCCTGAGTGCGTGTGACTTCGGGATCGCGAAGCGTTTGGGTAAGCTTGGCGATTCCAGCGAGTCCTTCTTGGGTGCGTGGGGCACCTTCAATGATCAGGAGGTTCTTTGGATCGGTCTCAAGACGCAGGGTGCGGAGTATGCCCTTGATGGATTTGGCATCAGGAGATGCATCTTCTGGCATGACCCATAACAGTCCGGAGTTGTGCAAAAGCAGGCTCTGATGCAATTCAAACTTCTCTGCGGACATGTTTTGAACCAGGCTGTCCTTGGCAGAGTCTAAGAAGATGTAGTATGGGTCTTCAGTGGTATCAATCTCGGCGATAGGCCTGATGTCAACAGGAAGGCCAAGCTTTCCAGAGATAGTGTCAGCCACAGACTGCGCATACTCCACCTCATCATCTTCCATGAAGGCCCCGGAAACAATCATGGAGCGATCCACGTCTTTGCCGACCCTGGTAGAACACATAATGCCCATCATCTGTTCAATCCCAGGACGGTCCGAGATGCTGATGTCAACACCAGAGAAGCCTGCGTCCTTCAATAGACGGTCCCAGACAGGGACTGGCAACATCGGCCCCTCTTCGCGATCGCGATAGTCATCCTCGGCATACCACCACCCGGGAAGAAGTGAGAATGGTAGGACCGAAGTGGGATGCTGATTCGCCTCCAGAAGGAACAGCTTTCCTCGAGGCTTGAGAAGGGTCCGTACATTCGTCATGGTTGTCATCATGTTGGAAGTGGCATGCAAGACGTTTGCAGCAACCACGATGTCGAATTCCCCAGGCGCAAAGCCTTGTGCCAAGGGATCTTGACCGATATCGAGCTTCTTGTATGTGATGCGGTCAGACCACTTCGCCAACTTGACACGAGCGTTCTCGAAGAAACCCGAAGAGATGTCGGTAAAGGTATAACTGAGCAGCGCAGCTTCGTCTCTTCCCCTTGTCAAGGCTTCGAGTATAGGCAGTGTCGTACCACCGGTTCCGGCTCCGATCTCTAGAATTTGTAGATTGGGTTCCAGATCACTAAGGTTGTCGGCCAGATCGCCCAGAATCTTACTGAGGTGGCCATTGGTGACATCTGCCTCGTAATGTCGAGTGAGGCGGTTGTCGATGAGCATGAGCTCGAGCGTCTCCAATTCGCCACGCAGAATGCGGACGAGCTCATCGCCAACAATGCAAAGCAACTCGCCTTGAGCATCTTTGCTCCTGACATCGTCAAGCAAAGCTGTCGGTTCCGTGTCGAAGGTTACACCGTATTTCTTCACTGCTCTGATGGCCCAATTCACAAAGCGGGAGAGGTGGTAGGGCAATCGCGTGCGGTCGCCGTTAGTCGTCTCTCTCAGCGCGCGATCGATGTAATAAGCAGCAGCTCTCTCTAGGTTATGCGCACGCTGGAGTTCGGTGCTAGGTAGAATGCCTACTGAAAGTCTCTTCTTCAACTCATCCAAGGGGAGCATATCAAACTTGGGTAGTAAGTCCCAAGCCCAATGATCGGGGACACTGGATGCTGGGTCGATCTCTTCTTCGGCCGAACCAATCGAGCGGAAGGCCACAGATTCCCATTCAGCGACAGGGATTGGCAGGCTATCGTCATCGTCACCTCGGTAAAAGGCAGCGACGCTGATCTGCATACGGCCACCCTTGGTATCGTAGTGTAGCAGACTAGTGACGATATCAAATCTGCCTTTGGGTGTGGCTGGTATCTTGTTGGAGATGCGGAAGCGGCTGATGTAGTTCGGCATTTGAGCAGGTTTTCTGCCGTCTTCAGTCTTCTGGAGCGGCCCACCACCTTGAAGGAAACCATCGAGGGTAGGTGGATCGACCGTAACATGAGAGCCATAACGCCCTGCGTTGTGCAAGTCCGTGCCCATATCTCGCAAGCGATGCTCGAGGACAGTGAAGTTGTCGCCTTCCCAGAACCCAACAGTGTTCTGGAACGTGGGACCGTAACGTGTGGCTCTGACACCGGCATGCTCGTATGCATACGCGATGTCGTGCTCAATCATCGTTGAGGTCTTGTCAATGAGGGGCAATGTAGCTTTGAGCGTCGGTGTCTCGGAGCTCATGTCTTGAATCTCTGGCTCGACTTGACCATAGGCATGAATGGTCCATCCGTTAGCAGGCGTCCAAGTGGATATCTCGAAAGACCAAGCCGTGGCAGAGAAGGAACCTGTTCCGGTCGCAGCGGGCTTGATCTTGGTGACCATATCGACTGACTCTTCTTCCTTGATCTCCATGCTTCTCACAACGTGGAAGTCTTTGACCAGGAACGCGGCCGCAGGGGTGCTTACTGTCCTTCTTGCGGCTTCAATGGCACAAGACATGTAGCCAGTCATCGGGAAGATTACTGCACCCGCCACATTGTGATCACGAATCCAAGGCATCTCGTCGAGAGTGAAAACCTGTCTGTAGGCGCGATCCTTGCCTCCATCCGAGACAACTCTCCTTCCAATGAGTGGATGATAGGGCTCACCGGGGAACAACTTCTCCGCGGTCGCACGAGGTCTGATCTCGTAGCTTGTTGACTTGTCCCAGGAATACTTTGGGACGTCAGTGACAACACTAGCGTTGTGCTTGTGAGTCCTGTTGACCTCTCCAAGGTCAACGGAATTTCCCAAAGTGTATAGAGAACCAGCAAGACTCAGCATTGCTTCGACGTCTTCGGATCCGCGCACCAACGATGGGATGTAGTTGAGAGATGGGGCCTGAGCCTGCTTAGTCGACATAGCTTCCGCGGTCTGTTTGATTGGGCCCTTCAAAGCAGCATGAGGTCCAACTTCCACGATGATGTTCGGAGCACGGCCGGTATGCCCAGGCGCGGTCAAAACGGTCTTCATCGCATCTGCGAAAAGTACCGGCTGAACGAGATTTTGAACCCAGTAAGAGGCATCGATTGTGGTAGCATCGTGTACAGTACCTGTGACCGAAGACACGAAGATAGGTGAGGCGCCGCCTGCCTCAATGGAATCAGTGACGGGGTTCCTGCAGAAAGGCGTAATGGCGTCGAGGTAAAAGTCGGCGACACCCTGCATATGCTGCGAATGATATGCCAAACTAACTTTCAGCTTACGACTGAACAAGCCCTCTGCCTCGGCAGCCGCATGGATGTCCTCAATGGCCGACTCGTCGCCAGAGATGGTCACACTTTGCGGGCTGTTGATGGCTGCAACAGTTGCGTAGCCTTTGGCATGTCGTTTGATGAGGTGAGATGCTTGTTCGAGGCCTGCACCGACAGCCAGCATAGCACCTTTCGAAGCCTGCTGCTGGACCTGTTGTTCAATTAGGCGGGCTGCTGCCTGGCCGCGAAAGAATGCAAGGGCGATCGCAGTCTCAAAGGACAAAAGGCCAGCGGTATAGGCCGCGGCGATCTCTCCGCTAGAGTGACCGGCCACTGTGTTCGGGGCGATGTTCCAGGCTTTGAGCAGCTTGACCAATGCCAGTTGTATGGCAGTGCAGGCAGGCTGACTGATCTCGGCTTCGTTGATGCGAGAATCTGAACTTGACTTGGCAAGCTCTTCTTTGAGAGACCAAGAAGCACCTAGACTCTCGAGGATGCTCTCGCCTTTATCGATAGCTGCCGCAAACACCGGGTAATTCTGTAGCCTAGAGACCATTTGAGCGTATCTGTGGGAAAAGTTATGTCAGAACTCAGAAGCAGAATCGGCGATCTTCGTTTCGATCAACTCACTGTGCACCTTGTCCAGTGAAAGCGAAGGCGATTAGTGGATCCTTGTTTCGGACTGCCTTGGAAGTCGATGTCTGATCCTGCAACCCAGCTATGGAATCAGAAACTATGGCGACACGGTGAGGGTGATGCGTTCGGCGTTGACCAAGCGTGTAAGCAAGATCTTTCAGCAATTTTGGCGAGTCTGGAGCTTCGCTGAGATAGTCTCCGAACGAAGCCAAGTAGTCCTGCAAGCTTTTCGCAGTGCGAGCAGAGAAAACCAAGAGTTTCTTAGTCTCCAGAGAGGCGGCATGTCCATTGACACCATTCTCAACGAGGTTTGGTGGAGCTCGCTCGAGAATCACTGCGGCGTTGCTGCCTCCAAATCCTGCGATCATGTTTCAGTATCTTGAGCCACGAGGACGAGACATATGCGTACCAAAGTTTGTAACGATGGCTCTTCTAGCTTCTCCAGTTGGCCATGGGACAGGTACGTCGGCAACTCTGATCTTTTCCTTATCCACGATCCGAGGATTGATCTTTTCGAAACCAGCGGTAGGAAGAATTATCTCATTCTCTAGCATCAGGATGGCTTTCACCATTCCAAGGATCCCGCTAGCTCCCTCAAGATGGCTATATTATGGTCAACAACAGCTGGGAAGATACTCTTGGAACGCATGAGTGACTGACCCAAAGTTAGACTTGATCGAACCAATGTAAAGCGGGTTAGATGCACCCCTGTCTTTAGCCAAAACAGCTGTAAAGGCGCTGGCTTCGATAGGATCGCTGTTGCTGTCAGCGCAGTTACTGAGCACGTCTTGTTGGATTTCTTACCCAGCAGCTGTGCCAGTACCGTGGCCCTAGAGACAAGGTTAGCGAATCCATACACGATGCCACGTTTGGCTGGCGTCACCTCAACAACAGGAGTCTCGGCAGGATCCAGGCCAACAGACTGATGAACTTGTCGCAAAAGTCTCTTCTGAGCTTCAACATTGGGCAGAGTGATGCCATCTGATCGACCACCATGGTTACAGGCGGAATTACGGATGATTGCATGAATGGGATCACCATCCCTGATCGCATCCTCGACACGTTTGATCAAGAGGCATGCAGCGCCCTCACCACGACCAAAGCCTGATGCTTTGGAGTCGTATGAGAAACTTCTGCCGTGTTCCGAGAGTGCACTGAGAGACGAGTCAGCAACTTCCGACAACTAGATTGGCTGCGACAAACCCAGTCTTTTCGAGTGCGAGCCATCCACCTGGACCCAAACTCAAAGCGGCAGATCCGACAAATGCCGAGGTGCACTCGCCGTTGCGCAGGGCGGAAACAGCCTGGTGTGCTGCGTAGACACTGCTTGCACAGGCCGCATCCAAGGTGATGCTTGGTCCGTCGATGTCCAGAAAATACGAGACTCGATTGGCAGCCATGCAAGGAGCCACACCTGTAGCTGAAAAGGTTTTGGCAGAGAATTGGTCATCACCAAGACGTTGAGAGTACTCATGTTGACCGCTTCCGATAAAGACACCAATCTTCTGACCAGCAAGATCAAGAAGAGACTTGCCCGCATCTTCAGCAGCCTCTAAAACACACTCAAGCATCATGCGGTGTTGAGGATCCGAGTTTTGTGCTTCCTCGGCGCGCATGTTGAAGAAGCCTGCATCGAATGCATAGATGTCGTCCGGTACGAAGTGGGCGCCTTCTGCACGGAACACGCCAGACTTGTCAGCTCCAGGCTTGTAATAAGCAGACTTTTCGAAACGATCAGAAGGTATGTCGGTCCAAGCAGATCGAGCCTGCGCCAAGTAGTCCCATATTCCAGTCCTGCCAATGCCAGGAGCACGGTAGGACAGGCCGATCACTGCAATCGGGGTATCGTCAGGCATGTTTCAGGTATTTACAGGTTTCTGTGATGATTTGTATGATGTAAAAGCTTGATGAGGATGAGAATCAAGTGTCAACAGCGAGATGTCGGGAAGTTATACCTCTCACTTTAATGACGCAGAGCATGTGGCTTCTGTTATCTTCGAGGATCGAATACCCTCTGATAGCAAGAACCATCACAAAATCCTTTGAGATGCTCCCAAGCATCGCTTACCTCCTGATCCTTGTCGAAGACCTCACCAACATTCGAAGGATTATGCATCACCTCATGCGAGTCTCGTCACCCCCGCTGCAGGCTTTAAAAACAATCCTTTCAACAAGGAGTGATGTATAATTGATATGATATCACTTACTAAACTAGGATGTGGAGATCTTGCCTGTGAATGGAGCTCATAGACGAGGTGGACGGGAAAAGGTCACCCCATCGGTGGTCATTCGTACTGAGCCAGACTTTTGGAAGTCAGTGTTCGCTCGTTCTTCTTGCCGAGCTGAAGTTGTGATCTGAGCGTGCTACCGCAAAGGGAATATTGATCGGCGAAGTGATGGATGTTCGTACGGTTACAACACTCGATCACTCCAAGAAAACATGATCTTCCATCAATAGCGATTGGCCTGACGTTGTTTCCGGCGCGTTGAGTGTGCAGCTGGTCAACCAGTTGTGCATATCTCCTCCTTCCAGAGCGAGATTTGCGAGCGGTAAGTGGTTGTCACAAAAAGTCGTCTTTGACAAGGCACCGTGATCTTGCGGCTCCCATGTGGCTCACTTCTGCTTGCAGCGAGCGTCTCGATACTCAATCTTGTGTCACCGTCTCGGGCCCCAGGAGATGGATTGAAGTTTCAAGATGCATTCCCTATCGCAGTACTTCTTACACCTGGCTGAGGGACAGAAGTTGAAAGTCATCTCGGCCTAGTTGCCGAAATGTGGATCTGACTCGCTGTTGCGGCTGCTGGCGTGCGGGCGGCTTGCATATTCAATCCGATTGGCGTTCGGCATTTGTGGTCATTTCTCAAGCCAAACAAAGAGTGGAGAGTCCAATGCATGGCCAAGCCAACCTATGCAGCATGCAGCGTCCTAGTCATCTCGTTGGCGCATAGTGTCAGGCCATCTCTGGGTGGTGATGCGCGCACAACAATCTAGGACGAAGGATTGAGAGGCGGAGCAGATGTTGGGGAATTTGAAACTCGGCCGACCACTGCGTCGGGCCGCGCCGCGCGTTGACACTACCGACTCGGCAAACGGTCGTGGAAGCTCCAGCCACCATATAGTAGTCAAATTGAACCCCATACTTCCAGCCAATATTGTTGCCTGACGAAGAGCTCCTAGAGTCCGAACTTACTCCTCCCACTCTACTCCACGAGCCCACAACCCCAACCAACATGAGCGGAGAGCCTAGTAAGTTTCTAAACCTACTCTGCAAACTGCTGGTGTTGATAGCTTGCAGTCCTTTACAGCCTTTACGTGTATGCGCCGAACAAGGTTGCGCCCGTGGTATTCACTGTACTCTTTGGCATCTCAGCAGTCGGCCATATCTGGCAGTGCTCGTATGTGCAGCAGTTTTCTTCAAACGAAACCTTCAACTAATTGGCTGCTTTAGTCACTATCGAGCATGGAGAATGATTGGATTGCATCCGATGTGCGCCGTCTTCTACACGGCAGGTTATGCTCTACGAGAGTATGGAGCTTTCAACTACCTATACTCGACTACAAACCTCAACATCTACATCGTTAGCCAAGTCATGATATACATCTGCCCGTAAGTCTCCTCTATGATCACGTCAAGAGTGTCCTAATCTTCGAGATCCAGTCCATTGCTCGAACTCGCAAACTATCACGTTCTGGGACGAGTACTGTACTACGTCCCGTACTGTGCTCCGTTTCCACCCAACAGGATCATGTCCCTGTTCGGCGCTTTGGTTGCCGTTGTTGAGGCTCTCAACGGCTTGGGCGTGGCTTTCACATCTAACCCGTCATCCACCCAAAGCATACAAGAGTTGGGAAGCAATCTCACGAAAGCTTCGCTTGCGTTCCAGCTTGCAGTCATCGTGGTCTGTGTCATGCTCGCCGGTCTCTTCTATCGAAAATGCGTCAGAGAGGGAGTTCGCAGCAAGAACGTCAACGTCCCGCTCATCATACTTTGTTCAAGCATGTTCTTGATCCTCGTCCGCTGTATCTATCGCTTGGTCGAGCATCTGGGCAACGTGAGACTCGCTATCGATGATCTCGAATCAATGCGACAACTCACCCCCATCTTACGCTACGAGTGGTACTTCTATGTCTTTGAGTCGACCACAATGCTGTTCAATTCCGCCGTCTGGAACATTTGGCATCCTGGTCGCTACCTGCCCCGACTTCACAACGTGTATCTCTCGCCGGATGGCACAGAAGTCGCAGTGGAGGAACATTCAGACACAAGGCCATTGTTGGCCAAGGCAGGCTCTGTATTGACGTTTGGTATCTTCTTCCGTCAGAAAAAGGTGGATCACGGGCAAAGTTTCGCTCTCGCCTCTGGAAATAGTCGCAATTCGTAGGCTTGAGCGGGCAGCGTTTCCAAGTCACAAGATCTTCCAACAACCAAGGCAGCAGCACATGTAGAGCAGATACGAACCACTGATATGTATAACACAAGTAACAACCGCCTAACCTGCCAACAAAATTGTGCTGTGGAAAATTGTAGTTTGTCATCAGAGTAGAGTGGACCGAATGTCTAAATTTGACACTGAAATGAGCACAGAGAACTATGCATAGGGATACTCTTCAAACAACGGATTCTTGTCCGCGGTTCACCAACCTCATCCCGAGCCCAGATCCAGGACGAGGAGCAAAAGCATTGTTCATCTCCAATACAGTCTTCCAGATGCTATCGTGAAGCCTCCCGTCCAATCGGGTCTCCATGTCAGAGTTCGTTTCATTGGGTAGACTGACGGCTTCGATCCTACACCTCGCAAGCAAAGTCAAGATGACTGCAGTGAACTCAATCTGGGCCATCTTCTGTCCAGGGCAAACTCTGGGACCAATTGCCCAGGGCACAAAAGTGCCCTTGGGGGGCCGGAATTGGACATTGTCCGAGCCTGGGGGGTTGATCCATCGGCTTGGTCGAAAAGTCAACTCATCAGGGATCTCTGGACTATTTTGGAAAGATGGTGGATCCGAGGAATGGTTGACGTCCCGCCACGAGGGCAGCAGGTGAGCGGCGACCGAATTGATGTAGACTTTCGTACCTGCCGGTATGACTACCGGGCCTGCAGTTGTTTGGACAGTCTGCGAAGCTGTGATCTCTCGATGTATGTGTGGAGCCGGAGGATACAGTCTCACGACCTCAAGCATAAAAGACAGGATACGGATTGCCTTTGGGAAGATGATGGCATAATCCCGATCGTTTTCAGAATGATTTGACGTCAAACTATCCACCTCCTCATGGATCCACTCCTGCCAACAAGGGTTTCTTGCTAGCAGAACCATCGCGAAAGCCAGGGTGGTTGCTGTGGTCTCGAATCCGGCAGCAGTGAAGATGAAGAGATTGCTCACCATCTCATCTATTGTCATAGCTTGGCTTGACACGGAGCCTAAAGACGCTTGAACCAGTTTGCTGATGATGTTGGGCTCTGTCGACTTGGTCTGACTTTGCTGGTACTGTTGTTCCTGTATCATCGTTTCGTTTCGTTTCTGGACTTCGAATTTGGCTTTTCCAATGCGGCGCATGTTACCGCCTCCTGGCAGCCATGTAGGCCAATGAATGAGGAGTCCAGTTGGGAGCATCCCAATACCCACGATGTTTGCCACGATGGTAGTAAGAGAAACGGTCGGACTCATCGTGTAGCCGGCCTCGAGTTCGCCGTCCGGCTCGCAGTTCCAAGAAACTTGCTTACCCATGCCAGCAGCCATGAGTACGTGAATGGTAATCTTTTTAAGCATGTCGAACAACTTGGTAGTTTCTGCTGCAGTTATCGAGCCAGCATCTGCCGGGAACAGGTCGTCTAGCAGTCCACCAGCCTGACGCATTGACTCGGTGAAGACCGTCCTCGAGATACGCTCATCAATCACGCTTGTGACTATCCTGCGATGTCTGGCCCATTGGCTACCATTTGTGGTCATGACGTTGGGGCCAAACTGACCCAGAGCGAATTCAAGCGACTTCGGGACTTCGAATGCTTGCGTGCGATGGAGTATGTCCTGAATGGCAAGAGGATCCGTAGTCCAGAATTCAAGCTTGCCCAAGCCAGCCATGATGAAAGACTGGCTTTTCTGGTGCCCATGACGACCAACAAGCTCATCAAATGGTCTTGTCCCCTCTTGAAACTCCCAGCCGAAGATTGCGAGATTCAGCCTTTTGTAGAGACTATCCGGCAACATCTTCTGAGCATAGCGTCTAGTGAAAGAAGAAGATAGAAGCCATATGACGTTGCCTTGATCGACTGGTACAATCTTCACTGGAAGGCGGATAGCGTTGGCGTTCCTAACATTCTTGAACAAATTGTGTCCTAGTCGGATCGCATAGATTATGCCCAAGGTGATGATGATTTGGGAAGCAAAAGCCATGATGAAAGAAAGGCTTTGCTTTAAGAAGATGGTACAGAAAACGCAGTCTCGGAAAGGAGGAACCAGACTTTCACCCTGTGTTCTTCTGGGCTTACCACCACGAGCTTCTTTACTTGTATTGACGGGAGCTTTCAGGCATCACATCGAGATCAATCATCACGGACACGAGCACAGGTACCGATTGTGAAGTCCAGATACCGACGCGAAAGGTGGAAATACATGACTAGTAAGTTCTTGGCGAATCCTGCAGAGGTCAATGGAACGATAATCGCGCCATATTCGTCCACTTGTGACGTGGCGTACCAGTCGCAAACCGTGCCTTATACTAGGAGAAGTATGGAGTATGAAGATTATGATAGCAAGATCTTCAGTAGCCTGAGTCAGGCCACTATCACAGCCTCCATAATGCTAAAACTCGCCACGACCCGAAGCTTTGGTTCAGGGACCATGTCGATATTAACAACGAATTAACATCATCCTTCGGCCACTTTTCCACTTTTGAATAATAGTCGTTACGAAGGACCCAGAGAATGGTGTTCACACCTCGTACGGCACGGTACGTCCCTGCAATCAGTCATTGGCTTGGATCTGCGTCCGTGACTTATTGGCGGAATCCTTCCCCCTCGGTGTCATGGCCTTCCATGCTTATGTATAGACCTGGCACACCGGTGAGACTAGCGGCATATAAGATCGTCTTCGGGATCAGATATGCGTAAGCTTCGTGAGACCAACATCTGATGACACAGGCGGCGGAATGAAGAGGAGTCTACTGCTTAAAAGCCGACGAGATGAAATTCTTCAAGGTCAGTGACATACCCGGCTTTTCTCAACATATCGATCAGTCAACCATTCTTTGAAATAAAACTCTTGTTCGCTCAGAGCAATGCCTCACACCATCACAATCAAAGAAAGGCGTGGCAGACCTGGACACGTCTACTACCCTCTACAACTGTCCCTTGTATCCAAACCGACGCCTGGACCCAAGCAGCTACTGGTCAAGATCGAAGCTGCTGCGCTGAACCATCGGGATTTGTTTATTCGGCAAAACCTTTACCCTGATATCTCCTTCAAGGCTCCACTTCTGTGCGACGGTGCAGGTGTGGTTGTTGAAGAAGGAGCCAGTTGTTCTTCAAACCTGCTTGGAAGACGAGTCATCTTAACCCCATGCCGTGGCTGGAAGGACAGCTTGTCTGGACCAGAAAGCTGGTCAAACTTCAACACTATCGGTGGAGTCGGTCCTGACCATACTATTGGCACTGCTCAGACGTATGCTCTTGTTGATGAGAAAGAAGTAGAAGCCGCACCTGACCACCTCACTGCAGTCGAGAGCGCAGCTTTACCGGCAGCCGGATTGACTGCATGGCGTGCTCTCATGGTGAAGTCTGGGAATGCCAAGTCAGGTCACAACATCCTCATCACTGGCATCGGTGGTGGTGTGGCTTTACAGATACTCCAGTTTGCTACAGCCCTTGGTTGCAATGTCTTCGTGACCTCCGGATGCGGAGAAAAGATTGCCAAAGCCACACAGCTGGGAGCTGTTGGGGGTGTGATCTACAAGGATGAAGAATGGAACAAGAAGTTAGTCGAAAAGCTGCCGGCCGAAAGACCTTATCTCGATGCAGTGATCGATGGAGCTGGAGGTGACATCGTGGTCAAATCAATTCCCTTGCTCAAGCCCGGAGGAGTCGTCTCTTCCTACGGTATGACGCTGGCCCCGGTAATGGACTGGCCAATGCAAGCTGTCTTCAAGAACATCGAACTCAAGGGCAGCACACTAGGCTCAAGAACAGAGTTCAGTGACATGGTCAAGTTCGTCGAGGCGAAGCAGATCAGACCAATCATTAGCAGGACTGTGAGAGGGCTTGACAAATTGGAAGAGATTGAAGGATTGTTTGAGGATCTCAAGGCTGGACGGCAATTTGGTAAGCTGGTCATTGAAGTTTAGATTCTGTTGGATCCACACTGTTGCTTGGTAGAAGATTTTGGCGGCGGCAGGAACAAGTTCTGCCTCTGGAATGTGATTACGTTGTGTTTGCAATCCAAACTTGTCCTTGAGAAAGCGATTCATCACATAGGTCAATCTATGTGCTACGTCAACATGCGCTATTAGAAAGTCTCCTCGTATTGTTACATCATGCAACTGGGTATCACGAGGATCCGATGCTGTAGATCGACTAACACTCCTAGAGGAATTATAAGATATCGTATGGCCCCGTACAATGTTGGGCTTAGCTGCATATTTGTTGCCCAGGATATCATGCCGACCTACGTCTGCGCGAGTTACATCTTACTACGCGAGACGACACCAATGATCCTTAAGGCCCACTTCGGCTGGATAAGTCGGCTCATTAGACGCGTAATCTGGCAGTCACAGCACGTTAATCCATGCCAAGGAGTACACACCTGATCTCCTCAAGTCACAGAAGACCAAGCTGCAGGAGGTCGTGATCTGATTTCCATGGCCTCAAGCAAATCCCGTCCATAACCTTCTCAGTTTCTAGTGGTCCCCGACGGAATCTGCGATCCTCTCCACCCCATCTCAACACATCTCAAGCCATTTGCAATTACTATTCTTTTGAAGTTCATCATGACCCAATTGAAGTCATCAACCCTTGAAGCAAGTTATCCTACTGCGGTCACAGAGATTGCCAAAGCTTGCCACATTCTTGATGCACAAGTTGAGGATGCCTATCCTTGCACACCTCAGCAGATCCAGCAGATCTCCGAAGACCGTTGCGAAGTCTTCCATCTCATTCTTTCGTTTGGTCCGAATGGCGATCTAGAAAGATGGATCCGATCTGTTCAGAAAGTGGTTTCCATGAACTCCATACTTCGGACCCGTATCGTCTGTCACCAGTCCAAATTTCTGCAGATCGTCACGACTGAAGAACATACTACCGAGTATCTGACTGGTGACGTCGAGCAACTCCTGAACGACGAAAAGGCCTTTGAGATGAATCTTGGTACGCCACTTTTCCGGACAGCAGTAATTGGAAGGCGCTTCGTAGCCACAATTCATCATGCCGTCATGGATTACTGGTCATTGAATTCCTTCCTGAGAGGTGATGCGGCAATGCTATATCTCGGTCAGGAGCCAATTCATCGTGCTGCCTTCAGAGACTTTGTAAGTCTCTGCGCAGGTATCGATCGGGCCAAAGCAGATTCCTTCTGGGCTGCTCGTTTTAGAGGATCGGTATCGATATACCCTCCAATGCCAGCGAGTGCGATTGCTCGTCCAAGTGAGAAGTTGGAAAAGACTATCACGCTGAACCTCATGTCCAGGGGCATAGCGGAGAGTCACATCGCTTGGTACGCAGAAGCAGCATGGGCTCTGACGATAGCAACTTATGCCGACAACGAGTCTATTGCGTATGGAATTGTCATGTCTGGTCGTTCGTCAATGCTTGGTGACGCTGGGAATACACTGGGTCCAACAACGGTCGAACTGCCAGTACTAATCACCGTCCAGCCCAGCATGACTGTCGATGCTCTCGTCAAGGGTCGTGCGACGGCACTGCGAGAGCTGAAATCAAATCCGCTGTTCTTACAGTACAGTCTGGAAAATATAGCCGCCACAAACAACACAGCACGAATCGCCTCAAAGTTCCAAAGCCTCTTCAACATTGTTCCGCCCCAACCGATCTCTCTACCTACCACAGAGGAGGAATCGAAGTCGGTTTTCCTCGAGCGTGTCATCAAGCGATCCCACGGTGGCTTCGCTTTGACTTTCCTCTGCCGTCTCGTAGACGAGAGTATCATACTTGAAGCTTTGTATGATCCAGCCGTACTCGATCGTGATCACGTCGATCGCATTCTCAATCAGTTCGAGCACGATCTCAGAACTTTGATTGAAGTTCCTGCAGATACCAGGCTTGGTGATTTGCAACGTCTGAGTCCTCAAGATCGTGATGATCTCATACGATGGCATACTTTATCGCACGAGACCGACAATTCCCGCTTTCATGCCTTGAGGGGTTTTGACGTCTGCCCTAGTAATCAGACATGGATCGTGGATCCCAAAAACATCGATCAGCTCGTGCCGGTAGGAAGTATTGGAGAACTTCTGGTTGAGATGACACCACCGACAAGGGACCTCTCCACTCAAGCCTCTCATCTCAGTCCGAGGTGGCTCGAGAACTTCCGACCATCAGGAACAACCCTGAGAAGGACAGGTGAGCTGGGAAAGTACAGCCAAGATGGTTCTCTCGTCTATATCGGTAAGAGGGAGAACCGGATCAAGTTGGGTAGTCGAATCGTCCAGCTTGAGGCTATCGAGGAGACAATACGTAGCTGCAACCAAGTGAAGGACATCGTGGTGGTCTCAAAGATCATCTCAGGACGCACGAGATTAGTTGCTGTGGTCACTCTGAAGGGTATCGAGGCCGCGGCGAAAGACCCATGGCAATTGCAGCCTCTGCCAGCCGCGCTCATTTCTACTACAAATGACTGTCTTCACGTAGTGCGACAAAACGCCGAGATGTCTCTAGAGCTCAACGATGTGCCCGTAGTGTGGCACGTAGTTAGCTCGCTACCTCGAATCAAGGGCAGAGATATAGATAGAGAAGCAGTCCGGTTATGGCTTAAAGATGTAAAATGAGCAGTTTCTATAGTCTAGACATAATCCTATAGCTATAATTTCTATCTAGTAAGCAGTTTAAAACAAAATGAGGACCTACTCGTGCCCTTCGAAAGTCTCAAACCGCGTGGGCCTGGGGCCATATTCCTGCACTCTCGATGACAGCGCCCAAACTCTTCAGATTCTCGTTGACTCTTATCGCAAAACTCCGCACACTGTCGAATTCGCTCAGATCAAGCTCCCAAACTTCAATGACATCCTTTTGTCCGGTCTGCTTTTTGATATACTGCTTCGTAGCCTCTCCGTTGGTAGTATCGCGAGCAGTGATGATGAATCTGGTTGCACCGAGTCGTACGATGTGCTTTGCTGCTTTCCGACCTAGCCCTGCATTTTCGCCTGTGATGATGATTGTTTGGTGTCCAAACTATGAGGTTAGAAAGATGGAATGGAAGAAGAATTGTGAGCGGAGGAGGTATCCCACTGTGGCAAGAGAGGGGCCTGACATGTCGTTAGTAAGCAGGTTGCAAAAGTCGGTTGTTGCGATTGATTCTCGTTATAGCAAGGAATATGGCACTTATATCATTTGTTACTCCAAAGATTCAGTGTCCTGCTTCCTAAATGATGGTTGGCGGATGTAGTACAGAGCGCTACCAAGATGATAGACACCGGATTTTGCAACGGCCAAACCAAGTCGGTGCACTCCGGATATTGTAAGAGACTCATGCCCGAGCAGGCTAGTTGGTGGATGGATGGAGTGAATTCCAAGCCGAACTCCACTCCGTCCACAAAAACATGCAGCAATCCATGGGTTGCTCCAACCATTTGTCCGACCATAACAGAGATTCAGACTGCAATAGTTCCATTGAGGATGAGTTTAGCAACCTCCGCATTGTATCTTGAGGCTTCTTGTGAGCTAGACTAGTCGTAATAGTAGCAGTAGTCAATCGAATTCGATGGAAAACGAGAGATGTGGTGTGTCAACCGCTGAAATTGAGTGCTGGCTCAAAGTATAGCTTCGCACCGCAGTTCATTGTCCTGGTCGCAATACTAGTACGTTATGTTTTCTTCGTCGATGATTGAGAAAACACGAAAGATACCGCGCCTCCGAAGCAGGGTGCTCCCCTTTCCAAGCATCTCAGCATATGCATTGCTTTGTAGAGCCGAAACACTATAGCGCAATATCTTTACATATCTCCGGAGCGATGCCAGAGTCATAAGAGATCCTTTTGTACGGTTTACAAATCCCATGGTGAACAGAAACTTGTTGGTTGTGGGTTGGGAAAAAGTGCCACCAGGACGGCACAAAGCCAAAAGTTGCTTACCAATCGTCAGTGGTTACTAAGGCTGTGCAGAGTGGTCTCCACGAGCGATGATAGTGATTGATCAAGAATTCTGCTCAAACCATAGAAGGGTAAGCTATGTCGCTTGTCCGAAAAATCTACATCCTCATGTCTTTGTGCATCCAGAATCGTGGGGACATCCGTGCAGATCTTCCCCAAAACAGGCGCGTATGCGATTCGGATCTTGCCGCCCCATTGGCCTTCGGCAAGAGCCGAGAGTCCCTCATCATTCCTACTGAGTACGCACACCTTGTCACAAAAGTCATGAATCCAGACCGCGTCACGGTTGTCTACAACAATTCGATCAGACAACCATTTGAGAAACCACACAGATGTGAGATATGAAATGTTGAATTGCCGTATGTGAAACCATGATCAGATGTAAAACCGCTTGCAAGTGCACAAGGAAATAAAACGTGCGCCAACGGACCGGGCTTTGGAGTCCTTTAGACGCCGATCGTCTCGAACTCTCCTAGGAACCGCACCTTCCCTGGATATTATCAACTTGTGTTGAGGCAGCATTGAAAGTAATCAATGCTCTAGCCCTGGCCCTTGATTCAGCCTTGACACGCTCCACCTGTGGCTTCGGCCTGTCATCCCGGCGGTGGGCTCGTTTTCCTTTTTAGTCGTTACATCCAATGGCGACACCTGTCACCCCTGCCATAACCATTCTGACGAATGTCGCTCGCCGCACAACAGCGCGTATTCCGAGTAAGGAAAGACGCGGCCGGCTTGGAGCCCGCCCGGCTGCAAGAAGTCGGCAAAGCGAGAAGGACGCATAAGAAATCAAGAAGCGGCTGTCAAGCTTGCAAACAGAGGAGGATCAAGGTCAGACCGTGTTGTTGGTACGAGTGACTTCCAAGCTGAAACCCTGCCAAGTGCGACGAGATCTTACCACGATGCTCTTATTGCCAACGACAACGTGAGGGCCTCGATTGTGTTTATCCGCCGGCTTCCAGTGTACTCGCACCCAAGGCCGTGACTAGAGCTCCCTCGACTTTGATGCATGATCTGTCCCTGGAAATGGTTCAACTGGATCTTGGAAAGCTACTCGGCGCAAGTCTGCAAGGTCGAACTGCACATAATCTAGGCTCGGACGCCGTCCACGCATTACAGCACTTCCGGAACGTCACTTCGAAAACATTGGGCGGCAAAGCAATGCAGAATGTCATGTATGAGTACGTACCACTCTCTGCATGGCAACAACCATTTATCATGCACATGATCATGGCACTTTCGTCAGCTCATCTTCGCCGCTTGTCGAACGAATCTCACCACGGCACGAGCTATGCCTTGCTCGAAGCTGTACATTGGCAACACGGCCTAGAAAACTACCGTGCCGCGTTGTCTACTGCCGGAGAGGCCACTCCTCAAGATTTTGGTGACGCACTCGTTACTGGAACGCTCCTATCCATTTTCTATACCAATTGCCTAGTTGAGAACATGTCGCAAGATGCTTTCATCATCGACTACGACGCAGCAGTAGATGCCATGACTGCACCTTTTGCGGTGTCATATGGTATCAGAGCGCTTCGGATGGCTCTAGGTACTTTCACACCCTCCTCGGCTCTCATCTCCATATTCCCACAGAGATGCAGAAGCAGCCCCGAGAATACAGACGTGCCGGATCCATCTCTAGTACTTGAAAAAATCTGTCGACTGGAAACTGGATCCGAAGATGTCAACAGTCTGGTCAAAAAGGTGTCGGATCGCCTTGCGCCTATGATGCCGTTTTCTGCGATCGATGATCAGCCGGAGAATATCCTCAGCTTCGGAGGAATTGTTTATCCCGACATGCGCTTGTTACTTGAAAGAAGGTCGCCAGAGGCGATGATGCTTCTTCTTTGTTGGTTCACTTCGCTCGCGAGGATGAATCAGTGGTGGGCGAAAGCACGAATGGAAGCACAGTCCAAGGCAATTAGAAGATATCTCTCTACGTTGATCCCGCCTACTACATCCTGGTCGGAATGTCTGGCCACTGTTTTCGAGTTCATTGATTCAAGAATCGATTTCGATGAATAGAAAGGATTCATTTCCAGGGATTTGGCGAGCTAGATCCCATCGAGCCCGACGAGTTTCAAACGACATGCGAATACGCTCATTTCTGCTCCGGCACTGTCCATCTTTTCAGGTAGTCACCGAGCTCCCCTGGATCCGTTCCCAGATACCCTACGTAACCATCCGGCCGAACAAGATATACGGAGTCTCGAACTAGACCAGCCTTCGAGACGTGATCTGACCAAGCGTACCTGTGCAGAGGGATGTAAGACTCTGAAGCAAGGGTCGCAACCTCATCGCTTGCCTCTCCATAGACATGCATCACCCATCTCGAATCTTCCAATGATTTGTAGTTATCGCTTTCGCCAGTCTCGACCCATGGCAATCTACATCCGGCGCCGTTTCCTGTTGACAGATCGCTTTGAGGATAGCTGATCTGGATTTGAGAGTTCTTCTTAAAGGCAAATGTGGGGATCCAGGGCAGCTTGAAAGCAATTGGCAACACATACGGAAGCATGAAGGAACGCGCAACGGTGCCCAGGAATGATCTGGCCTGCACCAAAGTAAAGATCCGATCTGTCGAGTTGACCAGTTCTGTGGCGAAAGCTGCACGCTCTTGATGATAGGTATCTAGAATCTTTGGATCAGTGGTGCCTTTCAAGCAACTCGCTAGCTTCCAAGCCAAATTTGCTGCATCTCCCAGGCCTGTGTTCATTCCCTGTCCGCCGACTGGAGAATGCACATGGGCGGCATCGCCGAGCAAGAAGACATTGTGCTCTCGGAATTGCGATGCCACTCGATGATGCACGGAATACGTCGAGAACCAGTTGACTGCTGTGATCCCAAGCCTTGTATTGTCTTCCACTGCAGGCTGCACATCAGAGAACTTCAGATCGCCGTCTTTCACTCCTTCCGGAACCAGACCAAGGACACGATATCTCTTCTCGCCAGGTAGTGGAATCGCAATGCAGAAATTGCGACCTGAAGCGAAGATATTCACATCACCAGTTGGAATGTGTCCAGTTGCGTTGACATCAGAAACGAAGAATTTCTGCTCATAGGTGCCGCCTTCGAATTTGATGCCACAACTTTTTCGTACTGTGCTTCTCGCGCCGTCACAGCCCGCGACATAACTTGCAGAAATATCTTCGTGGTCAGAATGAGGACCACAGACTCGGGCTGTCACACCATCGTCATGTTGCTTCAACGATTCCAGCGTCGTGTTCCGCTCAATGGTTACGCCTGCTCTCTGCAGATGATCCAGCAAGACTCTCTCATGGATATCCTGAGGCAGAGATAAGATGAATGGGAATGGACTCAATCCAGTGCCAATGTTTCCGAACTTGAGTGACCCTCTGATCTGGCCTTGTTGAGCAATTGTGACATTTTGCAGCTTTGAGCCGTGCGATATCATATCCTCCGCGATACCCAAGGATTGATACATTTCCAGAGTTCTGGCATGGCAGATGATGGCGCGTGAAGTTGTGCCAGGACCTGAGGCTTGATCGATGATCCGGAAGGATATGCCGAGTCTGTTCAGCCATAGTGCGAGGCACAATCCGGTAGGGCCAGCGCCAACGATGAGTACGGGCTTGGACTGTGCATCAGTGCTAGATTGCATGGTGCTGACAGAAGCGTGTTGGTAACGAAGCAGTCAAAATAACTTTGTCGGCTCGGCTCTAGTTGTAATAGAAAGGCTGGACACAAGTGTTGATTCTAACAAAAGCGTCTTGAATGGGCTAACGCAAGGTCAACTTAAGTACAAGGACTTTAGAATATCTTACGTGTCCTTGATAAGCGGCTCCAGGCGGAAAATCTGATTCCATCACTGACGACGACACAAATGCTTTGGATCAGTACAGGGCAAGAAAATAGCATAACAGCACAGTCCCGAATTCTGAGCTAAACGTTGGAACAGCCTACGCTTGACCGCTTTGGGGTGCGTATACAGCCAAAAGTCTAAATAGTCTCGTGGACAAGCGACGTCCACAAACATTTGTGTTCTTACAAAGCAATCCGGCTTTTGATTTTTCGTCCTCAATCCGAAGACGTTTTCGAATTTATCATGATATTGCCCGTACATAGGTTGAGTTCTAGCCTTTGCTTCCGTGGCTTGGAGCATGTGCTTTTATGTACGTTGCCGTGCTTTTACGTTGCCATGATTTGTGGACAGTTGGGAAAGCACTTTTGGCCGGCGACTCTTGCTGACCACTCGCATTCGGTGCATTCACAACCACAATCTCTGAACTCACGGTCTAGCGCCAAGAACACTCTCGACATTGATCCGTTCTTGTTCTCTCTTAGGTCCGTACGAAAGGCATTAGAGTGTGTTTGACACAACAAGATACCGCGCACCACGATCACCTGTGAGCCGCAACACAGCGATATGGAAGAGATTCAATGTGGATTCATTATCACTACAAGCATTACTACTATACAAAAGCACCCATCATCGGAACATTATGACATGATCATCGTCCGTACTCAAGCGGCGGCGCATGCGACACCGAGACTGCCAAGCTGGAAAGAAATCAGTATTAAACAGTCAAGAGATATCAAAAGCTAATCAACTTACCAGAGAAGTAACACAGCAGTGAGAAGATAGGCCCTCGGCGCCGCAGTAGGCAGTAAAGTCATCTGTGGTTGTAACATCGCTGGGGACTGCAAGAAAGAGTCAGCATCAGGAACAAGGCAGAAAGTGGAAGAGAAGGACGTACCGGAAGAGCATGACAGGTCGGCGAGACCAAGGACGTCGGTACCGCAGCACATGGGTGTGTCAAGGGGACCGCAGAGGTCTGAGGCATCGCGGCTTGCGAGGACTGCGCTGCGGCGCTTCATGTCGGGAGTTGCGGCTGCAGAGGCAATAGCGGCGATGGCGAGAATGCTGGCGAAGACCTTCATGGTGATGATTTGAGGTGTTGGAGGTTGATAAGTTGGTGGAGAATGTCAAGTTTTGATGGGAAGGTATGAAGAAGAGAGATGCTTGTGGTTGTTCTGTTGGATCTTCTGGCGACCAGTCTGCTCTTCTTATACCTTTCTCTCTCTCCTCTCATCGCAAGCACACGCCTCGGACGACCGGTATCAACCCCTCAGACTTCCTTTTCTCTCTATCTCGTTGATCATGTAGATAGTCCTCTACTGACCTTGCAGCCCAACGTACCTTGTAGGATGGGTCTTGTGAGAGTATGCCCTTACGACCGAAAGATTTGGACTAGAGGTGTAGAATGATGAACGCCGAGCAGTGAGAAGAGTGGTCGCCGCTATGATCTTCACATTGATAGAAGTCTGTATCTGCATAGATACGCGGAGATGTAAAGGTGCACAAGCATGGACGAAAGGAGCAGACCGAACTGGGTCTAGATCAACAATCGAACCATCTACCGGTGAATCCCAAGCTGTTGGTCATATCTATCTTCTCGGCTCGTCTTGTTCATTCGTAGACATCTCGCGTGCCTTTTGTACTGAATGCGTGCAAGATTTACAGATCAGTAATTGAGTTACCATGACATTCCGCTTCCGACATGCCGGAAAAGTAGATCATGAACAAGATCTACTTGTTGATGGAGCTTATAGCTTTCTTATCAGTCCTATCTTCGGTGATGTGCCTGACGTAAAGGTAGATCATCGGAAGTTACGCACGAGAAGGATAGGGAATTGTGGGGAAATTTGCCGGAGCCTCCGTTGAACTTCTCGCTTTCGCTTCGCCTCGCTTGGGGAATCTTCCCCTTTCCATATCTCGTCGACATCCTGAGGACCGATCGATGTTAGGGAACGACAGAACTCTGATAGACGGTGATAGTATACAGGCGCATGACTGTATATGCAGTCTTATCTCGCCGTTGAATTCCTGGTAGGGGTCTCCGTCGTGGCGGGCGCGACACCATGTCCACCCGACCACTTGCCCGTGATGGAAACAACGCATCAGTACAGCACATGTGCTGGTTCTGAATGATGGGAACGTTCCCGCTCTGTTGCCATCCAACCCCGCACGCATACCGATACTAACAATAGGTGCATCCTTCGAGCTGCGAACTGACGCCATCAGCTCCTTCCTCGGAATCCTTCTCGAAGACATACTGCTGCCTAACGACCACCTACAAGATGATTCTTTGACTCTCCATCGAAACAGATAACAAGTATCCGCAAACATGGGTTTCATGAATCAGGAGAAATTCCTTACCAACTACACGTACGAAGTCGGTCAAGACTTCGGCATCGAAGGCAGACCGGCGTCCTGGGCAGGCTCCGAGAATTTGGCACATCGCTTTTGGGACGACGAAGATGACAGTACGAAGATTCCTATTGATGCCACGGGTCCGATGTCGACATCAATCACCGGCATCAGCCACGATGAGAAGTTCATCGCAATCTCTAGTGGGCTAGCTGTCGTCGTGTTTGATCTTGAGACGCAAAAGGTCTGCACTGAGTTCAAAGGACTCACGGTACGCTGCGCTAACCTCAACTTCTGCCCGGTACACAGCGAGTCTGGAGGCTATACCCTGGTTGTAGGAGATTCCGATCTTGGGGAACAACAGCAGATCATCCTCTTCCTGAATCTGGACAAGTCTGGCCGCTGGACTGATGAACCAGAGGATCTTGATTGGGGACTGCTACTGGAGCTTTCATTGGAGCCTGTCCGGTCCGAAATGGACGCTGTGTACGGCAGGGGTTCAACCAGGCAGCTGATGAAGCCAGTCCGTGAAGACTACAAAATAATTTTGCAAAAGCTGCAATCGAATATCAAGTCCAAGGATCTGGTTCGCGTGAACGGTCTTATCGGACACTTTGGCTCCAAGCCGTTCAGCGCAGATGGAAGATTTCTTCTCTACCTTGTACACAACCAGAGTACTCAACAAGGAATGCGCCCACCGGAAGAACTACCCAATGTCGTCGTCTATGATATCGTCAATCATACCGAAAAGCATGTCTTAGGTGGTCATCAAGACGCCATCATGTGGACAGACTTTAGTCCCGATGGTCAGTACGTCGCAACCGCATCCTGGGATGGCACATTCAGGATCTTCGAAGTAGACAGCGGTGATTGCAAACATGTCATCGGGCCTACCGGAGGACAATGCTGGACCGGCGCTTGGTCACCAGATTCGAAACACATCTTACTCTGCGGCATGGCACACCAAGACGGCGAGGGTCGCCCAGAAGTCTTTGTGGCTGTTTACTCTGTGGAAAAAGCGCAGCAGATCAACCGATTCGATCACACACGTCTCAACGACTGGGTGAGAAACGTCGCCTGGTCTGAAACCGGCGCAATCGCTTTCGCGCACAAAACTGAAGTTTTCGTGTGGGAACCATTCGAGAACAAAGTCATAAGCACTTTTGCCCTCAAGGTGGAGAGCTTCATGTTACGAGGCTTTGCCGGTATTCGGGACGTCGAGTGGGTGCAAGAAGGTGAAGTGCTCATTGCATATACTGGAGATAGTACGATCGAGGTGTGGAATTGGCGTCAGAATGCTAAGTGGAGGGTTCAAAGACCTCATGGATTGGTTCAGAGTCGAAGGGCTTGGTGGATGGAGAAACAAAAGGCAATTGTCAGCGTGAATGGTGAAGGTATCATGCGTTTCTACCGCTTGTAGTTGTATTGTTCTCAATTCACCTGTATCTCTGGATGAGAAAAATCTCCTGCTTGATGGTCTCAACCAACGTATCGTGCCTTTACTCGGTATCTGTGATTATCCATATATCATGAGAACAAGCGAACATGAATGAAGGAAGCGCTGCCGGAAAACCGGACACGAGCACAATAGCCGAACCCCGCCTTCCTCTATCTCCAAATTTCGGGGTACAGCAACAGCGAACTCTTCAAACCCACCGGACCCCGCCTCCGCTGACATCGCTACAATGACGTACTCCCTGATGTCTTTCGTCCACATATAACAGCTCTCTCTCTCGAGGAGACATCGCATCTCTTCGCAATTAATCATATTCCTACACTTGACCTCCCGAGATCCCTCTCAAAAATGACCACCAGCACATCATACATCCAACACGAACGCGACGGCAAACAAGTCCTCCTAAAAGGACAAGCCCAATTGCCCTCCCGCAAACCACACCAAAGCCTCGTAAAAGTGCAATATGTAGCTCAAAACCCCACTGATGGTACGACTTCCCCTCTCCCTTTTCCATACAATAAACATCATTGACATTTGCAAAAAATAGTACAAACACTCGACTCCAATGCATTCGGTGAAGGAACAGTATTGGGTTGCGATTTCGTCGGCACTGTCGAAGAAGAAGGTACAGAGGCGAAGAATCTCAACAAGGGAGATGTGATTGCTGGGTTGATTTGGGGTGCTGAGATCAAAGGACTTGGAGCTTATGGAAGTCATACTTTCGCAGACGATCGCATCAGCTTCAAGGTTCCCAAATCCGTGAAGCTGGAGGATGCTGCAACTCTTCCACTGGCTTCGTGTACTGCATGGTTGGCTTTGTTCTCGAAGACGTGTTTGAATATCCCCAGGAAGGAAGGAAAGGAAAAGACCAGTGTGTTGATCTGGGGTGGAAGTTGTGAGCATTGGTCAACCAAAGGCGAAAAAACGACAATCTGCTGACTCTCCTCTTAGCAAGTGTAGGCTCCTACGCCATCCAACTCGCCCGCATATACAACTTCAACATCCTCACAACCTGCAGCCCTAAAAACTTCTCCATGGTAAAGAACCTCGGCGCAACTCACGTATTCGATTACAACGACCCTGCCGTCATCGACAATATCAAAAACGCCGCATCAGATCTAGAATACACATTCGACACCATCGGCTCAACAGACTCTTCAGCACAAGCGTCTCAAGCGATAAGATCAGAAGGTGGCGTACTATGCACAGTACGTCCCGGCAAAGCAAACACGGAAGATGTCGCCAAACATGTCAAGATCACCGATGTACTCGTGTGGACGGCATTCCTGAAGGATCATCAGTACAAAGAATTCAAATGGCCGGTCAGTGTTACTCGGGCAGAAAATTTCAAAGTGTGAAAAAATGTACTGACGAAAGAATTACAGGCTTCCGTGGAGGATCACGAACTCAGTGCGGAGTTGTTCGAAAAACTTCCCTCTTGGTTGGAGGATGGTACCATCAAGCCCAATAATGTCAAGCTGTTTGACAGCCTCGACTCGATTCATGAAGGTTTTGATATGCATCGCAACGGCAAGATTTCGTCCTTCAAAATCGTGTACAAGGTTTAGAGCTGCCTGTCAGAAGATCTTGCGATGGACATCTGTGTACATGCCTGGCCAATCATAATGAAACAATGCAAAACATAATTTGACGGTAGTAAGAAGAAAAGGGCATTAAAATAATTGTAGAAACATAAAAGTCTATAATACATGGGGAAAGCAAAAAAGAATAACTCGGGAGCTTTTGTAAAACGGCCCCTTTCCCTTCATTTAATTTACCTACGACGACCCCAAGATCCTCTCATAAGCATCTTCGACCTCCTTAGCAACTTCGAGTAAAGTCACAATGACAACCTGATGCGTCACATTAGGTAACCTCTCCCTGTGGAGACCAATCCATTCCAAAGGTGGAGTAGCTTCACCCATATCTCTCAACTGCGGTGTCTCAATAATCGGGGGTACAAGTGCCGTGTACTCGAATCTCGACTGTGGAACGTTGACGACAGCTGTGATCTTGCCTTGTTTTTGTTCGCTGGTACCATCTGACTGATCTACATTTCCAGAAGGTTTATCTTCCAGTCCATCGGCTCTGATCTTGACAGCAGATTCAGGTAGTGGTTTACCGAGTCTGGATGCTAGAGTTCTAGAATGTGTGTCCCACATGCCGCGGATGAAACTGATGCGTGAGTAATTCCATCCGACATCGACCTTGCCCTCGAACAGACTCTTGAAGATGAAGTCGATGTTGTTGTCCTGTGGTTGTTGCCATGTCTGCATGGAAGCGATGACTTTAGGGACACGGAGGATGATGCCACCTTTGGCGCCTGTGGCACTACCTATAACCTCATCGATGGAGATGTCGCCGAGAGTCTTGGGTACGCTGACGCGCTTCACTTGGGCGAGTGCGACTTGAAGTTGTCCTAGTGTCATGCCGAGGTTACTGTGTACGCGTTCGTCTTCCAGGCCTACCGCAAAGCGTGCTTGAATCTCGGAAGCTTCCATCTTGAGTATTTGGTTGTCGAAGAAGGTGCTGGGGAAGGCGCCGAAGCAGACAGACTTGAGCATAACCATGACATCGGTGTGCAATGTGATGGGGAACTTGCTCTTGCTTCTCTCGGTCGTGTGTCTTCGTATAGGCGCTGGTGGCGTAGGCCCCGCCTTAGCCTGTGTCTGGCTTACAGAACGTCTCCGCAATTGCTTGTCCAAATCCACCATCGATTGTTGGTATGCAGTCTGCTTCTCTTGAACAAGACGATCGAAAGCCTGGTACAAACCAACGGCTTGAGCAGGACTTGTCGCTGTGCAAAACACATAAACCTTTTCGCCTTCGAGAATTGCTTTCAGACGGTCTGGAGCATGAGGACCGTCTCTCACGTTGTACATCAGGAAGTTGAAGGCCTCTATATCTGCAAATGCGAAGGGCTGGTAGTCCAGAGCGCTCTTTGCTGAAATCTTGCCAAACCCGATGGCGGCTTGGATGAGAGGCGCTTTGTGTACTTGGCGATCCGCATTGGGCCATTCAATCGATGTGCGGACAGAGACGTCACTCAGCTCTACGAAACCACTCATACGACCAGTACTGTTGATGCTGACTTCATCCACACCGACACACAAGTCTTGCTTCCAGGTAGATGATTTCTTTGAAGACGCCCAAAGGTTTTTGATACTCAACGATGACTTGCCGATACTTTGTCCCAAGTCGAGATCCACTGCAAGCTCGGAGACGGTGATTGTGGCGTTCCAGGGGAAAGCAGCGGCGGCACTGACTTGCTGGTATCTTTGTACGGCCATCTTGTCAGGCTCATGGTGTGAAGGCTCCGCTGTCATGGCACTTGTGTCTCTTAACTCTGGTGGGAACCAGATTTCACGGAACAACAAAAGATCCTGGATCTGGCGCACGTTCAATGCTGTTCTGGTGGGAGAAACTTTAAGCACCATTGAAACGCCGCTGGAGCCACCTGTCAGATGTCTACTGTTCATGAGTGACATTGATATTGACTCCATGTCGAAGCTGAAAGTTGACTCGCGAGAGTAGACGTGTTGGACTGAAGCGCCGAGCTTGGTGACCGTAGCTGACAGAGCGAAGAAATGACCAAATTGATGAGAGTTGATGGTGCTCATCGTGATGTAAATGTCTTCGATCTGCGATTTTGCATTGACACGAGCCAAAGGCTGACAGCTCAGGCCGAATTCCTGCTTACAGATGCGTAGTCCTAAGTTGAGTTTCATCTGGCCCAAGAATTGACTTGGATCGGAAGTAAGCAGGGAGTCGTCTTCGTGGAGTCTTTGCAGCTTCAAAGCTTGTTCCTGAGCAATCTTGGGGGTCGACGGAGTCTTGCGTTCCTCCTCACCATATCTCACGACTTCCTTAATGCCATGAGTAATCTGGAGAATGATAGGAACCAGTTCGGGATACACTGTGTTGCTTGAACCGTCAACCTTGATCTCACCATTGAGTATTTGCTCCTTCTCTGGGTGGTTTGAGTACTCGACTTTGATTGCGATGCCAGGTGCTCGTAATGACGTGGCAATGTTGTCTTGAGAAGCGTGACTGTTTGCACGATTGCGCTTGTATGGAAGATCAACGTGCGCGGGACGAAGTGGAGCGCTGGCTTGATTAGGAGCATCTCCCTGTATGTAGAACAGAGCACCCTTGAAGTTGACATCTGCCTGGACCGAGGCCAGGCGCTTGTCGCCGAACGGGCTAGCTCGTGGTGTTGATTTGTTGTCATCGGGAGCTGTGTCGGTTTGCCAATTTATCTTTGCGGCGCGGTATTGGTCGATGGCTGCAGATATAGATTTCTGAAGCATGCTCACGGGTACAACGAATCCAGAGTCTAATCGAATATCAAGTGCTTGACCGGCAGCTTGGCATGCGATTCTAACACCATCTTTACCACTCTCATAGCGGACAGTGAAGACAACTTCAGGCAGTAAAGCTGAATTCTCAGATCTTTCAAAGGCTTTGTGGCGTTTAGGAACAACTTGGACTTGCAAGTCCTGAATGGACAGGCGAGCTTCGTTCTGTTTCTGAATAGCGAGATGCACACGTGAGAAAGACACCTCGAGATCTTGAGGTTCTTGATCGCCAGCGGTGGATCGATTTCTAATGACCACCCAGACAATGCGAATCTTACGCAAATCGAGAGAAAAGTCGAGTAGTGCAGGACGTGTAGATGAGACGTCTACCGCAACTTCCTCTTCTTCCTTGATGGAGCCTGGAGCAGGTGGAGGAATGGTCTTTCGTCTCTTGTCTCTGGAGTGTCGTAATCTTCTTAGGTACTCGACCTCTCGCGAAAGATCGAGGTCCAAGATCTTGCGGTGGACATGCGTCACAATGTCCACTACAGTCGATGCAGTATCCGCGTAGAGGAATACATCGAAAGACTCACTGCGTGCTTTGATATCTCTCGTGATAGGTCCGGAAGCCGATTCCTGTGTAGAGCAGTCTACTGCAACACTGACAGCGACATGACCGCAAGGGCGTCGCTTCCCTTCCTCAATAAGAGTCAAGACGGCGCCGATGTCTTCGATCTTGCCGTGAATGTTGGGGAAGGAGTCACTAGCTTGACGGGTCTTGTTCGTCACTGTCGCTTGTACAGCTCCAAGTCCGAACGACAATTCGGCCCGAGCCTTGCCAGCGGTCAGTACAGGAGCAATTGCCACCACCTTGAAGCCCGCCAGAGTAGTGTTGACGTCGTAGACGAGTACGCGCGACTTTTCGGCCACAGCCTTAGCAGTGACGGGCTTCTCGTCTGTTGCCAAAGTCTTTGCAACCCTCTGGCGTAGGTCCGATATCTGATCTCTGATAGCTTCGAGAACGCCCTGCACTTCTGGTCGGTTCAAGATTGTCAACACACTTTGCACAGCAGATGCTTCCAGCAGAACCTCCTCCAAAACGCCCGAGAAGTCGATGTTAATCTTGTCCTCGGTAAATTTGAGACCAAGAGTGCTGCTCGCAGGCGGGGTATGAAAGACAGCCCTCTGTTTCCTCGATCCGTCCTCCTTTCGGATCAAAGCTTGCTCCATAGTTCCAAGGTGAAGCTCAATAGACCATGCAGCATTGGAGCCGGACATCGGTTGAACGCGAAGGTTCGCTGTATCACCACGAATCGACAGATTGAGTGCTTTCAGCAATGCGACATTGAAGGAGAACGTGCCCGCTAAGAAAGCCACATTCAACTTCAACTCTCTCTTCGGCTTGGGTACACCTCGAGCCTCGACACTCTTTTTCTGTTCCTTTTCTATATGCTTCTGGAAGCGTTGGATATATGCCACTTCATCGACCAGAAGTTGATCAACAACTTCAAGCAGTCCAAGTATTTCTTGCTCCAGTGAAATGTGAAGCTGCTCGTAAGAACCTCCGACGTTTATAGCGGTCGTGTTCTCGCGAATCGTCTGCTTCACATCAATGTAGATGCTTGGTGATACCAGATCAGTGCGCCATACCCTCTGGCTCGGGCCGTGTAGCTCGGTAAATGCTTTTCTGGCCGAGATAAGCAGACTGATACACTCGCCATAATCTTGCGAAGCTTTATCGGACCCAATCAAAGACATCTTGAGATTGTTACAAGTGGATACATGCCTGAGGTTGATTGTGTCCAGTTCAATACTACCTTCATCGGTAGATAAGACAACATGGAAGTCTTGTCTGAATGAAAGGTCGTCCAATACATCCTTCTGAGGTGGTTCTGGTAATGAATCAAGCGTGTGACTGACTTGCTCGAAGTAGATGTCAATGAACGCATCGGCTTGTTCCAGTATGTCCCAGTTGAGTCGAAGTACTGATGCTGCGGTATGAGCTTGGAATATGGTTTTGGATCTAAGATTCTCTTCTACAAGCATGAGTCCAGAGGGCAAGCTTGGAGGTATAACGGTGACACCAATGGAGAGACTGCCAAGCGACACCTCACTTGACGCCTTTCCAGATTCAACAGCAATGCGTACAGTCCCAGCGCGCAGAGTGAGATCCAGTGGTATGATGTCTTCCTCTGGGATCTTGGCCTCGATGTCACCGAGCAGAAGCTTGAAGACCTGAGTTTGCTCCACGTTTGGTATATCCCAGCTACACCATGCTGCCCAAGTTTCAAGGATGGAAGATGTCTTTTTCAGATCTTCGGTGCCGTCCGTGAGCTGTTGCTCCAACTCGACACGGCTGTCCTCTGATAAGCACTCATAGATGTGTCGGAAACGAGCAACGATCTTCCATGACTCCTGGTTGCGGAAATGGTCTGGGAAGGCACGAAGAACATAAGTCATACGCGAAAGATATGGTGGGTCTGTGGAGACATCAGCATGCTCAGTCAAGTAATCTGTGAGGTTTCTTAGTCTTGCTTTGGCTCCAATCTCAACCGCATCAGCTTGTTTCTGAATTTTGGCGCCGATGGCAGCGTAGCGCGAGAACACGGACGCCAGATAGTCTGCTTGGTGACCCGATATCACACCCAGTAAATCTTTGAATGAGACGTGAACTGACTTTGATTTGGAAAAAACCATCCAAATCAACACGTCGTCGAACCCAAGACGGATAGCAGCATCGGCCTTCGTATTCTTTTCAAGGGGATTGGAGAATTTGGCGAGTGCTGATTCCAAGGTCAGGTGCATAGTCAAAGCAGATCCAGTGTCGGTATCAAGAATGGGTTTGAACCGAAGCGTCAAATTGAGGTGACTCAATCCGACATCCAATTGATCTTGTACCGGAGCAGCTGTCATTCGGCTCGTATCAAGCTTCTGGTCGTTGAATAGCTTAGCGTCGATGCTTGGCACAATCAAATTCAGCTCAGTGATACCACGACGCTTCTTCTTTTGGTCTTGCACTTGCTGCACCTTTCCCATTACATCCATTTGGAAGGTATCAATCACGTCTTCGGAACGTTTGGGCTGCAAAGCAGTAACGATATTCACGATGGTCTCGCTGATTCGAGGCTCGACATAGATGCGAATACCAGGAACCATGCGAATCATGAATGTGGACTGCTCCAGATCTCCATCCTGATCAAGATTGATATCCCAATCGCTCTGCGATGATGTTTCCGAGAGATCGTCAGGTTCGTCAACCACTGTCGAGAACTGAGGTACTTTGCTCAAGTCGGCATCGACATTGAGATACTTGGGATCGGGTACAGAGAAGGGACTCCACAGACCTACAGTCCCTAGAGGTTGTGCGGCACCTGAGTTAGAGTGGTATATCACGGGACGGGAGTGTTCCACATCGTCGAGATCACCTTTCGGCAAAGCTTTCTGAGTTGAGCCATAATTGACTGAAGAGCTTGATTTGATGGACGATTTGATAGATCCGTCTGCTGCAAGCTCCATCCTTGAAGGTCCTTTCTTGATAGGATCGGGAAGCTTGGGCAGCTTCATGGAAGGCGGTTCTGTGAAAGCGGTCTCTATTTCCTCGTCGTGCGCTTGGCCTTCTCCGGCGCTTGGCCCGCGATTTGCTATCAGAAACTTTGCTCTGCCAGTCCTAGCATCTTGCTGACGAATGTGATGTTGTTGCTTCTCGCGCTCTCCCATGAAGTGAGCCTTTCTTTGCACCATGGACAAATCGACACTGGTTTGGAGGAAGGCAATACAGCTTGCTGGCTGTACATCTCCTCGAGACCCTCGGTGTGCCATTGAGTCTGTGTCGACACAAGTCGCGGTGATATTTGGAATGTGGACATGCATACGGGAAGAAAACAGTCCATCCGCACGATCGTTCTGGTTGAGAGTGATGGGCTCCGAATAAAGACGTATAGAAGACTTGCCTTCGTTCAGCCAAAGACAGACAGAGCCAGTCTTGAGTCTCAAGAATACAGCCTCGGGTATTTCCGCGGTTTGTGCCAAAGGTAGAGCGTTCTCAAAGTCATCGAGCGCAAAGGCCACCGCCCTCCCAGCCTTGGCCAATTGTTGGATGAATTCAAGCGAACACTCTCCTGACACGTTACCCAGACTCACATCCCAATTCGAAACATATGCAGGTTCTGTTGGTGGAAGACCAAACAAGCGGTGACCCGTCACACTTGCACTGTCCAGAATGATCTGCGGCGAAGAGCCATCAGGTCTTTCCTCATTATCGGGTATGCCAGACCAAGAAACAGAGACTGGACTGACATCAACTGCAAGATCGAGATAGTAGTTGGCAACACGAAGATCCATCGAGGCCACAGGCAACTCAAGCTTGATGTATGTTTCTGCCGAATAGAGATTTGCTGGTAGCATGATTACTGGATGTTCAGCAGTGATGCAAAGAACAACATCAAGATCATTGGCGGGCCTGAAAGCGAATCGGCCTACCATATTGGTTTCCGCATTGGCAGCATCTGACCCAGCATTCTGGTATTCTTCGAGTGTTTTGAAATGTAAGAACTCTCCGAAGTAGTTTTCTTTCACATTGACGAACATGCGTACAAGGTAACCGAAGGCTTGTAACTCCAAGTCCGTGCCACCAATGTCCATTTGCAGCATGTCTGTCAGACCAGGAGATTGCTCTACGAAGAACGTGTGACTGCCACCCAGAGTCAACTTCTTCAGGGTTGCAAGTCGCTTCTGTCGTAGAAGACTGTGCAAGGTGATGCGAGGAGGATTGCTGATATCTAGAGACATGTCCTTGGCAAGCACATCAAACTTGATGCTGCTCTGCGCCGGTCTGTATTGATCTAGCGGAATCTCCAATGAAGCTTGAAGCTTTTCGCCATTGAGGACGAGAAAGTTGTTGTCTTCCACATCTGAAGGATCGTTGACGATATTGGCATCATTGGCATTCAGGAACAGCTTGAAGTTTGTAAAGTTGATGTCCAGAGAATACGTAAATGGAACAAAGGTGTAGAAGTCAGGCGGTGGTCCCATGCCCCAGTCAGCAATGAGATCAGTCAACAAGAACATGTGATCACGCAACATGTAGAGATCGAGGCCGTCACCGTGAATCTTGAAAATCCATTTGCGTAAAGAATTCCACTTCAGAGGATTTGAAAGATCGCCATCAAGCAACAAGTTTCCCGCCTTCCACAACATAGCATGGTTGACGCTGGATGAGATCTCGGTACCCTTGACGTCAAGACTTAGCTTGTTGTGATAACCATCCTGACGTGCGTACATGTCCATGGCGTAGTTGATGGTGGTGTCAGCAGCGACCTTGACGTCCATCCAGCCGAAAGGACGAATATCGGCACCAGTGGTCTGTTGCTGTTTCTTGAACCACTTCTTGGAGCTTTTGCCGCGGCGCTTGCGCAATCCGGTTTCAGCAGTTTTCTGGGTCTTGTGTCCTTCGGCACGTCCTTGCCATTTCCAATCTTTTGAGGCTTCACGTGTCGGAATGCGAAGGGTGATCTCGCTCTCCAAGCAGAAGAAGAGTTTGAAGACGGTAGCAACTCTGTTCTGATCAACAGTAAGGCGCTGTGCAGGAACGGCATCATGGTATGAGGCGGGGAAAAATATGTTTTGAAGAGTAACTCGTTGCCTGTCAGCCCAGGGGCCATAGTTGATGATAGCACCGTCGACTGATAGATTTAAGCCATACTCCGGCGCAGACGGGCCATTGACCTCATCGAAAAGGCTGGATTGACCAGTGATATGAGATTGCGAGACCTTTCCTGGAACATCCCAATAGAAATTCATGCTTGCCTTTTTCACGTCTGCAACATTCGAAAATCTTGCATACTCAACATCATCCCATTCGTTGTGCTCATTGCCCGTCTCATCCAGATAGCGTGCTAGTCCCTGCCATTGTGCTTCACCGGGTAGCTTTGGCGAGTCTCCGTCAAGAATTTCATCTTCGCTGAGGAGTGATGCAGTCCTGACAGAGCGCTTCGAGCTGCGATGCCAAGTAAACAACCACAAGACTGCATGCCAAATAGCGCGCAAGATCTTGCGTAGCCGGCGGATTGGATGGAAGCCAAAGATACCACGACCCTTCTTGGCCTTGGGGTCTTGATCCTGGTCCAAGTGTGCAGCAGCCTGCATCTGTGACATTTGATAGTCCATGTTGGGCTTGAGGGCAACATTGATATCGTGGAAATCGAAGTTGAACATGAGCTTGTACAAATCCAGAGAACCAGCCTCGTCGGCGTCAATCCTACCGCTAGCATTTTCCAGCTTGGCAGTAAGGATACTTTGGGTATAATCGTTACCAACAGCTGCGGCAGCCTTTTTGCATTCGACCTGAATTGGAAATATCTTCAGGAAGGCTGGTATGGCGCTCTCGTGAGTGGTTGTCCTGGTCGTAGTCCTACTTGCTGTTTCGGCTAACAAAGATTCACTGACACTACTGGGAGTTTCCTGACGGTCCAGACCATCTGAGGGAGCTGTCTCTTTGGTGAAGTCTGCAGGTGGAATGTCTGCGCTTGGAGCGTTCGGGTCCTTTGTGCGAGCCTTGTTCTGGAGGTTTGCGATGATGTTGTCATAGACCGGACTCTGGTTGTACAAGAAGGCCTCGACGCCAGAGACCTTGACGAAGATACGGCAAGGCAGACTCTTTTGACGATTTATATCCGCAGCTTCAGCCATTCCCACGCTCTTACTCCTAGTTCGGGGTTTTTCATGCGATCCATCGGAGCTGCTGTGGTCGGTCTCGGAGGCTAGATGGCGAAGGTGAACTTTCTGCATGATCTGAGGATCTTGAACTTGGCGTAACCAGTATCGCCAGGTGATGTGGCCATCGTGAACGAAGACGGTCTGGTTGTGGCCATGATATCGTATTGACTTGAAGAAGAGGCGGCCTCCCAATATCGAGAGTTGAAACGATGTGATGTCGATGTAAGCGCGGTATTTGTGCCAGGTCCAGGCGCGGATCGCATACGAGATGATGGTGGAAACAGTACGATTGAAGTAGAAAACAAAGAAAAGGGCCAGGATGCCACAGACAATCAGGTCGAGGAGAAAGAGCCAGTTGAAGCCTGCATGTTGGCCCAAGGGCTGCGCTGTAAGCCCGTTGCTTGCCATGTCCGCTCAGCTGCACTTAGGACTATCATGATGCGACTACGAGAGACATTCAGTCAAGGGAAAGCGCGTCTTTGGGAAAACTTGTTGCAGTTTCACATGTCACGGAAATGAACAGGAAGGAGCGCGACCGGCTAGATCTGGCCGCCAAGCCCGCCGTCATTGCGGTGAGCAGCGTGCGCACGCGCGTGCCTTCCCCACGGGAGTTTAAGTTTCACCGTTCTTGCTGCTGCTGCAAATGACGGAGCCTTCCCAGGCACGCATAATCGTGCCTTCCTATCTTCGAGCCAGTGTCGCAGACATGTCCAGTACGCACGAATAGAGTCGCCAACATGGAGCATACTTTAGGCTCGGCTTCAAACTCGCCTGTTTCCATCATGGGCAGGGAATCAAACATCGCCGGTGGTACAGGCAGTCGTTTCGCCCGCGCCGTCACCATTGTTGCTGGTGTCGCTGCCTTGGTCGCTACTATCTTGACCTTTCTGTGCGTCTCCACGCCATATAACTTGACAACCTGAATTCGTTCAACCGCTAACCCTTTCTCTCTAGCTCAACATGGCTCCAAAGGTACGCCTTATCGTGAATAGCCCTGACCGCAACCCAGGACTGACTCGTCTAGCAAAAACTATCGCAAGCCGCTTCTACAGCGCTATGTTATTCGCATCTTGATCATGTTCGCTCTCCTTGAACCTCTTAGCAACCTTTCTCTCGCTTACCTTCTCCAGGGTGCCTATCTACTCGGCCTCATCATGGGCGAGTCTCGTCTCCCTCAAGGCAGCCTTCTGGATTGGCCCGTTCCGTGATGTCTACGAAGCCTTTACCCTCTACGCCTTCTTCCAACTCCTGATCAACTTCCTCGGCGGCGAACGATCCCTCATCATCATGATGCACGGCCGAGCACCAGTCTCTCATCTCTGGCCCATGAACCATTGTCTACCCAAAGTCGACATCTCCGATCCTCACACCTTCCTCACAGTCAAGCGTGGCATCTTGCAATATGCGTGGATAAAGCCCATACTTGCCATATCTACCATCATCATGAAGGCTACCAACACGTACCAAGAAGGATACATTGGTGTCACATCTGGCTACTTGTGGAGTGGTATCATATACAACGTCAGCATCACACTTAGTCTGTATGCTCTTGCTCTATTCTGGGTCTGCATGTCCCAAGACTTGAAGCCTTTCCGCCCCATGCCAAAGTTCTTGTGCATCAAGGGCATCATCTTCGCATCTTACTGGCAAGGTTTCTTCCTGTCCATTCTTGTCTGGCTAGGTGCCATCCCCGACGTCAGCGCACGATACTCGGCAGATAACGTGGCCGCTGCGATCCAGGATGCCGCCATCTGTTTCGAAATGCCAATCTTCGCCATAGCGCATTGGTATGCCTTTTCCTGGCACGATTATGCCGATCAAACCATCTCGGATGCTCGTATGCCTGTCAAATTTGCCTTGAGAGATGCCTTTGGACCACGCGATTTGATCGAAGACGCAAAGGAGACCTTCTACGGCACCAAATACGAGTACCGATACTTTGATGCCGAAGATAATGTCATCGCACACGAGCAGTCGGCATCACGTGCTGCCAGGATGAGAGAGGGTATGCGTTATGGAAGAGGAGGAAAGGGAAAGTACTGGCTACCCGAAAGAGGTCATGCAGATGCAAAAACCCCTCTTCTAGGCGGGAACAGTCGCGCTCGCACGATGAGTCCAGGAGGTGGCAAGTCACCTTCACCGCATGGATCATTCAGATATGGTGCGCAATCACCTCCAGAAGAGCCAGAGCTGGATGCCGAAGAGGAGCGCCTCTACAGCAGTGCGAGAGCGTTGGAGTTCGGTGATTGGAATGTGAGTTTTGCTGCCCGAAATGTGTCTGATGCACTTCCTGACATCAACAGTACCCTGTTATCAACACACATTACGCCAACAGTGATGACAGACTCCGCGCTGAGCCAGAAATCATTACAGCTTCGACCAATCGCCAGCTTCTGCAACCAGGCAGCAAGAACTACCGCGAGAGACGGAAGAGCAAGATTCATGATATCCAGGAAAATGCTCACCAAGGTAACCACCGCAACAGTCGCAGCAGCCGCGGTAGCGCAAGCACCAGCAAGTCAAAGGCGAAGTCGTCGATACCGGTTATTGGCAGCCTCCTTCGACACGAATCATCCGAGTCGGCAGTGACTGTCAACTCACACAATAGCCAGCTGGTGGATCTCGTGGTAGAAGACCACCAAGCAGAAGAGATCGAGCGCGTGAGAGCACGCAAAGAGGGTGGACCGGGATGGAACGAGGTCGAGCAGAAGCATTTTGTGTAAGTCGCAACCCCTCGACTTCTTCCTCGTCTTGAGACTAACAACCCACACAGCAAAACCTACCCAGACGGCGATGAAACCGAGGAAGTGCGCGAAGGCTACACGCCCGACCGAGTGGACCACGTGGACTCTGAAGAAACCCACAATCTGAACGAGCCCTTCACCGTCGGCGACGACGATGATGAAGATGAGGAATCCCAAGATGAGCTCGGTCAGGGTAAGCCTTGGGATTCGCGCGATTACGGAAGCAATGTCACGTCTCCGCAGCCCGAGTACGGTAGCTTTAACGACGAGAGAAATGCATGGGGAGGACGATAGTGTACGATGTCAAGCATATTTTCAATACCATAGCCTTTAAGCAATCACGCTGCTCATGGAACTACCCCGTAGTAACATTAATATCTCCACGGTCAGCATAAAGAGCCATTGCGGAGGGGTCATACTCAAGTCGGAATGATCTACTGCCTTGACTCAGCGACGAGACTCTGGTGTCCTTGATCACTGGTAACAACTTGGCTCAGTGCTTCTTCTTCCACCAACTCCTGTACTCTAAGCTTCACATATACTTGCAGTAAATCATGTCTTTGGTAGAAGCTTTTCACATTCATCTGCTCAAAAGCTAACATCTAGAAATATCGGCGAGGAAAACCTAATTAAAGGCACGCCGCCCTATGATATCCCAAAAGGCTCTTCATCCATCATTGTTTGCGTTGTCCTTGTGTGCAAATCCTTCAGTTTCTGCTTGATCGCGGTGGAAGAGTGGAGGAAGGAAAAGCTTAGATCATCAGTCTCTCGACCTTGTCCTTGAGAGCGCGGATCTGGCCCATGAGGTCGGAAGCCTCGTTTGTGGTGATGGAAGCGGCGATGACGGCGCGGGAGACACCGCAGGCGCGACCGAGGGCCATCTTGGAGGGAACGTCTGTAGCATATCATGTCAGTTGGTGATTCCCCCTTGTGCCTGGGGGCTTGTTCTTACAGATGTATGCGACGTTCTTGTCCTCGCAGAGAAGAGGGATGTGGAGGAGGATGGCAAGAGGAGCGGTGTCGGCGGCGAGGATGACGACTTCAGCGACACCACGGTTGAGGGTCTTGGTGGCCTCGTTGGCGCCCTTCTTCAACTGACGGTAGTGGGAGGCCTGCTGGACCAGATCGAGGATGTTCTGGGTGAGGGCGGCGTCGGCGACGGGCCAGGCGGCGGAGTCGTTCTGCGACATGTTGATTTGTTGGAGGTGGGTGGGAGGGTTTTGTGGAAATGGCTCGCCCGTAAGGTTCCTTGCGCGTTTGCTCGCCCGGGGTTCACGGCCGAAGAGTTGGTGTGGGATGGGACGAAAAGTCGGAAGTTGTTGCGAGAAGAAGTTTTGGAGAGTGAGAACGGAAAGTTTTGTTCGGGATTGAGTGCCAAGGCTGCAGGGCTGGGAGGTCGGTTGCGGGCCGAAAGACTCATAGGGCTGAGCAGGGGCCACCTTTCACATGTTTGTACATGGAGCATTTGACAGCTTGCACCAACAGTTCACTCACCATTTATTATTTACTCCAATCATGGTATGTGGAATAACTGAGCAAAGTGATGGATGTGTAACTGATGGGAATCTCTAGAACTCACTTTTCAACTCAGCACTGCGGCAGTCCAACGCAATCCGCAAAGACCTCGATGCCTACGCCGAGTCAGCGACAAGCTCGCCCGCCCTTCAAGGACAGCTCACCACATCCCTCACATCCTTCAGTCGAACATTAGACGACTACTCGAGAAGCGCTCAACAAGAGCTGGTCCCAGAGAAAGCGCAAAAGGCACAAGACCGCCTGGCCAACTTCCGCGCCGAACTGCTCGACTACCGCAGTCGCTTCGCCCTCGTCAAAGCAGAGCATGAGGAAAACCAACACCAGAACAACCGCAATGATCTGCTAGGCCACCGTCGTCCACACGGCGCCAACGCCACGCCTGAGAACCCCTACGCAGATGCCTCGATGGCGAGTTCCTCCCGCGACGCCGGCGCAAACCCCCTGTTTCGCACACGAGACGGCTTCGTCACCACACCTACAGGCGCATCGGGCTCAAACCCATACTCCTCATACCAATCACCATACGCCCTAAGCACAGACTCTGGCGACCAAGCGAGAGAAAACCACGCCCTTCGCGAACAAAACTTCTTCACATCAACAAATGCCACCTTGGATGAGTATCTAGAAAGAGGTCGCGCTGTGCTTGGTGACTTGGGCGAGCAGAGAGATATTCTCAAAAACACTCAGAGGAAATTGTACAGTGTTGCGAATACTTTGGGTATTTCAGGAGACACGATCCGCATGGTTGAACGAAGGGCCAAGCAGGACAAGTGGATTTTCTGGACGGGCGTTGCTATTTTTGTCATCTTTGTCTATTTTGTGCTCAAGTGGTTGCGATGAGCAGGGAGTATTCTTGTTGGTCGGTAGTCTTGCACCGACATGTAGATTAGCGAGGCGCTCCGGGTATTTGGGTCGTGCTTCCAAATTCAAGCTTCTTCGATGAGATCCCTGAAATGGCCAGAACTTGTTGATCTGCGCTTTGCAGATGAGGCCGGTAAGGCCGTCTATATCGCTTGGTTTTATACAGACTTTGGCCTCTGCAACTTCTGTCCTCTTTCGGCTGGGAACATAGACACGATAACGCCTCCGATATACCTCAGCTGAAAAAGTGATGTCAATGCCATGTTCACGTAGCATGGGCATGGGCATGGGCATGCTTGGCAACATCATCATCATCTACCTACCGTGTAGACGGTGAATAGCGAAACCTTAACACGGGCTGGACATGCCTTCTGTAGACCAACACAAGTGCTCAACCCATCTTTCTGTCCAAGAGCGCTTGCTCCCTTTGACGTGGCTTTCGTTCGCGACTTTCCCCTGTCGCGGCAGTCGCTCCTTGACTGGCCATGACGGCACCCTCCCACAGCCACGGACGCGGCTCCCTGTCGAACCTGGGGACGTCTCAGATCGATACGCTGATCGACTTCATAACACACGACGACCGACCGACCTTTCTGCTCGATGTCAAGACACGGAATATACCCTTTTGCAACTCTGCCCTGGACTCACTTCTTCAAGCGACAGCCTCCCGTCGTGACTTCCAATCATGGGCCGAGAGCCTGGCCACTGTCGCGAAACATGTCACCGCTCAACCAATCGACCTGGGTACCTTTGCGCAACAGAAATGGATGGGAAAGAGCCTGGAATCATCACTCATGACCGTCTTTTGTCGCTGGACTCCTGCACCGACTACACAGGCCGAGAATACTACAACCTTAGACCACCATCAGGAACAAGACACTCCTTCCTCGCATAGCAGCAAGAATGGCAACACCGGGGTAGAGAAACTTTCTGACATGTACATGGGATGGCTGGAACCAAAAGACGACCCCTGGATGTCCTTTGTCAGGAATTATCCCTTCGATCAGACCCCTCTCGGTCCCATCTCGTCCTGGCATACCCAGCTTCGCCGTTCCGTACAGAGAATGATGGTCTGTCCAGAGACGCGCATTCTGTATTGGGGCGATCAACATCTCATGATCTACAATGAAGCCGCTGTACCTATTCTCGGCAAGAAACACCCCTGTTTAGGCATGCCCTTGGTCGACACATGGGGTCAAGTCATGTATGACCAGATTACCGAAACCATCAAGGCTGTTGTCAGTTCGGGAAAGGCATATCAAGCAAAGAACATCATGTTCGTACTGGAAAGAGATGGCTTTCCCGAACAGACATGGCATCACTTTTACCAATTGCCCATCATTGGCCCGGACAGCCGCTATCTTGGCTGTGTCTGTGAATTTGCTGAAAACACTACTGCTGTCGTACAAGAAAACAGAGCCGCCATACTCGATTCCTGGATCAAGGCGGCCGCCGTCGCAACTTCTCTCAAGCAGCTCTGGTCTGCCTCGTTGGACTCGCTGGGTAAAACCTCCATCGACATTGTCGCTGGTTGTGTCTTTTCTCTCTCCAATACTGCTGAGAATTCGCGACTTGCAAAATCATCAATGGATCCGCAAGACTACCTCCTCGAGGCCTCGTTCGGTGTTTCCGATATGCAGTCAAGGCCATCGTCATCTCTGCTTGATGCGCTTAAGACTATCCCGATTTTCGACAGACTGGCTATCTTGAGACAAGCTGATCACTCCCTTCCTGATGGTCTCCGCTGGACTACTCCCGATCACGGCACGATAAACACTCTTTGTGTGATGCCTATCACCGATCTGAATGATCGCAGGCTTGCTGTCGCCGTTATAGCCATGAACCCTAATCGACCTTTCGATGAAGGTAGCAAATCATTCATAACAGGCATTGCTGACTTGCTTCGTAAGACTGCCATTTTCATCACTTTGCCCGAAGAGCAAAGGAAGAATGAGGAAATAACCTCGGCCTTGTCTGACAAATTGCAAGTCGCTTTGTTGAAAGCTGAAAAGCAAGAGGAGTCTTACGCGCGCATGGCTAGGCAGGCTCCTATTGGCATGTACATGTTACGACCAGATGGGTATCCTGTGTTTGTGAATGATGCATATTTGGAACTGCACGGCACAAGTCGAGCGCAGTTCTACAAGAATGCGGATGAAGGTCTTGCTTGGAACCCATCAGTGTATGAGGAGGACTTGGAACTTGTCAATGACATGTGGCGCAGAACAATCGAAGGCAAGAAGCCTGTGCAAGCTGAATTGCGTTTCAGAACGCCCACAACATCGTCGCCCGACAAGGTTCGATGGGTGGAGTCAATGTCTTATGCTGAGCGTGATGCTGCAGGAAATGTGACCTCAGTTCAGGGATGGCTTCTTGACGTGAGTCCGAGAAAATTGACTGAACGACTCATAAGCGAGAAACTTCAGGACGCGCTCGAGACCAAGCGCGCAACAGAAACCTTCCTCGATATGTTGAGTCACGAAATGCGTAATCCTCTATCCGGCATTCTTCAGCTTGCAGATGGAATTCTGGGAATGGTCGACCTTCCGACAAATCAAGACACAGTCGATCCGTTGATAGATGCTGCTCAAACAATCACTCTATGTGCTCGACATATGAAGCAGATCATTGATGAAGTGTTGACCTTTTCGAAACTGGATTCGAACCTTCTGGTACTGAGTCTGGAAAAGGCACAGGTACCTTCAATCATCAAGACGGCATTGAAAATGTTTGAAATGGAGATTGAGCACGCCAAAATCACGGCGAACATAAACGTCGATAGAAGTTTCACAGATCTGGCCCTTGATTATGTCCTGGTAGATCCAGGTCGTCTCTTGCAAGTGGTGAGCAAGAATATGATCTTCTGAATCTGTTGTCGAGCACTCGGCTAATATCTTCCTGCAGATAATCAACTTCCTGACCAATGCTATCAAGTTTACGAAAGATGAAAAGACAAGGAACATTACCATCAAACTCGCCGCTTCCACGACCAAACCTACGGAAAAGGATTTTGGGATTGCATTTTTACCTCCTCGCAAGGATGCCAACACCGAATTACAGATGCCTCTTACCCCTTCGGTATCAAACGGTCTTATGGACTGGACCGCAGAGGAAGAGCTGTACATTTACATTGGTGTGGAAGATACCGGTCGAGGCCTTACAGAAGAAGAGTGCAAGCTTCTGTTCCAAAGATTTGCTCAAGGTGAGTGACCTCGCGCACATACCGACACGTGAATATTTACTGAACAGTCGTCAATACAGCTTCTCCGAAAACACACAAAACCTATGGCGGAAGTGGTTTAGGTCTGTTCATCTCAAGAGGGTTGAGTGAGTTGCAAGGAGGCCAGATAGGAGTGAAAAGTGTTGCTGGAGTTGGCTCGACCTTTGGCTTCTATGTCAAGACTCGACGAGCCGCTCCACCCACTGCTCCGGCGTCACGTTCTCTGTCAATCGTGTCTACAGAAGCCATGACCGATGTCGAGAATTTGCCACACAAGGACGGCGAACTAGATGTCCAGATTGTGACCAAGTCCAATACTTCAGAGTTGAGTGATGTGACTGTGGAAAACTTGCACATCCTGGTCTGCGAGGACAATGCCATTAATCAAAAGGTGAGTTTCTTTTTTTTTTGCTTTGAGAAAAATACAACCTTTTCTCGCATGCTGATATGTATGGGGTGGCGCAGGTTATCGCACAACAACTCCGCCGTCTGGGTGTCCACACCGTCCATGTCGCCGACGACGGACTCGCCGCTTTAAATTTCCTCGAAACCACCATATTCAACCCTTCCGCCTCTTCCTCTTCCTCCATACCATTATCCCTCATCCTCATGGATGTGGAAATGCCTGTGATGGATGGACTTACCTGCGTCCGCCGTATCCGCGAATTGGAATCGAAGGGGGGTATTATTGGGCATGTGCCTGTTATTGCCATTACTGCTAATGCTAGGAATGAACAAGTTGCTGTTGCGGTGGAGGCGGGTATGGATGAGGTGGTGACCAAGCCTTTTCTCGTCAGGGAATTGGTTCCTAGGATGGTGGCGCTCGTGCAGAAATGTTTGCGTTGATGGGGAATTGGGGGGGGATGGGAAATGATGAAATTATGGAAATATTCGATCGGGAAATTTCGTTTTCTTCCCTTTCACGGACATTATTGCAGCTTGAAGGGAAGAGCAATTTCTAACATGATTTATGGGTGGAGAGGGGGTTGGGTGCATATCACTTCTCGCTTTCATGGACGCTTTCTGACAATGGGTTGTGGAGGGCATTGATTGGAAACATCCATTCAGGCAATCGTGCTCACTGGCACCACACACACAAAACCCGGCGAAATACCCTTCTATCCTCGAAACACCAACTTCTGCACCTCGACGGATACTTCCAGGACAGGGAAAACGAAATCTTCAACATCATATCACTCGAACTCCTTCTCGGTCAGGGGGGTGAGTATTTTACTCCCTTCTTCTCCCCCTTTCCGAGAGAGAGTGAGGGAGAGAGAGTGAGAGAGAGAGAGAGAGAGAGAGTGAGAGAGGTGGAAAGAGAAGGAAAGAGAAGAAGGTTCTCTCACAATAGTGGAAGAGGATATGTGGCGACAAGCTCATGGCTTGTGAGTCGTGGTTTGGGACGTGTGTCTTCAGCTGCTTGCACGTGTGTGTTCAGCTGCATGCATGTGTGTGTTCAGCTGCATACATGTGTGCGTGCGTACGGCTAGGATGGATGTGCATCATCATTTGGACTTGAACGGGTAAAAGATGCATTTGCAATACTAGGGGTGTTGCTTTATCGCTTTATATCGAAGTTATCGTCGAGGCATTGTTGGAGGGATAATCATCAAGGAAATGATGGTTATCTTGTGTCGGTAACCAGCCTATGAGCATACCAGGCGAGAAGGCGACAAGGCGAGATCCTCGCTCAATTGGAGACTGGAAGTGGAAAAGACGACGATGTATATACGATGTTGAATTTGAAGTTGCAGGAGCGAAAGGACGGCATAGACAGAATGAAGGAGTCTCTGCTTAAATACCTCGGGACGAGGGTTATGGTCGCAGATGCATTTTCTGGGGAGATTGACACGGTGAAGACGTGTGTAAGAAGTGCTTGCTATGCAGAGTACCTAGCATTGGTATGCAATCTTACGAGCTTTTCCCTCAAAAGTGGATTTTTTCGTGAATGGTTATTTCAGACAAGGGGAAGTGAAGAAGGCACGCTCGTCTTAAGTGACGAATTTTTGATATAAGCCGGCATGTTCTTCGGCTTTTGGGACTGATGGTTTGGTCGTAAGGTGCTGGAGGGTGGAAATGAACGGTTGTGGGTGCAGATTTTTTCAAGGTATTCTTTGGACTGTATGAGGTGACGAAAGGGCAGAGTGGAGCGTGGCACTGGCTTCAGACAGCTTTGATGTACATTGCTTGACCACATATGTTGGGAGATGGGCGTGTGTAGTTTTCGAGCGTGCCTATTGTCAAAGGATTTTTGCGATGAGATATCAATACCGACAATGGGAAAATCTATGATTTTTAAATCCAAGAGACAAGAGACATGCATCGATAGTTGCTGCCACGAAAACTTGAACCAATAGTAAAAAGCTAAGTGAACCTGCCAGTCAGAAGGGTAGATTTATCCCAAGCTCAAGGCTGATAAAGATGGAAAGTTGTGGGAGTCAAGCGTGACATCGCGTCTTCCATTTTGCGGTCACGTATGTGTTGACAGTTGTCCAGAGAAGGTTGGGGTTTTACGTATTGGTCAAGGCAGTAGAGGTTGATAGGTTAAGATGGCTATCGTGGTTGATTTGAAGTGAATGTTATTTACCAAAGCGTTTTGATGCGCGTAGAAGCTGCAATTCGGGTTTCCTGAAAACCCCTCTGATGATGTTGTTGATTGTTTGAGATGATTCGATTGCTGATAATCAGATGTGCAATTCACAAGATCGAAAACGAGTGTTATCGACTTCGATACGAAGCAGCAAATGAAGAAGGTGGCAAACAGCAAAGCGGGTGGCATCGCAACCAACGGGGGGCCCAGCCGTCGATCTTTCGTTGGGCAGCAAAGCTCGGCAAAATCACGAAGGCTGGACTTGACGCTTCACGCGCCTTGACGAACACGAAGAGTGATGGAAGGCAAGGATGAGAGGGAAAAAATGTAGTCAACTGGTGGAGACAAGCACGGAAAAGAGGTTTGCCACATGGACGAGGTGCGGTGTCCTGGTTGAAGCTCGGTGAGGTCGGCGAAAGTAGCCTTTGCATGTTGCTTTTTAGGTGAGGTGAGCTGCAAAGGCAAGGCAAGCTTGAGGAGCTATGGACGTGTGAGCTTGATTAGCTTCCTGGAGCTGTTGATACAAGTAGAAGTTGCGCATGATGCGTGATATGAACAGGTAGATGGCTACATGGCTGTCTAAGAGTATCTCTATCTAGTCACCGCGGTGGTCATGATTGATGGTTGATGGATAGGAAGATGTGCAGCAGGCGTATAACTGAGCACGGACGTGCATTCTGATGAAGAAAAATCCAATCGGGTTGCCGCCACTTGGCACTAGCGCGCTCGCACACCCCACTCGTCAAAAATCCGTGTCTCCTCCTCACGCAGACAAAGCGAGCTCTCCTTCTCTCTCTTTCCCCTCCCATCGACTCCATCGCCTCGTCTCAGGTCAGCCTCTTTCCCACCTCACCGTCGCCTTGATAAAGACTCGGTCGCTCACTTTTTTTCTTCACAGGCAGGCTCTCTTTCAATTTACACATTCACCAGTGCTTGACGCACTACACTGAGAGCGGGGCCCTCCAAGTAAAACTTTTTCAAGAGATACCCATACAAATACCGCCAACATGGTCAAGTTCACTGTTGAGGAGGTAAGCAACGCACCACCAGCCATGCGCATGAGTAGAGATGCTGACCATGACACCAGATCCGCGGATTGATGGATTCGTAAGATCCGGCCCTATTGAGACAAGCAGCCATGGACAGCATACTGACGACCGCGCAGCCCCATCAACATCCGTAACATGTCCGTTATTGCTCACGGTAAGCCTCTCTGCGCACAACCAGCTTGCTGAACAGCCTACTGACAACACTCTCAGTCGATCACGGAAAGTCTACCCTTACCGACTCCCTGGTCCAGCGTGCCGGTATCATCTCATCGGCCAAGGCTGGTGAGGCCCGTTTCACCGACACTCGTCCCGACGAGCAGGAGCGTGGTGTCACCATCAAGTCCACCGCCATCTCCCTTTTCGCCCAGCTCTTGGACGAGGAGGACCTCAAGGACATCCCCGTCAAGACCGAGAAGAACGAGTTCTTGATCAACTTGATCGACTCGCCTGGTCACGTTGATTTCTCATCTGAAGTTACCGCTGCTCTCCGTGTCACCGATGGTGCTCTCGTCGTCGTCGACACCATTGAGGGTGTCTGTGTCCAGACCGAGACCGTCCTCCGTCAGGCTCTTGGTGAGCGTATCAAGCCCGTCGTCATCATCAACAAGGTCGACCGTGCTCTCCTCGAGCTCCAGCTCTCCAAGGAGGATCTGTACCAGAACTTCTCCCGTGTTATCGAGTCCGTCAACGTCGTCATCTCGACCTACTTCGACAAAGTCCTCGGTGACGTCCAGGTCTACCCCGAGAAGGGTACCGTCGCCTTCGGTTCCGGTCTTCACGGCTGGGCCTTCACCATCCGTCAGTTCGCCGGTCGTTACGCCAAGAAGTTCGGTGTCGACAAGAACAAGATGATGGACCGTCTGTGGGGCGACAACTTCTTCAACGCAAAGACCAAGAAGTGGACCAAGGTTGCTGGCGACGACACCGAGCGTGCCTTCAACCAGTTCGTCCTTGACCCCATCTTCCGCATCTTCTCTTCCGTCATGAACGCCAAGAACGAGGAGGTCTTCAAGCTCTGCGAGAAGCTCGACATCAAGCTCACTGGTGACGAGAAGGAGCTCCAGCAGAAGCAGCTCCTCAAGACCGTCATGCGCAAGTTCCTCCCTGCCGCTGACGCTCTCCTCGAGATGATGGTTCTCCACCTTCCCTCGCCCGCCACCGCCCAGAAGTACCGTATGGAGACTCTCTACGAGGGTCCCCCTGATGATGAGGCCGCCATCGCCATCCGCGACTGTGACCCCAAGGGTGTTCTCATGTTGTACGTCTCCAAGATGGTCCCCACCTCCGACAAGGGTCGTTTCTACGCCTTCGGTCGTGTCTTCGCTGGTACCGTCCGTTCCGGTCTCAAGGTCCGCATCCAGGGCCCCAACTACACCCCTGGCAAGAAGGAGGACTTGTTCGTCAAGTCTATCCAGCGTACCATTCTCATGATGGGTCGTTACACCGAGCCCATTGAGGATGTTCCCGCCGGTAACATTCTTGGTCTCGTCGGTATTGACCAGTTCTTGCTCAAGTCTGGTACTCTTACCACCTCCGAGACTGCCCACAACATGAAGGTCATGAAGTTCTCCGTCTCTCCCGTTGTCCAGCGCTCCGTCGAGGTCAAGAACGCCAACGATCTGCCCAAGCTTGTCGAGGGTCTCAAGCGTCTGTCCAAGTCCGACCCTTGTGTCTTGACCTTCATCACCCCCTCCGGTGAGCACGTTGTTGCTGGTGCCGGTGAGCTCCATCTCGAGATTTGCTTGAAGGATCTCGAGGAGGACCACGCTGGTGTTCCTCTCCGTATCTCGGACCCCGTCGTCCAGTACCGTGAGACCGTTGCCGGTGACTCCACCATGACTGCCCTGTCCAAGTCGCCCAACAAGCACAACCGTATCTACATGACCGCCACTCCTCTGTCCGAGGAGGTCTCGCTCGCCATTGAGGCCGGCAAGATCGCCCCCCGTGACGACTTCAAGGCTCGTGCCCGTATCCTCGCCGACGAGCACGGCTGGGATGTCACCGATGCCCGCAAGATTTGGTGCTTCGGTCCCGACACCAACGGTGCCAACTTGTTGGTTGACCAGACCAAGGCTGTCCAGTACCTCAACGAAATCAAGGATTCCGTTGTCTCTGGTTTCCAGTGGGCCACCAAGGAAGGTCCCGTTGCCGAGGAGCCCATGCGCTCTATCCGCTTCAACATCCAGGATGTTACCCTCCACGCCGATGCCATCCACAGAGGTGGTGGTCAGGTCATCCCTACCGCTCGTCGTGTCCTCTACGCCTCGGTCCTTCTCTCCGACCCCGCTCTCCTCGAGCCCGTCTTCTTGGTCGAGATCCAGGTCCCCGAGCAGGCCATGGGTGGTATCTACTCTGTCCTTACCCGCCGTCGTGGTCACGTCTTCGAGGAGGCCCAGCGTCCCGGAACTCCCCTGTTCAACATCAAGGCCTACCTTCCCGTCAAGGAGTCCTTCGGTTTCAACGCCGATCTCCGTGCCGCCACCTCCGGTCAGGCCTTCCCCCAGTTGGTCTTCGACCATTGGCAGGTCCTCCCCGGTGGTTCTCCCCTCGATGGCACCACCATGCCCGGTCAAGTCACCCTCGAGATGCGCAAGCGCAAGGGTCTCAAGCCCGAGGTTCCCGGTTACGAGAACTACTACGACAAGCTCTAAGGGATTTCCATCAACGAGTGATGGGAAGCCTTTCCGATACCCGCATGAGCATCTCAGGAGTATGTTCGAGCATACCCTTTCACGATTTAGGACGCGGCTGGGTAGACTTGATCTAGGATGAAGTATGATTGGGGGAAAGGAGCAGACAAACAACAACGCCACATCCCTTCGACCATGCTAATCGCATGGAGGAGGGTGGGGCGCATGACCAAAATCAAGCATTCGCTTTTCTATTGTTGTCTGCGAGCTGTAGCTTTCGTTGCATTTATCATATTGTGCGATGGAGCTTAGAAATGAAAATGTCTCTTTTTACGTTCAACTAAAAATATCTGTGCCTCTCCGTGTTGGATTTGTGATGTGTTGCTACGTTTTTCTTGCTAATTCGTTGCTGCCTCTTTGCTCTTCTGTTTCCACGGTCAGTGAATTGTGTTTTTCCCGCCACCGACGTGCATCCATCTGTTGACTATCCCTATCCACCACGGTGATTTGCCATTGACCACGATGTTTAGTCTACTGCCGATTCAGCTTTCTCTCTGGATAATTTGAAGACTTCGATTTGCGTTCTCTAGGTCTATGGTTTGCCTGACGCGCTGGTGTTGAAGAAGTTGAAGTTTGGAAGCACGTGATGTGATGACAGGGTGATATCGCAACCCACAATTTTCGAGATCGAACTGTATTCAATCGTCGAAGATTATGGCACGATATCATCTTTGGACAAAGTAACTTCATAATACAAGTGTTTGATAGTCAATGTTTGGTCCCGGAGGAGTTTCAAGTCTTTAGAACTGCTTTGTGATGGACGATATATAAATTTCGGATTTTATCGCGGCTTCGTTTTCTGGAAATGAATTCACGACTATCGTGTTAGGTGACACTTTGCAAAACCATGGATGATAAACACTTTAATCTCAAATTTACTCGCGTGGTACAAGGATCCAAGGTATCAAGGTCGTTATCATAAGAGTTGATATACATAGTCATTAGCAACTTCGGTTAGGGACGGACGAAATGGTGTAGTTGAGGTGCCATCGTCGGATGTGTTTTTTGAGCATTGTTAGCGCTATCACCCTGTCAAGTGTTGATATACAGAGGACGGATTCATCAGATGATCAGCACGAGGAGTCAGTCAAGAGGACAATCGTGCCGTCTGCGTCTTCTCGGATACTGCTGGTGGAGGAATTGGAAAAGAGGACGCGAAGGAGCGACCGAAGTATAAACGGCCTCGACGGCACAGATGGGGAAACATGCACAATAATGAAGAAGAGTGCAACAGATGAATAGTAACAAGATCATATTGAACAAGAATGGTATCTCTGGAGTTGTATAAAAGACAAGAAGAAAAATTGAACAAAAGAAAGAAAATATGCACACTGTGTCGTAGCGTTTATCGTGCATGCGGTGATTTCCCATCGTCAAAGCTCGATAACCTTGAAGCGCCATCGTCGCTGGATGTGTCGATAGCTGCAGATGTTACCTGCACTTCCGTACCGACTTTGTCTGATCCGACACCCAGATGGTGGCCAGTGATGATGGGGTCCAAGCTGCCTGTAGGCGAATGTCCCGTCCTTTCCGTAAAGCTCTTTTTGTATCTGTGTTTGTTCTCCGGCCGACCGCGTTGTTCTTCATCGATGGTGTCCAGTGCGTAGACTTGGCCGGCGCTGACGGTGACGGTACGGGTTTGGAGGATGGAGCCACCATTCGGGTCGATGCTTGAGGGGTCTTCGTTACTGCTCTTTGCGTTGTTGAAGCGGACGCGGCGATTTGAGTTGCCGCCGCCGTTGATCAGGGTCTTGCGGGTGAGTGTGTAAAGGAGGGTGTCGACCCAACCGCAGCTGGCCAGGAGAGCGCCTGCCACGCATTGATAGGCATCGGGGAGGTTCTTTTCGTGGTGTGCCATGCTCCACATGCGACCTGCTGACAGAGGAAGTGTCAGGACGATGTATGCCAATGGATATAGCACCATCAGCTTTGCTGCTCTGTCCACCTTGGCGTAACTGGTAGATTGGACTCTGACGGAAGGTACCACGGCGGCAACGGCGGCTCTCAGTCGGATTAAAACAAAGACGTAGATGATGATGGTTCCGAATTGGACAATGAATATCCAGAGGTAATGTAAAGCCAGACGATCTGTTTGATATTGCTCGCCGGCCCAGCACCATGCACCAGCACGCACAAAGTATCTGTCTTTGTATTGAATCGGACCAATGATGCTCAATACCAAGGCGAAAGACCACACCGAGACCACAGATATAGTGAAACCAACGTGCCCGATGCGACGCCCCTTGACAGCGGTGTAGAAAGTGTGGAAGGCGATGGCCATGACGAAGAAGCCGGATGTCAAATCGCCAATGTTGAGTAGGAAGCCTTGCGCGAAGCAGGCTGATGAGGGAGCAAAGATGCCGTTTTTCTTGATCCAGTGGAATGAGAAGAGGAAAGAGGCGGCTTGTATGAAGTCGGCAATCAAGAGATTCATACACAGAACAACGTATTGATTGTAGCCGACAAATGTCCTGTAATGCCTTCTCCATGTAGAAAAGCGATAGACAATGAACGTCAGAAGACCAAGAGTCGTAACGACGGAAAGCAACCCCATCAGACCCGGTGCCATGAGGCCTTTCTTCAATACTGGCCCGAGAGGCGACAAGCTGTATGGCGAAGGGTAGTGCCCTGACGACGGGTCGACGTTTATTTCTTTGACCATACTGCCGACTCCTGGAAGTGTCGTTGTTGGAATGGGATGAGAAACGAACAACCCAGTGGTTGAAAAAGACGGCACACGATCGAGATGAGGTACGTCAGAGGGTGCTGGAGGCCTTGCGGTACTGTCTGGTACCTGCGAGAGATCTCAGCCAGGGTAGCAATTGAAGTGGTCTCCCAGACGCATGGAAAGAAAAAACCAGGGCGGCAGATGGGATGGGGTAGAATGTACTGGCCATCTCTTCTAGTAGTCTATGTGCCGCTCTAGCACGTCGACGTCCTGAACGAAGGATTTAGCCATCGTATTGGCCTTTGTGCACACACCTGGAACAGCAACCTTGAATGGATCAACCTCGATCTGCAACCCCGTCGACTCAGCAGGGGTGCTCGAGCCAACAGTGCGAGTAAGGCTTAAGGTTAGTACCTTGCCGAAGCAGCTACCACCACTCTTGCGACCTGCATATGCCCCGTTCGGCTGTCAGCAAATTTCATCAACCACAGACAAGTCCCGCCGAAGCTTCAGCTCTGACATCGGCTTCTGCCCAATGGCAGTCTGGTGGGATGAGAATTGCAAGAAGCGAATTGCTCCTGTGACCAGAGTTGCGACACAAAGGGGCTAGATGGCACTATAATGCTGTAGCTATTATGTATTAAGCCACTCCAGCGGAAGCATGGGGAAGAGAGGGGTAACTCTGGCGAGCCAATATCCGCCAAACGCTTGTTATACAGACCCCGGTCTTGGTCTCGAGGTTGACATGCTTCCGTCAGAGAATGGTAGAAGGCTACGGCGACGAAGAATCACTGAGCGGCAATGCAACCAGGTGTGCATGATGCGATTCATTGCCGTGTATATGTGGCTTCGTTTGCCTCCGAGGCGTTCGCACAATATTGGACAGGACGCGATTGAGAGGCAGAGATCTGCAGGTCATGAGTAGCGATCACAATCATCAAACATGGTTGGAAGAGGCGTGTTTCGAAGGGCTGCGGCACATCAAGCCGGCGTGCCTGATGGCCGTGTCGCGACTGTCGCTTCATTTGACAGACAGGTGACTCGGCCGAGTTTGGTCTGTGTGAATTGAGTGAAGAGCAAACGAGAAAAGGTCTTTATTTTCATCGTAAGAGTCTGAGCCTTCCGACTCCCGGAAGGAGCGATGCGGGACGAAGTTGGAGGCGTCTGCAGGTTACGTGCGTACACCAATCAATATGCGCGTTCTTTCCATTATTCATCTCCGTTGACGCGGCAGATGGTGGTGCAGGGCCTCCAAAGGAAAGAAAGCATCCTCTCCGGAAATACCGAGCTTTGGGGATGCTGGTCAGAGCTCCCAGCCATTTCCAAGTCAGAGGCTCAACCATCAACAATAAGATCATCGTCAAACTTCTGTCACGACGTCGCATCACACGGGACCTACAACCCATCTCAATGGCGATCAAAGATAAATCCTACTCGCCGAGCACAGGTTGAGACTGGCGTCAATAATGATGCACCATAATTTCAAGCAGCCTTCCTCCTGTCGTTCGTTCCTCGAGTCGTGACAGCTTCTATATGGCTCGTGCGGTAATAACTTGACTACTCATCCAAACATAGTCGTTCCTTCGAGAATCTTGCCCTGCTGTAGCATGCTGACCTCTTGTGGATTTCCCGTTTTGAGACCTCAACAACGATGATCCTAAAGTCGTGGAGATTCGACCAGAGCAACAAAGACGCACATCTCTGTTGAAGACTAGGCATTCATTCGCACATCTACCACCTTCTGCCTGTTGAAGGCATAATGTCTCTATGATCAGACCAACTCAGCAGGTTATGAGGTAATTTCTGGCCCAAGATGTCTTATGTGCTATCACGATGGAAAATCAAGCCTAGAATGCAGCAATCGATTCCTGTCCTACCAACCTTTACGATTCAGTTCTGGATGGTACTCGTGTCTCGAAGCCGATCTCAAACCCGTGTAGACACCGTCTAAACAGCTTGTTTGGATGACTCTAGGTACTCGTGCTTGCTATAGTCCCGATTAGAAATACTACAAGTTCAAAAATGGTAATGCTACGAGTAGCTCTATTCGTCTACAGCTGCTAGAGAGAACGAACACGATGAAAAGGGAAAAACAAAGGCTTCTTGTAACAACACTTTGTTCTATCAATAAGAAACAATAACTTTTGTTTGCATAGAAGCGCGGAGAGGTCCGCTGAAAATTCCGTTAGGGATAATAAACTTAGTATAGTATGCATGTGCCCCGTCGGACTCGAGGTACCATCGCTTGCATTTCCAGATAGCAACAAAAAAGAATGAATTGCTCGTATACACCTGCTGTTTGCTAGATGACTTGGCTCATATATAAACGCATCGAACCCTCCCCACTCATTCTAGGAGCAGAAAAACCACCCCGGCGAAACACAACTTTCATCGTCAACCAAAAAGCCCACCAGTCAAGAAAAAAAAAAAAAAAACTCCATCAACAAATTCCATCCAGCGACGACCCAAGGACTCCTCCCATAATCCCACCTTCGTCACGCAAACCCCTCCACCACCCAACCCAACCCTCCCACCCACTCGAAAAAACAAATGTGCAAATACACTACAACATATTTCACAACCTGCCACCACAAACACCCCCATCCAATCCTCTGCCCCACCGCTCTCCGCCTCAAAACCCGCTGTATCGATTGGAACTCCACCACCAAAAAAAGAATGCGTAAGTGTTACTAGGAGCGGAATCACCTATACTCCTGCGCTTGTGGGTGATTGTGAGAATTGTGTTTTTGCTGCTGGGTTGTTGAGGGAGGATGGTGGTGGGTGGAAAGAGGCAGGGGGGATGACGGTGCGACGGGGGTTGACGTGGAGGTTTCCGGAGATGGGGAGTTAAAAGTGACGGAGAGGGGAGTGAAGAGGTGTTTGGAGGGTGCTGTTTTGCATGCTTGATGTATCGAAGTATCTGGTTCAGTCAGTTGCCGAGGGAGATATCCCATTGGCTTTGTTGTTTTTCAGACCTGTTCTTCAGAGTTGGCGAGAGCGAATACTTCCGGGAAACTCGATTGGGGAGCCTTCTTTGGATCAGGTGGAATCGAGGATAGGGTGTTTACAAGAAACAAGCAATATTGAGCAGCAGTTGATCGAGGAGAATAAAACATCATCGTTTATACACACCGACCATCCATCTTCACCAAGCCATACCTATGAACCAAAACGATCCCAACCCATCCAAAAGACACATCCTAAACATTATCTGCGGCATTGAAACTGACATCTTTCCTGCATATCAACTCTTCAAAGCCTTCTTGGTTTTCAATGACCAGACCCTTTTCGTTGGCCAAGTGCAATAAACAAATGAACCCGAAACTCGTGCTGATATCTGATAATTGTTGTTGGGGATAGACGTGCCGCAGGTTGTTCATCACATCTGTGAATTTGAAGGTGCCTTCTTCGGTTATATCGACGGTTGGTGGTGGTGGTGCTTTGGAAGGAGTTTGTGTAGGTTCAATCTGTGAGGTGTATGTCAGAAGGGGTTGATCTTGTGGATGAGAGAGGACGGGATCTTACTTCAAATCCAATGCCTCGCCACATTTCTTCCTTCAGTCGTCGTACATCGACCTTCTTCGCCACACGTGCGTATTGTACATATTCTGGTCGCATGCGTCTACTTTGCGTGATGAGATTCGATCCAAAGGCGGTTTCTTGGCTGCTCGGGGGTAGATCGTTAGGTACCCCTGACTGTGCAGCATCGAAGGCATCAGCAGCTGGCAACATCTCTTGCGCATCCGCAAAATCGTCATCGTCATCCGCAGCGCCTGGTGCTGCACCCAAGCCATCGTCTTGGAAAAAGTTGGCGTCGTAATCTCCTCGAGCACCTTCTTCATCGATGGGTTGAGGTTCAGCCAGACCTTGGTTATTTGCCCAATATGCCTCATCTACGTCGCCGTGTTGGAACTGTTCAACACCGCCACGCGTCTGTTGCGTTGACTTTCGTGAACCCATGCGAGCCTTGGGCTTGAGGAAAAGTCGTAGCAGATCGCGTGAGCTAAAGTGCTTGTCATCGGGTAGCAAATTGCGCGTCTTGCTCTTCCAGTCCTTCTTGGGCAGACTGATAGTCGCGTTCGAGGGAGCTGGTATGTAGAGGAGGTCGGCTAGTTGTTGGTTCATTGGACTCATGAAGTCGATCTCGAAAGGCTCCTTTTCCTTCTTCTTCGTCGTGGCAGGTGTCGCTTTCGCTGCATCCTTGATCTTCTTGATTTTCCAATGTTCCGGACCGGCCCAGTTTTTTTGCAGTGCTTGATCAAAGTAGCTCAGAATGTTCTCGTGTTCGTCACCGCGATGCGCCAGAGTGACACCGAACTGGTTGCCGTTTGAGTCGAACCCACCCACCTCGCCGCCTTCTGCATCAACACCAACGCCAGCATCAACGTCGGCGCCTGCATCGTGAGGTCGAAGTTGTGGCTCGACATGTGCCTCCTTAGCCCAGGCTTCACCACCCTCACCGAAACCAGCATCGATGGGAATGTCAAAGCCGCCGAATGCACCGTCATCGTCGTCGAAGCCAACAGCATCATCGTCGCCCAGAACAATTCCAGAACGAGCGTCATCATGGTCCTCCTCTTCCTTCTGCGTGCGCCAATCTTCAGGGGCCTTCAAGAAGGGCAAATCCATCGAGGCGCTGCCACCACCAAGTTCAAAAGTCTTGAGCGAGGGGCAGATATCCTGAGAGTCGAGTTTGGAGAGATCGGGGAAGAAACGAGCAGCCAGTCCAGATATGTCGATGGGTGCCGGCGGAGCGGCCTTGATTTCCTCATCGTCGAGCTTCTCCTCCTCCCCCTCAACCATGCTGTCTCGTCGAGATTCATCATCATCCTGTGCATCGTCGCTGCTGTCAAAGACGATCCTTCCAGTGTTGTCTATGGAGAGATGGTTCAGCAATAAGCCTTTTGCGCCGCCCTCATCGAAGTCAGCGGATGCCTTTTTGAACAGTGGGTCGACAGAAAATTCGAGTTCCATCTTCTTGAGCTGCAGTTGAGCGAAAGACGTTGCCAGTGTGGCCTCTGAGCGGTGTGACTTTTTCTTCGTCTTTTTCTTGGTGCCGTCTTCGCCCTCCTCATCTTCACCATCCTCGTTCTCCTCATCATCTGCATCTCCTCGCTTTTTCTTGTTTCCACTGTCGGCAAGACCGCTCAATAGTTTTCCAGTCTCTGTTGCGACACTGTCGACTCTGCTAGTGTAAATCTTGACACAGCCGTCCAGAGTACAAGAAGCTTTCTGGAAGTTGACGCCATCGCCCTCTCTTAACAGGGACATGTCGTGAAAGTAGTCGATCAGAGCAAAGTTCCAAGAATTTGTTGCATTAATCTTGTTATCGGTGGCCATTTTCATCCATTCTTCAAAGTTGGCCAGGATAGGAACACGCTTCATAGGCGTGACGGCACTTCCTCCGACATGGAAAGCCTCTTCCTGAGATGCATTTCCGCTGGGAGTTTGAGGGCCATCTGCGAGTTCTGGGCCTAGCGACTTTCGTTTGCGGGCGGGAGATGCGGCAGCCTTGAGCGAGTTCATGTGCATTTCGTGGAAGGCCTGGCGCGATTGTAGGCGCTTTGCTTTTTCTTCGCGATCATCGTTGAGCGGTATCTTAATTCCAGCTTTGTGAGGAGTCGCTGTGACGGGAGCATTGGCGGCGGCACCGCTTGGGCGCACTCGGGGCATGTTGATGGTGTCGAGGTCACCAGGGGTCCGTTGTGTAGGTAGAGCCGAATGGCGAGCGCCGATGGTTGCGACAGGGTATGCGTGCTTCGTCACCAGAGAAGAGCGCCTTTGTCGGTGCAAACAAACAACAAACTGTGGGGGTCGAGGCTCAAGCAGGCTGCCACAAGTTGCATCTCGAAAGTCGAAAGTGTGGCGCCACAGCAGCCCTATCGATACTCAGCCACATTACGGCCGATAGCCTCGTCATTGGCTGTCCCGTCCTTGGTCATGTCCTTGTCCTTGATCGAGTCGCAATCGCAGCCCACAGCACATTTCCCTAGAGACCAGCTTTTGTTATCTTGATGCCTATTCGTTTGCCCTTTCCAACCATGCTGTCCTGACCTCGACACATATCCTTCCTCCGACTCGCGACTCTCCACTCTGGCATGCGACACGCTCGCAATGACCTCGCTTCACAATCTCTACCCAAAGCACCGGGCCCATGCCTCGTCGCGCATTCATAGACGGCGATATTCACCTCAGTCCTTCGTCTACACCGTCCTGTTGTTCTCCCTGCTCGGCCTCGCAGGCTACGTCTATCGCTCCGACACATCGATCCAACGCCATGCCCATCCATACACGACTTTGAACAAGAGACAGCTCGGCGCATTCGCTTCCAGCGATGAAGAGGTGCATATTCTGATGCCTCAAACCAACGTCTATCTTACTGACCTGCATCACAGTGCCGACTCGTCCACCAAGCCACCGACCAGTGCCGCTACATCACAAAACACTGCCCCGATGAAGACCCAGGCTTCTACTCGTATCTTTCCCTCTTCTACTGCCGAATGCCGCACGCCAAACCCGTCGCTTTCCTCATTCTCGTCTCATGGCTTGGTCTTTTGTTCAGCACTATCGGCATAGCTGCCAGCGACTTCTTCTGCATCAACCTGAGCACAATCGCTACTATTCTTGGAATGAGTGAGAGCATGGCTGGCGTCACCTTTCTGGCTTTCGGAAACGGCAGTCCAGATGTCTTCTCTACCTTTGCCGCCTTCAGTACAAACAGCAGTAGTCTGGCCATTGGAGAGTTGTTCGGTGCTGCTGGCTTCATCACTGCTGTCGTTGCTGGTTCCATGGCTCTTGTTAGACCTTTCAAAGTTGCCAAAAAGGCCTTCATCCGTGATGTTGGTTTCTTCACCGTTGCCGCCGCTTTCAGTTTGTCTTTCTTGTGGGACGGAAGACTACACCTCTGGGAGTGCATCACAATGGTCCTCTTCTACATCTTTTACGTGGCTTTTGTTGTCGTCTGGCACTGGTGGATGGGTGTCAGAAGACGCAGACGTGAGAGAATTGCTGCTGCTAGAGGCCATTTCATCGTCCCTGGAAGCGAAGAAGTCGATGCCGAGGAGTCCTATCATGACATCGAAGATGAAGAGTCCAACACAAGGCCTTCGTTCTCCCGCGGCCCTTCAGTCGATGACTTTTCTGCTCTTGAGAGAGGCGACACACCTCACATCGTCGAGCCATACGAGGACGAGGATGACGACGAAGCTAGAGACCGATGGTTAGGTGAGCTGAAGAGCAATATGCGCTTGACTAGACCTGGCCCTGGATCTCGTCGCAATACTCTGACGCCCATTCGACCCAGTTTGGTAGGTGCTCTTGAGTTTCAAGCAGTCCTCAAGTCTTTGCAAAAAACCAGACAACATCAAACGATTCCCATGCACACCAGGCGCTACTCTGACGATCCAACATACACTACTGTTCAGCAACAAGAGCAGCTATCTGGAGATTCCGACCCAGCTGCTCGACCTCCTTTCCATGCGACGACCGAAGGGAATTCTCCAACCCTTGAACGGCCTGCTCTTGACGTCTTCAAAAACACATCTGGCCGTACACGTGCCGTCTCTGCGAACGATGCTGCGCATTTGCGCATCGATCCTCGTTTCGTGCAAAAGCACACCCCTAACATGATGGACATCGTCGAAGACGAAGACAATAAACTTCAACCACCTTCAGCTCGGCCAGCATCCTTCCGCAGTATGCCATCTGATCGTTCTCGTCGACCTCACACTCCTGAAGTCACCGTCTCTGATTTTGATGATTATGTCACGAGCTCGCGACAAGACCCTGAGATTGACGCTTCTGAGTACCAACGTAACCGTTCTACAAGCTTGATCAGTGCACCAGCTCCAGACATGTTGGAAGATGCGGCAGTATCTCCAACTCCTCGATCTCGCTTGAGCAGCCCTAGCCATTCACCTCGTACATTCGGGAAAGACCTTTACAATCTCAAGATACCGGCAAGCAGTCAGATCTCACCGAATGCATCAGCGCCGTCTTCTCCTTTCCCAGCATATTATGAGCCGGCTTCCGCTAGCAGCTCTAGACCTCCTAGTCTATACCTCCCTCCCGCAAGCGTTTCTGTTGCTTCATATCCCCCAACGCACATTGATGACGAGGAAGATGAGAGACCTCTCCGCTGGTGGCCCTACAAGATCCTTCCACCTCCTCTTGTGTTGTTGTATAGGCTCTTGCCCACGATTGAGCATTGGCGAAACAAGAACTGGTGGGAGAGATTGCTCGCTGTAGTGGCAGCTCCAAGCATGTTCTTGTTGATTGTCACTCTGCCCGTTGTAGAGTCGGATCGGGAGGAGATTGAAGAGGAAATCGGCATTCTTGACAACACAGGTCCTCAGGCTCCTAGCATTCACCCCCTGGACACTGAAAGTCCTCTATCTGAGTCACACGTTTCGGACTACATGCATGCCTCTGCTGCGCCAGGTGGTGGAAGTGCTGCAGTAGCAACCCATATTGAGCGAGACTTTCTGGCCGTTCCTGGAGAACATGACCCTCTCTTGTCCGCGGCTGTGAACACAGCTCTCCCATCGCCCCATCCATCAAGCGCCAAAATTCAACCTCAGTACTGGAACAGATGGCTGACGATCGTTCAGTTATTCCTGGCGCCTTTGTTGATCGTTGTCGTCATCTACACTCAATACCTCGACGATGAGACCGACGGCATACGAACGCTCATTCGACCAATGCTGATATCCTTACTTGCATCGGTTGTCCTTCTCATCCCTCTGCTCTTGACTACGACACCAACTCACAGACCAAAGCCATACAATACCATCCTTTCCATGGCTGGCTTTGTCGTCTCGATAGCGTGGATCTCTACTATCGCTTCACAGGTCGTCGCTGTCTTGAAGGCACTTGCAGTCATCATGAACATGTCGCACGCAATCATGGGTCTTACCATCTTTGCTGTTGGCAATTCACTGGGTGACCTTGTCGCAGACATCACAGTGGCAAGACTAGGCTATCCTATCATGGCATTGAGTGCATGTCTTGGTGGTCCCATGCTGAATATCCTACTCGGTATTGGTCTTTCCGGCTCATGGATCTTGATCCGTGGAGCGGAGCACAGACATGAAAAGCACCCGGGGAAACCGATCAAGTTCCGCACGTACGAGATCGAGGTCGGACAGACACTGATCGTCAGCGGTGTCACGTTGCTCATAACCTTGATTGGACTTCTCATCGCCGTGCCCATGAACAAGTGGATTCTTAGCCGAAAGATTGGATGGATCCTCATTGGTGTGTGGTGTGTCAGTACCACCGTCAATGTCGTTCTTGAAGTCCTCGGAGTTGGAGAAGCAGGAGGCGAAGAATAAATACCTTTGCTCTCCGCAACTTGTTCCAGGTAAGCATGAAGCCTGGGATGTCGACAGTTATCTCTTTCACACCAGCAAGCATATTTCTTCTTTTCTTTTGGATTTTCGCATATCGAGATGTTATCATTACCTTCTCTTCTCTGTTCATTCTTTTTCGAATTCGGTGGCGTTTGGAGAGAGCGCCGCGACTTTCACGTACATAGATGAATGATACCCACAACCATTTGAGGATGCCGCACAATTCAGGCACATGACGTACGAGAAGATGTGCACACCAATCTACGTTGCTCTTATTTTGTGACTGATCACTGCCGGCTTTCAAGGTCTCTTGCTAGGGCCAAGAAGCAGGTCGCCGCTTGAGGGTGGTACATCTCGTTGGGTATCTATGCTCGAGTCGACTGTCTGTGTAACAAAAGCGGATGAGTTGACAGTCGTTTCGAAAACTCGATCGGAGTAAACTCCCACTCACGTTGCCTCGTCTGTGACTCATCGTCTTGGTTCATGTCAAGATGGTTATTCTGAGTGGCGCCGTTGCGGCTTGGGCATGGCTGCATGCAGTTGGGCATCAATGTGACCAAAAATGCGGACGTGGCGGCGGTACAGAACTTCGAACCCGGTTTCATGCTACCCTTTTACAAGAACCTTTTGCTATTGAGGATGGAACAATTGCCCAAGAGAACTTGTCGGCGGTTAGGTTGGGCTCTGAAGGAAGAAATGGAGAGAACTTAATAGCAACGCTTGCGCCCTGAGATGAAGGGAGAAATCGCTGTCCACGTTTCAGTAATGCCCCATTGAGTGTGACAACAGGCTGCAGAAGCATCGTCAAGACCTCCATTACCTCCTTTTCCCAAACGCTTTCTCATCTTCAATGTTTCCACACAGATTCACGCATAGCAAAGTTCGTAGACCACCTATTCGAAAGAGACCTTGATCTCACTACGACTATTCGAGAAGAGCACATCCATCGACAGGGTGTAGCAGCAGGTTGGAGGGGCAACCGGGTACGTCTCCACGAAACAAAACGTCCCAGTCACACGCTTCCTTCTCCTTGTACAAGGGGTAGGGGTTGGTAGACGAACAGGAAGCTGTCCTTTATCTTGATCTCATTCCATTTTTCAAGCGTGTTTGGATGATGGCTGATTTTACTCGAGCGTGAGCAGAAGCAGCAGCAGAAGCAGCCATTTTGACCAGCGTTTCCGATATCTTCCATTGGATAAATAGAGTAGGGCGGCGCGACCAAGGCTTCGGCGGAGCGATCGACCTTTCCATCCGGCGCGCCTGCTGCTTTTTTGCAAACGCTGCTCGCTGCAAGGCAATTTCTAGACGTCGCTTTTGACGTGGACGACGCTAAGTGGACGGAGATCCAACACAGGCTGGACCAAGAGGACTTTTCTACCAGACCTCAGCGAGTGGACTATTCATCCCACCTTGCATATTCAGTGCCGTCACAGTGCGCCCTCACCGCCAACACTTTCAGAAACTACCTGTTCACGAACCAAACTTTTTTACTGTATCGCATCTTGATACATTCCAGGATTCCTATCGCCAGGGTCAAAGACGGAAAAACCAGCGACTTTCAGGTATTCCAAGCGTGCAAACAGAGGGGTTTGCAGATATTCGCGTTGCTGCCCAATTGGAGAGCGACCCCCTGGCTCACTGCGGTTGCATCGCCTTGATTGTTTAGCACTTGACGAGGGTCGACTTTGCGACGCAGCTCCATCCCCAAGTCTGACGAGGGGCACCCGGCCGGCGCGAAGCTTCGCACGATTAGACTTTTGGACAAGTAAACACAGGATTATATCTGGGCGTAGACGGGCGGAACAGCACAAACACTTCCCTCTCATCGTCGTGGTACATGTCGTGAGTCTCTGTGGATTGCTTTTCCTTGATTACTGTCGCGCTAACCGGGCCTTGCAGGAGAGGCAGAGGCAACTTTGCGACCTATTCGTCGACGGGCTCTCACCCGATCCCTCACCACCTCTACGACGACGGCGACGCACACTATTCGCATTCCGACCTCGATCACAACGATCACAGCAGCCTCTACAGCACCTCGGCCAGCTCAGAGAGCGACATCGGTCCAAACGACTCGGCTTCTATACCCGCCGCGAGAGCTTCCAGCCACGCTAGATACCAGTCGCACCCTCATCATCATCCACATCCTCAACCTCCTTATCCCCCGTCGCACGATCCTCCGCATATCCGCAAAGAAGCCTCCTTACGCAAGTCACGACCGCGTCGTCCACCCGAGCACCATCATCCTCCTCATCCTCAGCCAAGCCGACACGCCGCCTACCCAGAAGCTGTTTCGACTCCGAGCGATCCCTCGGAGCTTTCGGCCAGTCTGGCATCACACTACCCCTACCAAGGCTACTCGGCCCGTGCTAGTTACCACGAGCCGCAGTGGGACGAACAGCAATACCACGATCCGCACTATGCCCAACAGAACGCCCACCATACAGGCCCGCCTACCATGATGTCAGGCAATTCTTCTGGCTCGTACTTCTCCGCCGGTCCTGCCGCCATGACCCCTTACGAGTACGGGTATGGTACTCCAGGCTATTCCTATCCTGGGGCCAGTGCTGCCAATCCTTTTGTGACTGCCGCGCCGCCTCTCGCTCCCTCCCCTCAGCCAGGCCACTACTACGATCAATACGGCACTCACCAGATGCAGAGACCTGATATGGTGGCCAGGACCAGCATGTCTTACATGCCACCAGAGATGCAGTACGGGGGTTATCCTCCAGCTCCGTACCCAGCCATGCAAGCCATGATGCCCCGTGCGTATCATTATATGCATCATCCACATACACCGTCTCCTGTACCCGAGGATAAACCTACCAAGGCTGAGAAAAAGGAAGACCCACCTCCACCTGCCCCTGCTGCTCCACCGCCACCGACTGCTGAAGAAATCAAGAAGCTCGAGGAAGAGAAAGCCAGACTCCAGGCCGAAAGCCTGATCAACGCTCTCAAGGCTCTCCAAGCCGAAGACAAAGCGACAGCCGACGCCGCCAATGAGAAGAACAAGGTCGTGCAGGCAGAGTCTGACAAGATTGCTGCTCTGCTTGCAGACTTCGAGGCCAAACGTCTTGAGAGGGAGGAAGCCGCTGCCGCCAAAGCTGCTGCTGAGAAAGCCGCCGCTGAAGCTAAAGCTGCCCGTGAGAAGGAGCTTGCCGATGCAGCCACTGCTGCTCGCGAGACTGCCGAGAAGGAAGCTGCAACAGCGGCCGCTATCGCAAAGGCCGAGAATGAGAAGGCAATTGCAGAAGCAAAAGCAGCTCACGAGAAGTCGTTGGCAGAAGCAAAGGCTGCTGCTGATGCAGCCGAGGCTGCGAAGAAAGCCGCCGAAGCCGAACGGGACGCGAACAAGCCTGGACCGGACGCTGATAAAGCACCTATCAAGTTTATAGACGCTGTGGACAGGAACTTCACCCTACCCTGGCATCTGGCCAAGACTTGGAAAGGCATGGAAGCTTTGATCAAGCAAGCTTTTGTCAACATTGAGCACATCGGGCCTCATGTCGCCAACGGCCATTATCATCTGCTTGGACCGAACAACGAGATCATTCTACCGCAGGTCTGGGAGGTGGTGGTACAACCCGGGTGGGACATCAAAATGCAGCTTTGGCCACTGCCGGAGATCGAGAAGCCCATGCCAGGTGGATTTCCACCTGATCTTGAGCCAATCGTAGTTGGACCACAGAGGGTGCCTCCCCGTAATAAAGGCAATAAGGTCAGTGGTACTAAGAGCGCGGGCAAGCGTGCGTCCGTAGGACCCGCGCCGCCACCACCTCCTCCAGCACCAATTCCGCAAGCTTCCCCCCTCCCACCTCACATTCACATGCCCACCGTGTTTGCCGGTCATGATGATCCCAACGACCCCGTCGTCGAGTTCTTCACGGACGATGGCGGGAGCGGTGGCCGAGGTGGAGGCGGCGGTGGCCACAAGTTGAAGCCCTCTGCTAACTCAAAACCCAAGAAGCAGGGGGTACCAGCGTTTACCAAATGGATGCTCGGAGGTACACGACCGCGCCCAAAAGGGGCTGAAAAACTTGCTGCCGGTGGTGTCAAGGTTCGGCATGTCATTGTTCAGAAATGATGTGTTTGAAACTTGGTACATTGGCATCGCTGGAGAAGAGGGCTTTTACCTCCCATTGCGTTGGGAGTTTTTCCTCTTCTCCGACCTCTCTTATGACTGTTGTTTGCTTCTCCATGGTTGAACACTTCTCGAAGATGTTCACCTCTTCTGTTTGATGTTCGTTGATGAAAGCGTTCGCGTTATGTTTGTCCATTTTCTTACGACTCTGCTTTTGATTTCTTCCTTACGAGATGATGCTTCTTATGGTGTGATGGTTTGATGACTAGTGTTTAGTGGATTTACATTGTTGTTTGTTTGTTTACAGCGAAAGAGAAAGAAGAGATATAAAGATACCCTTTGCATCATCTATCATGGAAGAGAAAGATCTCTGGCGTTGGATGGCAATGAAGGGTTGCAACTCCAGAAAAAGGTGGATTTGGTGGGAAGGGGCGATGGTGGGTTGCAGTAAGAGTGGTGTTTCCTAAATTTCACAAAAAAGATCTTTCACGCTTCGTTCACACATCATTTGTTCCTGCCTGCAATTCTGTCCTGGTCGTTCCCTCTGCGCTTTCTCGTCCTGTTTGTCTTTGGCTTCCCACACTGCGCACCCCTCTTCTTTGCATCTCGTGACTTTCAACATTGCATCACATTCGCCAACAACCAGTCCACCGTGCGCACGTCGAAACACTTCTGTTCGGCTTGAACCTAGTGCTGGCGAACAACAGCTCCTTCACTTCATCACTCTTTCGACATCCATCGCACCCGCGCACGCTCTGACCGTAAAGCATTCGCGCCCCACTCTTTGCTTCAACACATAGTTCTTCCTTCACTCCAACAACGCGTCAACAGACGCAGTGAGCAGACGCACTCTCACATCTGCAGCGTTGTCCATGGTGAGTCTCGCGCCCGGGTGCTTCGTTTGCTTTCTTCTGACACTGCGTTCAAGCAGGCGCCTTCTCGATCCACCTTCACCACAACTGCTAGCTTCAACATGTCGCTTCCCACCAACGACAACGGAGCCCAGCACATACCTACCTCAACAGATACCAACATGACATCTTCAGCTTCTGACAGCAATGGCGCTGGCCAGAGCGAGCGATACGAACCCACATTCGTCTGTCTGCCACCTGAGCTCAAGAGGATGATCGTGCACAGTTCGGACGATAGCTCTCTACCCAACTTGCGCCTCACATGCAAGGAGCTCAATGAGATCGCCAGCAAGCCTTTTGGGGAGAGATGTCTTGCTGAACGTCGCTTCATGTTTACAAAGTACAGCATGCAGGGGCTCTTGGAGCTTACCGCCCATCCTATCTTTGGTGAATAGTGTCCACTCTAATCACACCATGGCCAAACTCATGCTGACTACCCCTCAGGTCCCTGCGTTCGCAAGATTTTCTTCAATACCCACCGTATTACCGACGCTGACTACTGGCTCGAGACGGTCGGAAAGTTGTTGCCTGAAGAAGACCGCCAGGCCACCTGTAAGGTTGTTCAAGCTGCTGCTCAAGATATGAAGAATCTTTTCAAAAGCAAGAATGGTAAGGCGTTCAAGATGTTGACCCAAGCCTCCTTGAATCTCAAGAAATACGGCCAGCAAGTGACGCTTGGCGTCTTCGACGATGTCGTTCACAGAGACTCCGAAGACGAGATGCTTCGTAAGGCTTATGGCTTTGACGAATGCTGGGGAAATGTTTGGCCCCCAGACATTTTCATGCCCGGAATGTGGGAGCCTATTGACGACCTCGCCCTGGGTATCATTGCCAAAGTGCTCAAGTCGGGCAACATCCCTCTTCCGCCTCTGGAGATGGATCTTGCAAAAGCTCCGCGTTCTGGCTCTGGCAACCTTGGAAAGTTACTGACTGACACTGTCATGAAACACGGCAAACTACACCGCCATGTTGACGTCTTCATGGATGTAGCATCCGACTGGACTTTCCGCTTTTGGCGTCCTTATAGCAACAGAGATCATCTTGCTTTCCATGTCTGTGGCACTTTGGAGGAGATTTGTGAAGAGGACGAGATTGATTCTGATTTCGTACCCGATGTCTACAAGGTGGAAGGACATGAGCTTCGTTACGATTACGGCTCTGGAAACTGCTCTTCCTACTCTCCATGCGAGTTCGGTGACTTCAACAAGGCTATCAGATCCGAAGAGCTGTATGAGATCGCCATGGCATCATTCGCCACTGAAGCACATTTCATTGCTTACGGTATTTGCAGTACTGGTGGTGAGAAGCTGCAAAAGCTCACAATGGTCGACGCTCACCTGTTTGGCCCTGGTTCGCACGGCTTCGTCGACGAGAATGGCAGTGCCTGGCCCTATCTGAGCGTGTTCAAAGATCTGCTCAGAGATAACTGCCCAAACCTGCGCAGCCTGGTCTTCGAACGCGTGTACTACCATGTCGAGGGCAAACCAATGGGACGCAGTGTCATCACTGAGCAGCGTCGCAAGTGGAAGGGCAAGGATGGTGTGCTTTCCGGTCTTGCATGTCTGATCGCTGAGATGACCACACTTGACGAGGAACAGCAACAGAGATGGTTCAAACATGAGATCGACGCTGATGGAAACGATCTGGTTGCCACAGTTGAGGACGAGTAGGCAATGCAACAACAAAGAGTATGGGGCGAAAGACATGGTATAGAACTTCAGAAAGCAGAGTCAGAAGCGAGCAGAAAGAAGTGGACATGTACTTTTAGATCAGGAGGAGCTCTTTTCCAAAAATACACAAGTCAATTTCCACCTTGTTGCATTAATCATGCATATCCGAGGTGCTTCTACTGGACATGATGTCCTGGTTCAAATGATCCTGTCTTTTGTGAGTCAAAGAGCCAACCCCTCTCGAAGCAGGGAGTCATTTTTCCGATAAGACTTGTTGACATCTGATGCAAAAATGTCCTTCACCTTTATCCTCCACTTCTTCCCCCCAGAATCAACACACATCATCAGGAGTAAAGTAATATAAGGTCCCAGCGCGGTCAATGTCAAGAACCGATGTTTTTCGCGAATCTTGGCTTTTCTGATCTTGCGTGGAAACTCACGCTTATCGAGATATCTCTTATAGTCTTCTAACGTTTTGATGTCCTCGATGGTCGTTATTGGCGATAATACAGCTTGCAGGTGCTGAAAGCTTTCCAGCGGGGAATTACTTGACGGATTGGTTTGACAGGAGTCAAAGGATCATTTCCGTAGAAATGACTACAGCCAAGGAGGAAGGATTGAGGTGAGGTTGCGATTGGCAGTCACGAGTCAAGTGGAGGTGGCTTGGGCTTTGAGGCTTTGAAGAACGAAGGAACAGCTTGTGCCACTTTCATCTCCAACGAAGCTCCTCGGAAGGATTCAGCACTGCCCCTCATGCAATCAATTGATGTTGGCCTGATACGTGAATAGCATTTACTGACAGGTAGGGTGAAGGGAATATATAAGAGCAATGCTCCTGCCTCAGGTAGGTGCCCTCACTTACACCATCGCACTTACCACACGAAGCTCTGTAATCACAAACAGCCCTCAACAAAGGCCATCAAACTCAATTGACATCGCCATCGCCAATACAAAAGCATAACACAACCTTCCACCATGGGTTCTCGACTCATCGAATCATTGCAGCACGCAGCAGGCAGGAATCAAGAGCTGCTTGCCATCCTCTCACAGACCGACAGTGCACCTGCTGCGCTCAAGCAAAACTCGATCTACATCACAGGTCTAGAGAACGATATCACCAACACCGACCGGGAGATCAAGCGACTCCACCGTATCACCGAAGACGAACGCAAAGACCACATCAAATATGAAGAAAGCACCTTCACTCGCTACATGTACAAGCTGCGCGGAAAAAGAGGAGAAGCCAAATTCGCCGCCAAAGCCGGCAAGGAAGAGCAGGAATTCGTGGAAGCATGGCAGAAGGAGCGTGAAACACAAGAGACACACAGCGAGCTCACGAGAGCTTTGACAAATGCCCGACAAGATCAACAACGCCTGCAAAGCGAGAGCGCTCGATATGAGCAAGCTCAGAGGGAACTCGATATGCTGTACTCGTCCATCTTCAATGGCCCGACGCCTGAGATCGCCGGTGAAGACCAGTTGGAGTCGAGTCTGCAGAATAACAAGCAATGGGCCGATTCCGCCACCGAACACCAAAACCTACAACGCAGAGCAGCCGAAGCATTACACGCGACAATCCAATGCCTCGAACATGCCGCACGAGACATGAACGACGCACTGGACATGTCTCGCTGGGACATGTGGGGAGGCGGCACTTTCACAGACATGATGGAAAGAGACGCCCTCTCAAAAGCACAAGTAGGCGTAACAGAAGCCCTCCGCCGCATGGACGAAGCCCGCCGCTGCCAACCCGCCATCCCTCCCCTCCAAGACATCAACATCGACAACGGCCACATGATCAGCGACGTCCTCTTCGACAACATCTTCTCCGACATGGCCCAACACGATCGCATCAAGAACTCCGATATGCAATTGCACAAAGCCCTTCAACAGTGTAAAGAGTTGCTCGAAAAGCAGAAACGCACTTATCAGGACGCTGCAGCTCAGTGCGGGCAGGCGAATGAAGCGACAAATAACTCTCGCCTCGAATTACAGCGGATCAGAGCGGAAGCATTCGAGAGGTTTGCTGGTCAAGGTGCACCGTCTTCATTTCAAGCGTCGTCGGAAATGATGCCACCGCCATCATTTCAAGCGTCGGCGGAAATGGTTGCTCCACCACCTTATTGATTTTCCCACCGACGGTTTCCACACGTATATGTTAAATCATCTATTGCCCACAAAAAGAGTAAAAAGAGTACAAAGGGTTGAATGAACAAGCGCAAGTTCCGCTCCACGTCTTTCCATCGAGTTTGCTCAAAAGGGGTTCGTCCAAATGATGTCCATTCTCGAGTTGCGTGTGGTGCTTTTGCTCAGTCCCAGAGGGTTTGAACCTCGCTGTACCTTGACCGAGAACTATGTCATCTCAAGTTAGTTTGTGCAATGCATATGCGTCACCTCTTTCGAGATGGCTCTTACACTAGAGAGTCTGGCAAGGGAAGGGGGTGGTTGCAAGGATTATATTTGGTAAAGAGCAAGAGGCTATGCTATGTAGCTGCTATACGTGCTTTTGGGCCATGTATGTTTATATACTCATTGACTCGTCGAAGTGCCGAATGCTTTCCATCTCACCTCTTCCTGCGTCTGAACCTCGTGCTTGCTTCTTCTTCGTCATCTTCATCTTCGGAAACTTCGTCAGGACTGGGTCTACGCTGAACTCTCTTTCTAGGCTGTGACACTTCATCCACCACACCTTTGGCGGTTCTCTTGCCCGGTTGCGTTCGTACTGAAGCACTGCTCTTGGCCTGTCTTGCTGCGTCTGCGATGTCTTGATCTCTAGCCGTGCCTGCGATTTCTTCTGGCATGATGGCTTCCGAACGAGAGGCTTCGGCGTCTTGACGGCGGGAGGTTGCGATACGACGACGGAAGCGTGATGCATTGTCTTCATCTTCAGACGACTTGTCATTGTCGCTGTCTGAAACAAGTGAGATGCTGTTGGTGTTGTTCTTTGGACGTTGTGATTGTGTGCCTTTGCCGGAGGTGGATGCAGGTGTAGCGGTGACTTGGACATCGACACTATCTTGAGTCTGCTGCGAGCGCTTTGCCTTCTTCTGGGTCTTTTTCGAGCGGATGGAAGACGATTCCAGGAAGTAATCGTCCTGTGCACCGTATGCTTTCGGTGCGACTTCTTCCAACGAAACAAATACACGAGCTCGGGTCTGTGTGTTTGCTGCATTGCCTTGTCTGCGGAACTTTTTGAAGTTCTTGCGACCATTCCAGCGATCGTCCCAGCGATCGTCGTGACCAGCTTCAGCATCATGTCTTGAACGTGGAGGAGGTTCGCGACGAATTTCCATCTCCTCGATTTGAGCCAGATTCTTCATGTCAGCGACTTCCATGCCTGCGAGCTGGTTGCGAAGCTTCTCTTCGTCTTCTAGACGTCTTTCTTCCTCTGCCTGTTGGCGTTCTGCAAGTATGGCTCGTACATCGACCTCCTTGTCTTTGCGCTTCTTGGCTTTCACGATGGCGGGTGCTGGTGTAGGTGCTTCTACAGGCGTTTCAGCTGGAGTTGTTGATGTCTCGAGTCCTTGCTCAATGCGACGTCTCTTCATCTTGGCAGCTCCCTGCAGCATATCGGTCATCATGTCTTGATGTGTTTCTTCATCTTCTGGTGGTGGTCTCTTTCTTGTTGAGCGCTGAGTGTGTTGACTCGGTACTGGATGGGAGCTTGCAGGGTGACTATCATCGTCCATGGCGTCTGGCGAAGGAATCTGACTTGCATCGTATGATGGAGGTTGTGATGGCGATGGCGATCGGTATTTCGGTAGAGCGTTGATATCAATCTCGTCGAAGCCTTTGAATTTTGTTTGCGTCAATGGTTTGCGTCCACGGCGCTTTGTTGTAGTCGGCTCCTGTTGAGAGACCTCAGGTGTCGCACTTTCAGGCGTCGCGGACGGAGCCTCTGTTGCAATTCTTCTTGATTGTCGGCGCACAGAAGGAGACTGTGAGCCTTGACGAACAGCTGACGATTGAGCTCGATTTTCCATGTTGGTATCCTCTGCAATGTGGCTGACTTCTGCGGGTCTCTTCAACTTGTCGGCGTCAGCATCAAGGATGGCTTCCAACAATTCGTTCTGCTCGATACTGCTCTGATCAAGAGCGGAGTCGACTCGATCGTAGAAGTTTGGCATGTAATCTTTGAAGCCACCTATACGAACCAAGATAATGCCACCCTTTGACTTTGGTTGTTGACTAAGCTTGAATCCTCTATCTGATTTCTTACCGGCGACTTCGCGGACGTAGCTCATCAGATCCTCAGCGTCTGGGTTTTGGCTATCCACTTCATGACACAAAGCCTTTCCACCACCGCCAGTGATAGTTGGCATGAGGTTTGCGTGCTGTCCAGGGTCGCTGAATATGAAGGTGTATTGCGAAAACATTTCCGAGCGTTTTGAGTTTGGGAGGAAATCGGGCGACTTGTTGGGACGAGGGTTTGGCTCATTCGCCGGCGGAGGAGAGTAAGGTTCTTCGCTGGGCCAGTTTGCTGCAAAGTCTTGCTCCAGAGCTTCAAGAGACATGGACTGAACCTCTTTGAGATATTCATCTGTGACGATGTAGCGAGCGTTGACAAGAGCTTGCAATGTGGTCGGGGTGTTGCGCTTCTTCGCGACCAGATGCGAGGTGAATTGGGCAATGTAATCGACGACACACTTGATGCCTAGAGGTTCGAGAAATTGACGTTGTTCGGTGAGTGGATCTTCAAGCTGGCGGGATGCGCGAGGCAGCGAGGGAAACGAGAAGACGATGGGCTGCCATTTGATATGGAACATTTGCTCGTAGTTTCCGAGCCTGATCTTGTTGTCGTTCCGGTCCAATGGCTGGCTTTCGCCTTTCTTGAGCTTTTCTCCGTGGACCCATGTTCCGACTTTGGAGTTGTCGGTCACGACAATTTTCGTCTTTGCATGAAGGTGTTTGCTCTCGCCAGCCTCTACTTGGGCGATGTCGACTGTCAGGTGCTTTCGTGATACTGATGAATTCTCGATATATCGCATGCCTTGATTGGAGTCAGTGACGGGACGGTACAGCGATCGATGGTCAGAAGCATACGCTGTCCGGGCTCGGGTTTCGAAGTACGGCCAACGACAAGCTTTGTGCCAGGTCGAAGCCATATCCGCTTGTCTGCAGAAAGTCAGTGTTCAGTTTGTCTGATGATGCTGGCGCCAACTTTACTCTCGAACAAGTCGCCCTCACACTCGAGAAACCACATTGTGTTTGCTTGCTTCGTCGCTTGAGCGCATCGAAGAAAGAACAAAAGGCTATATGCGCATCTGTGTCGCAGCTGCCGTGCGCTGAATCTCAGGATGACGCGACTGTTGCCTGCCGAGGTTTCGCGCACGCGACGCATCACGTGCCGGAAGTGCTTTCCAATCTCGACTTCTGCTCCTGCTCCCGCTTCCAAGTATGCCCGCTCACCTCTGGCGAGTGTCCATGGTCCCAAGTATTATGTCTAGTCGACTTCCTCGAACCTCACGTGCTGAGTTTGTCATACCAACTCTCTTCCGTAGCGACACATAAACATGTCCCCCTCAAAACGCACAATCATTTCAGGTAGGTCGCCCACCGAGAGCGGCGGCCACTTGGAGTTTTCCCTTTGAGATACTCATTCTGAGCATGAAGATCGTTGCGTGTTTATAGTTGTCTACTCGACAAAACTCAGCACACCCGAAGGAAGCGCAATTGCGATTCTTGCACGTTGGTGCACTCCTGCATGATGTCAATGTTGCCTTGGCAGGCAGGCAGCCACTTGCATCGGGAGCACTCATACTGACTAGACTCAACAACATCCATCAACCTCAAAATGCCCACAGAACCAAGTTCCATTCCGATCATCATACGGGGCCGTTATTTCTGGCGAGGGGATGACAGAGTGAGTTTGATGTGCCGCAATCATAACCATGCTGATCAGTATCAAGTTCTTTGTTCGGGGAGTTGTCTATCAGCCCCAGAAGAATAACCTGCAGCCTGGCGAAGTCAATGACCCTATCGCAGACGACCGCATCCACGAGCTAGAGCGAAATGTTCCATTGCTTACCGAACTCGGGATAAACACAATATTTATTTGTTGGTCTTGAACGCAACACCGCGGCTTGGAATTTAACTGACTCAGTCAGATTTCATCGACAACCAGAAGCCACATGACAGGGCAATGAAGTTGTTGGAGCAAGCGGGAATCTATGTCGTCGCGGTGAGCATATCAGCATTACCCCTTAACGTCGATTTTGGGGGGCAAGACATGGTACCAGGACCGAGGTCTTCAGATGCAGACTGCGCTACGAACCGACTATCAGAAGGCAAGATGTTTTTCAAAACAGGTTACATGTTTACTGAAAGCGTGCACCCCTTCGCGCTTTCCTTGGACAATGTGCCTGCGTGGAAAAACATCTTGCAATTTGATGGCTGGTGACGGGCCCTTCTCGACTCACTGAGGTCTCGATTCTGGTGCGACATTTGGTTCCAATACGCCAGATTGATGAAATCCTAATTGAACCCCGTCTGACAACACAAACACAGACAGTGTCTACACCCTTTAACTGCATCCATCGCGCAAATCCTTACGCATCTTACAATTCCGACAAGGTCAGTCACTTCCTGCGAACCGCAGGCATCATGTCGTGCTACCCGAACACCCTGGGTCTGGCAGCAGCCGATGCATTGGTAAACAATCACCAGTCCCTCCGTGCAACTCCTGTCATCAAGGCTGTCATACGGGATCTCAAGAGATACATGATCTGGAGCAACAAGTATAACGGAACAAGGATACTTCCTGTGAGCTACTCTGCCGCGGACGTTCTGAACATTACTCGGCCTCAGGGGTTTCTAGAGTATCTTTACCTCGGTGATCAGGCGAGTGCGGTTGACTTTTGGATGGTAAGCTGCGTTCAGGGGCTCTGGACAAAGTCTGAGACTCTTACTTCATTCATAGTGCAAGAATTATTCGTGGGTAGGCGAATCGAGTATGGCCATGTCTGGCTGGGACTCTTTTGTATGTTTGTTTCTTGAGCAAAGCCACGCTGCAACGCCCGCTAACTCTGCAGCAGCTCAGTCGATATGAGAAGTTTGCTATACCTGCATTCCTTTCTGAGTATGGTACCAACCTCATCAGGCCTCGGCAATTCCACGAGACCAGGGCTCTGTACTCTGATCCGATGACCAGAGTCTTTTCTGGCGGATGTCTTTACGACTTCGCTGAGGGCCCCAACGGATATGGCTTAGTAGCCCTGCCTGGAACAGACGAGACTGGCTGGTTCGGAAAAAGCGACATTGTCGAGACTCATGGGGCTGAGACTCGTGACACAGATGCGGGTAAGCTCTACATTCTTTACGACTTTGGAAACTACATGGCTGCTCTCGCGGAGCCAACAAGCCATAACTCGAGCTGGAGTACTATGGAACTTGAGGCTGTCGAGAGGCACAATGTTGACACCAGCCTGATGAGCTGGCCTTGGGGATCTGAACTCCAGATGCCGGAAACTTGCATAGACTGGGACAATATCGAGGAGCTTATAGGGGCCGGAATGCCATCTCCTCTCGAGACCATAACTCAAAGGCTCGAGAGCACATCGATCCTAGAACGGACCTCGGGACAAGCTGAGCACGGCTCGACTTGTAGAACAGACGATTGAAGCATTAAAGCATCGCGGGGAAAGCGGCGCCAATCGAACAGAGTTTACTTATGGAACCATCCCACGCCGATTGCCCCAAGCATGCGGCAACGAGGTTAGCTTCAAGAATACATGAATGTTTTGAATAATCGAAGAAGTTTCGGGAAGAGAGGCAAAGAGCCGGGCTCTCACTGAATCCTACCTGCATCCTAATATGGTTGTGCCTTTTAATAACTAGCAACAGTGTCTCTACCGGACGACGAGAGCCAGAGTCTGCCATGCGCTTAGTATCATCTATCCTTCGTGTGGAGAAGTGCATCCAAGACTGTTTGACATTGGCTTTACCAGGATATTTCCGGACGTAACAGCAGACCTGGAGTAGAGCGAATCAATATCAAGGATACTGTCACACAACCAAGGCGACAATTGACGACAACGGTCACGCTGACAATTCTCAATTTTCATGGTTGCATTTACGTACTTTACGTGCGAAAGTAGTGAGCCTCGGCCAGTTTTGAGAGGCAGTGTAGTCCAGAGGCAAAAGAGAGTCGCGCGCCCTGTTTATCAATTGCCTTATGAGTCAAGACATGTTTGGGAACAGCAAATCAGAGAAGAGGAATTAGTCCGAGGCAAGTTGCCAAAGGTATAAAAGCGCCACAATGCGGAGGGTGGCGTCGATCTTGTCCATGAAGCTTAACCGTTAAGCTTCCTTCCTCTTCTTGTCAACGCAGATCCCTTTGATCCTACCTCCACAAACCGAGGCATGGCGCCGCCACGCGCTGCATGGCTGGCAGACACCTCAACGGTCAAGACTTGATTGGACAATGCCTTGGATTTGCATACCGAAAGGCTATATCACGGCCTTAAGACTGTAGATCGTTGAAGACAGACCTCCTCTTTTCTCGAGATCAGCAACGGACCTTCCTCATGATGCGAGTGCAAGCCAGCCGTTCACGCTGTATCCCCGCGAACGCATAGCACCTAACAGAATGGTTTTGGTACCTGAGTAAAGTCCGGATTAGGTATATAAAGGGCATTGAGGTCGCACCTTGAATCCTTCTATTCATCAGATCACACATCAACCACAATCATGAAGAACATCGCTATCGCTTCTCTACTCGTTGCTTCGGCTTCAGCTTTCCCTTGGGTTGTTGACCAACCTGGAGTTGACAGCTCCCTTCTTGGTGAGGGTCGCAAGGTCAGACGTCAACAAGCTGGTGGAAACCAGAAGGGTGGTGCTGCAAGCTGCCCTTTCAACGCAAACCACCAAGGTGCTGCACCTTACAACGACAAGTATCCATACAACGGTGCCAAGAACGGTGCTCCTGGAAAGGGCATCGGTGGCTACCAGGTTCCTGCTCCTGGTGACACTGCCCATCAGTATGTCGCTCCTGGAGCCAATGATATTCGTGGACCTTGCCCCGGCTTGAACGCAGCTGCCAACCACAACGTAAGCTCATGACACTCGACCTCCTTCTTGACTTTATCTGACCTCGTTAGTTCTTGTCTCACGACGGTATTACCACATTCAACGAGCTTGTCGATGCTCAACAGAACCTTTACAACGTTGGCTACGATTTGGCCACACTTCTCGCCGCACTTGGTCTCACCCTCACCGATGGTGATCTTGTCACCGAGAAGCTCTCCATTGGATGCGATGCCACTAGTAGAACCTCTTTCAGTCCCCTCCTTACTGGATCTGAACCTGGTCTCGACGGCCACAACAAATTCGAAGCCGACTCTTCGCTCACCAGAAACGACTACTTCCTTGCGGATGGAGACAACTACTCTTTCAACGGCACCCTCTTCGGCATGATGCAGGACACTTGCCAGGGCAACTTCAACCGCGAGAACCTCTCCAAGTACCGCCTGCAGCGCTACGAGCAATCTCGTGCCGAGAACCCAAACTTCTTCTTCGGTCCCCTGACCCTCCTGCTCTACGGAGCCTCTTCCTTCCTCTACACTCTCATGCCCAATGGAAACCACAACTACGCTCCCGACCTTGAAACCATCTCTACCTTCTTCGGTGCTCAGCAGAAGTCCGACGGTACTTGGGAGTTCAACGGCGGCGAACGCATTCCTGACAACTGGACCAACCGCGTCACCCCTTACTCCAACCTCGACGTTACCACTGAGATTCTTGCCCAATACCTTGAGAACCCTGTTCTCTTCGGTGGCAACACTGCCAATGACACTTTTGACCTGATCAACTTCGGCTCCATCAAGGACGGAAAGATAGAGGCTGGTCTGAGTGGCACCAACACTGCTTGTCTGTTGTACCAGCTCGTTACCGGACAGGTGCCTTCATACCTTAACAGCGTTCTTACACCCACTGTTGATGCTCTCAACTTTATCACCAGCAAGGTCGCACCTGCCTACAACAACCTCGGATGCCCTCTGGCTCTTACCTAAGCGGACATAAGGGCTTGTATGCTAGATGTGTCCAAGCGCAAAGAAGAGACCGGCGCTCTTGCTTTTTATGATTTGCAGGAGAGATCTCTGATAAGAATGTTAAATAGGCAGGAACTATGAATGAATAATAATGAGCAATGTTTTTGAACCATCACAGATTCACAATACTTCCACTTGTCGCGCAGTGCCTTTTTGTTTGCCTTGTGAGAATGCACAGACTTTATCGTAGCGATTCATCGTAGCGATGGAGTGATGTTCAGAGGTGCAGCAGCAGCCTCGCAGCACATCATCCTACACTGACTGCTCCTCCTCTACGTCCTCTTCATCATCCCACAAGCCCTCAGATCTGTCTCGACGAAACAAACCTCTGAGCCCGCAACCCAAAGAACCCTCCTCCTCCTTGCACCTCTTCTTCTCCTTCTTTACCGCCTGCTTATTCGCCTTTTCCTCCTTCTTCTTGTTCAGCTTCAATATCCGTCTTGCCTCCCACTCCTTCTCCCTCTTCGCCCTCCTCTTCTTTTTCTTTTTGTCCTTTTTTTCCTTTCCTTCACTCTTTTTCTGCCGCCTCATCTTGTCATCTTTTGACAGCTTTGTTGCATTCTCTGATCTACTGGAAGAAACTCGGGAGTATGTATGTCATGTCTATACTTGTTCATCAATTCCTCAACCGCTTGACACCAATTTGACATGTTCGCTTTTTTAATCTGTCGATGGATTGTGTTGTGCTGTTGGTGTTTTGTCTGGGCGGCCAAAGAGGACACGGTGGAGGAGAGGAATTTCTGTGACGGTGTTATGGATGGACGAGATTGGGCGCGAGATCTTGGATTTCGAAGTGAAGGTCGGAAGGGGTTGGGAGAAAGAGGGATTGTTGTTGATGGTTGGGAGGTTGACAGTTCCCTTTTTTAGTTCTGTGATTGTGATGTTGAGGGGATTGAGTTGTGCAGAGAGATGACTGAGGGTATTGTTGTCGTTGGTGATCTGTGTTGTGTCAGCCATGGTATCTCTTCGTGAGAGTGAGTGGTCTTTAAAGCGTACTTCACTTTCCAAACGTTGATGTAGGGTAATCTCTTGCACGTCTTTCGGATGACCATCAAGCATAGATTGGAAAACCCCTTTGCAGATCGGAGGCGTAATACACTATGTCAGGTAATAGGGTAAAGCTAGAGACAGGGCCAAAGCCAGTCGCAGGCTAGATCCAAGATATAGTGCACATGACAGTCTCCATGAACGCTCAGATGCAGACTATGTATAAGATCAGAGATGATGAGCAGCAGCATTGAAAACATACCAAAGTTTGGCGAACCATGTCATCTTGCTCGGTCCTACCAATCTCTCTCTACTGTCACTTGACAACACTTCGAACTGGCGCATTTCACCGTGTTGAGTGTCGTTCAAAGAGTAATCGGGTGCCTGCAACACTTTCAGCAGAGCAGACACGTAAGAAAAGTTTCATCCGCCAGAAAAAACGGAAGAGACCAGACATAACTAGATGTGTCTCGCAAAACACGCGAGACATAGCTTCATGGGCGTGCATACAAGGGCATAACAATCGAGCTCTTGGCTTGAGGAGGTGCCATCAAAGACACAATGCTCTCGGTCTTGATGTAACTGTCCAAAGAAACCCTAAAGAAGTGTTGCTTCCATTGCGGTGTATGAAAACACCAAAGGGCGAGTGATCAAAGGACTGGTAGCAAATCAGTGCGAAAAGCAAACGCCCTCCTCGCGGCTTGAACGCAACACCAAATAAAACACACGTATCAAATCCTGGTATTAAATTGTTCAACTCCGTTAGTGACGCTCAATTCTTTTTGCACCAACACCTCCCACACCACCTCCTGCCCTATACTAGCACGGCAGGGTGTAAAAAAGGTGCAAAAAGATGTTCGAATACGGATCAGATGGCCCTTTCGCTGTACTTGATTCCTGACTAGGGGCCCACAGTCTTGTAAATTACTCCCGCAGGTAATCCGAGGAGCGCGTAGCATCACCCTACCAAGACCGCTTGACTATCAGTGCATTCTATGAGAATTAACTCCATTTCGTGAAATTATGTGTGTGCTTTTTTTGAAGTGAAGGAGAGAGAATTCCAATACCTGATTCAATTTCTCTGCAGCTACGTCGACTTTGTCACTTCACTGTGAACGCCTTTATCCAACAACGGCAGCAGATTCAGACGCAGCTTTGGGGTCTCTCCATACGACCTCTTGGGTAGACACTTCGATTTCATCCCCCTTTTCCTTCTTCTCCGCAGCCACGACAGCGGCAGCTCCGACACACTTGTATCCCTTGAACTTTCTTGCAGGCAGCCCGGCTTCGAACATTTCACTAATCTCCTCAAGTGTTCTGTCCTTGATTTCAGGCAGGAAGAAGTATATGAAGACAGCAGCTACCATGCAGGAAGGGAACCAGATATAGCCATAGCGAGGGCCCCAGTTCAAAGCGCTGGGGTTGATGAAGTATGGGGCTGTGAATGTGGCTAGCCAGGCACCGATGAAGCCGATAGAAGCTGCGAGGCCGAACGTGTAGGACCGTAGTCGTTGGGATGGGATCTCACCGCCTGAGAGCCAGGCATACGTGGCAATAAGTCCCTGCAAGAAGTTGTTAGCAAATGCATCAGATATCACAGAAGGTCGCTCACGTTGTAACTGAACATATAGAGTATGCTGAGTGCTACAATGACCTTGGACGCCGCTGGACTGCCAGGCTTGGTAGTGTACACGACAGCGATGATGAGTTGCATGAAACCGCAAAGCAGCAGTCCAGTAATGAGGAAAAGGCGACGACGACCGAAGCGTGTGATGATGCACGTGTTGAGGATGATGGCGATGACTCCGACGCTGGTCAAGATACAGGAATTTTGGAATGAGTTGCCAACGCCAGCCATCTCGAAGAAGTAGGTACCATATGCTGAGGCACGTCAGCACAAAGTCAAGATCTAGGGTATTGTTGAGCTTACCAATGATGAACATGGCACCCGACGCAGCCTGTGTATTGATAGCAGCCACCGAGAGGATTGTTCGCCGGCGGTCGACAGGATCTGTGAACATGTCCCATACGCTGACACTAGCCTTCAGAGACTTCTCCTGATCGATACCAGCTTGAATGGCAGATAGTTCTTCCTCGACGCGCTCTGGATGAGGACGAAGCCATGCCAGTGCTTTGCGAGCTTTGTCGGGTTGATCATGCTCAAGCAGCCAGCGAGGTGATTCGGGAATGAAGATCAGGCCGACACAGATGACGACTGGGACAACGTAAATCAAGCCGAGGGGTATGAGGTAGGCACTTCTGCCTTCCCTTTTGGCTGTGAAATTGTCGACGATGGTGCCGATGAGCTTTAGTCGTGTTAGCGTTGACAGCGAAACATACTGTGTCTTGACTCACGGTTCCGATGCTGGTGAAAAATTGAAAGGAAGCAAGGGCCAGGCCTCGGTATCTCGCGGGCGTGACTTCCTGGATATACAGTTGGGAAAAGGTCATCAAAAGCCCGTTTCCAAGGCCAAGGATGAAACGCCCGGCATAAAGAGCTCCGATGTGCGTAGTTGCCTAGCATGATGAGCTACATGTTCTCAAGTCAACACGATCTGGGAACGCACCATCATGATGATATTTCCGACCGATAGTAGAGCACAAGCTGCCCAGAGGCAAGTCTTCCGACCAAGTTGCCAAGCGATGGGTCCCGCACAGCCAGATGCAATGACCGCTCCCAGCACCATCAGTGAGGAGATTAGCTGTTGTCGTGTTGCATTCAGATTCCAGCCTAAGGGAAGGCTGGGATCTTCGTAACCATAGACTTGCAAGAAGCCAACCATGGCTTGGATACCACCTATCAAGCCATAGTCGATTCCGTACTAGGGTAGAGTTGTCAGTGACTTGAGTGTTGCTAGACAGGGCCATGGCTTTAGTCTACCTGGAAGGGAGACATGGATACAATGATGACAGCGATCATACACTTCCAATTAGCCAACAGGCTATCTTCGTTGTGTGCTGCCATAGTAGACAGTGTGATAATGGATGTATTCAGTGATCAAGTTGAACGGTGTCCCGGGTTAAATGCGAATGCACTATCTTCGAAAATTGAGATGCATTCGGTAGTGGAGGACGAGCATTCAAGTATCCGAAGTGAAATGAGGTGTCGTTCCGTACAAGGCAATTGCTGTTCAGCACATCTGCCGATACATACTACATCTAGCAGGGACAGAACTGTCGGGTCGGGGTACAGGGTTGATGGTTCGAGACTTGCGTGTCGCTGCAACACACAGTAGCGACATAGCAGTCTGAGCTACACTGTGCTGCAGATCAATGGGCTTCTAAAAGCGCGTTGGAGTAGCTACCAATTATCTTGCATTGAGCAGCGGCTGAAAGTCAAATTGTGATGCGATGCATTGAGACACCAAATTCGATAAAGGTCATTGGTCAAACATCATGCGAAAGGCGACACTACATCCATGATCGATAGACACGAACTTGATCATGCTCGTCGTGCCCCACAACTTGGCTGCATGGCCCCCAGGTTCTCTCCACATCACCCCCGCACTTCTTACAAGCACCTGCATGAATACAGCATACCAATCATCAACTGTCGGAGCATTGCCGAAGGTTGTGGATTTCTTGAATGCTTGACCAACTTGCATATGGCTTTATTTTAACCCTGAAGTGGGGCCAGCGAACAACGAATGCGGCAGTTGTTGCTCCAGATAAAGTGCGCAGTACAGATTGTGATGCTCAACGCCTCCTCTTTCAGTGTCGATAGTGAGGGGTGCGTGGATGGAGGCCGACTGTGTCTGTTCTCTCGAGCGGAGCTCGAGGCAACAAATCTTGTTCTTAGTCGTATAGAAGCGCCTCGTAAACGCGAATTCGATATCGTTTGCATCTTTTGAGTTTTATGTTCAGATATGTTGAGCAAAGGTACCTTTGAAAGCTTTGGCTTGCTGAGTGTGGAGGATGTCGTTGCCAGGCTTGACCTCAGCCAACTCTTCCTCGGATTGTTGGGCGTCGGTCTGATGATCCTCTTCGCCGATTATGCCTGGATGTTGCACATGCATAGAAGACTGGTTGGTCTCCTTCATGCTCCATGTTGAATAGTCAGAGCTGATAGAATAGCCACCTGGTCCTGTACCTCTGCCCCTAGTTGGAAACACGCACATGCTTCCAGAGAATAAACCATGGATATATTTCGAAGCACTGGCGAAGAAGTTCGACAGCCCAGTCATAACCTTCTGGATAGGCCGCAATCCAACAATCTGGATCAATGATGCTTGGGCAGCCTCGGAACTTTTGGACAAGAAAGCCGCACTCTATGCTTCACGACCAAAGATGCTTGTCTTTGCCGAGCTCAGCGGTGTTGGCCAGTACAATCTAGTGAACATGCGCTATGGCGACCGCTGGCGAGTGCACCGAAAGCTGACACATCAAGGTGTTGGCTTGCAGCAAGTACGCAAGTATCGCGGCTTCCAGAATAACGAAAGCCAGGTTATGGCGTATGATATACTGCACGATCCGAAGCGTTTCGTAACCCACATGGAGCGATATGCCACTTCAGTGGTGTCGATCATTGGATTCGGCAGACGTGTGGCCAGTATCTCCGACCCGCTCATAACGCAAGTACTCGCAATCATGCAGCGAGCGGCCGAACTCAATGTCCCTGGCAAGAGTTTTCCAATGATCATGGAGACTTTCCCATGGCTGGCGAAGTTCCCAAGATGCATCGCGCCTTGGCTCAAGCCTTTCGGAAAAGGTGGTCGCGGCAGCGCATTCTACTATGCGTTGGCTGATGAAGCCAACAGAACGTCGCATCAAGAGCCCTGTTATGTCAAGCAACTATTCAAAGAGGCTCCCAAGTACGACCTCAATGCGACTGAAATCGCATCGCTTACTGGAAATCTGTTCGGAGCAGGAAGTGACACATCAAGCTCAACACTGGTCACTTTCGCCTTAGCGTGTTGCGCCTTTCCCGAAACACTTCCTGCTGCTTGGGAAGAACTTGATCGTGTGGTAGGCCCTGACCGTAGCCCAAGTTGGGAAGACGAGCCGCACCTGCCATACGTAAAAGCCTTTGTGAAGGAAGTGTTCAGGTGGAGATCTGTGGCCATAATCGGAGGCCAGCCTCATTCGCCGACCGAAGACGACCAATGGAACGGATATCTCATCCCGAAGAATTCCTGGGTACAAGGAAATACGTAGGTTCTTGAAATGGTGTCTCCCCGTGTGTAGATTTCTAGTGACTTTGGGCCTGCAGAAACGCACGATGTTTCCAGATCAGGACAATTTTTCAGAGGGAGGTGCTGTTTAACACACTCTCACTGGACATCAGCCTTGATCTAGGGAACAGCGTGCATTTATGCAGCTATGCGAGTGATAGAATCTGCACATGAGATGTAAAGATCATGGCTAATGTCAAATCAACAGTTGGGCAATCCATCACAATGAGAGAGAGTTTCCAGGTAAGCTTGAGAAGTCTTTGGCAGACACGATATGGCGTCTGCTTATTCCACGAAGAGCCAGATAGATTCAATCCTGGGCGTTTCCTCAGCGATGGCTCGGACTCGCGCCCTTTCCCCAACGACAAGGGGTATATGACCTTTGGTTGGGGCAGGCGAGTGTGCAGTGGTCAAGGCCTTGCTGAGCAGGGAACTTTCATCAGTATCGCTCGTCTACTCTGGGCGTTCCGGATCCAAAAGGCAAAAGACGAAACCGGACAAGACATCCCCGTCGACATCTTTGCTTACACGTAAACAAAACGATCATCTTTGTTCGGCAAAGCTAATTCGAACAGAAACGGATTGAATATGCGTCCAGAGCCGTTCAACTGCTCAATCACACCTCGGTCGGAAACAATTAGGGAGACGATTGTAGCGGAGGGCAAACATGCGTTGGCCGAGTTGTCAGTCTACGATGGCGAGACAAAATATACACTGAGTCAGTTCTTCGAGAAACCCAACGTGGGTTAATATGTTTCGTAAATAGCTCATGTAGTAGAGTAGAGTGGGAGGTATTTTCCAGATCCGATAGATTATGCGTCGAGGATCTTGAGCATTTCTTGGACCGAGTGGCACTTTTCTCTTTCCTTGCCTTTGGCTTGTCCTCTTCTCTTCTCCTCTTTGTCAATCTTCAGCCAGTCTTCCCAGCCAATGCTTCGGATGCCGCGCTTCTCGGCTTCTTTCTTGACCTCGTTCCAACCTGCCTTTGGCTCACTATTTGAGCCGATGAAAGTCACACCGTCTGCCCAGTCTTTGGCGACGATGTCGGCGCTGGTGAAGGCATCCTGCATGGTACTGGCAATAACACCGGTGGGACCTCTCTTGACCCAGCCTGCACAGTACATGCCGGGTACGTGACCTGCACCAAGTGCTCCTGGCCCATTGTCTGGGCTTAGTACTCTGCCATAGAGATCATTGGGGATGATACCCATCTTCTGATCGAAAGTGATACCAAGATCTTCAAAGCCCTCTAGAGGCTCAGACTGGTAGCCGACAGAGCGGAAGGCAAGATTTGTCGTGAGGACTTCCTGTTTGCCAGCATCCTTCTTCTTCACACGCATGCTACGTAGCGCGTCCAGATCACTCAAAGGAACTGAAGATGGGTCTTGTGTGAACTCCATCTCGTCGAAGCGAACACCACTCAGAGAGCCAGGGCTCGAAGTGCTCTCCTCGAATGCAACTGGACTTCGCATGTAAAGCAGTTCCCATTGGCGTGCAGCTTCTTGCACTGAAGTGGGAGAGCCCTTTTCGATGACTTGGGCGATGCGCATGAGCGGTCGAGGTAACTTTTTGGTTTCTGTCGGAAACAGAGATGAATCGGCGGGGTTGAAAGCGACTCCAGGCAGTTGCATCAACTCGCGAACCTCCTTGATTGTATATGGGGCTTGCAGAGGCCCTCTTCTTCCCACAACTCTAACTCTGCGCACCCTACTCTTGGACAAAGTCTCTAAAGCGGCTTCTGTCATGTCCGTGTTCCGTAGTCTATCCAGGGGCGACAGAAGAACCCTAGCGACATCCAGAGCAACGTTTCCTTGGCCAATGACAACGGCTTCGTCACTGCTGTCGAGTGCAGGGGCGAGGTTTGCGTATTCTGGCAGACCATTGTACCAGCCAACAAAGGCACGAGCTGAGAGGACACCACTAAGGTCTTCGCCAGCAATGCCAAGCTTACGGTCTCGTGAGGCGCCGTACGAGAAGAGAAGGGCGTTATAGTGGGGAGCAATCGAGGACAAAGGTAGGGAGCCAGGGGCAGAGCCGATGGTCGTGTTGCCAATGAAGGTAAAGGAAGGGTGGGATGCGACTTCGACAAACTTATCTATACAGTTCTGTAGAGGATGGTCAGTCTGAGTCAAGTGTCGATGGGCGTAGCGGGCAAAGATAGTACCTTTACTTCTGGATGGTCTGGAGCAACACCAAAGCGGACCAGACCATAAGGAGACGGCAAAGCCTCATACATGTCGACGCGGGCATTTGGCATCTTCTGCAACATGCGGTATGCGGCATAGAAGCCCGCGGGTCCTGAGCCAATGACGGCGCATCGAAAGGGCCGCTCGCTGTCGGCTGTCGAGTATAGGCGGCTGGTCAAAGGAATCCGGGCATGGCACCTTCCTCCCAAGATGGCATTGCCTAGCAACTGGCGGCGGCGGGTCTGGCGTACCAAGTTTCGATTCATGGTTGAGGCAGGCACGAGTATACTCTAGCTTGACACGTTCTCCAGCCACCCTCTCTCCGAGCCTCTCGTGCGGCTGGTGTCTCGGACTTTTAGAATTCCCCACACTTGCTGACGCCACAATCGCTTATCGCCCTTATCGGCACACGTCCCCTCAGCAACGAGTGTTTGGGTCGCGTCGACTCCGAAGAATATATGCCCGCTATCTGGCCGTTTTCATTCCTCGTTCTTTCCCTTGTGCAAATCAGACGTGCTTTTTTTCTTTGACAGGTTGCGAATCATCTGGGTCAGGCCTTCCACTCATCGCATCATGGTTGGCATTACTCCGCCATACCTCTTTACTCCGGTCAATCAGAAAGACACAGATCCATGCTACAACTTCGACCCAAAGGCCGTTACCCGCGCCAGCTACTACTCTGTCGCCTCTTCAACGTCTTCACCAAAGCCCAAGCAGGAGGGTCCACTGATCGACTTCAACAGACACCCTGACAGCTACATCATCATTCCTTCCGCCCGTCCCAATGTCCCGCCTATGCACCCAAAGACAAAGCAAAGGATCAACACTGCCCGCTGGATTCAGTTCACTCTGCGCCTCCTACAACTCATAGGTGCCTTGGGAGCTTTGATCTGTGTCATCATCATCAGGGGTGTCAACGATGTCCAAGGATGGATTCTCAGGATTCCCGTAAGCATGACCCCAGACAGATTTCATCCATGTAAACACCCACTCACATACGACAGCCTGCCGTGGATGCCGTAGTCTGCGCTTACGCTCTCTACAACCTTCGCCGTCCGGCAAAGACCCGTCCTGCAACTTCTTCTGCTAGCTACAATGCCTTCTCGTGCTTTGTTGACATCGCCATGCTGCCCTTCTACGTTTTCATCGCCTTCTTCACAGCAACTAACTGGACCATGGCCCCCGGCGATGAGAATCGCTGGACTTCGTTCTTCCACTCAGCCGACAAAGACGGCAAGGTGCTCGAGTCTGCCTTCCTGGTTGGCAGTGTTACAGGTGCCTTGCACTTGTTCAGCATTCCCATTGACATGTACCTGTTCGCTATGTTCAAGAAGATTGCTCAGTGCCCACCTGACATGAATCCCCTAGAGGACAACCTGACCAGCAGAATCAATCGCAAGCACACCTACAAGAACAGTGAGGCATCAGCAAGCATGTCGGAGCAGAGATTGGCCATGTTGAGCGGCAGTTCTCTTAGCCTCAGCAGCCCCACTCGTGTCTCCACTGGCAGAGACGCACTCATCCCTGAGGCTAATGTCCGACCTATGTCCTTCTACCAGTCACGCACCAACCTGGATCCCAGCTACTCAGGTCACACTCAAGACTCTGCTCGTCAATCCCGTTTCGACTACCAACAGCCTTCTTCGGCTTACGCATCCCAGACCAGCATGCATCGTGCCTCACAGTCCCATGAGCGTGACCGCTCTCAGTCTCGATCCTCTCGTCCTCAGTCCTTCCAGCGCTATGCCAACCAGAGACCCAACACTCGCGACTCTATCCACGACCCCATGCCTACTCGTCCTCTCTCTTTCATCACCGCCTCCGAGAACTTGAGCCGCAATCCTACTCCTCAGCCTGTTCTCGAGCCCTCTGTCAAATCCGCTACCGAGAAGGATCCACAATCAAAGGCTCTGCTTAGCGACAACTGGTTCGTCGTCGCCGATGACGATGCCGATCTGTCATCTCCCCGCCGCACTCCTGTACCTGAGCTTGTATCCGACCGCGACTCTAGTCCCGAGATCCATGAGCCCAACGTCACTCAGCTCCGCTTCGCCAGCGAAGAATACAAGGAACTCCTTCCTCAGCCTCTCCGCATGCACCCTCCTACTCCCCCTGAGCATTCTTTCGATGCCGGAGACTTCTACTTTGACGACATGCCCAACGGTACTCTTGAGCTCGACGACTACTCTCTCCGTGAGACCCCATCCAACACGAGCATCGGCCGCGCTTTGAGCCCTCCTGCTCCTGAACCTGCCGCCGTGTCTGCCAAATCGTCCTTCTACTCTCAGGATCCAAACGACTCCAGCCGCTCCAGCACTCCTAAAGGAAAGCGCTACGGCAACCTGACTCCCGCAATGAACAACATCCGTATGCAGGAGCAGACTGTACCCAGAGGTCAAGGTCGTGTCGTCAGCAGGACTGGCGTTGATATCGCTGATGCTAGTGTCATGTACCTCTCATTCGACGACCACTATGGCGCTCGCGCTCGCAATGTGAGTGGCAAGATCGCCGAGGAAGGACTAGGTGGTACTTGGGCCAGAAAGAGAAATGTCAGCGGAAAGATGTAATTCTTCTTACTCTGGAAGTGAGTGGGTGACATACTGGGATAAGGCTGAGCTGGTTGATTTCAGCAGGAATGCGATAATTATAGACGAAGGATGAACAGGCGTTTTGGGGAGCACGATTACGATGAGATGTTGGAATACGCCACGACAGGCACGATTTCGGTACAAAGTGTCCATAATCCAGAAGCAACGACAGACAGCAGGCTATGTAGTCGAATGAACAAGAACAATAATGTCCACTTTTACAAACTCCACAAAATGCCATGATCAATTATTTTCCTTGATCATTTTTCTTGTCAACAACCACTGCACCAGCGATGCTTAGATGACACAACTTTCGCGAACCCGCGAATGACCCACCTCCTATGTAAAGATGTCCAACAAGCTTTCCTCCTTTTGACACAACTCTGTCAAAGATCATTTGTACAACAATTGATAAACCTCCTCGGCGATCGCCAAACTACTCGTCAATCCTGGCGATTCAATTCCCAACAGATTCACAAAACTCTCATACCCTTCCTCCCTCTTGATGTAGAAATCTTGGAATCCTTTGCCAGCACCCACAGCGCCCAACTTGCCCAGTTTCGGTCTTATACCAGCGTAATCGAGCGCGATGGCAGATTCATCGATACCGGGGAGATATTTTTTGATATCCGCAATAGCTGCTTTGAAGCGAGTTGGGTCGGAAGTAGGTGTCAGATCAGTGGGACTATCCACCCACTCGACATCAGGACCGAAACGGACACGACCGCCCATATCCAGAGTCAAATGCGTACCCAGACCCCCTTGTCCCGCAACCGGAGCAGGGTACACCAAAACATTCGGTCGAGGTTTGGACGACGCATAACTGAAGTAATTCCCTTTTGCGTAAAAGGGTTTCATGTTTCTGTGGGTGGGTAGGATCATATTGTTTATATCGCAGGCGTATAAGCCGGCGGAATTTATCAGGATTTCGGCGGTGATGGGATCGGTTTCCGAGTTCGGATCTTGTGGGTCTGAAGTGTAGATTTTCCAGTCGGGAGAGGATGCAGAGGGCGCTTCTATCCTTGTGACTTTGGCACCTAGTGCTGTGTCGCCGCCCGCATCTTGGAAACTGCCGTGGAGGTATGTCATGTATGCGTGACTGTCCAGTATTCCGGTGGTGGGAGATTCCAGCACTGCTGTTTCGGCTCTGACGTCTGGTTCTCTGCGGGCAGCTTCATCTCTACTCAAGAAATTGGTAGGCACACCGATACTTTTTGCAAACGCGTGGACTTTTTCCACCGCTTCCGCTTGCGCTTCATCCTGCGCGACAACCCATTTCCCGCAATTGTTATACGGGATATTATGCCTGTCGCATAACTCATATAACATGTTCTTGCCCTGTACGCATAATTTCGTTTTCAGCGAGTCGTGACCGTAGTAGATTCCCGCATGGATGACTTCGCTATTGCGACTGCTGGTTTCCGTGCCCACGGCTTTGTGCTGCTCAATGAGGACTGTAGAGGTGGTGGTGGAGGAGGGATTGTGTTGTTGGAGGCGGCGGGCGATTGCTAGACCCACTGCTCCTCCGCCGATGACTGCGTGTGTGAAATCGGCATTTGTGCGGGTGGTGTTGCTGAATTGACGGTGTTGTAGAGGCGAATTGGTGATTTTCTGGATGATACTTCGTTGCCGGATGAGAGATGCCATTGTTTGGAATTCCTCAGGTATTGATCTGGATTGTTGATGGAGATGTCTCCAGTCGCTCTTGCCTCGAGTGATGTTCGCTGAGGCGATGCACAAATACTTGACGAACCTTTCCAAATCCTTCAGTACTTGATGGAACGCTTGCAAAGGATACAATGACCCAGAAGATTTGGCCTACCTTGCGTTCTACAATTTCTTTAATGCTTATCCGGCAAATATTTCGCTCTGCCGTCGCTGATAGTGACAGAGGTGGTCGGTGTTTGATGACGTGCTCGGATTATCTCGGGGAGATTGACGGTCGAGTCAGCCCCGCTTCCGAAAATGATGCTGGTGTGATCATGATAGCAATCATGATTCATAGATCATGATGGATCCTGTCTCCGTGAGTATGTAGGAGATCGTCAGAGGTGCTGGTTTGTATGGAAGGCAAAGTGCCAATCAGACAAGCGACACTTTAGATGAAGAGAAAGAGTTCCAGAAAAGTCGGCTATGTGTCAATTACAAAGTCTATACTGCCACAGGTCACTAAAATCATGCCTCCCAAGTATACAATCTCATGAAGGTACACCCTCATAATCCCATCCTCTCTCGCCGCGTCTGCGTCGACGCCTCGTGTTCTGTCTGTTTGCCGCACACTTGACGGTGAGTGTCAATATTGCCAACAAGAACACAATTACACCTGCGACTGTCGGGATGATCACCGTCCTTTTCATGTCTCTCGATCCCGTCTGATAAGGGCAGGTTTGATTGACACCACTGACCCAACAATCCATAATGTCAATGTCGTTCAAGTTGAGCCAAAAGACTTGGGTATCATCGTCATCGTTGCTGGCTTTTGAGGAAGCCCAGTCACGTATCGCATCCACCATGTAGTGGTTCTCAAGTGCCGTGCGTGGGACGGCAAAACTGGAGCCATCACCACACGCTTCATCGCCTTGATAGTACCGATTCTTGTCGTCGCTTACGCTGAATACGTAAGGAGAGTCGTCGCGACGACAGATGAAGTGGTTTTCGTCTGTGCAGTCGACCACCTGCCATCGACCATTATTCGTCATGTTGGAGACTGCGCAATGTCGACTTCCTGTCACTTCCGACGTGCCGCTATCACTTGGTTCATCCTCTGCCCAGCCCCATAGTGTGTCGCTGATGTACTCGCGGTAGACAGTAGCATTCTCGGTTGCCAGACAACTGTAGAGTGGTGTGTTGATGATAGGCGAGATGCCACAAGATGAGAGACTCAGAGCAGCATAAGACGTCGTGTTAGAGGTGGTTGTGTTAGGAAGGCTACTGGAAACAGCCCACGACGAGTTCACTGCAGACAGCATGGTGTTGTTTGGTTGATACAAGCACCCACTTGCGATCATGCCATTTGATGACACTGTCGCATCAATCGGATTAGAGATGTAGCCTGTGGGGAAGATTGAGTCGGCATCAGCAGAAAAGTCATACTGCTGCATCTGCGCATCTACACTCCCAAGGCCTACAATAATACGCAGAGCGCGCTGTAACATGATGACACTAGTGCTAGGCCATCCATTCAAGGTGTATAGCCCAGAGCCATCGCTCAATGGCTGAGTGGTGAGATACTCCGATGCCGGTGGGTTTTGCACACCACTTGAAAACCATGACTGATTGAGGTCCGCTCTCTCGGACCGAAGAGCAGCTGGCGTGTATATGTAGGGTGAGAGAGTTGAGTTGATAAGATCGCTGATGTAGTTGCCGACACTGGGCAATCTTTCGGGATCAGATGGACTTGCAGTGCCTGTCGGATCGCCAAAAGGTGCTGCCAAGTGCACATTGAATTCCAGGTACTTGAAAGTCGCATTGACATCGTTCTCGGTTCCTTGGAAATAATCCGCCAGAACATTGGTCAAGGTAGCAATGCCAATGCTTTCTGAGCATTGATATGGTCCAATCATATGCCCTGTTTCTGACGGGTCTGCAGCTGCAGTGGTTTGAGACACTGTTGCTAAACCACCTCCGCTTGTCACACTACTTGATCCAGACGCTTGCGCAGAGATTGTCAATGCGGAGCTGGTCATGGATACGACCTGGGAAGACTCGGATGAATACTCGGAAGTTTGTCGGGGATGTATGTCCGCCGACAGATGCACATCTTCATTCGCGTTAATCAATGAAGTGTGGAGAGCTCGACGTCCTAGACCTTCGGCCGTAGCTCCAGAGACCCTGGCCAATGTCAGACTAGCTGATGGGCTCGTGGACGAGGAGGATGTAGATAGACTGCTTGGGTAGGCTCCCGTCCTGATCGGCGAGGTCGAGTTCCCGTCAGTACTAAGCTCTACGGGACACAAGCTCCATGTCTGACGGCTTTGATCCCAGTAGAGGTCGACAATGATCCGGTGGAAACCAACCGAAAGTAGATTGGACAGGCATCGCTGAGCAGCGACATCTTCGTAGCGACGGTCCGAGAAGCAGGCTGGAGTAAGGTTGATTCCTGGCGCCGTGACATAATTGATAGGGATTCTGCTGGCTAGATCCCTCTGTGACTACAGAAGTCATCGAGTAAGCCACACATACGCGGCGCCGTATCGCTTGAGGTTCTCCTTACTAGTAGCGCGGTATAGAGGACATCGGAAGCCTCGGTCGAGGGGTCCGGATTGTAGCTTGAAGCCATGGCGCGCAGCGCTCACATCGACCAGCGGAGTGTCAAAATACCCATGCGATATGCACCAAGTCTCTATCCAAAAACTTGCTTCGGTGCACTGCTCATCGGCTCGCGATCTACGTTGTTGACAGGGCTAAACACGCGTGGCTGATTGCTGCGGTGGAGTGGGTAGTCTGACGTCTCTAATCGAGAAAAAGGCCAAGCTCCGGCGTCAAGCGATCCCGCCTCGCCCGCAAAGGGACACGCGATACAGGCTTAGGCCCGGAAAGTGCAGGAGCAGCAGGTCCATGGCCTCTTTTTGTCCGACAGTGCACGCTGGTCCGAGAGCTTTCTACTCTTTCGGAATCCCAGTCTATAAAGTGTGATAGAGTGAGTTGGAAGCTGCATATCACGCGTTGTCATCGCTTGGTGTTCCCTCACCCATGACTACCTATCCTGCCGGCAGCGCACTACCGGATGCCTCTCCCCCAGCCCCCCTTAGGTCTACGACTCTTGATTCAGCCGTCATGTCAGGAGATGCTTGCACTGGCGCGTGAACTGGGAAGTACGGTAGTCAAGATAGCGCCACGGGTCCGCAGAAGAAGCCTAAAGCGAGTTCCCTACCTAGTCGGAAAGGGATCGTGGAGCAAGAGCCACGTCCTTGCGAACGCGAGAACAGACCTTCGCACGGATGCAGCAGAATCTTGTCTCCTATTTTTGCGCAACAAGCCATGCGACATGTCCTTTGTGCTATGCACTACCGAAGCGCATTGGTCGAGGAGTGCGAGAAGAACGTTGGGGACGGGAGCGGTCCACGCACATGGCATGGACAGATTGAGTCTTGACATAGCCGCGGCTTCAACAAGGAGGGCAAGCCCTTCCCCTTTCGACTTGTATTTTTCTACCTTCTCTCGCTAATCATCGCAGTTTGGGAACATGCTGATGCGGTACGAGTCCTGACTGCATTCGTGACACTGCAAGAGCGGACAGATCTGTCAAATCAATAAGCCATGTACCTCTGATCTCAAGGGACTTTCGAGACGCATTACCCCAATGTCTCTCATCTAAACTCCATGTGAGCCACGTGGAAAAGCATTTGACGGATTTCAGGTCTGTTTGACTCGATCTGGTATATCCGTTTGCATTTCGATGGAGATTTCAGCCTCTTTGTGGCATTCTTGTCGCTAACAACGGTCAAAACTAAAAGTAAATCGGAAGCTTTGTGGCTATACCACGCCGAATAGCAAACCACAAGATCTCAATGTTTCAGACTTTGAGTTTTTCCAGGCACTGGACCCCCCTTCGACCGTTTGGCGCTTTTATGTTGTATCCTCTGACGCTGTTCAACTCTGTCCCCCTCGAGTTCTGAGGCTAAGGAGAGAAACTTTAGCCTGCAAAGCATGAACAGATGGTTAGCGTTAGGTCCGCGGCGTGTATACGAAAGATACCGAGAAAGTTGTGAAGGTCAATGTCAGTTGCTCGCGACGGCGTGCATGCTGAGTTTTTGTGTGTGGGTTTTCGTGCGCACAAATCGGATGCAATCGACTGTGATCAGACAAATCTTGATCATCTGACAAAGTGTTCCAGAGGCTGCGCTGCTGCTTCTGAGAGATACATGTTGCCGCTTAACACGTACAAGAGTCAGAACGGGGAAGCATGCAGAATGCATAGCGTTCCAGACCAGAGTGAGGTGCATAAAGGACTTTCCAAGGGTCGGCAAGGGACCTGGTAGGATCTTGAGCGCGCATAGCGTGTTGGGTGGATACACTGCACGTACTTTGTTCTTTTGCATATGGAGACGTGATCTCCCCTCGGGGGCGGAAAGTACGGCTGAGGATCGAGAGCCTTGTACACGTACGTCCTTGGGATTCTCTGCATCATCGTTGCGTGCTGCTTGGGCAGGCGTTGACTTCCCGGCGGTCAATCTCACAAGGTGGAAACGTCTCCTGAGCTGACTCCCTGTTGTCGAAATCGTTGTGCCGCTGCGGCTCCCGGATAGGATTACGTGCGTTGTTACTGTTGTCGCTGTTTGTGCTGTTATGTCGTTTCTGATGAAAACGACCAACGTCTCTGGCAGTTGTGCTGGCCCTGCAACGACCAAACGTGTTCGTACACAACGGTGGGATTGGAAGTGTATAAGATTAATGTAATTTGACTGAACGGCATAATCAAACAAACAAAGAGATTGTGGCATGGAGTAAACACAAACATAGGAACGATGGAGACAACGGAGATGAACAGAGTTGCTGCCAGAACCCATCATGTCAAGGCACGTTCGAGAAGAACACTCCAATAAAGATCGTGAAAATTGAACAGTAGGATCCTGTTCGCAATGTGTATCTACCAGCTTGTGTAATCGTGATAAAGAAGTGAGATCTTTGCAGTTTCGTGTCTTAGAAATAAGGTGCACTGTATGCGTTTCCATCCTCTGCGGAGGAGGTTTGCCAGTAGATGGCAACGATCAAGAGGATATACCGCTGCAAGAACGGGCGGGTCACTGTTGGAAGTTGGGGTGTGAGGCTGGAGAAGAGGCAGTAGCAGACAAGTTCACTTTGAAGAAGTTGAAGATGTGTGTGATGATAACGAATGATCAATTAGACTCGAAAGTGATTCTAAAGCAAAACAAGTTGGGTATACACAATTCTCCATCCCGAGCCAGTACCATGCATAGATTCTAAACGCCATGAAATGTGAGAAACAGAAAGCCAAAGACGCCTCATCCCTCGTTATGTACATGCAATCCTCTGTCGTTGATAAAAGGTCTAGTTGGCAACAATAGCAGACAGTCTCATCTTTTCCTTGGGGCTCTCCTTGCCCTCAGCACCGTCCTGAGCGAGCTCGGGGTCGATGGAGTGATGTTGGGCAGCGGATGCAGCCATGGGCATATGTGAGAAGTGGTGCTGAGGAGCCATCTGTTGGTAGACGTGGGGAAGAGGTGCTTGAGGGTATTGCATCTGAGGGTATTCCTGAGCGTGGCGGTACATCATGGCAGCTTGAGGGTTGAAGGCCTCCTGGAGCATCTGGGGACGCTTGGTGCCATCCTCTGAGCGAGACATTTGCATAGGGATCTGGTAGCCCTCTTGGCCAGGGATGACAAGACGCTGTTGCTGTTGCATGTAGGAGCTGGAAGGGCGGCGGTCGACGTAGCGCTGGTCTTGCTGGCTGAGAGGAGGAAGCTCAACAGGCGAGGGGCCGTGAGGAGAGCGTTGGGAGTAGGAAGAAGCATCTGAAACGAGGGAAGGTGCGCCGTCTGCCGAGATTTGAGAGTAAGCACCAGGCGAAGGTAAAGGACTCTCGAAGGGAGACGCACGAAGAGTGCGACCGAACTGAGGAACACCCAGGGTCTGAGGATAGTGGGCGTGCTGAATGTGCGCCTGCTGTTGGTAGATGGCAGGCAGCTGGTTCTGGTCGAAGTACTGGGGTCTTTGCATGGCAGAGTTGAAGTACATGGCCTGCTCAGGGAGCTGCTGCTGCTGCTGGACCATCTGGCCGGGCTGACCGATCATCTGTTGCTGAGAGTGCTGCTGGTGTTGGCGGGCTTCCATCTCGGCGCGGCGTTGGGCGTTGCGTCTGCGACGGTTCATGCCGCCATTCCACCAGTTCTTGACAGCGTTGTCGCTGCGGCCGCGCAGGCGGCGAGCGATCTCAGCCCAGCGCTTGCCCATCTCAGCGACCATCTGCTCAATCAACTCACCCTCCTCGGGAGTGATGGGGTCATGGTTGAGGTTGGGCTTCAGGTTCTGGTGATATCTCTCACGGCACTGCTTAGGAGAGCGAGTGCCCATCATACTTGAGATGCGGACCCAGTTGTGGGCGCCCTGAGAGTGGACAAGGCTCATGAGGATGTGGTCCTCCTGTTGGGACCAAGGACCTCTCTTGTGTGCAGGCATTTTGATGACTTAGAGAAGGAATGTAAAAGTTGGAACTAGAAATGCTGTCAGATATGATTCATAACCAAGAGGTGGTTCGAGGTGACAGTCGAGCACGCTGCAATAGCGTGGAGCGAGGATGGTGATGAAGTCATGTGATGGTGAGAATGGTTAATGCTTACCTGAAGTCAAGCTTGAAGCTTTGGAAGGAATGTGGTGGTGGAGGATGTCTGAGGCGATGGGGATGGAGGTTGAAGTAAGACAACGGGGAGGGACAACGAGGTCGTTATAAAGTCGATGCAAGACCAGTTTGGATGTTGGATGGCTGTTGTTGTTGCGACGAGGTCGTTGTATTTGTATCAAGGACAATGTTTAACGGTTCAGGAGGATTTCCGAATCGGTCACAACGATGGGCCTAAACGGACAGCGGGGCAAAGCGTCAACTCCTGTCGAAGTTCAGAGGGGCAGGATTCGGGTCTGGCTGATGTCGATAGTTCTCACGAAACCGAGTTGGCGGCCGTTGCAGAAAAGCAGGAGACGGACGGTTATAACGGTTGGGAGGCCAGGTCCTGATGAGGGAGACAGGATGTCAAAAGAAGGGGATCTAGGGCTCAATTGTACTTGGCTTCTTCCGCTAACGTCAGAGTCGAACTTTATCCAGATCGCTGGGTGATGCGCGATGTGCAGCAGGGATGGTGAGCGTGGCTTTGGTAAAGGCTTGCTCCAAAAGCGACGGCGCCGGCGCGGGCCCCCTTGCTTCGTCGCTCGCTCGCTCCTTGACCCAAATCTCTCCCACGTCAAGACCTTGGCTCTTTTGCTCTTGCGCCTACTGCAGGTCATCGGCGCCGTTGAAGGATCTTCCTCTTTGACTCCGTCGTCCCCCCTTGAGCGCGTGTAGGTACTCTGCCCGTTGGGCCTCCCAAGCTGGCCCGTTCCGGGACTGGCAAGGCGTCATCTCGACGACCGTTCGACACAAGAAGCCGTTTGGAATCATTCGAAACAGCTCAACCGCCAGTAGTGAAGAAGGATCAATAAAATGTGTGTTCACTATCAGTATTGTCGTCGTCGAACGATCGTCCAGCACACCACAATGTCTCTGTGCAAATTGTGCCTCTTTGCCTTTGCAAATATGCGCATCGTACGGCATCGCCGAGTAAAGCCCTGGAGCCTTTTGGCTGTGCACTTGCAGTCATAGACGACGCCTCAGACCCATGCCACACACTCCCGGAGCTTCCTCGACCGCGCCATGCCCAAGTCGGACTGCTATCCTTCGCCAAAGTTAACCCTTCGCGCGGCCCGTTCAGAGACTGTTACCCCCTTCACTTCTTCCCCTTGCGCAAGCGCACTGCTTCTGCATGGTGCTGTTGTGCCCGTTACAGCTGTCTACCAACTGTCACAACTTCCACCGTAATCTCACTGTTTATGTCTGCAACTGCTTACCGCAGCCTCTGTTGATATGTTTTTGTTTAATTTTATATAGGGAACCAACCCCCTGCACCCTTATGCAACTTTTGCTCGCGCCGGTGGAGATCGCGCAGATCTTCGCGCGTTAGCACTTTGTCAGTGCCTGCCAGCTGGAGCGGCTCCCTGCATGCCACTCCGAAAGCGCCAAAACTTGACTCTTTCCTCGAGATCTTTCGGCAATTCCTACACCCCCAATCGCTTACCGCGCCCACGCACATCAACCTCGTACCTCGATCAATATCAATATCAATACTCGTACCCTATGTTGATCACAAAATGTTGTCTAGGAATCCTGCAAGCGTGTCGTGCTGGACGACACATTCCAAGACGTCTCGTCCATGTAGATTCCTTCCAAGAAAGACATGTTTCAAAAGAAAAAATGGACATGGTATTTCTCGGACGTAGTCCACATCGCCGTGTTTGATCGGAACGACAAGGTTCATATTTGAAATACTTTCTTGGCTAGCGCGTCTCCTCGCAAGCAGCCCCTTCTCTACCAGTCCGCATCTGCCCACTTCTCCACACTATCCATCCTGCTCTAACCTCAAACATGTCTACCCTAAACTACTTTGGTGGTCATCTTTCGCGACTTGAAGCCAAAAGTGGGAAAGCTTGATCCCTACGCTACAATCCCGCTCCCAGTCTCTCCCAGCCGTACTCGTCCACGAGGCTCGGTTTTCACGGGTCTCGACATTGACCCTCTTTCAAGATCTTGCCCGGACTTCGCCTTGGATGCCGCAAGGAGGGTTCCCGCCGAGATGTTAGGAGTCTCAAGAAGTGAGACTGTCTGGAGACAAGTAGACATGTATCTCACTGAATCGCGCCCACGCAGAACACTCAACCACAACCTTCTAACCACACCGACCTCAGTCGCTAAAGCCCGCTGTCTTGGAGCGTAACCAGTACGCCGGAAATGCTTTGATGCGCTCATTATCATGCGGATAAGAATAGCTACACTACGTCGAGTCGCAGACTGCACTGCACGCACTGCACCGCATAGTTGCTTGAGCGTTCATGGCAATTTCCTCGAGTTTTACCGGAGTCTGCGTACGTGCTCTCAAGGCGCTTCGAAAGATGCCGGAGCCCTTTGGTTAGAGTAGTGCTGCAGTCTAGCCAGCATGACCAGACCGGCGCCAAGTATGCAGGATGCTGCATATCTGGGACCCACGAGCTACTCCTCATCCAGCGCAATTGACCTAACAGCCTTATGCATACATTCTCAAATTATCATGCAGTAGACCAAACACAGGCCATACCAACTGCTCACGGCTGCAAGGTAAGAATGCATTCCAGGTATCGCGACGGTTCTGCAAATAATCAGATCAGCATGTACAGTACTCGAGTATCGAGCATCGTCAACTGCCAGGTTGCGCAATATTAATGCCCGGCGTTGAGCGTGGCCTGGCTCAGACGTTGCCGGCCCGCTTCCAAGCCTTGATCTCCTCCTAGCCACCACTTATCGTGCCCTGGCTCACTCCCATACGACATCACGTTCAGACCGTTTTCCTTGCGATGATCATTCGTTCATTTGTCTGACAGTTGGCAGACATGAAGTCTTGATTGGGATCCGCCGTGCAAAATATCTTACGCCCGTAAAGACATGATCTAGTGCCACGTCCGTTGATTGGAAGTGACAAGTCTGAGCTGCGAATAAGTGACAATCCTGCTGTCTCGGACCAGGACCTGCGCTGCAGTCAGAAGCACATGGCATATGCCACGGCCGACGACAGGCTGCTGGAAATACTGACAACGGGTAGTTACCATCACATTCGCGCGGGACGCATGTCGACCTCACTCACGCATCCTTGCAGTTCCGTACATTTACTGCTTTAGGACACGTATATTGGCCTACTTCCTCTTCCTTGACTTCAGGTCCAAATAGGACACGGGATGTGGTGGAGTCGCACCCACCATCGCGCAGTTTTTTTAATATAAGATGCCGACCCATGATCTTGGACGTGGAATACAATCTGCATACGTGCGTAATGCCAGGATAGGTTGGAACATTCTATTATTTCCAACATGTCCGAGCATGCAGCGTGCATGCTGCGTGGGGCTGCAACTTGCACGAAGAACAGCCAAGCAGAAGGATTCGAAGATCCTTGATTCCTCGCAACACGATCTGAGCCGGAAACCCCTTTGCGAACAAGTGTGCGGTAGTTGCGCCATAGCTGCAACAGATTGGGCATCCTAGTACACCTCTATGCTGTTGCTTTCCAGCAGATGGTGTGTGGCGTGTTGAGTTCTACTTCCAGTCGGCGGCATTTTTGCCACATGCACTTGCAAGCTGCGAACATGCTGCTTTTAATCTACAATGAGGCTGATTGGTGATGTGCCTTGCGTTTTCTGTCAGCCCCATGGCTCATCCCATGTCACCCACGGAGAGGTCGTGGGGATGCCCGTTGGAGTGGGCAACGGTCTACCGCATCAAAGATAAGGTAGGCCGTTCCCTCCCGCCCGGCGTACGTGCAACGGCAAGAAAACTTCTTGACAGCCTTTACAATCTTTGGTGTCTATCGTTCTAACATCACATCACACAACATCTCATGAGGATATGACACTCCACTATCTACACCGATTTGCAGATTTTGTTGCGCCCATGGTTTCCCAGTGATTTAGTCGCATGCAGGAAACACAAATCATTCGAGGACCGTGCCTGCACTGTGAGCAAACGCGGACTGTGCTGACGATCCCTGCCCTCTACTCGCCTCTCTCCACACAAGGAAAGAGCAAGTGTGCTGTGCTTTGTGATTCTTCTCTCCATGCAGCCCTAGAACCCATGAGATCGGTGCAATCATCTCTATTTTACTTTCATCATGCATCGATGGCGAACGACTTTCTCAACATTGTATTGGTTCTTCGTCGTCACCTGTGATCACTAGGCTTTGTGATGAGCTCGACCGGCGCGCGGCATGAGAGACCGCATCATATTGTCGTGAATACGTTGCCCGAGCGTCACCGCTTTTTACTCGACTGAACAGGTTCACGCTCGTCGTCTGAATGGAGTGGTCAGGATCTACAAACCCGAGTCATGCTCCAAGTTTGTGATTAGAAAACTCTAGGCGTAAAGATGGACAAATATGGGTTCCAGAAGGACAAGGCGGAAAATCACGCCTAGTCATTATCAGGACGATGCATGATTGAATCAGCAAGTCGCTGCTGCATGTCTTGATAAAAAATTACACATAGGCGCGACTCGTTGGGGTAACGACCCTGCCCGTATAATAAATGCGGCTCTCGGCTTCCATCTCTTGCAGATTTTTCAACCAGGTACAAGGTACTATAGTACAAACGACCATTGTGCATCCGAGACACATCATCTTTGATCTATCCATTCCGCCAAAGCGCATGCACCTCGAAGACAGACAACCAAAAGTACAAAGTTCGCTATCTAATGCACGCGCGGCATTCTCAAACACACTACTGCATACCGTAGTGTGCTCAGCTTCAATGGCTGCCTGACAGTTGATACTCAATTTAGTAACCAAACCCGAATGCTGCGATGATGATGAAAGCTGGCAGGTGCTAGGAGAATAATTTTAGATACTTGCGGCCGAAGCTCTATCTGGCAGCTACAGTATTCACAAGACGCGACGGAGTGTCAAAATCCATCTCAGGGCTCAACTAAGCGGCAAGATCTGATCGGAGAAAAACGACCATGCAGGATGAGATACTTCTGTCTACTTCGTTCTCCAGGTCGCCACATCTTTTGTCACTTTTTTTGTGACTCGGCCCAGGGTTCAGCTCACGTCTGTTCTCAATGTGACTGAGTACGTGCTTGGGGTCGATTCGCGTGCCATGGGACAAACCTAGCTTGAACAGATCACTGTGACGCCGGACAGAACTCGCTTCTCAATACATCGGGATCGAGGAACAGGGCAAGGTACGAAGGTACACTGTTTCGTACCCTTTGGCGTTGCACCAGAGCACATGTCTTGTCAATGGCACGTGGAACGTCACTCTGTAAGCATCCAACCGCGAATCAGACGTCAACTCCATATTTGAATACCGAGTTTCAGATATGATCTCTAAAGACCTGTGGAGTCTGGAGACATCGGATACTTCGTCACTACACTCAAGTCACTAACCTACTAGCCGCCTTGACGATGTCGACACTGTAGCAACCCTGGCGACGCCTGGAAGCTCACAAGGAAACCAGGTGACCGCATTCTGCGAAAGCTGCTTCTGTTGCACATCATGGAGCGATTGACAGTATGACGCAAAGTTTTATCTGCCCTGATGTCGTTCATCGATATAGATCAGCACCCATCGACATCCATCGACATCCGGAGCAGATCTCTATATGAAGTCTGCAGTCCACATCACGACCGTCTCCAGTATACGATCATCAAGTAAAGAACTACTGAAGACTGTCGAAGTCGGCGAGACAACACGACTGATCTGCAAACCATTGGCACACTCACCAGAACTCTCGCTCACTCACCCTCTCTCGCTCTATCCCACCGCGGACGATCTTCCGATACTACAGGCAAAGAAAAAAATACCTTGATGCGAATTAGCGATATCAATTGTTCTCTGAAACATTGATTCTTCAACTGTCCGGTCTAGACCCACGAGAATCAGAGTCATACCATCTACACGTATATGCCCTGACATTGTAAAACATGACCATAGTCTTTTTGGCTTTCGATATAGTAGAAACACATCACCATGCCGGCCACTCCCGCCGCAAGAGGTCCCCGGTTCTCGCTACCCTGGAATTTCCATAACCCCGATCGCTGGTACGGCGTAAAGAGCCTAAACACTTACCTGTCAAGGCTTCTCTACCACGTTTTTCCATCTCCTTAAAAGGTCTCAAATAGAAATCATTTGTGCAGGCTAAAAGTCTTCCCATTCGCTTAACTGACCATCTTCGCAAGAAAGAAGTATTTGGAAAAAAAAGTGCCATGGTGGCTTGGATCATCGAGGTAAGCCTCTCTCTCACCCATCTCTGGTGTGACGTCGTCAAAGTCCTCATTGTTGCTATGGAAAGAAATCTAGGAACAATATCATATGTATATCAAAATTGTCGATCTATCTAGAATCTATATCTAGGATCCCAAACTACCGTTTCCTCGCAACATGTCCTCGAAAACAGTACAAGATCTGCAGTGACCCCAATTGATCCAGGTCATCCATCCTCACCTTGCAACTCGTGACGAATGGAAAAAAAAGAGACAAAAAATCCGATCGCCGAGGGAAAAAATCGATATGTAGTCGTTTGACGTTGCGGAAGTCTAATATAGAGTTATGTCGAAACGTCTTTTTCGTTAGGAGTAGAGGTTGTGTTTGCGAGAGGCGATGGGAAGAACAGAGACATGGCGGAAACATCCAAACTGCTTATCGAAGGTAGGGTTACGGCTTGACACCGGTGCTCGGTGATCCAAGATTTGATGTGTGTGAAAGGAGGCTTGGGGATGGTAAAAAAGTGGTATGCTGAGACAAATGTAACCTGAGGCTTTCCTTGCTTGGCAAGGAAATCGTTGTGACCGTTGGAACGATACTCGCCACACGATTTGATCTTTTGGGGTGCGAGTATGCGAGATGGTTTTGATCAGCGCAGAGACAGGGTCATTCGTGTTGCGAAGGGAAGATCTTGAGGAATTTGGAAATAACTTCTCTCCGTACTACGTACTCGAGGTACGGCTGGTTGACAGGGTAATAGAAAATGGTGTATCCTGCAAAGGGAATCACACATCTATGCGATGTACGACGAACGGAAGAGCAGTCCTACGTACGAGATTGCCCTTGGAAACCTTAGTGTAAGTATGAAGCATGGATTAGAAAAGCATGCATGAGGAGAATTTGGAAACAACATCGAGGGAGTAGAACCTTGAGAGAACATCCTGTGACTACTGAATATGCTCTGCGTAAAGTACACACGAAGCACCGTTGAACGGGGATAGATGGCTCGCTCTTCGGAGCGACACTCCCAGATGATACTTTGAAGTCGTGTCGACGACTCTGGTGGTCGAAAGTAAAGCATCACACGGCTTTGAAGACATCCGTTGTTGGTCTTGACGACGGTGAACCCAGGAGTCTTGCTCCTGATGGATGACAGATTACTTTCGGAGAGTGACTACGTTGTGACAATGGATGGTCCTCAGCAAATTATTGGCGAAATGGACGATGGATGTGAGGTTGTTGGAGTTGAGGACCCCACAAGTCAGATAGGATACTTCGGCGGTAGGCGCGACTGGTTATCCGTTGTTCCAGATCCACGTGCTTCAGAGCAGACCACTTCTGAGAAAGAGCTATCGTGGCTCGGAGATTCAAAAATTCGAACATCGTGTGAGTTGCAAAGGAAAGGGGAATTGAATGCGTGCTTATGAGGAAGTAACCGCTAAGTCATAATGCAAATGTGTCTTCAGGACCTATGCAACGCCGACGCTCCCAAAAACGAGAGAGAACCACGAACTAAATAGACAAGAACAAGGAAGTAGCAATCTCAATCAAACTTCTTGTATCCTATGACCGCCACGAGGAACATCTTTCAGCCAGATGTCGCCACCTTCACCAGCAACCCAACGTCTCCACGCTTCATCATACGCATCCTCAAGGTCGCGAGTCCATCGCGCAGTGTCGAACAAAGCGGAAGTCCATCTTGACTCGGTCAAGATCTTCCGGAGCTCGACTAGTCTTCCTCCACCCTTGCCTACATCAGGTCCTGACTTCGGATAAATGAGTCCTTTGCCCAGCCGAATAGCTACCTCTTCATATTCCGTGTCGGATGATGCGATCAAGTCTCTTTCGGCAGCCTCACGGACGTCGACTGGTGACTTGGGCAGAGCGCCTTTCAGAATCGAGGCTGCCATGCGACTGCACATCTTGTACTCATAGCGTGGCAATGTGAGTAGAGGCGTGCCACTCCAGAGACAATCGGCGGCCGTGGTGTGCGCATTGCACTCGGGAGTGTCCAAGAAGAGGTCGCAAACTCGAGCACGGCTGATGTGTAGATGCTTGGGCGCCACATCAGTGAATACAAGACGAGCGGCCACATTGGGTCCAGCCCATGCCTCAGCAGTGCGCTTGAGGTGCATCTCGCCCACGTCTGGGAATCGCAGAAGCCATAAGATGCTGTTTGGGACTTGAGCCAGTATACGAAGCCAGGTACGGAACGTGGTAGGCTCGATTTTGTAAAGCTGATTGAAGTTTCCAAAGATGACAACATCGTCAGCAAGGGCTGGAAATATTTCTTTTCTCATCTTCCATCGTTGTATTTGCTGATCTTCCCACGTCAACCTGCATTCTCCAGAATCTGGTGCACTTTGTCGATGGTCGCAACAGAAGAACGTATCCCGGCAGTACACGAGGTTTTCTCCGTATACCCAGTCACCCTCTTCGCTTTCTGCTTCGTGGATCACTCGGTCTTGAACATCAAGATTTCGTCGCCATGGTCGAAGAGCAGAAGGTGGTACGGCAGTATCGTCGGCAAGAAGATAGTCGCACCATTCAGCTCCCAAGGTACCAGCGAATCCCATGAAAGCCATTTGGATTGGGGCCGGGCGCGCAGCGAATACCTCGTTACGGGCACCTCTTGTGTATCCATTGAGGTTAACAAGGATATGAATCCCATCCGATACAATCTGGTTGATGAGGCGCTCAGTTGTCCAACTGCTCACATCATGGAAATTCGGCGACTCCTCTTCAATCTTTCGCCGGTAGGGTGAATTGTCTGAGGCAGTGGTGGCATAGCAGAAAGCCTCGACTCGTCGCTGATCGTGCAAGCCAAAGATTGATTGCATGAGATGAGCCAATGGATGGTTGTTGAAATCTGATGAAACGTAGCCAACCTTGAGCTCTGGGGACGGAGGGGATGGCGGAGGATATACGTTAGCGGGCAGCCAAGGCATGCGCAATGTCAAAGTCGAAATGCGATAACCATTACGTTCTGAGATGAGGCGGACCTGCTTTGCGGACACTGGGCAAGTAAAGGTGTGGAAGGGCAAAACTGTAGGTGCGTTTGGGACATTGAGGGCCGTGGGAAGCCGAGGCCTCAGATAACTTGACCTTGTACCCTTTTTCCGCACATACTTGTCTTGGTACCAGTGCCAGCTGATGCGTCTCGTTAGACGTTCAATGAGCTTGATGCAACGCGCGCCTTCCCATTTCTGGCCAGACCAGCTTGCGATCATCTGTCGAAGACGTCGTTCATCGTTCGCAAATCCCTGCGTGTCATTGTCGAAATCTCTGGTTTGCTGAATCAGAGAGTCGATGATGGCCGGCGTTAATGTTCCACGGCCCCAGCCCTCTCCTTCTGTAAGCTGTTTCTCAACAATATGAACGACGCGGTTGATCCAGCCAGTACTTGAAGGTGTAGAAAGTGCTGCGCTCAGCAACATGCCGTTTTGATCCACGTGCCAGCGGTCGCGCTTTCCACCATCTGTGGCAATGCCTCCTCTTGCTTGCCATGAGCAGACCGAATTGAGTGCATTCGCCAGACCGCATACGGCTTCAGCAAAGTCAGGGTTCACGTCGACGGCTCGCTTGTAGTATTCGATCGCTTCGGCAATCTTGCCCTTATCTTTGACGGCATTTGCAAGATTTGCTAAAGCGATATCGAATTTACCGTCACATTGGATAGCCCTTCTATACATCTCGATGGCTGCATCAAGTTGACCGATGTCCTTCAGAAGGCTGCCAAGATTTGTATACAGGTGAGCATGTCTGGAGTCGAGCATAAGACCGTAGTTGTAGTATGCGAGAGCGAGTGCTATGCCGCTTCCAGGATGCACACCGGGAATGTCCTGTTTGAAAACGGGAGAACTGACAAAAGCCATTGCTGGTTGGACGGACTGCTGAACGCTAGCCAGGAGGATGCCCACGTTGTTAGCGGTAGACGGGCTGGGCTGCAATGACAGCGAAAGGTAGTAGAGCGCGAGAATTTCCCTCACGCCAGACACCATTGGTTTTCCACCAGCGCCTTGGACGTTTTTGCCCATACCATCTTGAAAGATCTTGGCAAGTGATAGAAGGGAGTTGCTCGCTATCGCGACTGCGGCGCTCTTAGCAGGGCTTGAAGGTGAAGCGGGTATGTATCGCAGACCAGCCAGTTCTCCATGATCTGGGAAGCACAAACGAGCTGTATTCGCAGCCTGCTCGGGATACAAGAGTACAGGCTCGACGTTTTCGACACTTGGACGACCAGATACAGAGATAACGGAGAGGACATGAGTAACAAGCTGAGCGATGCCCGAGAAGGAACGACCGGTTGCGACCAGCACCGCATCTTCGAAAGCTTTGGCTGCACCGTTGTTGTCGCCCAATGTGTATAGCATGTTGCCCTTCGCATGAACTAATGCAAGCATGCGTCCGTTGTCAGCTCCAGGGATAGAGTATCCGCTTGAACCGAAGCCAGGCTCCTTGGGACTTGAAGGTTCACGTAGAAACTCGCCGTCTGCTTCAAAATCGTAAATCGGAGGATCGGATTTGTCGGAAACACAGGACGAACGACTGTCATTAGAGGACAACTCACTGTGGTGATCAGAAGCCTTTTGTGGCTCACGAGATCTGGAGTTCCGTAATGATCTTTCGACAAATTCAATGACTTTGATGGCTTCTTTTCCTCGCGAGGTGCTGCAAAGTAGACCTACTAGATGTTCAACTGCCTCAAAGTAGTTGGGTGCAAATTTAACAACCTTCATCCAATACTCCTCAGCCTCATTCTTGCGTTCCAGAGCTACCAGTGTTGCAGCTAGATTCGACATTGCCTCGATATGCCGTGACTCAAGACACAGGACTTTGAGATAAAAGTCCTCGGCTTTCTGATAACACCCAAGGCCGTACGCGATACATCCGGCAAGATGTATACCGTCAGCCCATTGCCAGGAAGTCTCGTTGCAAAATTTTGTAATCAAAGTCAAGGCACTGGCAGCTCGGGTCGGCGGTGAAACATCAGGCGACAGAGGTGTAGCTATGGGTGGAACCATGGCTCCGGGAGAAGGCAAAGGCGTTGAAGAATGCATGGCGTATGGGCTTGGGCCGTATGGGTAAGTGTTTCCATATGGCGACGAGATAGAATTCTTTCGTATCGAATGAGAGCTTGTCGAATCGGCAGAAGGGATCGAGGAAAGAGCCCCAGAAAACTTTGGAGGCTTCGGGTAAAACTTTGGACCAGGAGAAGAGGCCTGGTACGGTGATGAGGGCTGTCGACTAGACTTGCGCACTTGCTGAATATACACCAATAGTTCGCGGTAGGTTTGAAGTGCCCAGTTGTATGCCTGCTCACGCTGTTGAGCGTTTGCGGGGGAAGGACCAAAGTTGGGGGTGAAGTCGGGGGTATAAGGCATACTGTGCACACCAGAAAACGAGGGGTACACGGTTGGCAAACTACTATCGTATGAAGGCCATACATGTGAGGACGCAGGATACGTAAGAACTGGCCCGGGAGCGTTCCAAGGATTCACAAAATCATGCGCTGGGTACTGGCTGTTATGTTGTGGGTAGAAACGCGGATCTCTGACGGCGGCAGGGCGATATGGAACATAAGTGCCATCATTCCAATAAGGGCCGTAAAGGCCACGACCGTCAATACCTGACGCCGTTGGACCTAGATGCTGGAACGGCGGCTGCATGACACTTGGTATAGACTGACCATAGAAAGGATGTGGAGGCGGATTCATGTATCGTGATGGCGGAATGGCTTGCTGGTTGAGCACAGAGTCCATGTGCATCATCTGAGGCACCTGACCGTAATTATGGGTGCTATCGTGCCGGTGAAGAAGCATGTGCTTTGTCGGTTGTAGCCCAAGACTGCTGCTTTCGTATGCACCGTTGAGGGTTCCATTGGGTGTCTTCCTCCGCAACATGTTTTCGGACGACACTGGTCGTGGTGTCGAGCCATCGTACGGACTTCTGAGGGGCTGTGCGAACTGGGCGCTGCGGGAACGAGATGAGAAGTAGTCGTCGTGATATTGCTGGGAGTGGTGATCATAGGATGAGGTCCGAGGGAGTCGAGAACGCGGCGACATGGCTATGTCCATGTTAGGCGTGAATGACAAGGTCGTTGGGATATCTAAAAGCACAGTGTGCCTCGAGAGGCTTTCACCGAAGTGCACCTGTGCCTATGCCTTTGCGAAATGTATTCGAGATAAGGCACGACATTGCCATTCATGTACACGGGCAGAGAGAGGCTTCGGACCAACGTTCCAACAATAACTCTTGTAACAACGCGACGATTATGCTAGGCGGCACACGACATGTAGACGTCGAAACAGCGATCCGGGGGAGCGGAGGGCGAGAGATGGCGTGGGTTATACCGTCGACGCAAGGGCTGATGAATTGTGGTCCCAACACTGACTCGGAGCTGACAGACCGGATTCAAGGGTTCCAGGGAGGAGGAAAAGAGAACGAAGCCTAGATGAGGACAACTGCAGGTTATGTATGCGCGATACCGACGGGGACCCTCTAATGGAGACGTGTGACTGGATCCGGGAAGGAGTGCAGATATGTCACGCAAGATAAAGATGGACGGGGTGCTTCGGAACCAAAGGATGAGGAATGGCTGCTGCCCGCCGCCTGTCGATGCAGCCAGGTATCTGCAGCGCTTGGGGAAAAGGAGAGGAGCAAGAAAAGGCGCTTTTCAACGGGCCAACAATCTTTCCTTATAAACAAACGAGCGAAGGAAGCAACGCGATGGGGCGTGCTCGGCAGGGAGCGGGCATGTGCAATTCATAGATACGACTGCAGTGGAGTCTTTGTATGGAGAGAGGCACGAATCAGAGCCCCAGGGCTTGGGATCGGCGTGGGATGCGCCAACCAAACGGCCCGTGTGGCACTCACATTCTCATTCAATCGAGGCTCCCCCGAGCGCCTGTCCAAAGCTACTAGCTGAACAAGTCGAACATCCTGTCGACCGGACGTGTTTCGTTTCAAAGCGCTGCTTACCGGTGAGCTGGCCTGTTTCAAAGCGCAGTTTCTCGTCCTGTCAGCGTCAGAGGAACTGGTCTGGTGGGATTAGTTTGGTCTGCTTTGTTAAACTGAGGTTGATAGACGAGACTAGAGCCTTTGTGGCTTGCATGATCACGCATGATCCCTGGCGCTGGTGCTTGGTGGAATTCGCGTCGTGCAGACGGGTCATACCAACGCTGTAGCCATGCTTTCTTTGGGCCGCGTGTTGATACTCGATCCTGAAGCGACTGGCGATCCGACGACTGCCTCTTCAGCACGACAGCCGCCATGCGGGATACAGGGAAATGATCAAGACACAAGAAGGAGCCGAGTTGCACGCAGCCACAAAACTGTAGACGAATGAGGCGCAGAGTGCAGGCAACAGTATTATCATGTATTGCAGATCACTGCATGTGTGATTGAGAGTAGCATGACCGCAGATTTGATTGAGCTATGCTAAAAGGTGTACGAAACGAAGAGATATTGACCTTAAACATGGACCAGTATGCCCACGCTCCGAAGAGGAGACATCCCGGTGAGTAGTAGGACAAGATACATCTTGTTTGCACCAAAATAGGGCTAAACCACGGCAAATATGGGTAGAGTCCAGAGTGTTGGCAAACTGAGTGTTGGAGGAAGATGAGGAGAGAAAGAAAAGGGAAGCAAGCACAGCATGAGGCACCATGGGAGAAAGTAGAAAAATCGTTGGGGGTATCACTGAAGAAAGCGCAAAACTTTTGAGCGCGTAAAGGGTTCCGTTAGAGTGCTACATAGTAGACAGTTTACTCCTCAGGGACTGCGAGATATTGTTAGCAAAAGTCCAAAGCAAGAAAGAAGGGCGCAAAACTCACTCTCGATCTCGCCAGACTCGATGTCGTCGGAGACGTCCTTGGGGCTGCGGCCATCAACCTGGCAACCAGTGGAGAAGGCGGTACCGAGGATCTCCTTGACGGTACCCTTGAGGTCCTTGGCCATGGACTTGAAGCGCATGGTGCGGGCGATGTTGATGATCTCATCAAGAGGGACCGACTTGGTGTGCTTGATGTTCTTCTCCTTCTTGCGGTCACGAGGAGGCTCCTTGAGGGCCTTGATGACGAGCGAAGAGGCGGAGGGGACGACCGAGACGGCGGCTTGACGGTTTTGGATGGTGAGCTTCACGGTGACGCGAAGACCCTTCCAGTCGCCGGTGGCCTTGGCGATATCTTCACCGACCTTCTTGGGCGAGAGACCGAGGGGACCAATCTTGGGGGCAAGGGCGGATGAAGCACCGACTTCACCACCGGTGGCCCTAAGGTGGATCACCTTGATCTCGTTGGGGTCCATCTTGGGAGCTACAGGGAATTTTACATCAGCCAGGCGCTTCGCAAGCTGCCAGATCAAAAGGACGATACTTACGCATGGCTAGTACGTAAGGTAGTCGGTCTCTTTTGGGAAAATTGAAGGGGGCCCGAAGGTATGATTGTCGTCGTCGTTGTTGATCGTCGCAAAGAGAGAAAGGGAAGGGAAGAGAGCGTTTGATGGTGGAAGAAAATGCAGAGGTGCGCCAAGCGAATGATTGTGTGCGGCTACAGCCGAGAAGGGAAGTCGAGTGCATGGACCACCTAAGTGAAGCAAGCTGCGGAAGGAGCGTCTCGCGTCTCAGATGTCGCTGATGACACGGAGCCAGAGAGGACAACGGCCGACTTTCTGTACTCGAGGAACTGACTCAACTTTTGCTCCTTCCCCCACGCCGACCCTCTTACACACCAGTGAACAGTGCTAGATATTAGTGACTCCCACTGCCATCTCACTCCACATCTCACCATGTCGACACCACCTCAATCACCGCAGCCGCCGCAGCAGCAGGAAGGCCAACAACTACAACCCGGCCAGCCTGGCCAACCACAAATCAACTTGATGCCCGCAGGACTTCAGCCTGGCCAGCAACCTACCCCCGAGCAGATCCAGGCCATGCAGCGTCAACTCGCTATTGAGGCGCAAAAGGCTGGCATGACGGTGCCGCAATACGTCGAACAACTCAAGGCCCAAGCCATGCGCCAACACCAGATGCAGCAGCAGATGCGTGCACAACAAATGCAACAACAGCAAATGCAGCAGCAACAACAGCAGCAACAGCCCATCACTCCTGGTCCTCCCAAGCCCGAGGCCATTGCCGTAGCCACATTCCTCCAGAGCCAGGACCTCAAAGTACGCACTTGTGTCTTCCAGGAGAAGCGCAAGGATATGTTCAAAGGTAGGCTCAGAGCTTCTCTAGTTGTTCTGTATCAAGTCTGACACCATCTTCCAGTCAAGCGTGCGATTCGCGCCCTCGAGTCAGCCGCCTACGAAAAGGCTCGCGCAAAGAACCCTCTGCTACCTCCCGTCACCGATCGCGCCAGCGCCGAGAACACATTCAAACTGCTCCCGCTCTCCCTTCTCGCCCTTCGCGTCTCCAAAATCGAAGCACCCGCTGAACAGCAAAAGAAGAAGAGAGTCAAGGGTCTCTGGAACGTCAAGGTTGAGCAGCAGCAAGAGGCTCGCGACGAATTCCACTACGTCTGGCTGTACGAGGGCCCACAATGGAAGACGAAGCTTTATGCTGGTGGAGCTCTGGCGCTTATTCTCGCCATTGTCTTCTTCCCAGTCTGGCCCTACAAGATGCGCATTGGCGTCTGGTACCTCTCGATGGCATGTTTGGGCCTGCTGGGTCTCTTCTTCGCCATGGCCATTTTCAGATTGATTCTGTTCCTCGTCACCATGTTTACTGTTCCTCCTGGTCTCTGGCTCTACCCCAACCTCTTCGAGGATGTCGGCTTCTTCGACTCTTTCCGCCCAGTGTGGGGATGGCAGGAAACTGCAGATGACAAGAAGTTGAAGAAGGATCAAAAGAAGGCAAAGAGAGAGGCCAAGCGTCTGGCAAAGAGCGGCGGTGAGAAGCTTGCAGAGATGGGAGAGAGGGTTCAAGAGATCCTGGACGATGGACACGGACACGACGGACATGTGCACAAGGAGGACATCTCGGCACCCATCATGCAGCCCACTGCTGAGGGCACTTCGGGAGCGCAGACCTCAGAGGGACAGGCCAGGCAGCGTATCATGGCAGCCAGTGTCGAGGAGGGTGATGACGAGTAGTGCCGTGCACCTTCAAATTCTAGATGCGCTGTGGCTTGAAGACATGAAAAGCAGTTTATATTTCTAGTGTACAATACCATTGCACTTAACTTATGACTTTGTTGATCATTCCCCTATTCCATCCATTGTGCCAGCTTCCGGGCGAACTATTGCATTATCATTATTATTTGAGTGAAGGACCTTGGTGGTTGGGTTGGGCATCCCCGCTTGGTATAGAAATCGTCATTCTGGATTCTTCCACGAAGCGTCTCTTCCTCCTCTACTCCAGGCAGCCATCCCAGCCCCGACTCATCCGAACACACAAACTTGCGACTCTCGAGCGGATCTTGTCACTTCAGTCGTGGCCTTCACTTAACAACACAACTTATACACAACAGCGCGCCCATCCTCACACGCACACGGATCAAAGCGACCTTCGCAAACGCCTCTCACACTCACACTCACGCATCCGTCGCTGTCGCCTAGACTCTCAACCTTCCCTCACCACACAATCTCCACACACACACACACACACACACACACACACACACACACACACACACACACACACACACACACACACACACACACACATCTCAACAACAACCATGGGTTCCGTCGTCCTCCCCCATCTCGCCAGCGGCTGGCACGTCGACCAAGCCATCATGTCAGAAGAAGACCGCCTAGTCGTGATCCGCTTCGGCCGCGACTGGGACAAAGACTGCATGCGCCAAGACGAAGTCCTGTACCGCATCGCCGACCGCGTCAAAAACTTCGCCGTCATCTACGTCTGCGACCTCGACCAAGTCCCCGATTTCAACCAAATGTACGAACTCTACGATCCCATGACCATCATGTTCTTCTTCCGCAACAAGCACATGATGTGTGATTTCGGAACGGGAAACAACAACAAATTGAATTGGGTGCTTGAGGATAAGCAGGAGTTGATTGATATCATCGAGACTATTTATAGGGGTGCGAAGAAGGGTAGAGGTTTGGTTGTTAGTCCTAAGGATTATTCGACTAGATATAGATATTAGGTGTGAGGGAGAGATAGGCCAGACTGTGATGGTACGGTCATGGCGACATCTCTTACTCTCGATCACCCTCAGGCTATCTATCACCTCGACGCCTCTCAGCATCAAGCTCAAATCTCGGAACTCATCAACAAGAACCAAACCCAAGAAGAGCAGTGGGGACACAAGCAATGCATGGAAAAGGCAACGATCCTCCTTCAGGCCACGACATTCGAAACCACAAAACACGATCAGCGTTCCACGAAAAGGCTCGAAGGGAACTCGATGACATGGTCACACAAACGAAAGGGCTTTTCTTCTTTCTTTTGTCTTTTCTCGGCTGGAATTTGAAGGAAGGCCGGCCACAAGGGAGCAATCCAAGTCATGATAACGAAACACAAAGCCAATCCCAAAGGATGCAGTAGTTGGAACACAACTGACGCGAGGCGAGGCAGATCAAATCAAGTATGTTAATTCTACAGTGGAAATTACAAAAATACGTAACACAGAACAAATTCTTGCATAAAAATAGCCAAGGGGGGTATCTTCTTCCAATCTTACTTGTACACACTCGATATTCTAATAATCAAAGCGTTCGGGGAGCACAACAGGCGCCACAAGTGTCCAACCAAACATGCCGTAGCACACCCATGAGCTGACAATCTTGACCCAAGAAGCCCAGTAAGTACGTCCCACAGGCACGAAATCGCCCTTCTCGATCAACGAATCGCCTCCGACGTTTTGGGTCAGCAGTGTTGCAACCCATGCTGTGGAAAGCAGGAAAATGATGTGGAAGAGTGTGTAGTTGTATTGGGTGGCGTTCTTCTCGTCGTCGCGAGGGTGAGCACCGGGGTACTCGTCATCATCATCGCTGTCGTCGTCGGATTCGTCGAGAGCTGAGGAGGGGAGAGAGCCAGAAGCCACAGCTGCACGAAGAGCTTCGGCGCGCATCTCGCGGCGAGATGAAGGCTGAGTTGCGACAAGACCGTGCTCGTGGTCGCCTTCGCCAACTTGGTGGTAGCCACCGGGCTTACCTGTGCCCATAGCCAGGCCATAAGTGGCAGCGCGAGTAGTAGTGTAGGCCACAGTCAAGAAGGTGAGGATTGCACCCATGATGACGGTAGTTCTGCGGGCACCACGAGCACGAACCAGAGGGTTGCACTGGTGGTCATCAGGCTCCATGGCGACAGCCGACAGAGTCAGGTAGGTGCAGTACACACAGACAAGGGCGGCTTGAGCCAGACCAGCGCGAGGGTTGGACTCCTGAATCATCGGGTGAACACTGATGACAGAGATGATCAACAGGCAGATCAAGTTGACGGTGATTGCAGCCTGGTTCATGGAGCATCCCGAGCCGGCGAAGAAGATGTACATGAGAATGGTCATGACGATAGATCCGAGGTACATGGTCAGGGTCGAGCCGATGAGAAGCGACTTCCAGAACTGAGAATCGGTAGTTTCAACCTTTTCCAGACAGTACTCGGCCCAACTATGCGCCAGGTCTACCAGAAGGACGAGTCCCAAGAGCAGGAACAGAACAGCTCCGACCAGAGCGACGTAATTGCCCCAGACAATGAAGAAGCCGTCAGGAATCAGGAAGGAGATGACAATGAGACCAATCCAGGCAATCAACTTGGGCCCCCAGAAACCATTTTGAACAGCCGATCTCTTGTCGCGGGTGTTTTTGACGCCAATAAGCAGCAGAGCCATGATGAAATGGAAGAAGCCGAGAGCAAAGTTGATACGGTGAACAGCAGTGAAGCCATAACAGGCCTTGCCGTTGCAGGAGATTGTGGCGAAATCGAGCAGAACGTGTTGGAGTTTCTTGACGGCCCAGTCGGTGAGCATGATCCAGGACAGCAACGAATTGAGCAAGAGGATGACGGCGTAGGCGATACGTGTAGCCATGCTATTGTTGCATTTTCCGGCAGCACTGCAGACGGCCGAGCATGTGGCAGCTCCACAGCAACTGGCGGCGAAGGTCATGAGCTGTATGGCGCGTTAGACATGAAGGGGGCGCGAACCCGTGATAGAAGGGCAACTCACCGACCCAACCGAGGGGATGGCCAACAGTGGCAGCGACAGAAGGGCTCCCATGGCAAGTGGTGTTGTATCAGAAAGTCGAGTACGGTACGGATACCAGTCGCAGGTTGGTGGTGTCGAAGGAAAGTGGGTCGCCTGGCTGCACGTTGTGCGGGAGTCCGGGGATCTTGGCTCGGAATCGATTGCCGACGGTGACGCGGAGGACGCGATAGCGACTGCCTTTCTAGGGAGCCCGTCATGATAGGCCGACCTGCCTTCGCTCCTGCCATCTCTGGAGCTGCCCGAATTGTGTGTGTCTTGTTGACCTGAAGGCGTGCTCGATCCTGTTATTCTTCCTTTCCTCTGTCTCCTGTTTAACACATCAATCTTCCGGCCATCAATCGACCATACTTGTCTCTCCGCGACCATACCCTACTCGACTCCATACCGAATCCCACTTTCGCTATCTCTCCTTAAGCCTCGACATATGCTTCAATAATACTATACCGTTTCTCTGCTATTATTCCAGTCGCCGTACGCCATGCAAGACCACGATGAGAGGGCGCATTACAAGTCGCGAATTATCTCCGTCATCGCTGCCACTGGCATAGCTCTCGCTTGGTATGTTTGCTGCTCCTTGATCTCCTATCTGCTTTCATACCCAATGTGACCTTATCTAACCCTTGGTAGTGGAACAAACGTTAGTACGCGACTCCGATTCTACTCTCCCCCTCCTGACCCGATTACCAGTACGCGTACTCAGCATGGGCTCCTCAATATGCCGAGCGCATGAAGCTATCTGCTACGCAAAGCAACCTTATCGTAAGCGACGACACCGGACAAGAATCGCAAGGGCTTAGCTGAGACACAACAGGGCAGCGCTGGTAACATTGGCATGTATGCCTCGGGGATTCCTTTTGGTATCTTGATCGACACAAAAGGTCCTCGATGGGCTATCCTTATTGGTGCCGTCTCCCTGGCCTGTGGCTATTTCCCACTTTACTCGGCCTACCAGAAGGGTGCTGGATCTATGAGCTTCTCGGCTTTGTGTTTCTTCGGCTTTTTGACTGGCATGGGAAGTTGCTGTGCTTTTGCTGGCTCCATCAAGGTGTCTGCAACAAATTGGCCGCATCACAGAGGAACGGCCACCGCCTTCCCTTTGAGTGGCTTCGGTCTCAGCGCCTTTGTCTTCACTCTAATTGGCAGCTTCGCTTTCCCTAACGACACTGGAGACTATTTACTGATGCTGGCTATCGGTACCTTTTGCATGGTCTTTGTTGGCAGTTTCTTCATGAAGTTGATGCCTCCTGCATCCCCATACCAAGCCGTACCTACTGAGGATGAAGGGCGGCCGGCACGTATCAGAAAGAACTCGCACGATCTTCAGTCGGCGAGTCACAGTAGAGATGGAAGTAGATCAAGTCTCCCTGGCGAACCCAGTAAGTCTCCCTATCTCTTGCGTTACATCAACACCCTATCCCTGCTTTACTCTTGCGTTCCAGTCGTGAGACGGCACCCAGCTCATCTCTTCAGGCACTCAAACTGCCCAACCAGATGAGACTACCTCCCTCGTCTCCCGTGCTGAGGAAACCCCTGTGGACGAGTCCCAGACAACCCAAATGCGTGGCTCACACAAGAAAGATATCACAGGATGGGCACTCGCAAAGAGCCCTGCGTTTTGGAACTTGTTTATTCTGCTTGGCTTATTATGTGGAGTTGGTCTGATGACCATCAAGTATGTTGCCCTCTTCCTTGACTTTACACGCCGTGACTGACCTTTCGTTAGCAACATTGGAAACAACGTGAGAGTGCATCCGACCATATTGGTTCAAAGAAGTACTAATCATTTCTGCAGGCCAAGACGCTCTGGCACCACTACGATGAAAATGCAAGTCATGACTTTATTCAATCTCGACAGTTGATGCATGTCGCTATTCTCTCCATTGGATCCTTCTTTGGCCGATTGTCGTCTGGTATCGGATCAGATTTCGTGGTCAAGCGTCTGCACTCATCCCGCTACTGGTCGCTTGTGGCCTCGTCACTCATCTTTACTCTCGCTCAGGTCTTTGGCCTCACGATTGAGAACCCGACTCACTTGTATCTGCTCTCCAGCGTTACAGGACTTGGCTACGGTGCGCTATTTGGTGTGTTCCCTGCGCTCGTTGCAGACGCGTTCGGTGCCGCAGGACTCGGTATCAACTGGGGAGCCATGACTATGTCGCCTGTCATCTCGGGCAACATTTTCAACACGGCATATGGTGCAATCTTGGACAGCCACTCAGGTTCAGCCGATGGACATCACCGCATTTGCAACGATGGCAAGGCTTGCTATTCTCAGGCATACACAATCACTCTTGTTGCCAGTATTCTAGGTATTGCTTGGAGTCTGTGGTGCGTTCGTCACGATACGGAAGAGAAGAAAGCACAAAGGAAGATGTACGAGGATCATCAACCTTGATAGTCTCTTTTCTGTTGGATTTTTTCGAACCTTTAACTATTTCATAGCGTCTTTCTACATTTAGGGTGGATCTTGATCTACAATAGATTTCTTTACTTTGGTGACATGAATGGCTTGCTGAACATTGTACTCTGTGGCTGTGCAAGTATGTGGCTGAGTAATGGGCATTGTTAGTTCTGAGTACAATCACATGGAACTTGCTCGAGTCGAGTGAGTTTGCCTCCCCCACATCCGAATCAAAGGCAGCTTTTGGCGCGTGCGGCTCGTAGCTTCCAAGCACATCTATGTAGCTGCCTACTTGCCTTGTAGACCTCTCTTGATCCCACTTTCTTCAAAAAGACGAAACCTGTGATTTTGTGCCATTTCTTGCTCGAAAAGCATCCTTTTGTGAAGTCTGCAATTTCTTAGGAAGGAGTCGAGTCGGTCGCTACTCGCCACATCAGCCGCACATCACCACCATGCCTGCACCGCTGGCAAAGGGTATGTGATTCTCTTTTTGTTCCCATCGGTCTTTCTTTCTCGTGTTTTGGTTTGACCGCGATAATGTTTCCATGTCCTGCTTCTTGTTCTCTTTCTTTCTCTGGTCCTTGGTCGTGTTCTCAGTACATCAGTGTCGCGATCACCCCATGCTTCTGTCAGCTGCGCGAAGAGCTTCATACATGTTCACGCGACAATTTCTGACATGACTTCTAGGGATTTTAATCTCCCTGTCTATACTCGCCGCCGTCGGAATAGCGGTGTACGAAAATCCTCAAGTCAAAGAATGGGTGGAAGATCAACGACGCAAGATAACGGAATTCCTCCGCACCTTTGGGGATTCACTTGATCCCCAGACCCGACGCGAGGCGGAAGCATTTGCCTATGAGGGACGCCTACCAAACCAAACTCGAGAAGAGGCTGCAGGAACAGCGAACGCCGTCGCCAGAGCCACTGGAAGAGAAACAACAGACGACTCGATCAGCAGACGAAACAGGACAAGTCATGGCCCGCAGAGCCCCGATGAAGCCGAGGAAAGAAGACGGCTGGGTAGAGAGTATTTGGCCAAGAGAAATCAAGAGATGCTGGACCTGAAAGAGAGACAGAAGATGAGGAGGAGCACATCGGACCTATCGGAGAAGACACCTCCTTCGCCAACCTTTGACCAACTGGTGAACGTCGACGGGTCGCTGAAGATGAACGAGAAGGACTCGCAAGACTCGCAACAGGAAGAGGAAGAGTTCAACGAGAAAACTCTCGACCTTCCGTCAGTGCCCACTGACGAGCCAAAATCTCTTCGAAGCATCCCCATCCAAGAGGCCGTCATGGAGACAGCCTTCAACACCGGCTCTCGCTACGCAAACCCCTTCGGCGACGAATTCGAACTCTCAGGCACATTAGACTCACGCTCACCGACACCGAAGCCTCCAGTACCACCCAAGATTGCCATCGAAGACACCAACAGCGTCCGTAAATTGTCTGTCACGCAGAAGGAGCCTTCGATACGACAGATTCCTGTCTCAGACCCGGAAGAGTCCGTTCCTGACAATCTCAGCTATGAAGAGCAGTTGGTCCGCGCCATGTCTATCAGCTTAGCAGAAAGCGAAGAGGCCGCTCGTCAAGCTCGCGCCCTAGAGCAAGAGCAGCGCGAGATGGACTTTGCCGCCGCCGTAGCTGCCAGTCTCGCCGATGTCGAGAAGATGAGGCAGAAGGAACAAGAGTCCGAACAACTCATCAACCTCACACCTGACCCACCGATCTCCGTGCCTACTTCCGAATTCGATGCCGACGAGCTGTACACCCTCTCGCCTAACCTAGCTACACGTCGTGCTGTCCCAGCACCCTTCCCCAGCCACATGGTTATCCCACCCTACGATCCCGTCCACGAAGCCGCCGAAGCCTCTGTCACCTCTCCTCAACAACACTCCCAAACACCTCTACCCCAACACACTCCCACCACCGCCACCTTCTCATCTCCCGAAATCGAACGCGACGCCATCTCCTTTTCCTCCGCCTCTTCCACAACCGACGACTTCGCCTCCGCCCCTGCTAGCGTCGCAGCCAGCGAAATGAGTCTGATCGACTTTTCCGAGGTCGAAAGTGTTGACAGCGGTGACGAGAGCGAGCCAGAAGGTGTCTTGACCCCCGGTAGCTGGACGGATGTCGGCAGTGATGTCGGTAGTGAAGATCAGGAGGACCACAGACTTGCTTGATATACCCACTGAACCTCCCTCTCTTCCCTACGATACTTCTTTCTCTCTTCCTCTACTTGGCTCGGTTCTTTTGGTTTCAGGATTATTCGGGGTTTGGTGGTTTTAGGTTCTTCTTACACTTATTGGGCTTTTTTACGTTCTTATTCACAATCGGAGCGGGTTATACACAAAAAATGAGTATCATGTTCTTCAAATCCTCCTACTTGAACTTTTCTAGGCTGATCGGATGGTTTTTTCTCCTTTTTTTCGTCATTGATTATCCATTTATTCTCCCTTTTGATCTTCCTTTTTTTTTTTTTCCGATCAGGGTTATACCATTTACATGGTATGAAACCATTGATATCGATATTGCGAGACCACGACAAGTGTTGATTCTCGGGCAACTGTACGATATAGATCTTAGTAATCCGAGCTAGCTACATCTGCAATATTAAGCTGGAAGCTGACGTCGTCGTTGCGTGATATCCATTTTTGCGATTTTGAAATGCTTCGATGGGAAAATGGACTGTCTTGAATGCGGAAGACACTCGAGTTCATGATAGAATGGGTATAATGGTTACCTTTCGCAGCTTATGGAGGATACATTCACGAGTTACTCGGGGTATCTAGTAGGTCGCAGTTATCCACACTGTGGGTGTATAGAGTATCTAGACTAGAGACAGGGTCGTCACGTTGACTTCGAGATTTGGAACAGGGTGATACGGTCAGCAAAGGAGCCAGGACAGGGTCACCTTGGACATGCTTGGAGGTCAGCAAAAGAAATTGATTTCATGTTCACGAGTCTAGCACAAAGACGACTCAAAAAGCCAAGCTATTGTTACAAAAAAGTGCTCATCTCTTCTTTTCTCCAGTGCTCAGGATGCAGAGAGAGCCAAACGCTGCTGCTACTCTTCGCTGTTGATCACAGTCCACATACCTCCTTTGCGCTTCTTGCCGGCAGAAGGACCTCTCTCCATCTGTAGTTCATCTGCGATCTCGTCGAGGGGTGTAGGGACTAATGCTGGCATCGCCAGAGTGAGAACAGAAGGTGCTTTTGCATCCTCTCCCTCCTGCTGAGCTCCGGCTTCGGCGGCGGCCTTCTTCTTAGCTTCTTCCTTGGCCTCTTCCTTGACTTTTCTTGCTGCGTCTCTCTTGGCATCTTCTTCGTCGATGATCACCTGCTTGGCCTTGGCCCATTCAGCAAGCACTTTAGGATGTGAGATCATGTAGATGACGGCCTCCCTGGCTGCGAAGGAGTCTTCCAGGCAAGAGTGGGTCGCCTTCCTCTGCACGCCCAAGCCCATGAGTGATTCGCACACCTTCTTCAGTGCAGTACCGCCTTGTCTGTTGCGGTTGATGGCCAGCTTTGCGAGTATCTCTGAGTCAACACAGCGATTGTGGGCGATTTTCAAGACATTGAGGTCGTAGTTCAGGGCATGTCCGACCAGGATGGTGTTTTTGTCCACGAGGGAGAACAAGACATCGCGGGCATGTGTGACGCTACTCAAGGCCGTGCCATCATGGATAGCCTGGAACATCATGCGTGGACTGACACCGTGGATGTTGGTGCGCCATTGCTGAATGTCAAGAGTGGGCTTTACGAGACTCGAGATCAAGACTTCGCCGGTCAGATAGTCGATGGCGGTCAATTGAATAACCTGATCAACAAAGCCATCACCATTCCAACCGCCGGCCATCTCGCAATCAAGTGCGATAGCTCTGCGCTTGGACGTGGCTGGACAATGTTCAGGTGGATGTTCAAAGCCTTCGTAGCGTGTAGTGAGGTGGGTGATGCCAGGGAAGTTGTGCTTGCCGTTACGGGCGACTGAACAGCCCTTCTTGCCAGACTCTGCAATCAGACGATCGAGTCGTTGGCGAGAGGTGCGACAGGATCGACACTTGACTTTGGCCTTGATCTCGAACTTGGGAGGCATGACAGGATGGGTGACGTTGTAGCCAGCTGAAACAAGGGTATCGGCGTCATGGCAGTGCTTCTCAAGAGCCTGGTAAGCATCCTCGAGCTCATCATCACTGAACGACGTCCAAGTCCTAGCTTCAGGCACAGGGTCAGACGAAACAAGCGTCGGCCAAGTCTGGTCAACAGAGGGTCGACAGTCTGAATTTAAAGAGGCAGAAGGCTGCTGGCTAGGAACATCGAAGTCACGACTGCCATCGGTGAATACTGACATGTCGGTGAGCTTTGTATCAATACTAGCAACTGTTTCCGATGAGTCGGGACGAGGATCCGAGGCACCGTCGTAGGAGGGTGGGAACTTCTGACGTCGAGCACGCTGGGGGCGTGAGACACGTTGTGAGGTGTTTGTTGCAGGAGGCTGGGTTGTAGAGAGAAAGCCTCCAGAGACAAATCCGGGTGGAGGATGATTGGCGAGATTGTGGTTGATCTGAGATTGAATGAATTGTGGCATCGGATGGGGTTGTCCGTAGTTGACATACGGGATGGGAGGGATGGTCGGGTAGTGTTGGTTGTGGACGATAGTAGGGCTGGGAACGAAGGAGAAAGCAGGTCGACGAGGGTCGAATGGCGGGAGGGTGGAATGCACATAGACTGGCTTGCCTGGTGGTTGCTGCATGGCGGAAGGCTGCATTTCGATGTTCTCCTTGCCGGGACCCACACCGTACATGGAAGGACTCATGCTGGTGATGCGGGAGCGCGCTTGACGGCCTTTAGGCTGAGAAGTGTTTGGTTCCTTAGGGCGTTGAAGATAGACAGTCACTCTTTGGTCAAGGAAATGTTTGTTGTGAAGTTCTCTCGTAGCACGATAGGCTTCCGCGGGTGTTGTCAAGTTGACGAAGGTAAAGTTATCTGAGTGTGGACAGTGGGTGCGCATCGAAGTTGTTTCACTGTCACTTGTCAGCTTCGTTTCTTTGTTGAAGCAGTTGTCTTGAACCCGGGCCACTTACACAATGAAACCGTCGAACAAGATGTTTACAAGGCCTCGCTCTGTGACGTTAGCTGGCAATCGACCAACATACACAGATCGGCCAGTAGGCTTGGAGAGGCCTGGGTTGTGCGAGAAAGAGTCCTGAATATGTTGTTCGTGTTGTTGAACGCTGGTAAAGTCGCGTTCACAATCGACACAAACAATCAAAGCTGGTGCCCTAGTCTTGGGACAGATGCGGCGTCCCGTCGAGGATGTCTCTAGATGTTCGTCCAATGGCTCGATCATGTCATAGCGCTGTTTGCAACTCGAACACTGAACAGCGTTATGAGCTCTCTTCAGAATCTTGACTTGCGCCATAGCGAATGCGCCAGGATGGCAAGATGAAAATCGTGTCTTGTCTGATGAAGTTCGCTTTTGAATCAAACAGGAATGAGACATGGAAATGCGGAATTGTGATAGATGCGCATAGCAACTTCCGAACAAGTCCAGTGGTTGCTAGGCGTATTCGCTTGGGACGCGTCTTTGTTTGGAGAGTGATTGAGGAGAAGGTGCTATCTTGAACAGATCGAGAAGGTGGGTCGCGCTGTGGCAGGAAATAGTCGACCTGCACCTTCCGACTTTCTGTACCACGTTTTGATCCTCGGCGACACCAAACAGAAGGAGCTGTATCGCTCTTTCCAATTCGCGTGTTTGTTGACAGTATCTTCCAACAAATGTGTCCCCGACTTAAGAGCTCTCTGAAGAAGAGACAGCGTCAAGACCTTCTACATGATCAAGAAGAGCCTCTAAACCATTGAGAGTCAGCCATAGAACAGCGACTGCGAAAAGAGAGCAAGCTCACCTCCAGAGTCGAACCCGAGCCCCCAATCACTGAGGTCATATAATTCAACCAGATTTGTTTCCTTACAGCAATCCGCTGTGTGGTGTAACGGCTTACACTCATGATTCGGCTAACCAAAACCACTCCAAGAGTTCCGTCGTGTAGTCTTAATTGCGAATCGCAGCCAGATGTCCGTCATCTGGTGATTTAGATTAAGGAACAATTGTCGAGGAGTTTTCCCAGAGCCTTCGGCTCTGGCTTTTTGCAGTTTTAGTAGGAATCACATGTGGTTTGTTTGTTTTGCTGGAGGGGGTACATTCGCCAGTCGGACATGACCATTTTCGCAAGAGAATGGAAGTGTACCTACTCATAGTGGACAACATGGGTTGCTATAATCTTACATAGTGTTACACAGCAAGAGGGCAAAGTGTACTAGGACGACGACGCATCTCTTGCTTCCTTGAACTCTTCCCAACCAGGCGCGCTGAGGCCCTTCTGCTCGAACTCAGCATCACTGATGACTTCGACGAGCTTGACGTTCCATTTGCCCGTTCTGAGGACTAACACGTTGCTCTTCTCCATCATCTCTGTAATGACGGAAGACGTGACACCTTTCAATGATCGGAACTTGAGCTCGCCCTCAGTTGCTGCCTCTTGTTCGCTGGTTTGACTTCCAATGTAGGCACCTCCAGAGTTGACCATGCGGGTACCATCGCTATTGCTCTTGGCTAGGCCAGCATGATACAGAATGCGTGCTGGTTGCTTGCCTTGGACTAGACTTTGGGGGAGATAGAGACGGTTGAGACTATCCTTGCTGTTCTCGGCTTCGGCTTGCAAGGACTGCAAGTTTGGTCGGCGCGAGAAAGTGTGTTGGTTCTGGGTATTCTGAGCCTCTTCGGTACCATGGACTAGATCGACGACTTCGCGTGCTAGGAGATGCTGAGCTTTGCGCTGGCTGGGATCGGCTTCGTGCTCAGTCATGACAGCAGCGATATGCTCCAGAGGAAGGAAGGTGAAGAGTTTCAGGTAGCGCTCGACGTCAGCATCAGCAGATCGTACAAGGAAACCATACAGCTCAAAAGGACTGGTCATGGTCTTGTCGAGCCAGATTGCATTTCCGGCACTCTTGCCAAACTTGGCACCGGCAGCAGTGGTCAAAAGGGGGACAGTCAGACCGAATGGACCAGACAACTGCTTGGTCTCGGGTGAAGTCGACGGTCTAGGAGTCAAATGTTTGATGAGATCAATGCCAGCGACAATGTTTCCGTACTGATCAGAGCCACCGATCTGGACTTGAACACCTGATTGATACAAATGCCACCAGTCATAGGCCTGTAGAAGAGGATAGGTAAACTCGGCATAAGACATGCCATCACCTTGAGCCATCTTGTTCTTGACACTGCCGAAGTCAGCATGCTGTCAGAACGGAGGGTGTATCACAATCAAGACTCACGTATCTCTACCAAGCATAGCGCCCATTCTAGCGACGGTACCAGCATCAGACAAGAAATCGATGATATTCAGCTTGCCCAACCAGACGGAATTGTTCTGTATACTCTTGCTCCAGGCCTTGTCTTTCGGGTAGCCATGTCTCTCAGCATATCTCTCGACACTCTTCCACATGCCCCTCACGCAATTGTGCAACGAGACAAGATTCGAGGATCTTGTGTTTCTGTCCATCTCTTGTCTGCTGATCAAGCGGCCGGTAGGATCGCCAATCTTTGCAGTGGCACCTCCGATGATGGAGACGGCCTTGTGGCCATGTATGTACATCCAGAACAGGACCATCATGGGGAGGAGGTGACCAAGATGCAGTGAGGGAGCGGTAGGGTCTATGCCAGAGTAGGCGCCGATGCGCTTGTCGGTGAGCAGTTTGTCGAGGGCATTGCGGTCGCCTGCCAGATCCTTGACATAACCACGCTCTTCCAATACCGTCAACAAGCTCTTTCTGTCGCCGGCGCGTGTCTTCTGAGCCTGTTCGTCCCATGACTTTAAAGCGTCGTTGCTCCCTGCCACGGCATTCTGCGAGGAACGACGCAGCCCCGATCTCGAAATACAGTCACCACAAACATACGGCCTGAGAGGCTGTAGCGATCTGCTCCGCCAGAGTGTCGGCCCTCGCATCTTTGGGTGATCGAAGAAGAGAAAGCAGAGGGCGAGCTTGTCGCGTTTCCCGCGTGCCCGCTGGAATTTTAACCCCGACTTAACCCCGCCATGTCAACATTATCAATATTATTCGATAACCAAGACACAATCTACTCGAGTATATTGATGCAGCATCTTATGGAAAGGAGCGATATCTATACACCATGACTACGACTGGTAAGATTGCATGTTCATATCGAAGCGCATTTGCTGACAATCCGCCAGACGGCCGCCATGAGCGCCATATGATGCGACAGAGAGGAGCTGGGTATAAACAACCCGACAACCCCACCATGAACACTCACTCATACACCACTCAAGTGCTCGACCCATTCCTACAAACTTTGGCTTCATCTTCCAGGCCGGTCCCATTCAATTGTCCGCTACTACGACCACCGAATCACCACCACCGACCAATGCCTCATTACCCGTAGCGTCTCCTGCAGAAGTACAGAAGGCACCCGAGCTGTCGCCGCCTGCAGAGAAAGCCGTGCCGAAAAGAAAGAGGGTCATCAGAGAAGATGAAGACGAGGATCAAGTCTGGTTCTCCAAACGTCCCAAGAAATCCACTACGGCGCAACAGGACGAAAGTCACATTGCATCCACTACACCTGGAGAGACAGCCTTCGATTCGGCACAGATACAACCGCCGATAGAGAACAAGCCGGCCAAGCGGAAACTCGTACGAAAGCGTATCCTGGTACCCAAATCACGACAGAAAGCACCCACCGATCCCGAGCCCGAACCCCAGCCTCGACCTGATCAACTACCGGTCGCACCAGAACCTACGGCGGAGGACGTCACAAAACCCAAGAGGAAGACAAGAGCTAAGGCGCTCGTCGTCTCGAAGAACAAGCCGAACCGTGTAGACGTTCCGATTGAACCCTTGCAAGACGACGGACGAGAAGACGAGTCGAACAACCATCCCCTACACGATATACCTTCCGTCAAGCCGGCAACCTTCGAAAAGATACAATCCAACGGAGAAACCCCCGAAGGAGTTGCAGAACCAAAGAAGCGTACGAAAGCTGTAGTGCGGAAAAGAGTTGTACGCAAGGACATACAGAAAGATACCGCAAACGAGCGACCAAACTTGAAGGAAGATGCAAACCCAACGGCGTCCTCAATACCATTGGAGAAAGAGAAGGCTGAGGAGATACCCAAGGCGAAGGTCACCAAGAAGCGGAAAGTGATCAAGAAGCATGTTAACGAGAGCGTTGAGCAAGAGGAAATCTCTGACACCCAGGCCATCCTTACAAATTCTATGGAAGGGCTACCACCCACGCTCGAGATGACCGAGTCAGTGCAGGCAGAAAAGAAGCGAAAAATCGTCAAGAGAGTGCGTGTCCCTCGGGCCACCAAAACGAAAGTACTACCAGAAAAGGACGACCAGACGACCGACGCAGCTGCCCAGGATAAACCCAGACCCTCTCGTTCCCGACCAAAGTTGCCTCTGGAAGAGAGAACCTCCAATCCGTCTCCCAAAAGACCAGAGACCAGTCACGCTCAAGAACAACTGCTCGACAAGAAGAGCAACACACGAGAACGAAAGACAAAAGTGTCCAAAGCCAAGAAGGAAGAAACGACCAAGGAGATCGTATCTGAGGATATATCTTCGCAGCCTATACAGCCCAAGTCACTGCACCATTCTAAGCTAGCTGTGTCTGAGGCCGAAGATGCTGACTTGGCTCTTTTTGAATCAGGAGCTCCGGTACCAGTGACCAAGAAAGCGACTAAGGCTCCGAAAAGAGTCTTTGACGATGACTCTGAGATTGATCTGGATCATATGTTGAGTGGCATCGCAGCCATGGCTGGGACTGGAGCCGCGAAACCTTCTATCACAAAGCCTACACGCGTGGCAAAGAGGAAAGCCGCTGTATCGTGATCTTGGTGTCGGGCAACAGATATCATCTGGGCTACTGTATACAGAGTATCATATCGTCGCCATGTTTGGGCAGTGGACTATTTTCAATAGCCCACGCTTTGCTTTCCACTTCGACGTAACATGGTGCTTCCAGTCTGACGTTATGTCCTGATGGCAAAAGCAATGGAATCGATACTTATGAGAACAGACAAGAGGCCCAGATGCTGCTGTTTGCGTCATTCATCTACAAGAGCGTAGACGTGTGTATAGCAACCTCCAGCTAGAGTAATGCGGTGCTGTATTCGAGGTGAAGTTGTCTGGTTCACAAGAAGATAGAACAGGACATTCCAGAAGACGCTCCAGTAAACCAAACTGAACCAATCGGACGTTCAGGAATTCATAATTTTGCGTGATAGACAGAGGAGGCTGGGAAGAAGAGGTGAAGGAGGCTTCAACACACCGCAATGCCATAGATGCCTTGGCGTTGACATCCGGGTTCCGAAGAAGGTCAATGCTCTCGTCAATTTATCAAGGTTGTTTTGTTGATGCTTGTGTTCTTCTTCCGCATCTTCTCGAATGACTAAATATGTCAACCAGTGGATGCGCATTCTTGATCCAACACCAATATTGCGACAGCCCAGACAATGAAGTTTGATCAAGAGCAAGATTGCCTTGGCACACCAGCATAACATGTCATTTGAGGAAGGAGCACCCTCGATACCGTGAGGGCATGTGATGATGTCCGTGTCCAGCATTGACTCCTGCTTCCCGCCCCCAATTTTGTGGTTGCTATAGACATGGCGAGTAAGTGTGTTTCTCAGTTCAAAGCGTCCCAAAGAAAAAAGGCATATGATTTTTAACTTCATTGTCTTCGTCGTACCTTTTCATCAATCACCATTCTTCCAACAACAACAACCATGTCATCAATATCAATTTCAGAAAGGCCTTCTCGGACAAACAGTTTCAGCGACAGTTTTGAGATCTCGGATCTTTCCTTCGCTCCAACGCCTCCGCCGCATAAGCATACCCGCCAACGGTCATCAATCAGCTCTACAGGCTCACAGTTGGCGTCCGCATCTCACGACTTTAGCGGAAGTGTGATATGGAACAAATCAAGTTCCTTACCACAGCTATATGACCCTGGCCAGTCTTCGAGGACCTCCACTTCATCCGAGTTCAGCAGTAGCCATGCATCCGGTATCCCGTTGGAACACACGTCTTTCGAATCTTCTTGCCATTCATGGTCGACAGCAAGTTCAAGTTTCCAAACAGGATCCAGCGCCACCTTGAATGATAGTGCGGTGTCGCAGAAACCGACGCATCTCACTATCCTGAACTCAAGCACAATGGACTTCCAAAGACCATTACCGGAAACTCCTCAGACTCTAGATTTGCCTGTCAACACAGCCATGCAGACGAGCACGACGCTTCCTCCAATTCCTGGCTATGGGCCTATCCGTCTCACAGTCACCATGGATTTACCCCCACCGCCTCATCACTATCAACAGAGTCCATACACATCCATGAGAGTAGACACGCCTTTGAGCGAGATACCTCCAGCTATCAATTCCGATCCATCCCCCGATGCTGCCTTGGACTCGTTCACTGCCTCCGAGCTGCGCCAACTCCTTCGACTCGCTATGCAAAAAGACCCTTCTTTCGTGTCGGACATCACCTCTGCCCATGTGCATAAAACGTCGCACACAACAAGCAAGGCGACGAATTTCATCCACTACAGCAACTCCGTGTGGCATACATTGAACGCAAAGCAGCACTTGGATCCGAACAAAGCAAGACAGCACGCGGAGAGAGCTGTGCACAGTGTAGCGAATGACATCGCGGCTGTTGCTACTCAAACCTCGAGGGAGAGCTCGTTAATCACCAAGAAAAATGCCCTGGAAACGTTAAGGAAAATAGGCCGAAGTATCTGCCTTGCCACTGGTGCTGTAGGAGATAGAGTCAAAGAGATGTTAGGACCTGACAGGACATTTGTTGATGCGATCGTCAAAGTGGCAGCGAGCTTCACAGAAGACGATCGACGAACACTATGGGCTGGGGGAAGTGGTACTGAGATTGTGAAGCGATTGGAACAGCTGGACGAATTGAGATCATGCTACCGTATCTTCAATGGCTTTGATATGGCATTGAGGTTGTTGAAGAGGGAAGATGAACTAAACGGTAGTGTGTATTGTTGATTCACGAGTGCAGTCATGATAACGAAGACCTAATGCATATCTCTTTCTTACGTTGAAGCGCTTGGTAATTGCTCAAGCTCCGTGTGACATAGAAGGCGGTCGGCCAGGGAGTGATGCGTACAATGCGAGCTAAAATCTATCACCAGAGTTGGTTTCAGCAGAGTACCCATGTGAACCAGATCTTCTTGACTGACGATTGTCTTCCGATTCAGGTGTTTATGCAAAATTTATGCGATATATCCAGTTGCACAACCTGCGGCTTCTCCAAGCCGATTCTGTCCACCGTCGCTGGATCAGTCTCTTCCAATTTTCCTCGCACAACACATGTTCCAAAGATTGCCTCGAGACAGTCGCGTTCTTCAGACCTGAGGTCATACAATCCGAGACTCCAGTGAACAAGTGCTATAATCGCAGTCGCAATCTTGGAAGCGATGCAGGTACGGGTCATCGTCTTGAGCACCTTGATCAAGTCATCAACAACCATCTTATCGCTTCAAACCAGAGTCTTCAATGTCCCTATTTTTATAACCACCCCATGAGACTCGGGAACAGCCTGCTTGGATTCTGGTGTCCATACGACCTTCATTGCTGCTTCTCTGCATGAAAGCAACCGCCTCACGATAGGGCATGATGTTACATCTGGAGATTTTCTGTTGACTAGCAGGACAAGCCAATATATCTCAGGGTTGTGGTGCACTCCTTCTTGTGTTCACTCATCAAGGCCGGCCGCTCTAGACGAGCATAACTTGCCTCATGGATCAAACAAACACATTCTCAACTGGACTCGACCATGTTCGGCGAGCTATCTAAATACTCAATGCAACGTCTGACATCAATGAGATTCACATCTCAGTGATCTGGCAATTTTGGCCATAGTCCTGAACGACTTTCTCTTTGTGTCTGCCTGAAGGCACTATACAGGCAGGTCACAATCATGAGCTATACGAACTTAGCTTTCCGTTCATCCAAGCCACTCTTCTGGCGTAGGATCACTTTACTACCGTATACCATCTCGACCATGATATCTTCAAGGATATCCAGGCTTCCGAGAGACCATGAGCTCAAGCGAGACGGCCCGCAGATCACCAAAAATAGGACTTTCACGTCTTGGCGCATGAAATTGCGGACCCGATCCTTTGACCACCGCTTTCACATCCACTTCTCTGTCATAGCATGGCCTAACAATGAGAGCATGAGGTTGAATACGAACGCATCAAACCTAGTCATGCAGTAGGCGACTCATAGAGCAGTACTCCGCCTGGCGGGCTGCTTTGGAGATATGACGTCGAACGCATATATAAGTAGCCATGTTTCCACGGTTTGTTTGTGTCTCGTTCACCTATCACTCTCATCATCCATCTTCAATCACAGTCGCTCCACTATTGGACAAGATGCTCACCTCTACCCTTCTCTCCGCATTGGCCACTGCCGCCACTGCTTCTGCCGCAAAGACTTACCTTGCCTATGCCTGGAACGAGACCGCACCTGAGATCCACGGCAAGGCAGTACAAGCCCGCAACGGATACTTCTACCTCGGTGGTCAAGCCTTCCCCGTCTGCGCCGATGACGACTTCGACTGTGCCGCCCAGAACAAGACTCTGATCACCGGTCCTCTTCCTAGCAAATACAGCACCAACTACGATGGCTTCTTCATGGACATCACCGACTCCGAAGTTCAAGAAATTGTCACCTCTCCCAACACCGGTGGTCTGCTGTACACCATGCCCAAGACCGAATTGGCAATCTTGGACTATAAGACCAGGGAAACAATCAACACGCCCTTCTCCATTGATCTGGACGATTACTCCAATCAAACCGTACTACGCTTCAACGGTAATGATTTCGTCAGCTGCCCTTCCCTCCAACTCGACTGGGGAAACCAGCCTTATACCGTCAAAGCTGCCAGCTATGGCGACATCGTATACACAGAAGATGGCAAAGGTCTCGTCTGCACTCCCTTCAAGATGCGTCTGGTGGAGACAGGTTTGCCGGCTCCCGTCTACTACAAGAACCCCTGCACCAGTGCTCAGGGTAGTGTTAGTGGACAAGAGGGCCAAATCTTGTGTCCCGATTCCATGATTGATGAGTGTTGGGATGGTTGCACGGATGCTGAGAAGGCTGATTGGACCGTCAAGGTTGTTTCTGGCGAACAGTGTCAGTGTAGATTTAACCCTGAAAAGGCTACTGGGTATGGTGCTTAGAGAACTCCTCTTGCTCGAACAAAGAAAGTGGTATGCGAGAGGGTTGGACTGGTCTACAAGAATGATATCTTTGCAAACCTTGGGATAATTAGCATTAATTGACGTCCATACATATTCCAAACATCCTTTGTCATTCTTCCAATTATTGAAAACTATCCAATGTGTATGTGTATGCCTCAAACATCAAACAGTTTCTGCGTGAGGAGTAATGAATGGTATAAGAGCACCAAGTGACAAAAGTCAAGTTTTCTCACCCATCCGAGCGTTGTGCATCATAGTATCTCACTACATCTCATACCAACATCCAAGCAACTAAAAAGCTCCCGATTGGAAAATATCTTGTCCCAATATCCTCAAGACAAGCCAGGGTGACACCCCGCCAAGCCACTGTACACCCGCCAAGCCCCAAACGCCCGATGTAAACCCCTTCTCCCACACCCCACCGAATTTCTACCCGACGCGAAAAAATGGATCGCCATCCTAAGACCACATATTTCTCTTCATCTATACAGCAAAACGATGCCGCGAACGGCAAAAAGGATGGTGAAGATGGTGGGATTCGAACCCACGCGGTTGCCCACTAGTAAACTCATTTCAGGTGAGCCTGAAACTAGCGCCATAACCACTCGGCCACATCTCCGATGAAGAAAAAGCGGCGCCTGCTTGTATATATTCCATACATAGACGAGGTAGAGGTGTCGATGGAAAGACGGTGTGGAAAGTTGATTAAGTCTCGGGGGATGTAGTGGAGATTTTGGATGGGAACGTGGATTGCGGGGGTCGTGCGAGATGAAATTCAGAGGAAGGGACAGGAAAGTATTTGCAGAGGAACTATAAGAGGTATAGTTATGTTGTAGTGGTAGGACAATGGTTGGAAAGTCTGCAGGTTTGTTGGTGGTGGTACGAAGTTCAAACCGAGCGTCGAAATTGTGACAACCAGCTACTATTTTCGTCCTGCATGAAGTATCTACGTCGAGATTGGCAGGTGATAAAGGTGATTTGTACACGAAAGACAACCAGAACGAACATCAGGTTGATAGGCTGGCAAGTATATTTTCGAAGAGGTAAGCACTAACTTGTACTTTAGGTCCCACCTGCCTACTCCAAAAGTTGGAATCAACCTTAGACTTTGACACATGGGGAAGTGATTGAAGAGCCTTCGTTGGACTTAAAAAAGTAAGTACAAAGTAAAAACGACTGCCTGGCTTGCTAAATTAACAGAGGTATTCAAATCAGACGCCCCTTCTATTCCTGGACAAAATACTTCCTCATCTAATTCTGTCGTTGATGGGTGCTGCACGAATCATTCTCGCATTGGATCCTGATGGAACTGCGCTAGTACAATCGACGAAGTTTGCTTGGTCTGCTTGGGAGATGCCGAGGACGCTGAGATGAGCCATGGCAGGTGCGAAAGCTGCATTCCATTTGCCTGAACATGTTGTTAGTTTTTGATAAGCATTGAGAAGCCGCATATATACTCACTCTGACTGTTGACGAAGCTCTGGAAAGTCTGGCCTACAGTCGAGTTGGGGTTTGAAAGGTTGACATCTGATTCAAAGCTGTAGACACCACTGGGGTGATTGTCCGTGTCGGAGTAGTATTTCACGTCCCACTGACCAGGTGTGGAATCTTGAGGACCTGGACATGTTTGTTAGATACCGGTCAATGTCTTGCGTACAATGAATTTACCATTGTAAGGAACACCGTAGGCCTCTTGAGCCACAGCCTTTGATGCAGTGTGTGCGCCAATCAAAGCAGCAAGCTCTGGTTGACTGATTCCCTTGTCCTCGAACAGTTGGATTAGCACTTGTTGCGCAGCGCCTGCGCCGAAGGCTTTCGGCAGGAGATTGTCCGGTGCTGCAGTACTGGTATCCTTTCGGCCAACAACCTAGACGCATATCAGTCGCTGTCATCTGTAGAGCAAACCTTTCATTTCCATACCGTAGGGACCTTGGGGCCTCCAGGACAGCTGACAATTGCCACACTAGCGGCGAATTGGACCAAGTCTGCAGCACCGACTTGAGACTTGTACTTGGAGTACTTCTCCTGGAGGAAACCGTAGTATGACTGAAGACCATTGTTCTCATCTCGAGTGATCTCCACAGAACTCAGGAGGAGCGATCCATCAGCGCCACCAGTAGCAGGTGCATAGTATTGTGTTTTGGAAGAATATGACGCTGCAGGAACTGTTAGTAGATGCTGACCTGTACCTCTGATACAATACACATACCAGAATCGTGGAAGGCGAAACGGATGGCGCCTCGGGCGAGATCGGTACATCCGTTGCTGCCGATGAATGATTGTGAAAGATCTGAGGCCACGGTCGACCAGATAGCAGGACAACTGCCTGATGCCTCAGCAAGAGCCGTGAAGGCAAAGAGAGCGAAAGTCTTCGCAAACATCTTGCTTCTGTGTGTTGATGGTGAAAGAGCGATGATATATTCAGGACTCAGATAAGGAAGGTGGAAGGAAGCGTGTATGCTGGGCCGAGATGAGAGAGAGAGTGTGTGTGTCTGAGTCTGATGCGTTGGTTCTTTGATAGACATGACAGCGGGCCTTGTCTTTTATATAAGAATACACTGTGTTGTACGAGCCGTTGCCCAATCTGCAAGACAACTTACGATTCCTCAAACACGGATCCAACAGGACCGAGCACTGTAAGCTAGGCATGATGAGGCGACAGGAACGCGGCTCTGGATACCAAGTCGTGACCAGAGGATTGATACAAACTACCGATATAATTAGAAAGCAAGGTTCAAACTGGTATCACGACGCTTAGGGTCTAAAAGCATGTTCGGGAGATCTGTTCCAGGTGTGGTCAGAAGAACTTGCGTGGCTAGCCAGTCGAGTGGTCATCGAGCAGTCTTCACCGAAACACTGGTATGTGTTCTTGAAATGCACTTCGGAGTTCGTCCCCATCGGACTTTTTGAGTTGAAGATCTTTTGAATGTGGTTGGTCAACGGGTTGTCGCCTTGCGCCCGACGCGGGCTTCGGAGATTTTTGTGCCCCGCACTGGTGATGATCTTGAAAGTTTGGCGATCGACTGAGTCCAGAGGTAGGTCTCTGTCAAGAACAAGCGGAGTGACACGAGTAGTCATATCTTGCAGGCTTATATCATCCTGTGTATCGCACGCGGTAGATGTTCACAACTTGCTCTGTGTAGACTGCTACTACAGATTGAGGGACGAATCAGCATCTGTCTGGATGAAGGACAACTTCAGACTTGAGCCTCAAGCAGCGCTCAGAGCCGCAGGCGGGTCAGTATACTGAGAATCGCAGTACCTCTTGTACTGTGTCAAGACGTAGCTTATACTCTGGGGACGTCTTGATCGTGTAGAAGGCGCGAGAGACACAGCTCGGAACGCATTTGCGATACCAGTCGTAACATTCTTGCCAAACGAATTTTCTGAATCCAGATGCTGATGATTTCTGATTGGTGGTTCATCAATGATATGAGGCTCAAGCACATGCGTTGATGTGGGGACACACTTGCTGCAGCTACCCGAAGATTCATTGTTGGTACTCGAAACATGCACGCGGTATTCTGATGATTATGTCAGTCGGAAATCTTTAATCAACTCACTTCCTGTATAATGTGATATCAGCCTTGCCATTTGGGAAGTTTGGCGACAAGGAGTCAGGACAGCTGCCTCCAAGTCGGCTATTCGCCAGCTGCAATTCACGCCCAGCTTTGAGGAGCACAGTTTTAGAATCGTGTGCTGTGTCAAGAGTGCCGTGCTTCTACAACCACCGGATGGTTTGAGTATCGTTTTGGCGTATTGCGTGAGCAGGATCGTTCACAATATCGTACAAGGACGGATACCACGCATCAGCAAGGATGGAAAGCCAGTGTTTTGCCGGTACGTTCTTATCCTACGCTTGGGGAGCGAGGTTTCTTTGGGATTTTCGGATGTCCACATGCCTCCATGTAGTCAGCTTCAATGTTTCCCGAGATTTACACAACATGAGTACGCGTCAATGGTACCAGGAAAAATGTCAGGTCTTGAGGGATTTCAGGGCGTGTTCAGGCGGTCAAAACACAGTCTCTCGATGCTCGAGCTCGACTCGTCACTCATGGTCAGATCGGGAGACATGTCAGTTCTGACCACTGTGATGCTAGTATTAGCCTAGCAAAGATCCTTGAACCCGTCTACGAGGACGACAAAACCTTGGACAGAAGCTTAGCAAGCTTATCGTTATGCTGTGTCTCCCACCAATATGGAAAAAGACCAATTACATTGGACTCTGGCAGAAGTGCTGGTGAGATGTACTTGGTACAAAAGAAAGGGTTCGGATTCCTGGACTTGACGCGTTTCGTACGTAAGATGGGAGCCTTGTGCCTGTTCTTGTCCTCTAAAGACTGCTATCATTAGCAGCAGCTTGAGAGGGTTGCTTTCGCGGAGTCTGACTGAACATGCGAATTGTGTTAAGGAGGAAGAAAGCGAGCACGCGACGAACGAAGCGTTCGTTCGCGTTGTCTTGTGCCGAGGCCGAAGCCGCAGTTCGCCGACGGCTGCCCACCTCGTCATCGCCCGCATAATTGATAGCCAATCTGTTCCTGACTTCTACGACACATACCACTTTGATATTTGTTTCCCTCTGAGTGTCTAGTGAGTGCATCGTGAACCGATTCTGATGAGCATGAGAATGGAGTGTGGGCAAACAATCACATCATTACTGACTGGGCAAACGATTTCGGCCGAAGGACCCTGATTTGCTCCATATGAAGACCAACAACAGCGAGTGGCTCCATACAATCTTTCAACCACATTCAAATCTCCTTATTCTCTTGAAAATTTAGCACCTCACTTCTCTGCAAAGCCATGGACAGATACGTTGCTATTCACCAGGAACCAAATGGCCCAGGAGATGCTAGAACTACCGCCGAACAAGTGCTAGCCGATGAGGGACTTGCTGGCAAGTGGACAGGTAGAGTCATCCTCGTGACTGGGGCCACCTCCGGTCTGGGAATGGAGACTGCTCGTGTTTTGCACAAGACTGGAGCAAGAATCTTCATCACTAGTCGTCAGCAAGCCAAGGGCGACGAGATAGCACGTATCATCTCGAGCGAGGATTCATCTCTTGCCCCAGTGGAGGCCATCGAGATGCCTATGGACAGTTTTGAATCCATACATAAAGCGGCTTCGGTGTTTTTTGCAAAGAGCCCCGCACTGGATATACTCCTCCTCAATGCTGGTGTCATGGCTGCTCCAGAAGGTCGCACTAAGGATGGGTTCGAAACTCACTTTGGCACGAACCACCTCGCGCACTTTTTGTTGTTCCAGCTACTGAAGCCTGCACTACTCCAAGCCTCGAAACCTGAATCCCACAGCCGTGTGGTCGTCCTTTCGAGTGGTGCTCACAAGTCCGATGGAATACACCCGGAGAACTACAACCTTGAAGGAGAATACAATCCGTACATGGCGTATGCTCAGTCTAAGACCGCGAACATATACATGGCGAATGAATTGAACCGTCGTTGCGGTAGTCAGGGTATCAACGGGTTGTCTGTTCATCCAGGTGTAATTTTCGAGACCGGCATCGCAAGACATCAGGGTGGTGCAGATACTCTTCGCGAAAACATGGCCAAGGAGAGGGACGACATTCGCAAGTGGGCAAAGTCAATTCCACAGGGTGCTGCAACATCAGTGTATGCAGCTATAGCTAAAGCCTTGGAAGGCAAGGGTGGTCTGTACTTGGAGGACTGTCATGTGCCCAAGCAAGAGGCTCCGGGCGCTGTTACTTACCACCAAGGTCATGCAGCTCATGCTTACAATCAAGAGCTGGAGGGAAAGCTTTGGCAAGACAGCCTGCGGATGGTCAACATCTCGGATGACAAGGCCTAAAAAGTTAAGACCTTTCCAGCCAGCTGCGGCACCTTGATTGAGTTCTGGCTCTTTTCTTGCCAGCTTCTCGAGCACTCGACAGTATCGTAAAGAGGAGGAAGAGAACGGAGCCGGCCCCGACAAAGCTCACATTGCAGATCATAATAGCATCCATAGCCTATTGTCAGTTGATCAATGAAGTCAGATATTCAATGTCAGTTGGTCAGTGTGGTCGAGCAGAAGCGAATCCTGCAAGGTCCTGTTGCAATGCACAGAATTTTTCATTCTGTCGAGGTGGCCTTGTGAGATTGAGGTGACTCGGAGCTCAGGGGCGACGCGAGTATCCCTTGAGAGAGCGAGAAATTTGAGCTCTCAGTGGAGACTCTTTGAATACTCAATATCATTGTGCAATTTGATGGCTAGATTTCCGGAAGCGCTTGATGCTTGGAGTAGATGCATGCGCTTAACGTCGACTCGTGAGAAGAGGTCTAGGAGAAGGCCATTCTCAGGTTCGGTACCCTGGGAACCAAAGACGGTGATGAGCTGATGAAGCCAGGCCGGTGCCATTTCAGTTCCATTGGTGACTGTTATGTGTCGACGGCCGAGCACTCTTATACCGTACGCAGCGGTGGTAAACGGGTGTTGCCGTCTGTATATTGCGCCTTTGTTCAGGCATGTAGACGTAGCCGAGAACGAGCTCCAAGCAGATCACGAATCGATCGAGCTCCTCGTCAGCTTGCAGCCTTGCATCAGGACGAAATATGGCTTGGTAAATAACCAGACTGCTGCTGTCCGATCAGAAGCGGATGCCATAGGAAGATTGTTGTAATGCACAAGACTATTCATAAAAGCGATATGGAGATGTGAGATTGAGATGATTTGGCCAAAGGATGGCTGATCTCAAGGAGGCTCAGCGGCAACACGGTTAGATGTGTGTAGGACTCTTCTCCGAAGCCGGCAGGAGTTCTCCTCCGTGTGGCCAATCGCGTTGCGGAAATTACCGATGAGGCTCTAAGCGATAGCGTGGTCCATCCACCAAGGTAGGAAAGCTTCGCTGAGCGAGGAAAGCTTCAAGGACGCGCAGGCTTCACGACAACAAACCTCATCAGATCAACACAACATGAATGAAAGCTGAAACATGTGCCTGCCTTCTTCGCTATGGTGTTTGAACGAATGCGGCTCTCGCAGCACATCGCCAGATCTGAGGCTCTTATGACTGCCACAAAAAGGTTAGCCGGCCCCACTATCATGATCAGCAAGTTCGCGGATGCTCCGATTGGGTCAATTGATGGAGCTTCCTCCACTCCTCCAATGGTTCATGAGCTGTAGAATCGTCATGGCACTGTACAAATGCATGCCAATGTTTCTCCTCACCTCCCGGAAGCGCAACTGTTGACGTCTGGATGACACCGATTACTCAAAGCCCACCTTGGAAGGAAGCAGCCGCCGACCAAATGTCAACGTCACGGTCAATTGAGAGGGGTAGAGCTAAGCTACGAGGTTTAAGAGACTACCTGCAGCATCCCTAGACATTGTTTTCGAAATGGACATTCCTTCTTCTCTCACATCCAAGCTTCCAGTCATGTCTTCCAACAGCAACCAGACAAACCCTCTTCAGCACCCGCTGGAAGCAATTGCTTCTGGCATCCAGGGCGCTACCTCTGGCGAGGCTCGCGCTCCTAGACTTGCACACAACATGTCTACTAATGAGGGCCCTGCCGACATCATTGCCAAGGTCTCTGGTCATACTCAAGGCGGAAAGCGCGAAGATGATGGACGTAAGTTTTGAGTACCCAGACCTCTATCAAGAGCTTTACTGACACCCATTCTGCCTACTACACAAACAATGAAGGGATTCCTCTGCCTGACCCTGCACACAGCAAGAACATTGGAGGTATCCCGCTGGTGAGCGATGTTCACCTCCTGCAGAAGCAGCAGCACTTCAACAGATCGAAGAACCTTGAAAGTAAGTATGTCCACGATTACCGCAAGACCATGTCTAACGTTAGCAGGAATGGTACACCCTTGCGGCAGTGGTGCTTTTGGCCACTTCGAAGTCACCAAGGACATCTCGGAGCTAACCAAGGCCGATTTCTTGTCAACCGTTGGCGAGAAGACACCCGTCTTCGTTCGTTTCTCTACCGTTACCCTGGGTCGTGAGTTCCCTGACGAGGCTCGTAACCCTCGTGGTTTTGCTATCAAGTTCTACACCAAGGAGTAAGTGATCCAAACGCAATCTGGTTCGAGGAGTGCAGTTGGCTGACTCTTTCATTCTAGGGGCAACTACGACATTGTTGGCCTCAACTTCCCTGTCTTCTTCTGCCGCGACCCTATCCAAGGACCCGATGTTATCCGTTCCCAAGCACGCAACCCCCGTAACTTCCTGCTCGACTACGATGCCACATTCGATCTGCTCGGCAACACCCCCGAATCGATTCACGCCGGTGTGATGTTCTTCAGTGACCACGGTACACCTCAAGGATGGACCAACAACCACGGCTATGGTTGCCACACATTCAAGTGGGTCAACAAGCAAGGCAAATTTGTCTACATCAAGTACCACTTCATTGCCAAGCACGGCCAGAAGCAATTCACTCAGCCTGAAGCCATCCGAATCTCGGGTGAGAACCCTGACTACTCCAAACAAGAGCTATGGGAGGCCATGGAGCGTGGTGAAGAGAAGGAATGGACAGCTAAGGTACAGATTATGCAGCCCGAAGACGCCGACCCTGCAAAGCTCGGCTTTGATCCCTTCGATGTCACCAAGGTCTGGCCTCGTGATCAGTTCCCCATGCACGAGTTTGGTCGCTTGGTGCTCAACAAGAACCCTGAGAACTACCACCGCGATGTCGAGCAGGCTGCCTTCTCGCCAGGCTCCATGGTACCTGGTATTGAGGACTCGCCCGACCCGCTGCTGCAGTTCCGCATGTTCTTCTACCGCGATGCCCAATACCACCGTATCGGTATCAATTTGCACCAAGTTCCGACCAACTGCCCCTTCATGGCTCGCTCGGTATCATCCGTCAACTTCGATGGTGCAATGCGCGTAGATGCCAACCATGCAGGCAATAAACAATACAACCCCAACAGCTTCTCACACAAGTTCCGTCCTGACGTGGCTGAAACGCCCTACAAGGTTTCGGACAATGTCGTTTCCCGCAAGAGCCATTACTACCACGAGTGCAAGGTCAGCGAGTACGACCAGGTCCGCGAGCTCTACACACGTGTCATGGATGATGGTGCACGAGCAAACCTCCACTCGAACACAGCCAAGATGATGAGCCACGTCAACTACCCTATCATCCAGAAGAAGTTCTTGGCTCAGATCTACAACGTTGCTCCCGAGTACGCTCGCGCTGTGTACGACCTCACAACTTACAAGAACGAGAAGTTTGACTTCTCCGAGGTTGAGAAGCTCAGCAAGGATGCTCACATGTGGTACAAGGAGCCCAAGCTGAGACCTGATGAGGATGACAGACTTGTGGGCTTCGCTCCCGCAAACCCCTTCTACCACTAAGAGATTCACTGTGCTTCCTAGGAGCCTGATGTTGTAATGTCGACACACCTGAGTCTGAATTGTTTTCCTATAGTTTGAGATACCACATAATCAATTCATCAGTTCATTAAGTCATGACTTTGTGTACATGCCTCAACAATCGTGCTATCGTTATCGTCCAACGTGACCTGGAAATTGCAGCCGTCTAAACACCTACGGAGATATCGGGGTTAACCGTTTGGCGTGCTGATTCTGATGATCACCTTCAACACCAAGATTCGCCCGAGCAAACTGCAACCAGCGATACAATTATAATTATCGGTACAGCCAAACTGATCAATCAGCAATTACCAACCCCAACTTCGGAGTGGAAAAGTCGAGAACGTGTGATGCACGGAAGATGGGTGTGATTGTTCAGCAGCGCTGACATAATCCGAGATCGCGTCATCTCTTGTCGGACGGCGACTCGCTGCCTCATATGATTTAGCCCGCCGCCTCAGTGGAAGGCCTCGGTATATAAATCAATTGCCCCTCTTATGCTCTAAGTATTAATTTTCTCCATCTATCCTCTCAATCATCCATGAGCTTGTATCGCATCCCACGCACAGTTCAGACCCTGCGCCCAATTCTATCACCGATCACCCGAACTACCAGATTCCAAAGCACAATGACCACCGCCGCATTCAAGTACATCGACCCGACTTCCTTCGATCCGAACGCGACAGAAGCCTTCAAGAAGCCTTGGGGGAAAGTAGATGGCCCAGGCTACTCGTTCTCCCTTATTGATCACGAGCGTCAGGTCGAGAACCTGAGAGGACAAGAAGCAAACTTCAACACCGATACGGCTGGATTCGCAGTATACCACAAGCCATCAAAAGAGAAGGACTTTACAGACGACAAGGCTGTTCGCGAAGGATATTACCAAGAGGTGGAGCAGGCTCTGAGAGAGAAGCTGCCTGGAATCAAGAAGGTTGTCATCTTCGACCACACAATCAGACGTAGAGAAAAAGCCTCGCCTCGTCAGCCTGTCCAGCAGGTCCATGTAGACCAGACACCTCGCGCTGCTGAGATCCGAGTACGTCGTCACTTGCCTGAAGAGGAAGCCGAGGAACTGCTCAAGGGTCGCTACCAGATCATCAATGTCTGGCGACCCATTGGCCACAACGCTAGTGATTTCCCTCTTGCTGTCATTGATTGGCGCACGACAACAGAGAAGGACTTCGTCAAGGTGGATCTATTGTACCCCAAGCGCAACGACACAGACAACGACGACCGCGGAAAGGAGGTTCTACCGGATTCCACCTCGATGACCTCCACTGAAGGGTATGAACCCAAGGGCGAGACCTATGCTGTTGCTCCTTCCGACAAACACAAGTTCTACTACATGAAGGATATGACGCCCGACGAGCTTATGCTTCTCAAGTGCTTCGACAGCAGAAGTGAATGGTCGCCCAACAGCACCAAGGGACTCGCTCACGGCACTCCGCATACTGCCTTTGTTGACCCTCAGACCCCGGCAGATGCTCCTGGCAGACAGAGCATTGAGGTCAGATGCTTGGTATTCTACGACTAATTGATGCCGCGGCAGGCAACCGACAATCTGCATAAGAGGAGCTTGCGATTTCAAATATGACACGGCACGAAGATTATGATTATGCTTATTCAATTGTCTTTGCGGTATGTGCGTACGTTCAACTGTCGGTAGATAGTTTGCTCAATAATGAACCCACAAAATGTTTCGCCCTATGCCCCAGTTCGTTCTCCGCAGCAACCTCACGATTGTAATACCTGAAGCGCCGCAACATGATTGTTGTAGTCTTTTTAAGCGCAGTGAACTATAAAGCATAATGACATATTTGTGTTAAGGTTGTACGCCCTCTCAGATTGAGGTGACCCAGGCGGGAGTCAAGCTCTCTACAAGCAACGTCTGCAAGCCATCTCTAAATTGAGGCTTGAGATTTATCGAATTGACCTTGGGCCTTGCCAACAAGATATGAGATGTCTGTACAAATCCTCGTCTAGAAGGCTATACTTGCCCAGTTCTAAGAAAACGTGGGAATGCCGGCCGAGACTGCTGCCATGCTCTAGCCACGTTCTTTGCATCCTCCAGTTCCCTCTCGACCTCGGAAACGTTTGGTCGCGTCGCATAAATATGCCATCGAAGGCTTGCCACCCGCAACGCCGCTGGCTTGATGGGCCCATTGCTTCAGTAAAAAGGCGTTGCTCAAAATATTGGCCCTTGGCTGGGAAACGTGTCGGCGCGGGAAACGGTCGTGTCTTTGAACAAGAGCCGCATGAGGCGTCGCTGCCCGTCACAGACTTCACACCTCGAAAATTTCTCCAAAACATCTCTTCAGTGTCGCAACCCAATCGTGAATCGACCACAACAAGTGTGACTTGTGTAGCTTTATTTTACTCGATCAAAGATGCACCCACATCAAGTGTCTTCCACTCACTTATTCCAGGAGGAGAAAAGGCTTCAATACCCCGACCGTTCGCTCTCCATATGCCTCCAACGGCTTCGACGAACAGGCTGCCGGCACCGAAAGGGCCCTGCCGAGTCGCTAGAACAACCACAGGCTAAGTCATTCACCCCTTAACAGCTACGTTTTCGCAACACGCGAGGACACACCACGAACGGTACTGTTGGGCTATTGTCCTCGTGGGTTCATGTCACTCTGGACTCTGCATGTCTCTGTCCTGTGCCATCGGCGGGTCTGGATAGGCCAGAGGCTCGTCATACCGTTTTATGCCTACCTTATTCAAGCCTCCTTCCCGCCTGAAGTTGTATTCAGGACCACAGTTGACTCAGGCAACTCAACGGTTTCGTAGGGCACCCGCATGGTACCTGTCTTTGGACCCACCCAGAGCCAATCACAGATGCAAGGCTTTGGGATCCATACACAGTCGCGTGAGGGTAGAACAGGGTTCTCGCTAATCCACAGGTTCGTCGTCTCAAATCCATCACGTTCCAGTCCCCAACGCCGGCCGCTTCAGGAAAACGGGTTGCGGTCCCGCTAGCCGTGGTAAGTGGCTTGATGGACGTGGCAAGCACCTGTCTAGGTGACTTATACATGTTCCCGAGGATCGAATCCGATAATACCTCCCAAATCCCACCGGACATGATCGGTCTTTGCTCTCTCTGCTCCTAACTAATGTCCACAACAACCATGACCCAATGACTGACCAAATTAATACTAATCACAACTATCCGCTCTACTCGGAGGATCATCCCAAGTATGGCAGCACAAAGAATGCCGTACCCACCATCGTGGTGCCGGAGGAAGCACACACAAAGGCAGCACCCCAAGGACCAGGACTGGATAACTTCGCGGCTGATATCGCATCTAAATATCATGCTCAACGTAATGTACGCAAGGTGTCGAGGGCAGGACCTGACTTCAGAGAGTTCTTGGCCAAGAGAAGTCAACGACAAGATTCGCAGGCGACACTTGTTGACTTTGCCCGACGCCCATCGAGAACCAATGAAGGAAAATTCAGACTCAATGTCGTCCCGGATGAGAATCGTCCTAGCAGCCCTTTGAGACCTACATCTTCACGACGTGGCTCATCAAATTCACGCCCTGGAAGTTCGAATGGACCCACAGACATCTCTGGCCAACCGACCTCCCCCAATCTCAAAGGAAGCCCCGGATTGGGATCTCACTCTCCTCGTCTAGGTGGAGGTGAATGGGGCGCATTCAATTGGCGGCCAGACATCAACCCAATTCAGCCCGTCCATGCACGACTACAAAGATTGGAATCCGACGCAACGCTAGTAGACACAGGATCATGGAGACGTGGCTCACGACAAGGCTCGAGGCAAGGCTCTCGCTCAGGATCCATAGTTGAAGACCCCTTTAGAAGAAAGTCTGACTTCTCTTCCCTGGATGCGCTTCCGACCAACAGACTGCGACAGGGATCTTACTTTCAACCCATAATCGACATCGACCCATTGACAGAAAAGGACCGTGGATTACTCATTGGAGGTGTCAAGCCTTTGGATCCTGACCTTGACCAAGAGAAGGAAAACCAGACGACCGAGCCAGAACTTGCAGTTGCGGAACCTCAAGTCATCACGGAAGAGTTGAAGAGCACCCACCAAGAGCATAGCATCACAACGACGCAAGAGACATTTGTGACAACAACATACCCCGAAATCGCCGACCCAGTGGACCCTTGCCGCAACCTGACGCGGATGGACTTGATCAAACAGCGTGTAGTGTTCAGCAGCAACATCTTTGCTATCAACGTTGCTATGCTGGTATTTGCCCTTTTCGCTCCAGAAGCCATCTCTGGACGCTGGGTACTCTCATTCATCGTCTTCATCAAGTCCAAGGACTGCATCTCCTCCATCATCAGCTGTATGTATCTGATCTACAAATGTATCAGAGACTTTTTCTGGCCTCCGCCACCAGTTGAGTCGAAGTGGATTCTCTCACTAATTCCTGCATACTCGGAGTCTGAAGAGATGATCAAGAACTGCGTCTTCTCTCTGCGAGACAATGATGCACAACCTCACAAGCAGGTAATGTGCATCATTCTGGACGGCAAGCCAAGAGACGTTAAACAGTACATGCGCATCACAACCACTTTCAAACGTGAATACGTTACATCAAGATTCAAGCGCAACCATTTGGTCATCACTGCTGGGTTTATGGAAGACGTGCCGGTCATTGTCTTTGAGAAGGTCAAGAACTCAGGCAAGAAGGACTCGCTCATCCTTTGCCATGATCTGTTCAATGTTATGCGGGAAGACGCACCTTTGTATACGAGACTGCTACGCAAGGAGATCGAGAAGAATGTTCTTCCCACCCTGGTCGGCGAGGGCTTCCCCGGCTTCGACATGGTCTTCTGTACCGATGCCGACTCTGTCATCCACAAGGGTGCCGTAGCCGGACTTGCGAATGCGCTCGTTCGTGACCCAAAGGCCATTGCTTCGTGTGGTTTGGTGCTGGTGGAGCTTGAAGCTGGTGCTGAATGGTCGTACTGGAATCTGTACCAGCAATTTCAAGTAAGTTGCCGCTTCTCGTTTACAACCATGAGCATTGCTAACATTGTAACAGTACAACTTTGGACAGTTCGTCCGTCGACAAGCTGAGAGCGTCTGGGGCAAAGTCACATGCCTTCCTGGATGTATCACCATGGTTGCAGTGCGACCGGAGATGGCAGGAGCAATGACCAGATACGCGGCTCCCATCACTGCATACCCAGTACTCTTGCATCAAGTTCAATACCTCGGCACCGACCGAAGATTGACTTACTCAATGCTTTCTCAAAGCAAAGACCTTCACACAGTGTTTGTACCCGACGCCGTCAGCGAGACTGTGGCGCCGCAATCACTCAAACACTACCTCAGTCAGCGAAGACGCTGGGGTAGCAACGCATACTTTAATAACTATTTCTACTTTGCCGGCGAGAACATGATCTGGATCACGCGACTTTGGGCGTGTATCGAGGTCACCAGACTCAGCCTGGTCTATTACCGTGTGGCCAACACGATTCTCTTCATCTACGGACTTGTCAGCAGCTTCAACCTCATGTCGATCATCCCGCTGCTGGTCGTCTCGCAACTTCCTACAATCTGGTTTCTCATCAACACTGCTACCAACAAGCAGCTCCGGCAGAGAGCTCACAAGATCTTGCTTGGATTGTGCATCAACAAAGTCATGGCTCCCATCATGTCTGTTGCCGTCTTCACAATCGTAGTCAAGAACTTGGGATCACAAGCATGGGGTCTAACACATGGAGCGACGACTGCTGCACCGGCTGCAGTAGAGGAGATGGCAGAGAACGAGAAGGCCCAGACGGCCCAAGGTCTTCTCGCAAACCTCCAGCCAAGAAATGGATCAATCATGTCCATCATTACCGAAGAGTCGAGCATTGGTATGAACACACCCAAAGCCGCCTCGATCGCCAGTCACGACAGAGAAGGCGAGTCGGAGGTGAACGAGATTGATGAGGAGGAGTCGAGAGAAAAAATTGTTGGATTCCTCGCAGCCGGTCTGTGAGCATGGCGGACGCAAAAGTCCATTTTTATTATTTCCTTTGTCACATTTACGATATCACGACCTTTCTACGATGAGTTACGAAACACTATACCACTTCAGCTGCAGAATATCAATACTTTCTCTTGGTTTCAATTGAATAATGGCTTGAGCACGATGGAAATATTGAAGATTTGCTTGGACAGGGAGCTGAATAGCTTGAGCCCTGACAGTTGAGAGACAGAAGTGGTGATCATGTCGGCATTCAGGCAGCTGAGGCAATAGCGGATTGATGTTACAAACGGTTCTGTGCAAATTAACGGCGTGTTGGGGTCGAGGCGTCGAGTGCACAGCAACGCAGCGACGTAATGCAGGGAAGATTAGTATGCCGTTCAGCCAGAGCAGGACCAAGATGTCTCGCGTCGACTCGGAAACTCAACGGGGTCTCGTACATGTATGCAAGCGAAGAAAGAAGAAATTGTATATATGTAGAGTGTTCACGGCCGTAGAGGAAGCGGATAGCAAAACTACCGACCCACAGTTCCAGAGTTCCAGTGTTCCACGATGAAGGCCTCGGAGTTGGTGACCGTGACGGCATTCATGAGCGGCTTGGCGGCAGCGCTTCCATCATCTCCATCTTCACCATCCTCATACAACAACCTGAACTACTATTTCCCTCGGCAGACGGCGCCTCAATATCCATCATCATTTGATCCTCTGAGCAACAATGTGCTCGCCGTCTACTATGGCAAGGCACAGTACAACTCGAATCCGTCCTTGATGGACCTTTGCAATGACAGCGACATTGACATGATCGTCATGGGCTTCATCCGACAATTCAATGGGCCCAATGTTCAGCCCACATTTGACATTGCCAACTGCAGAACACCGTCCAATCCTGCGGCCAACTTTACAGGCATCAGCTGCCCTGCTCTGGCAGCCAGCATCACGCAATGCCAGAGCGTAGGCAAGAAGGTCATGATCAGTCTGGGCGGCTCCAATGCCAACCTGGTCCTGAGCAGCGATGCCGAAGCGCAGCAGGCCGCCAACATCCTCTGGAATGTCTTTGGTGCCGGCACTGCCACACCTAACCTCCGACCCTTTGGCAATGTCACTCTGGACGGCTTCGACTTTGGTAGGCCTCTCGCCCTGCTATCCTCCTGCATCTTCAGACACATGAGCTGACACAACCTTAGACTTCGAAGGTGGTTCTGATACATCTTACGTTGACGTGCTGTCGGCCAACCTGCAGTCACTCTACTCCACTGCCAGTCCCGCCCGCTTCATCAGCGCCTCTCCTCTATGCGCCAATAATACCATCATGCCCTACGACTTCTACAAGTACGCCAACTTCATCTGGCCGCGCTTCTACAATGCAAACGCCTGCAAGGCTGGCGGCAAGGGCTTCAACAATTCCGTCACCACATGGTCCAACTTCCTCATCGACGTCGACTCCGCCATTGGTACGAGCTATCCTCGCTTCTACATTGGCGCTCTCGGCTTTGAAAACTACAACAATGGCGGCGGCTTCGTTACACCCGATGTCTTTGGCGATCTCGTCGAGTACACCAAGAACCGCGTCGGCAAAGCAACCTTCGGAGGCGTCAGCATCTGGGAAGGCACCGATGCCCTGCAATCAAAGACCGCCGACGGCAGCCAGGATATCCTCAATGTCGCCAAAGAGGCACTGTTGGAACCATTCACCAGCGATGCCTGTGGTACGTTGGACACTCGCGCTTTGGTCGTAATAAAATTGATTCGTGGCCAGATTGATCGTTGGACTGGACTTGGAAGAGGAAGAGGCGGATCAAGTAGTAGGAGAAGAGATGTTTGCGGGTCGAGGAGAAGCTGAGTATATGCATTTGGAACATGATTATGAACGGACGAAACCACAGAAACATCGCTATGATGGATCGCACATTGGTCCTAGCTATACGGGAGTTTTGACTTTGCCAGGGTTTGACAGGGCTTTGCTACGGATGAGTTATTCTGGCTCTGATATTCGGGTATGGTGCATTCAAAGGAGATGGATAAAAGCGCTGATATAGACAGGGAATCACAACAGTGTTTAACAATCACATCGCTACTTTTGTCCGCATCTTCTTCCCTCAAGCTTCCTCGTACTTTTCCTTCAGCATATCCTTCTCGGATTTCTCCTCGATCAACCCTTTCTCACAATCAATCTCGTCATCCCTCTCTTGCAGCACAAACCCTTCCTCCTGCCCCTCCAACATCCTCTCTGTCATCCTCTCTTCCTTCCTCAACCTTCTCGCTTGAAGTCTGACCTTGCAACACCTCACACAACCCCATCCTGCAGTGATGATCCAACACGTCATACCCAACATGTCAAACCACACAGCCACTTTCATCTTCCCCTGTTGACCTTCCACCCATTCAGCGCTATCCCTGCCGTTTTTACCACCGTCAAAATAGACGATTCCGAAAACTCCCGCAAGAGCCGCCCATAGCACCGCGATACAAAAATCCCAGAGGAACAATTTCTGACAAGCGACTTTTGGGATTGCGTAGATGAGAAGAGTCAAGAGGGTTAGGATGCAGCAGACTAGGGCGTAGATGTAGGAAGAGGAGGAGGAAGAGGAAGTGAGAGAGGAGGCGTAGAGGGGGAGGGTTACGAGGGTTGTGAGGAGTTGGAGGGTGCGGATTGTGAGGTGGAAGGTTGGTTTTAGGGATATGGTGGAGGGTAGGGTGGAGAGTTTGGTCGGTTTGTTGGGGAGAGGTTGAATGGACATTGTTGTGGTGATGGAGGGAGGGTGGTTGGACGTTGTGGTTGTGTTGGGTGGCTGGTTGCTGATAGTGGTGTTGTTTGATGCTCGCGTTTGCCGATTTCGCTGATAGTCGAGTGATTTGGTGATTGCCAGACAGTTTGGTGGTAGGCAGATGATTCTGTGGTTGACAGGTTGATATCCGTATTCGTATATCGGCTTAGAAGGGGGTATGGTGGTATACGGGAATTGAGATTATGCCAATGATCAAAGCAAATGAAAGGATGTTTGTCAAGATGAACAATTAAATTAACAGCGTTTCAGCGACATACTTATACTTGACCTTTTCCCTTGTTCTTCTTTGCGTTCTAAGAATGGGTTGTGGCTATGGTGAAGTCTGAGATGTGTATACGGTACCATACGCTATTTTTTTCTCAACACGGCATTTGACCTTGATGCATGCTCGGCCAATGAGAGAACATCCGACATGACATCCGAACAGAGTAGATTGCGCGTCTCTTTTGTCAAAGTTCGAGCAAAGATGTTTCGATGAGAGAAAATTGGTTGTTGCTGCCGTATTGAGAAAATGTAGTTTGTCAGGGTTGGCAACAACGACTTCGTGATGATCGTTTTCCAATGACGTTCGCAAATGCTTTCATCGACATCACGCTTGACCGCGGTGCTTGTCAACTCCCTCAACACCATCATATTCAATGAGATAAATTCATGCCTACCGATGGCTCGTCTTCCTGATGAGATCCTGCTAGAGATTGCCAGACACTTGTCGGACGAATACGATGAGAGATCATCGCGTGATGCAGACGACGTGAAGGAGATAAAACACACTCTCATTGACCTGTGCATGACCTCCATGCTTTTCCGCACCGTTGCTCAAGCAGCCTTGCACTACTACTTTGAGAGGACATCCGACGACTTGAATTCATACGATGGAAGCGACTTGCTGCCAGCCACCAACGACCGCGAGTTTAGGCGATGCACCCGCACGGAAAGCTTCATCAAAACACTCATTCACAGGCCGGACCTTGCAGCTAGTGTCAAGTTCATGAAACTCGACGCCTTCCAGGACAACGACCAGACGTATAGTCTCAATACCACGCATCTTCCTCTCGACCCTATGACAACAGATCTGTTTGTAGAATCCACTCACCGTATACCACCTCCGCCACCAGAGTTAGTCAGACAATGGGCTAGCAGAGACGATGATCTCGACCGCATAGAAGTATGGCAAGATGACTGGCGCGAGGGTCTCCGACTCGGCTTCGCTAACGCAGAGATTGCTCTGCTCTTCACGCTTGTCCCTAATCTCCTGCGGCTGGAGTTGAGTTCTTCAGACGATGATTTCGGTATCTTCGTACACGACCTGTGCGAGCAGATGCTTGGACCTCGATCGTCGAAAACAATAGTGTATCGTTATTTAGGTCTTGAGGTTGACACAGACTTCCGCTCCCAATCCCCTACTACGCCACTAGGCATCTTCCCAAATCTCCGGGATCTTGTCGTCAGGACCAATCCTAGCAAGGATCTTGGGTTCGAAGGGATCGGGCGACTCTTATCTATTCCAACAATGCGGTCACTGCAGTGCGAACACGTCAATGGACAGGACACAGTGGTCGGATGGGTCGAACTTCCATTGAGTCATCTGGAGCGACTCGAACTGCAAGAGTGTCCGTTCGATATGTTAAGCTTGGGTGCATTGATCTCTAGCTCCAAAGGCTTGAAACATCTACAAATCACCTTGACCAATACATACCCTGATGAAGACTTCTGGGCCGCCTTGAAAGAGCGAGCCACAACCCTCGAGACACTGCAACTACACATGGATTTTGGAGAAACCGTGTGGGATGAAAACCAAATCTGCGATCTATCCTCATTCGAAAAACTCAGATCCATGGAGATCTTTCAGGTCATGTTGAGTCCTGCGTTCGAGGATAGCCTGCCTACCTCGCTTGAGGTCCTCACCATCAGTAGGTGTGATGAGTCTTTTCCGGTACGGATTGAGCAGTTATTGCACACTGTCAAGGCTGGACGACTGCCTGAGCTCAAAGAACTGAACATCGCGATGGATCACAGGAATGTCGAATTTAGCGCTCATCTGAATGAGAGACTTCTCGGACTCCAGTCTTGCTTCTCAGAGGCAGGTGTTAGGTTTCAATATGGGGCCTGTGTCGATTATGCCTGTGCAACATCGGACTGATCTTACGGATCCTGCTCTTCGAAACCGCCGAGCACGACCATCATGACCAGCGTTCCATATGCGCAAAGATGTTTTCGGCCCTGAGCTTGTCCAGAAAAACGTCCACAGAGCTACACTCTCGGTGTAAACTCTCCGAGCCTCCCAAAGAGCTTCGCGCTCTTCCATGACTAGACTCAATCCCAACTTCGGAAACGGCATTGCTGCTCAAAGCTACTAAGCACGACTGGAAAAACATCATCATCATAACATAAATACGTAAAACCTAGCAATGACTCATGATCATAACACCCCTCAAAAGCCCATGCGTCGACGAAGTTCTTTCTGCATGACTCCAACTGTACTTTCCATTCTGCTTGCCGCACTCTGGTTTTCTGTCGCTCTGCGAACCAGATAGTGCATGCATTCTCTCACGCTACCCCAGTTCATGCATTTATAGACCATTGGTGCAGAAGCATCTTTCTCAACTTGCTGTCCTGCTTTCTCGCCCATGGCTAGCAATTCGCAGCTGATGTCGTCGGCCATACCGAGTAGTTGTCCAAACTTGATGGGTGAAGGTGTTTCGCCCTTCTGCAACAGACCCTTGTAAAGTGTATAGGCTTTACGGATGGACTCGGAGTTATGACCAGCAAGGAATAACTCAACATTAGGGAAATTTTGCTTGCCGAAACCAGGGAAGGATTTGGTGAGTAAATCTGCTGCGATACCGTCGTAGCATCCATCCGTCTGAATTTTGGTATCGTGGATCAATGTCCTATTTTCACTGCCAATGTATGCGCCTCTGACTAATTTGATTCCGAGGGTCCAGTTCTCAGCGTGGGCTTGTTGTAGCAAGTTCTTGACTGTGCTTCTGGCGGATTTGAGGTAGGCTTGTAGGGTCAACGAGACCAGAGCTTGGCCGTTTGTGTTGAAGCGACGCATCATGTCGACGGTCCAGCGGTCGATTGTGGGTTGGAAGACTTGTTGTTCGGCGTCGATCCATACGCGGCTTCCTTGGGCTGCTGCACGCTCGCAGATAGCAGACATGGCGTCTAAGAGTTGTTGTGGTGGATCTCTGTCTTGAGCAAGTGCCTGTGCGACTCGAGGACCTGCGCCGGTGAATCTGGGATTCTGTAAGTAAGAAGCTGATAACTTTTCGCAGGTGTTGAACTTACTTTATGCCTACATAGTCGCCCGGCTCGACCATATCCAACGTTTTCACATTACCGTCTCGCCATATATCAATATCTTCATCTTGAGTCAGTGGTTCCAGCTCATTCAGTGCTTCTACGGGCATAGCAGGTATCTCTCTGGAATAGATGAGAATAACGCCTTTGAAGCCCATGATTTTGAGATAGTCCAGTGTCTTCTTGATCTCCAATTTGTTCGTGCCAGCACAAAAGTGATCGTATACCATCGGCTTGATCAATGCTCGTAGCAATGCATTCTTGTCTGGATCCAAGATCGCCGATCGAGAGTTTGCTATCTTTGACAGACATGCCACGCCATATTTGAACAAGAACGGAGAGGTGAACACTTTGCCGAGAAAGATATTTCGAAGGAGGTTCACGGTTGATATGCGGTGGAGATGTGACTGCTGTTGCTTCTGATGGTGCTCGGAAGAAGCATCAGGGTGCCTGGAAACCAGAGACGAATGATGTCGTAGCGATTGCCAGGTAACCAGAGTTGGTCTTGGATGAGAAGTACTTTTGTAGACGAAGTGATTGTGCTTGGTGATATTCATGCTTTCAATATAATGATACTCAGGTTAGGTACAAGGTTCCTAGAAGAGGTCGGTCTAGGAAAAGAGGTCATGATATCTATCCCTCGAGCTTGATAGTCCTCTCCGGTTATCGACGGCTGGTATCGGTCGAGGGCGCTCTTATCAACGAATCCCTGTGATGATTGTCGCAGAAGGAGGTGCGGGGTTTGGCCTACGCCGAGGGCGCCCAGATTCAGGGTCAACGATGAACACTGATAAGATCAGAGGTGATTCTTTAGCAAGATTAGCAACGGCATGTGCTTTCCTGGCGATCGATGTATTCGAACTCCAGATGCTGAATATTCAAGAGTTGTGACAAAGGTAGTCATTTTTGTTAGAGGCTAAGTTTCGTGGCAGCCATCAGGAACACACTCATGTTGCTGATGAGGAGAGAGGAAGCATTGGCGGTCAGAGCTTCTTTCAGAACACTGTTGTGCAGCGCAATGAAGACCATCGTGATAGACACGGCGAGCGAGCAATCGCGACGTTGTCGTGTTGACGGAGAAGTTTGAGGTGGCTGGTTGCCGAACGCGGGGTCCGAGGATGATGCTGACACTTTTGGTTGAGCTGACTGACCTCAAGTGCTGACCAAAATATAACAAGCGATCTATTGTTGCTCATATTTCTCGGAAAGCTGTTGTAAAGAACCGCGCCTTCCAATATATCACAAAGACAGCAACATGGCAAGCATTGAAGCAGAAGGTCCCGACGTGTCGGGCGAGGTTCCCCAGGTTCCCATCAACTTCGTTCCTGCCACGGAGGGCGAGACATTCGCTTTGGGCCAGTTGACCATCAGGATTATGGAAGATGGCTCGAGGACAGGTAAATCCGCCATCGCCGTCCAAATAATTCCCAAGACTTACCGTAATCTATCGATCAGATAACAGAATTGGCACTGTCGAATTGACTGTTCCTGCCAACACCTCCGGCCCACCTCCTCATTGGCATGAGATGCATGATGAGACCTTCTTGGGTACGATATGAAAAAAATGCTGGCAAGACGTGAGCTCAATGCTGACTGCTCCAAGTCACCGAGGGTACCATCAGATTCACCTGGTACACAGCCAGAGCATCAGAGCCAACAAAAACGGTCGACGCGCACGCTGGCGATTACGTCGTCGTGCCAGTGAGAGCTCCTCATACTTTCTCCAATCCGACGGACAAGCAAGCCAAGTTTGTCAACACCTTCACTCCGGCATTCTATGTCAACTACTTCAAGTTGTTGGCCAAATACATTGGCGATGGAAAGGTCATGACCCCGGAGGCCAACAAGAAGGCAATGGCCAGCTATGCCACCATCCCACTGCCGAAGTGAGGATGATCGACTGGAAGCAAATATCTGCTCAAATGATACAGCCTCAACAATGCCACAGTTTCAGAATCTTGTGTCGCGGCGGTGGAGATGTTGCAAGATCGTAGTTGAGCGGCAGAAAGACGTGCATTGAAAAGACATGTAAACAACGTTGTGACACGAGCAAGTCCTAATTCTTGGCGATACTAGATTTCGGTGTTGGAATCGATTGTTCAGGAGTAGGTCGTCGTATGTGTACACGAGTCCATCAAGGCGAGGGGAAGGAGCAGCCAGACCGACTTTGATCGGATACGTTGTTGATTTATACTGACCGTATAGCTCTCGGAGGACACACACTTCTTCTTCTAGTGTCGTCTAGTTTGAGTAGAGCAATCTCCTGCATATTATGCCATGGCTCTCGAACACAGGAGAATACGGGGAAGCATTAGATAGTCGTTGATTTTGGTGTCGACGGGGCGCAGCCGGGCATAACGGAGATGAGGGTTGATCTCTGCACGGGCCGCGAATAGATCGTTTCAGTTTTGACGGCCGGCTCCCGGACGACCATTCAATTTTTGTCAAACAGATGACTGCCCGATGCGTGATTGCCAACCGTATAGATGCGTGTTGGTGGTACGGTGCCTCGTGTCAGCGATCCAAACTGGACGATACAGCAAGAAGACCAGAGACCGTTTGACATGCACCTCCTGAATGGAGCTGGAGCATGAAAGCACGACTCGGTCGTTTGCCAATTCCAGGCCGGCAGAGACTGCCGCGTGGCCCAGGAACAGCAGGCACAGGATACCGTTTTGGCATGCGTGGTACGAAACGCTTGTTGCAGGGTGACGCCGCCTTATGCCGGCTTGGGGAGATGGTGAACCCTTGGGATCAAAGCTTGTCGTATGGCGCTTGTCCATCACCATAAATCAAATGTAAGTATAGTAATGCAGTAGTGCCCGCTACTTCGCCCTGGTTTCTGATCTGCCTTCTCCTTCTCTCCCTCACGCTCCTTACCCCATACATTCTTTTGCTGTGCCATCATGGCACCTTCAACCCTACCGCAACGGTTCTTGCAGACAGTATTGCTATGTCTATGCACAAGCTATACCAGTGCCCTGACGCTGGACGTAACGAGCGCAAGTGAGTGAGGAGCAAAGACATCTCCTGGATAATCAAACTGACCAGGATGTTTCCAGCTTCGATCAGATCGGTCTCGTCGCAAGTCGCACACGGATTAATGAAGTACTACACGGGTAACAACACTGGAGACGTGCCCGGAAACCTTCCAGACCCATACTATTGGTGGGAAGCTGGCGCAATGTTCGGCGAGATGGTGGAATACTGGTACTACACCGGAGACACAACATACAACGCCGAGGTCAAGCAAGCGCTGCTGCATCAGGTTGGCGAGAACAACGACTACATGCCGGCGAATCAGACCAAGAGCTTGGTACGGGACAAAGAACTAGCGTTGGCCACGATGGATGCTGACCAGAGCAGGGAAACGATGATCAAGTCTTCTGGGCCTTTGCTGCAATGACAGCGGCCGAAGTTGGATTCGAAGACCCCCCGGAAGGATCTCCCTCATGGCTGTCGCTCGCACAAGCAGTCTTCAACGAACAATCCGAACGATGGGACACTGCCTCCTGCGGTGGAGGTCTCCGCTGGCAGATTTACTCCTTTAATGTCGGCTACAACTACAAAAATTCCGTGTCCAATGGAGGTCTTTTTCAGCTTGCTGCTCGCCTCGGTCGTTACACCGGTAATCAAACATACATCGACTGGGCCAACAAGGTCTGGGACTGGTACGAGGACTCGGCTCTGTGGGACGCCAAAGACTATAAGATTCTGGATGGTGCAAGCACAACGAACAACTGCTCTGACGGTAGCCAAGAGCAATGGTCTTACACGTACGGTGTCTTCCTGGCTGGTTTCTCTTACATGTACAACCACGTATGTCTGCCCCGCTAACCTCCCTGTGTACTCGACTGATTGTTTTGTCTATAGACCGAAGACCAAGCCTGGTTGACCCGCATCGACGGCATGCTGAACACGACTGTCAGCACTTTCTTCCCTACGAACATGGGCCCCAATATCATGGTTGAAACCACTTGCGAACCTCTTGGAAACTGCAACAACGATCAACGCTCCTTCAAAGCTCATTTGTCCCAATGGATGGCCGTTACTGCTCAACTTGTTCCCAAATATCACGACAGGATTTTTGATTACCTGGCACCTTCTGCTAAAGGCGCTGCTGGCCAGTGCGATGGCGGATCCGACTCGGTCACATGCGGCCGCGAATGGAACAGCACAACTTGGGATGGCACGTACGGCGTAGGCGAGCAGATGTGCGCTTTGGGCGTCATCCAGGCAAATATGATGAATGTTGTGTCATTGAAACCGCCGTACACTTCAGTCTCTGGTGGTACCAGTAAGAGCGACCCAGATGCAGGCACGGGCACGAGCGGCACGTCGTCTTCCAATGGCCAGGCCATCACATACTCAACAATAACCACGGGCGACAAAGCTGGTGCTGGCGCCATCACTGCCGCTATTCTTCTTTTCTTGATGGGCGGAACAGCCTGGTTGCTGATTGCATAAGATACATCAGATTTTTACGATATTTAATTCTTCTCCATTTGCATATATTTGTAAAGAAGTTCCTGTGGAGCTACAGGAAAATTCTGCGATTACGAACCAAAACGTACGCCAGCCACCGAATTCCTGAGAAGCTATCGTCAAGTCTACCATGAAGCATCCCTTGTATTCTACGGAAAGAATATCTTCGTTGTGTCGCAACCTAAGGACTCCAACTTCGTTCTTGGTATTGGCGCGTCCCAAGCCCTCATCCGTCACGTCAAAGTACGATCGTATATGTGCCTTCGATACCCTGCCCTCTAGGTTCTGACCAGTTACACTGGGAAAATCTGCAGACGTTGGAATTCGAGATGTATATTCTTGAACCATATTCCGACCCGGCAATTGCAGTCAAATCCACATTCTCCCTACTCCGCAAAGAGCTTGTCAAGATCGCGTCACAAAGGCCGACCAAACCCAGATTTGAGATCTTCTTGACACTACCATTTAGTAAAAATTCCTATTCGAACTCGAGAACTATGCTGTCGGTATTCAATTCTCTCGGAATCTTATACTTCGATTCGCTACAGATTGACTGGAAGTTGAAATTGTTCGGCCCGTCTGCCGAAACAACCCAAGAAGGCAAGTACGAGACCATCAAGGCAGCCTAGCTTCCTGTGAGGTAGTTGATTCAATGTTTAGCTTTCAAGAGATATCAATGTCGAGCATTAGACGCCTCCGACGAGAGCCACTTACAGCGACTAGAGTACCACTTGCAGTGTTTTGTATACTTCGATCGTGTGCTCCGCGTGACTGGAGCCTCAAATGATTATTGACATGTCCAAGACATGCTGCACAGTATTGATCGCACAGCAAAAGATGAGGAGAACATTTTGAATATCGAAGGATCGAAGGAGTCGAATTGAGAGAGGAGCTGATAATGAAACCCTTGGCATACTTTACCCCCAGCGCCTGGAGCATTTCGCAACCAAGCCTGACTTGCACAATGATGTCCTCAATTCAGTCAAACGTCTTTGCAGAAAGTGTTCTTTGTGTTATTTAGATGTATGGACTGATACAGTTTGACCTTCGAAAGTGAGCTGAATTGCCTTCGTATCCACGCAACATGCGCTCTATCGGCGATGGTTGGCGGGTGTCCCTACCAAGTGATCGGCTGCTTCGGCTATCTTTGGCCTATCTCCAACCCGCTTGCTGCACCAAAGCAGAAGGTCGTGCCATTTGCGGGGTGGATGATGATATAAGGTACACAGCCTCTGCTGCTTCCCAATACTTGTTCTTTCCCTTCCTTCGAATCTCTGACGTGCGAGATACCAATTGACAAGATGGATGAGAAGCAACAGCTTATCGGGTCACTCCCGACCACGAATGATAGCTTCGAACAGCGTGCACATGCGAAGAAGAGCTCTCGTTGGGGAACCGTCAAACTTGTGTGTCGTAGCAAATTACTGATTTCCTGTTGGATCAGCGACTGACAAGTGCAACAGATTGCAGCATGCGCAGCCTTGGTAGCGCTTCTGCACTGGACTTTCGTTGTTCCTAAGCTTCCTATGAAGCACGGAAAGCATGGCAAGCACCACCACCAAAAGTCGCAATGTCCCCAGGTCGAGCCTCTTGTGCCAAGCCAACAGACCGATGAGCTTGTCAACATGGATGCCTATCTCAAGTCGCCTGCTTTCCAAAACTCATCCATCCAGCGTCTTTCCGGAGCCGTCCAGATCGACACCCAGTCTTTCGATGATCTAGGCAAGGTCGGTGACGACAAGCGCTGGGAAGTCTTCTACCCGTTCCACGAATATCTGGAGAAGACCTTCCCTCTGGTTTATGAGCACCTCAAAGTCGAGAAGGTCAACACTCATGGTCTTGTCTACACTTGGCAGGGCTCGGACGCTAAGCTGAAGCCTACTCTGCTCATGGCCCACCAAGACACTGTCCCTGTCCCCGATGCTACCCTTGATGCATGGACTCACCCGCCGTGGTCTGGATTCTTTGACGGCAAAGAGATCTGGGGTCGTGGCTCATCTGACTGCAAGAACCAGCTTATTGCTATTCTCGAATCTGTTGAACTGCTGCTTGACGCTGGCTTCGTTCCCACCAGAACCGTTCTGCTTTCGTTCGGCTTTGATGAGGAGATTAGCGGCGGTCAGGGTGCTGGCACTCTTGCACCCTTCATTCTTGAACGTTACGGACCTGACTCTCTTGCTGTCATCGTTGATGAGGGTGCTGGTATCTCCGACGAATGGGGTGTCACCATGGCCACTCCTGGTGTTGCCGAGAAGGGTTACACCGATGTCGTGATCACTATTCGTATGCCTGGTGGCCACTCCAGTATCCCTCCAGACCACACTGCTATCGGTGTCATGAGTGAGCTCATCACCCTCATTGAGGCTGACAAGTACCCACTCCGTCTTGACGGCAAGAACCCTTACCTCGGTCAGCTTTACTGCGGTGCTGAGCACGCAACTGAGTTCCCCAAGAAGCTCGGCAAGCTACTCGACAAGGCTCAAGGTCAGTGCAAGGCAAAGCCCGATTCACTCGCCGCCGAAGCAGCCAAAGCCGGTCCTGCTATCCAGTACCTGATGCAGACTTCGATCGCTGTCGATGTTATTGGTGGTGGCGTGAAAGTAAACGCTCTCCCTGAGCGCGTCCAGGCTATTGTCAACCACCGCATCAACGTTGGAGAGCACCCTGCCGATGCTCACGCCAAGATTGCTGGTCTCGCTAAGGAGGTCGCAAAGAAGTACGGGCTTGCTCTGCACTCCTTCGACAACACTACCGAATCGCCTTCATCCATCTCGCTCTCCGCTTTCGAACACGTTCTTGAGCCTGCTCCTGTTACTCCTACCTCTGTCGATGGAGAGACTGCCTACAGCGTTCTATCGGGTTCCATCCGTGCTCTGTATGGCAGCGAGGTCATTGTGGCTCCTGGTATCATGACCGGCAACACCGACACCAAGTACTACTGGGATCTGTCTCGCAATATCTTCCGTTTTGCTCCTGGCTACGATGGCGAGTCCAGTGGCCTGGGCAACATCCACACCGTCGACGAGAGAGTTTCTATCAAGAACCACGTCAACACTGTCAAGTGGTTCTCTCTTTTCATCCGCAACATGGATGAGGCGGATTTCGAGTAAGCAGTTGATGTATTGAGCAAGGATAGTTGATAGTATATAGATGGTTCATAGTCAATGACAAAAAACTAAACACTCCTACTTCGCCCGGTCCTCCAAGGCCTTCCAAGTTTTAGGAGAAAGAAAAGAAAAATAATCACCAGACAGAGTTTGGACCATCACGCAAATCTCGGCTTCATCTTTTCTTGGCATCGAAATGGTCGTCGGTCGGCAAGAAAGATTTCTGACTTGCCACGCGCATGACTTGCTAATCTATGCTGTTTGACCCTCGGCAGCTGTTGTTAAAAACGCAGTATCTTGAAGCAATCCAATGCAACATCCTGACTTCTGCGAAAGCCTCGAAAATAAAGCCGCATGTCAAGCAACGAAAAGCGCGCTTAAGCCTCGGCTTGGCCCAAACCCAACGTCATTGTCGTCAGGGTCCCCGTTTTCCACCTCTTGATCCGTGCAGGCACTAATTATTATTCAGAAGAACGAAATGTGAATTTTGTAGCCTTGTCAACCGGGCAAACCGCCATCTGTGCGCGCTGTGAGAGAAACAACAAGAGTGTGACTCCTTCGGTCTCTCTTGCCTTTTCGACAGATTCCTGAAAACAACGACTTCCAATTCCTGGTTTCCTCTACTGGTCTTTCCTGGTCCCGGATCGCAACGGCAAACAGAATTTTTCCCCCTCTCTGGCCTGTAGTGTGCGCGTTGCGCAAGAACTCCAAGGGAAATCATGGCCGACGTATTGGCGGGACAGGAGAAGAAAGGCGGGTCTGCGCCTTCTTCTGCTCACAGCGAACCTCTTCAATCTGATCTGGAGGCTCGCAGAACTTCCAACACAACACCTCTCGATGTTCTGGAGAAGATCCGGGAAACGGACGAAGCACATCCTATCAATTGGTCATTATGGAAGAAATGGGGAGTCATCACTGTCTACTGTTTACTACAGGTCTATGTTACCATGACTTCGACCATGTATGTCTCTGTGGAGACCTTCATCCAGGAACGCTTCCCTAGCACGACGCAAGTCGTTACACTGGGACAATCGATGTTTATCATCGGAACTGCTGTTGGACCTGTTTTCCTTGGACCTTTGAGTGATCTCGGTGGCCGCAAATGGGTTTATGTTGGATCTATCCTGGTTTATGCTATCTTCAACATTGGCTGTGCCCTGGCGTACAATCTGCCCATGTTGATCATCTTCTGTTTCCTGGTTGGTGTCGCTGGATCTACTGCTCTTTCGAACGTTGCTGGAACTATCGTTGATCTTTTCGGTGTATGTGGTTGAATGTCAGCATCAATTGTACGCACACATGCTTACAGATAATGTGTAGGCTCAAGATGGTGCAGGTCAACCAATGGCACTCTTCGTCCTCAGTTCCAACTACGGGGCAAGTATAGGATCGCCAATTGGTGAATGGATTGGGATCAACTCAAGCATGGGTTGGCGCTGGAGTACGCATTGAAGCCTACCTCCTACTTCTCTCATCTTGCTGACATAGCTCCGTCAGTCTTCTACATGAACATCATCTGGGGCGGCGCATTCGCACTCGTCATGTGCTTCATGCCCGAGACACTACCCTCCGTCGTCATTGCAAGAGCAGTCAAGAAGCGCGACACTCACGACCCCAACGCCGAGATCGTCGCTGCCGAGTTGACCAAGGTCAATGTCTTCCAGGAGATCCGCTTTGTATTGACAATGGCATTGCGCATCATGTTTACCGAACCCATCGTCATTTTCCTCGGCTTCTACAATGGATTCGCTTATGGGTGAGCAGCACCTGTGCCCTTTTCCCCGCTCCTGGAATTGCATACTGATTTGTGTCTGTTCTAGCCTTCTCTTCCTCTACCTTGATGGTGTCTTCGCCGTCTTCGTCGACAACAACGGTCTCAGCTACGTCGGCGCCAGTCTCTCATACCTCAACTTCTGCGTCGGCGTCACCTGCATGTTCATCTTCGTCCCCGTCCAAACCTACCTCTTCCGCAAAGACCGCATAAAGCACGGAAAACACCGTCCCGAAGCCCGTTTCTTGACTTCTCTGGTCACCGTCTGGCTATTCCCCGTCACCCTCTTCTGGTTCGCCTTCACCTCCAACGGCCACGCATCTTACTGGTCCCCCATCGTCGCCGGAGGTGTGCTCGGCTTCTGCGACCCACTGCTCTGGTTAGGCATGTTGAACTACCTCGGCGATACCTACAGCAATGTCGCCGGATCCGCTGTAGCCGCCTTCTTGATCCCGTCATTCTTGATCGCGGCAGCCATGTGTCACGCCGGTGTCGCCATGTTTGAAAACATGAGTTCCACCTGGGCGTTTGCCACATTGGCTTTTATTTCACTGGGTCTGGTCGCATTGGTGTATATTCTTTATTTCTTCGGTCCGTTGCTCAGAAGACGTAGTAAATTGGCTACTGTTTACTAAAGAAATAACGTGGATCTGGGATGTGACTGTCATGCTAAGAATATCTGGGATTCTCCTTCTCGAGAGAGGATACAAAAAGAGGTCTTTGTTTATTTGCGTACAGAGAATCTACGCCCCAAGAAAATTATCCACCACGAGACTCAGGAGTCTTTTCTTCCTACTTACTCGATACAACATCTCGTCGTTTCGACACAAGCTACTTTCCGAAAAATCTGTACAAATATATTTTCTTGAATACATTCACACTTTTGTTTTTCCCATATTCATACCACATTTTGTGTTCAACTCTCCCGTCATCTTAACCCATACGCTCAAGAGATGCGTTTAGGTTTTTCGTCATCTTGTCAGTAAAGGAGGACTTGCGGAGCAAAGGGGTAGGAGGGAGCTTTTCTTTTTGCTTTCTCCTTGCTCTCTTTTGGGTGCAAGATAGTTTAGAGAGTTGTGTACCTATGTGAAAAAAAGCGAGATGGGGTTTTCGGAGCTCGAATGACCGTCCTCTAAGAAGGGCGTGATTCTTCTTACCCTCCGTGGACATCTTGTCCATCTTTGAAAACTATCCTGCCTTTTTGATAAGATTGCTTTTCAAACACCATGTAGGAGGCTGAGAGCTTAGTTCTGGATGAAGAGTTCGGATGATATATCATTCCGCTATTCTATTTCACTATAAGCCTGCCAAACAAAAACTCCCGCTTCCCAAGCTGAAATGCGCAATAAACCAGAATCGTGCTTCAATGCAAGAAAAGACACGATGAAAAACAAAAACAAAAACCATGAGTCGTGACTGCCAAGAGAGGCATCGAAATGCAAAAGAGAATCCAAACCAAGAGCATCTACTCCTCGTCACTGTCGTCTTCTTGCCCATAATGCTTAGGCTTCTTGCCGTTGGTCTTTCTAGGATGTATGATGATATTGGGCGCGTAAAGGTGACCACCTTCGTTCAACAACATATCCGGCAATATCGGATTGTCGACTTCATTGATATACCAAGGGTTTGCCAAATCTTCTGGGAGAGTAGTCCACCATTGCCAGGTCATGCCATTTGTGAAGAAGCCCATCGAGCTGCCGCGATAACGTGCAGGGCCATTAGCGATGCCATCGGGGAAAGCATCCAAGCCGCCGCCGTTGAGAGCGAACTCCATCTCGTGACGTTCACGCGCTGGCCATTGGTAGACAGGGAGAGGTATGCCACTAATCTTGAGACCGTGCCAGAGAGCAAAGCTGGGAAGAGTTGCTTCAGAAGGGATGCGCATGCCTGCGTGTGCTTGGGCATGATGAACCGCATTCAAGAGGTTCCAACTTGCGCGACCTTGAGCGACGACCGACACGAAGATGGGCAACTTCGTTCCCATAGAAAAGCCATGTTGCCAACCTTTGAAAAGCCAGTCCTCGTCGCGAGAAGCATCTTCCATCGTGTTGAGAAGGATGAGATCAGCGTCTTCACCGACACCCCAGGAGAAGTGATCTTCGCGCGGATCATCGACGGGTGGTTCGGGACCAATGGGATCAATATCGTGGATGTCAATAGGTCCCCACACCGAGGAATCGCCATCAAGTACGTTGTCAATGGCGTTGAAGAAGTCATCGTACGAGCCGTGATAATCAGCCATGTATGCCCAAGATGCTCTTTCTCTAGCTTGCTTGCGAGGTTCATTCCTGGCAAAGTCGGACAGCTTGTCAAGCATATTTCCGGTATGTCCCAAGAAGCGTGAGTCGACCTCTAGTTGCCAGTAGTGATCGAACTCCGGGTAGAACTGTGCGAATATTTGGAAGGGCTGCATGATTTGCATGATGGCCAGGTGCTCGACGACATCGGGATACCAGCTGTCCAGCAAGGAGTCATCGAAAAGGACTGCTATGTCTTGTAGCTCGGGCGGAACGGCTTCTCGTAAAACGCGATCGTATGCTTCCGGATCTGTAAAGATTCCAGCCTCTTGATCCTTCACGTCGACCAGAAGAAAAACGGCATACTCTCCGCCCGTCGCAAGAGCAGTTTCTGCGACAAGTGATCTCAAGTTCCACATATCCTCAGGAGTGTACTTGTACGTGGACCAGGTACGGATGACGATGGCCGAACGGTGGTATTTCTCGGTTTCTGGCCTCGGGTTGATCTTAGGAGAGGTCAACGAAGAGGGTAGCCACTTCTCTTTCCATGATCTGTTGCGGTATGCGAACCTGGGGCGACCGTGATCGAAAGCGTAAGCATCGGGAAGGCGTTCGTGGTTGGACTCGGCACAGGCGTTTTGTAGGTCGGCCCAGTTGACGGTAGACCAGTCAACTCGGCTTCTTGTGTAATTCTCCTCCTCTTCTCCTAGTCCATAGGGGCCATATCTCTCTGCAGCAGTGAGCCAGGACTTGTCGAGGTCGAGGGCTTCATACGAGCCACTGAGAGGGGGCGGGTATGTAAGGTTTCTGTAATGCGATGGGTGGATCTGGTCGTCGTAGCTCTCTGACATGAGCTTCCCTCTGGGACCTTTGCATGGCACGCGTTGACTTCGGAATCTGGTCGTTGTGTCGTTTGAGGAAGAAGTTGGTCTCACGGATGAGGGTCGAGCATCAGGCTGCGATGTTTCCGAGGACGAAGTAGTCGTAGTAGAAGGAACACGTTCAGGGACAGGTTGGCCAGACGGGAAGGAAAGTGTATACAACAGAATCGAGATAAGAAACAGTATGGCGACAGCAGCGATGTGCCTATACCGGCTGCTCGATCGACCAATGCTGAGGGGGGTGTACATGATGCCGCCTCAACCCACTCCTTACGTGTCTGCGACTTCTCAACAGCAGCGTAGAGGGAGCGTCAAGGGTCAAGGGAAGGAACGAAGACAGAGACATGGGAGAGACAACAAACAGCAATCGAGGCCCATGTCGATTGGTCCTGCCTCAGGTCCACCATCGCTGACGTGCCAGGGCTGAAGAAGCAGGGAGCAGGGAACAGCCCTCACCGCAGTGACCACTGACCAGTACCTTCCGCGACTCGACTGAATCTGAACCACTCTTACCGTGAATTCTTGCGAAGCCAAGCATCCACTTGATAGCGAAATTGCTGTTTCGCCGACAAAGTCGTCGCAACGCGCGGCCATGGCGCCGGCTCGGCGCACCATGGAGCTGCCGATTGCTTGTCCATAATCGTATGCGCGTATTGTAGGAACCCGTGAGACGTCGCTTCTGTTCAGAAGGTGCACAAGTGGTCAGAATCGCTACCAGAAATCAAGAATTGTGCAGTCGACGTAGACTTTCTTTGTCCCGCTCTGTCACCGCAACGCCCTGCATCCGAAGCCGAAAGACCGTTGAGAAAACTCTCCTTCCCGCTTGTCAGCCACGCTACAAATGACGTCGGCAGAAACCCCTGTTCCATCTTGAATCACTCCTCCACTTGTCTGTCCGTCTGATCGATTGTGCTGCAGGAGCAAGACATCTTCTCGATATCTCTGCTGGACACATTCTGATCTGTCTAGCTTGGCATCCGGATCACGGCTGACATGCAGCATAGTTCCGACTCTCCGTACAACGACGACGATAGCCAATGCTTGGCTTGCATGATGGCTGAGAAACCTACCCGGTCATGCGTCTGTTCCAACTTCACCTCGTCTTGGTTATTCCCGAACATGTATAGCAGGAAGAGTGCCCTCTTGCTTCAGAGAATGTGTACACAAGGTTGTACGGGCGGCCGCAAAGAACTGATTCCTTTGAGCACAGTCGACCGAGACACTCTCATACAAAGAGCTTCAAGGCGTAACTCCTTCCCAGGACCTCGAGCTATACAGAGTCTTTGCTGCCATGCAAAGTTCCGTCTAACCAAACGACACATATCGAAACATCAGTCTGGTCAAACTGGCGACAACCTCAAAGAAACGACAACGGAAGACTATATTTACGAGGATCCTGCATTGTGTTTCTGACCGAAGTGCTAGAAAGAGGGTTGTGCATGATTGCAACAATTTTCTTCTTCAGCCCCTGGTTCTAAACCAAGAAGACCAATGAAAATAGTTGCTTTACTAGAGATTCCGCTCCGGATTATTTTTACGAGCTGTTCATGCTCGGAGGTGGTTCGACGCCTCTGTTAACTGAAATCTAACTATTTGTTCCCTTCTCGAGTAACAGACAAAGAAGACCCACAGTCCCACCTCGGCCACACTTGCAAAACTCACCGCCAGTGAACCCACCCAAACGACCGCCCCAGAAGAGGAAAGAAAGACACGAGTTTTTGCATCGACGACGAAAATGAAAGAAGTGACTCACGAACCAGAGTCCCAAACATGAAGTGTACACGCCCCAGCGACAGAGAGACTTCCACAACCGCAAAGAAAGTGTTGAGGCAAACGAGCCACCGGTGGTACAGAAGTCCGAACAGATAGGAAAGAGGGGGACTGTTCTGGTGAATGGAACACCCAACGGACAACGTCATAGCCACAACTGACTGCCTTCAAAGCCAAACCCCTTCCAACCCCGCTCATGCAAGAACCGTGGGTCCAACACAACATCTGGGTTCCCAAAGCCCGTACGCACAAGTGTCAGAGCAGACTCCAATGTGCAACAGCTTCGGGTCCATAATGAAGGTGGTTAAGCGCCTGCCCCACCCTACAACAACACTGAGAACCGCAAAGCCCGTACGCCCGAAGGTAACAGCTTCACGACCTCCCAAGGGCCAGAGCAGGCCTCTAAGGGAGCTTGAAGTGGTTCACAAGTCAACGGCCCGGCAAGGCCGTCGAGTGATCACCGACAACAAGAATCAGGAGGCAAGGCAGAAACAAGCGATACGATACGTTCTTGCATGAGAAGGGAAGGTTGGAGACGTCAGGTGTAGCTTACCATGTGCCCGTGGGTAGACCAAACATCAGACGCGTTCGTGCGGTTTCTGGCTTTCGGGTGGACCCTGCCTAAAGACAGAGAGCCATCCGGCCACACGAACGCGCCAGCCCGAAGACCTCCAACTTGTTCTGCTCGTCGGACGACGCACGGCGGGCCATGAACATCGTACTTCTGCACCTGATGCTCGTTAGAGAACCTCAACTTGGAGACCTTGACGTGCGTGGATACGAGATCCTGAGGAGGTATGCCCATGCGGCCTTCCCAACCTATCGCACGCCGAGGCCTCCTGAATTCCCTGCGGTTGTGGGGCAACTCCGGGGCCTGAAGAGGCGCTTTTGACAGACACCTCTCCTGAACCCTGATGCTGAGGAGTGTACTCACCTCGTGTTTGAACTTGCAGAAGCTACCGTGCTCTTTCGAGACCTCCGGCACTTCCACCTTCTCTGGTTCGCGAGGCTTCGAGCACTCGTCGGCGGATCTACCATGAACGTGTACGTCGCAACCGAAGTCACAACGCACCATGGGCAATAACTCGGCTTCCTCCTTCTGGGCACGGCCGCAAAGGGAGAGAATACTGACAATGATTTTAGCAAGCATTGTGAGAATGGGATGTGGAATACTTTGGAATGTTTTGAGCTTGGTAGTAAAATACAGAAGCAGTATGGAAAGAAGAAAAAAAGAGAAAGGAAACACGGAGGGCGTTGGGGTAGGAGATATTATATGCTTGCGAGCTCTGCAAGCGAGTGATCCTGGAAGCGAGTGATTTCGCCACCATTTGGGAGTCATAGGCCTTATGACTGTACGGGAAGCTAAGTCGATGGCCCGCCAACATCCTCTAACTTGCTCACAGCGATAACATGACGACAACTAGACGATATCGGATACAACGACAATCAGGCAATACTCTACATTACAACACGAACATATGATCAAAGAAACCATTCCAGAAGGACACACAACATCATTAACCCGGCAGTGGTGATAAGCGGAAGTAATAGGGGCAGGACTCGGGAGCAGTGCACCACATCCCGCAAACTCACTCAACCCACGTGTAAATCTATCGAACATCTCCGAATCTCTCAATACAACAGACAAATTTCGGAGCATAATCATGCATTACGATACTCCTAGAGCACTTAGATTAAGGTTAAACATAAGGGGTTGGCAGGTAAGGGTAGATATTGTGTCTTGCATCGGCATCTCAAAAAGCACGCGCATCTGTGCAAGACACATTAAGAGACAGAATGGTGTCCAATATTTGTTATATGTCTAGTGAGAGTGAGTGGTGTTACTGCTCTCAANCTGCATGGGAGCGGGCTGCATGGGAGCGGGCTGCATGGGAGCGAACTGCATGGGAGCGAACTGCATGGGAGCGGGCTGTATGGGAGCCGGATCTGAAGCAGCAGAAGAGTCCTCAACCCAGGCGCAATGGTTTACTTCTTGCCGTGCGCGGTTGAAGATCACGTCATCGCGCTGCTTCTCATGAGGCTCGAGACTCTGGCGTCCGTGGTTGAATTTAACATGTCTCAGAAGAGTCTCCCTGCATATTTTAGCCTGGATCCAACTTGTAGTCATGTGGGAAACCCTACCATCTGACGAAGGTTGACTTGCAAGTTTCACAGGCGAACGGCTTTGTATCGGTATGCTTGTAGAGAATATGGGATGTCATGTTGTACTTGCTTGGGCTCACATGTGAGCACTGAGAGCACTGGTACCCCATGCTGGCGCTGATTCAGGTGAGTTGCTCGATCGAGAAAACCGTGAAGTCGCGCGCGGACTTTATAGAGCGAGTGGGCCAGGAGCTGAGAGGGAATAGATCCAGAGACCACAAGACGAGCTTTGAAGAGCCCAGTATCTTCTGTAGAATGGTGACAAGCTTGAAGCAGTAATAAGCTATCGTGAAAGATGCAAAGTGAGTTGATATTTGGTTGATATCTGGTTGATGAAGGAAGAGCTTTGAGAAGACGGTCGAGTAAGTGAATAGCCCCTAACGCTTCGTTCGAGGAAGGCGGGAGGCAACTGCTCTTTCCTACCTGGCTGTCGCCGAGCGAGCTTCGATGACGATGCGAGGCGTAAGCCATTTCGCTCAGTGAGAATGGGAAGGAACAGTCGACTTCGCAGTGACCGGATGAAACTGCAGAACGATCAACTATTGATCTTCCTTTGCTGGCTTGGTTCCAGAACATTCAAGTCACGTTTGTCTGTGAGATCTCTTACTCCTGTCTGACAAACCTCTATCCACGCGCACCCAGTTGCCAGAGCTACCAAACGCAGAAACCCAAAGCGATCCCTCTGCTCCGTTGTCATTGTCCTGAATCTTCGCGCCATGATTCAAAGACCTGGACCGCTCGTCAGGACATAGAACTCATAGGTAAGACAGCTCCGGAAGCAGCTTGATCCAGGTTCGTGTGACGGGCCTCTGTTGGCTCTCCCATGTTACGAAGCGGATATACATTGTCAAACACCAAGAGCATTGAGACATCCTCGGATGAGCACACAATGCTAGGGATGCATTGACAAGACTGAGGGCGCTTTCATGGACCAGGTTCAGGACCGGGGCAGGCGAATCATCGGCCCATGCGTTCGAATTCCATTCTATCTGGCATTTGGCATGAAGGCATCGACAAAGAGTGACATTTTTGTAGAGGAAAAGCATTGCTGGCAATCATGAGTCGCGACAGGCAGTCGCAGCGTTGGCGTGACGTGCACGGACGTATCTCGCTTAAACCTCGGTGCTACTCGCTGTTGGTATGACCCGGATCCAGCCTGGCAAACACAATATCTTGTCAACAGAACGACCATAAACCATTGACATACCTTCTATAGGACAGCCAGAGTGTGCTACTGTACCCTTCATTCTCACTCCTTAGTTGCAATTGGGGAATGGATGGAATGGGCGAGCTCACGAGAGAAAACATCTCTTTCCCGCTCCCTCTGGAAACCCACCACACACAAAAATCCTCCTGCAGTTCGACAGGCTGTCTACAAAATCAAGCTCGCAGGCTGAGAGTCAGTGTCAGCCGCCGCAACATTTCCTCTGATTTACAAAATACGCAACGACATCCTAAATCAACCTCTCTTTCTTCCAAACATCCGGTTGTTCGAGTCACGCAATCTTGTCGACTAAGTCACTTCATATTACTGGGCCCTAGCCTCTTTCCATTCAAACCGCAGCCGATAGATACGCATCCGACTAGCAGTACGAGGTCGATGTCGGTGCCTTAATACTCTGAGATCTCACAGCTCCAGCGTAGGAAAATGACGAGAAACGGAACAGGGCCAGCGTCTGCTTCCAGGAAATTAAGCGGAGACGGAGATGTGGGAATCTACCAGACACCGGCAACATGGCTATGGCTGGCAGTACTCTACAAAGTCAATGTCGGCACCGTAACAACCCGCAGTTTGTACTGGTCGACAAGCAGCAACGAAAGAGAGGCAGTGACTGTTTCTGGAGAATCGAGCGAGTATGGAGATGTGGAAACATGTCGGATGCCCGGTTGGTTAAGCCAGTATGAAAAGGGGACACGAGAAATGATTCGAGCTTGGTATCGCAGCCTCGATGCAAGAGAACGGTGGGAAGCGGAACAAATGCAGCGTATGCTTCCATGAGCTCGACTGGGTGCAGGGATGTACAGAGTCGTGAGAGACCTGGGTGGCTGAACGAGCGAATTCGGGAGGTCACAAAAACGGTAGGAGTACAGATTGGACGCAACATTGTTTTCGAATTATGCTAATGGGCACAGAAACAGTGGTGTATGGCGCGGCGACGAGTCGAACGAGTCGACCCACGGGCGTACGAAAGTCGAGTTTCCAAGCATACTTCCGGCACCTTCACTCCTGCAACATCAAACGCATTGTCTCCTCTACCTCGGTCCTTCACCTACAACTATCTGCGAGCTAGTAACTACCCCAGATCGGTAAGTTCACTATCTTCGGGATCCAAGACATCGCTGCAACTTCCAAGGGCATAATCTTCGTCACTCGCCCTCATCAGAACTTGATGGGCGTGCCCAAGTGTCGAACTTTGCCTCGCAGTCGAGACCCTTTGACTCTCTTTTGGCGTAGTAAGAGTCAACCAAACGCTTGTATATATCAGTGTGAGAAGGATTGCAACCCTCCAGCTTGCATGCCCAGTCATCTCTGATGTCCGTGTTGACGTTAGAGACGACGCAATGGTCAAAATAGTGGTGGATCAACCGGATCGTGCTTGAATCCCCCAAAGATGGTGTGATATTTTCTCGGTGGCTTTGTTTATCCGGCTGTGGGTTGTGTTCGTCTTCCTGGAGTCTCTCTGGATCGGTGTCGGTTGCCTCATCCCCGGTATATCTGATCTTGGTCGGAGCAATACCGCAAGGCGTCCTTTGGAACACGATTCCACCCAGCCTCCTAATCTCACCAGAGTACTCGTCATTTCCCTCGATGATGGAATAATACACAGCTGCGGAACGATCGAAATACGGATACTCCCAAGCCTCCCCAGGAAGATAACCAATCGCATTCGGAAGAAGATACAAGGGATCGATGGCCGTCTAATTTTTCTTGTCCAACGCAGAAACATGGTAGAAAGGTGTAGTGGAGAAAGCAACAAGACCGGTATCTTCAGTCAATCGATCTTCGGCGAACACGACAGCAAGCTTGAGATGAGGCTTGACGGCTTTGAAGGGCAGAGGGCCTCAGACCGAGAAGGATCTGAGACGTTGCAATGGCTCTCCCCGCTCGAAAGCATGGAATGTCCACCAAGCGCTAAAAGCTTCGGGGCCTGAGGTGTCGATTTCATCAAAACTTGCAAAATTATCAGCCTCCGAAAGAGTGAAGAATTGCTTTCTGTGGCTCGCTGCGTATGTTTGCGGCTTCAAAGCTTGCACTTCATCATACAGAAGGTAAGGCACATGTATTGCCCCATTCACCTCTGACAGGACCAAAGTCATCGATCAAAGCCGCGACATAGGTTGGAAATCTGCCAAACCCATCAACGGGAAGATTGGCGGCTTTGGCGTAGAGAGTTCGAAGATGTGTTCCGCCTCTCTTGTGGAGTAGCAAACAGGTAGCCCACAATGCATCGAATGCCACGGACTCTACAGCTTCGTCGTGGGCTCGGATAGTCTCGTCATCGGCATCGATGTCTGTGAGAAGAGGGCGGAGAATGTTGTTGAACATGCGAAAGACTACATCGGCCTTGATCTTGTGTGTCATGGTGGGTGCGGGTTCAGGATATCTTGTTCCAAAGCTTCTGGCGAGGAGAGATTCGGCAAAGGTTGCCATGTGCTTCTCGTTGGTCCAGTCGTGTTCGGGGAAGAGGTGTGAAGATATCATGATATAGAGTGACAACCCTTTTTGACAGGGAAGTAGGACGGGTAGATATAAGAGGTGAATATGATAGACAAACGACAAGGGCGTGTCGCTGCTCGGTTTGATGTTACACAGATCATGCGCCTTTGAGGCCGGACCCTGCAGGCGTCTGCAACCATATGATATCACCAGTCTTTCAGGAAACACTTCTGAAACAAAGAATTGTATGCGTGTACTGTATATACCAAGACAATGTACCCATATCTAACCTCTTCTGCGAGTGCTTGGGCCCTTGCCCTTGGGTTCAGCGCTTGTGGTCATGGCAATAGCCTCCTTTCTTCCCGACTCGTTCAGCTTGTGCGAAGGAGCGCTGACCTTGCTAGGGGCGCTGTTCCAATAGTAGATCATCTGGAGGGCGAGGACGGCATTGAGGACGAAGCCAGAGATGAAGCCGTAAAGGATGAGCTTGTCGTCGACTTCTTGGAGGGTTGTGAAGATACGGGAGAGGGAGCCGAAGAGGTAGTTGAAGACCTTGAGACATGAGGGTTAGCAGGTGTAGATAGTGCGACGAGTGAATGGTTTGACTTACGGCGAAAGCGCTCAACTGACCGGTGCCGCCCTGCTGCCAGACAGTGATGATCTGGGGCAACTTGCTGGCAACACCCAGAGCACCAGCTCCGGCCTGAAGAAGGCCCATGGTCTTCATGTCGATGATGCCAGGGCTGAAGAGCGAGTAGCCAGCAGCAGCCAGACCAGCCACAAAGGCAGCAGCAGCTGCGCCCTTGCCGCTGTATTGAAGGATCAAAGCTGCAATGGCAACGTTCTGGACGGCAATGAAAGCCGTCTCACCGTAGGTGCTGAAGGGGAAGCCCATGCGAGCATTATAGGCGAGCGAGATGAGGTATGAGCTGGTCTCGAGAGCGTAGGCCAGGAAACTCAAACCGGCAGCTGACTGCGAGTTCAGGAGCTTGAGAAGCTGAGGAATCTTGACGACGGCGGATGCGCCGATGATACCAATACCGAGGCCCTTGGAAATGGCCAGCTTGAAGCAAGATGCATCGCTGAGTTGAACATCGTGGATGAGAGTCTTGTAGCAGTGGTTTCCAAGGAGAGAGATACCAATGTCGCGGATTGGTCCAGGGAGGTTCTGGGTGATGGGCTGCAGCACCGGACGGAGGGCGGTCTCGAGTTGTTCCATTGTGATGTTGTTGTTGTTTGAACAATCAAAATATTTTGGACAAAGATGATCTGAAAGCTTCACGCTGATGCCACCTGTCGAGGGGCCTCTTTTCTGGCGTCATGTGGGGTCGACTTCCCCTTTCGTACAACGCTTCGAGTCTCGAGGTCAACGTGGCAGCTTCACCACCACCTCTCATACATACTTTTATATCACCAAAACACCCTTTCGTTTCTGTGCTTATCATACTGTCAGCAATGTGACTCTTTGTACTCATCAATTCTTGGATATGGTCCCTTCGATCTGATCGACAATTATACCATATCATAGGTCAAGTTAGCCATCTCAAAGATATTCTCGTCTATTCCTGCTTCTAGGTGGACTGGCACCTCGACTTATAATGGCATCTTTGTTGTCTGGGTTCCATGCTCCTGACTTTGGGCTCCTTCCATCTTTCCTATTAGGCCACTACAGGACTTTGGATCGACGACCAACCTTGAGCACATCTGACCATATTGGACCTGCTCCAGGTGATACATAACGACTACGCTGGTGTCGTGAAGAGTCTCTTTCTCAGCCCAAGCTTTCTGGTCCTTGATGGTCAACAACACATCGTGGGTTTCAACCTCTGACACCCGAGCCCTGGAGGACACGCGGTCATGACTGAAATCTTGCTTGCTAATACTGCTGTGTCAGCATGGCTGATACAGCCATGTCTGAGGTTCTGGATCCGACCACCTCGTCGTTGCTGTTACCTCTCGGTACCCCTGTTCCACACCTTGACCTGGATGACTCGTTGGTCTGGCACTACGATTCAATCACGTCCTCGAGCTGTGCTGGAGCAAGCTACATATACCCACCGAGCCATGCCTCTTCCATCAGTCAGCAGCCAGTTCACTCAGTGAACTTGATCATCAGACCTGCCGGGGTAGCTCAATCGGTAGAGCGTGTGGCTCTTATCATCACGATATCGTCAACCTCAAGGTCGCGGGTTCGAGCCCCGCCTTCGGCTATTCCTTCACACACGCTGTCTGTTCTTTTTGCCGTTTGTTATGGGTCTAGAAAAGCAATATCTGATGCTTGAAACAAATCTCAAAATTTTGGTGAGTGCCAAGATTTTTATTTTTCAGAATTGGGCGCTCGGACTTTTTCGTGGGCGCGTTTTTTTCTCTTCTTCTCCCTCCTTTCCTTTCTCTTACGCATTCTCTCGGTTCACTGCTTTGTGTTTGCTACATGGTTTTACAAAGGTGAGAGCACGCGGATGAGATCTCGACATCCTGGCATTGGAGAACGTTCCAAGGGTTGTTCAATCAGTACACCGACTGCCGAAGGAGAGGTCTGAACCCGCGACCGCGGGGCCCTGTGCTCTTTCGCTCAGGCTAAGCCAGTGTTTCGTTGTGCGCGAACTCTCTATTCGACTGTCGGCGGCATCTCCTCGTAGGAACCATGATCTCTCAAACATATGCAGAGTAGCATCTGTTCTGGTTTGAGATCACGAAAACGCGCCATCTTCTCGCGCAGAAAGACGATACAATTCGTATGGACACGATCCGTGTATTATCGTCCGATGGCAAACTCGATCCCACGACGTCGAGATTGCAGATTCTGTGACGAAAAGAGTTCTACACTCTTTTGTTCAATCTAACCTAGCAGTCGACGATATCCACGACCACCGATCCAATCTGTACGTTCACACCTCTTTCTTTTCTTCCTCTGACGTCCTACACCTTACCCCATTATGATGATTAATATTATATCACTGAGGCCAATGGAGATTGAATCCCTCCGTGCCATTCTTGATGCTTTTTATTATTAGCTCTATCTGATCTTTTCCCTCCACTTCAAACTCTTTCTGTTTTGCATCACTTTGTTGTTTATGCATTGTGCTAACAATCCGAACAGGACAGGTAGCTTGGTACTCTCGTATATAGTTCTTGGATACCATGCAGTAGATAAGCATATGAATATTACATCTGCCTAGCCATTTATTCCGCGTTTACTGCTACTCTTGTGATGTGCTTGTGATGTGTTCATACCACGTTCATACCACGTTCATACTACGTTCATACTACGTTCATACTACGTTCATACTACGTTCATACTACGTTCATACCACGTTCATACTACGTTAATACCACACTCGTGACGCACTCGTAGCAGTATATATCGTCCCAGCTCTCTCGCCTTCCTCGCCAACGAAAATCTACGACGAGTTCGAATCACCCCTTCCTCCAGCGAGTGCTTTGATTAGACTTCCCTGCCGCCACCTGATTCACCATCCCTATGGCTTCATTCCGGACGAAGAGCGAGGTCGGTGTTAGTTTATGATCTTTACAACTGTTTCGAGGGAGAGGGATGTAAGAGGGGTTTAAGTTCTTGAAGGCACGCATGATTACGGTTTTCTACCGCTACAGTAACCGACATGTCCAAGTCAACGTGGACATCACCAGATCCCTGTCAAAATGCAAGGGTGATATTCAAAGTTATTTAAATACTCCTGGTGAGAGTGGCTTACATGGATGAGCTCAACCTGTCGGACAGTACTGGTTTGTGGTATTCGGTTGTGAATTTCCATATGTAGCTGTTGTGTATGCGTATGTGTGAGAAGAAGTAAAAGGAATTTTGGAAGCCCTGTTCCCTTGTTGTTCATCTAGGCCCTGACACTTCTCTCACTTCCACTTTCCAGAGAGGTCGTCTGTACACCACTAACAGCAGCATCTTGAGTCAAAAGACCACCCACATCCCTGAGTTCAACAGCAGACTCTGTGGTTTGTGCACCTCCCGCAGCAACAGGAACAGACCCTCCAAGACCAGCCCATCTCTTCAGCAAACTGACCACCCTCCCCCTCTGAGCAGTTCCGGGCACCAAGAAAGCCTCTTGAATAGCTTCAAGGCTCAACCCTTTGGTCTCAGGCATACTGACCATCAACACCAACACACTAACGAAACAAATGCTTCCGAACAAAAAGTACGCTCCAAAGCTCGAGTTTGCCAGTAACACAGGTGTAATGATGGCGACGATCCAATTCGTAAAGAAACCCAGTCCTTGGGCTACAGAACTAGCAGCACTTCTCGTAGCAGCGGGTTGGATCTCCGAAGCGTAGATTTTGCCCACGATGCCCCAGGTTGCGGAGTAAGCTAGACCGAAGACGAAGACCAAAACGATGACGAGCCAACGGGCTGGATTTTGAGGAGTGACGGAGTTGGATGCGTAGAGTGTGCCGATTGTGAACATGCAGAAGGTTAGAATGGAGCCGCCGGTTATTACGTTGGTGCGGCGGGATATGGAGTCGGTGAAGAGGACAGCCGGGATGCTTATTGCGAGCATGAGAATAGCTGAGAGGCCTGAGGCGAGGAAGGAGGAGGTTTTTGCTGAGATGCCGGCTTGGGCGAAGAGGGTGGATGCGTACTGCGGTTGATCAGTCAGCAAGGTTTCTGGTATGGTCGAAGATGTGGAAAGCTTACGTAGAGCACACCATCAATACCGCTGAGTTGTATGACTCCCAGCACATAGAGGGCGAGTAATGCAGGCTTGCGATACGGCTTGCGGAAGAGTCGAGTGAGTCCCTCAACAGCACCGGGTTGTCTGGCGGATATCTGTTGTTCAGCGGCGGGACCGAGCAAGTCTTTCTCAGCCTCCACGGCACTAAAGTCGAGGCGTTTGAGTTCCTCGATAGCCTTGTCGCGGTGACCGTTGAGAAGAAGCCAGCGAGGTGATTGAGGTAGAATGAATGGTGTGGTAGCCAAGACGAGTCCGAGGATAGCTTGAATGATGTATGGTGCTGCATTGATGGTCAGCAAGGAGATTGGAGAAGGTCAGAAAAGCACGACTCACCTCTCCACGAGAAGCTCGATTCAATCTGCACACTTCCGTAGCAGGTAAAGTAGCCAACACAAATACCAGCATTAGCCATGAACTGAGGCATCGACACTAGCATGCCTCTTCGCGCCGATGGTGCAATCTCTGTAATGTATCTGAGAACAAGTCAGTCTTCGTCCACCTCTCCACAAGCCAAGTCTGCAGAACTTACACTGTGATGTTACTGATCCAAAGACCCTCACCAATCCCACACAGTGCTCTACCAACGAGAAACATGGCGAGTTTGTTGGCACATCCCTCCAAAGCAGCTCCAGTAGCAAACACTAGTGCACCTGCTGCCACAATCGCAAGTCTTCCAAAGCGATCTGCAAGTTGTCCAGCAAAGAAGGATGGGAAGGCCCCAGTAAGCATGATCAATGAGACTGTGAATCCACGGAGAAAGGGCGTGAGTTCGCCAATGCTAGATGTGAAGAATGGCATTTCGGTCACAGCACCGATGCTGCCTGTATCGTAGCTTGGTGCAAAGTCAGCAAATGTTATTGATTGTTGACGAGATAGATGGTAAGAGAATATACCCATTCAGAAACCCTCCGAGAGACACCATGCCTGCTGCCAGGACATAGCCTGGAGGTCGAGAAATCTCAAGCTTCATGGTCGTATATACGAGTACAGCCGCAGTTGTTTGCTGGTTTCGGGTGAATCGTGTAAATCTGAAATCGGGACCTTTCTCTCTTCTTATCATCGGGCGTCTTGTACAATCCGTGTGTATCAGTAATCCTCAATCAACGTCATCGATACCAAGATGGAAAATGGTTGCCTACGATCGTTATTTCGACCTGTAGAATCTCAGAGGAAAGGGCGGGTGAGTGCGATTGCGGTGCGGGGTCGAGGGATGGATTGTCGATCAATTGGAAGGTGCGGCGATTGTACAAAGTAACATCCAACAGCAATTTCAGAAAGAGCAGGTATGCCGTAGATGCTGATAAATGCGATACTGTCGAATTGCAATGTCTTACCAAAGAGTAAAGAATTTGTAGTCGACTGGCAGTCTGACCTTTAAAGCTTGTCCAGCTGTTCCGTCACGGCGATCTTACACGGACCTCTCAGATATATTCTGCTACCGACAATGGTCAGGACATAACAGGGCACAATTGCTCAAATGCAAGAAAGGTTGAACACTGGGTTGAACAGATCATGTTTTTGTCTATCATCTTTCATTTCATAATGTCCTCCTCATATCCTCATCACCTCAAGGTAAATCAACACAATCATGACTCTTTTTTGTTTGCTCATCAGAAAAGTACATGGCAAGCAACCACAAAATCATATTTGTACAATGGCATATTTTCAAAACACACTCATCAACAGTCATGCAGCTTTTCTTTGTTCATATCTTCAACATCATGAGAGATTTAGGCCTTGGCGGAAGGGAAGACGGCCTTTGCGGCCTTCTTTGCAGCCTCGAGAGCACCCGAAAGACCGAACTGGGTGTTGATACCCTCGACACGGTGGGTAGAGTTGATGTTCTTGACCATGGTGATTTGGTAGCAAGTGGCGGAACCTTGACGGGAGATGATGGTGGAGTAGGCAAGGAAGTATTCCCAGATTCTGAACCAGCGCTTGCCGTACTTGGCCTCGACCTTCTCGCGGTTGCCCATCCAGTTACGGTACCAGCGCCAGAGAGTGGCGCTGTAGTGAACACCGATAGTGTCAATGCTCTTGATCTCGAAACCAGCGCCCTCAAGCTTGTCGACGGTCCAGCCGAGAGGAGTAGAGGCATCAGCACCGGGGAAGATGTACTTGTTCATGAATAAACCCCAGATGAGATCCTCGTACTGCCAAGACTTGCGGATACCAGCGTATTGCATGAAGAAGACACCGTCATCATCGAGCATGTCGTGGATCTGGCTGAGGAAGGTGGAGAAGTGACGGACACCGACGTGCTCGGACATTTCGAGACAGGTGATCTTGTTGTACTTGCCCTTGGGGACGGGAGTGTCGCGGTAGTCCATGCAGAGGATGCGGCTCTGCTCCTCGGGGACGCCGAGGCTGCGGAGACCGCTGTTACCCCAGGCAGTCTGGTTGCGACCGAGAGTGATACCAGTGACTTGAGCACCGTAGTGGGCAGAAGCGAACTTGGCGAGGGTACCCCAGCCACAGCCGAGGTCGAGCATGCGGTCACCAGCTTGAAGAGCAATCTTCTGGCAGACGATGGCGAGCTTGTTGTCCTGCAATTGCTCGAGGGACTCTTCCTTGTTGATTTCAGAGATGATACCAGAGGTGTAGATCATGCGAGGGCCGAGGAACCAAGAGTAGAAGTCGTCACCGCGGTCGTAGTGGTCGCGGACCTGCTCCTCGTCTTGCGAACGAGTGTGCATGATGACCTCGGGCATCATGCCAGTAAGGAAGAACCAGAAGAGAGACAGAGTGAAGCGGAAGTTGGCCCAGTCGTGACGGTACTCCATGACCTCAAGAGCGTCACCGTTGAAGTCGACATCACCGTCAAAGTACTTCTCGTGGAAAGTCTCCATGGGGATCTTGCTGCGGCCGTGGTACTTTGCGCGGTCGGCCTCCTTGTGGAACTTGAGGTAGTGCTCGACGGGGGCGCCAGGGAAGCGGGCCTTTTCGTTCTTGCGGGGAGTGTAGCCAGAGGCAATGGTCCAGAAGGCCATCAGGATGGGGATGGCAGTCAAGAGACCAAAGAAGACCCATGTCTTGAAGCCACCGCCGACCTTGTATGCGAGGTAGGCAGGAATGCCGCCGAGGAGAGCGAACAGGACATAGTTGTTGAACGACTCGCTGCCGGCTGCGTCGGCGGGGAGAGGTGCATTCTTGATTGCCGGGTACTGTAGCAGTTGAGTTAGTATGGCATTGGCTTCACAGGAAGAGGTAGAGACTCACGGCAGTGCTGCGTACACCAAACTCGGTGCTCTCAGGAGCAGGAGCAGGGACGGCAGGAGTGTCGATGAAGTTGGTCAACTCCTCCGAGTACTCGGACTTGTACACGTCTTTGCTTGCCATTGTTGCAAAATCCGATCGTCTGACAAGACCCTACAATCGTGCCCAATGCCTCCTTTTTAAATAATTCCCAACCCACACGAAACTGTGTCCCTTGACGCGCCAAGCTAAAGCTCCATAAAGGTTCAAAGCTTTGGCCTTTGGCTCCGAACTCATGGCGTTTTTCTTATCCGACGTGTGCACTCAGGAACACCGAGACGAACCTGACAGGCAAGATATTGAAGCACGATGATATTCAACTACTCGCCGCTTCGATATGTTCGTCTTCACTGTTCAAGATAGGGAAATCACACAAAATCCAGCTTCTGATCATGTGCAGGGGAATATGCGCTGCTTCGAAAATAGATAGCGGTGCATAGTGCATGTCGGATAAGACTCTCCAGACGGTCTGTAACAAGACAAAGCTTAGGAGTCCGCGCGTGAGTGGGCTGTTCACCGGGCCCGCCATCCAGAACCAACCCCGCGGACGGAACGCGTTATCGCGACACCTCACCTGTTTCACACCTCCCACATTATTATGCACAAGCTCAGGCACAATTTGTGTGTTTTTCTCAACTTCCATTTCATCTCTTGTGTGTACCATAATCTGTCTCCACTGTCTCTGCCATGAGCTGCTCAATAGTCTGCTATCAAGCGCCGTGTTCCCTGATTACTTTTTCCTTCTGTTCCTGCTTTCTTGCAGCTTCAATACCATAGTTGTACAAATTGAAAAAAAAAGAGGAGATTGTCAAGCCATAGTAGCGAGCACTGCCCCTTTCCGTGTCTATCATCCTTCTTGCGGTAGCATTCTTTCTCTCATCAAGCTGCTCGGTCAATCCCTCTTGTGTTTTTTTTTGTGACTCCTGGTTTTCGTCTTTTCGTGGATCCCGTGCTTTGTGTTGTGTATTGCTTCATGTCTTCGTGTCGTAGTCGTATGTATTGTTGTCTTTGAACTTCGTGGTCGCATTTCTTCTTTTCAACATGAAGCAGAAGCTGTCTCTTCGTGCACCTCGATGGTAATCAGAGCTTCGACTTCTTGCCCTTCTGCTTCTTCACCTCCTTGCCCTTCTCCGCCTCTTCCCTCTCCTCCTCCTTCTTCTTCTCATACTCCATCATCAACATCGAACCAACAGGGTCCAACATAAAGTCCATGTACTGACGGACGGCAAGACAGACGGGAGCAAACGACTTGTCAACCTTCTCGGAACGTGCGACATCCTTCATGGCCTTCTCAAGTCCGTGGTGCATCTCCTGAAAGTACTGTTGATGGAGGGCCTCAACTTTGATCTTCAATTGATGGATGGGTTGGATGTTGGCGAGTCGCCAAAAGCTGTACAGCATGTGAGCAAGGCCTTCCTGGAACTGCTGCATGTAGTCATCTGCAGCCTTGATGACGACACGCAAGTCCTTCAACATGGACAAGCTCGAAAGAGGCTTGAGCATGAGCATATAGCCTGCGCGCTCCTTCCAGTCGGTGTTGTAACGGGCGGGCTTGAAAGCACGCTTCAAGCCGTCTGTGAGACTTCTCATGGTGAAGGTGACACGCATTGCACGAAGGTTGGTCATCTTCTTGGCAATCAATTTGAAGACGGAGATCCAGCACTCAATGTGTTCCTTTTCCCAGACAAGATCGCAAGCCTTGACGGGAATCCCATAGACACGCACGTGAACGTACAGTTTAGTGATGCAGGCCAGGTTGGTGGGAGAGACGGTGTTGAGGAAGGCTCTCAGACGTTGAGCATTGTCAAAGTAGAAAGCGGTAGTGCCATACATGATTGGCGCAGCCTCAGCGTTGATACGCTTGCAGACAAGAGGAAGACTGCAAATCGAAGTCTTCCAGTTGACGCCCTCCCTTGACAGAGGCTTCTGACCAGGAATTCCGTCGTACGAGACTCCTCTGCTTCTGGCAAACTTGCGCTCAGCTTCGGCAGGGGTCTTCTTGCTGCTGATGTTAACGATTCTGATGCACTTGAGGATTTTGCTGCGGCTGCCTTTAGGACGGTACTCGTCGAGGGCATCGGTGAGTGGGGTGCCTTTGGAAGAAACCCAAGCCTCGTTATGCTTGATGATGATCAGGCGTTCGTGGAAGATGTAACCGTAGATCTGGTTGCGGATCTCGGTGGGCAGACTGAAGAAGCCTGTAAGTGAATTTCCAGCGGTCCTCTTCTTGTACATGGATCTGAGACGATCGCGAGGCTTCGACTTGACCTTGGGCAAGTCGAATACATTGTTACGAATGCGGAAGATAGAGCCTGGGCCGGCGTAATCCTGTGTCTTCTTGGTGGGCTCAACGAGATGCGCAACGTCTTGCTCCAGCTTGGCCTCGACTGGCTCATCACCATACAAGGGCTCAAGTGCGCAGGCGCCGGTCAAGCTCAGATCGTCGGGGATAACCAGCGGAGTACTTTCCTTCAGCGGAGTGTTCTTGTTGTTCTTCTTCTTCTTGCCGAACGAGGCAGCCATGGCGCGGGTTGCCTAAGTAATATCAGCCATCAATGTCCCTCGATTTGGTTGAGAAACTGCTCACAGCCGAGATGTTGGGCCTGTTCCACCATCCGCGACGCTTTGGGGCTGATTCAGGTGCCATTTTCGACAGCTTCTTGATGGATCGGATGTCGGCGTTGAATGTTCCGTGGTCACGAGCAAGGGAAGGTGCTGGTGAGGAAAGCTCGTTGGTGTATGCAAAAAGGTCGCGAGTTCGAATCAGCGCGGAGGTTGATGCCAGTGAAAGCTGTGGACTTTTGCGCTCGAGTGAAGCTGGCAGCCTACCAACGCCGATCAATTTCTCGGACGAGATGAGCTTCCAAGTCGAGTAAGTTTCGAAGGTGGAAAAGGTCGACAGTCATGCAGCCCTCGACAATGATGTCGCTCACGTTGCATTTATTTTGGGCAGCTTCATGTAATGCAACAACTATCGTCTACTTACTATTGGCCTGGTCTGCTCTGTAGCTCTAACACCTCTCGGTTTAGAAATGTTCTTTGCCTGAGCTTGTACGTTGTTTGCTTGCATAATATATGCATCTTGCAAACAGTCGATGCCTGGTAAGGTCATACATGTTGCATGCAGACAGCCTTTTACAGGTTAACCCTACTCAAAATCCCCTTTGCGTCACGAGCAGTTAAGGAAGGAAGGAGAGATTCAAGTTAGGTTGCAGCTTCCTATGATGTGTGGATGAGGCATGATCGACCGAAGATTATCCGAGATGATCATGATATTCCAGCGTCATCATCATCCAGTTTCGAATCATGTTTCACGCTCTCCTTCATCTTGAAAACCCAACACGACTAGCAAGACAATTTCTTATGACATATGCGACATTGATGTTCGAGTCTACTGCGGCAACGGCATATCTACTAGCTGCAAGACCGCCAATGATACCACCGTCGAAGATGCGACTATTTAGCCGAACATCGCGACAGTCTATCTGCGGTGTCGCGATCATTGCAGCGCGAAAGGCTTGCTTATGATTCGCTCTCGCTCAGCGACCTTGCCTGTCTCAAAGGTATTGTCTCTGTAATGCTAAACGGCTTCGGCGCTTTCATCATACCCGTTCCCATGTTTTGATACTTACCGCAGTCGACTGCAGAGAACCTGTGCCGATGTTGTATCTAAGCAGATCTATTTTTACAATCCGCGAGAGCCGCGCGCGTAGAATAGACCATCATCACCGGTAGGATTCGGCGTTGCAAGCACGACTCATCGCGAGGCTGAGCGCTCAGATCAGGCACCCCGAGCTCCTACGTTTTCGCATATAGATGGCCGATGTCCTTTGAGTTTATCGCTACGATTCTTCCATTTTTTGTTCGCACATCGCACACTTCATTCGTCGCACAACGTCAACCTGACCTACAACAACTCTCAAGATGCTCTATCTCAGCTCCGAACCATCGAAAGCCAACCCTTGGGAATCAGTACGCTATGTCTTCTACGTCTTCTGGCTTATTCAATTCTGGATCTGTGGTTTTCTAGCCGTCACAGGTGTTGCTGGGCTATTCGAAACGCCATTCGATTATAGGTCCGTACTCTGGTACAAAAGAGAAAACCACAAAATTGACCATGTAATAGCAACGTCCTGTGTCTGGTCGGTGTCATAGTGGTTGACTATGTCTACGTCAGTCAAATTCACCTCTACGTTATGGGTGAACTAGAGCCTGCCCTTGCCGTGAAGATGCAGAGTTTTCAGTGTCTGACAATCGTGCTGCTCTTGGTCAAACTATCCTACATAATGGCGAATCAGTTCATGGGAGCTCTCGCCTTCTTGTATACTCTTCCATTCGCGTAAGTGCAGCCAAAACCTGTATTCAATGGAGCTTGGATTACTAATTGTCTCGACCTTGCAGAGCAACCTTCCTCCTACAATGGCTTGTTAGCGTCGCAGTACTCAAATCAAGCAGGCGTCAACAGCTTCAACCTGTCCAGTTAGACAATCTCAGCAACAAAGTATGATTCCATGCGATCGGAAGGTTTCACGCTGGCGAAGACAAGTCCTATCGGACATGAGAGATTACGCATGCCGGTAACTCCCAGCACGAGATGCTGTCAAGAATCTGGTAATAGAAATGTACGAGGATCTGGGTAACAAGAGACTTCCATCAGCTTTCAATGGACACTCTCTGCATGCCCAGTATTTTCTTGCATTCTGACCGCTCAATCTTGACCGTCGTCGGTTGTCGGGGAGGTCAACATGCGCTTCGTGTCGGCATTGATTGGCCGGACTGCCGTCTCGCAGGATTCGTGGCTGGGTCGGCCTGCCACTTCCTAAACACCGAACTTGATGCAAGTCAGTGACTATTCAATATGATACTCGGAGCAATTTCCATGCCGGCTCCATGTGAGGATTGACATAAAGGAGGAGGTTTTCCCCGTGGCTTGCTGATATCTTCCATCAACACAAGCAAGAACAATATTCCATACCAAGCGAACATCATGACAGCGGTGAAGAGTGACCGTCTACAGTATTGTACTGATGACTTTGGCAATCCCATCTATGCCAGGGTATGCTGGACGCCCGACACGTCGACTCCGAAACCCATCGGTAAGTACAGCTTCCTGCCAACCACTATATATTAGCTAACACGTATATCAGTGATTATCCTCCATGCTGGAGGCTTTGTAATCGGTAGCGATGCCATGATACCTCAAGTCCAAATCGACTACCTCACCTCCCACAACTTCGTCGTCGTCATACCTAATTACCGTCTCTGCCCTCAAGTCAGCGCTCTCAAAGGTGCAATACCCGATACCCACGCTTCTTACGACTTCTGCAAATCAACCCTTGGATCCCTTATGCTCTCTACCTATAACATCGACGTGGACGCCTCAAAGATCGCAGCTATGGGCATTTCAGCAGGTGGCTTGTTAGCTCTCCATCTAGCAGCACGTGGAGAAACAAACATCAAAGCCGTTACTGTCCTCTATCCCTCGCTCTACCTCTCTCAACCATCTCTGTCTCGTACTAATGAGCCCTACAACCTGCCGCCCTACAATCAAGCTCCAGAATTCACACCTACACCGGAAGATCGGAATCAACTCTGCCCACCTGACAAACAAATCTCCGAAGCCGGCTTACCTATTCCAGGAACACAGATGTCCATCCGCGTAAGATTCATGATCAACCTACTCAAAACAGGAACCTGGAATACCGCTATAACGTCCTCACCCGAGGAACTCGCAGCATTGGATCCTTGTTCTGAATTCACTGATGCGGGAGCGGTATGGCCACCTACCTTTTTCATCCAAGGAGATCTTGACGAAACACCTGGATCGAGGATAGATCTTGTGGTCAAGGCTGCTGATGAATTGAGCCAAGCTGGAGCGGAGGATGTTCAGGTGGAGATTGTGCAGGGCGCTAGACATATGTTTGATGCAATGCCTGGTGTTGGTACGCAAGATTTAGGACCTGGTTGGTTGGCTGTGAAGAAAGGACTCGATTTCTTGGTTGCAAGATGTTAGATGACACGACTGTATAGATTGTTCAAGGAAAGCTGATAGAAAAATGACTCTCGGTGGACATTCTTTAGATTCCGAAAAGCACTCTGCATTTTGACAAGCAATGTGCGCCGGGGAGTGGAGTCAAGAGATATCCAACCCTTGTTCTTGCCCAAGGCAGGGTTGAGCCACTGTTACTGTTCCTCCAGAAACACAACATGTAGAGAAAACAGGCGGTCAAAATGCAAGAGGATTTTTAACCACATGCGTGCCTCCACTGAGAGCGTACAAATATCGACTCTCACTGGAGGCTCACTGATATTCGGAAAACATTTTGCATTTTGACACGTTTATCACATCGTCGGCAGGGTGCTAAGGATATGTCACTCCGGTATCCAGGGGAATGGGCATGTCGATTGAGATCTCTAAGTCATGACATGGTCATGAGTGGGCCCATCAAAATGCAGGATGATTTTTGGAAACCGAGGAGGGTCCAAAGAAATCATGAAAATTGTAAATGTCGATGGAAGATCGTCATGATAGGCGAATTATATATTCAGTCTCGGGCAACTGCGGGGTAATGTCTTCGGATGAACGACCAGATAGGCGAAGGAACATGGCATGATAACATTTGGCCTGACTACCATTATACACTCATCTTCTCTCAGATCGATTTGGACTCTGTTCGAAGCTCACCTAACAGCGCAGGTTCTGTACCGGATAATCATTCTCAAGTCTACACTCCATGGACAGTCCTTCAGACGACGAGCCCTGGATCCTTATCGCGGAAGAAGGGACCCAGAACCAGGGCGATATGCTGTCTGCAGAGCGAAAGATAAAGCCTTGGGCACTTTCACCACCGAAAACATACATCTTCGAAAACGCAAATATTATAAACACCGTCGATGGCTCCATCCGATCAAATAGTTCGCTATGCACCAGCGACGGTCAAATCAAATGGATTGTCGACGGTCTGGCAAGAAACACTTCCGAATCCGATGCCATCAGAATAGATGCAACAGGAAAATACCTAGTCCCAGGCTTAATCGATTCTCATGTCCACATCACCGCCGTCCCTGGTACCGCAGATCTCGCAAAGGTGTTTGGCAGCGAATTCGCCGTTTCTGCCTTCCGACAGCCATATGTATGTCAACAGATGCTGAGCAGAGGCTTCACCACGGTACGCGACTGTGGTGGAGCCACGTTGGCTCTTAAGGAAGCGATTGCTGATGGCGTTTTTCCTGGACCTCGCCTTTTCATTGCTGGCCATGCACTTTCTCAGACGGGCGGTCATGGCGATCAACGGGGTCCTCATGATCACACTGCTTGTTGTGGTGGGACGAACAGCGTTGGCCATATCTGCGACGGAGTGGATGAGTGCATCAAAGGCGTTCGTGAGGAAACACGTACCGGCAGTGACTTCATCAAGATCATGGGAGGTGGTGGTGTCGCGAGTCCTACAGATGCGCTTGAGAATGTACAATTCACGGCTGAAGAAATCAAAGCCATCACCACTGTGGCAGCCCAAGCCGACAGGTGGGTGACCACACATGCATACACACCCAAAGCCATTCAACATGCCATCCACAACGGCGTCAGAGGCATTGAACACGGCAACTTCATCGACAAGGAAACTGCCAAGTTGATGGCAGCTAAGGATATTTTTTTGACACCAACCTTGATTACCTACTCTGAGATGGCTTCGCCAGATTGGACTGGCTTTTTACCACCAGAGTCAGTGGCGAAGAATGAAATCGTGCTCAAGAAGGGCCTGCAATCCCTTCAGATCGCTTCTGATGCCGGAGTCACCATCTGCTACGGTACTGATCTCCTGGGTCCTTTGACAGCTGCACAAACAAAGGAGTTTGCTTTGCGAAGTCAAGTCTTGTCGCCGTTGCAACTGTTACAGAGCGCTACTATCAATCCGGCTCGTATGTTACGACAGGAGAAGGCGCTGGGACAGTTGTCTCCTGGATTTTCGGCCGATATACTGATCATGAATGAGAATCCGCTGACCGACATGGAGATGTTTGATAAGCCAGATAAGCACCTGCTGGCGGTGATCAAGGAGGGAAGAGTGTTTGTCAGCCGCTGGTCAGGTCTGCCACAAGATACGATCTCCCCAACGCCTGTAATTGAGTAATCGTCGCTGCTCGGAAGCGAGGGACCTCTTGAGCAGTTTTACATAGCCATGAATCCAATCTCCCGATGTATCGTAATAGAGCAAGGGAGTTGCAAATTTGATCGAGCAACGAATTGAGACTACCGCCTGAACCCTGAATCTGTACTCCATGTCATGTAAGACATACCCCAGAAGATCGACGGGGCGGACAGAAGTTTCCTGTTGGGATCGCTATATGGGAATCGGGATTTTGCTTCCTCCCCGTGTGCTAAAATCCGTCACTTCCAGCCATCTCCTGCGGCCACGCCTGGTGTCGTCTAGCCTGTAAAAATGCACAATGTTTTTCAGATCGATATAGTCGTTCGCAGAGAGGCGCCAATTACCACGCTCTCAGTGGAGGCTACCCCTAACAATGCTGAGATTGTGCTGTTCTACAGTTGTACGCGTGACAAAGTTTAGCACACCGGGAGGTTGTATTGTGAGAGTCGAGACTACTCGAGTAGGGTTCGCGTTCCGAAATTAGGGATAGAGTCTGTTTTGTGGTAACTTCTAGCAGGATTCGAGTGTGAAGCCTAGGTCGTTAAGAAGATCGGATAGGATATCTATCCATCTGTCGGGCTTAAGTGCGCCATCTTCTAAAGCAACATTAGTCTGCTATTGCTCTGTTATATCGATGACTTTCTAGGCTCCTAAACAAGGAAGTTGTTTAACCTCCATGTTTGCACTTTCCGGCTTTCCGAAGTTTGCGAGCATCTATACCATCATTAATGAACATGGTTCGGCATACTTCCGTAATGATTGATGGCAGTACTTATGGCATACGTAAGCTATGCATTATTTACATCGATGCCTAAGCTCGACTCGGGAGTCGTAACTTCCTACATCTAATCTAATGAAAGATGCCATATCCTATCTAACAATATTCATCAAACTTTGATACAAACAACTTCGAGCATTTGACTAGTCCGTCTAATGTAGCTAGAACTTTAACACTTATCCCTGTCAGGATCTTATATCTCTTCCAAAAAGTTCGATTGGACAGAAGAAAGATTAGATCAGATCAACCGAGTATTCTTCTTGTCCCCTCTAAGCAACTAGACAACAAGGTACACCCGATACATGACACAAAAATTGACATTGCAACCTTATTCCATCGGAGTAGACTCCATTAACGCCACAATTATAAATCGTTGCGAATCCCTCCCTCCCTTCCAACCCACCCCCCTCTACCTTCTTCACCTCCATCCCATACATCCCCCACTATCCACCACCCCCACCCCCCAAACCTCTCTTATCCAAACAAACCTCACACCAACCCGGCAACACAGGAACAAACACCTCGCCCGCACCAGTGACACTCTGACATTCCCTACCAACATGATCCCAACCCGCACAGAGAGAATAATTTCGAACTTCGGCTGTGGGGCAGAAAATGGCATCTTTGGTTGTGTGGTGGCATGACAGCCAATACACCATGCGGTATTTGCACATGTGGATGGATGTGTTGAATGTGGTTGAATGTATTGGGGGGGTTTTTGGATCTTGGATTGAGAGGGATGGGATGGGATGGGATGTTGGTTCCGAGGTTGGTGGAGAGATGATGTGGCTTTGCTCTGTGTTGTGGGCGAGGTTTCGGAAATTGGACTTGGGAGGGATTGTGTTGTACGTATGAGTGTGTGTATGTGTGCATATGTCGGTGGATGGAGCTTTCCTGATCAGTGATATCTGGATATGTGTTTTGGCTCAGAGTATACACCACACCACACCACACCACACCACACACCACTCACTCGCATCGAGAGGGAATATGGTCTCGTTTGGACTTTCCCAGTCTTTGTTGGTTTTGTGAAAAATCCTGAATTACTGTAGATTGTTGCGCGTCTCATGTTTCGCAGATGCGATCAATTTCCAAGCTCTTGTTCGAGAAGGGGTTTCTTTCGACTATGAGCGGACTTCTCTGCGCTTTTGGGCCAAAAAAAAAACCTGTTCTTTGTGGACGGCACTTGGGGCTACAAAGGGAATAGTTGATGTCGCCATGATTGTTTCCTGTTTCTCTATCAGGTAGTTTGGTTTTCATGGATCTTCACTTCGGGTATCCCAGAATTTGAGTGCACTGGTGAATTTGACAAACATGACATTTTAATTGACACCATCCGATGCCACGGTAGCAGTAGAAGAGGGTCGCTAATGCCGCTATATGTCTTGACTTCGGGCAACCGACAAGAGGGGTTACACAAACGTAGTCGACACAACAGCATCCAAAAGAAAAGGGAAAAAAGAGACGCCAACCTTTACAACAAACATGATGTACCAGATGCATTTTGTAGTACCAGATCTTTTTACTCTCAAACGAACCAAACGCCTTCCACCATATCCATATGCCATGAGGGAACAACAAAGAGATACGAAATGTGAATCTTGAAGATACAGGACTACCTCCAGACAGTCTTGGCTGAGGGGACATCCTTCCTTGCAGCCATGCTTTGCGTACGTATGGGAGCCACACGCATACTTCCGCCAATGTTGCTCTCCCGGGACACAGTTCGTAGGTTGGAAATGCTGGGTGCATTTTTTACCACAGGAGCTGAGCGAGGACTCAGAACGTGAGTTCCCTCGGCCTTTTCGCTCTTGACCATTCTACGGGCGTGGCTTGCGGTGAAGAGATTGTTCTCGTTGGCTGAGTTGGGTGAGCCGCTTGCTTGTGCTGCTGGACTGCGTCTGCGATGTCTGATCGAGCCAGATGATACTCGTCTGCGCATTGCTGACTGGATTTGTAGTGCCGAGTCTTGCAATGATCTCGTGGGATCGTCGTTGTCAGAGGCACTGCTGCCTACATGTTCGTCGCTTGCAAATTCAGCGGCTTTTTGTAGGCGGATCGGGATTGGCGATCGTTTCGGTTGAGACGCGCTGTTAGCTTCAATCTCGCGCAAAGGAGATAGGTTCTCTGAGGCTGCCGTTGCAAGACTGGAGAGTGCTGGCATCACAGGCGAACCATCGGCCTTTTTGAGGAAACCCGCTTGGAAACGGCTGTTCTTTGAGCGAAGCTCCGATGACGGCACTGGTGGTGGAGGAATCGGGCTGGAGTCGAAGTTATCTGAGTTGTCGCTCGATTGAGGTTGTGATGTAGCGTATTGTGACAGGTCCGGAAGAGAAGGCTCATTAAGCGACGAATCCAGCCCTGGTGGAGTAGGCTGGAACTCTTCCAGTTTACCATCTTCAGTATCATCTCGCCATCTCACGCCACGTTTCGTCGTCTTGACTGGAGACTTCTTCTTTGGTGTTCCGCCAAAAGCTACTGACTTTCTAGCAGCTCCTAGCTTCCTTCTTCTAGGGGATGCAGGAGATGGTCCCAAGTTAGGAGACTGTCTGAATTGCGGAGGATTTAAACTTGGGCGAATTTTCGATTTTATCGGGGAAGGGCCGGCCAAATTGACAGCCTTCTTCTTCTTGGGTGTTCCAGATTTCGTTGGCGGTACTGCTTCGATGATGGCAAGCCCGCCGTCTGGACGGATGACTTGTGAGGTTGCTTCCGTACATGAGTTGAGTAGTTTTACAAGAACATTCTTGGCTGCTTTCACAGCTTCCTCCTCGTCCATTTGCATGATCTGACCAAGGATGGCAATGGTCTCGAAGTGTGCCTGTAGCAATACCTGTACGATTGCTGCATCACCAGTTCTTTCTTGATCAAGAACAGCTGATTGTGTTTCTCTTTCTGCTCTGCTTCTCAGCACTTCAACTTCCTGCTTGAGACTTGCAACTGCTGGCGATGTTGCGGTTGTTGAGGTATCGACTTCTTGCATCTGACGAATTCCATTCTGAAGAGCAGTATCAAGAGAGCGTTCCCAATTCGCCTTGGCTAGACGCTTGTGGTAGTGCTGTCTGCTACCTTCGAGCTCGACAATAATTCCTGCAGCAGTTTTGCGCATTGAAGTTAGGCTGATCGGGGGCTCTTCATCCTCGCGATTCTCACATATCTGGTCGAAACTACCGATCCAGGCAGAGATGAGACCAATTCTGCGCTCAATTTGTCGCAATCTTTTCATGTTGTTGATATGCTCTTTCCTCTCGTCACTTGAGTGGTCGTACGCTGCTCGGATTCTGGCCAAAGACTCCTTCAAAAGTGCACTCCTCTTGTCATCGACCTTCTTGAACTTCGTGAAGGCGAGAGACTCGAACTCCTTGTGTTGTGCTTGTAGATCCTTGATGAGAGCCATCTGTTCGTCGATTTTCTTGAGATAGTCCTTGACATGGCGGTCGACATTATAGACGTTGCGCACGGCTTTGGTCTGGATGTTTTTGGCTCTGTTGGCGTATCGAAGGGTGTTTTGTGTTTCGTCAAAGTGTACAGAGCTGGGACTGACACAGACGATCATGACGGTTCTGCAGTTTCCGCCCAAACTGAACTTGAGAAGACGGGTGAGTTTACTGTTGCGGTATGGCACATGGTTCTTCTTGCGCGGGTCGCACAGGGCATTGATACATGATCCGAGCGACAGCAGAGACTTGTTAATGTTGGCACCCTCGAGCAAGCGCTCACCGCGATTCTTTGTTGCCGAAGCTCTTTCAGATCCAGCCAAATCGATGATGGAGAGGGTTGCGAAAGTGGTAGGCTCGGAGTGACCGGCATTGCGATCTTTCTGGGCGACGTTGATTTGCAAGACGGCGTGGGATCTGGAAGAAGTTGCGTTGGCCTCGGTGGGTGATTGAGTTCGATTCTCGTTTCCTCGAATGAGCATGTCCATAACTTCGTTCACCTGAGTACTTGTTAGCCGAGAGGGGGCGCGGTGGCTGATGCTGGACGGTACGCACGTTTTGCGGGCGGTGCGAGGTGAGGCCTGCCACTGAAACAGCCTGGTTGGCATCTTCGCGCAGCATCAAGCCTTGACCTCGTTTGGTTACCTCGCCCACTGGGATGAGCAAGTCTCGGATAGTTTCATTGTAGATTTCAAGGTACGAAAGAGTGACCTCGGTCTGCTTCTCCTCTTGCATCTCACCAATCCTCTCAAACATCTCTTGCATGGTCAGGAAGATGATACCCGGTTGTTGCGCTGTACCTCTGCTCGATGTGTCAGTCGTGTCGGCTTGCGCTTTCCTCTGATAGCACGTACGTGATGGTGTGTGTCTTTCCGCAACCTGTGGCACCGTAGGCGAAGACAGTAGCGTTGTAGCCGTCAAAGACACTGTCGAGGAGGTTCTTGGTCGTAGCTTCGTAGACTTCGGCTTGGGTTGTGTTGTCGTCAAAGACTCGGTCGAAGGTGAAAGGCTGGTCTTTTGTTCTCTTTCCTCCCATGCCGGGTCGCAATCGTCCTTGAGTTGACGAGTCTTCCGGGTCAAATATCCTAGCAGATGTGTTAGTATGCCGTACAAGAGAAGTGCAGGTCCAACTTACAAGCATTTCTCATCCATGACCTTGATGACGGATCGGATGCCCTTGCCAGCATGACGTTGGACTGGCGCAGCGGCAAGCGAGCCATCGCCCAAGAACAGAGGTCCATCATCGACGCGGGTCAATTGAGCAGCTTCCCGGATTGTGAAAGGTCGAACGCGAACGGCGACAGTGATGGACGAGGCACCGTCGATTGCGCCGACGGCCATGTTTGTGTCGAAGATGTGTCGTATTCGGGATTGGGCCAATTGCGCGCAAAGAGAAGGGCGACGGGATGAGAATGACAGCCGCCAGGGCGTGTCGGTGTATGAATTGGCTAATGCTGTTTGGATGTTGTTTTTGCGGTCCCCTCGAATCTGGTGTAACATCAACAAATCCACATGCATGTGCTGCTTTGTTTGCACTTTCCCTAATCGGGCTTAGTTTTGCTAACTGCCCGCCTCAGGTCCCTTGTCCGGCGTCATCTGCAACAGCTCCCTCGATCCAACCCGTTGACCTCGAACAACTCTTTTGGACCCTCTTGTTATTGTTACACGATAAAAATCCATGGGTTGTGGTCCGGGATGCGTCTTCACTTTTCTGTCTTCTCGAGAAGATGTAAACCACCGAGCCTTGACGTATCCTCTTGGGTTAATTCTACCTTGCGAACAGTCTGCTGTAGCCCTTCCCTTATACATGGAGCATATACATTCTTCGAAGCGCGAAGTTTGGATAGTTTCTCATCATGGCTCTGAGGATGTTTAATAAGATCGCCGCTCGCTCTGTTTCTTTGTGTGCCATGAGATCGAAGTAGTTAACGAGAGGGTTTAACAACAGGGTTGGTGGTCAAGACCGTAGATGCCATTCTCAATTGTCACAGCGAAGCTCCGATGAATACAGCAACGCGAAATTAAATCATCCAAAAGAATGCGTAGAAACCATGTTGGCAAGCAGCAGATTCTAGACATCCTCGACGAAACGATAGTATACATCTGGTGTGGAATAAAGTTGATGTGGATTGATGAACAGGGTGACACCAGAAACATGCACTTTCGAAACACCAATATTTCGGTGGTATCCTGATGCTTCTGAACGGAGAGGTATTAGCGTACGGAGCATCGTCCAGCAATACAGTGACAGGTTCTACTCGAGTACTCATCTCACAAACAAAACTTGATGGTTTGTCGAATGCCCGACTGGCTGGTTAATTTGGCTTCACCAACATGCACTTGAGCAGAGGCTAGAACTTCAGGTGTTCCAATAATGAAGACATGGACCGAGCCGAATATTTTATTAAAGCAGCATGCGGCAAGTTGGGCAGCAGTATAATCGGCCAGACAGTTACGGACTCACCAGGAAGTATTACAACAAGGGTCACATGAAAACAACACGAGGGAATCGAAGAGTTTGGGGGACTGCTGAGCAGCGATCAATGGTTATTCGGCGGGATGAAGAACATGCACGCCTCCATTATAGAAGTGATCTTGCTCTTTGCGAGTCTTTGAGATAGGCCTTGGAACAAAATTTTGTTTTTGTTGTGGGTTTTGTGTATGGATTACATACACAAGGACCTTTTGCTTGAATCATGTCCCACCTGCCCTGCGCCAGCACCTTTGGAAAGATTTTTCGTTCAACCCTCGACTGCCTCTTTTGTTGTGGTCATAAGAAGCGAAAGCATTTATCGGACAATACCCTCGAATCTGTTCTTGAACCACTTGACGGTCTCGGCCTGGTTGATGCGGTGAGAGGCACCAACCTTGGTCTTGCAACGGCGGCGACGAGCGACACGCTCACCGGGGCGCTCCCTGAGAAGGCTGTCAGTATTTGTTGATGACGGCAAAGGTGAGGCGATATAACTTACATGCAGCAGTAGAAGTCCATACCGTAGATACCAATACCAGGGTCGTACTTGATACCGAGATCGATGTGCTCGTTGATACCGAAGCCAAAGTTTCCGGTCTCAGAGAAGTTGCGCTTGCGGAGCTCGTACTCCTTGACCTTAAGACCACGCTCGATGATCTCCTCGGCCTTGGGGCCACGGACGGTGACGTGGACGGCGATCTTCTCGTTACGGCGGATACCGAAGGTACGGACGGTGTAGCGGGCCTTGGAGTAGACGGGAGTCTGACCAGACAGCTGCTCGAGAACCTTGGCGGCACGAGTAAGTCTGTCACCAGACTCACCAACCGAGATGTTCAGGACGAGCTTGGAGATGCGGAGCTCGCGCATGGGGTTGCCGGACTTGTCCTTGCCGGCATTGTCGCCGGAGAGCTGGTCAGCCTGCTGCTTGGAGTTCTGTCCGCGTGCCTGCACAGAATGTGTTAGGAAGTGTGTTCATCCATTTATGTTTGTCCACAGGCTAGGGAGAGGGCAGGCCTGCATCTGTCGACGACGACAACGACGACGACAATTGGTGTTGGTTGTATGCCTGCAACGAGTGTTGAACAGGATGTGGCATGTTTCCGACTCTTTTTTTCTTTTTCTTTCTGTTTTCCTTCAACCACATCCGAATCGCGTGAGCGCGTTGCGGGTGTCGAGCGCAGAAGTGGCGAGGCGCGAATCGTCGTCGTCGTTGTTGTTGCTATAGATGCAGACCGTGGCTCCCTGCCGCAGAGGCGGGATTGTGCTCACCATTTCGTCGGTATTGGGCGATGTGGTCGAAGAAGGAAAGTGTCGCAGGTGAGGAATTCAACTTACCAGCTGTGTGGCTGCAAAATCGTGCGCTGTGCGGTCGACGGAAACTTCCGATCCGCTTCTTGCCAAGGCTTTGGACTCCGACCTCAGACCAACCCGGTAGCCTCACTCCATGTCTTCACTCCTGATAGTTTGGATAACGACTTTAACTGATCAGAGATGGATTGACTATATCTCAGTGAGTCTATTCAAATCTCGTTGGGTTTATATCCACTCGCGCTCGTAGTGAGTGCCGTGAGTTGGGCATCAACTGCTGTGTTCAAGTGCGACGCAAGATGATATATAGCCTTGACAACACGGACTTGACTGGTTGTGCACATGGCGAAAAGCTCTACATGCTAGACTGTCCTCGTTATTCAGAAGCTTCATTGACTGCTTACCATGCCTTCACATCGAAGATGACCAACCCACGTGATGGAGCCGGCGTTAGGGAAGTCTTCTCCGCTCGGTCAGCGGTTCCCGATAGCGGGCGTCGCAGTTGAGCGCGGCCGTCAGCCGGAAGTTGTCCAAGACGCCGTGAAACATCTTCCCTTCGACCTCTATACCCATATCACAACTAGACAAGATGGCGGCAGCAATCAAGGCCCTCAATGCGAAGATTCGCTCAAACCCCTACACCGACTACCTCTGCTCGACCCGTGAGTTGCTCCTTCCTCAGCTCCGCATGGAGTCCGGCATTGCGCCGCGATTAAACACTTGCAAAGGCGTGGTGTCTTGCGCGAGACCGTCACCGACCATGCCACCCTCGACTCAATCCGCAGACTGACATGAAACCCTCTGTACAGACTTCTGGGGCCCCGCATCCAACTTTGGTATTCCTCTCGCTGCCGTCATGGACACACAAAAGGACCCCGAAATGTAATCCAACCCACCCGATATCCTATCGCGCCGCGACGATCCTTCACTACATAAGAGCTTGGAACTAATGCACATCTCCACCACAGTATCTCGGGATCCATGACTCTTGCTCTCACCGGTTACTCTGCCACCTTCATGCGTTACGCCATGGCCGTCACTCCCGTAAACTACCTTTTGTTCGGTTGCCATTTCGTCAACTTCGGCGCACAAGTCACCCAAGGATACAGATACCTCAACTACTGGAAGTACGTACAAACACTGCTCCCTCTGGTCTTGATCACTGGACAAGTCAATGCTAACACGCACGTGCTAGCTTCGGTGGTAAGGAGTTGCAAGACAAGGCCAAGAGTGAGGCTTCCAACATCGCAGGCCAAGCCAAGGCTGCTGCCCACAAGGTCGAGGATAAGGCCAAGGAGGTTGCCAACAAGGTCACAAGCTCATAAACTGTACAAACTTCTTTCCGGTTTCAAAACTCAGGGCCCAGTGCATGATCGCAGGAGATTGTGATGCATTGGACATCTCAGACACTACTTGAGTAGGCAGTGTCATCACTCAGTGGTACAGCGGAACCATGAAAGTGATATACAGGAAGATTGAGGGCTTTCTTGCAATTCTAATATCAGCTCTCTGCTCCTCTCTCACGTCATATCCAAAGCAAATGAAGATCACTCAAAACTGTTACAGCTGCGCCTTTCTTCGAGACTCCAGTGAACTGTTCAATTGCTGAGCATAGTCCCTAGCTAGATCACCTTTGGCGATATCTTTTGGCGATGTGTCTTTGGGTCTGGAATCAGTGGAACACATCCTTAGATCGATAACTCGACTGCTTGGGCCATCGTATTATGTCTTTGTTGCCGTATTAGAGTTTCTAGTATTCGACCTCATTGCAGTTTTCTATCTTCCATATCAACTTTCTCAAAAGCCGTTCTTGCCCGGCGGCCGGCGAACCGCTTGATGTCTTGGGAAGGTGCGCTTGCCGATCACGTCATACCCATCTGAATCGCAACTTCCAAACTTGAGAACCTTCCAGTCTTGACTCATTATCACCATCGCCATGTATTTTTCAACTCTTGTGCTCGCCTCGTTGGCGATTATCTGCCTCTCAGCTCCCAGTGTATCTGCGGATCAGCAACCAATTGGCGCTTCCGAGCCCAACACCATCAGCTCATCATGGACCAAAGAATTGATCTCGCTCCACCGTCATCTCATCACCACCGAATCCATCAGCGGCAACGAATACGATGTTGGAAAGTGGTTATCCAAATATCTCAAAGATGACGACTGGACCATTGAGACTCAAAAGGTCAACCACGACAGCTCTCGTCTCAACATTCTGGCCTATCCTGGAAAGGTCCGCAATCCCGATTTGTTGATTTCCAGCCATATCGACACTGTACCTCCTTTCTACCCCTACAAAATATACTCTAATGATTCCGAAACCATCATCTCTGGACGTGGAAGTGTGGATGCCAAGGCTTCTGTCGCGGCTCAAATCATCGCTACCAAGAAGCTTCTGGCAGAGAAGAAGTTGAAGAAGGATGATGTTGCCTTGCTCTACGTTGTTGGCGAGGAGGTTCATGGCGATGGTATGCGTGCAGCCAACGCATTGGAATTGACACCCAAGACCATCATCTTCGGTGAGCCCACTGAGGGCAAACTTGCTACGTGAGTATTCGACATCATAAGTTTCATCGACAATCACCAGTGCTGATACGTTCCACAGTGGTCACAAGGGTATGCTAGGCTTCACCATCAACGCCTTCGGAAAGGCAGCACACAGCGGCTACCCCTGGCTCGGCCGCAGCGCAAACGAAGTCCTGGTCAAATCCCTCTCCGCCTTGATGCAACTCGGTCTCGAACTCCCCAAGAGCGACAAATACGGCTCCACCACCATCAACCTCGGTAAAATCGAAGGCGGTGTCGCTGGGAACGTCGTCGCTCAAAACGCCACCGCTCAAATCGCCATCAGAATCGCCGCTGGAACACCTGATGACATCGGCAAGCGTGTTGTCGAGGTGATCAAGGAGGCCACTGAAGAGTTCAAACTCCCTGGTCACGAAGATGAGGAAATGTTTGAAATTGTATTTGCAGGCAAGGGTTACGGTCCTGTCGATATCGATCATGATGTCGAGGGCTTCGGAACTATTACCGTCAACTACGGCACTGACATTCCTAACCTCGAGAAGCTCGACGGACAGAAGAGATATCTCTACGGTCCTGGATCTATTCTTGTCGCTCACTCTGATCACGAAGCCATCACACTCACCGATCTCAAGACTGCAGTCAAGGACTATGAGAAGTTGATTCTGCACAGCTTTGTATAGACGTCTATCTGAAGGGATGACGTGTAGTTGTAAATAAGATGGTGTAATCTGTATAACGAATAGTGGATGTAGTTGAACAGAAATCTCAATGTAATTCTCGGATCCTCTCCCTCTCTCTGGAGCAATGCCACTCATAACCACGCAATGGCCGGACGATTTAACACCATGAGTGGCTTTCTGATTGTTTGTGCGTGCGACAAAACTTCGTTCGTTTTCCCCAAGTCCGCCATTTCCTAAAACCTACATTGGTACATCTACATCTACAACCTACATCTATATACATCATATGCATACTCAGAACAGCCCCCAAAGACAAACCTGGCGCTCAAGAAAGCCCCGAAAAAAACAATCCTTCTAATGAACCACCAACTGCGCCTTCTATCCACCCCTCCTCCCTGGAGTTCCGTGATCCATCTGTCGTTTCTATAAGTAACGTAAAATAAAAAAAAAGCAAAAAACAGTAAAGAGAAGAAGAAGAAAAAACCACAGCTAACTAACCCACCCTGGATAATATTCTTCCTTCCCTCTCCCTTCAAATATCCTCAATCAACGCCCGAATCTGCTTCATAGAAATCGGTTTCGCCATGAATTTATCCACCCCTGACGAAAAAGCATCCTTTCTGGCTTGTTCGCTGGTGACTCCCGTTATCGCGGCAATCATGCAATGTTTCGGATTGCTGTTTTTCTTTTCGTGTGCGCGGATTAATTCGGTGGCTCGGAAGCCGTCCATCACGGGCATGGACATGTCCATGAGGATTAGGTGGAAGGAGGATGGGTCGGCGGTGTATCTTTCTACGGCGACGAGTCCGTTTTCTGCGCATTGGTAGGAGAGTTTTAGTTTTCTGACTAGGGCGACGAGGAGCTGGAAAGAGGTGTGTAAGTGTTTGGCTAAGTTTTGAAGGGGTTTTCGGAGGAGTTTGGATCGCTTACCCTCATGTTGATTTCATTGTCCTCGACGAGGAGTAACTGTTTCGTTGTCTCTTTGGCTGAGGATTCCTCGGGCGATCCGACCTTTTCTGGTTTCGACATCTTCGTTTCGGGTCGTTTCTGTTTCTGTTTCTGTGGTTGCTTTCGTTGCGGAGATCCTTCCGTGGTGGGGAAGTACGATTCGGATGAAGGTTGTGGAGGATGGAGAGCTAGTGTGGAAGCTCTTGTTCGCGATCCTTCACTCGGTGTGGAGACGGATCCTTGACGTGAATAAACGCCATAAAGCGGGTTTGGGCCTCTGTTACTCATGTCAAGTGGAGTACGCGAGTACTGCATACTTTGCACAATGGCACGGGCAATTTTGCGTGGACCGATCCTGTTTTGAGAAGCTGTTGTCAGTAGACGGACTGATTATCAAGGTGGGCGAACTCACGGCTGGTTGATGTAGATTGTGGAAGTCTCGGTGGCTTGTTTGGCGCGATGGCTTGTGTCCTCGTAGATCGAAGAGCCAAGGACGATGAGACGCTGAGGATGAATGACCTTCTGACACAAGGCTTTCAAAGCTTTCCGGTCGTGTTCCGCCTCGTGGAACAAATCGCGATCGACCGTCATGTTAAAGTTGCCTAAAGATTCGGACTCCTTGAAATGGACCTTGAACGGTTCAAGACCCAAGCTCCGGTGAAGAATCCGAAGGACTGCCTCTCTCGATCTGAAAGCGTGTTCATCTGCTTCGTCCTTACTGGTTAACAAACACAACTGGTCCTGATGAATGGCACCGAGAGCAAGAGCAACATAATCATCAGTACCGTCACTGCTGGGCGGCTCGGTCAAGAACTTGGCCACATGACTGAACCGAATTCTAGTGCCTTTGTTAACCTCGCTTGAAACACGGATCTTTCCATCTATGTTTGCAACGATGCTCTTGACAATAGACATGCCGAGACCTGTGCCTTTTGAATTTGTGTCTTCCTGCTGGAAAGGGGCAAACAACCCTGATTTGATGAAGTCTGAAGTCATCCCGATGCCAGAATCCTGTACAGTGAGAACAACTGGTCGGTACTCGGCTTCTGCAGTAGTCTGTATTGCATCCTCGATGTCAATAGTTATCTGCACAGATCCAGTTTTCGTATACTTCAACGCATTGCCCAGGAGGTTTGTCAATATTCGTGTCCACGAGCCAGGCTATTAACATGTCAGCTCCTGGTTCGGTTCTACAGTCTCTACGTATGCAAAAGTCTGCCACGCGTGTTGCTGTCAAAATGTAAGATCGACCCAGATCAGATTCGCATCTCGTAACAGTGCTCAGAGAGTTCTATTTAAGAAGGACTCCACTGTTCTTAAGATCATCGTGCATCTCTACGGCTTAGACGCCTCTGATTGTCATCAGGAGACAAATGCGAACGCAATGAAAGTTTACAGACAAGGGAGGATTGACTCTTACCGAAGATTTGATCCACCAATGGTCGCGCGAGGGCATTGTAAGAAATACAGAGACTGGTTCAGGCAGATTTTCCTCCTCCGTGCCAGACTCGAACGATCTTTGAATATTGGAGGCCATCACCTCAAAGCGTCGTCCAATCACGACTGATTCAACGACGCTGCCAACCCTTGTCAGGAAAAGCTCACTAGGGTAGGTTAGGATGCTAAACTTACTCTTCGGTGACTTTGCCAAGATCCATCAACACTTCATTATTACCAGTAGAGCAGCTACCTTGGTCCAAAGCAATTCGCTGTCGCCGTCCTTGTGACTGGGAGCTGTGATCAAGTTTCACAAACTCGAGTATGTTGTCGACGCTGGCAATATTAGGACTTGGTCGACATTCCATGGAGCGATACTCACGTGTCAAGTAGGGTCATTCCTGCCATTTTCACCGCGCCAGTCATGTCCCTCTGGAACGTGTCGAGGTTCGTCCCTTCCAAGAACTCAACTCCCCCCAAAACACCATGAAGCGGAGATCTAGATGTTGCTGGTTAAGAAGAGACCAAAAGCTACGAAGACCAAAGCTTACCTCAATTCATGACTCACTGAAGAGATAAACGTAGTTTTTGCATTGTCGGCAGCGATTGTTTCCAAGCGAGCTACCTCGGCCATGATGCTGTTGGAGAATGCACGAAGGTAAGTCACATCCTCGCTCACATCAAAATGGCGTAGCGGTGTAGCCACCCAGACAAGAGCAGTTGCTCGGAAGCGTTGTGAAGATACCTTGAGGCGTTATTAGCTCACCGACAGATATGAGACGCATAATATCATATACCTACGTTCCACAATGGTAAAAATACGATACTGCTGGCTCCGTTGAAGATTCCGCTCAAAGCTTCACCATCCTTTGCAGAACGTGAACGAGTTGTCTTGCCTTTTCGAACGGTTTCACTCGAGCCAGTTGCACTAGCATCGCCACCAGAAGAGCCTTCTTCACCAGAACTAGGATATACCGACCCACTCTCGGAGAAATTGAAGACAGTGCCATTAGGATATCGTCGCATGAGGCGCTTCTGAAAGGATCTGGATAGACCGAGATGGTTCTTTGACGGAACAAACCCTTTCAAACTTGACTTTGCTCGTGTCGAGAACCCCATGACGCTGCAACTTGGAGACTTTGAGAACTCTGGAGAGTCGGTATCGGTGGTGTCGGATGTGTTGTTCGTAGACACCGATGCAAATGCTGATCCTTCGACTTCTCCACTGGTTGCTTTTGGCCTAGGCTCCGATACATGCGACATACTGGCATCCAAGAACAGTACCCCTTCAGCGCCCAGAGATTCGCGAATCAAGTTGCTGGCTCTAGAGTACGCTTGCTTCACCTCGCTCTGCAGATTGAACATTTTGTTCTCATATTCTTCCGGAAATGTCTGTGAATCTCGAGATTCGGTGTTTGGCGACATTCCTGGAGGCTGGTCCTCGTGTGATGCCTTGGAGATATCTTCCTGCTTAGAGGAATTGTCATACGCTGGGGGACCGCGGTCAGCTGCGCCAAAATCCTTCACCGAAGTTGATTTGGGCAGGTCTTTCGAAGCAGCATCTTGCGTGGTGCCCGGCGAGGCGTTGGCAGCTCGTGATGAACGAACCGTGTGCCGTTCGTGAGTCTCGACAGAGACCTCGGGACCGAGATCATGATTGACACGTTCACTCTGTGCTGATCGATTGGGTCCCGTATCATCGACAGAACCACGGGCTCTATTGTTCTTCTCGTCATCATTCGTGATCCACCAATGGCGTAATGTATCTTTGCCCGTGTTGAACAAGCCAATGCCTTGGATAAGTTTTTCCGCTCTTTCTTGTCGGGCTGTTGACACAATAGCTTCCAGATGATTTGTGATTGTACTGGCCATGTCCTCGAGGAAGGTCATGTCGTCGGCGCTTACGCCATACCTCGGTTTGGTGTCGATGATGCAATATGAGCCAACGAGAGATCCTAACTTGGATCTGATTGGCACTGCGCACATAAAGCGCAATGGGTCGTCGTTCATGCCTTGTACAAGAGGTAAGTCGAGGAAACGGCTTTGGGTAGACATGTCGCTGACAATGAGCCAATGTGCGGATTGGCCTTCGGTGTAATAGTGTGCATTTGAGGGCGGCGGCTCGCGGGCAGATGATGCACGGCGCCAATCGTTGCTGGCGAGGTGAGTGATGGCGTCCTCGCGTGAAAAGGCAGCGGTGCCGAGAACAAGTCCATCGTGTTTGGCATGCGAACCGTCGTATTGAAGTGATAGCGTTCTCGTACTCTCTGCCAGGACATATTCAGTCGAAGAGGATAGGAGCGAGATGAAGCACCGTTGAGCATTGAGTCGCAATGCTCCCAGCTGAGCGAATGCGGCAAGCGCGGTATCGTTGCAGCCCGCTGGGGAGCGTTCATTCAGAGTCGCGAGGTCGACATGGGGTATGACGGTGTCCTGGAAGCTGTCGATCCATGGTCGTAGATAGCTGAGATATATCAGGTCTGGCGCAATGTGTGGTAGATGTGTTGGTTACCGAAAGACTTCGCGTTCTCTGGTCGGCTCAGTACGTCTAGTGAAGAGGCGCGAGTGAGTACGGCTTCCAGAAGACAGATGCCTCAGCGCTGGTGGCGCTGGCGGCATTGCGAGATGGTCCGGTAGATCCGCCATGTGCCTTGATGGAGCTTCAATGGTGGCATACAGTAATTTGCAAACCACGCGATACAATAATTATGAGCCAACGGTTGAGATCGGCTGAGCGGTTGAGCGGCCGACGGACGTGTGCTCCGACCCCGCCATCGAGTGCCTGGAGAGGGTCTGCGTCTGTACTCAAAGATGGCATTGATCGATTGACCATGTTTGACATGCTTGTAAGCATAGTCTCGGACTTGGGATAGATGCAACTTTGGAGATGTGACGAATCCGGGGATGGGAGGGCAACTTAGTGCTGAGCCGCATGCCACCTATCTCTGACTATGGAATAGAAGGAACGTTCGAGAGTTCGACATTTAAGTTGGTCGTACTTACAGTGCAGATTTATCACAAAAGAAGTCAGCAGAGGGTATAGGTGGTAGATTGTTAGATTGTTCTACGAGTCTACGAAAAGGTGGTACGGAGTACAGCGAGTGAAGTATGGTCAGCGAGAGCATAAAAAGATTCGATCGTGTCAACAATAATATTCCATGTCGTGTTTCGAAATAGGCAACCTTATCTGAGATGGTTCGAGCAGCACCGGTAGGGCTGTACGAGCTTTTGGCTAAGTACGGACCCTCTGACCAAAGCGTCAAAGACCAAGACGAAAAGGATCGGATTGGCCGGCAGTACGGCAGTGGCTAGTTTGCAGGATTGCGTGACGGAGGGCGGGTAAGATAGGAATTAATCACAGATTGGATGCGAGGCAACAAGGCATGAGCGGATTAGCGAGTCGTGCCTGCCTGAGGGACGTAATTTGACCAAGTTTTCCGGCTTGGAAGTTGGAGAGATTGGTAGTTTAAGTTAGGAAAGAGCTGACGCGTCTTGTAGCCAAGGGTTGGCAAAAGCTTAGCAGGATTAGCAACGTTCGTGTGACGGGTTAGCGCGTGCTTGTAAGGTTTCGGGCAATTGGTGAACCAGTGAACCAACAGCAGCACTTTGCAAGGGACCGAGGGGCAGCTGGAGGCTGGGAAAACGAGTCGTTTCGATGCTCGCGTAGCGCCATTCCCGCAAACGAGGTCCTACGTAAGCAGCGAATGGTGAAATCTCAGTCTCGATACAGCATGCCAGTTGATCGCTCAAATAGCGTGCATAGCCACATCTCGGACAGCGATCGGTATTCTTAGAAGGTCAACAGTCTCCGCATTTTCACGTGTTGGCCGATTGTCGTGATTCAGCATCCTTGACAGGCGCAACCATGAGTCGAACAGAGAAGGACGGTCAGAAGAATGAGGCGCCCGAGCCCATTCACCTCGACGCCGACCGTCAGCCAACGACTGGAGGAGGTGAAGGGAAGGACGCCGAGAAGCAGGGCCTGCTGAATGGAAACGCCCATCACGACCATTCACACGAGGAACGCGCCCAAGAGCAAGAGGAGAAGAACGAGAAGAGCGCGCAATCGGCGCAGGAAGGCTCGACAGACGACCAGCCTGCCGGAGGATACGATGCGACACCAGTGCCTCGAGCGCCGCCGGGCTGGACCGTCAAGATCACCTTCCACCGTGCGACGAACCTGCCCATGGCCGACATCAACTCCATGTCGTCGGATCCCTTTGTGCTCGCCCAGATCAACACTGCCATGCCGAAGCGTCATAAGGAAGACCCTCTGTTGCGCATGCGTACTCCCACCATCCGTCGCAGCACCGAACCCGAGTGGAACTTTGACTGGATCGTTGGCAATATCCCCTCGTCAGGCTTCAAGCTCAAGGCCCGCGTCTATGATGAAGACCCCAACGACCACGATGACCGTCTCGGCAATGTCCACATCTCCATCCACGACCTCAATGAAAATTGGGCCGGTATCCAAGAGCAGCCCTACAAGATCATGAAGCGTTCAGGCAGCAAGAGAGCCTATGCAGTTCGCGCTGTTGCTACTTGTATGAGCAAGGCGAAACACATGCACGGTGACCTCTACGTCAGCATTGAGCTGCTCGGGCGCACTGACATTGACAACGGCGGCCATGTCTTTACCCTTGGTCCTTCGTGGATGATCAAGCATCAAGCCCCTATGCTTGGTCGCATCGCCGGTCGCAAAGAGCCTAGTGGGAACTCTAGCGAGACGGAGAAGGAAAAGGCCAAAACAGAACGCTACAACTTCCAGGCCAATCAGATTCAATTCCGCGGTCCCGTCCCAGACGGCCTCTACCACCGCTATGTCGAGTTCCGTCCTTTTGTCAAGGCCATGTTCACTTCGACCGGAGTTCGTGGATGGGTCCTCTCAAAAGCCCTGCACCATCAGCATGCTCGCGTCTATAACTTCGACCGCTTCACAAAATGGGGCCACTTCCCTCAGGGCCCATGCAGAGAAATGACACAGGCATTCCTCGACCTGGTCCACTATGATCAAGGTGGTCGTATCTTTACATATGTCCTGAGTCTCGACTCGCTCTTCCGCTTCACAGAGACCGGCAAGGAGTTCGGAATCGACATGTTGAGCAAGCATACCATGCACAGCGACGTAAGCGTCTACATTGCCTTTTCTGGTGAATTCTTCATCCGCCGCTTGAAGTACAAGAACAAGCCTCCGCCACCAGATGCAGCCGACAGTGGCAGCGCCAGCAGCGAAAACGGCGATCACCAACATGACGGCTCCAACGAAACACACCCCCCTCACGACATTTCCGATGGCCCACCCAACGATGACCCTCCGAAAGATCCAGAACATTACCAACTAGTCATCGACAACGACAGCGGCACCTATCGTCCAAACGCCAAAATGCTTCCTTTGCTCAAGAAATACCTCGCCGCAAACCTTCCCGGTCTTCACATCCAAACTCTCGACTGCCAAGCCGACGAACAGAAGATGAACCGTATGAAGAAGGCCCAACGCGACAAGAAGAAGAAGGAAGGCGATCAGATCGTTTATGCTCAGGCCGGTAGCGACGCCAGCAGCATCAGCAGTTCCGACGAAGAGCAACTGGACGCTCTTGAAGAAGCCGCTGGAAATGAAGACAGCAACAACGTGTTTGGCGAGCATGGGCTTGCGCATCAACTCAAACAAGATGCTGGACTCAAAGGCAAAGCCAAGCTAGGTCACTGGAAGCAAAATCTTCCCGGTCAAAATAGGCCCCAGGGTGATGAGTAGAAAGGCCCAGGTCGATGAGTAGAAAGGCCCAGGTCGGTCTTTGACAATAATCAAGAAAACCCAAGGTGGACTGGGATAATGATGATGTGAGAGCGCGGGATCGCTCCGTGCGAAATGTGGTTTCCCCTTTGGATTGGAAACTCGACTTAATATTGCCTCTTTCTTTTTCTGCAAACGTTCTGTCATTCCTAACGAAGACTTCACGACTCCCCCCTTTCTGTATACGTTCAGTATATCTTAGATCGCTTTTGTTTCTGTTTTACGCGCTATTCGCTGTCGTTAATGTATACTTTGTTTGCAATACCCAATTATCCAGTTTATCTCGCACCGTCGTCGACCCACTTTCTCTTGTTCTCTGGCTTCTTCTCTCTCTCAACGTTCATGACGGACACCGTGATGTTTTCCATCACAATAAATATCCTTAGCCACTTTTACCTTTGATCACAGCTCGCTTTCCGTCACGTCAGTCCTCGTGTATCGTCATGATTGATATGATCACCAGTTCCAACAGCAGAGTCTCCAAAGCCCTTCTTCCACAAACCGCACCACAGTCACACTATCACGTTCCAGTCGCAAGCATTCCACCAACGCTACTCTGTTATTCTTATTCCGAAAACTCGTAATATGTTCTGCAAGGTTTGTGGTACTGGCTTGTTCTCCTGTCATCACCTCCTCGTTTGTACATTCAGCAGTGTCCAGTCAGCTCAGCTAGGCTCCTCCGGGCTTTCTACTCATCTTTCCACGTTGTTTCTCTCGTTCTCTTCTTCTTCGAAATTGCGTCTTGAATGATAAGGCAGTGAATACGCGCAGATTCTCTTGCAATACTATCATTGTTCTATTTTTTTCGATGTACTGTTGAACTGTGTTGAAGTGTCAATCGTATTCAGATTTGGCTCTTGATCTTGGTACTCCAATTTACAAAAACGATATCAGGGAGTTTAAAAGTGATAACGCATCTTTAGTCCTACTCGTTGTATCAAAGATGATTATGATATCCATGTAATCTCCCCTAGATGTTCATACAACGGATGTATACAATGTTGCCGTCACCAGAGCAGAAAACACGGAAAGATTGTTCGTTGTGTGTATCACCCTGACCACGGGGATAGCGTAGAAGGACCCACCATTTCTCCTTCCCGCTGGACAACATAGGCTGAAGCACACGATGCTAGGTGGGCGGTGCTTTGACTCTTTTTGTTTTTGCATACGTTGAATGATGCGCCCGTCTTCTTGATCGGGGTGCGTAAATAGTACAGGTATTTCCTTCCATAAACAAAGCTTCCATGAGCGCCAACTGAAAACACAATGACAATGCAAAGCTCCATCGTATAGATCCGTTCACCGTTCCCTCTACTGTATCATGCGATCTATTCCTCATCCTCCATGTCATCACCTGCCTCGATGAAGACGAGTCTAGTACCCTCGGCAGCAGTTTGCCAGATCTATGGATTTTCGTTAGTAATTTGTCACGGTGTTGAAATGGGATAATAAAACTTACGTCAAGGTCGGAGTATTCATCGAGACAAGACTCGAGTTGCTGTAGGGTAAAGCCCTTGGCAAGAACACGCTCTCTGACACGGCGGAGATCGAGCTCGCCACGTCCTTCACCAGTAGCGGCAGCACCACTCTCACGCATGCCACGGACAAGGTTGAAGATACGACTGCTAACGCTCATGTCGCCACGACGAGAGCGGTCGTCGTCGTACAACGAAGCCTTGCTGACTTCGGTGAGACGCAAAGCTTCATCGACATCGTCGGTGATGACCTCCTCTGCGAAGCGCAGACGGGCGAGTGCTTGTGAGAGACGCATGACACCGAGCAAAGTACGTGGTGATGTGTGGGTGAAGGTCTTCTTAGCCGACTCGTCGCGCTTTTGCTGTTGACGCAGACGCACGTAGGCACCTACAAGGTAGTCGGAGACGGCCTTGGGAATGGTGGGGCGGAATGAACGAGCGCGAGCCACCCATTGACGGACCTCATTTGGCGAGAAGATGAGACCGCCGCCTGCGGGCTCGGGGTGAGCGTTGTGAATGTGGACGTAGGTAACGTGACGGGCCAAGTCTTCATCGGCGTCACGGGAGGGTGTGTCGAGGATGAGGAAGAGAATGTCAAATCTACTCAACAATGCAGCGGGCAAGTTGATGTTCTCGACAGGAGAGATGCGAGGGTTGTAACGACCGTAGAGAGGATTGGCTGCTGCCAGAATCGAAGTGCGAGCGTTGAGTGTCGTCGTGATACCTGCTTTCGAGATGGAAATGGTCTGCTGTTCCATGACTTCGTGGATAGCTGTTCTGTCACTGTCGTCCATCTTGTCAAATTCATCGATACAACACATGCCGTTGTCTGCAAGAACGAGAGCACCTCCTTCGAGGACCATCTCGTCTGTGACAGGATCTCTCATGACCGCAGCAGTAAGACCGACACCACTGGAACCGCGACCTGTCGTGTAAACACCACGCGGCGCAACCTTTGTGATGTACTTGAGCAATTGCGATTTGGCAACACCAGGATCACCCATCAAACAGACGTTGATGTCACCACGAATACGCATACCATCACCCATCTCCTTCGTCACGCCTCCGATCAGTTGCAGAAGAAGAGCCTTCTTGACATCGAGATGACCGAAAATTTCAGGAGCAATAGATCTGCTGAGGTATTCATAGAGCTGTCCTGACTGCTCCAGGTCAGCCATGCGGCGTACAGTGCTGGGAGCCAGAACCATAGACTCATAGGCCTTTTTGTGTTGGTGAACGTATTGAGCCTCGAGGTATGTGTCGGTCAAGAGACCAGCCTTGATGGCCTTGAATCCAGTGTAGGGTGTAGGAAGGAAAATACCAGCAACGTCAACGACATCACCAGGGTTGATCTGACGAGCTAGAGCGCCATGGCAGTAGATGGTCAACTGACGGGGAATGTGACCGACAGGGACTTGATCTGACATCTCTTGGATCTTGATCTCCTGGAAAGCGAGGAACTTGGAGGCGCGGGTTGAGTGCAAAAGCTGACCCTTGACGTTGTTCTTCTGGCAAGCGTCCGAAGGACATTGTACCATTGGTGTGTACTGCTTTGTGGTGACGGGCTGGAAGACCTCCTGACCGCAACGGTCGCAAGAGTATGCATTGACCTGGACAGCAGGCTTGACGTCGGACACTCGGATGGCGATACCGCGAACTGTGATGAGGTGACCCAAATGTTCACCACGAACTTGACGAACGGCCATTGCTTTACTGCTCTTGCCATCGCTGGACTCGGAAGGGGTGACGGGTTTGAGATTCAGGGTGTAGCGGCGGGTGAGGGCGGCAGGGAAGAAGGAGTCGGGAGCGTTGTTGTCTACGGCGTCTTCGAGAGCCTGTTGCATGACACGGTTCGCGTTCTGTCGTTGAGTGAGGATGACATCGATGACATCGTCCTTGAAGTTGACGTCGGTGCTGGGTTGCGGCATGAGCTTGTCGACGGCGCGCGAGAAGATCTCAATGTAGTGGTTGGCATTGCGCTCGATTGACGACACCAGCTTGAGTGATGCGCCGCCATCTTCCAATGCATTCTCGTATTGCTTCAGATCATCGAGGTCGATCAGGACATTGTCGGCTTGCCTGTCCGCTACGCGCTGCAGGTGGTCCATGTACTTTGTTTTTGACCTTCTCTGGCCAGCACCCTCCGCCGTCTCGTCCATGAAGTCGTATTCATCGTTATCGTCGTCATTAATGTTCAATTCATCCAGCGCATTTTCGGCCTCGGTCGACGATGATTTGAAAGAGCGCAAAAAGTCCTCAAAAGCAGCTGTTTCTCTGGTTTCAGTACTTTGTTTGGGTGGGCATGTCGGTCAAAACAAACCTTGCTGCTCTTCGTAGTTGACCAGAGAGGGGTACGTAAGGAGTGCCATGATGACTTCAGATGTCGCCTAATCTCGAATTGTGAGGCGCACGGCAGCTTGATCCAAGAAAGAGTGATGGTTTATGGGTATGATGGGTCCGGTGGCAGGGAGTGGGACTCGAATTGCGAAAGCCAACAACGCGAACTTCCCCAACGACGCGAATTTACGCGCCTGTGATTGGCTTGGCAGCCTTTTATTCTATCATGTCTCCACTGCTCTTTGCATTTACATGTGAGAGGAACTCAAACCTGCATCTGCATTTGGTCCCTGCCTCTGCTTTGTGGCACGAATATGACTCCACCAGGTCTATCGACCCTGCCTCGTAAATCACTCGGCATCGCAAGCTTCATTGCAACTGATATCAGACTCTAGATCAATGCATGCCAAGGTCATAACTACTCTCTACAGAGTTGGAGCATATTGCCCAACTAGACTCTCAACCAGATTACATGCCGCTTGACCAACACTGTGCATCCTATAGCCCCGTCTGGTGTTTGTGTGTGCGCGGCAGACGCATGTGCATGTTGGATGTTCACATTGGCACAATCGGGGAGGGAGCAAGCCTGGCGTTGGACCAATTCAGTGTGATTACAATCAGTGACTGACATTCCATTGACAACATCAACGTGAATATCGCATGATCCCAGGATTGTGCTTCATACAATATCCAACACTCAGCCGGCTTCCACTTGTAAACTCACCATCACTCACTTTTCCTGCGGTCTCTGCCAAGTACCACCACACCTTCCAAACCAGAGTCACACTGTAACGTTTCCACGAGAGAAAGAGCCCGCTGGTTGTCCATCTGTCCGATACACCGTTGTATCATACAACTGCCGTCTTATGCATAACCAAGCCCATGGAAGGCCGGAACATGGCAGCGACACGAGCGGGAAGGTGTCCTGATGCAAAGCAACCCTAGCCGATCCAACTTTCGTTTGCATCACGTTAGCAACCTTCTTTTTACTTCACTGTTTGGCACCGGATACCACGGCTGCGCCACACGATGACCTGCAGCTATCGATGGGATCGAGAGCTGAGGGAGTGGCTAGTTCAGAAAGTGGCTAGCCGAGAAAGTGGCTGTGTGCTGTCATGTCGCCTTGACGGCATGCTTCTCCTCTCCCAAACCTGCTGTCAAGACTCGAGCCACACGCGCACGCCACGATCCGTTCAAGGCGTCATTTGAGCCAATTTCAAGAATCGCGGAGAGTGAAGAAAAAGAAGAAGAAAACCATGCAAGCTTCTCTGCCTGGTTCGTGCTCGACTGTATTTCAATCTTGAGAGTCAGGGCTCACGTTCCCAGCCATCTTTGACAAGCGAATGAAGCATCATCAGGCAACCCCGGAGTCCGTTGCTCGCTACCCGTTTACAATGTGCTTGCGTGGAAGCTGCACGATGATTTGTCGAGCTGATCTTGTATGCGGCACCCAAAAGTATCATGCAAAAACGGGTTAAACGGACGGGCAGGTGGACGGGATGGAGTGTTACAGAAGTCATGCGTAAACCTGATTGGCTAATTGGCATGCATGAGATAGACGTAGCTAAACGCAAAATCCGGATCTTGAGGCTGAGAACAGGTCCGTGAAACAGACGAATCCTTGCGGGCTATCACTGCGACAACCCAGCCTCTCGACTTTGCTTTGCGCGCTTTGACCGGCCATCTGCGCGACCCTGCTGCAAAGACGACATGACTCCTCTTCTCTTAAAACTCCGATCCCCTCTTTCTCAATCACCTGCACACTGCCTGCCATCTTGACCTCATCCTCCAACGGTCTACAACTGGCATCACATTCGTTAACACTTCTTATTCGTCGGGACCTGGTCCGCTGTGGCTGTGGCTGTGCCGTTTACAACTGCGCCGTTTAACCCCCCTCTCGTCCCATCATCTTTTTACCACTACCATCATTCGTAATCTACCCCTCGCCGTTGATCGAAGATTACAATGTTCAAGACTCCATCGTAAGTACCGAGCTGTTCCTACTTGCCTCGACGCACGGTATTTACGTGCTCTCAGGTTCAAGTCTTTTAATAGACCTAACGGACGCAGTCGCTCTCAAAGCAAAAAGAGTTCGTTTGCCCATCCTCGATCATATCGACAATCAACATTAACGACACAAACAGATAACGACGATAACATTACATTGGATACGATGTTCCAACCAACGGAACAGTCTTCAGGCTCTGCCTTTGCTCACCGTTTGACAAGACCACTAACAAAGCACAATTCTACATGTCTCGGCAAAGCTGAGACTAGCTCCACGTGGACCACTCCTATCAACACTACGAATGATTACGCCGAAGATGCCCGGGCTTCATTCTCCAACGACTCACCTTTGAGCTTTACTGGATCTGCATCTTTCCAAAACCATGACTCGCCTTCCAGGTCTGCTAGCAATCTGCCTAACCACGGGGTCAGGTCGAGAAAGGTTTCACACTCGTCGGAAAATGCCTCTAAACGTCACACCTTTGCTGCAGACAATTCGGATGTCGATGTTGCTGCAGCCATTGCTCTTTTGCAAGAGCTGAAGAAGAGAGCTTCGCCGGAAGATCTGATCCTTCTCCACAAGGCATTGTTACCAACCAGAAATGTCGAGCGAGCAACATCTCCCGCAAAACCAGAGGCAAAGGAATACCAAGAACCCATCTCTCCTCTTATAAGAAGAAGCTCGTTGCTTCCTGCCGGTGTCAAGACACGCCTATCTCGTGAGCTTCTCAGGAACTACTCTGATAACAATGTGACCGTTCGTTCAGCGTCTGCTTCTAGACAACACAAGCCAGCGGAGTCTCCGAGACTCGATGTGCCACTCGACTTCGAAGCCCTGGATCTGGCCGAGGGAAAGACTGAAACACAAGGAGGTCGCCCAACTACACCATCAGACTTCTACCCGCAGATCGGCACATACAAGATGGGTTCCCTGCGTATTACCAACGGAGCTGCTTCGCCTGAGCCAGCTCGTCTTCTTCGCCGGGCTGAGAAGGCAGGTGCCCAACCGAAAATCCCAGCACCAGAGTCGGTCTCCGGTGACGGTTTTATTACTGCCGATGAAGGAGAGTCCAGCCCTGAATGTGTACGACCCAGTCGAGCCACAGTCGTCTCTCTGCGAGCACCTCGAAGAAGCTCGGAGCAACAGGAAGCCCGAACTGCCTCCGACGTCAGAGCAAGGTCCAAGAGCAGAGGTCCACCGGCCCGTCGCAGTATTGAGGACGAGATGAACAGATCTGCTCCTCGTCAATCAAGTCGTCCACAAGTCACACAGCGTGCTTCTGAGTACGCCCAGGAGTATGCATCCGAGTTCAACACACTAGAGAACCCTCACATGAACAGCCCGGTATTGACGACTACCGTCTCACGATTGAGTACGGTACACGACGAGTCACCTGTCGAGGACGGTATCAGTGCCCGCGAAGAGGCTTTGAGAAGACTTACTGGCGAGGCTCCTCACGCGAACGAGCGCAGTCAGTTGTCTCAAACTCAGAAACACCTTAGTGTTGCTCGACCTCCCATGAAAAAGAGCGACAGTGGGTACAGTTCCGAGGCATCGAGAAGATCGATCGTTAAGGAAAGCAACTGTGACGAGTTTCTTTCAGCAGCCCTCTCGGCTGCAGATTCGGCTGAGCGCACCCGCTCTAAGGAGTCTCCTGGCGCCGCGTCTGCTAGACCATCTTTGGAACAGATTAACGAGGAGAAGGTATCTTCCCCTAGTTCTCCGTATATCCAACAACAAATCTCGGCGGTGCAAAAGGCAGAAAGACACAGGAGTCTGCCAAGTTTCTTCTACAAGAAATCATCCTCGAGTACCTCGGTCAACACTATCGCTACTACTCCTGTCACTCCTCCGGCTAAGCAGACGAGAAAGCTTCAAAAGTCTCGTCCCAGATCGCAAGTCATTGTCCCACAGACAGTGCAAGAACCCCAGCCAGAGCCCGAACTCGAACCTGAGTTTGTACCTGGTGCCTCAGAGGATCTTTCTGTCAACTTCTCTCGCCCCACTCGTCGCATGGAGCGCGGGCCATCTGCCTCTCCTCAGACGAAACAGCCCGAGGATGACAATGATGCTCGTGGAAGAGGTCGTAGCCGCAAGCAAGACGCCACCTCGCAAGCTGCGAGTGCTGCAGACTCACCCGATGGAACCACGAGAAGGAGAAGCAGAAGTTTCTTCCGTTTCCGTAGTCGCAGCAGAAGCAAGAGCCAACACCGTCGTGACGAGGATATTACTGTCCTCTCGGTGGCCGACGAACCTCTGCCCACTCACGACTTCTCAGACTTTGGCACGGTCGCACAATCTCTTGGCCAATCGCCTTACGACATTGCTACGAGACGTGTCAAGCACATGGGTGCATACGATCCATCCAAACCTTGGTTCCACCCACATGAGCTTAGTCGTGCTGCTCCTGGCCCCGATTCTAGCTCGGAAGTACAACAAAGTCGTGGCAAGTCGGTCGATCGTAGCAGACAGGACAGAGCACGCAGTCAAAGCCGTCCTCGTGAGTCAACTGATAACGTGTTGTCAGGATCGAGACCGGTGACAAGAGGAAAGTCGAGAAGATCTCAGAGCGCTCACAGTGTTGCGGTTCCGAGAGTACCAGAGGCGGTGCCAGAGTTACCAAAGCCGGTTGAGACGATGTCCGGTACCTTCTCTCGTCCAGCTTCTAAGGACGGCAACGTGAGAGTTGGCACCATCGACTTTGGAACTGGCTTTGGCCAAGGTCGCTTGGAGCCTATTCTCACCAACACTGAGAAGGCTAAGACAAGGCGTCGTACACAGTCTGTTTCTCCGAGAGTCCGACCTAGCAGCTCAGTGATTCCAGAGGAGCCGATGCCCGAACGTCCTGTTCAACAGAGAACTCAAACATCTCCTCAAGAGCTTACCAAGGCACCTGTACGTGAGCTTCCGCCAGTACCTACACAGAAGCCCTCGCAGGCCTCGCCTCTCGAGCTGCCTCAGATTCCGTCTCGGGCCCCTCCAAAGGTACCCACACACGGAAAGCAGCCCAACAACAAGCAACCCGTACTGTCGGTAACCACAAAGCCCACCCAGACCATGGGATCAATGTCTGTGCCTCACACACCTGCTTCACCAGCATCCCCCTCAAAACGATCATCCTGGGACAGCCAAGCTTTGGCCTGGCGTGCGCGCAAGCAAAGCATTGGAGAGATGCTTTCATCTCCTGCACACGAAAGAAAGAGCTACATCTCATCAAACTCACCTGAGATCCAGGCTTACTCGCCCACTTCTCAGACACCCCGTCGCGCTCCCACCGTGGTAGTCTCTCGCTACATCACCCCAAACAGCTCCGAATTCGCCATGCACTTGGGCGAAGAAGACCCCTACAGAAAGCTCCACTCCGAGAACCCTACCGACCTGCGTCCCGCTCAGGAGGATGTCGAACGCACCGATTCCAGCTCGACCTACCGCACCGCGACCTCCGAACGCTCGCAAGATAGCTTCGCATCAAAAGACAGTGCCAAATACCGCCCTTATCGTTCTACCGAGAACAACACCCCGGAGAAGGTCTCCACTCCTACTCCCAGAAGCAACACCACGCAGAAGAGATCCAGCCGTGTCATGGAGCAGCCTCGCCCTCAGCGTCGTTCCACCGCACCGCCGGAGAACCAAGATGTCGCCTTTGACAGATTCTCTGGTGGCCTTGGATATGGCTGGGAACGTGGTATTGGATTCGGCGGCAGTGCTGGCACCAGGCAGAAGAACGACACCAAGGCTGCCAGAAAGAGTGTGGCCATCAGTCAAAACTTTGGTGTCGATTTGAGCGATGTTCCCGTTTTCATGGTCAGAAACTAGGTGAAAGGAGGGAAAGCATGGAGGAAGGGAAATGGAAGGAATCCAAGGAATCCAAGGGCTCATGGAAAGGAGGAAGGAGGAAGGAAGGAAAGACCATGCCTGTTTTTGGCTACGAATTAGTTATGTTTTATACAATCCATTAATAATGTCTATAGATTCTATTCAATTACTTTTACTCGATCATGAAAGAATGAATTTCCACCTTTTCGCTTCTGCAAACACCATAGGAGACGAACACGAACTGCGTCAATGTGTTTTCCCTTGTTGGCAAGAGTCCCATGTTTAGCGGTGGCTCACTTCACAAATGTCGCATTCGGGTGCTAGAAGGCGCCAGTCAGCTGGACGGCAGAAATCAATAAAGACAGACACATCAAATTAAACATGGTAGGTACTCTCCGGCGCAAACCCAATGGTATCAAGAATCGCAGACGCAAAAATTAAAGCAAGACGCCCAATATCCTTCCCTTCATTACCTCCTCTTCGTAGTCGTTTACTGTCCCTTGCTCATGACGCGCTGGAGCATGTGGCCGACGACAGTTGCTCTGGTCTCCTTCTTTGGCTTCTGGTCCATGGATTCTCCAGATGCAGGAGGGTTGGCAGCGGCAGCGGCTTCCTCGGCGCGCTGTCTAGATGCGTTTCTCTCCTTGATGTCGACGATTTGGTCCTTGCTCAGAGAGGCCGTGTTGCCCGCTCCACCTCTGCCCCATTGGAAGTTCTTCTCGGGTTCGCGACCGGCGCGGGGATGCGCCTCGACGTCTTGGGTCTGGCGTGTGATGTCTGGGTGTACGTTGGGCTGCATGTTGCCCTGGCCTCCTCTTCCGGTCGTGTATGTTTGCGACTTGATGGTCGGGGTTTTGAGATCGGTGGGTGGAAGATTGGGCGATGCAGGCGCCATGTTGCCTGTGTGTTACAGTGAGCGGGAGTTGTCTTTGCGACCGTTTCGCGCTCGTGCTGCCATACCTGCGCCGCCGCGACCATATGATAGATTGGCCATTGCTGGGTTTCAAAGGCGCACAGTGACTGAGTCGGTTATGGTTTTAGGGTATGCGGGGTCGAGTGGGTTGCGAAAAGTGGTGGTCTTGAAGTTTGTCGCAGACACGGCGAAAGATTTGAACGTTTTGATTTTACCGTTTCCGCTTATGCGTTGATAGCAGTGTTCAATCGGCGACGCAGATGAGGAAACCACGGGGATTGGGGATGGCAGAGGACAAAAGGGAATTTGCATCCTTTCTTTCCCGCTCACACCAAACACCACATTGGCCAAGGACCTTGGGAGGCGCTCTCTCCACGTGCCATTCCAGGAGGAACTGTGTGTTTTCATAACGTAACCGCTTTCCAGAGTTGCTGCGACTGCTCGGCTGGCACTTGGCGGTTCATCTTGGCCGAGAGTTTGATACCAACTGGCCGACGAGAAGAGTAAGGAGTTGCTTGGCCAAGAACAAAGAAGGAAGCTGTCCCATGTTTCGGAGAGTTGGCGGTCGATGTTTGATAGATAGGAAACAAAAGAAATGCCATTAGTCACCTGTCAGACATGCATAACGTGGTCAGGCGTGCTGATACCGACCGCAAGGGGTTTTATTAAACAGTGTATGCTAGGTATTCAACACACCTGAATGTACTTTCGAGGTGATTATCTGTTCAGAAGCCTAGAAGAACTGTGCTTCATGTGATCCTTGTATGTCCAATCCTCTTGTGTCCTAGGTATTGCTTTATGTTTCTGTAGCTGTGATTATTTGCGTGCCTTGAGAGGCAGGTGCTTGGCTCAAATGTGGCTGAATAGGAAAGCACTAGGTGCCCCATAGCAACTGCCATCGCCGGCCCGGCCATGTGCGAAGCAGCGAAGTTGACCCCTACCGAGACGTCATTTGCTGTTGGACATCCACTTCTAGCATCGAACAACAACATTGGAAGATCGCCGGCACTATGAGACTGTAGGTGGATGTAAGGTCTTGATGTCTGCAATGATAGCTTATGTGTAATCAGAAACACGTCTCGTGGAGCGCTCCGGAGGGAAGCCTTCGAGAAGTTGGCAGTTCTGTCAGCGCAGGCTCCACCCTCACATGCAGCCCATCAAGACATAACGCGCCTTTGTTCCTTATACAAGACTCCTGAAACATCCAACGGAGTCGCCAAAGGTCCTATTAGTATTCGCGAACTCGAAGTCTTGATCGCTTTGTGTCGTGCTTCATCCTCTATTGAATCCGTGGAACACGCCGAACGTCTTCTTCAACAAATAACCCCATACCTCTCAGAAGCCCAGACTCAGACCTTCCGTCCATCGCCCTTCCTGCGCCATGTTCATCCCTCGCCATGGGAAGTCCTTGTTCAGGAAGTCGCGTCTGCATTGCTCAACATTGGTATCAAGCACTCGTCATTGCGTTCTCAGGTTGTCACTTCTATCATCAACACAATCGACACGTATGTCCACCAGGGACAGAATATCGACAGACTTGATACATCCGAGGATTCTGCTTTGGACATTGACAATGCATCCAGGACCATAACCTTTTCCGTCTCACTTCTTGGCCTGCTTTCAGCACTCGCCGAGAAGCCTCAAGTCTGCACGGTACAGGAACGTGCTAGCATAATTTACAAGCTACAAACCTTGTACTCCGAGAAATTCATGGTCACCATCGAGGGTACTCTCTCATCGGTGCGCAACTCTCATGGAATACACATGAAAGAATGGAAGCGCTTGCTCAGGGTGTACGCTTCAATGGGAAGGCCATTGGGCGCAATGCTGCTGCAACATGCTTTCACGCAGTATTTGGCCTCTTCTGCTGCTATCATGGTCACGCCTTCCGAGTTTTCAAGAGATGAACAAGTTTTGGACTATCTACTCCAGCAAACCCCACAAAGTCTCTCAGGCTATGAAGGTGTTGATGGATCGTCGCTAGAGAAGCTCACAGAGTTGCTGACCGAGATTGTATCTCTGCTTGACGCCGATGCCGATTACCTGCAAGTCAGTTCTGCGTGGCAGCAGCAACTAGCTTTTTCGACCAAGGCCAGCTGCCTGATCAGCTTCCTCTGCTGCTCGCTCGCCAACGAAGACATTGCTGATGCTGACGTCCTCATGGCATGGCTCGATGGGATCTTGACCGATCCGGTCCAACTCGCAGATGAGAGACTTGCGAGCGTGACCCTCAAATGTATGGCCATCCTTGCCAAAACTTCCAAGGCCTTTGCTTCGAATCTGGCACGTTCTTTACCCAGATTCATTGTTCAGGGAAGAATGACCAGCGATACCGTGGTGATTGCTGCGAATTGCTTAGCAGACGTCTTGCAACTGTTGCCCCAGGATCTTGTCATCAGCACGCTTTACAGCCTCGGAAACGTGCTCAGCACTGGTCCTTCGACCAACCGGGCAAACACATCTCTCTTCATCGATGGCAACGGCACCGCTAATGGCACGATGAATGGATCCGTGACTTCATACACTCAGCAACCTACTGGAAGCTCCATATCCCTGGTCACTAATGATGACGAAGAGACTGTTCTAGTCCACGCTGCAGTAGTCGAAGCAATTGTCGCCATTGCCAGAAAATGTCATGATGAAAGGATAACTGCGCTTGCCATCTCTATGTTGGTCCAGAAAATTGGTCGTGTCAATCTTGCTGTCGATGCTAAAATCATTATGGGATCTGCAGCTCTCGGGTCCCAAAGCGAGCCCAACGATTTCCGTCCCCTGCTGAAGTTGTATGCACGACTCGTTACGGACGCATTGGCTTCCGACAACAACGTTTCACTCCAAGCGGTGATGGATGCCCGCATGCTCATGGCGAAGAGTATTCCTCCTACGTCTCCTCTTTACGAGATCTATCTCACTTATCTGTTGGACGGTATCGTCAGCACGAGCGATGTCACCAGTCGTGACACAAAAACTGTAGTCATGGACAAATTGGCTGTTGGCCAGATCTCACAAATTCTGCCTCCTTTGGCCGCCCTCGCGGCATTCATGCCTTATGAGTACACCCAATTTGAAGATCCAGAGATGGTATCCGCTCTCAGTCGAGATGCTTGGTTCAACCTGATCGCACACGACTTTTCTTTAGGTTCATCTTTCGCAAAGAAGCATCAACAAGAGTTACAGACTCTGGCGTGGTACACTCCTTCCTTGATTGACAGTAACAAAGCCGACACTCAGGAAAGTGGCATTGACCTCAATACCGTTCTTCGTCGTGGTATGAGTCCTCAGCATGCGGTCCAGTTGAAGTCGCAATTGATAGCTGCTCTTCCGACACATGAAACGGACATCAAGTCGCTGAATTATGCCGAGCTTACCTTCCTGAATGCTGCTCATCTGGTGGCAGTACTGCGCGCCCAGTCTGGGGATTGTACGAGAACACTTGAATACTTCTTGGATCCCAAATTCAAGAGCGGGGCTTTAAGCAACTGTCTACTCGGAGTGGCGCTGAGTGCAGTCGATACCTATTTGGCACTTACCATGACTGGTCGCAGTCAAACTTTTGCGGCAGCCAATCTTGCACAACAACTAGCGAGGCTACTCGAGAGCTGCTGTCACCGCATCGATAAAGTGCAACAGGTCGCTACACTTGCTGCTGACCGCATCATTGACCAAGTACCCTCCTCTCTTTGTCAGAGAACATCTCTTTTCGCCCTCTTGGAACTACTCAGCCTCATGTGGATCAGCTGTTTGGAGGCAGAGACCGACGAGTACGAATGCAAGTCATTCTACAACTCGACAAAGGGTAATGTTTCCCTACAGCTCTCAGACAACTTTGCTTACAGGCAGACGACATTGCGCGGATTCCAACAAAAGTGTCGCCGATGGGTGTTGAAAACACTAGACCGTGCTCCCTTAGATATGAAGGGTCTTCTTCAGACATACCTTTCGGACTACGATGACGAGGAAGCGTACGGCCGCATCTCAATGGGTAGATCATTCGCCCTTGAACTTGGTTCTCTCATCCCAGGAACTGATCAGAGACTCGGCGCCATCGACCGTAGAATGGATCCAGGCGTCAACACGGCATCTGACTTTGTTGCACAGTACACAACTCGTCAGGAATATCGTTATTTGGACACCATGTCCAGACAAGATGAAGAGCTTCTGCATTCGCAGCAAGCCGGTATTGTTGGTATGCCCCGCTCTGCCCTGAGCGGACAGGCTCGCGAGATCACTGCTTCCTTGAAAAACATGAACACCAATCTTCGCAACCATCATCCGGCATCACCTGAGGACCTCAGGTCTAATCTCAGACGTGCAGCAGCAGTATTGTGTAAGGTCGATGCGGACCGATTCGGTCTTGCCCAGCAGTTAGTTGGTGTTCCTTTTACAGCCTTCAGCAAGACAGCAATAAAGCTCGGTGTTTCGTTATGGATGGGCGTAATCAAAGAGAACCCACAGATGGAGTCCAGGATTCTTGTTGAGATTGCTGAAGGGTGGGAGACGACAATTCATAAGAAGCGTGGTGTTTTCGCTCAGACTTTCAGGTGAGTTTTTCGATTTCATTGATTCGTACCATTAGTTTGCTGACCGATAATCCAGCCACCTCGACCCATTTTATGTTAAAGAGGAGTTTGCTCCTACTGACAAAAGCGCGATTACCAAGCGTCAGCAACAGGTTCATGACTTGATAGCGCCTCACTTCAGACTCGTCCAGTTCTTGTCGAGTCATTTCAACGCAACGAGGTTGAGCAATCCCCATACTGGCCGTATCTTCCACCGATTGATGCGTGTCACTCTCGCTGCCTTGAGGCATAGTGGCAGTCACCCGCTTGCTCGCGAAGTCCACTTCCACATTATTCTACTGGCCCTTCGTGTCATCAGCTATGGCACTGGTTACGATGAGAAGTCACGCTGGGAGCTCAAAGACCAGATTCTGTCTGCTGCTCTCAGGTGGTTCAACTTCCCGGCTCGATGGTCTTTCGGCGGCAACAAGCTGCAGGTAAAAGCTGAAGTTCAAGTTATTTCAGACGTTATCGTCGCGATCCAGACTAGTGCTTCTCTAGGAGCTAGGATGCTGCCTCCCATGCAGTCTCTGCAAGCAAAACAGGAATTGCTACTTCAACTCCTCCAGAACGAAATCACGAGACTGAACGTGTGGCTCTCTCCTCTGGGACAAGACACCCCGAACACCGTTTATGGTCAGCAGGGCAAGGCCAACGATTCTGCCATTGCCGCATTGGTTACAACCGCGTGGGCGGAAGCACCATCTCTCGCCGTACAAATGGCTTTCAGATACCCTTCGTCTCTTGTTCAATCCCAGGTCCGGTCATTGTTGGTCAACTACCCCGAAAAGGCTATGCATGAGCCCGATGCTCTGCAGATAATGCTTGGCACTAGTATGCCGCATGATGTTTCGTCACAGTTGAAGTACCTGCTATACTGGGCTCCGGTCAACCCGATCACTGCCGTTACCTACTTCCTTCCAGCATATGGAAATCACGCCTTCATCGTACAGTACGCGATGCGCGCGCTGGAGAGCCATTCGGTTGATGTCACGTTCTTCTACGTACCTCAAATTGTACAAACACTTCGTTACGATTTGCTGGGCTACGTGGAACGCTACATCGTCGAAACAGCCAAATTCTCGGGCTTGTTTGCTCACCAGATCATCTGGAACATCAAGGCCAATGCTTTCAAAGATGAAGACTCACAAATCCCAGATCCCGTCAAGCCAACTCTTGACAAGGTAATGGATTCTCTTATTTCCAGTTTCTCCGATGAAGATCGAGATTTCTATGAGCGCGAGTTCGGGTTCTTTAGTGAAGTAACCAGCATTTCTGGAAAGCTCAAGCCTTTTATCAAGCGACCCAAACCCGAGAAGAAGGCGAAAATTGAAGAGGAGCTACGCAAGATCCAAGTCGATGTTGGCGTCTATCTTCCCAGCAACCCTGATGGAGTTGTTGTCGGTATTGACCGAAAGTCTGGAAAGCCTCTTCAAAGTCACGCCAAGGCGCCGTACATGGCAACCTTCCGCATCCGCAAGGAAAGAAGTCCTGAGATTGAAGCTGTTGATGAGCAATTGGATCACGTCGCCGAGGAAGGCGAGCCTCGTAAGGAGACTAGCTATGAAGTGTGGCAGTCAGCAATCTTCAAGGTTGGTGACGACTGTCGTCAAGACGTGCTGGCACTGCAGATGATCGCGGCTTTCCGTGGAATCTTCAACAACGTCGGGTTAGATGTCTACGTCTTCCCGTACCGAGTGACAGCTACAGCCCCTGGCTGCGGTGTCATCGACGTTCTTCCAAACTCCATTTCTCGCGATATGCTCGGTCGTGAAGCAGTCAACGGTCTCTACGAATATTGGGTGTCGAAGTATGGAACCGAGGACTCGCTACGTTTCCAACAAGCACGCAGCAACTTCGTCAAGAGTATGGCTGCCTACTCGGTCATCTCTTATTTGCTGCAATTCAAGGATCGACACAACGGCAACATCATGGTTGATGATGCAGGCCACATTCTCCACATTGATTTCGGTTTCATCTTTGACATTGCACCTGGTGGTGTCAAATTCGAGCGCGCACCATTCAAGCTGACTGGTGAGATGATTGCCGTGATGGGTGGCTCTACACAGTCGCAGCCCTTCAAGTGGTTTGAAGAGCTCTGCGTCAAGGCATTCCTGGCTGCAAGACAACACGCGGAAAAGCTGAGTCATTTGGTCATTGTCATGTTGGACTCTGGTCTGCCTTGCTTCAAGCCAGAGACCATCCAGCATTTCAAAGAGAGGTTTGTACTCGACAAGAGTGAACGTGAGGCTGCTGATTTCATGCGTTCGCTCGTCCGCTGGAGTGGAAAGAGTCACAGCACAGGTGTTTATGACCAGTTCCAACTTCTCACAAACGGTATTCCCTATTAGAATATAGCCTAGCCAATCAATCGCAATCATGACTTGACCTGTAGAGTATCCGTGAGCCATGTTGAAAACACCTGTTTGCAACTTTGCAAGTGCGTGATTTTAGAGATTTCGCTCTTGATGCAACGGTAGCAATTCCGGTGGCAAAGCGGCTGCAAGGACATGGAGCTCAACGTCAGTGTTTGAGTCTGAGCTCCATCTTCTGGACTTTTGCTCCTATTCTGTAATTTAGGTAGGGCTGCAAAGATTTTCTCAAAAGCCTTTTTGGACGAGACTGCGGTTTACTTGTAGTGGTGACATGGCAATCTGTGTACCATGGCAATTGGCATTTCCGTTCGGGCGAAAGTCCGATGCGGGTCTTTTAGGACCCGTTTCCTGTGGCTCAGCCTCGTTTCGTCTCGTTCGGCCTTGACTTTCATCCTTCGCTTCCGCAATCGTTTTGGGCCGAAGCTTTCGTGTTCTTTGAACTGTTGGATCTCGATCGTGTGCAGATAGTAGTCTGGATCATGGCAGCCAGAAAAGAATGTATCGTTTGCCGAGTGATGACTGGGTGACTGACAATCGGTCAGCGCTTGAGCTCGGTGGCAAAATAGGGTGGAGTTCGCTCCTCCCGCGCTCGGCAAATCCAAGCCGCAAGGGGCGCAAGGGACCGTCCCTGAGGCTCAACTGTAATCAACCTAACTTACGCGCGAACTCATCGACCACAGTGGGACAGGAACCGATAAACATGTGATTCTACGTGTAGTGGTGTGGACCTCGCTTGCCGATGGCTGCATCGATGCATGGCAAACAATCGACGATTGGCGTGTTAATGGCTTTGGCAGTTACCATTGCTATAATGAATTGGCTGCGTACAGCAACAGCGACCGACTGGACGAGACACACTAAATACACGCAACAGTTCTTGGAGGGTTGAGCAGAACTCAGAGACGATTCTGTAAGCAAGGTCTGCAAGCCGTGAACTTGTCAGATGTTTAGGGACAGACAGTTCCAAAAAGAAAGCTCTGGAATAGACACTACACGATCTACAATTCATCTTTCTGTATTGTTATGTCTATCTTCGCCCTGTCCACGTATTAATGTTTGCCACATTCGCTTTCTCTCGCCGTCAAAAACTAATGTGACGCCTTTAAGTCAAGTATGAAGTGAGTTCAGGGTCAATACAACATATCCTGACACAAATCCGACATCGTTAGCGATTGCAGTAACACAACACTAAGCTCCTTTTCTAGAAAGATCAAGGTGCTCTGGTAAAGTCCCAAGATTTCAGGCGGCTCTAGCCCGACCCAGTGGAGCGGTCGTACATTTCGTCCAGGATTCGCCACCGGACGGACTTGGAAGCCGTCCATGGCCGTCTACCGGTTTTTTCATGCATGCTTTTGCTCTCGCACATGGCTGATTAAGCGAAGATGTGACTGACACCCGTACTCGGAGTACCTTTCTTTCGAGTGACGCTCTTCGGGCCAGATCCATACAGGCCTTGATGCTTAAATAATCTTGCCTGGACAGCCCCGTCGGCTACTCTCATGTTTTCTCCTCGTTGAGTCCAATTCCTTGCAATTGACACCAGTCCTGTCACGCTCCAGTCGAAGCCAGATCGTCATCACCGTTGGTAGGACCGCTCCACGGTCTGCACACACACACACATAACAGTCGTTGACAGGATATCTGTATTCAGGGCTTCGGCGCCTCGACCGCAATTTAGCGTGGCTGTCTCGGACTCACACATCACGCAAACCCATTCCATCTCGTAAGTTCCCGATCTCTGATACAGAAACTCTACTGTGACTGCCCCCACGCTATCAACGAGCCGCGACCGTGGTTTCTTGGTAGCTTGCAGTCCATGGAGAAAGGTTTACCGCCATGTGTTTGTGGACATGCCAAAGTGGATTCACCAGTTTGTTAACGACCAACCCCTCTCCACTTGTTCATTTGAACTAGCCGTCTCTGTCACACCAGCCATTTCCCGCGCGCTGCAAGCTTGTCTTTCTTTCCTCTTTCCCATCTTCTGATTTGGCTGTTTCTTAGATTCTTTCGTCTTGTTCGCAACGTTCCTTAGATTGCTTGCGCCCTCTCTTTTGGCATGGAGAAGTAACGTGGTCAGATTCTCCTTCCGTCGGCTTTTTTTCCCTCACAACGGAACCAAGTAGTCTGCCACTGGCAGAGCTTTCGAGTAAGCTAACAATCATTGCACCTACTCAGCATCCCCTAAGTCATGTTTTGTTGTCATCGCTTGGACTAACATATATCAATCAGAATCGTTTCAAACACTGTCTCATCACACCGTGACTGTGATAAGCTAGGGTTGAAACCTTGTTAGAATGGGCGAGGCACCACAAGCTCAAGGCGATCGACAAGCTTCTGCCTACTCGGATCATCAAGACTCGACGAAACTGATTAACATGGACCATTCGCCAGGAAAAAATCTTAGGGACGAACAGTCTGCACCTTTCTATTCGCAATTTGATGCATTTCCGCATGCTCCACACGCTCAGCATGGTACATATCCTAGCTACCAGTCCCAGCAGTCAATGGATCGGCTAGGCATGAGCTCCATGGGTCTTGCGCTGCCCGAAACTTTCACCTCGTCCACTCCTGCACGAGTTTTCTCCCAGCCAGCACCACCCTACGCAAACGGAAGCTTGCCTCCAGGCATGGAGTACCGGCCACAAACACTCCCATACGGATCGCAAGTCTATCCACCAAACGTAGCAATGCATGCTTCTATGCCACGCACCCATATGCATGCCTCATTGTTCGCTTCTCATTACTACTACAACTCATACGGTGCTCCACAGCCTCCGGGACAGCCTTTGACAGGATACGCGACAATGCCTCCTCACGGCAAGGCTGACACCACTGGCCAACATATGCTTTCTCAACCATATTCAGGTACGTTCCTTCGTAGTCCCACGGAAGGAAGCAGCCCGCGACTTCCTCAATTCCGTCCGGATTCTATGATACTAGACCACTAACGTGTCCCCGCAGGTCTCGCTAGACGTGACATTACCGCCCAAGCTGCCCCTTCTTATCCGAGGGGTCCTCCGAGGAAGCCCAGACAATCCGGCTATGCGCTTTGGGTGGGTAACTTGCCCCCTGACGCCACCATCATCGCCCTCAAAGAGCACTTCTCGCGCGAAGCAACAAACGACATCGAGAGTCTGTTCCTCATCGCCAAAAGTAATTGCGCATTTGTCAACTACCGTACCGAAGCGGCATGCATGGCTGCCATGGAGCGGTTCCATGATTCCCGCTTCCAAAGCGTGCGCTTGGTGTGTAGGCCCCGTCGCGGAACGCCCAATGGTGGATCTTCTTCGTCGACGCCAGATTCAATCACCCCGAACTCGAGCAATGAGAACGACAAACAGTCCCGAAAAGTGGTTCCCAGATTGCCTTCTGGACCTGTCATTGTGGACAGCTCGGCCGGTCACTCACCAAAGAAAGCGGCCCAACAAAAGCTCAGCCAGAGTCTGGAAGGAACTGATGGAGTGGATGGGGCTAATGGGGTTGATGGAGCTGCTGGATTCAACTCAGCGCGCGTGCCCGAGAAGTACTTCGTTGTCAAGAGTCTCACGTTGCAGGACCTCGAGGCCAGTGTGCGTAATGGCGTTTGGGCTACTCAGAGCCACAATGAGGTGGCTCTGAATTGCGCTTACGAGGTGAGAACGAACCATGAACCGATCATTCCATTCACAGTCGACTAACGTGTTTGCAGAGTGCCGACAGTGTCTTCCTAGTCTTCTCTGCCAACAAATCCGGCGAATACTTCGGGTACGCTCGCATGCTCAGCCCCATCACCTTCGACTCAGCTGCTCCCTCTGTCAGCTTACGGCCCAGGCCTCAAGACCTGGACAATGGACCCAAATCTATACCGACTCCAGCAACACAATGGGCACCGAAAGGACGTGTCGTGGATGACTCTGCGCGCGGGACCATCTTCTGGGAAGTCGACAACTCAGAATCCGAGGAAGGAGCAGATGGCGTCGCGTCACAGCAGCCCCAAGAAGAGAAGGCAGGATCGAAACAAGTTCAAGAGTGGGGAAAGTCCTTCAAGGTCGAATGGATCTCTACGAACCGCCTTCCCTTTTACCGCACGCGCGGATTGCGAAACCCTTGGAACGAAAACAGGGAGATCAAGATTGCACGCGATGGAACTGAGATCGAACCCAGCATTGGACAGCGTCTTGTGCAAATGTTCCACCGACCGGCACCCCTACCACAAGGAATTGTCGGTATGCCGCCAGTCAATCCAGCCATGGCTCAGCACTTTCCTGCATGATAGCCTTGTCGAGGGCGCGACTCGTGAATACACTCAACTTGGTCAGACCACACAATGGAATTAACCTTGATCAAGATAGACTCGGATATCAGTGCGTATCTGAACCCCCCTCACGACATCGACACCCAACACGATACATTCCAACCTAGGATACCAAGGGCCTCGTCCACATAGATACGCTCATCATCATTCGATGGGCGAAAAGTTCTCTCAAAAACAGTTACACCGGTTCACCTTTAAAAGATCTGTCATTAAGCGAAGCCAGCGACCTTTGTCTTTCGGAAAGCGGGCCATTTGTCTCTGCTCATCTGATTTGCCTTTTTCGATCCCTTTCCTGTTTTTTATTATTACTATCTTCACTTCTATTGTACAAAGCAAGCAACGATCTGTACGGCATATCCATATGTATTCACACTACGAAGAAACGAGACCATATTATCAGAACATTTTCGAGACAAACCTCAGTCACCCTTGCAGAACGATTGTCATGGGCATTTCCAGACGATTTGACATTTCGCGAGACGATTATGCCCCTGCCTGATGCAGAGGAGCAAAGACAAAGTTCCTCGATCGGCGGCTTCTCCGAGCCAAGAGTGCTAGACATTGGTAGCAGTGGGCCCGATTCAAACGTCCAAGGGCACCATTTTTAGCGGCGCGGCCGTTGCTACGTCAAGTGCATGGAATTTGTGAATTTTGCATTCAGAACAACTCAGAGACCGAGAGCAACTAGCGAATCGAGTGCAACGGAAGAAATGGCTGATAAGGACATGATGCAGGAACATGTAGGAATACTCGGAGTAGCTTGACTCAGCTTCGGCCGCTAGGTTCAAAGTAGTGAAGTTGAAGCAAGTTGGAGCGAAAGCGATCTGACAGCAGCCATGGCAGGACCTTCCATAACATCCCTTGTCGCATGCGGCTGGAAATCTCTGCCGCTCAGCCACCGACACCCACATCTCTTAGACTCTGACTCTTCAAGAGCTCACGTTCGATACGATCGTATAGTAGCAAAGCAGTTGGCAACAAACGGATGGTTGGGAAATCCCTGTCGGCGCGCAGGTTTCGTAACTTTTGCCTCTTCAGGGTTTCACGATCACGGCGGTCGGACCTGCGCTTGCAGTAGTCGCTGCTGCTGCTGCTGCTGCTGTCGTCGTAAGAAGCTCGGCGCGAGACGCGAGAACAACTTGGAACTCGCGAGAAGTCGTGTGCATGGCCCTTTCCAGGCCCTCGATGCTTTCTGTGATGCGTTTTTCGATGTCGGTCTTGCGAGCGAGCAAATCGCGAAGAGTGCCGAATGCGGTCTGACTTGACGCGTCGGCGTCGGTGCCGGGTCTAGATTGCAGAGTTTAGCCTTTTTGCTTTTCCACGTCTCAGAGGCGTGCGGTGAGCACGCCGCGCAAGGAGGCAGGAATTGCCGAAACGTGCTGATGGATGGCTGAGATGCGTTTCTCGGATTTCCATGTTGGATATGCATGCCGACATGCATTGGCCGTGGTTCATATTCATTCGGATCACAAAACTCAACGTACTGCTCGACCGTGATGTTGCGCTTGAGGGATTCAATTCTCTTTTGCAAGTCCTTCTGCTTGTTGCTGCGATTCTTGCGAATTCTTGTACGCGCCTTTTCCTGACGGATCACGACCTATCGAGGTAATCTCGGTTAGTTATATGTACACTCCTTCGACTGTGATCAATGGCCTTCGGGATCCTTGAGTTTTGTCGAGGTCTTGGAACATTAGGCTGACTTACAGATTTGCGCAGATCGTCTTGCTTCTTCTTAAAGGTGATACCGCCGTCGTCGTCGGTCTCTGTGGACTTGACTGTCTTCTGTGCTTTGGTTGGAACCATGATCGCGTCTGGCTGGTCGAGTATAAAGTAAAGTTGTAGTCGAACAGCTGTCAATCTCTAGTATGTGGCCGATCGTACTCCGGTGTTGCTAGATACCCGTTGTCAAGGAGAGCGTGATAATTGAGGCTTGTGGAATTCTAGAGGGGATTTGCAACGTCATGTTCAAGTGACAGAATAGGAAACAGCTTGAGTCTCGAATGCGGGGTAAATCTCGGATTCTCTTTCTGGAGGAAAATTATTGCTCGCGCTCCGATAACGACAACAAGAAGCGTCCATCACTCTTTCAACACACATTATTCGTCATCATGGGTCTCGCAGGTCCCAAAAGACGCAGCAAGATCGGAACCGACCCGAACAACAACAACTGGGCCAAAGCGACAGATTCCTTCGGTCACAAGATCCTTGCCTCGCAGGGCTGGAAACCTGGCGACACGCTCGGCGCCAGAGACGCAAACCATGCCTCACATTACACTGTCGGCAGTAACTCGCATATCCGCGTTCTGCTGAAAGACGACAACTTGGGTCTCGGAGCAGCCCGAGTTGCAAGCAACGCAGAAACTTTCGGTCTGAGTCTGTACTCGGGTCTTCTGGGCAGACTGAACGGCAAATCAGAGGCAGAGGTTGAGAAGCAGCAGACGGCGCAAAGAGACGTGGAACTGGCACTATACCAAGGCAGAAAATATGGCAACATCAACTTCATCAGCGCAGGCTTCTTGGTCGGTGACAAGATGGACCTCAAATCCACTGTCATGCCAAACTCGAAACCCGCATCCGAAAAGACTGCGCCGGACGCAGCAAACAAGAAGCGCAAGAGATCAGAGCCCGAACAATCTGCAAACGATGCATCATCCGAGTCCGAATCTTCAGACTCCTCCGACGACGAAGAAGTTGCTGAGGCGCCCAAGTCAAAGAAGGCCAAGAAGGATAAGAAATCGAAGAAGTCTTCCGCCAAGGACTCGAGCACCGAGAGCATAGAGGAGGTCAAATCCAAAGACAAACGTAAGAAAGAGAAGAAAGACAAGAAGCGAAAGGCTGCCGATGCATCAAGCTCGGAAGACGAGACGCGAGCAGAGAAGAAGGCGCGCAAGGTAGAAAGGCGGGCAAAGAAGGAGGCCAAGAAGGAGGAGAAGAGGAAGAGAAAGGAAGAGAAGAAGGCTGCCAAATCTGGCACTGCCACTCCCTCAACGGCACCTGGAACTCCTGCAGAGCCTGCACCAGTCGCTGCTCTGTACGGTAGACAAAACGTACGCCAGCGTTACATTGCACAAAAGCGCCTGGCATTCATGGACCCGCAAGCCATGAAAGAGGTACTATTATTAATTGTTCATCACGCGCGCCGAGTACTGACACATCTTGCAGATCTTCATGGTAAAAGCATAGAAGCATTTCTTCCGCAAATTCTTTACCTCTTTATATTGCCACCAGGCATAGCGTGGCTATCAATTATTCGGGATCTCTTCATGGCGAGTTATAGACGAGAGCGTAGAAAAGCGTTCTGTCTCTTTCCAGGCGTAATGCATGTGGCCCTTGGAGTTCTATCTGTGCGTTATTCCTACTATCAATCAACCCTGAAGTCTACTCATATTTCGCCCCCTGTGCTGTTGATATCACTCTGTACACACGCGAAGGCTTGCAGCCAGTATCAGACGGATGGGCTTGTGACAGCTGATTGCAAGCGAGTGGTTGTGAATGCATCCTAAGTCACGAGAGAATTGACGTAGTCACGCTCATCGAGGGCCCCATCAGAGCAAGAGCCACAGCCAATGGCTCGAAATGCATGAAAATGAAAATCACGGAAGGTATTATTGTGCTTTCTGGATGCTTCACTCGATTCGTGCGGCAGAAGTTGTTTCACAGAAGGAGCATCCGGTGGCATGTGAAAGTCGTCACAATCTTAAGCCCGCACAATCGCCGTCGATCTGTGGGGGATCTGCACGGCGGCGACTTCCGTCCTCACTGTCGAGTTGCCTTCCATCTTTTTACTACTTCCTACCAGAAACCAACCCACCGTGGCTAGATCCCATCAGTGGCCAGGATGGCATCGACGGTCAATACTGGAGTCTCTTCGGCTGTCCTGAAATCACAAACCCCGAAACAGAATCTCATCGCTCAAGGCGCGGAAGCGTTTCCAGCATTCTTTGACAATTGCCGAGATGCTTTTCAACTTGAATATAGTGGCAGGCCACGCAAACGTGCAAGGCTCGAGGACTCTGTTGAACTGTCCCATTCCCCTCTCGGATCTGGGATTACTATCGCACGTGTCGAAATTCACCTTCAACAAACGTCAGATGCTGCCAGGCATGTCGGCACATCGACAGTACTGGAAGATGACATCGAGGTCGGACTTGTTGACAGCCACGGTTTGGACACTTCGAAGCCGTTCTTCACCTTGGTCGGTCATGTCGGCTACAAGAAGAGCCCTTTGCTCGAGTTTCGGACAACAACTTCTCTTCTACCAGACACTGTGAATTTGCTTTCGCGCGTCAAGAGCCTGGAGAAGCGCTCAAGACGTAATGTCAGGCCCGGAGTGTGCCACTCTACGTGCCGTCTGCATCAGTCGAATGGTCCGTCCGGTCCCACATACACGCTAGAGTGTAGCATCATCTGGCTCAACGGAGAGTCTGCTTTCGGAGCTGCTGCAAAGAAGGAAGATTGGGACACTTTGACCCAGTTCTATCCGGAAGTCAAGAACAACCAATCAAAATCTTGGACACCACAGGAATTCTACTCTAGCGTGCACTCTCCGTCGGTCGATGCGCCCGAGTCAGAACTGACAAAACGAAAGGTATTGGAAACCGATCTATATCCCTTTCAAAGACGTGCTGTTACTTGGATGCTTGATCGAGAGAGTTCCAATCAGGAGTCATCACGAAGCCGTCTATCTTTCACGCCGGCTAAGGACATCAACGGACAGCCTTGCTTTGTCAGCCATCTGGAGGGTGTCATTTGTTCCGCCTCACATCTCAGTACTTTTGACGAACCCAAAGGCGGGATTTTGGCCGAGGAGATGGGCCTTGGAAAGACCTGCGAGCTCATCGCATTGATATCGCTCAACCAGCGAGATTCTTTGGATACGAATACCGTGCATGCGAACACAATACCTGCGCTTACTAAATCTCGAGCCACGCTCATCGTCACACCGACTACCATCTTGCAGCAATGGATGGATGAGTTGGCTCGACATGCTCCTAGTCTTTCTGTCTTACACTACAAGGGCGTCTCTGACCCAGCATTGACCAAGAAAGGAGCTATGCCCATACTAGAAGACTTCGCTCAACGAGACGTCGTCATCACAACATATTCCGTTCTCGCAAAGGAAGTCCATTACGCCGTCGACCCGCCTGAACGTTCGCTGCGACAACGCGAACGAAAACACACGAGACCCCGAAGTCCCCTTGTTCAAACGCACTGGTGGAGAGTATGTCTGGATGAAGCGCAGATGGTTGAGAGTGGAGTCAGTGCAGCAGCTCAGGTTGCATCTCTCCTACCACGTGAGCATGGATGGGCTGTTTCCGGAACGCCTCTGAAGAAAGACGTGCAAGATTTGTTCGGGCTTCTGGTCTTCCTCGGCTATCAACCATTCTGTGACTCCTCTGCAATCTGGAAACGGCTGATCCATCAATACGGTGACTTGTTCAAGACCTTGTTCGGCCGTATAACTCTGCGTCACACAAAGGATCAAGTACGACATGAACTTCGATTGCCTCCTCAGAGAAGGGTTGTTCTGACCTTGCCCTTCACCCAAGTTGAAGAACAAAATTATAAGACACTCTTCGAGGAGATGTGCGAAGAGTGTGGATGTCGTCCTGATGGTTCTCCTCTGAACGATGACTGGAACCCAGAGTCACCTGCCTTGCTTCAGAACATGCGAGCTTGGCTTTGCCGGTTGCGTCAAACATGTTTGCATCCTCAGGTTGGCGGCCGCAACAGGAAGGCCCTTGGACGGGGTCAAGGACCATTGCGTACTGTGGCCGAAGTGTTGGAGGTCATGATAGATCAGAACGAAACATCTATTCGCACAGAGTCTCGTCTTGCTATCACTACGCAGCTTCTCCGCGGCCATATTATTGGAAATGCAAAGGACGACGATCACAGAGCCGAGAAGGCTTTGGAGATCTACAAATCCGCCCTCGAAAAGTCCGAAGCAATTGTTGCCGAATGCAGGGTCGAAGTTTCCAGAGCAATTGCTCGCAGGAGTGACGCCGAAGTAACGCACAATGGTATCGGAGGAGAGGAATCGACGGAGGAGACATCCGAAGGCCGGAGCAAGGTGTCGCTGTACTCGGCTCTACAGCTTCAGCATGCATGCGCTTTCTTCATTGGTACGACGTACTTCCAGATGAAGTCCAACACCAGAATCACTGAACCAGACTCAAAGCAATTCCGAGATCTGGAGGAACAAGAGTCATGGTACTATGATGCTGCGAAGCTGATTCGTAAAGAGCTTCTCAGCGAAGACTCTGCCAAAGCCGAAGAGCTCATGCGCTCGATCGAGCAAGAAAAGGATGATGTGATCCTTGAGCCCACCAAGTTGACAGCTATGGAAAGTCCTGGAGGCGTAGAGAACGTCAAATTGGTGAGCCTTGCTTCGATAAACTCCAGAAAGAAGAGCTAGCCTGACTAACTGTCCACAGGTCCACAAAGCCCGAGATCTTGCAAGTATTCTCAACGCCCAAGCGGAGCTCATCGAAGAGTGGAGAGCGAAAGTAATCGAGCTTCTACTCAAGCCTCTGATCGACAAGGACGAGGAAGGCGTTGAAACTACTGGTGAAGAGTACGAAGACTCGACAAAATCACAAGACACTCTAAACGCATACCTTGATGCTCTACGAGCCGTGATTGCTGACCGCTCAACATGTATCACTGGCCAAAGTGCGCCTCTTGTCGACCAAGAGATGAAACATCTGACTCAAATGGCCAAATTAGGTAATGGTCATGCACCAGAGCTTATACTCGAACTGCTAGCGAAGCGTAATGGTTTGAAGCAGAAGCCTGATGACTTACTGTCCCTCCGTGGTCTAGTTCATGAGGTTCGCGGTATCGAAACAGCACTTGACTGGCAAGAGGGGAACGCACGCGTTCGTGCGGAGCTCCACATCATTCGCGATCAAGCAAAACAATTCGCTGCCATTACGCAGGAAGAATCCGACTTGTTGAAACGCCTTGACGAGATGATTGAATTGTTCTCGGCCACAATGAATCAGCGCCTAGAGTTCTATCGTCAGCTTCAGCAAATTTCGGACACTGTAGCCCCTCACAAAGACGATTGGGACGATACCCTTGACGTGGCTGCCCTCGAAGCCGCGACTCGCCGACAAGAACAGCAAACCAGGTCACTCCAAACTCTCAAGACCAAGAATAGGTTTCTGCTACATTTACGCGACGAGAGCACGAATTCAGACGAGACACAACGTATCTGCGTCATTTGCCAGAGTTCATTCGAACAAGGTGTCCTCACAGTTTGTGGTCACCAGTTTTGCAAGGAATGCATATCTCTCTGGTGGTCGGCTCATCGTACATGCCCGGTCTGTAAGAAGAGATTGGTTCTCGCAGACTTTCATCAAATCACATACAAACCGCAGGAATTGCAAGCACAAGAAGAAAGATCTGAGCCTTCCTCGCCGGGTCAGAGCTCGAGCAAGATCTCGACTGAGTCACTCTATGCCGACATTGGTAATGATACTCTGGCACAAATCAAGTCTATTGATCTGAACGGCTCCTTCGGCACCAAAATTGACACTCTCGCTCGACACATATTGTGGATCCGTAAGAACGATCCGGGAGCAAAAGCAATCGTGTTTAGTCAGTTCAGAGAGTTCCTTGACGTGCTCGGCACCGCATTTAAGCAATTCGGTGTTGGTTACTCGCGCATGGGAAAGCCAGGCGCTGTTGATCGATTCAAGAACGACGCCAGCATTGAGTGTTTCCTTCTGGACGCAAAGACCGACTCCTCCGGCCTCAATCTAGTCAACGCTCAATACGTTTTCCTGGCGGAACCACTCATCAACACGGCAATCGAGCTCCAAGCCATCGCTCGCGTCCACCGTATCGGACAGAAACGACCAACCACCGTATACATGTACCTCATCGGCGACACGGTGGAAGAAGCCATCTACGAAATCTCAGTCGCCAGACGTCTAGCACACATGCAAAAACGAGACCAAAGAAGATCAAAATCCACAACTCCGGCTCTGGGCGAAGCGGCCATCGATGCGGCAAATTCGCTCGAGCTGCAACAAGCCCCGATCTCGAAATTGCTCGCTCAGGGGAATGGTGGAGGCGAACTCGTGCCTAATGATGATCTGTGGAGTTGCTTGTTCAGTCGTGCTGCGAAGAGTCAGAGACAGCAAACTGTTGTTTCGGCGGAGATGGAAGCGGAGGTGGGAAGGCATTTGCGACAGGAAGCTGCAGAGAACAGACGTGATGGAGTTTAGTCGCTCATGGACGAAGCAAGAGCGATGAATACTGTTTTGCAACAGAACGGACAATGACGAAGAAGGAGCGGGAGGAGCGGAACAACACGCAGACTGAGCACAATAACAATCGTGTGCAAACAGGCAAGACACTCATGAAGCTGGAATAAGAAACGTCGCAAAGACGTATTCTGTAATTAAGTAGCTTTGATAATTCATAATGTTGACCCGAAAGAAGCAACCAGATAAATGCGAAATTTCCAAGTGTTGTCACTCATTCCTACATGAAAGAATCATGATCAAACTGTTGAATCAATTCATCCATCCATCAGGGTGATTATGGGAAGAAATTCAAAGAGCGATTCTTTGCCATCAAAATAATCAGCAGGAAAAAAAAAAAAGACCAACCTAAATCAAATCAACCCCAAATCATATCGCTATCCTTGCTGCTGTGAATATATCAATCAACCATTTTTGCAAACACATGAGGGACAAAAACAAGGGAAACTACGATTATCTACACTTGATCGACTGAAAGTGTTCAGGTTAGCACACCAAGGACCATCTCCTTTCGATCTTCAACTGCAGTGACGTGAGAATGTAAACTTTCTGCTCTTGCATCATAGACGCCCCTTCTTCTCTGTATTTTGTACTCTTATACCCTGTTGGATTGGAGTATACATATACAATGGTATTTTTTCGAGTCAAACTGATCTGGTCTCTCGGGAATATGTCACTGGCATCTCCACTTCTTACCTGTTCTTGTTCATACACGATGAAGGAATTTTTCTAGGTGTAGTTGCTCCCTCATATGCAACGCGTGTGAAGAAAAAGGTTATCGGTGAAGAGCTTCCATGGTGTGAATATATGCACAAGAAGTGGTATACCGGCTTATGATGATACAGGTCGTGACCAGTACGAAATGACAGTCTCGTGACGTTCCTGTCCAAATAGCGTTCTGGGATGCTGTTGTCTTGTTTCTCCTGATTCTGCGTCCTCTCCTTACTCGTCTTCTTTCTACACCCTACTATAAAGCGGCGACTGGGCTCTGTGCGGCGAGAGAGGGTTGTCGTGTTATCGCACGGGTTCGGTTTTGTTGTCACTGTCGGGCACGCCTGTGGGTGTTCGTCTTGGGCTGAAAGACGTGATGGGAGTGTGAGTGGCTGATTGGTCCTATGATGTTCTTCGACTGCTTCCTTGGTGACTCGAGTTGGACGAGCGCGTTCCGTCGCGTTCGACGTGTTCGGTGGCACGTAAGAGTGTCGAGAGTGAGGCCTTGTTCTGGAGGTCCAGGTCTTGAGAGTCCTTGAGGGGCAATAATGGCGGGGGATGTAGCGGGTGAGGCGGATGGGGCGTACGTCGGGAGGTCGGAGATGAATACTGAGTGGCTTGGGCCGAGTGCTGGCCGATGCCTCTTGGGTCGATGGGAGGTAGAGTGGTATGCAGAGGCCAGTTGAGGAGAGGCGTAGCGTCGGAAGATTTGCGTGAGCTCATCGAATCGAGATGGCTGAGCGGGGGCAGCGTGGTGGTGGAGGGTTTGGGTGGACCGCTACTGCGAGTAGCGGGATAGGAGAGGCGAGAGCTGGAGGGCGATTGGGAGCCATCGTCGGATTGAGTAGTGGCTGTGGTGTTGGTCATCTGTCTGTGGATGGCCAGAGGAAGACTGGGCTGGGTAGACGATCGCCAGGCGGAGTAGGAAGACACGGTGCCCTCATCCGAAGGAGGTGCATTCTTGGGGAGAGGAAAGAGGCGGAAAGAATCGACATTGGGCGAGGCGTTGGTTGGTGAAGGTAGAGCCTTGATAGGCGGCGAGCCACTTCGATCGTGTGTGCCGTCTTCGCCCTCGACGCCATCATTGCCATCGACATCGTCGACACCATCGGCACCATCACCTCTCTCGTCTCCGTCGGCGACCGACTCGTCCCAGCTGCGATTCTGGCTACCTCCTTTTTGTAATTTGGGCTTCTTGAAGTTCTCTAGCAAGAAGCATGTCAGCAGTGCTAATACCAAATACAAAGGCGGGACCGACCTTGATGGTTTGATTCCGAGTGTTTTGCTTTAAAGTCTATTAGATACTCCTGGTACTCCTTGTATTGGGGCGTCTTCTTGTATTTGCGGAGCTCCGAGTAATACTTGTCCTTGAGAGTCTGTGCTTCGCGTTCGCAAGGCTCCTTTTCGTGCGCTTGTAGCTCTTGCCAGCGCTCACCTACCAGTTTCGCAATTTCAGTAAAGCTAAGGTCCTTGCCTCTGAGTTGATCGCGTATTTCTGTATGGTTTCCTGTCAGCACTTGCTACAGCGGGACTCAATCAGGACGAAACCAACGGTTGGAGAAGATGACATATGCAGATGGCGGTCGTTCTGGTGCGTGTTCGTCAGGCTGTACGCGGGCTGTGTCAGTTTCCTCTTGATCTAAAGGCAACTGCGTACGCGTCCTGGATGGCTTACTTTGGGGTGCCGTCTGTACTTTCGTTTCGACCTTTGGGGTGCGCCGTTGGTCTGGCCTGCATTGTGCTGGTTCTGGTGACCATCTTGATGGCTTTGTGAATCCCGGCCTTTCTTCGAGTCGTCTTGGCCAGCAGACTCGTCAACGTGTGTGGACCGGAATGGCGAAGGCAAAGGTGTCCTGTCCTTGGACGCATTGAATATCGCTCTCTGGAGTTTCTGCCATCAATGGATTAGTGTCGGTTTGGGAAATTCTGATTCGGGCTTCAAAAAAACGCACCCTCCGATGGCCAAGCTTCACTCCGAGAACCTCTCTGTAGACGGCCATGTGTCAGCAATGTCGTGTGTATGCAGCCCGCCGGCAGTCCGCTTACTCACAAATCAGCTTCTGTTATGTCCATGAGTGTTTCCCATGTGTCGAAGCCCTCGTCAACAAAGGTATCATGATAGTGCGATAGGTCTAGCCGCGAAAGCTGGGATTTGAGGTCGTTCATCATGAGCGCGACAAATGTTCAAAAAGCCCCGTTGCAAGAGACAAGGCTCTGGGGTTAAGGAAGAGAGATGGCCAATTGTGCCAGCGAGCACTAGTACGAGAAGTCACGCCTGATCAATCGAAGCCGCAGTCACGATGACATTGTGAGTGAACAGCTTGAGCGGTAATGGGGAATGACAAACGGCGATGGTGAAGCCCGATTTCGATGGACCAACAAGCGCAAAAGATTTCGGTCGGCGCTCCGAACCAATCCCTTCGTTCTGGGGGGGCCTTTGGCCCTTCGCCGCTCGAGAGTCTTGGTAGGATGCCGATTCACTCGCGCCGTGCGATGAGCGGCGTAGCTGATCCGTGTCTGTCTCGCTGAAGCTCGAAGGCTGAAGCTGTTGGGCCAGGGCCGCCAGGCGGTGCAAAGGGGAAGAGGGAAAGCCTCCGACTTTCGGAAAGGACTCCGGGCGGGGCTGTAGATTCACACGCGACGTTCGAGATGCAGAAGTTCTGCTGAATGCTGAGGGATGTGGCAGGCGAAAGCAGCAGCAGAAGAAGTTGATGAAAAGCAGGAAGGATCTGTCCACGAATGCGATGTAGGAAGCAGCATGGCGGATTTAGTGTGGATGTCCTTGCTTTCCTTCTCTCAATAGCCGAACCTGTTTGTCCATTTTGGTTGTTGTTGCCCGCATGCCCTTTCTCATCACCGATGCATTTTCACGATCTGGGAAATTTTTCGCCGGACGAAAAACAAACAATTCGGCAAACCATCTTAATGCGTCGCCCTTTCGTCTGCCCTCGATGCCATCGGACGATGAAAGGGCGTCAGACTATTGCTTCATCCATCGGTGCATATAACTTCGATGTGTGCCTCCTATTTCGATGTAGGCATTTCTAACTTTACGTGCGATCGGCGGACTGGTCATGTATTACGATGTTACGGAAAATGGTAATTGATGAACGCTTTTCTTGGCATCCGGTGGAGCCGTCACCGTCCCACCGGCGAATCTTCTATTCGCCCATTGCTTGCCATCATAGAAATTCGCATCCGCTAGGTACTTGAATCCGCTAGTCGACGCTGTGCGCTGACATGGGAAAAGTCCAATCTCGATGACTTTCCCTGCGCACAGGAACTGCGCAGGCGACGAGAACTGTAAAACTTCCATTGCTAGTGTGCCCACTGTTCCGCTCCGTCGACGGACCAAGTGACCGTGTCCGCGACCGACTTGGGTGCTTGCTTGTTTGCGAGCAATGTGCTGATTCGCGCCAATAGGGCTACCTACCTAAACGAGCTGTGCTACATGGCACGCTGTAAGCTAACAGTTATTCGAGCATCTAGGTTCATAAGCCAAGAAAATATAGCTAACCCTTTGTTCCGTGTTTTCGAGAGAAACGTGGACGTCACACGAAACAGGAAGTTGCAATTCCAACCGAGGTCTTAGACTTCGCTCCGCTTCGCCTGAACACTTGTTCCATCATGATCATCCATGAGAAAGAAAAATGCATGATGCCTACCCGATTTCTCGATGCCCGCCGTATGTGGATACGCAGCACCTCCGCCCATGCACATTTGTTTCGCTTTCGCTTTCTAGAATACGACTTTTGCTTCTAGTTGGGCCTCGGGTCCAAAGACCATGCAACACTCAAGTGTATAATATCGCACGTGCACAAGACGATCGATTCGAGAAGGCGAAGAATTACGGCACTAGGTGCAAAATGCATCAATGTCCCTCGATTCCCCATGTGTTAGAGTCTATTACGCTTGTAGCTGTTAAGAGTACATGATGTAAGTCCTGCCTCGTATATCGAACTCTATTACATCGACTCTTGAGAGCCACATGGACGCGTACGGAGTATTGATCCACCTGTCAAATTGCAGAGCATGCGGTCCTATCTGGATATAGCCATACTCGCGAATATCAATGTATGTTCTGACAGCTGTACAACTGGCTCCAGCACACTGGGAGGCTATATCGAACAGAGGTCACTTTAGGCAGGGCAAACGGTTTCGATGGACGACTGCGCAAACCTCGGAAACATCTTGCATCTCCGATCTCCAGGCGTCATCACGAAAGAAGGACGATAGTGACAAAACTCTGCTTTCATTTCTATCGATGGTATCGCGGCAGATTCTCTGATGCGCCTCCTGTCACTTCATCGCCACCAAGTACGTACTCGTTCAAATCATCATCTATAATTAACGGCGCAGATGGCCCAGATTGTGTGTTCTCCTCCTCGTGAGTATTTGGTGATAGTGGCGGCCCGCTTGCAGAAAGCGCCAGCTGTCGTCGTTGTAACTCGTGCTTGTCGTCTGTTGGCGGCAGCGCACTGCCGTTCTCAGTCGTATTGTGGACATCCTCAGAGGTATGTACCTGATGCGTTGTTTGCGTGGACGCTCCAGCAGATCGTGATGAACCCGCGACGGCGGCCCCATGATCTTGGTAAAAGTCATCTTGAGGCAGTATTGGAGCAGTCGCTTGCTCCGCGCCTGCAGATGCTGGAGGCATAGAAGGTGGTTGACTAGGCATCAATCGTGCCTCTGCCCGACGTAAGCGTTCCTTTTCAGGGAGAGATTCCTCATTCTCCAGTGGAGGAGGTTCATGGTAAGCAGGATAGTAAGATCCATCATACTGATAATCATGGCCTGGATCCCACTGATAATCTTCCGCACCATAGTCGTAGCTGGTGCCGTACTGGTAATCGAGAGAAGTGTTGGGATCGTAATCATAGCTGTAAGGACCAGAATGCTGATAAACTTCGAAGTCATGACTCGATACCGTCGAGTGCCCCTGCTGTTGTGCCACAACATATTGTGTCATGTCAGGATTATCTTCCAGGTTGTGTGGCGATGGCGGGGGTTCGGTTGCTTTGCCCTTTCCCTTTCTGTTATTTCGTTCACTGTCAGTCGTTCCGACGACAACTTCGAAAGTACATGTCGCGACAGATTTGTCCCTACGAATAGGGGCAGTGTCGAGAATACCGGCACCGTTAAGCATCAGGAAAGGAGTATCATCGGGGCCATTGAACAGGCTGTTCTCTTTGTTATCAACAGGACGCGAAGCAGCAGAGACGGGACCACTGCCGTGTTGTGACAGATATCTGTCGTGGGTAAGCTTGCCCTGAATGTCCAAGACAATCTCAATGTAATATCGAAAAGAGATCATAGCTCCTGGCACAGAAGTAATGGTGGGGAATGCACCATGGGGAACGCCTATTTTAGCATTGATCTCGGCTGTCAACGAAACAGGATCCACATATAAAGGGACCAGAATCTGAGCCAGATCTTTGCGGAAAGTGTGGCTAGAACCAGCGCCCGATAAGGACAAGCCGCCGAGACCAGTTATTGACTTGGGATAATAGTCTTCGTACTTTCGCTTCTGGCCATCGGACACGGGACCTAGAGGCAGAGCAGGATGCATGTCGACACGGGCCTGGCGGTATAGGGTGATTATAATGCCGTTGATGCTTTTAATATGTTTTGTATGGTTGATGGAGATTCTCACGGGGAAGCTATCTCCTCGCAAGCAGGCGCCTTTAAGCAGCTCAACGGTTGCAGTAATGAGCTTGTGCGGCGTGTCGCTGAGACTGCTGCTCACACGGCTGTCAAGACTGAACTCGCTGACTGAGGGTGTAGGCGGCTCAGCCTCATGGGTTGGTGTGTTTGGCGTCCTCGTCGGTAGAGATGACGGAACTTTCGGTGGCTTGATCTTTCTAGTGACAGGCTCAAGTGTGATAGTGCGTGGTTTTGGTGGTAGCAAGGGCGCAATGTCGACGCGCTCGACTAGATAGATTTTTTGGTCATGCGACATGACAGGCGCGATTGTGGTGGGGCGGGTCAAGGTGGCCGTGAGCATGTAGGAAATGGTGCCTCGTTCGAAGTCGATGCTGCTGGGGAGGTCCATATCGTCAGGGAACTGGACCTCAAAGTCGAAGCGGTATACGCCCTCGTCCAGGCGACCGTCGCCGCATAGCACCGACTCGTCCTCGAACAGCGAGGCGAAGCCATTGCCAAAGTATTCGCCCGACTTCTTGCCTCTTCCCTGTGCGCGACCAATGCGATTGGTGTTGCCGCGCAGCTGGTCGGCCGTCGCGCCGGGGGTGCGGTAGACCTGTGCGAAGCCGTGTAGACAGACCGAGACGTGGGTGACGCGAACAGGCTTGACGACCTTGACGACGACGCAGCCCTTGACACTCTCGCCAGGCGAGTACTGCTTGTGTGGATCGTGGGCCTTGATGTGGAAGTCGGCAATGCTACGGCCCTTTTGCGAGAACAATGGAGACGCGAATCGGGAGAGGATGCGGCGACCGGCCGAGGGAGCTTGCGCGGGTGCTTGCGATCGAGGCGGCGACGACGAGCTCATGGTGCCGCTATCACAGGAAGCATCGTCACCGCTGGCCAGAGACGCGGTTGTCGTCTAGCGTGAAGGTAGTACTAATCGGCGCATTCGGCCAACACTCTCCGTACAAGTCGTGCAATATTAGGTTGGTGAAAGTGACAGTGCGATCCTGCTCTTCCCAGGGAACCTGACCCCAGGGCCGGAGTCGCCCAATGTCGCTCCTGCCATCTACCTCTGCATTCTGCCCGCCTCGTCTCCGCCGCTGACCCTTGCACTGCCTGCTCGTACCTCGCCTTTCTTATCGACAAGCGTCGCATCGTTATTTGCTTTTACTGGTCTCCTTTGTAGATAACAGCACTCGAGCACCGAAATGTCCTTGACCATTGACTTCGCGTAAGCCAAGCATCTCTTGACGCTGCATGCGATTGCTCTCACTTCAAGGCTTCAAGCCCTCGGCGCCTGCCAACACTCGCTCACACTATATCGCGAACAAGCTTTTAAGCGCTCCTGCCCGCTGCCATCCGCAATCCTCGCAGTCACAACACCCATGCGACTAAAATCCGATCGCCAACCACTTCTTGTTTCGGCCTTCAAATAAGCTTCGACACACGAGACCTCAGACAGGCACCGATCAAAAGCCACTTTTCGCAAAGAGCGAATGGGTCGCCTTAGCGAGATTGTCCCTTTAGTGAATCACAACCACCTTGACATGCCCTTGTACGGAAACCGTCTCGTGAATAATTCCCATCGTGCTATTTGCTTGTTGCAAGCGCTGAGTACTGCCTCGTCTTGACAAAAGGAGAAATGATTTGATGATCCACCAAGGAAACAAAAAGAAGAAACAAGAGACATTGACAAGAAAGGAACAAAGCAGAAAATGAAACACGCCGTGCGCCTTGCTAAACCCATCACGATTCTCCTACCCTGTCCTCAAACCTGACCGTCCCAACTCCAGACACGATCGCCGTCCACATTCCTCCATTGGCCATTGTAGACCTTGTCGGCGCCCATCATGACTCCGATGATGCGACAGGCGGCACTGGAGCTGGCACATACAGCTGCATCAGCATGTCCCACAACCGCTAAGTCGAGAAGGTATGCACGTCCTACGAGCTCTCTCAGCATCAGGACAGCCTTTTGCATCTCATCGCCCATTCCCTGGTTCGGCGCTGACGGATGCCCCTTTCCGAGAGAAAAGAATAACGAGGCATAGAAACCGCCCTCCCAACCAGAGTTCTCGTCGACATGCTTGACATATGCAGAACCAGGAGCGCGAATAGGTACAGCGGGTTCCAATGTTTTCTTGCTTGCAAGGACGATGCGTTCTTGAGGGCGTGAAACGGTGAGGTGAGATGGGAGGGTATTGATGAGATCGTGCGACGAAAGAATGTCCGGGTCATCAGAAGCAAGTAGGAGAGCGCTGGGTTCCATAGAGGACTTGTTTGGCGAGAAGGAAGCAAAGAGCTCACTAGCTGCAGACGTGTAACGCTCGAATGGGAGGTAGTCGTGGCTGTATTCGACCTCAAAAGGATGCAGATCGCCACGACGGATATGCATGCCAACAAGTGGAGTTTGAGAAGCGGATGCAGCGGCACGCATGACGGTCAGTTTGTGTGCCAAGAAGGACCCATCCTCTCCTTGAAGCTGAAACAGGTCCTTGTAGCCCTTGCGGACGAGATCGTAAATGGGGCGATTCTTCTTAAAGCCATGCTTGAGTGATTGCTGATATTCGGTTCTGAACGCGGGTCCAAACGTCCAAGGGAGAGTAGCGGCAGAGACGACCAGATGGCGAGCACTATGGGGACAGGGGAGAACCTGGTTGGCCGGTGGAGGTGAGCATGAGGATTTGGGAGGCTGCTTGAAGTATGTAATGTATCTTCCGTATGACCTGAAAGAATGTTAGCATGTCAGATGTTTCGATATCAGCGACAACATACCAATTTGAATCGTCAATGAAGAAAGTGCGACCTTCCTTCCTGGCAACGCCATAGCTCAACCAAAGAGCGAGCAAAGTGTTGCCAAATCCGGCTTCGCTGGTCTCCATGACAAATGTTAAGCTGCTCTGGCAGACAGGTAAGTCCGAGTTGCTTCCGTTCGCATGGCCGACCACGGAGATGTGTTTCTGCTCCTCCGGCATAGCTGGTAGAAGATGCAAGGTTTCGGCTTCATCGACCGGCATGAAAGATCTGTCTGCGGCGTAGTACGGTCGCTTCCAGAAATGAGGTCTGCTTTGCCCTTGGATCCTGGACGTACGGCCAGTCATAGCTTGGACACTTTTGCTGACTCCTTCGCTGGCTGAGCATATGTGACTGTATTCATGGTACTTTAGGGGAAACCCATACGAAGGCGGGATCGAGACTGTCCATCGAGGTTGACCGTGCTGGTCCTGGAAGATCAAAGGTGTTGGGTGGTCTGGAACAGGCGCGCCGTTGATGAGGTCAATCTGTTTGTCCGCATTGGCGAAGACAGCATCGAACTGAACATCACTTCCGAGCAGGGGGGCCAGAGTATAGCATATCAAGACGACAGCCAGCACGACTAGCATGACCACTGTGCGCGTTCGGGGCATTTTTTGCCAGTCGTCGAAAAAGCCATGATGGTTCTCGCGCGCGTGTTTAAGCAAAGGTGACGGCAGAGGGTCGGCGTCTTCTCTAGGCGGAATCCATAAGAACCTGCCCTTTTCTGCACTGTCTTGAGCGTGGTCGGCTACGACGGGCGATGTGTGGGCTGAGGCGAACGAAGCCGTGGATGAGATGGAAAGGTTGGTATTCCTGCGGTCACGCATACTGCCTGAACGAGTGCCGAGTTGCATGAACTGTATCGTGGGATGCTTGAGTAAATGCTGGATGAGTACGAGAGAAGGCCGGTGGAAAGTGGATATCAGAAAGCGGTTGTGCAACCCGAAGCTGACATGTGTAAGATGAGATGCAGTCCGGCTGTGCTTCAGCTAATCCGATGAGTCTTGTATCACAGAAGTACCTCTGTCACGCAGGGAATGGCTTAAAAGGGAAGAAACGAAAGAAACAAGACGAATTGAGAAGAGAAGAGCGATCAAAGGCAGTTAGAAGGACCGGCTTCTGACTGAGGTTGTGAATAGACGAGCTTCCAGAGCCGCGAGAGATGCAAGTCGCAGAACGGTGCGGAGCCTGAAAGTTGGAGACTGGAAGAAAAAGGAAGACCGACAAAGAGAGCACGACTCGCCCTCGGCAGGAGGTGCATCGTGCATATATGCAGCGTCGTTATCCACCCAAATGCCCCTCTTGTCTGTGCGGTGGCCGGGATCTCTGACCACCCATCCCTGTTTGCCTTTGGTTTGCTACACTCTCCAACACGAGACGACCTCATCAAACCATGGCGGCCTATCCTCATGTTCATGGCAGCTTCGGATAGCCGTTCGCGCGGTAGGGCTTGCCTCAAGTCGGACGACCTGTCAAACCCGTTGTCACAAATCTACGTTGTGGCAGGCGAGTGTGAGAGAAAGAGTGTAGCTGGGCATGTGAAACGAGCCTAACTTGAATTCGGCAAGGCCGGCCTCGGCCCGCCCGCACCAGCCACCATCCGGCAAACCAAAGCTTCCAAAGGCTGGAGCTTCTTGAATGCCCTTTCATCCTCCGCGGATCTACGGAGTAGTGCATACCAGATTGTGCTTCAAAGACGCTCTCTGATTGCTGTCCACGAGGACGGTTGATCCCTGAGGAGTGCTCCCATCATACACATGGATCCAATGCCATTGCCTACCCGCCCGTAAGGGCATCAAATACAAGCGAGGCATCCTGACTCGACCTCATAGTGCTGCATGTCGTCAAGCCGCATCTGCCTCAGTGGAGTCGCGGAACGAGAAAGTTGTGCGGCTGTGCTCGTGTACTTCAAGGCGGATATCAGAGGCCAATCAAGAGGCTTGGGGGCCTCGACAACCACATGTATCCCGTACTCAAACGTTGCCCAGCTGGAGAATTTGCCGGCGAGTCACAGCGACAGCGACAACAGCAGTGAGTCGAGTTATGCAGCCCAAAGTGCATCGTGAGTCGTTCTTAACAAAGTTCGCTTCGATGCTCTGTTCGCTAGAAGGAGATCAGAGCATGGGCTCTATTAAAATCGTCGTTTAGAGCCGATCTCATTAATGCCAGATTGCAATGTTGTCTATTTTAAAGTCGTCCCTAATATCGTAGCCCTCTCCATGGCGTAGTGTTTATCCGAAGCTCTATCAAGTGTTCCTCGCATGGCCTAGAGATCTTAGCGAGGCGAGGTCTAAACGTCCTCTTGCTGGCGGGTGCAATGCTAGTCATCTAGCCTGTGGTACGGAGTACAGTCATGGCTAGAGTTGGTCAGCCAAGATTATTGAATGGGTGACCCTGTCGAACAGCAAAGCTCATGAAGATTCACAATTGTTGATGCTTGATAGCGTGACCAGTCGTTCGTAAAGAAGAGTAGGATTGCTGATGATGTTCTAGTACGAAACGCATCGATGTGCTTTACGTGCGCCGATACCAGCAACTGCATCGGGCAATTAGATGTCCAGACTCTAATTCAGAACTATCCACGTCCTGTATGACTTGGTAAGGATGGACGATATTTTGACGAACAGAAACAGTGTCTCTGAGCTACAAGTGTGAACACCTCGATTCTGCAGAAAAGACAGTCATCCCAATCAGCGCTCATAAGTACTCCGTATCTAAGACCAACTGTCAGTCAAATTGTTTGAGCTGTTGTCCGACGCGAACAATGCTCATGGGAGGGTAGGGCTTCGGTTAATCGGCCCGGCTTGGCTACAGTGTCGCGAAGTTGAGACTTGCTCAGCGAAGCTGACCAAAAGTGCCATCACCTTCACTCTCTAAAGTGTTTGCGACTGTTTCTCCGCTCGACTCGACCACGGCGCATTTACTACACCGCCCCTATTCGACACAACACAAATCCGCCCTACGATCGCGCTGTGCGCCGCATCCGAAACAAGCCTTGACAATGACCGACTACGGTTATGGAACAGCCGATGAAGAGCTTGCCGAAGTCAGAAAGCTTGAGGCCGAGGTGCAGACCAGTCCGGATGACTTTGAGAACTGGGAAAAGCTGGTCCGCGCAGTAGAAGGTCTTGAGGGAGGTCTGAACAGAAATTCGAGCCCTCAAGCCATTACGGCCGCCAGAAGCATTTACGATCGCTTCCTTGCAAAGTTCCCCTTGTTCTTTGGATACTGGAAGAAGTACGCCGACCTGGAGTTTGCCATTGCGGGCACCGAAGCGGCCGAGATGGTAAGCAATCACATTCGCTCATCTTCAGGACCACGACTGATATCGTGAACAGGTATACGAGCGCGGTGTGGCCAGCATTGCCATCTCGGTCGACCTCTGGGCCAACTACTGCAGCTTCAAGGTCGAGACAACACACGACGACGGTGTCATTAGAGAGTAAGTCGAACCATCCCCTCATATTTGCATGACCTTCACCTAGAGCCTATCTCGTATCTGTACGACCATGAACTTCTCGCTTCGCGACATTGGCTCATGTCGAAAACGGGTGAGAGTCCCTCGCTTCCCCAAGTCATACTCTTCTCACCCACAGCCTTCAGACTCCCATCACTTGTTCAAACTCGCGCCTTGTCACATTTCACACTCGTTGGTGTCTGCTAGTCGGAGCCTTCGATCACGTCTGACAGCCTTGGGAGGCTCATGATCAGACCCTATACCTTGTTTGGTTTCTCCTTCCTCTCTGCCCCCTATCCTATGCCCGCAATGAGGCATGCATTGGCTAACAAGACTAGGTTGTTTGAGCGAGGCGCTGCCTGTGTCGGCCTGGATTTCCTGGCTCACCCCTTCTGGGACAAGTACATCGAGTTCGAGGAGCGCGCCGAGGCTCACGACAAAGTCTTTGACATCCTCACCCGCATCATCAATATTCCCATGCACCAGTATGCTCGCTACTTCGAGAAGTACCGCCAACTGGCTGCCTCACGCCCCGTGACCGAGTTGGCACCCGCAGACCTCCTCAGCCAGTTCACCGCCGAGCTCGAGCCTGAGACCAAGGGAAAGAGCCAGATCGAGGCTGAGCGTGCAATGCGCGCTCGCCTGGATACCTACCACCTCGAGCTCTTCCACAACACTCAAACGGAGACGACCAAGCGCTGGACCTACGAACAAGAGATCAAGCGCCCCTACTTCCACGTTACCGAACTCGACGAAGCCCAGCTCGAGAACTGGTCGAAATATCTCGACTTTGAAGAGAGTGAGGCCGATTACACACGCACCACTTTCCTGTACGAGCGCTGCGTCGTTACATGTGCACACTACGACGAGTTCTGGCAGAGATACGCGCGCTGGATGTACAACCAAGATGGCAAAGAGGAGGAAGTACGCATCATTTTCCAGCGCGCCAGCTGCATCTACACCCCGATTGCCAGACCCGCTATTCGTCTTCACTGGGCTCTCTTCGAGGAGGCCTGCGGTAGACCATTTGTTTCCGCCGCCATCTACGAAGCCATACTTGTTACACTACCTGGAAACCTGGAGGCTATCACCCGTCTGGCCAACCTCCAGCGCCGCCAGGTCGGCTACGATGCCGCTGTGCAGATTTATGATCAATACCTCGCTGACGCTGAATGCTCGATTGATGACAAGGGCGCGCTTGTCGTCGAGATGGCCCGATTGGCCTGGAAGTCAAAGGGCGATGCTGTCGAAGCACGCGACATTCTATCACGCCAGCAGCACATCTTCGTAGACAGCCCGTCTTTCTGGGCCGGTTACCTGAACTTTGAGATCGATCAACCGACGACTGCAGGAACCGCAATCGAACAAGCTGAGCGTGTAAAGGCGCTTCATAGTGAGATTCGTCAAAAAACCCGCCTGAGCCCGGAAGTCATCACGGAGCTCTCGCAAAAGTACATGTCATACCTCACCGAGAAACAGAGCAAGCTCGCAGCCAGAGAGTATCTCGAACTGGACTCATTAGTCAACGGACCTGCTTCTGTTACCAAGGCTAGAAGTACCGCCGGCGCAAAGGGAGCAGTTGCTTAGGCAATTGCTCGTTACGATGCCCTCGAGCCAAAATAAACAGCAGCGTCCACTGCGAACACAAGCGTGATGCTTCGCTTTCTGACTCCTCGACACATGAATGTTGAATTGGCTTTCAACCAGCCATTCCCAACATCTCTGTCGAACACACACTCGACTTACGATATGCATCGCCAGTTCGACAATGCATCATGTTGGAATATAGCAAGGCAATGACAGAAAGCGGCGAACTACAGAAATTACAACCCGCATCAGCTTCGCGTGGAGGATATCAGCAAGCATACCGGAGTTCATAGCAATCAAAAGTAAATAATGAGAGATACACCCCTCGCTCTTGACTTGACACAATCGTCTGTGACCAGTTTATACCATGGATTAGGAACATGATACTTCTTGTATCAATTGACGACCAATTTATGCCCATCATACTCGTAGACCGAGGGATCTTGACAAGCACGCGATAAGACCTCATGTGTGGGGAAAACCATCTCATAACTCGCCGACTTATCTTGCCTATCTCCAGGACGCCGCCGATCGACAACATGGCCAACTTTAAAGAGAGCTTAGCGACGCTTTTCACTGATACCGGCGGGACCTCTCTGAAGATCAGGCAGGTACATGCAAAATAGCCCCCTCACTGATTAGCCCCGCTCTGCCACCTTGTCGAAGGGTTCCTTTTGTATAAATGCGTCATGGCAGCCTGCGAGTGTTTCTCGCTTCTCCGTTTCCGTTCTCTCGCTCTGTATCGTTCCTTGGGTTGCTTTCTGGTATAGTCACCGTCTGCGTCGTCGTCATGTTGTTCTCTCCCTGGCTTGATACTCTCACATGCCTGCTCGCATTCGGGGTGTCTGACATCGGCGCTACCGTCCTGCGACAAGGCTATTCTAATGGACCTCCTCCTGCTTCCGAGCTACATCATACCGGACATCATGGTTCCAATTCGACAAAGCTGCATGGAGGTATTGCTTCCGAAAGCACCATCTGCAGTGGTATCGGTCGCGACTTGCTTCTAAAAGGTGGAAATGCTGCCGATGCTATGGTCGGAAGTGTCTTCTGCGTTGGAGTCATTGGCATGTATCATTCTGGGATAGGTGGTGGTGGCTTCATGCTGGTCAGAGGTGCCGATGGAGAGTACGAATTCATTGACTTCAGAGAGACGGCACCTGCGGCTGCCTTCCAAGACATGTACAAGAACAACACAGATGCGAGTATCTATGGAGGTCTGGCAAGGTACGTTCATATCACTCTGTTAGTCAACATGTACGGTAGATGCTGACGTAAGAGCAGTGGTATTCCTGGCGAGGTCCGCGGGCTGGCACACTTGCACCAAAAGTACGGCAAGCTACCCTGGAAGGAGGTCATGCAGGGTGCCATCAAGACTGCTCGCTATGGTTTCCCAGTCACTGCCGACTTAGTTCGCTACATGGCTTCTGCCACGGCAGGCCAGACGTCCAACTTCCTCGTTGAGGACCCGAATTGGGCGATTGATTTTGCTCCCAATGGAACGCTGCTACGTCTCAATGACACTATCACCCGCCAGCGGTATGCTTCGACCTTGGAGACCATCGCAGAGCGTGGCCCCGACGCCTTCTACACCGGTCCCATTGCCGAAGCCATGATCGAGACACTGCAAGCAGCAAACGGAACAATGACGATGGGAGACCTGAAGAATTATACCGTCGCCATTCGCGACCCTGTAGAGATCGACTACAGAGGATACAAGCTCAAGAGTGTGAGCGCACCAGCATCAGGTGGTGTTGTGTTATCGATCATGAAGACTCTCGAAGGCTACAACAACATGGGAGACGAAGCATACCTCAACCTCAGCACCCATCACCTCGACGAAGCGACCCGTTTCGGCTATGGCTTCCGTGCCGAGATGGGAGATCCTCTGTTCGTCAAAGGCATGGACGAATACCAAGCCGAAATCCTGAACGCGACCACTGCAGCAGCCATTCGAGGCCGCATCTCAGACACCCACACACTCAACCCGTCGGCTTACGACCCTAAGAACCTCGAGATTTTGGATACACCCGGAACTTCGCACGTTGTGACGGCCGACAGTTCAGGCATGGCCATCTCACTCACCACAACTGTCAACCTCCTGTTTGGCAGTCAGCTTATTGTGCCTTCCACTGGTGTCATCATGAACAACGAAATGAACGATTTCTCTATCCCAGGAACTAAGAACGCCTTCGGTCTCGAGCCCTCAGAAAGCAACTTTGTCCGCCCCGGAAAGCGACCCATGTCCTCGATCGCCTGCACTATCGCAGAGAACCCCGACGGCTCGCTATACTTTGTTACAGGCTCTGCCGGTGGTAGTAGAATCATCACAGCAACCCTGCAGACCCTTTGGCATGTTTTGGACCAGAACATGACCGCTGCCGAAGCATTGAAAGCGCCTCGTCTGCATGACCAGCTCTCGCCCAATTATGTGAGCTTCGAGTACGCCTACGATAATGCCACTGTGGATTACATGAAGAGTTTGGGACACAACGTGACCTGGGTAGCTCCAGGTCAGAGCACGGCACAATGTTTGAGGGTACTGAACAATGGCACCTTCGACGTCGCCAGTGAGCCTCGACAATTGAACTCGGGAGCCTACGCTGTGTAATGTGATGATCGTTCAAGATCTGATGTAGAATAGACAAATTAGTCTCACGAGATACAAACTAGAAACACGAACGACCAAAGCCGTCATGGTTTCTGAACGCAGAGGATATTTCATGAACTTTTACGAAACGATAAACGGAAAAGAGCAATTCTTATCAAAAAATATCTCGATCGCAGCAAGCGTGTTGGGAGAGAGTTCATCAACGCGAGGTCCCAACCACATCGATGGGCCCGCATACATGAACATAACTCTAGCCACAGAAACCTGATTGTGGCTCAGGAAAAGTTCTTGATTCGTGGCCAAGCTCATTTAGACAGCTCGGCGAGGGGTGCCGTGAGTTCCTGCATGAGATCCGAACCACGATCTTGGGAGCCATGACGTCAATGGAGGCAGGAAAGTTGAGAAAGCAGCGTCAGACCTTGGTTGGAAGTTGGTTGGACGCGACAAGTTTGATGACCATCTACAAAAAGTGCTCTATGCATCGCGTCATGCTCTGTGCGATAGTTTAACCAAGTTTCAGAAGGCAGGTCCTCGCACTGATATTGATATAAAGACCCTCTCCCACCAGACCCTTATTTCACCGCACATCCCAGATTGTCCCTCCAGCCACGACACAGCTCGCAGCAGACAAGATGCACTCTATCACAGCATCCCTTCTTCTCTCGGCTTCGGCCTTGACGGCTGCAAAGTATACTTTCGACCCTCTGGAGCACATGTCAGGCATTGCGCCATACTTCGAACCCGAGAACCCTCCCTTCGACCCTGCACCGCCTCAGGGCTGCAATGTCACTCGCGCCGCTTACCTCGTCCGTCACGCCGCCATCTACGCCAACGACTTTGACTACGAATCGTACATTGAGCCTTTCGTCAAGAAGCTCGAAGCAAGCCAGGGAAACAGCTCCATTAGCTGGGACCGCTCACACGCCTTGTCTTTCCTGAGCACCTGGACAAGCCCCATTGAAGATGAAGACATCGAGAACTTGTCCAAGGTCGGCAACCTGGAAGCTATGAAACTTGGTGTCGACGTTTATCAACGTTACCAACACTTCAAGCAGCCAGCCAAGGTATGGACAAGCACTGCGGAGCGCACTGTGCTCAGCGCCGAGAGCTTCGTCGAGGGTTATGCCATCAAGGAGAACGAGACGGAAATTGTCCAGATTGGCGAATACAAGGAGACTGGCGCAGACTCCCTCACCCCTTACAAGGCTTGCCCCGCCTACAGTGGCAGCAGAGGAAGCTCCCAGTCCATGGTCTTCCAGAAGAAATATACTGCTCCCATCATCTCGCGTTTCCGTCATGAGGTCCCTACCTTCAACTGGACTGCTTCCGACATCTACGGCATGCAGCAGCTGTGCGGTTACGAGACTGTCATCCGTGGAGACTCGCCTTTCTGCTCTCTAGACCTGTTCAGCCCCAACGAGTGGCTCCAATTCGAGTACACCAACGACATCATGTACCACCACAACACCGGCTATGGTAACCCTGCCTCTGGAGCCATTGGCTACCCCTGGGTCAAGTCCACTGCCGACCTCTTGACCTCGAACAATGCCAGCCAGGACATCTACGTTTCCTTTACCCACAGAGAGCTTCCTCCCACCGTGCTTGTTGCTCTCGGCCTCTTCAACAACACTGCTTACTCGGCTTCTGATGATGTCAACGCCACCATGCCTTCCGACGGTATCAATCCTCAGCGCGCCTGGCAGAGCAGCAAGTTCATGTCTTTCCTGACAAACATTGCCATCGAGCGTCTTGAATGCGACAGCTTCGGCTTCCAGGACAACGCAAACCAGACCGGTGAATATTACCGCATCTTGGTCAACAAGAACCCCCAGCTTTTGCAGGAATGTACCGACGGTCCTGGCGAGAGCTGCTCAAGAGACAGCTTCCTCAAGTTTATTGACGAGAAGACTGAAAGGTTCTCGGGCTTCTCTGAGAAGTGCGGTGTTACCTACAGCAACTCGACTGATGCCTTGACCATCTACTAATTGAAAAGTTTGCACGAACCTGTAAATATCTATACCTAATGAAATAATGTCTATCCTTCAAACATGAGTGTTGCCGTTCGTACCTGCAGTCTATCGCGATAAGATCGTTCTTGTTCCTTCCTGAAATCGATTTTGTGGCGTCTCGGCAACGCGTCCTCTTTAGCCCAACATTTTACAGTCAAAACACTCTCCGGGTACTTTCCACTTCACTCATCGTACCTGCAGGTTGCGCGATGTTACACGGAGACAAATCATGCGGGTGACCCTGAAACTTGCGTTGCGCTTCGTCGCAGTCATCGCGTCGATCAGCCTGGTCGTGCTTTCCTTCTCTCAATCAAATATCGCGTATCAAACACTGAGCGACCGCCTATCAGCTATCAACCCAAACAAATATGGAGGACGCCCACCAACATCCAGGCCTCTGACAACTAATACCACGCAATCTATCGATTCCGTGCAGCAGTTATGGGCCGTTTGGGCAGAGGTCTACAAAAGCACAAGACCCGATGCTGCCAAGATTGAATTAATGTTTAATGCAGCCAATTCACCTATTTCTGCGGATGACGATTCACCGCGTACTCAGCATAGAGAACAACTTCAAGGACTCGACTCCATCTCACAGTTGCAAACCGCTCACAGCAAATTTGTCTCACTTCTGCAAGTATGGCCCGAACAACTCGCCGACAAGGTCTTTAATGGAACAGGTGTGGTGATTGTAGGTGGTGGAGAATACTTTGGTCCAGCTATCATTGGTATCCATATGTTGCGTCGTAGCGGCAGCAATCTTCCAGTCGAGGTCTTTGTGACTGACGCTTCTGAGTACGAGGAGAAGCTGTGCAAAGATTACCTGCCTAAACTCGGAGCCAGCTGCTTGATCCTGTCCGACTTCATACAAGGCTTCAAGGTCACACACTATCAGCTCAAATCTCTAGCCATGTTGCTCAGCTCATTTGAACACGTACTCTACCTCGACAGCGACAGCATTCCTCTCCTGAAGCCCGAGTCAGAGCTCTTCGCAACAGAACCATATGCCTCCACTGGCCTAGTCATCTGGCCCGACTTCTGGATCTCCACTGAATCTCCTTCTTTCTACAAAGTCGTCGGTCTCGACAAGATGCCTCCGGATCTACCCAAATCGTCTTCGGAAGCAGGTCAACTTCTCATCAACAAAAGCAAGCATTTGAAGACTTTATTGCTGGCAACATATTACAACATCTATGGGCCCAATCATTACTACCCCCTTCTTAGCCAAGGTGCGCTCGGACAGGGAGACAAGGAAACATTCATGGCTGCTGCAATGGTGCTCAATACTTCGTACTATCGTGTCAAGACCGGTGTTGAGTCGGTTGGACGCAATACTGGAGACGAAGTAAAAGGCAGTGGAATGATCCAATTCAGCCCCCCTGACGACTTCCAAAACCATAATGGAAACACGAATACAAAGCCCAGAGCCGCCTTCATACACGCCAATACCCCGAAGATGAATGCTGGACATCTAGTCGACGAAGGCGATCTGTTGAGCGCCATCGATTCCAAGCCACTGCGGCTGTGGGGTCCGCGGGAAGAGCAGATGAGGATGTTCGGGGTCGATCTGGAGAAGGCCGTGTGGGAGCTGATTGTACAGACTGGTTGCGAGCTGGCTGATGTGATCCGAGAATGGTCTGACCGTGAGGACCTGTGTCGTCGTCTGAACAAACACTGGGATGGTGTTTTCAAGGAGGACTGAACGCATTTCCACCGACTGAACCCAATCCCGGCGATCCATTTTGCTGCACAAGACCCCTTCGAGGTCTTCGACGAAACTCAACACACGAGATCCGGCAGGAGTTGCCATTCGATCGTGGTTCCGGACGACTCTCTCGAGAGAACCTCGACTTCTGCGGCTCGTTTACTGCTTGCAACGAAAGCTGCGCCGACTTGACTACCGTTTGGTGTACGGAGCTGTTGAGAAATCCAGTCGCCGATATTCGCAAGTTTGGTCAAATCCACTCCGGTGTCGATGCCCATGTTTTCGAAAAGATACACCACATCTTCGGTTGCGACGTTGCCCTTTGCTCCGGGGCTGTACGGACAACCTCCCAGGCCACCTACACTACTGTCGAACGCCCTGATACCAATTTGATAGGCCTCCTTGACGTTCGCAACGGCTTGACCGTACGAGTCGTGGAAATGTCCAGCAAGTTTTACCGCGGGAATCTCTCTTAGTAATATCTCGAGAAGCCGACGGACGTCTTTTGGTGTAGCCGTTCCTGTCGTGTCGCCGAGACTGATTTCGAAGCAGCCCATGTCTAGCATCTTCTTTGCCATATTCAGCACTGTTGCTGGCGATGTACGGCCGTCATAAGGACAGTCAACAACACAAGACAGGTACCTGACGGAACATCAGCAACCGTATGGAATTCTCACGGAAGAACGCACCCTCTGACTCGAATCCCTTGACCCCGAGCCTTGTCTACAACTGCTCGGGCTCTGACAAGTGATTCCTCCACGCTGCAGTTGATATTGTTACGACTGAAGCCATCGGTCGCTGAGAGAAAGATGCCGATCTCTTGGACACCAAGCACCATCGCTGCTTCCAATCCCTTCATATTAGGAACCAGAACCGGATATGAGACATCGCCCTGTACAACAGAAGACCTCATGCTTTCCATCACATCTCTTGCGTCTGAAAGCTGTGGAACCCATTTCGGTGATACGAATGATGTCGCCTCGATCGTCCGTAACCCGGTCTGAGCAAGTCTTCGGATCAACTCGATCTTCGTCGCAGTCGGCACTACATCTTTGATATTCTGCAGCCCATCTCTAGGACCGACTTCGACGATTCTAACAGCATTTCCGGACATGACGACGCTTTTGGAGTAAGATGGATTTGACGTCGCAACCAAAAAGATGAGCAAATTCGATCTCAAAAGTGGCCGGACCTTTCCCATTATGAGAGCATCTGAGCACCTGAGACATAACGTCAGACCAACACAGCCGAAGGCTATGACTATTCTTCATATTGCATCTCATCGCCGTTACCCGAGGGTGCCATCCCCACCTCCCCCCGGATCTCCCAGCGCCCTTGATCCATCTCCGTCGGCACCCCCCCAGGATCTTGGCATTCTACCGGACCTCGGCTCTATTGTCTGTAACAGTAGCAAGGCACAATCACATGAATCCGAAATAAATAAAACCGGTACTGTCATGGATTCTCGTGAGAGACGGGAGGATGTGAGGTAGGGTGCGGAAAATAGAATCTGCCGTGGTTCAGGCTGGCTGACTGGCTGACTGGCTGGCTGATGACCACCCATCATGGAGCAGCCTGGTCAATCTAGCCATGATTGCTTAACCACAAAAATCGGGTTTCGTTATTTCCAGACCAGTTGCCAAAAACAACGATGGTGGTGATGATGATGACGACGATGCACATTTCAACCAGCGATCGTGAATTGTTCCCATACTTGTGCTTGGGGTTTAGTCGAGGCAGCGATGGGCTGGCTGGAGTAGATGATGGGCATGACGAACATATGTTGTCAAGGGAAGGCATGCGCCCGGATTGAGTGATCAGACAATTGAGATACGGAAAATTACGGTGTGCAGAGAGAACTCACGAGAGAAGGAGCCAATCGCGCACACACATGGAAAGGAAACAGCAGATAAACATCAACAGAAACAATCAAAACTTTCAAGGGAAAGAAGCAGTCCAAAATGCACGAGGAAATGTCGGACAGACAACAAATGCGAGGGAAAAACTCCACTTTGCGATTCGCTATTCGTTCTTGGCTATACTCTGTCTACACGACAACTCGAAAGACCATCAGATCGTCAAACTCCCACTACTGCAGCACAAACATATCTCCGGTCCATCCATACGCCCTCCCCAACCTTCTTCCATATAATCTCGCCATGTGATAATGTATCTTGTCCGCATGAAGTGGTGCGTGGAACTGTATGCTTTCTCCGACTATGCGCTCGGGAGGAGTGAACTGCCATATGGATCCGAATAGCTTTTCAACCACAAACCCAATTGAATGCATGGCGTGTACGAAATCAGTCCATGTGGTGTCTGCCGGCGTATCGTTGGAAGACGGCGTAAAGAAGAGGGCGGCGAAGGTCTTCTTTGCGCGTTTGTCGACGGCAAAAGTAAGTTTTTCAGAAGGCGTGGTAGTGGTGGTGGTGTTGGCTTTTGACGCAGCGAGTCCGCTTGCCATGACGTCCGAGTCCTTGGGCTTGCTTTTGGCGGGTTCATGCATCGAGCTGGCTCTCTTGTGCGAAGGACTGAGTTGAAGGTATGTCTGCGAGAGAGGAACGTAGAAGGGATCGATGTCGGGTTGTTTGGGCACGGGCTTGCCGTTGGTCTTTTCGTTTGACTTGTCGTTCATCTTGCCATTCGATTTGTTGGATTTTCCGTTTGATTTGCCGTTCATTTTGCCATTCGCTCTGTTGTTGAGTTTGCCGTTCGCGTTGCCCTCGGACTTGGGCAGCGGTTCGTCCCACTCGGGCGTTCGTTGCAGGAAGCGATTGCCAGAAAGTATCAACCTCATGATTTTGTCTGGAAGGGTCACAGATTGGGCGGCAAGATGCTTGTCCACTTCGTACCAGAATGAGTCTAATCGCTCTTCAGCTTTGTGTAAAGCTCCAGCGTTTGTCTTCGTCCGACGGTTGGCGATGGGATAAGAGAATCTTCCATTCTCTGGCGAGCCCAATTCCGCCAGGTCAACACCCTGCCAGGGCATTTTCCTGAAGTTGTCCCACTCGGCTGACTTTGCATAGAAGTCCTCGGCGAGGTGCTGACGGTTGCGTGCCATCTCATGTTCGATGTCTCTTGACCAGGGATAGAACAATGACAATTGGTTCAAGCATTCAGAGATGACGCCGAGATCGGCGATGTTGTCAACGACCAGGGCGGATTGAAGCTCTTTTGCTTTCGTGTCCGCATATGTCAGACGGTCGAGTCCGGCCACTAGAGTGTGAAGACCAATCACGGCAGATTGCTTTTCGTCCCAGAGATTTGTGTACGCCCAGAAAAGACGATTCAAGGCAGGGTCTTGATCTGTACGTGTGTTCAAGTCGGTGCGGAACTTGCTCGAGTGGTGATCTGCTGTAGACGTGCCTTCCCTGTGCCAATAATTGAGCATCGGAGGTGATGGAGGGACATGGGATTTAAGCAAGGCTATAGAGTTAGCTGATGACAGCTCCAGCAGGTGGCGGACTTTCTTAATTGCAAACGCGAGTTCTTCCGGCAGGTTTTGAGAGGGAGATGGGTCTGGATGTTTTTGCAGCAAATGGTCGAGTTTGCAGACTTCTTGGTATGTCGATTCCCATAGCGACAGTGACAAGTACGAATCGGTGATCATCTTTCTCAAGACCCGGTTCCAGAAAGCTTTGGTCAAGCCAGTCTTGTGTATCGGATGCTTCTTTCCCTCAGCATCCAGAAGCATCTCGGGCTGATGGTCTTTCCATTCGGTTACACAATCGGCAAAGTAGCTTGGGTCTTCTCTCAACAACCAGATGTGGTCGGCAATACCGGAGCGTTTGGCCGCGGCGATTGACTTGATTCGGTCAATATTTAGATGTGCTGGCTCTCGGTACGGCGCTTCCAGAAAACTTGCAGCTAGCGTGGTGTGAGCAGATTCACTGGCAGGCACAGAATGGGATTCGGAGTCGAGCGTGGTAGCTTCAGTAGACTCGGCGGCGACATCGTGGGTGATCTCCTTTGCACAAGCCAGCAGGAACTTCCAGATACGTTGTTGAAGCTCGAGTACGAGCAAGCCTTCTCCGAGCTTGAGTCGAAACCCAGTTGTACCGTCGTCAGAGGAATCGGCCGCGTCTTCAGCAGCAACGATTCGGCCATATCCTTCTGAAGCGTTGACGCGGCTAAAAGCCATGTTGTAATCCTTCATGTCGAGTTTGTCAATCTTGCCTGCAGACAGACCCAGGCCGCACGCAGTGAGATCGGCATGGCAAAATGAGTAAGGATGATGTCGCCCCCGAGAGCTGAGGAACATAGGCAACATCCTTGGCTGCAGTAGGTCTTCCAAGTTGATGAATGGCCATTTGTATGCGTCTAGTGATTGTGGTGATTCTTGGTTCGAATCGTCCATGTAAAGGGTGAGGTCAGGTCGATGGGATTCACTAAGATTATGGCCCCAAGCTTCCTCGAGGACAGCCTTCTTTTGGTCTCGTGTTTTCTTGCGCCATCGTTTCCGGATGAGATCCTCATGACTTTGTACGATGGTGTTCAATTCGTGCCAATCCGCAGAGAGGCGGTCGGTAAGAGCACGTGAGCTATGTGTCACCTTGTCGAGTGGCGAAGGACTTTCAGACGACGGCTCCAGTGTTGATAAACTGTCCTGTAATGATTGTACGTCGAGCATGATGGAAAGAAGGATGGAATCAAAAGAATGATTGGATTGATATGTTTCGTGTTTGAGCTGGCGATGATGTCGGTCGCTGCCTTTGGGGAAACTTTTGCCGACCATCAAGCCTCCGCATCCACGCCCTCGACCTCGTCAAAACTGCAGCTTCGACACTTGTTCGTCCAAGAACTACTTCGCTCTTTCCCACCATCTGAATTGATTGAACGAGCGAAGGAATTCAGCACATGAGAAATACCCAAATAGAGTGGAAAGAAGGAAACATTAATCATTGAATCTGTGGTATCATACTAATAACAAAAACTCCCATCGCGCCTCGCCTGCCCCATAAATGCAAGCCAGTGCGATAGAATCAACATGAAGGAAGAAACCCCAAAGCACCCTCACTCATCTTCCATCTGGCAACGGCACAATGATGAGCTCATGTTGGCTATTATAGCCGAATGTTTCCCGTAATGAAGGAACTGGTGTAGGGTATTGCATGAAGGGTCCATCTGATAGGCCAAACATGAGTGGTCCATCGATAAATGGGGTGTGTGCTGGTGTAGGGACGTCTGCATGTGTTTGCGCAGATGGTTGGAGAGACGTAGGTGGTGCACGACCGTCTCGAAAGTCTGAGCGCCTCACGGTGCGCCGTAGATGAATGCGATCCCTCAAGGACCGACGTGAATCAGAGCGTCTCAAAGAGAGTCTCTTAAAGGAAGCTTCACTCTCGGACTGTGCTCTTGAAGACGCTATACGATAAACGTGGCGGTCCCAAGGTCGACGAAGACGTCTCAGAGAGCGTCTACGCTAGGAAGCTCCTGAGGGAGAGTTGCTTCCACCGCCGCCGCCGCCAAAGGCATCTCTCATGCGAGCCCATGCAGCCGAAGCAGCTCCTGACGGTCCGGCATCGGTATTGGTAGTGCGCTGGTGAACGGGACTCTCGGAGACATTGATAGGGTCTTCTCTGGTGCCTTCACCTTGACCCCAAGCTCTGTTATTTCTCGCAGTCTGGCCAGGTTCTCTGGGTCTTGTAGCATTCTCGGGACCATCTTCAGGCATGATGCCTTGTCTGCAGTGAGGACATGTGTCGTGCTCGCCCAGCCATGCCTTGATACAGTCGGCGTGGAACCAATGACTGCATGGTAGGACGGTGACTTGGCTTCCAATGAGAGCCTCGTCCATGCAGATGGAGCAGTCTGCCTTTCCCGTTGTTTCATCCAAGTCTTCCTTTGTGATTTCCTTTTGCGGCAGCGAGGAGATAGCTTCGGCTGAGGCAGGACCGGGAGCGTTGGACTGGTTCTGCTCCATGAGCTGTGATATTATCCGGTCCAGGGCTTCTTGACTGTAAACGGCGTCACCGTGTTGCATGTTGGCAGGGTTGAGCAAGTTGGCAAAGATATTGCCAAAGCCAAGGGGGGCAAAGGCAGGATCGGGACCAGCGCCGCGTGGAGGAGCTTGGAACATTTGGTTGAGGATGTCGGGGAGGTTGTCGATGTTCTGGTTTTGGGCTTGAGGGCCATTGGCGTCGCGGGGAGCCAGACGGGTAGTGGCCGTGTACTGGAAATTGGGACCGCCGCCGGTGAAGACTCGCACGTTAGGCTCGCCATCGGGGGATTGTGGAGGGCGCTGCTGTGTTTGTACGGCGCCTCCCAAGAGCTGACCGAGCATTCTAAGTACGTCTGGTCCCTGGGCATGTACGTGTTGGGGCGGCGAATCGGGATTACGAGGATTGTTGGAGAAGGTATGGCTGAAGCTCATGTGGATGCCGCCCTGGGGATTGACCTGGTAGCGGTAGTTGTGGTCAAGGTCGCTCTCTTCGGGGTCGGGGGCGTCGATGGGAGTGTTGGCCCAGGGATTGTGGGCGGCGAGCGGGTGCGGCGTGTCTGCTTCTTCGTCGTGCGTGTGTCTCGGGTCGTGTTGTGCCTCAATCTGGTGGTCGCTGTCAGCAAGAGGCGGCTGCCATCAGTCTGTCTGGGTACGGCTTACTATCTCAGTAAAGTCCGAATGACAGTCCGGGCATGTCAGACCGCCTTCGTCTCTGAACCATTCGTTTTCGCACACATGGCAAAAGACCAAGTCTCGCTGGCGTTCCATTGTCGCCGGCTGAGGGTGTTGATGCGAGCAGAAAGGGTGAGTTCAATGGATGATTGATTGCTGCTGGTCAAGATTTTGTCGACAGGGAATAGATGGACTTTCGGAAAGATGCGCTTTACTGCATATGCAATGTCGCGTTGTGCAAGCTTTGTTGATCCGTCACTTTCTCCCGGAATAGACAGGTGTAGATTTCTTAGGTGATAGAGAGGCCTGTGAGGAAACCAAACGTGTCCGGAATGGCAGGAAGGCGACTATCGCTGTCGAGTGTCAAGCCATCTGTAAAAGGAAGTCGCTTTGTCTATTTCTAAAGGATGACCGAGGTGACGCATTGTTTGGAACGCCACACCACCAAGAAGGCTCAGCTGTGGCTGACCTATCTGTCCCTTCTCGTCTCTTCCATCCAGCAAACATTCTGTCTCTGTACCCATCTCTTCACGTGAGAAAGCATCATCACACTCTCTGCATCCTTCAGTCACTTGCACCGGAATCATGCATCAAGTTCTACGAATTTGCTGTCGTGTGTGGGTCTCGCCAGATCCGTTAGGCTCAAACCACCGCTGCATCTTGGTACAAACAGCGCTATTCATATTGAGTCATGGTGCTCGTGAAAGTTCACAGGGTGGTTCTGCTACTGTTGTCTCTATAAATCTGTATGCTGAAATGTCGGCCATCAATGTGGAACCCAAGCGTTGCTGCTATCAGCCACCCGCAGCAGCGGCAGGAGGCTGAGCCAACTTCCAACTTTCCGTCAAAAGCAAAATATCGTAGACCTACTGAAATTTTCCTTCGTTCGTTCCCAGAACTTTGCGACAATCCTGCAAAGCCGCAGAGTACTGTCCGGCATCATGAAGTGGAGATCCATGTTCAATCGCGACAATGATGGTGCGACGCGCATGATTGACGAAGCCAGCGCTCTGCTCCCCACCCACGCAGACAACATCCCCAGCGCCGTCCCCGCCAAAGAAGTCACCAGAATTGCTCTGCGTCTCAAACATCAGATTGAGCAAGTCGTTCCATGCGAGCTTGAGGAGGATAGAATCACTGCCGCTCATTCTAACATCATCACCCCGGCCGTCGTCGAAACCGCCCGTTCTGCTGGCAAGCATGGCCGCTCTTCATCTTCCGATAACGATTTTTCAGCTTGTGTTGTTTTCTGCTTGTTGATCTGCAAGAAGTGGTTCAAGCGTCAAGCTTTGCTGGAACTCTGGGATGCTGATATGCATGAAGTTCGTGCTGTTGCTTGTGAAGTGATTGCTAAGGCCATCATTGAATCAGAGGAAGACTCCGGTTTCTTGCTGCAAAGCATTCTTCTCAAGAGATACAGCATCATCATTGATGGAGAAGAGACTGCTCCCAACAACGTCATTGAGAAGGCTGTTGACCTGCATGCCCTCAGAGTTATCGGAAGCTCCGGCTATCAGAAGTGCATTACTTACCTCTGGCGTGGATGGCTTGTACAAGACGAGGATGACCCGACTCGCTTTGTCGACTACAAGCTGAAGACTTCGACAAGTTACTGGGACCATCTCGATCCTGATCGTATGCGCGCTCCCCTGTACCAAAATGCTCTCCAGGTCTTCATCAGTATCCTCTACCTCGGTTTCTACACTGGCGCCATCAACACCATCAACCCTACTGGTGATCTCGATATCATTGAAGGCCTGCTCTACATTTTCACTCTTGGCTTCCTCTGCGACGAGATTGCAAAGTTCTGGAAGGTCGGCAAATACTACTTTGGATTCTGGAACTCCTTCAACAACACTCTCTACGCCCTTTTGACTGTGTCTTTCGTCACGAGAATGATCGCTCTTGGCCACCACGTCGGAGACTCGAACAGAAACAAGTTCAATGAGCTCAGTTATAACTTCCTCGCCTTTTCCGCACCTATGTTCTGGTGCCGTCTGCTTCTCTACTTTGACACTTTCCGCTTCTTCGGAACTATGCTGGTCGTGCTTAAAGTCATGATGAAGGAATCTCTCATTTTCTTCGCCCTCTTGTTCTTCGTTAGTATCGGTTTCCTGCAAGCCTTTGTTGGTCTGGATCAAGAAGATCAGAAACTGGATGCTACCAATTTCATCATTCAATCCATGATCAACGCCGTCATGGGCAGTCCCGAGTTTAGTGGATTCGACAACTTCGCCCCTCCTTTCGGATTGATTCTCTACTACATCTTCACTTTCATCGTTATTGTATTGTTGCTGAACATTCTGGTTGCACTTTACAACAGCGCCTATGAGGATATCACCGAGCACTCAATCGACGAGTACATGGCTCTTTTCGCACAAAAGACTTGTCAATTCGTCCGCGCCCCTGACGAGAACGTCTTCATCGCCCCCTTCAATCTCATCGAGCTTGTCTTCTTGGTCCTTCCTTTCGAATGGTGGATGGACAAAGACTCCTACGAGCGCCTCAACGACTACGTAATGGCCGTCATCTACAGCCCCCTCCTTCTCGTCACAGCAGCCCTGGAAACAAGAGTTGCCTACCGCGTCCGCTTCAACCGTAGCAGAGGCGAAACAGACGAAGACACCATCGAAGAGTGGGAGCAAATGGACGGCGAATGCGATTTCGAAGGCGATGGCTGGGTGAAGAAATGTGAAGAGACGAAACCTAACGTCGAGTCCGATGGCACTCTTGTCCAGATCAAGGAATTGAGAAAGGAGATTGAGGAATTGAAGGAGATGTTGAGGAGTTTGAAGGGTTGAGCGTCAAGACTTTTGAAGTAGATAGCTCCTAAATTGATCACAAATATACAATCAGACTGCTGAATTGCAGTAGGATGGATTTTGATTCAATACGACGAGAAAGAGTCCGATTTTGCCACAGACCGTAGAGCATGATTCCACGAGTCTGTCGGGGATATCAAGCCAATGGTCAGGATTACCCGAGAACATGGCGCGTTCAGCTCCCACGACGGGTCCTCCTAGTCCGAAGTCATTGACAGAAAGAAAGAGAGAGAAGGGCATCCGATATATCGAGCGATTTGAAGGATCAAGAGACGGATATGTGATTTTAACCTCGCAGTTAGGTCGTGGTAAAGATCGTCTGTCCTTGCGGTAGATAGCAGATTCGGGTCTAGCGAGACAATTTGATATACGCAAGAGCGACAGATGATATTAAAGACGTCTCGTAGAAACACAAGCAAGGACGGTCTCGCTTCCTGTCCAGTTCTTCGGCGAACATCGTGTTTCTATTTCCTTTTTGTTCCGACGACTCTGGAGACCTCAGCTTGCATTCCAACCACGACTTGACGAGCCGTAAAGTATTCGACAGTATACGCGTACAACAAGATCATTCGTGGAGGATCCATCCGCTTATGTGCGTAGAAAGCATGCGCCTTACTCATACCACCATAACTCCACATTTTCCCAAACCCAAGGAGAAAAGCAGAGGAGTTCGGCTCCGATCCTCAAAGCCCTAATCTGGACCTTCAAACCACCTTCTAAGTATGGTATGCGACAGGTTCACTGCGGAAAGCTTAATTCCACCAAGCATCGTCATTCCACAGGAACTCGAGATTATTGCGTGCGTTCATGTCGGGTGCGCACTGAGTTTTGTGATCGACGTTTTGCCGGTCTGGATCGCCCAGGCATCGGTGCCTATGGGTGCATGCATGCTGTCCTCGACGACTTTGTCGAGCTTTGGTGCCCATTTGAAGAATCTCTCTTGACCGACCATGGAGGTCTCGGTCTGCGTAGGTGAGTGCTGCTCTTCTTTGATAGCTGTTCCTGTCCGCTCTGGATCCTGCTTCTGTTCAATGAATCCAGCCCTGGGCATGAGTTCCTCGAAACAATCTGGTTTTCTCCAGGTATTTGCGTAAACACTCGTCCAGGCAATTTCCCGTGCGACTCCTACCAAACACGGTATGGTGACGGAGTAGAGGGTTCCAGGTGTCCATTCGCCCTGAGTGTAGAGTTTATCGATGACCTGGATGGCGTGTTGGCTCATCTCAAAAGCTTCTTCGGTATCGGCCCGATGTGTCGCACGAGCAAAAGAAATCGCAACTGCTCTATATCCGCAAAGAGTCGCTTCCAAAGCTGCTCCGGTAGTACCAGATGACAAAGCGAATATAGAAGTGATGTTGCAACCAACATGCGGTCCACATATGACCAAGTCCACCCTGGGACGGTCTTCCAAGAGATGTCCAAGAGCGATCTGTATGCATGAGGCAGGAGTCGAGTTTAGAAGGAACCACGGATACGATCGAGGCGAATTGGTCGCAGTTGTTTCAAGCCATAGAGGAGTCGCTACGACTTCTTCGTTGGTTGAGTGGGCTTTCCCCGCCCAAGACTGCTGATTTGTGGGCATAACGACGGAGAGGAGATGTCCTGAAGACTCAAGTGCATGAACAAGTGACAAGGTATAAGACGAGGTATGGCGTGGTGGTCCGTCGTCATTGACAAGCTATCGTCCAGGGAGGTTGATCAACTTCCTGGCTTGGAGCGCATGTCGAGATTTCCTTACTAGAATATGCATGATCCAGTGAAATGGCTTGTTTGTGCGGAAGTTGTTGTCAAGATGTCTGAGAAGACCTCTCCTTCAGTTGAGCTCGATTCAACATGGCCTCGGTGGAGTCGTCCGTTGACGTGTCGTTGGTCCTTCTCCAGATAATGCGCCTTTACAAAAAGCAAAAGATCGACTTCTAGCCCTGAGTAATCATAAAACCTTCCGGTGGGGAGCTCTGTTGACTTTTCTGATCTGTGGAGGCGCAGCAACAGCCTGCAGAAATTAGTTCTCGATGTCAGAAGTGCCTCGAGGCGATCCAGTCGATGGAATTCGTCTTCCCTTCTCTTGTGACCCTACGCTCTACTGGACACGAGCTATGGTAGCTTGTATTTTTCGGATGCGATTGCCCTGGGGAGTGCCATTATAACAAAGTGTCTGCCGATGCCCTCAAGGGATGGACATTTTTTCGTCGAAAAATTCTTTGCTCGTAAACGTGAAGACGCTTAGTAGGCTGGGCTCGCACACCATGTCGGAATTTAGAGGACGATGGAATCTTCCAGACTTGACAAAAAAGGCGTTGCATGACGATGAAATTCCGTTTGTCGCATCTTCCTGACTGCTATCCGCTCGAAGGAACATCTTGGCAGGTCTCAATCAAGGCACAGAACTTCTCGATGACAGAGCTCGTTCACCCTTCCAATAAGCGGCTTGTAGGAAATGGTGTGCTTTGATTTCTGGAGATCGAATGAAAGGGAATGCTGCGATATGCGTGCATGCAGAGGTATGTCTTTGCTTGACTGGACGTCTGTGAGGCCGTCCTCTTCAATCTCAATGATTGTTTCCACGATGTGGGCGTAAGTAGAACTGTTCAGTAACCCTTCTTGTCTGTTCGACTTGCGTAGTAAATCTACGATTTTTCGTCGAAGAATAGGATCTCGACAATGTCGGGCAACTTCGTAAAGTGGTCCGATGACGCCCATATCGAGAGCGAAGGAAGGCGCGAGTGGTGCTTGATTTCGCGAATCTGGGTTGGTAAGACCTAAGTTTGCCTCCGCCAGGCAAACAATAGCACGATGAAGAGGAAGGAACGAGTCGCTTATAACGGCTCTCTTGTCTTCGCTCAAGTCTTGAGCTTCTTCTGCTAGTATGCTGGTGGTTTCAAGAAGTCTGCGTATATGCACGGCGTTGTACGCGGCAGTTTCTCGTGAGATTGGAGCAGCATCCTCGGTGTTAGTTGGCGTTCCTGACATTGTATATACTCGTCGGACTCTCTCTTCAATGGACAAATTCCCAGAAATCGCAGAACAATCTCTCAATAAATCTTGGCATGAGTTTCGCCATTCGTCTTGTTCTTTATACTGTGAGACAACCTCCTTCGAAGTATGGGCTGACGAGCCTGAGTCAAATATGTTCTTATTGACGAGCTATTTTTTTGATCAGTCTTACAGCCCATGACAAGAAATTGAAAAGAGACAACCTACACGCTTGGCATGGATTTGTAGGCGAGAGATGAGGTCTTCATACAATGAAACATGCTGGCCCTTGGCTGCTGGTAACATAGCGACAGATCGTTGAAGCAGTGCAACAGCATTCGCAAGATGTCCTTGCATTATCTCGATACATATAAAAATGATAGCAGTCGTCATTGCAGATCCAGATGTGATTGTGTCTTGCATTCCGGTCGAAAGCGAGCTGATATGATGTCGAATCGCAGCATCGTAATGATTTAATGCAGGCCGACTTCGGCTCGACTGATTCTTGAGACTCGTGAAGTCTCGGTGAAGATGAGCGAGGGCGATGAGTGCGTGTCGAGTGCCGATGTCTTGGTGCGCCAGTTGTAGAACATGACGGTTCCAAAACTCTGATGGAGAACTCCCGGAAAACTGGTCGATGGAGATACGAAGAAAGAAATCGATTGCGCCAGCTTCTTCTCCAGCTTTGAATACATTCAAGCTGAGTTCTCGGTAACGGCTCGGGGATGATGCTCGAGATGCGACATATCCATCGCACTTTCTGCCAGTGGATATGCATTTCTGACAGCTCGGTTGCGTTTCATCGCATTTGATTCGACGGACTGACGACACACAGAATTAGGTACAGATTTTTGCATTTCTTCCAAACCAACTCACTTCTATAAGCTCAAGTCAGTGAATGTATCACAGCATTCATTGTTGATATATAGAACTCACCTGCATGTTATGCACCCAGTTCGCGTCCTGGGCTTGTATGCTCGCTTCCTCTCTACAACTCGTGTCTCCGGCATATCGCATTCTGCCTAGTGATCTGAGGGCACAATATCACGCGCGCGTCAAGGTACCTGTTGTCCAGACCTGCTACCACATTTGGGTAACAATCTGTGAGATCAGTTTGCTCTCGTACGACAATGGGGTTGAGATGGCGGACAGGGTAGAATAGCGGAGCAAAGCCTTGGTGTTGTGCTGCTTCCGACGTCCTGTCGTGATGGATTTCCATCACAACTTCGAGATTTTTGTCAACCACAAACAATAGCTTCTGGGCTGCGCAAAATGTGATAAGATCATTGTAGATAAATGGTCTGTAGGTGTTCTGATTCTCATGGTCTTCTTCCACTATCAAACCCAGAACAAGAGAAATATACACGCCTTGTGTTTTGCTTGGCCAAACCAACATCACAATTTTCTAAAGGAACGTCCTGCGGCTCTTGGAGTTTTGCATCTGTTTTGTCTTAGGACTTGTGCATCTTTTCTTTACACATCCTTCAAATTCATCATCTATCTTTTTGCCGGCCCCTGGGTCTCCCCAAGCATTCTCCCTAAACTCATCTTTGCTCCTAAGATACCCATATGTCCGATGGGAAACACACAAATATCTCCCTCTCGGTACCACCTGGAAACACTTAGCACTGCTCTTCTGATCTCGGTTCATCGTCGGGAGAAGCTTCAAGACGAGTTTTGACGAAAATCTCGTTTGAAGCCAACGGCCCCGCAATCCTTGCACCGCCTTGGATACGGTCGTACTCAATGCTATCACACCGTCTGATAGTGTGATAGGGTTCTTTGAGATCGGCTAAGATGGTTTGAGGTCGGTGATGGTGAAAACACTCGTATCTCGGCCCCCAGTGTAGCTATTGATATACCGACCAGATTTTGAGCTCGTACGAATTCGGTTGATTAGTCTAGTTGGTTTATGACGTTCCCTTTACATTCTGCTGCATCGTCAAGGCTCTATAGCCCTGATTGCATGGTGTAAAGCGGGAAAGGTCGTGGGTTCGACTCCCACATCGATCATTCATTTTTGTTAGCTGTAGTCTTATGTCTACGATCCTATGATTCCATCTTTTTTACAACTTGAGCAACTACAAGTCTGAACAAGTGATACTTGTAGCTAGGTAAAAGGCTATAATGTAAGCCTTTAGAGTAGAACTGTCAACTTTTGTACCACCTTAATGCAGCAGAATCTACAGAGGACGTTATAACTACTAAACTAATCAAACATGGAATATGCGCTCGAGTAGCCGTGGTGCTAGTGAAGCTCTCAGAAGAATCACAGTCTCGAAGCCTTCTCACGAATTCAAGAGTTTACGATTTCTTCCATTGTCAAGAACCACTATGATCACAGATGTGCCATTAGATGCTTCTCGAAAGATTTCCGGTGCTCCTTCTTTGCACAAATAATTTTCATCCGCACTGGTGCCACTATTGAACATGTTCAAGACAATATGATTATACAGCCAGGGTGATGACCTCAGCTAAAAGACTTGGGCGAGGAGAAGCTACCATGAACACATCAGTCGTAGATCTCCAACACGAGTCAACACAAACCGGTTTGCACATGCTGCGAACTGGATGATCGCTTTCGATCAGGATTGTGTCTCATCATGCATCAGATCTCACAACATGAGTCGGAGGAAGAGTCAGGAGTGAATCCTTCGTATTCGACTTTCAACATCAACGTCAGAGGCCAAGCATTTATTTACACCAGACGCGCGTACTCCGAGGCGTGAGGCTTAAATGCACAGCAGGCAAGAAAAGGCTAAGTAGTGGTGAGAGAGCTTGAAGCTAGCTGCCAACAGCTACCCCGAGTATCCCACGCAACAATCAAGGCAGTGCAAATTGCGACAGGATAGTGGAAAAAAGGAGTTGATGCGTTCAGCCGTCAGCAAGGGCCAGTGTCGCTGAATGGGACCTCTATTTAGCAACGCGATTCACGCGATCTCAGATGTGTGCGACCGCAAGGCTTTCCACAAACAACAATGATGGTTTTGCCAAGGGATATTCACCGGAAGTCTACCCGAAAGAAGAGGAACATGTTCCAAGTCCAGAAAAGTAAAAGCTCTTTGACAGCTCTCGAAGATGACATGCTTGTTATTGTTGTCGCCGCTTGCAATCATCTTTCCCAAGTCAAGCCCAGTCAATGGCTGTTCGAAACCTGGAAAAGGGAGAAGATCAAAACAATCAATCTGCAGGCCGCGGAGGATCATGATCCTGATGGAAACACAAATAGAATTATGCAAATGGTGGCACAGCGATCATCCAGCCACCTCCGCGCTTTTACCCTGCGTATGATCATGCCAAGCCAGAGTTTCCCCTGAACCAACACCGAAACGACGGCAACGCCTGCCTGGACCAATTCGCCTCAAAGAGCTGTGACGTTTCCCGTAGCTGCTTTCGTACGCAAACTGCGTCATTTAGAGGCCAGAACTTGCCAGAAGCCGGACATGATCGCGGGGATCAGCCTCCTATTACTGGTAAACATGGAAAGTAGGAAGGCAAATTGGCAGGACAGCATGACAACATCCAATCAGAATACGGACCGATGCATAGCTAGAGTAAGGAAAGAGGTAAGGCGCGAAGTGGTCGGGACACTCGGAGGGAAGGTACGAGTTTCACTTTACCCCGTCATTCGATGTCCGGATGTTGTGATGCAAGAAGTCACTCGTGAAGTGAGAGAGTTGCGCCTTCCCCTCTCTCGTATATAAGCACCTCTTCCTTCCTCAATCCTTGATTTTCACATTAACATCAACCTTTGCCATCATAACAATCGTCACCTAGACACACTTTCATCAACCTTCAACCCTCACACACCAACACCATCACAATGAAGTACTCTTTCGTCTGCGCAGCCCTCGCCGCCTCGGCCGTCAACGCCCAGATTCTCTCCGACATCACTAGCGGAGCTGGAAGCATCATTGGTGCTGGCACCAGCGGCGCCGGCTCCGTTATCTCTGCAGCTACCTCTGGAGTCGGTCAGGGAATCTCGGGAGCCTCATCTGTGGCATCTGCCGGAGTGAGCGGCGCCTCATCAGTCGCCAGTGCAGGCACATCCGGAGCTGCTGGTGCTCTTACCACCCTTGTACGTTGATTGTAGTCCGTTCTTGCTTTGGGCTTTGCTGATCAACCTTGCTACAGACCGGATCTGCTTCCAGCGGTCTCTCCTCAGTCTCATCTGGCCTCGCTTCCCAGTCCTCGGACTACTCTATGCGCATCAGCTCTCTCTCGGCTGCTGCTGCCACTGCCACTGGGTCCGCCCAGTCTTCTCTCAGCTCTGAGGCCGCCGCTCTCCAGTCATCGGCTTCATCTGCTCAGTCCTCCGGATCTGGTGCCTTGAGCTCTGCTTCCTCTCGCATCTCGAGCGCCGTCTCATCCGCTTCATCTCGTGCTTCATCTGCCGGTTCCTCGGCCGCCTCATCTGGCTCCAGCCGTGCCTCATCCGCCGCATCAAGCGCTTCTTCAGCTGCCTCCACTGGCGGTGCTCCTTACACTGGACCTGCTGTCGGTGGTGTTCTTGGAGCAGCTCTCGGCTTTGCCGCTCTTCTCTAAACAAATCGCCCATTAAACATCAGAACACAACCAAAAGCCTGCTTTGCTTGCAAGCACCGCGTTGAGAGATGGAGGAGATTTTCTTTTTCACGAATTGCTACGTCTGTACACTATGCCCCAGCATAACCTTCTGTAATAAACTCATTGGTTGACCACGTTGTTGGTTGACTGATCAATGATTCAAACATTATACCCGCTAAGCTTTCTTCCTGTTTCTTGGTGACCATCGTACATAATGTGCTTTTCATTTCAACCCTTCCACTCTGGACCGGATTGATGCAGGTAGGCAGGATGGTTGACAGGCTTGCTTCGACTACTTTGTCAATTTTTGCTCGTTTGTATTATCCAAGACTTGCGTTCGTGCATGAAGCTCTTGTTGAAACTCACTTTTGTATCAAAGCAATATCATATCACACAATGGCTTTCACACTTTTACACCTAACCTACATAGCACATATGCTCTTAAAGAATGGCGAGATAAGAGACTGATTAGTATCTCAGAAACGAGTACGGGAAGGCATGCAATTTCTGAATCGCTCCACTACGATAGATCCGAGCTGGCTTTGAGATCTCTCTGTCTTACAAAGAGCTCAGGAATATTCATCAGCGCAGCAAACCGACCAGTGCAAAGAGCGAAAGAGAAAGATTCATTTGCGGATATACTCGAGTCTGCTACTTAAACATTCGCTGATGGCTCATTGGCTACAAAAGACATCATCCACCATCCGTCTGCACAGCTGTAATACACATCAGTGTCTTCTTCTTCCACTACAACACGAATACTCACGCGTTAGAAGCCTTGCGATATGTGTCAGTGCAATCCCGGCGGTCCTTCTCGTCTCGGTGATGTACCCCAACAATATTTGTCGCATCGCACTAAGGGTTATGCGTATGTAATGTCGTAAGATCAGATGCAGACCAAACGCCAGCAGGATCAGACAAACTATCCATTTCATCTTCCATATAGAAGGCAAGTAAACACCAAGCAGTGTGACGATGATGGTGAGAGGTATGAGGCTGAAGGCAATATACGCCATGTGCTTGATTTGAGTGCAGTGGTCGCAACAAGAATCTCGTGGTGCAGCTTGAGCAGACAACTTGACGTTGTTTTGAAAAGACAATTCAAAGTGCAGAAACTGGTTGAGATGGCTGAGCTCCTCATTTGCGTATATTAGAGTCGCTTGAAGGATGGAGGCACAATGTATAAGGCATGAACGGAGGCATGACTCGCAGGCGTACAAGGTCTCAACCAAGATGTCGAAGTCGCTGAGCCAGCAGAGAAAAGGTATGTAGGCGAGACATCGATGCTGGAGGACGATGTGGTGTTCAAATCGCTCGAAGATGGTCGGAGGTGGAACAACTGAGAATTCTGCTCTTTTGGCTCTTCCTATGTCGTTGAGAAGCTCTTTAATATATGTCTCGATGATGAGATAGGGAAGAGCTTTGTAGTCGTACAAATACTGAACCTGAGAGTCGAGACTGCTGTTCAGGAGGGCAAATCGGTAGTCGGAGCAATCAATGATGGAGGTGGTGAGACGGTGTTGCTTCCAGATGGCAGTTTGCCATAGGAAATTTATGGGTGCGACATCAGCGGTTTCGTATATGTTTGCATGCAGTACGACAACTAATTTATCTTGTCAGTACATGTTCCCAAGGATCGATCAGCTTGACACACCTTGACATTGTTTGCAATCATGTCTTCCATATGTCAGGGGAGCTCCGAGGTGATTGGGGTTGTCTTGTGGTATATGACCACACAAGAAAGTTTGAGTGTTGATAGTGATCGGAGATCTGGTAAGTCTCTGGCCCGCAAAGCCTAAATGGTCCCGGGTTCCCAGAGGAGAACGGATGGCAATGCTGGATCACGTAAGTAGATGTCAAGGGAGGAAAAGAATTGTGAGGTCTTTGTACATAATACGATGGGTCCACATGCGCTTGTCTTGCGAGACCCCGTTGACTGTTCTCTTCAGGTTGACAATATTCTGTGATTGTAAGTAAGTGACTTTCGTCGCAGTCCCATGAGCCAACCTTCATCCAAGCTTCAGCGGCTGCAGTGTCGGGCTTGTACTCGAGGATCGGCTGGTAGGCGCCGTTCTGACGGAGAACATTCAGTAGGTTGAGTATGCATGAGTTTAAGCAGACATACCCCATCGAACATCAAGCCAATACAAAAGAAGGCCGTATGAATGGGCATGTCGATTAGGTTTCGATCTGTCAAGAAGCTGAGAGGTGAGGATGGTAGGGCAGTTTTTGGGCCGCGGCGAAGACTCATATAGATTGAGACATAGCCGGCCTTGAACGTTGTTCATCAATGACACAAATAAAGTTATGCAAAGTTTGATAGAGATCTCTTTCTCGTGGACGTGGCGTGCAAGCAATGGATAGAGTGGAAAAGGTTGCTTGTCTTCCTGGACAAGGCAAACACGTATGCATTGACAAGGCTTGAAGAGTGTTGAAACTTGCAAACCGAGTTGCCAAGTAGGAACAAAACTGTTCCTATTCGTCAGGGGTAATGTCTTGTTGGAAGAGCATTCCCTTGAATCCTTAGTGGTGGGATAAGAAAGCTGAGAGGCTTCGAAAGCTGAGATGGCTTGGTGGTGAGATGAGTTTCAGGCAGGTTGAATCATCAAGTTCAGGGAGGTAAGCAGGGCTGAGCACGCGAGCAGTGTTTACAAGCAACTTGTCGCCTTGTTTCGCGAGGCGCATCCACTTCCGGAGTATACTAATTGAGAATAGCAGGGGGAAGAGCTGAAATGGCGGTCTTGTTGGAGGAAGGCGCGCCAAGCCAAGCTTCCCGCGCTCCGCAAAAACGTCACCAGCCAGGTCCGTCCAGCGACTTTTTTTGGTTGTCATTCGAGCAAGCGGCAATTTGGTGGTGAGCGCAAAAGGAGAAGGAACGACATGAGGATTGGTTGAAGGAAGTCGCCAACATGTTCCGATCAACACGCGGACTTCGAGCAGCGGCTGGTTCCTGGTCGCAAACGCTGCACCTTCCCAAATCGACATTTCCCGCCAGACCATCGACCGAAGAGCTTCTCAGATACCGGAAACGATGCGCCGACGACTTTTATGCCTGGCAAAAGGAGAACCGACCAACCGAAAATGAAGACGGCGAACGAAACACCTTCGTTCTCCATGATGGACCTCCATACGCAAACGGCCCAGTACATGTCGGACACGCCTTGAACAAGATCAACAAGGACATCATCTTGCGATCGTATGCCAAAAGAGGAGTCCGAGTGGAATACCGACCAGGATGGGATTGCCACGGTCTGCCCATCGAGCTCAAGGCCCTGCAGGCGCATCAGCAATCAAGCCTGGAGAAAGAATCGAAGAACATGGTGGATGAGCCAACCAAGGAAGCCAGCGTCGCCCATGGTGCTGGTCTGAGTCCATTGGCTATTCGCGAGGCTGCAAAGAAGTTGGCGACAAAGACGATATCAGAGCAGATGCACGCCTTCAGATCATGGGGTGTCATGGGTGAATGGGACAAGCCGTACAAGACGATGGATGCTGAATTCGAGATCAAGCAGCTGCAAGTCTTCAGAGACATGGTCGCAAAAGGTGAGGTCCGTCCCTGAGTGCCTTGGCCAACATTACAAGGCTCAATGCTGACTGTCTTCCCACCAGGTTTGATCTACCGCCAGAATAAGCCCGTCCACTGGTCACCCTCCTCTGGTACCGCCCTGGCCGAGGCCGAACTCGAATACGACGAAGACCACCGTGTTGTCGCTGCCTTTGTCAAGTTTCCCTTGGTCAAACTACCCCCTGTCCTTGCCGATAATGCCGCTGTTCAAGCCGACTCGGTCAGCGCCTTGATTTGGACAACGACGCCATGGACCCTCCCCGCCAACAAGGCTATCGCCGTTCGTTCCGACATGTACTATGTACTGGTAGAAGTCACCGGCAAAGACCTCCCCAATGACCTGCAAGGCCAGATGATTGTCGCAAAGGAACGCGTCGAGTCACTTCAAGCCCACCTTCCAGAAGGTGCCTCGATCAACGTCCTTGTTGAGAACATCTCGGGTGCTCTCCTGGAGAACACCGAATACATCAACGTCATCTCCGCCGAGTACAACAAGATTATTCATGCCGACTTCGTCACCGCCACCTCTGGTACTGGTCTGGTCCACATTGCCCCTGGCCATGGTATGGACGATTACAATGTCTGTATGAAGCTGGGTATTGGTCCGGCCTTCGCCCCCGTCGACGACCATGGCAAATACACAAACAAGGCTTTCCCTTCGGATCCATCATACCTCCAGGGTCTGCCTGTTGAGAAGGACGGTGCAAAGGCGGTCGTCGCCTTGCTCAGAAATCCCCAGTCCAAGCTGTCGGTACCATCACTCAAGCCCGAATCGTCTCTTATCTTCAAAACGCATAACTTTAGGCATAAGAATCCTATCGACTGGAGAACGAAGCAACCCGTCATCACCAGAGCTACTGACCAATGGTTCGCCAACGTTGGTAGTGTCCAAGAATCAGCCCTCAAGGCTATCGAGGACATCATCTTCATCCCTGAGACCGGCAAGACACGCCTTGAAAGTTTCTTGAAGGGCCGTAGTCAGTGGTGTATCTCCCGCCAGCGAGCTTGGGGTGTCCCCATTCCTGCCTTGTTCCATAAGCAGACTGGCGAGGCCGTCCTGACCGTCGAGAGCATCGAACACATCATCAAGGTCATCCAACATCGCGGTACTGATGCCTGGTGGGCTGACGCTTCCGACGACCCTGCTTGGATCGCTCCTGGTCTTGATCGTGAATCCTATGTTCGTGGCAAGGACACTATGGATGTCTGGTTTGACAGCGGTACCTCTTGGGCCCAACTGGAGAAGCGCGAAGACGGTGCTGTTGCAGATATGATATTCGAAGGCTCTGACCAACATCGTGGTTGGTTCCAATCTCTTCTTCTCACGTACCTCTCTGGCCAAACCGGTACTGCTAATCCTCCTGTTGGAAGCATCATCACCCATGGATTCACTCTTGACCACACCGGTCGCAAAATGAGCAAATCTCTCGGCAATGTCATTTCACCCGAAGAGATCATCAGTGGTACCATCATCCCGCCAGCAAAGACGAAAAAGGGCACAAAGGCTGCTCCTCGCCCTTATCAGGCTAAGAAGGACGCCATGGGCCCTGATGCCTTGCGTCTATGGGTTGCAAGCAGCGACTACACCAAGGATGTTGTGATCGGTCAGCCCGTGCTCCAAGCCGTCCACTCATCCCTCCATAAATACCGCACGACATTCAAATGGCTTTTGGGTGTTATGCACGATTACCCTGCGCCCATCCCAATCGAAGAATTGTTGCAAGACCTCTACTTTGCTGACCAAATCGCTCTTCACCAACTCTCCAAGACCTCAGCACAGGTTTGGGACAGTTTCGCCTCCTACGAGTTCCACAAGGGTGTGCAAGCAATCAACAAATTCATCAATGCCGACCTTTCAGGCTTCTACTTCGAAGTCATCAAGGACAGATTGTACGCCGATGATGAAGATGTCCGTAGACATACACAAACAGTCCTCTTCATCATCATGGAAGAGCTTTGCCACATGTTGGGTCCCGTCACCCCTCACCTTGTGGAAGAAGTATGGCAACACATTCCCGAGGCATGGCACGAATATGACCCTCAACCCTTGAGCCGACGAACCTGGGAGTTTCCCTTCACCGCAGAGTTCGACGCTTTCAAGGCCGAAGGCGCCATGGAGAAGGTCATCAAAATCTTCACCACGGTCTCTACCGCCGTAAAGTCTGCTCAAGAAAGCGCACGCAGAGCTGGTAGACTCGGTAGTGGATTGGCTTGCCGTGTCGAGTTGCAACTCCCTCGCGAGACCGGCAACGTACCTTTAGCCCTCCTTCATGACCTTCGCAACACAGGCGAACTTTCCGAACTCTTCGTCGTCTCGGAAGCAGACATGGTCCCACTGGACCCTGACTTCCGCCGTCAAATCGCCGAGCAAGAACCAGACGAGGAACTCCGCGCCATCCTACTCGAGCCCGATGAGCCAGCTTGGAAATTCGAGTGCGAGTTCGAATGTGGTGACCCGAACAACCCTGCTACTGGTAAAGCTGTCGTCATGCCACCACGTGGAGAAAAATGTATTAGATGTTGGCAGTTCACTTCTGATGAACCTGAAACCCTCTGTGGCAGATGCGTTGATGTTGTCGGTGACCAAGTTGGTGTTAACGATGAGATGATCGAGGCTGAAGGGGATGAGTATGATGAATTGGCCAAGTACCGTTGAGCCATCATATCGTCATGAGTTGCACATTGCTGTATTGTACCAAATAGGACTGTAGAAATAGGGCTCGGCGTTAAGGATAAAATCTAGACTTCTTTGATATCCTCTCTAACAATCTCTCTCAATCTCTCCGCATTGCATTGATCTCTTCGCTAAACTTAGAGTGAGATTGATCGGAACCAAGATGACAGCATCTTCCAAGAAATGTTGCTCGACGCCTTTGTTCTTGCTCGCTGTAGGTGCCTGTTCTGGTGCTCTCGAGGTACCAGACAGTCAAGCTCCTCTGACAATTTGCGGCACTTACTGTGCCCCTTTGTATCGTCCGTCTCTTTCCTCTTGCTCAAAATCGCACGGTGTTGATTCGGGGAGGCAAATATGGCAAGGCTTGTGGTGAGATGTGGGTGTGTAGTTTCATGAAGGAATGTGTGCTTTTGTTCGGTACTGTCGCTTTCGATTGCTGGGAAGCGTTGTTGACTGAAGGAGGTGGCTGTCATTCATATGAAGACAAAGCGGTCGGACGTGTCGGTTGAAGTAGCCTCTGGGTGTGTTGCTGCTGCCGTGCTCGGAGTCATGTTTGTTCCTGCTGAATATCATCTGTTTGGTCGTGGCATCGACGAATGAATCGACTACGAATTGTTAGCAGCACCATGAACGAATCAGCCCACCTTCTGAGACTGCCAGATGTCTGGAGTATATCTTGGTGCTAGAGCCTGACCGAAGAGAGGAACTGCCTCCGCGTCCTTGCTGATCGGTAAATGGACGCGAAGACCACGATCAGCGGTTCAGTAATCAGATGGAGATCGTCCAGTGTTGGAAAAGATACCCAGATTCGATGTGACATGGCAGAGCGTCAGAGCAGGCTGGCAGCGTCGTGTACCCGTGTTGATCTGGCTCGCCCGTCCTCAACAAAGCTGGACTGTCTGTCAACCGGCAAAACAGTGTCCACTCCCCTGCATGTGAGACAATGCCTGAGTCGGCCGTGACATCTGTCAAGGGTCAAGGGTCGAGAGTCAAGACCTCGAGCTGAGAGTCAAGAGTTGGGACTTCAAGCTGAGAGTCAAGAGTTGACGAGTCCCACAGGTCGTCACGCTAAAGATTGGTCGCACTTTCTCGACCGTCGGGGCTGAGCTACAGGAAGAATGGCACGTCCGAATTCTTCATACTCTGGAGGACCTTGCAGTGGCGTAGTCATGGGAATAGCGCTCGAAAGGAAGAGACCTCGACGATGGATGGGTCAAATTCCATCGGACGGGTGAGACAGCCAGTGGGTAGAGGACGTGGAGGCTGATAATGGACCGATGGAGGTATTGTCGGAGCGTGTTCCGCGCGCCAGTGTCATTCTTGGAGTGCGTACTCCGTATTCATCTGTGCTTCCTAGTGTAAATCCTTCTGCTGATGAATTTTCAGCCATGTCGTTCTGCATCCATTCGACCGAAGATTTCCGGAGTCAGATGAATCTCGTCAACATGATGATGCTAGAGTCGAAATCGGTTTCGCATCGGTGCAACTATCGCATGCCCTGATTTCCTGAAATACATAATCGGCCAGCCGACCTTTTTATATTGAGTCAGCCCGCACTCCGGGTTGTTAATTGCCATACTCGGCTCTTGTGATAGATGGATAGGAACATTTGGGGTTGATCAATATAGCGAGTTCAGTCGATGCCGAGTCGTTATATTAGATCGAGCCGGGACAGAGTGCCGGCTGGTGGAAATGACTCGTCTCGTTCCGAAACCGAGGAACCATTCTTGTTGTTCTTTTTGCTTGTTGAGAACTTGAGATCGAGTATTGTAGGATCAATTCGATGATGGAGTTGACGAGGACTGTGTTCAAGAGTCCACGGGACCAGGGTCCATATTTACGGCCGAAAGGTTCTGCGGCAGGTAGATTGCGATCCTTGTTACTGATCAAGTGTGGTTCTCGCGGGTGGACCCTTTGGCCGTTGGAATATAGATGCGGGTTGGATGCATACCGTTCGCTTATAGGCGAGTATTCGGTGGAGGAAAGCAAAACGTCGCTTGCGCAAGAGGACTGATATTTCGCTTGCGTAAACATATGATGGAATCGCTTGCGTGCCTCTTGAATAGTTGCGACGATTATGGCGTTATCTATGCCTTCTCTCGGTTGTTGGGGGAGGCGCTGTGTTGACCTACGCGAGTGACTCGCTGTTTGATCATCTGTATTACTCGCGTGGCTCGAAAGAAGTGCCCGCGGAGGCTGAACGAGGTACGAGTAGTCTGCTGGAAGAAGCGGAACATTTTTCTATCTCTGTCGTAGAGAGCGATGTGAGCAAGCATTATGAGTCGTATGTGCAGTACTTGCAGAGTGGTACTTGAATGGCTGCGTCGACGAGTTGAAGATGACTTGATTAGGGGAAATCATGTAAAAATGCAGATAGGGCTTTTCCGTCTCCTCGATGTCTCAGCTAAGGTGCAAACATCCTCAACCATAGCAAGATCGTGTTCCAGAGGTGTCCGAGGCAGGACAATGACTGACTCGAGAGGGTCGCACAGTAAAGGCGTTGCCCATGATTCGCGTAGCTTATGCACATCTTTGAGTGCAAAACAGAGTGACCTGACTCCGATTCGAACCCAAGACCCCACTGTCAGATGTCAATAGCCACGTTTATTACAACCACAACAGCATTTGAGCAAAAACAATGGACAAGTTGGTGATCGAAACCAAGACCTTCTCTAATTACAGAGGTATCTGCGAAAGAGACGCGCTTTTTTAACGTGTTAGTAAGGTGCTTTAGAACTTGGTAGTTTCACTACCACTGCGCTACAGGGGGGTAGAATTTTTTTTCTTTTTTTCTTTTTTTCTCGGGGGGTTCGGAACTTGCCGAATCGTACGTACCTCCCACTGCGCCACGTGCCCCTATTCCGCTAAGTTGAAGGGTTTGCAATATAATTCTTGATCTTTTTTTCGCCTTTCATTGCGTTACTAGGCTTCTACGGATGTTTAACATGGCTTGCGCGCAGTCGAACAATGATTTTGATTTTGATTTTGATTATTCTTGTTTTATTAAATGCCACCAGATACAGTCAAATCCTGAACTCCTACAGTGAAACCCCAAGAATCCTAAAACCATAAAGGAAATGTTCTCATAATCGTCATTGATATGGCCCTAACAGCTTCAACCATATGTACCACGACTTACGGTGGATAGAGGCAACATAAAGCTGTCCAGAAAGCCACCGTCAACTCTCTACGATGAGAAATGGTCGAGTCAAGTTTGTTTGGGTGACTGCGACATGAAGACTTGTACTATGTGAAGCCTCGAATCTTCGACATCTTCACTGGAGCCTCAGCGAAAAAGCATCCTCACGTTCGAGAGATTGCAAAACTACTTGCGTCACAGTTGTTCGAAACTGCTAAAAGCGCCTTGCAAGGAATATCTTCCACTGGTTGGATCTTCACTCAGCATGCTTGCCTGGAGATTGACACGCAAATTCCTACTTGAATGACTGATATTTTATTCTGTTCTGGGTATAGTCGGTTTGAAGCTAACAAATATCGGCAGAGTTCAAACAGGATCTTTCCATGCCTGTCTCAGTATGTTCCGAGATTGAGCTCTCTAGAAAGAAGGTGTCTTGATGAATGGTCGAGCTTCACCTCAACAAAACCAAAGTTATTCGGATCACCCATAACCCAAAGACATATGTTGACTGGTCAGCACAAAACATGACTTACGGTATAAGCTGGCGCCCATTCGAGTCCCGTCACTCCCCTCTGCGCCAAACGTACATGTCACAGTGCAGACGACGACGCACATAACCTCCATCGCTAAGTAATCACAATGCGGTTGAGTTGCAACCACGAACATCTCAAAGAGGGAAACGATGCACAAGTATATTGAAAATCGCTGCCCAACAGGTCGAGGCAGCCAGTTCATTTGTCATTGTCCCTGCATCTGCCAACCCCGGAAACGACATGCAGTACGCAAGTGAGGCTGAACTATTGATAGGGCGGTGGATCTTCACTCGCATAACGCCGACATGTGCGCCTTGGGTGCAGGAACAGCGTCCAGGTTGGTCACCGGTGGTACTGATATCTCGGGAATGGTAGCGATCGGGATCTTGATTGAAACTGACATACAACCCGTTACACATGTGAGAGGTCGGCAAGACATCTGAGCCTGTCCCACGACATGATGCCCACGTTGTGATGGCAGACATGTAAAGGACAGTGTCACTCCATGACACTGCATCGCTGACATCGGCAGACTTGAGCTAGCAATGCAAGACAGCTGGTCGTTGAAAAGAGCTGCATGACACAGCCGAATATTAGAGGTCTGATATCGATGGATAGTCCCGACTCATGCACATGACGAGTTGTTGTCGCTAGAACAAAAGTATATCAACTTTTCGAGATGGTCACCTACCACACGCATTAGGCTTGACTGCATGCATATCTGCTAGCAGAAACATCTTCTTGTTTGCCAAATTCCTTCGAGAGGCAGTGCACCATGCGTACCCCATGTGGTGCAAGGGTTGAGATTCCACGACACCGCTTCCTACTTGCCTAATGGCCCCATCGAATTCACAACCGGACATCGGAAGAGAGCTCCGAATGTATGGTTGTTGAGAAGTGACGCACCGCATCTGCGCAAGTCACACCGACCATTCAAGAAGAAAATCCAAAGATGGGGAGGGATGGCACACGGCGCTTAGCAGCTCATCACCCAATGCGACATATCACATCGACGGCGTGATGCATGTAATTCGCACGTGGACCTCTCGGATGAGCCATGGATGTCTCGCATGCGGTGTCTCGGGTGCCGGAACCTGGCGTTACTCGATGGTGTTGACGTGAACCATGGGCTCGGGCAGTGACCTCAATCAAAAATCAGGGATCACATCGGAATGCCACCTCCGAACGTTTCCGCGAGGAGAATTGACAACTCAATGTATGTGTTTTCATGGCAAGCAAGGCATGCATCCAGGCGAGCACAGCCGTGCAGAAGCGTAGACTCAAAAGACAAGTCGTCGGCGCATCTAGTCGCTTTCAGTGCGACCGGGGGTTCTTAATTCTACCGGACTCGGGAGTGGAGAGAGATTGTTCGGTCGGCAGAACACCCGCTCCACCACCGCCTTCGGGGCTTCCGATGTGGGGGAGAAGCAAACACGATGCAAACAATGCCATCATTGTGAGGTCGTCTGTCACCCTCCACGGCGGTGACGAAGTTGAGAAGTGTCGATGTGTTGTTTTTCTCGGTTTCGTATCTTCCAAATTCTTCACAACATCTGAAACTGCAAAGACGGAATCGAAAATGTCGCAGATCAAGCAATACAAGGTTACCGAGCCCTGGCTCAAGACTTCATGTGGTCTTGGTGAGGCTCCTTTCTGGGACAAGAAGAGCAACACGCTGCGCTTCCTCGACATCATCAAGAAGCAACTACATGTCGTGAACCTCAACGAAGGACCTTCGTCACACAAGACAATTGACCTTCCTTTCTCAATTGGTTGCACTGCCAACATTGAGGGTAACGATGATGAGTTCATCTTTGGTGGAAAGGACGGCTACGGTATTGCAAACAAGAAGACTGGAGAGCCAAGATACATCAAGAAGTTTTGGTCGGATGAGGAGGTGCAAAGCGGCAGGGCACATCGCTCACGCAGCAACGATGGCTCGGTCGACAGCCATGGCAGATTCTACGTCGGCACCATGAACGATCCAACCATTGTAGGCGAGCCTGGTCCAGAGGGTAAGATAGTCATTCGACATATGCTTTTTCAGGTCACTAAATCTCCACACAGGCGTTTTATTCAGACTGGACCCAGACCTCAGTCTCCACAGAATCAAGGAACCTGTCACCATTCCAAATGGAATGTCATGGACCTTGGACAACAAGACCATGTACATCACTGACTCGCCCACTGGCAAGATCGAAGCCTACGATTACAACGTAAACACAGGCAAGATCGAACTTACGGCTGGACGCCCCTTTTTCGAATGTCCGATCGAGGGCGGTGTTCCAGATGGTCACTGTCAGGACGCCCAGGGTCACTTCTGGGTTGCCCTATTCGGGACAAGCAAGGTCGTACGGGTGAGCCCAGCAGGCGATATCGTGGCAGAGATCACGCTACCAACACGTTGCGTTACTTGCCCTGGGATCTGTGGAGAAGATCTTTACATTACCAGCGCGGCTGAAGAGGATCCAGACAAGTATCCAGAGAGCGCAAAACTTCAAGGAGCCACATTCAAGGTTCCGATCGGTGTCACGGCCGCTCCCATCAACGAGTTCAAGATGTCGGCAAAGGCATGATAGATCCATGTGAACAGCGGTTTGGGGAGGGTTCGGGGCGGTTCTAGATTGCGAGATTTGTGTGGAGGACGTACGACACATTCTAGAAATAGAAGGAGCAAAGAATGGAGGGATCGCTTTCTACCATTCTAGAAGCACGGCAGGACGGGCGACTCGGGACGCCACGACGGAAACTCGCATCTCGTCCGTGTTTCATGAATTGATTCGCAAGCATGCCTCCGCTCAGCTCGTAACTTTCATCCATGGCGTGCTCGGACCTGGAAGGAATGATAAGAGTACCAATACTGAGCGCTTCGTAATTTCCCACATATGGATTAATGAAAGTCAATTCAACTGTGCCTGGTTCCAACCTTTAACAATCATCGTAAGCATCGTGCGTCAATATTTATGGAGATCGATTTTCATGATATGCAGACATGTCGCGCCAAACGAAGCTGTGGTGAATGGCGGTCTCCAACTCTAACCAGGGTGTACCTAGGTCGTCGGCTACACAATACCTATACCTCGTACGTGGGGACGCTGATCATGTCCTAGCTTTACAATGATCAAGGGATAGATAGACTAAGGCCGAGAGCCAGTCGAAACCTGAAGGTAGAAGCGCGACACTGAAAATAGCCCATACTGTGCTCGGTTGACCGTCTCTACGGGGGAGTCCCTGTCCTTACGGCCGCTTCAAAAACATGGAAGAGGCTGAACTTCGAAGCCAGGGAGGCTTGACACTGTTGAACGTCGTTCCGTTGTTGTTCCAAACCGCATTCTAAAATCTGTCTAGGATGCCACGAGGCAGCCCACGCGCCCGGACCCGCGTGGCTTTAGCCGAGCTTTGCGGCAAGCAGAGCCCACAATAGCAACCGTGATTTTTCCAACGGCGGGCTGCAGCAGGCCCGGTGTAAAGTTTCCTTCCATCGCTGCGCGAGAGATGATGATTTGCAGCAAACAGTACGCGGGGCATCAGCCGGCTCGTTGGTGTACCATATTTGGGACTCTAGTGGTCCCAGTAAACACGTGCTTAGATCTGAGCTGACCCTGCCCTACTCTGATCACTGACACGAGACATTGTGTGCCCATCATCGTGCTGCGGACACCCGATTTGCTGGTAAAGCCATTCGGTACATGCAGCAGACGCTGTTTTGTTTACCGAAATGACGACAGTCGACAACCGGATCTCAAGATGCGATTTTCGATACATGCTCTTTTTGACGTGCCGCCCTCGCCAATATCTTGAGCTCGTGCCTCGCGCGTACTGACCCAATCTGGCAGAGGAACAAACAATTTGGGAAGACCATTCTGAAACACGACCGTTGAGGATTGACGACTCGCGATCGCCACGGTCAAGTCGCAGATGGACGGGAGACAAGTGAAGAGCTCCACCCTGCTTACGGAGCAAGAAGAAACACGAGGCATGACGGTCGGAACACCCTTCCATCCCCACCTTCTCTTTCGAGAAGCCTTCTATCATTGAACAGGCCATAATGCGCGAAACGGCAAGAACGGCCGCTAGAAAGCAGCGAGAAAACAGAGTCAACATGCCGAAGGATTCATGCAAGGAAGCAATCGCTTCGCGCCCTGTGGGTATTCTGTAGCAGAGTCTGATGTCAATCTGGTGGTCGAATCGAAACAGTCCGCAAGCGAAACATTAATATACCAGGTCTGAACAGCAAGCATAATATCACACTAGACGATACTTGTTTACATACCTTCCAAGCTTGAGACAGAGGGAAGAGCATGGATCTTTCCGTGTGCTAGGTGTGCCCGGTATCGTCGTTTAGATGTATGGTTGCGGTGCTTCCTGAGTAACGGCCAGCACATGTCGGCCTGCAGTGCGCATGTCCGCTTGAGCGAATGTGCATCCGTGACTCGTCCTTCGCGACTTGTCGTCCGGGCAGCAACGTTCGGGCAGGAAACGAAAATGTGCTGTTCAACCAATGAAATGATTTACAAGGCAGGAAAATATGCATTGCTTTGTTGGCACCACATGTGCCTCGAGAAAGAGTGTCGGCGGTTCTACACATCCCCCTCTCACATGACGCATACTAGCATGCGGACAGTATGTGCCACCTCAAGCCACAATCCCTTAGATTGGCTATCACCTCTTCCTCTTTGCTTGGGTCCACTCAAAAGAACGATTGAGTGGTTGTTGAGATCGTGTATGTAATTGCTTGGTGTTATATTGGGTGCGTGATAGGGTGTTCTGAGAAGCATGTGTTATCTCCACACCTACATAAAATCGCTCAGCAACCAAGGCGTTAATAGCTGACGTCTCGAGAAATACGAACGAACATTCGAGCGAGTCAGAACTGACTGCCAATCCCTGATGCAGATGGGTGCAATGAAACCTTCATGGGAAAATCCCTCGTGGCAAGTAGGGTTTAGCGATGTCGCCATATTGCTCTCCATCTATTAGAGACAGGATGATGGCATGCAAGGGCCAAAGCCTGATATGTTTCATGGTGATTCAAGTCCAAAACCTTGACATGCTCTGAGATTGTACTTGCCCAACGTTTATAAAGGCAAAATGTGATGCTCCAGGAAAGTGGCTTGGACGGGATTAACTTAGAACGAATGCATGCTGGTTACCAAGCGCTGCTGCACGCTGTTCAATTCCATAACCCGCCGCTAAGTATGCAGGACAAAGTCACTTGTTGTATCCCTCGGAGCATAGAGGAACGAATCATGACGAAGGGAATGAGATCCGCGAGCTGATTCGCAATGGCCTCTGTCCGTGATGAACTGGAAATTATGATTGGAACGCTGACTAGCTGTCGTCATGCGTTGCCCTTGACCCCTTGAACAAAGTCGTGATCAAACGCAAACTTCCATACGGGTATGGCTTGACTCGCGAGGTCGAAGCGGTATTAAGGTTGCGCGTACCGAAAACCTTCACGATCCTTTTTTCGCACAAATGAGAGGACGTGGGAAGGCCGATGGGCACAGACGGATGACAGCGCCACACGTACGGGATTTGCGGCATTGCACCGTGCATTTCGATGGGTAAAGGAAGAGGAAGAGCGAGTCGCAGGGGTGGGCGAACGGAGCCACCTCATCAACACCAGTGACACGGTTTGCTTGTTTGGAAACACTCGCTCCACAACTACCGAAGGAGGGTCATCGGCAGGCTTTCTTTCTGGCTAAGATCTGAGCAGCCGACGTTGGCGCGGAGCCGCCTTGGCCCTAGCCAGCGCGCAACGTGAGTGAGGCTGTTGTGATGGAGTCCCATGGCTCACAGGGTCGGATAAATCAAACGACAGATGGACCCCGAAAAGTCTGTAAGCGAGTGCTTGTTGAAGCACGAGAGGACGATGTTTTGGTTTTTGCTGAAGCTCATGCCTCTGGTAAGCTCCGGAGAGACATACGATCCTCTGCCGTTCCAAAGCTCCGACCAGTCGCCTAGTCAATTAGTGTGACACCAACGTTCAGGAAGCATTTGCACGCACAAGCATAGTTCCCGCCTTCCACGAGCGCGACCCCAAGGTGCACTAAAGTACCAAAGTCTAACTCAGTCAATCTTCGTCGACGCCAGCTGCCCACCTGTGCTGAATGATGCTACCGTTCCTAATCAGGCCCCGGCTCTATCTGGCCCGCGCGTTCTCTGCTGTCATGTCATTTCAGACTCACCGCAACCTGCCGATCGGTCTTATATCACTGGTCTGGGTATCTGGTTGATCGGGTACCTTTCCAGCCCATATACTCTGCCGCGCTCCCACATACGTCCAACCCCCTTCCCGCACTCATTTTCCTCATTCCTTTACTACCTCACATCCAATCCTTACACTCCGGCACTTCCACCCCATCCGATTGATCGTTCAGGTCGAAGTACATCTCATCGTAGATTATCTGATCAGCCTTGACTGGACTACATTCCAACTACTTGTTGCTGCTTCCCATCACGAGTAGCAATACATATCTAGTCACATACCCTACTAGTCATTTCTGTGGGACGTCTACCGTTCCACGTCATCAGTCAAGCTGGCCACTCCAGACTTTGCACCTCGTCCTTGCCACGCTCTTTCCCACGACCAAGGCCATCATAACCAGCACTTTGGTATAAGCCGAAGCATTCCTGACTACCGGCCGCTCCGATACGACTCGCCTTTCCTCTCGGTCGAAGGCGGTGATCGTAACGCTTCCAATCACGGCCAGCAACGCTCATGGTCAGCATCGTGGGAAGGCAAGCAGGCGCAAAGCAAGGATTTCATGTCACACTGGTCAAATGGTCAAGGCCCTCCGTCGACTTATGACAACGATGGACACGCCCGTTCTGTAGCACCCACCTCTCATTCACGCCATGCGTCAAACACTTCTTCTGCTTACCCAGGGTCAACGACGACTTCTCCCGCTTCACAGAGACATGGACCAGAGCTTCTACCCCCGAGGGGACTTGAACTTCCTCCTCTTGTGAGAACACCTGTGTCTCCTTCGGTACCTCGTTCGGTGACTTTACCCTCGGTTCTCAACCCTGTCACTGATGACCAAGCTACGTCTAACCAACGGAGAAGGAAGGCAGATGAGATTGATTCACCTCGCGATCGTGCTCCCATACTGCCTCCATTAGGTCCCACGTCACACGGACCGGCTTCGTTGTCCAGGACTGGAAGCAACACTCCGCTGCCTCTCTTGACCGAGCCGCTGAACAACGCACCAAGGAGAATGCTAACGCCGAAGTCTCCCCTTCGAAGAGCTATCAGCCTGTCTCACCTCAATCCTTCCAACGGGATGATGGATGCTCAGCAGAACCCCTTCCCTGTATCTCCTCGATCTAGGCCATACTCAATCCAACCTGGCACGAGCGGCGCTCCGCCTCTACCTGCTCCTCCTGCCATCAGCTACGCTCACCCAGGCTTCATTCAGACGAACCACCTTGCGAGAACAGCCAGTCCTGAGTCTGGTTCGGCTCAGCGCTACAGTGCCAGTCCCAGTCCTGACTACTCGGCTTACGACCAAACCTCACCTCCTGGAGACGCTCATATGCCAGGCTACCTCTCGGTATCCGACGCTCATAGAGGAAGAGGATTGAGCATGACCCCTGGCACTTCGGCTCCTCATGTCTCTGATTCGTACCACGTCGCTCTAAACTCCGGCCCCGGTCAAAACTCACTTCAAATGATGACTCTCAAGACCACCGAAGGGGACGTGCGCTTCCCCGTTGAGGTTCAGCAAGCTTCTCGCGTGGCAGATGAGAAGAGACGTCGCAACGCTGGTGCAAGTGCAAGGTTCCGCGAGCGTCGCAAGAGAAAGGAGATGGAAGCCTCTCAGACCATCTCTAGACTTGAACAACAAGTCAAAGAGATGACTGAGGATGCAGACTTCTACAGGCATGACAGAGATATGCTCGCCTCGATCTTGTCGCAAATTCCAGGAGGCCGCGACCATCTTCCTCGACCCCAATCACCTAGGACCAAGAGGAACGGAAGCTTGCCCACCCACAAGAGTCAGGAACAGTATCTCGATGGTCAGGGAAACAGCCCCGAGCCGATTAGAAACGTCCGCAAGCGTGGCGACTCGCCCATTCCTCAGACATATGTGCATGCGCCCATGCAGAGTCATGCACCTCCGCCACCGCCTCCGGCAAACACTATGATGCCTCAGCACCAGATGCAAGCTCACCAGCATACCCAAATGCCGCTTCACTCGGTCCATGCTTCGCCTTTGCCTCCATCTTCAATGGCTCATGCCGCAATGTCAGCGTCGAACCTTTCGCACCAACCGCCTCCATCTATCATGCAGGCCCCACCAATGACTGGTCCTATCAACCCTTTTGCACGCCATGAGCCGAACAACCGATTCCACATGTCGGCTCACAGTCGTTGAAGACTGTTCATCTGTATAAACATATTTTCTCGCGTCTCTGTAGCGTGTGCTCATGGCACTCTCTTCCTTGTTGTCAAGATACCCTTCCGATTATTTCCTGCATTTCCTGCGGATTTCAGGGTATTGCTAGGCGCTGGTTCTTCTTCCGCTGACATCCCTCGAGAGTGCGATATCAAGCTGGATGCTATTATTTCTTTTCCTATCGGTCAAGGCGTTCAAATTGTCTTTTTAGATACCCCTACTATTACACTCGCTTAGCATTAATGTATCAACATGTTAGAAATCCGACTGAGCTCTCGGCGGATACCTTCCAACCAGGATAGCACTTGTGCACTGCGATAATTTGTTCTATTGTTTTTAGTGCCGAGGTAGATTGTTCCAACTTCGGCTATCGGCTCGCTGGAGATCTCCATACTCCATCATACCAGGTCCGCGCCCACGGAACAATTTAGCGCGATTGCACTTTTTGTCTCGATCTTGCTCTTTTCCACCGAAGCTGCGAAAAAAAATGTAGTCAACGGCTTGGAACGGTGATTTTCTCATTAAACTTTTCTCGCTGTAGAAGGAATGCAGGGCGGTGGACAAGTGGAGGAAAGCACGTGTGATTTAGCTTACGGCCGGGATGGTGTCAGAAGAATAGGCCACAGGGGCCGACTGTCAGACGCTTTGAGCGAAGTCTAAATTCTGAAATTGGGAAGGTCATGTCCAGGCAGGATCCACAATGAGACGTTTCCTTCTTTTGCGGCTTGACAAGAAGCAAGGAAGAAGTAGGTTAGGTTGGTTGGAAACGTTCTTTCGATTTTCTATGTCAGGTCTGCGTGCGTAACTACCTACGAGTCAGGACAGCTATATGGGGTGCCTTTTATGTGCTGCAATAACGGTTCAGTATGCAGACATTCGATACGCATTTGCATTGTTGATGTACAGTCTATTGATCGGAGGTCCGAGGCCCAGGTTCCATCATAGAGCAACACTTCCAAGGCACAGAACTGATACAAAAGGGGAAGTAATCATCCATACCTTGATCTTTCGGGGAGCATCAAGAGCGTAATCCCTTCATCACTGCCGTTCCTGACGTAGGTCAAATTTCGGCAGTCCCAAAGGGTGGTCGATTTTGGGTACCTCGCTGCAAGCATGATGCATCGAAAAGGACAAAGTCGATCAGTATCGGGACAAGTTGTTCAGACCTCACCGTCATTCGATTGTTCATGCCCATTATTGCCAAGAGTGACGAGAAATTTGGAAGCCTTTGGGGCTGACTGAAGAGCCGAAGCCCTGGATCTCAGCAAGCTGTACAGATGGATCAGCAGGAGTGCAGAAGGTTTGAGTCCGAGGTGTCAGAGACTGAGAAGTGTACCAAACTTTGCATCATCTTAGAGCATTGCGTTCGACGTCGGAACGAAGGGAAAAGAGGTCCCCCTTTAGAGTCGCAGACTAGCGATTCAAGAAGCGGACACGAATCAGGGTGGGAAGCTACTCCGTCCTGTACTTCTGTACCTTCTATGATCACTGCTGTCCGGCGGGGCTGCAAGGACGTTGGAACCTGAGGATTGAACAGAAAGTTCACCTCGCTGGCGGTTGCATCTTCGTTGTTAACAAGCGGCCTTGCAGCTTACCTAGTGGTTGATCGACGACCGTTCGACTCGGCCTGTTGGGCACTATTATTCGGTAGCAACCGAAATCGGGTCTTCGGGGCCATCCAGCGCAGGACCAGCGCGAACGGTCAGTCTGAGTTGCTCGTGTGCTGAGCCTTCCTGCTACAGCTGTGAACCGACACGAAGCGCAGATAACTCGATCCTGTGTTGACAACACGACTCTCCTTTCATCGCGTCCGCACGTATCGCTGTCAGACGTGATGTAACTTAAGATCTGCTTTTTCACGACCCGCGGCAGGTTCGATGAAGATCTCGATGTGCCGGAACGAGATGTTTGTCGCGTTCTTGACGCGTCGAAGATGAAAAGGATTCTTCTCAATCACCGACATCCATCAAACATAGTTCCTCTTGGAAAGTCAAGAGTACAGCAAGGATCTCGACCCCACTTTCGTGCTTCGTCGCGACTCGTCAGACCGTCTCGCCATAATCGAAACATGTTGAGTTTAGCCCCAGAAGCAAGACCAAAAGAAGATTCAAATGATTGCGACATCGAGCCGGAATAGGCAGCACACACTTTGTCGCAACAAACTCAAGGCTGTGTCCCGGTAGATCCACGCGGCATCAAACCCTCTACTCCATTACGAAAAGTCTCGGTTGTTGATGGAGGCTTGATTTGACATCCACCTGCGACTCAGGGATAAGACAGTGGTACACGCCTTGAATACCTCAGAGATCGGAAACACAAGTATCAGCTTGGCAACTTTCAAGCGCACTCTTCCGGATAGGCAATTGACGGTGCCCTAAATTCTATCTGAACGATCTTTAAGCATGGTTTTACTCAGCATTGCGACCTTTGCAACGGCTCCGCGGACGGTAAATCTACGCCCAGCTTGCCAACGTCTGGCCAAAAAGCCATTGGAGTATTGAACATCGAACCGCCACGTTCCCAGAACCTGGGAAACAAACGGACTCGACCACCAATATCACGAGTCACAACGCACGTAAAGGGTACGATCTCTATGCCACTCCCCAATACGTGCGCAGTGAAGACGATCTTGAATCTGGCCATCTCGTTTGTCGTATAGCATTCGGAGGGTTGGATCACTTCTCCTTTGATGACTGAGCGCAATACGACCGTCAGGCATGGATCACTGCACGATCGCGCTGCAGGTGATCTACAAGTATAATTGCGTTTGACCTACGTGCTTTTTGACACTGTCATTCTGACTCTCTAGAAGACCCTGTGTAATAGCTTGCTCGTAAGGTTTGCTAACAGCACAATCAGTATGTCGGTCACGATTGGCAACATCACGTTAATCACCGCCACAACGTCTGAGAATGTTAAACGCAACCTCGACTCATGGCATTCTTCGTGGCTTGGACGCGTCCTGGTCTGGAACTGTTGAGAGTCACCTCTATGCCAACTTCATGGACTGCTTTGAAAACTATTGAGGCAATGCATCTTCCAAATGAGATGCAGAGCCTCATGTTGAAATAAGGGACTCAGAACTGACCACCGCGTCAAGCAACGGTCTGGAGCTCGATGGCTTATACCATAGTGAGTCAGGACAGGACAGCTCACGAGCAAGTCAGATTAAGATCGAGGGAATTCTGGACAACTTGCAAGATCGGTCTCGCCTTCCTCTCCTGCAAGATGATTTGGAGGCCTTTGCTCCAAGACCCTGCTTGTGAGGTTCGACATCTCATGATGCTCTTAGCAACCTCTACATGGACTTCATCTCGAGGGAACAACATTGCGGAGCCTGCTCCGCCGAAACTGCCCAAACAGTACTGGTCTCCGTCGTTGATGTCAAAGCTTTCAGCTGCATGGGATATATGCAGTCCATGAGCAAGGCGTGCGGCCAGTCGCGGCATAGTACTTGATGCTGCATTCGTGTTCATGACTGGCTTGGGTGGTGTGTATGGCCATCGTGATGGCCAGCAGAATCTCGACAAGTGGTAGTCGAAATTCCAACGTTGGAAACCAACAGCTGTACATGATGTCGATGTCTTACAAACCTTCGACATCACACGCCGATACAAGGATGTCTCTGCACTTCTCCATGCTTCAACAGCAGATGAGGAACATGACTACTTATTTCTTGCAATGACTTTTAGCAGCTCGAAACGATCGCATACACCTGCATTTTCAACAGAGCCGCTTGCTATGCAGCAGCCTCGAGATTCACGGCATGCCCTTCTTGGCTTCTCTCAGAGAGGTACGTAAACGACTTGAAGCGCATCTTACAACATTCGGCTAGGCATTTCGAAGTTCAGTCACATTTCCTTCTTATCATGCAGTAATTGTTCTTATGGTCTCGCTGTCTTTGCGATACGACAGTCACTCAGAGACACTTGCTCACCCTTTTTGAGACGAGACTTTCGCTGGCTTGTCAAGTTATCCATCCATGATACCACATAGTCTCTTCCAGCGAGTCTGGCTTCTCAAGACCTCTGTTCGTAGAAGACAAACACTCTTCCCTTCCGATTTCTACTGTGCCGATCCTCTGCTAAAGACTCTGATTCTAGAATGGCTGAAATCGTGCTGGAACTCCGAAGCTATATCAACAACCCCTTCCATCTTAATTCTCTTGCAGCAAAGAAACCGATCTTCGCTAATTCCTCTTCGGAGATGTCGTAGGAGTTGTTTTGGAATAGTTTGTGTCGAGGCTTTGGTCGACAATTGGAGTCAGGGTGATACTCTCAACCATTGATGCGAAACTATAATCACTTATATCTTGCGTCCACGGTCTGATGGCTGTATCTCAACCTTGTAGATATGTTAAGTATAGAACCTAAGATGGATTGAAAGTACTTGTAGAGTCATAGTATGTTTGTGGTCGTCATAAAGGGATTCTTTTTTTGCAAATCCAAGCTTCACTGGAAATGCGAAGTCATCACAAAGGGTGAATGGTTGCGTTTCTTCCCAAACCGTCAATGAACGATGAAGAAGACGTCGCCCTGTCAGACGAGACAGTTGATCATGCTTATGCAAAACGAATCGAAGCTCTAATCACAATAAAGTCCTCTTTGACGATAATAGCCATTTCCACCACCCTTAGCACACCTCCGTATTATCTCTCTCAATGCAGTCAATACAGCTCCAAGACTACGCAGATATGATAAAAAGTGACAGTAATATTGACTTTTCTCCAAACGCAAACGATGTTGTCAAGTAAAAACTACCGGGCTCCCTTTTTTCTTTTATTTCCTTGTTCCTTTTTTTTCTGGTAGCCGATATTGTTGAAACCGCACGTTTGTGTCTCTCAAGGACGAGAGCTATATGAATCCAGAGAAACCGGCAAGTGTGACTGGTATAGTGATTATAGTTGCTCGGCACTTGTTGGCCAAAACAGCCGCGGTGGCAGGAAAAATAGCTCCGTGAGAGCAGGTGCTTGTTGAGAGAACATGATTCATAATCGTCGCCGGCGTTCGGAATGTATAACAATATCTTGCGTGGGCGCTGTCGCTGTTTTGTCTATCACGCCTGTGGAGAGGAAGAGATCTGTCAAGATGAGAGAGAAAACATTCGAGAATGAGATGGAAAGATGGTTGGGAGGGAAGGAGGGAAGGATATTGAGAAGACTATGGCTACAACTCGAGAAATGTGGCGGAGACGAGATACTGTTCGAGCGTTCGACCAATGTGATGCTGAAACGACGACCATGCAACCGTGCGATATGACTCGAACCTCACAAGCAAGTGCCGCGGCAACATGGAATAGAGAGAGCGGAAGAGTTGACTGGGTTGTGTGGCGGAAGTTGGGGGACGTGCCGCCTTCGAGTGTAGTGAGGACCAATAACATGTTGTGATCATGAGACTCGCAGACAAACAGAATCCTGCTCGCAAAGCCATGACGAAGATTGTGACAGAGACCAAGAGAAGGCAGAAGGTGACGGACATTCAAGTGCAGGAGGTGATAAAGAGCAAGATGGAGATAGAATAGAAAGCCTGAAGATGTCAAGCGGTGACGGCGGTTTCTTGGTGGTAACAGACGGTATCGTTGTTGGTCCGGAAGGGCATTGTTGGTCGGACTTACATATGGATGTCTACGAAAGCACTGATTGGGTTTTATGCGAATTTGGAGGTCAAGAACAGCTAGATAGATTCGGTACGTTTAGTAGCAGTTCACAGGGCATAGACAGGTTGCGGATTGAGTCGTAGCCAGTCTTGTCGCGTGGGAATGTGGGCGAGCGAGGATGCTGATAAAGCAGAGTCCTCCAACCGATGCGCTGCGTATTTTGTGGGTGTCCTTCCTAATGATCTTGCAGTGGCTGAAGGCCTGATACTGAATCCAAGCTCGAATGCGCGTCCTGGATGGTGAAGCTGTTGCGCATCGCAGGGTGTCGCATCGGTCGGGATTGAGAGGTGGCTGCTTTCGTGGTGTGTTCATCGGACCTAGAGTCAGTAGGCGCGTTCTTGCAAGACAGACACATGGGCAGAAAGAAAAGAAGAAGGACGGCATCATGTTTCAACGTGTGTGGCATTGACTTTTTACGACACAGCGCATGTCCATAACCCTTCTGGCCGAGAACAAAGAAACAACCCTTCCTGCAAGTATCGTAAAAAGCCATAATTTTTTCCTTCTTTTGACAGTGTCGGGCTAGGCGTTCGAGTTGGGGGTTGTGATGGTATTTTGGTAGGAAAAAAAGATGATGCGACAAAGGCATTTTGCTTTTTTAAGGCTGCAGAAAAAGGACTACGCTGCACTTCCTGTCGCCTTGATTGCTGCCCCATCCCAGAGAAGACTCCCGTAAATGACCATGATTGTTGAGTGCGCGAGCAGTTTAGAACTTGGAGAACTGCTTGACGGCCTTGCCGGTGCGGGGAAGGACACGGAGGACGTTGAAGCGGACCTGCACGAGATTGTATTAGTAGATGTTTCTGCTGGTATGCTCTTCCCAGGCGAGGGAAGAGGTGGAGGGAGGGTCTTCTCACAGTCTTGGAGAGAGGTCTGCATTGGCCAACGGTGACCTGGTCACCCTCCTCGACACGGAAAGCGGGCGAGACGTGTGCGGCGAGGTTCTTGTGGCGGCGCTCGTAACGGGCGTACTTGGGGACGAAGTGAAGGTACTCGCGGCGGATGACGAGAGTGCGGTGCATCTTGGTGGAGATGACGGTTCCGGTCAGGATACGGCCGCGGATTGAGACCTCGCCGACGAAGGGGCACTTCTTGTCGATGTAGGTGCCGTCAATGGCGGTCTTGGGGGTCTTGAAACCCAGACCGACGTCCTTGTACCATCTGCGGCCGTTCTTGCCAGCGCGGGCGGTCTTGCGGACCTTCTTGGCGTTCTGGAAGATGTGAGGCTGCTTCTGGTAAGCGCGCTCGCTCTGGACGGCAAGTTCGGTGGCCATGTTGATTGATTGTCGGTATAGAAGTCGAAAACCGTGGGATGGGTGTCGTCAAATGTCGTCGCAGCTCAGGAAGCAAATTCCACAAAGCCGCCTAGCAAATCGACGCCCGGAAGGTGCGAATTTCTCACGGCAACTCCCGTGCCTGCCATTTGTGCGCTCTCGGCTTTTCCAGCTTGGCACTCCTCCGCTCGGCGTACCTTCCCCGAGCGGCGCCGTTGTTTGTTGATATGTTTCTGCATCCAGTCAGGTAATCGCGTCACCCTGGCGTCTCCCACTCCGACCAACCTTCTTCCTTTGCAGATGCGCCGACCACAACACAACCATGATTGAGTTGGACGACAAAGAGAACCAGTCGCCGCTGCGTCTCGGTTTTGGCAAGTCGCCCTCACCTAAGAAGTCGCGCAGTAAGAGCATTGGACCCGGTGGTCTTGATGTAAGTGACGCGCCCAATGGTCAACAAAAGTCCCTCAATCATTGTCGCATGACGGCGCGACCTGACTGACACATGTCTCCATCTTCACATGTACTAACATGCTCTCTCACAGTCAGTCGCTGCGTCGGCAGTCAAGTCTATCCTCCCCTCCAAGGAAGATGAAGCCAAGAGGCGAGAAGCTCGTCGCAAATCTCTTGCAAACCGCAGAGTCTCTTTCGCTCCCGAAGCGACCCTTCACACCTGGGATGTCATCGAATACATGCGCGACGCCACGGCCTCATCTAACTCGTCAGACCATGCACGAGCTCAACAACAATTCGACTCAGATCCCCCGTCTACCCCTCCTGAACAAGCCGACGAAGACGAAGACGACCTACCAGACTCGCCGGAACATCAACGCGATGCTCACCAGCAAAAGCGCCGTCGAAGCTCTGCCATACCTCCCATGAACTTCAACGACCTGGACGACTACTCTTCCTCCCCAGTCAGTGGCAGTAGCAATGTCGAAGCTAGTAGCGACGTTGAAGAGGATGTCGAGTCCGAAGATGATGGTGATAGCACTGCCATGAGTCTGGATCAAGGCGACAATACTCTGCTCTCAGAACAATCTGGAGACAGCACTGGTTCCAGCGCACGCCTGGACGCTGCTTTGCGACAAGCTTCTGATCAAGCTGGCACCCGTGGCATCGATTTCGATGAGTACGGCGACATGTCTATGGAAATGGCTGGTGACGAAATCACAAATGCCTTTAAGCCGTGGGCTCAAGGTCAGCATTTTGCTGCCGAAGACCAAGAGAACAACAACCCCTTCGATTCAGTATTCCGCCCTGGACCCCAGCCTGGGGAAGACGATGAGGAAGAAGGAGACGACGATATGAGCATGGACATGACACGCGCGGTAGGCCGCATCATACCTCAACAGCAACCTCAAGAGGATCAAGAAGAGACAGAAGATGAAGGCGACATGACAATGGATATGACCAAACCCATGGGGACCATCTGGACTGCCAACCAATCGCATCCACAAGCACAGGAAGTGGAGGAGGACGAGACACGCGATATGACTATGGATATGACAAGACCAGTTGGTCGCATTATTCAGACTCATCAACACCTGTACCAGCAATCTCCTGAACGAACCGTGTCATTCGGAGATGAGACGATGGACTTGACACAGGCAGTTGGAAAGATCCACCAGTGGAACCCTCAAGCTCAGCCACCCCGCAGTGCTCTCAAGAGACGCTTCGAGAGTTTCGCAACAGAGGATGTGGCTTCTCCTTCGATCAAGAACCCCGTTTTCGAGGAACCCACAAGACGCACAGTGGCACAAGCACGCGATGCGAAACGCAGACGCTCGTCTTCATCACGCCAATCTCTTGGTGATGGCACTATGGACTTGACAGTGGCAGTTGGTGCCATCCAGCAGAGACAGCAATCTCCCGTCAAGAAGGACAGACGTCTGAGTTCACGCAGCCGCCGATCTTCTGGTGCATCATCTATCATGGATGAGCAGACTATGGACTTCACCATGGCAGTTGGTGGTATCAAACAGCAGCAACAAACCAAATCTCCTCGGGAACCCTCAATTATCGAGGAAGATGATGGAGAGGAGAACGAGGACATGTCAATGGAATTCACTGCTGTTGTAGGAAACATCTTGAAGCAACACGCAGCCACAGCCATCGAGCGTCCAGCCACGCCTCGCAAGTCTCCTTCACCCGTGAGAACCGAGATACCGACGACTCCCAAGGATCAAGATCGCTTCAAGGAGACTAGAGATCTCACGGCCAAAAAGCTCTTGACCCCTTTGTTCGAGAAGCAGGCTCCAGGCTCAGCAGTCAAAGACTCTGCCGGCTCAAGGAAAAGCTCTGCTCGCAAGTCTGCGTCGAAAGAGCCTACTCCGAGCCTTGGTTTCCTCAGTCCTGCTGTTTTCGCTTCTCCACGTAGAAGCCCGGCTTCAGCTCGCAAGAGCCCTTCATCCGCGCAGAAGATTCCGTCGGCACAACAGACTCCTGCATCTGTGCAAAAGACTCCACTGTCTGCCCAGAAAATCCCTTCATCACCGCATAAGACCCCTGCATCTGCGCAAAAGACACCTTCGTCTGCGCGTAAGACACCCGTATCAGCAACAAAAAGCCCTCACTTCGCCCACAAGGTTACCGAGTCTGTTCAGCACACACCATTAGCTCAAACAAGCCCCATCTCGGTCAAGCAAAATGGCTCGGCTCAGAAGCCAGCCTCTGTACATAAAAGCTCACCATTAGTGGCACGTACCCCACCATCTGCCATGAAGAGCTCGGTTTCGAAGTCCTCGTCACGGAAGAGTCCTGTCTCGACTCGTCGAAGTGCAAGGATTAGCCTCGCAACTGTTCACCCTCAACGAGACGAGCACGCAGAAGAGGCCATTCATACTCCTTCGAGACCAGCAGAAACGGAAGAGTCAGCAGAAGAGATGCAGATTGATCAATCCACCAAGGAGGCGTCTCTTGTGCCCGAACAAGAAGTCCATGACGAACCAATGGGCGAAGTTAGCTACCCTGCCCTGCCTGTTCCACAACCCGAGCAGGAGCAGGCAAAAGAACAGGAACAACAACACGAGCACTCCACCGCAGATACATCGAAAACCACCGAGGCAACTACTACACCGCAAATTACGCAAACACCTGCTGCACCATCACCAGTGCACCATCATCCTGCAATCTCCATGGCTGGATCCCCGATACGCAGCCCAGCTGCTGCCACACCCAAGCAAATCGACCTCGAGGAACTAAATCCAACATCACCCTCCCTCGAGAAGCAATTGCGCAGCTCGCCGGTCAAGTTCGCGGCCACACCTGAACAACAGAAGCAATACCACGAAGAGCCTCGCAGTACGTTTGCAGACTCAATCAAATTCTTGTCAACACCGAGCAAGGAGACCGGCACCAGCCCGTTGAAGCGTCTGCGAGCTTTGACTCCCAAGAAGTCTCCGGCGAAGAAGGCAATGACCCCAAGAAAGATTGCTACACCAAAACTGTCTACACCGTTCATCGTTCAGAACAAGAATGCACCCGGGCTTCTCGATCTCGAAGCTGCCAAGAACATCTTTGCTGCTCCCAAGACTGGGCCTCCAGCAAAGAAGGTACAATTGAATGAGTTCCTTGACCTTGCGGGCATCAAATTCATGGATTTGACTGCATCCAAGCGTAGACACACTGTCGCTCCTACACCTAGTGAGCCACATGGAGCTGACAGAGAAGACCAGAACATTGACCTTGAAGGAGCTGTTGTGGCAGGTGCGTGCACAATGCCAATGCTTGACCTCTTCCAGCATGCCTGCCGTGAACTTAAGCGCTACATCTCCGAAGGCAAGTCTTTCCTCAAGACACTGGAAGCTGAGGTTTATGAGGAACCTCCACCATTCTTCCAGGCTTATATGGACGCTACGCCTGATCGCAAGGCTCAGCTGGATATCAACATGAGAGATGCCAAGACGAATGCGAGAATGAGAAGTAAGGAGATCTGGTACGACTGGCGCAGCAAGCTTCTGGACGGTCTTCTGGATGGTCTGAACAGGATCAAGACTGGCCTCGAAGCCGATGCCGAGATTTTGGGACGAAAGCAAGAGTCGCTTGATTCTGAATTGCCTGATCTCCTCCAACACTACGAAGATCTATTGAAAGAGGCCGAACAACTGGAGCAAGCTGCTGCTGCTACTTCCGAAGAAGAGAAGGAGGAGTTGCGCGCTTCTCGTGCTCGTCTTGTAGAAGTGGATGAGCAGATTGAAGAGCGCAAGCGCATGCTGGCTGACCTCCAGCGTGATATTGATGAGCAAGACAATCTCGCTGAAGCTTACGAAGAAGGCAAAGCCGAGAGTCTGGCTGCCATTCAAGAGGCTGAGCGTGTCAAGGAGTCATGTCGTGGTTTCACTGTGGAAGAAGTGCAATCACTCAAGGGTATGTCTATGAAACGAATTCAGGATTTTGAACCGTGCTAACAAAGTCTCAGCATCAGTAGCTCAGCTTGAGAAGCAAACAGGCTGGGCAGTCGCTTCAGCCTCAGGCGCCAATCTCACCATGACCTACAAAAACACTCTTCAGCTCTATTTCAACACTACCTCTTTCAAGGTCAACGCATCATCGCCAGCAACAACCCCTATGAATTCGCCCATCTCCCTCACACATATTACTCCCGCTACGTTGACCACCGAACAACGCTTCTTCCTCCAACTCATGCGTGCGCAACTTCAGTGCCTGGATCAAAACACTATCTCATTGAAGCAATTGCTCGGTTTTGTACAGAGAGGATGGGACACGGCATCGCTCATAGCCGAGCAAGTCCGTCGTCTGACTCTCGAGCAGATGGTCAATGTCAGTATCCTTAGCGATGAGCGTCTTGCTGTTGATATTTCGGTCCTGCTTCCTAAGGTTGAGACGAAGGTCAAGGTGGGCGTCCAATTGACAGCCACTCTATCCGACCCAGAGGCAGAGGACTTGGATATCAAGAACGAGATTGACGTTGATGCCAAAGTCGTGTATGGTGAACCTTACAACGAAAAGAACATGTCCGAATTCGTTGGCAAGCGGGTCAGAGGACAAGGCTTCGTGGGCTGGGATGAAACCATCAGAGAGTTGAGGATGAGGCTCGTTGCTACCGGACGCAAGGGTCGTTGATATTGATACCTTGCCGGGTTATCTATTGTTCATGTCTGTTTTTATCGCATATGGGAGGCTTAGCACAAGGAGTTCTTTTTGGATCGGGCTGTGTCTGGATGGGAGTTTTTTGGTGATTGACTGGATAGGATTGGACTTTGATGAAGAACATGACGACATATTTCAATTGCTCAGCCCTACTGTCTCCAGTGTCTTTGTTCCCACGGCCGTAACAATGCAAGAGGCTTGTCGTGTTGAAGCATTCCTTTGCGGAGAAACGAGGGTCCTTTTGTCAGTGGCGCAGCTGAACTCTGGGGTGATCACCGTTTCTTTGGTTCAAGGCACCGGAGCAGCTGACCTGCATGCCTGTGCCTGACTTCCGAGACGACACTTCATCAACACCACTCTTGCCTTTTCTCAGTGAATTTCCCAACAAGCAAATTCAAAGCTCAAAGCATCAATAAACACAAGCAACAATCAAAGCTATCAAGCAACGACAATCATACAACAATGCCCACCCTACCTCGACCAGGCAAACAATCTCTCTTCGACATGGTAGAGCAGAACAAAGCGACAGCCGCACAAGCACATGCAGATAACGAAGCAATATCATCAACACAACATGAAGACCAATACACTACTTCTCAAAAACAACTCGACCCAGAAGTATCAAGTATATTCACCCAATCCACCACCGACACCGGAAACCCCATCCACCAATCCACTTCCTCTTCATCACGTTTCGGGTTCTTGAGAAGGAATAAATCCTCTTCCAATCCTCAAGACCAAGCTGGTCTACTTACCAATTCTGCGGGTGGTGAAGGTGTCAAGGAAAAGGAAAAGAAGAAAAGCAGATTCGAAAATCCGTTCAAACCGCATGAGCAGACGGATGAGGATAGAGCTATTATGGAAAAACTTGCCAAGAGGCTGGGGAGTAAGGAGGAAGCTATTAGGCAGGGTGGTGCGCAGCCGGCTGGGTATAGGGGTGTGGGTGGGGGGTATGCGGCTGGTGGGCCTTGGACTGGTGGGATGTAGGGAGGAGTGAGAGAGAGAGAGAGAGAGAAGGGATGGAATGGTGGGGCTGGATAGTTTATCATGACTTTGATGAATGTTGTTCTCATCTGACTGTGTATTTTGTTTGGTTTTACTCGTGAGTTGTGACGATGTGTGGATATGCTCGGGTTGCATTTTTCCGAAATGCCGAGGCGATCACTTACCGCCTTTATCCATACCCTTCTAACAGCCGGTTGAACATAGAACTGTGAACACAGACAACCGGTCAAGACATGCAGCAATCTCGACAGAGTCATGCAGACGAACCTGTGTTTCTCCTGCTTTATAGCTCGCAATCGGAGGAATGATGATTGGTGCTGCTGCACTGCATGAAAGTGCGGCTGGGATTGCCAAGCTGCATGCAGCATGCAGGCGGAGACTTTGCTGCTTCCTTCCTTCCTTCCAACTTCATCTCGTAAGCTGCCGTCCTGTAATCCTTCGTGTTGACCGCTTGCTTGCTATATGATGACCACGAGGTGTTAAGATAGTCGAATGTTGAAGTGCCGGCCTCAACGGGGTTTGGCGCGATGATTTTGGGATACTGCCGGCATGGGCTAGAGTCTGGACATCTGGCCGGAGCACAACGCGCGGGATACAGATGAATTGTTAGATGAAAAGCGACAGACGAGCCACTCGCAGATGTTGTGTTGCCGCCCAACCATTTACAATCAACCGAGCAGGCAAGCGCATGCCTCTTCTAGTTTGGTCAGGCTGCTCGATTAAGACAGAATTCGGCGACCAAACACGAAGCCTCTAGCTTAAGCATCGAAGCACCGATTGGTGGGAGATCATGAGACTTGCTATTGACCGAAGCAGATTTTCTGCCATCAAAACAAAAGATGCTTACACGTGGAGGTTCATGAACAGGAGAAATGCTGTACAGCTTCATACGAGAAAGGAAAACATATCGCATTAACATCAGACGTCAAATCATCCGCTCCTTTCTATCGCTTCTGAGTCGATCACTTGAAGCTCTCGACCTCGCCACCACCTCTGATGACAGCGACTCGCATCGTCGCTAACAAGTTGGTGGCTGTAAGGCTATGCGAGTACACACCTCCATTGAATGTGGCTGTCGCATCCTTTCCGATCGCCGACTTGACGAAAAATTTTCCTCCAGGATGCTCATCCAGGAATTCCTCAACGTCATGCACCACACCCGCAATGACCACCAAAGACCTCCCTTCGTCTTTCGCCAACCTCAAAAATTCACTCCACTCAATGACTGGTAATGTCTCAATTGGTACACCCCAATCCAGCACCCCTGCCCTCTTGTCCAGCATCTTTCTCGCCTGCTGTACCCTTCTCTTTTCAATCTCTCCGTATTGGAAACTCTTCAGATCCCAGGCCAAACCTGCCGACTTCCATCCAGAAATCAACCACTTACATGGATCATACTGCCACCATTCAATCGCGTTCCTAAAGTCGTTAGGGAAGGTATGGTGGAAATTGTGATATCCTTCGCCGAAAGTGAAGAGGGCGGTAATCAGCGAATCGCAAGGAGTATGGCGATCGTCAAAGGGTTTGTCGCCAATGTAATGGGCGAGTGAGTTTACAAAAAAGGTTGCTTGGTGGGCGAGAAAGATGCGGAGGACGGAGGCGTAGATGAGACCGCCGCGGATGTCATTCCAGCAGTAGTGGGCGATGCTGATGGGAAGCATATAGCCAAGGAGTAGCTGGAGTGGAAGAAGGTACTTGTGTTGCCACATTACAATTCTGTCCTTGCGATGAGGTCAGTGGGTTGTGCTTGTTGTCATCGAAGGGCTTACTTACTTGATCTAGGTCGTATACGTTGACGCGGCCGATGATTTTCTGATCTTGCTTAAAGACGAGCCAACCCATATGAGCATGCCAGAATCCTAGATGAGCGGCATATGGATCTTTGCTCGTGTCTGTGAAGCGATGATGGGCACGGTGCTTCGTTGCCCACCATCTGATCGAGTGTTGGAATGCTGCAGCACCCCCGAGTGCGAATGTCAGGCGGAGAGGCCATGATGCGGAGTAAGAAGTGTGAGACCACAGTCTGTGATATCCAGCCGTGACACTGATTCCTGTAAAGGAGTAGAAGAACACCGATAACAGGAAGGTGTTGAGTCGTAGAGGTGTGTACAAAGCTTGGTATGCTGCCCACACTGGCAACGCAATGAGGAAGATGACATTGATCCAGTCGATCCTCTTTGGCCAGTACAGTATCTCCGAGATCTTGTTTTTGAGAAGCTGAGTCTCCGTCGGCATGTTCTTTGAGAGCTCCATGGTGAGTGTTTGACAAACCGCAATCCAGGAACGAAATTTGCTTGGATTTATCAATCGTCCGGTCGAGTAATCGCGACCGGCCAAGCATGACACCAACACTCTTACATCTTCATGTCGTATCCGGATGAATTGAATCCATCTTGACCGGTCAAGAGGCGAGCCTTTTCTCCACTCACTCATGCATCTTCGGTAGTCTGCCGTCAGCATATCCATCGCTTGGAATGTTCGGCGAACAAGAAAAATCCAACCCGCTCTCCTCGTGGATGCATTGCAACACTCTGATATGCTTGGGCGATGTGTTGTCGTTGCATGCGATCTTCGCTAGAGCACTATATCTAGTCAATGGTAGTCTGAAATGTGGGGTCCTCCTTGCATGAATAAAGCAGGCAAGCAAGAAGGATCCAGCCGCAATCTATTCCGGAAGGGAAGATGATCTCGACCCTGGATCTAGCCGTCTGCTTGGACCAGTGAGATGGTTGGCGGGGTTGGCCTATCTTCAGGCCTCCCGTGGCGGAGGAATGTTGCACAGGCTTCTCGTAGGACTTGAGTCCGAAGGTAACCACCCCAATGCTACAATTGATACCGCACATGCAGGTCAGAAAGGCTGTGCTGGATGATTGCGCAAGGCCGGAGAATTATCGACCAATTATCAACTGCCGTGGCTTCATCCGGGTTATTGTACCATTTCAATCACCTTCTTCCTCTGCCAGGAACCGATCATCTTGTCCATTAAACTACCTTCTCTGTCTGGCAAACACCTGCCTTCCCGAATCTATCCTGCCTTCCATCATTGAACATTCTTCATCACTCGTCATGTCAGACCAAACACCTTGCGTCTTAGTCACAGGCTTCACCGGCTTGCTCGGCAAAGTCGTCGTGCAAGAACTCTGCAGACGACAACTCCAAAATCTCCTACCCGACCACAAAATCCTCCTTCTCATCCGTCCCTCCAAAGATAGATCCGCTGCAGAACGCTTCACTCGCACGACCAAAGCGATCTGTTTCTCCAAACTCGAGGATACATGGCAGGATCTTGTCCAAGTCATCGAGGGCGATTTGTGCACTCCTGATTTGGGACTACAGCGGGATGTTTATGCAGACTTGGCTCGGAGAGTCACGCATATCATCCATTGCGCCGCTTCCATTGATTTCGATCTGCCCTTGCAAGAGGCCTCAAGGTCGAATGTGGATACTTCGATGAACATCCTCGAGTTGGCGAGGAAATGTCCGAATCTGAGGCAATTGGTCGATACGTCCACGGCATATGTTTCCACTTGTCAGGAAGGAACGATTGCTGAGGCATTGGCGCCAATGCCTCTGAATATGTCCCCATCGCAATTGCATTATTTAATCCAGAAGGGGTTGATTGATGAAGCTGAGTTGTTGGCGTCTTCTGGGCATGCGAATACGTATACAGTCACCAAATGTCTGTCTGAGCACTTGCTGTTTGAGGAGTACGGAAACGTCCCAGTCACCATCGTTCGGCCCAGCATCATCAGCGCAGCCCAGGAATATCCCTTCCCGGGCTATATTGACTCGTACGCCGCAATGGGCGGCTTCGTCTCTCTCTTCGGTTCTGGCTTCCTTCATGTCATCGAAGGCGACCCGACCGCAAGTTTCGACGTCGTCCCAGTCGATTTTGTCGCCAGTCGTATAATCGAAGAGTCGCAATTAGCAGTATACTCCAAAGATCGGCAAACCTCCACTACCAAGGGCTCTTTCAAAATCGTCCATTGTGTTGCTGGACTCAAAGACAGCATCTCCACCCCCGACTTCCGCAGGATAGGTCTTGACTACTTCGCCAACGTCAAGTCCATCCGTAAACCCTTCTGGGCCTACACGGGTCCTAGAGATTGGCGCTACTATTGGTACAAATGGACATCTCAAACCATTCCCTTGCAACTGGCAACCTGGTTCTTTGCAGCCATTCAAAACAAGGCAATGTCAAAACAAATGACAATCATCAAGCGGGGTATCGAAAAGGTGGATGCGACATTTCCGTATTTCTGTTTGCATACATTTGACTTTGCGACCGAGAGGAGAATTGATGAGGGGTTTACGTCTACTGAGTATATCCAGGTGATGATACAAGGTGTGCATAGGCATCTTTTGCGGAGGGAGTTGTATGTTTGAGTCTTTTTAGGTGATATATTATTCTATCAACGTCTTACTAGATCAGCTTGATCAAACATGTGCCAGAGTGATTCCGGAGAATGATCTCTCTTCTGAATCAACGACTCTCTTCTTGTTCTGGCCATCCATGTCGAATCTGTACACGAAGCCACCCATGTCTGTTGCGTAAATGTGCTGGTTTCTTTTGTCAAGCTTGAGGCCGATGGCTTCATGCATGTTGCGGGCCAGGATGTCGTACTTTGGGTTGTCGCTTGCATCTTCAGCGTGACTGAGATTCTCAACGCTGATGCTGTTGATTGTGTTACCGAAAGGCGGGTCGCCACGGTCGGTCCAGTATAGCTTGCCCGCTTCCATGTCAATCTCGAGATCGATCGGTTCTGGCAGGCCATTCAGGATAGTCTCGATATCGGATCTGGATGATGCGTTCTGGCCAGAGGGCGTGTCGATCTTTGCTCTGTAGATTCTACCCTTGCCGCCCTTGCTGGTACCCTTCTGTGTCCAGTAAAAGTAGCCTCTTTGGGTGTCGACAGAGATACCAACACACCATCTCATGTTGTCTTGAGATTCTTCCTTGACGTTCCAATCACCTCTTTGGACCAGCGTCTCCTGCTCGCGTCCGTCGAGATTGCATCTCATGACTCGCAGACCCTCACGATCGCAGAAGTAGAGCTTGTTGTTCTCCTGATCCACGATGAGTTGCTTCGGAGTATGCACGTCACCCTTCTTAACAATCTCCTTGATGTCAGAACCATCAAGCTTACAGGATTGGATGCTTCCGTCGTTTTCAGATGGAACGCCCATGTTTGTCCAGTAGATGCGGTTGTCCTTGACTGAGATGTCAAGACCATCGGGTAGGGTCAAACCGGAGACCAGCGTCTTGGCTTCTGTTCCTGATGCTGATTGTGCGACAATCTTTCCGGCATGCATAGGGTCCTTTGTAGCATTCATGCCCAGGTCGAGGTAGTACAATGTTGGCGAGTGCAAATTGTCGTGATGACTTGACTCCTCCTCGCTCGATTTGGTAGTGTAGCCGGCGGGGTATAGACCACCTTTTCCGCTCTTGCCACCTAGCTTTCCATTGTCGATGAAGTTCTTCTGCAGGTAGTCGACAGTATCCTTGGTCGGCAGCCCACGCTCCTTGACGTAATGCTCTTCAATGAAAACGACTGTGTCGAGACCAACTGCATCCATCATGGCGCAGGGACCAGCCTTGGCTCCAGAGAACATCTCGACCCAGACGCGGTCCAGCTCCTCAGGTGTGCTAACACCCTCACTGAGGACGGTAAGACATTCACGCTTGATGGCGGCCCAGATGCGGTTGAAGACGAATCCCGTGCTTTCCCTTCTGGCGACAATGGGGCTCATACCACACTCCTTCAGTCTCTCGACGTAGAAGGGGAAGACGTTCTCATCGGTGAAGCCATCAGTCATGAGTTCAACGATTCTGTTGTCCGGCGGCATCATGTAGTGGGTGTTCAGGACTCGTCGCTTTGCCTCGTCGTCGACCTTTTCCAGCATCTCTCCACTCTTGTAACTGCTCGAGTTGCTAGCCAAGAGGCAGTCCTTCTTTGTCATTTTTGCGAGGTCGGCGAAGGTGTCGATCTTGAGCTGCAACTTCTCAGGGACAGCTTCAATGACGGTCCAGGCATCTTCGACGGCGGGTCCCAGGTCTTCGAAAGCTATGGCTTTACCAGGTGTCGAGCATGAGATTGTTTTTGCGTACGAGGCGACGTTCTGTTCGACGTAGTGGATGGCAGCATTGCGCTGTTCGGAAGACGGGTCTCGCACATGGACCGTCCAACCGGCAGCAGCCCATGTGCATGCAATTCGTCGACCTAGAACACCGCCGCCAAGTACAGCGACAGGGCGGCCTTTGATAGCTTCGATTGAAAGCTCTGCCATCTTGAGGGAGATTATTAATACTATCGATAGGTAAGGTCGAGGGATGTCCAAGAAACACACTCGAATATAATGATACAATGGTCAAAGCCTACCTCATAGCGACAAGCCTCTGTATATATAGCAGGAGCGATGACGCGCCTGCAACCGTTGTGTCAGGACCCTTGAGGTTTATCCTTGTGATGACCCGAGGCGATTCGATATCTGTCGCCGACGCTTGCATTCGTCACCCTTCGGCGTACGGCTTCTCTGGGATTGCAATTTGGAACAACATGTTGCAAGCTTCGATATTCTGGCCTCAACAATTCTTGAATGTATAGCCGAGGTTATCTCGAGCATGTGAAGATGAGATCTGTAGAGGAAAGGGACCGTTGGAGGTCGGAGTTCGTGCGCACGGATCTCCTCGGGCCAAGCGGCACCGACGTCATTACCTTGCGAGAGCTCCCTCCTGAACGCAAACACATGCAACCCACGAATCAAACTTTACCGCACCGAGTGCGACAACATGACTCTTGGAAGACTCCGCGACTGTAGGATACAACAAGCGCCGGATGAGGATCTCCGTATCTGATCACAATCGAAAACAACACGATGCTCTCACTGTGAGCGACCGTGACAGTCCTCGGAGCATCACCGTGCGTGTTCGGTTTGCTATTTCTATGGCAGCAAGCATGAAGGCATCTGTTTGGTTCAGTGTTTATTCATTCAGAACAAGTTTCTAGTATCTACATCATATATCCTCTATGCCGCCAGCAATTTCACGGGCACTTTGACCCTTATCAAAAGCAGAATACTTGGTCGGTCAATCTGGAGACCGCACCGGGCTTCTCAAATCCAAGCTCAGAAAGCCCGTCTTTCATGCTGTTGATCAATGGCGGAGGCCCACAAAGCAGGATCTTGCTCTTGCCCTTGGGCCCTGGCAACTCGTTCTGGCACATCTCCTTGTCGATGTAACCTTTCGGACCCTTCCACTCATCGCTAGGCTTGCTCAAAACGTAGACGACTTTGAAGTTCTCTGGGTACTTTGCAGCAAACTTGTCAAGCTCGTCGCGCAGCAGAATGTCCTCCTCTGACACACTTCCGTAGAGAAGAGTGACCTTTGTCTTGTCTCGTGGGTTCTCGCAGATGGCACGGATGATTTGATACATTGGTGTGATACCGGTACCACCAGCAACCATACCAATCTCATCCGCAAGACCACGACCGTACTTCATGGCACCTTTTGGGCCTCGGAACTCGACCTCATCACCAACACTCAGATCCTCGAGATAACCGCCCGTGAGCTGGCCATCTGGGTAGCACTTTATGACAAGTCTGAGCTCTCCGGCATCCGAGTTGTTCGAGACAGGAGTATATGAACGTGAAACACTCTTTCCGTCCACATTGCCACGGATGCTTAGATGTTGACCAATGGGAAGACCGAGAATGCTGTCCGTCTTGGGAAGTTTGAAGACGAATCGGTAGGTGTTCTTCGACAATTTGTCCTTCTTGACCAAAGGCAGAGTCTGGTACTCCTGAGGCTTGAGGAAACCGGTAGCTTGAGTGATGGGCTTTGCAACCGTCTTCGGTTTGTAGTGTGCTGGCCAAGAGGCTAAGGTATGCTGTTGTTGGAAGTGGCGACTGATCCAGAGCAGCACTGCAGCTGAAGCTGAGAAACTCGCAGCAGAGGCAATCAACATGCCCTTCCAGAATCCACCGTGCTGATGATGCAGCCATCCGACCATCGGCGACCGGGCGATCAGCTCGTATAGAAGGAATATACCTCCGCCTCCGATGGCTCCCTCAAGAAGACGACGAACGAGCTTTTCAGAGGATGATCGAGAGTTTCCCTTCTTGTTTTGTGCTGCCCTCACCAAGAGTGGTAGCTCCTTGGGCTTCGCTTCGACACTTTCTTCCTCTGCGCCTTCGAGTTTACCGATCAGGTATTGTCCCATGGTTTCACGGGCATCAGCCGAGTGGCCAACGTCCTCGAAAGTGGCGGTTGCATCCTGCCCGGCAACCTCATACAAGGATGGAGCGCCTCCTGGATGGTCCTCGGTATACTTTGTCACGTCGTAGACTGCATCGAGAGTCAGCATGGAACCTCAACCAAAGAGTGTAGGGATTCGCACCCTTGCCATGGACAATGATCCAGATGTCATCCTTCTTGTTGTGCTTTGCGACTTCTTCAGCCGTGACTTCCTTGGTTGTTTCCGACATCGTTGATCAAGATGAGAGCTTTGACGGTGACGAGGTGTTGTATCTGGACAAGGTACGTGGGCGTTCCAGAATATTTACAACATCAACTAAAGATAATACACTTTGATGATGCCGAAGCAACCGACTGACCTCATCGCGTCGGAGTAGGCTCCTTCGGTGAAGCTCGCCTTCATTGACAAATTGGAATATTGAGTTTGCCACAAGCGACACTGGAGAGATGTTGAATGCCTCAAAACCGCTTGCGATTACCAAAGAACAAGTGTTTATTGCTTAGCATGGCTTGCGACGCCTTGTTTCGTGCTTGTTGTTGAACAATATTCAGGCACGGTGAGGTCGCCCCGTCAGGGACCTCGGCACCGTTGGAGTTGTTCGCGAGTTAGAGTTTCGCAACTTTTCCGACAACGGGTTTCTCAGATCGTTGACCATTTTTTGTCCACTCATATCGAGCAGATTTGTTGTATTCTGGGGCGATGCAAGTATCCCCAGCATCTGTTCAATGCGGATATTGCGGGTTGCTGTGGGTTTGCTGCGATGGTAGACCGACCGAGGCATCGGATCCTTCGGGCAGACAACATTGGAAGCCGCGGCCAGTTCAACACGTAGCTTCGCGATAACATCGTTGCGTTGTTGTTCATTCCAAATTTGTGAGGGATGACGTCGCAAGAGGAGTTGCTCCTTCCTCATGGTTTGACTTGACCAATCTTCGCTAAAGAACGCCCATTCTGGGTTGCTTGAAGATTGATATAAGGTATCGGAGCAAGCCACTCGTTTTTGGTACTAACAATTCTTTACTATCATTCGCCATGACTATCAAATCTTTCTTCTTACTTGGAGAGGATCCTTCCACAGCACAAGGGATCGAAGTCGACTTTACCCACGACATTGATACTCTCAAGGAGGATGTTGGACAGTATTTCGGAGTAGCTGTTCCTGCTGGTAATTACAGCATCGTCTCCAAGTAACGTGCATTAGACTAACAAATACAGGCATTGCATTCCAGTCAGGAGAGACACAATTAGAAGACCTCGCCGACGTTGAAGAAGCCAAGTCACCCATCGCCCTCACAGTAGATGGCCATGCTGTCAGAGAAGTACCCGGTCCAAAAGGACTGCCCATCGCTGGATCGTACTTTGAAGTCTACCCCGACCATCTCGGTAATCATCAAAGATTGTTCGAACAATATGGCTCCATTTTCCAGACCACAGATATGGGAAGAACAACATATTACACAAATTCGCCTGAAATTGCATCCATCTGCTTTGCCGAAGGAGATTACTGGGCCAAGATAATCAACAAAGATCACCCCCTCTACCAAATCAAGGAGCCCATGGCTGGTGTTTTCCTGTCGGACTCTAACACTGAGGCTTGGAGTGTAGTGCACAAGTACCTGGCACCTGCTTTATCGCCCAAAGCAGTACGTCACTACACACCACAAATGCAAGAGACTGCAGAACTTTCCTTCAAGGTGTTCGACGAGCTTGATGAAAAGGAGGAAGCATGGAATGTCTACCAATACATGTTCAAGATGGGCTCAACTGCTATCGGCAAGCTGGCATTGGGCATTGATCTCCACCATTTCGATAGCGTTGATGCTCCCCTCCACGAATTGGTCGTCAAGGTTGGTGTCAATCTGGAGCTGAACAAGAAGATTTCAACACGAGGAGACTGGTACAGCCATCTACCATTCGGTGAGCCTAAGCAGCTCAAGGATACTAAGAATAGACTCGGACAGCTCATCGGCGAGGCCATGGAGAACGCAAAGAAGGACGGCGCAGAAGACCTACCCATCGCCGAAGCCGCACTCAAAGCCGATTGCATTGCCGATTACCTAGCCCGAGCCATCGACCCAGACGGTAACAAAATGCCCGAAAAATACAGAACTCCCGCCACCCTCGTCGCCGTCGGTGCCGGTTTCGTTACCACAGCTTCATTGCTTTCATGGCTCGTTTTCGGCCTAGTCCAATACCCCGGAAACCAAGGGCGACTTCTCCAAGAACTCATCGACTACGGCGTCCACGATAGAACAACCTGGACACCCGATCTCGCCAATGCTTTGCCTTTCCTAGACAATTACATCAAGGAAACACAACGTTTGCATAACCCATCTTATCAACCCGGCCGCACAGCACTCAGCGATACCATCCTCCCCGGTGGCTACAAAGTACCCAAAGATTCAGTGATGATCGTCGCAATCCACCATATCCACAACAACCCCTCCGTCTGGGATGACCCCCATAAATTCAACCCCGACCGCTGGTCCTCGGATGCAGCAAAAAACAGACCCAAGGGCTCTTATGTACCCTTTGCAGCGGGTCCTAGAATGTGCATCGGTTTCAACTTTGCTCTCCAGGAAGTCAGAGTGGTGTTGAGTGAATTGATCTACCGCTATGAGTTTACGAAAGCATCAGAAGAGGAGGTGGAATATGATCCTAGTTTCCAACTGATCAGGCCGATGAATTTGTTCGTTAGAGCGAAGAGAAGGACCACTTGGCCGGAGAAGAAGGAGGATAAGAAGGTGGAAGCTTGATTGGCGTTGTAAGAAAGCAGAGATCTCAGGTCATCTTCAGCGTGGCCGCGAAGACAATTCATGTACAGATGCAAACGTAATAGTATGAGCTGCTTACAAAGCGCAATTCACCCAGCGTCTCTCTGTCAGAGCTGTTTCACTCATCTAGGTCATTGAGGGGGATCTTTAGTACATCAGACTAGCCCACTCAGCCACAACACAGCTCTGAGACAACAAGTAGCAATGACCGCGGATATAAACTACCCATGGAAGATCGGATTTCTCACCGACGATGTTCCCCAAGATCCGAGATCATCATTATCAACAGCACCATCGATATCAAAGATCCCCATAAGATCAGATATTAGACTAGTACAGTACAACTGCTCAGCCACAATACTAGCGTCTTGTAGAAAACAAGTCCCGCTTACTCAATCCTCCCCATCCCAACTTCCAACTTCCAGGGTCGCTCTCAGCCTTAGTACATGCACATGTCGCAGGCAGTTTCTCCAAACTCAGCGAGTCAGAAGACTCTTTTTTATGACTTTTTCGTGCTACGGAAAAAAGATTATTATACTCTTTTTCTTAATGGATGGAAAAAGGTCCCCGAAGACCCCCGAAAATTCCAACGAACTGTAGCAAAGTTTCCCCAAAAGCATGGTATAAGCTTCATAATGATCTTCTTCGGCTCCATTGATATGGGAAAGCAAGTTTGACAGGGGATGTATAGGCTGTTAGAAACCGCCGGTTTGGATGGATAGAAACATCATTCAAGCAAAGAAAGTTGGAAGGTCTGACCTTGCCGGTTCTAAAGGAAATCAGGGGCAAGAACAGCCGAAAGAGATCTTCGTGGACCCTTGAAATTCCTGGCTACGGGATTACGGCATTGTAGGTTTGGAAGACAAGCTTTGTAGACAACATAACCCACGTGTCTGTTTTGACACTGAAGGGGTCCAATACGCGTTCGGGGTTGGGTTTACGCAATTAGTTGTGGTGTTGATGTATGATGGGTCTTTGTTCATCGGCTTGATTTTCGGAGAGGACATGACTTGTATTCATATATGACATCGTGATGTGTAATCTGCATATTGTCCAATGTGAATGACGGTGAATGGTTTGACAAACTCTGACCAAGAGTTTGCCGAGTTTCATGGTTTCGAGTCTGATGATCTTCAACATTTCGAAGATCAAAAACTTTCCTGATCCTGAAACACTCAGAAAAGATCGGCTCCTCGGCTATAGAACTCGATCTTGACATTTCAGGAAGCCCCATATTTCTGTTCTTGTCTCCCCTTGGACACCCGTGTCTAGACCTTCTTTACGAAAGGAGAAAGCCAAGGAGTTTTGTTTGAGTTGGTTGGTCTTAGCATTTCATGCAGCATCCAAAGATCTTGTTGAGAAGAGTCTTACGCACGAGAGACATCATATTCCTCGGATCAGTGCTCCGGAAGAAGGCACGTTGATCCGAACATGGCAAGTCAACACGGTATGTGAGTATGTGCTGTGATTCATTCAGGGTGGTAAGTCGTCTAGGTGTTTTGATTCTGTGACCAGCCACTCCAGCGTGGTACCCTCAAACAACTCATTCGCATAACATGATGATCTCTGGTCCATCGCCTGTAGAAAGGAGCACCGCAGCGTGGGCAAAAGCAGACAGCACTCTGACCTGCACGTTCGCGTTGGTGTCGTCGAAGATTACTGATTGAAGAGAAAGTTCTGCCGTTGCATCCATGGTCGTAACATCGTATTATGTGCCTGTTTCTTGAAGAGGATCCTGCTGGAGGAGATGAAGACTGTCCGGGTGTGTATGATAAGTCTGTCCTTGGAGTCGTGATGGCATCTGAAACTGTTCTTGAGAGGGTATCAGGAAATGAGATCTGGGTGGGACCGTCTTGAGAAAAAGATTGCGTCGAAAATCCTGGGTCGCTATGGTGGCTTGGTCGTCGAGAATACATGCCGGTCGTCATAGGAGTCGCAACCTCCCACATCCAGGGGTCGAGATTTGGCTCAGTCAATTGAAAATTTTCAGCAATGGGCGTTTGAGGAGCTGTGGCCGATGAGGTGTGCTGTGGAGGGGAGATGATGGCGTTCCCTGTGTACTGATAATTTGTGTGTCCTTGATCAAGGGTGTCCCACGTTTGGGGTTGAGGGGCTGGTGGTGTGACCAGGTAGCTGGCGCCTCTCGGATGACTAGCTGATATGTTCCAGTTGCTGATATCTAGACCATCTGACTGGGTAAGAGGCAAGCCAGCGAAGTCGACATAGGGTATCGGGTAGTACCACGACGAATCCATCCCCGGTGCAAGAGGTTGCACAAGATAGCGATTCGCTCTGGTCAAGTCTTGCTCGCTTGGATCCATTGTACATGACCAAAAAAGCTGGAAAGGCGCTCAAGTATCGTTGTGACCAAAAAGTCGATGCATGAATTCCCAGCGCTTTCACTGATATGTCGTTGAAGTTGTCTTGTTTACAGATCCGAGTGCGGCTTCCGGGCGTACGGGTGGAAAGTAAAATCGACGTGGGCACGACTTTCTCTTGTTGTCCCTGATCGACGTCTGTATTGTGCTAGCCACCTGCCATGTGGAAGCGAGGTTGGAAGAGGCTTGTGCTGTGGTTCTTCTTAGGCAAGTGGCAGAAGATCCTTTCTTGTTGTGCCCGGGTCTTGGAAAGCCGAAATAGATTAATCGAGAACGATTGGTGGACACTCAACATTGGCATGCCTTCATCTATTCCCTCGTGTCCGCCGCATGAACTCAATAGTGACATGCATCCATGCGGTGTTTGGTTCCGGCCGAGTGCTGCGTTCGAGTTCAGTTCGAGTCAATTGATCCTTTGCCTCGGAGGACGTTCCAAGCCAATCATTGTCAATTCCCTCTTGACAACGCTCGAGGAGGTGGAAGAGTGGCGCATGTATCCCTGCATCTGCAGGTCGCTCCTAGGCATGTGCTGAAGTTTGTCATCTGAGGCTGTAATAGCGCACAGCCCTTTCCGGGTCTAAGTCGTGTCCCGGAGAAGCGTGCTTGATGGATGACTTTGCTGATCCTCAAAGTATTGTGTAACTCGATGAACAGACATGATCATATCGAAGATCCGATTGCGGCAGCGTGAAGACGACATGATCTAGCACATGGCTAGGGAGGCTGGAAGGACCACAGGCAGTGAGCGATCAATAAAGGAGGGTATAAGATCAGCCAAGGTCATGTTCGTTTTTTCCTGCTGCTGCGTCTGTGTACGGGAATTGATCAGCGGTAAAATGCGCTCAACTTTACCCTGCAGGGGGAGTCAAGAGGATTCGGCAACTCTTCACGGGCATATTTGGACTAACACGGTCAACGAACACGAAGATCCGGTGGAGACACGTCCGTCTGTCGGTGGAGTACTCGCAAGTGTAGACGATGCTGTCGCGAAGAAGGACAACGTTGTCAACAGAAGTTGAGATTGCAGGTGGGGCATGAACGCTCCTGCCAATACAGACAAGAACCAAGATTCAGCATGCTGATGCAGTTGAATGTCTACTGATGCCAACGAAAAGCTGATTTTGGAGGTGGGGCGCATCGCTCCTGCCACCAGCGTTAGTTCGTGGGCCGTTACAAGACACATGTCCTGTCAAAACTCTAAACCACAACGGCGTTGCATCGCGTGTAATGCTGGACGACTGCCGACCGCCTTTTTATAAAATTGCCGAGCTGAAGGATATCAGAGCCTTGATCGGACCCTCAAGGTCTTTACCGGCACCAGTTGACTTGTGGTTTGGTTTGACATCGCCCGGCCGTTGAAACCAGAGTTCGACCCGTCAGAACCGTCAGCCTTGTACCTTGGTCACTGATTCGGGTCGTGTTGTTTCTCGCTTCGACTACCTCAGCCTTGACTCGTCAAGAGCACTGGCTCTGAACCAAGACAGCAAAGCGTTCAAGGATCACCGGTATGCTGATTGTTCTTCGTAGCACAACTTCTGACACCGGACACATCTCGGAGCCGAGGCCTGTGATCTCCCGCTGATGATTGTATCATACCTTGTCGACAGACTGTGTTCAAGGTGTATCTGAGAAACAGGCCCAAGACCTTAATCAACTTCTCTGAATAGTGTCCTTGATATTAACTGTCGAGATCTGCGGCTGAATCCACACTGTCAGGATCAAGATGCGTCCACCTTCTCAGGAGGTCATCCACGGTCACAAGGCCACTAGTGTTTGTGGCTGTGTCATTATCAAGTTCCGGGTCGATTATAGTCCGAGGGGGTGAAAGACGAGTCCGAGGGTGTGATTCGTCTCTTCCAGATCTCTTTGCGAATGTCGCATCAGCCTTACGACGAAGAGCGTTTCGATCCACGTTCGGCGAAGCAGACTGACGCTCACGGCCGTAGGAGGAGTCAACGGATGGTGCTGGCCGCGTGTAAGATTGATCGGGTATCGGTGTCGGTGGATCATATGCTATCGCAGGCATGATGTTAATATAGGGCTGAGATCCCAGGGTAAGAAATGACTCACGACGTCCGTATTGATCGTATCGTGGCATGGGGGCTGGAAGAGTCGAAGCATACATGAGAGGTTCACCAGAGGCAGTGCTCAGAAGAGGACCAGAGTGGGGAGAGAAGTTATACCTGGGGTCCTCAAAAAGGGATCTCCTGGGCAACATGTGGAGTGACATATCCTCTAGGGAGAGGGTAGACGCCATCAAGCTGTAGCGAATTCGTGCTAGCGCGATCAATGCCATGACAATCAGATCCAGTATCACAGCTCGTGCGTATGTGTGTGAATCTTTGTAATTTCCTAGAAGCAGATCAGATATGAACATGGAGATGGTGCTTGTAAGAATAGGCTTACATCTTCGGCCGGTTCTTGTTCCCACCTCGTCGAGGTGTTCTGAAAATTTGTCGGTATCGACATGTCCGAAAGGCCCACTGAGTTTTGCATCTGCATCCCGGCTGGAACTAGAACTTGATCAGCCAGGACCGTCAACCTTGCACCTTCGCCATTGACATAGACTGTAGCTGCGTGTCCTTACAGCTGTTCTGCTTTCGGCTCAACGAAGCGTGTCTGTATGCACGCTTAGGTTCGTCCACCTCTTCAATAAATCCTCCACAGTTGGCTTGCTGTGACTCCCGTAGTCATCAGCCAGGTCGAATGGTAGCATGTCGTTCTCTGGCGGTATGCAGAATGACGATGACGAGGATGTCTGAGCTTTGCTATACCTATCATCATGGTCGACAAGTTCATTGGAAGCACTTGCATCTTGCAAGTGGGTCGGTCTGACCCTCATGGAAAGAGACATTTGCGATGGTACCTCAAGTGCGTTTGTACGAGCCCCACTAATTGGCATGTAGATTCGCTCAATCTCGCCAGGAACCGTAGGAAACATGTGAGCTTCGCCATGCGCTGGAGTGCCCATGTAGTCTGCGATTGTGGTCATAAATTTGGGCATCTTGCGGCGACCCGTTTGCTTATTTGCTACCGTACTGCCACCAGAGTATGAGTGAACGGGCACGGGCGCATTTGCAATAGACGAGATCCGAAGGGCAGACTGTTGAACATCCGCCAGCTGATGGTTTGATGCAGATGTGTCGGTTTCTGCTCGCACCTCAGACTTCGAAGATCTGTGGGTGAACCTCCGAAACACTGTTTGCAGTTTTCCTGGCGGCTTCTCAGATACCTCGCAATCCAGGGAGAACTTGATAAGCCGGTCGTGAATCCCATGCCCGGCGTTCGAGCCAGCCACCGAAGCATTGGTTTCGGCGACATCTTCCCGTGTAGTTGTGCGATGAGCACCAGATCCAAAGATCCTCTGCTCAAAACAAATGCGGGTCTCACGGACACTCTTATCAATCGATCTGGCCATTGCCGCTCTGGCAATTGCGTCATGCTCGGGGTTCGCCATTGGTACTCCAGTGGTGGGAATGAACATCTTATCTAATGTCATCTCTAATCTTGATTGGAGCGTCCTGAGTTGCCTCAGACAAGCAGTGTAATCATCGTGGAGAGTGATCATGACCTCTTCGGTTTTCGAATCTTCCTGACTTGGAGGAACAATATTCTGGCCGGCCGGAGGACTTTTGTTCGCATCTTGCGCAGGTATGGTAGTAATCGAGGTGGGTTGCTGGGCGATGATGCGACTGTGGTTCCCAGGATTGCGGTCACCATGCCCTGGAGTTGAGGGTGAGACACATTGAGTGGCGGTTTCAAAACTTGAGGGTATATCTTTCACAGCGATGTTGACCATAAATTCGGACTCGGTTGGTAAGGACCGCACTCGCAGTTCATTCGACGGTATCGCAGCCGACGTATGCGCATGATCCTCCGACTTTTCGACCCTAGCTTCTCGTGAAGCTTTCTCCTCGAGGAGCTCCTGGATTCGAAACCGTTGTCGGTCGAGTTCATCTTGTTTAATTTGACTATACACTGTTAATAGCTGATACTACCTTCGGGCCGTAGATATTCACCCCTCAGACATGGCGGCCAAGATGATGACATTTATCAAAATTTGCAATGTCGTTTTGACCTTTTCGAGATTGCCCCTCAACAGTTCCAGCTTCGGCTCAATGAGAGGCCAACGGATAAGATCTCTTGTCCGAATGCTTTTTGCATCAGATCGCGGTAGTATTTTCTGGATTCCGAAGAAGATCGTCTCGCATTGCTTCACATGCTCTTTGACAAGTTTCTGCGAGTCATCATTCATCATCGCCCGGTTGGCATCACTCCGAACCGTCGTTTCGAGGGTCTTGAAGACTTGGACGGCGAGATTGATGTCCTCACGAATGGCTTGAGCGCGATCTTTCGAGTCGACAGCCGAGCCGGCATATTTGTTGAGCGTATCGGCAAGTTGAAGTCCTAAGCTGGCGAGTCCGGCCACTGAGACAGCAATAGTGAATGGGTCGGCCATCAGAGCATCGCGAGAATCAAATGGATGAAGAGATTTTGGAATTGGGAGATGATGGATGGGTGGCCTTAATGCTTACGCGCCGAGGCTGAGCTTCGAGGCTGTGGGGTGTGCTGCATGCTGCAGTATGCAAGCCACCAGAGCATCGGGCAGCGACAGACCAGTCTTACGACTGCGCAAAAGCGTTCCAAAGATGCCTCGAAACTTCTTATTGTCCACGTGGTCAAGCGGGAATTGGTGTTGAGTATGCAAAATCAATCTTTTGAGAGACGACTTCGATGGTATTTCTTGGCAGCTACCTATGCACGCCAATGCGAAGAGAACGCACCCTGATGCAAGAGATGAACACGGAGATCAAAAGGCCGCTCTTCCGGTCAATGCTATCCAATTGAATCTGTCGCAGCGACAGGACTCCAACTGAACTCACCAACCACGAACAGCCTTGAGCTTTCTCCACCAATCCCTAAGCATCCAAGCATCAAACTCGGTAATCTCAAACGCACTTCCAGCCATCATGACAAAACTAGTCTGACCCTCCGGAACCCAATCGTAGAAATCTGCAACATAACACATCAGTAAACAATCTCCCACTCGCAGAGTCGAGAGAGAAAAGAAAGAAAAACCACTTACCGAGAAGACCAAATCCATGACCCATCTCATGAAGCAAGATGTGAACGTTTTCGTTGTCCACGGTGTCGAAGAAGTAGTCTGGGGGAAGTTCTTCACCCCAGTTGTAGCCGTAGCCACCCATTTGACCGAGCAAGCTATCGTCGAGCCAGAGACTGATATCGTATCTACTGTCCTCGCCACCAGGGCATTGACTGATATCATCGCCAACACCCAGATGCCCGCCACGGTAACATTTAGTGTCGCATTCAGGCACACCGTCTGCATCGGCGGTGGTGTAAATATCCAAACCAGTGGTGTCACCTTGAAGTAGGCTTTTATCTTTGACAGCATAGCCGACGACATTGACGTCGAGAGAAGTTAGAGGGAACCCCTCAAAGCCGACGAGTACGTCGAACCATTTCTGCAGCGAGCGTTGGAGGGCGGAGGATGTCTTGTTGCGTTGGGCGGCTGTGTTAGCACCATCGTGGTTCCAACGAACACAGTAGTTGATGCTGCCATTGTTGGCGATGAGTTGATCGGTGATCCAGTTTTTATCATCCGACCACCCGGGATTTTCCTTTAGAGTTTCGGTCCAGACCTATGGTAGCAATGTCAGCGGATGCGGTATAGCAAGGGTGTCTGGATGGATATACCTGATCAAGTGCGGTGACCATGCCAGAAGGAGGGTTCCAAGCAGTCGCTTTGGGGATGGTGGCAGTAGCAGTGGACGTCGCATCGGCGCGAGCGAAAAGGTTGCGCTCTTCAAAGCCACAAACACGTTTATCGATATGCTTAATAGTGCGAGGAGCATGGAAGGGGTGCGCCAGCGCACCCATACCCAACGCAGAAACAGTCAAGAAAGAATTGACCTTCATGGTAAAGTGAAATAAACGAACGACAGAAGATAGCGAAAAAGAGAAAAAAGAACGAATGAATGTATGCCTTCAAAGCAAACCCAGCAACGAGGAGTGCACCTATCTTATACATACTGTCAAAAACCAAAGCCTCGACATAGCCTTCGCTCTTACCAAACAACATCAAGGATGTAGGTTCGCAAAGCAAGCCCTGGACAGCAAGCGAGATTCATCAGGATTAGGGCTTCGTATTCCAGAGTTATACGACTGTCAGCTATAGCGAGGTAACCTCGTCTCGTGGGTTGTCAAGTTTCATGATGATTGGCGTGCTTCCGAGACGAGGTATTCACACCGACGTCTTCTCAAAATATAGGGTTGGAAAGAATGTCGTGATAGTATCGGATCGGAATATCAGCTGTCTAATGTACTTCATGTAGACTCCATGTCGTATTCTATGATTGCGAAGAAAACATGATGAGACGGTGAAGGAAGAAGAGATGAAATGTCGCGAACCTGAAACGCGACAAGGCAGTGGACAAGGAGCTTGTTTGCCGATTTGACAAACAAGCTGCGGAGAAAACACCACCTCGCCCTCTTCTGACTTTTTCCGAGATTTTTCCAAGAAGCAATTGATTCTTCATTCAGATCAAGAGTATCTAAAGAGCAAAGCTGCTATAGATGAGTGAGGTAGAAGCTCGTGTGTCCGAAAAGCAAAAGATGTCATCTTTCCCCATCGCAATCCTCAAAAAAGCAGAATTTTTTCTTCCTCCAGATTGTTCGCCTTTGATCGTCTTGCCTCAGATGGCGACTCGAAGCCACTTACTGGCTTCTGCAATGCAACAAATTCCTCGTTTACTGGTGTTGCTCCTCCACTGCATCCCATAAGAGACGACCTCGAAACATCATCACCTCACTAACCCTCAATCTCTGAAACCCCACTCTCTGACCTTGTCTCCTGGCATCTTGACTACGAAGCGGCGTCTAGTCACTTCGTGCACTTCCTCCACGAGAACATCCAGGAGTTCTGACTCTGTCTTGCCTCCAGCGCCGGCTTCTATGGCCTTTGATTTGCTGCTCATCTTACTGTGGTGGCTGATCTTGCTGTGGTGGCTGACGTGTGATGTAGGATATCTGTGGGCCACTTTTCTTGATGCACCAGACGCCACAGATCTTGCTGGAGGTGGTGGAGGCATATGCATCAGTGCCATCTCGTGACCCGCCACCACGTCGATCTCGGGGATCTCGCGCATAGGCGGCATTGGTGGCATGCTAGGGAAGTCGGGCATCTTGGAGAAGCCAGGTGGGGGAGGAATGCCGGCAGGTATGTGGAATATATCTCTTCTGTCGTGATGACTGTGGTGTGAGTGACGGGATGCTACGGAAGCTGCAGGCTTGGCCGAGGTAGCCTTCTTGGAGTCGTGTTTGCTAGAAGCATGAGCCACTGAGGGAGCCGGGGGAGGTAGGCCGACTTCATCATCATCTTCCTCGATGACGGTGACAACCAGCACCTCCTTTTCCTGTTTCGAAGTCTCGTGCTTCGAGCCCGCCTTCGAGTCCGCCTTCGAGCCCGCCTTGGAAGCTGCCTTGGAGCGGGCGACAGTCTCTGGTTTGGCTGGCGGTCTTGCGCTCTTCTTTGCGGCAGGTACCGAGGTGACAGTCCTGACAATGTGCTGCGTGGTTCTTTCCGTACCGACGATGTGCTCGTGCATGCGGAGATTCTTCTCGCTCAGATCGTGTGATCCAGGCATTTTGACGTGGATGCAGATGACTGGTTCCAAACTAATGTGAGGGACTGGGTAGTTCTACGCTCCGGATGAGATGGTGGAGAAGGTCTGTGTCGACTATAATGATGTTCTGATGGACAATCTGCGAGATGGAAGATTGGGTGGAGGAATGAAGTCGTGCTGGCGACAAAAGAAGATTGTCACAGATCAAGAGATTCGTTTGGTGGGAGATTCTGTCTGAGATGTGATCGAAGACTCCGAATTGAATGGGGTATCGCAAGAGAAGGATGTCAGAGAGATGCACGGGTTACTTCGTGTTGCCGTGAGAATGCGTGCTTGCGGCTGAACTTCTGCTATGACGGATATCGAGATGGCTTGTCGTTTCTCTGATTTGTACAGGTTCTCGTGCGACGTGGTGAGCTCGGGGTTGGTTGGTGAGGCGGCTTGCGCTTATCACATGCGTGATCAAGGATGAGATAGTCCCAAGTATGTTTGCACAAGGCACACGTGGTGAAAGCTCTCCGTCTTGATACTACTTGCAGGTGTGAAGCCAACCCAAGGGCACAGTGAAGGCCAGTTGTCTCAGAGGTGAAATGGTGTGAAAGGATTGGACTTCAAACGTAATACGGAAGCCCGGCAGAGTATACTGCAAAGAATGTGCGCCGAACCTGGTACCAATGTTCCAGTGAAGAATTATGGGAATGAGAGACCAAAGTTGATGCCCGAGAAAGGTCTTATATTGAAAGGTGATGCATGTGCTGTCAAGCGCTATTGGATACAGCACTAAAGCGACCCGGACCCGCGGTAGTGCAAGACAAAACGTCACGTTGCATGCGGTTTCTTCAACCTCAAGAATAAGGAAGGAGCAACGAACACAGAAATGGGGAAGGAACCAAAGGATCAATTTGACCGCAACCATTCAAGTTTGGTTGGCTACCAAATCTTCCCGCGTTGGCAGCTGCTGATTAGCTGCCTCTTGACCACAGACTCGCATATTCACACCACGTTACGCGCGCAAAAGGAGGAAAAGGCACGGAATCCTGCCGCAAGATAATAAGAAAAATGGAATTTCTAGATACACAGACGATCCACCTATTGACAATGAATGATACAAAGAATAACAAGCAAAAATTCTATCCCACTCAAAATAATGCATCAGCGTAACACTAGACATTACCTTCTCTCTACGAGCAAGAAATGCATTGCCACATAGCCCAACACCAAGAATACACCGCAGAAGACTGCGAGCCCAACTGCGTCATTCCAAAGCGCCAGAACGTCAAAGCCGAAAGAGCTGAGGATCGCCGAGCCAGGTACCTCAATGTCAAGACCATACTTGTGGTCGATGAGCGAAAGGTAGCGAACCTCGTTGACGATCAGACCTTCAAAACCATAATGGAAGATGGAAATTGATTGCAACCAACGGAGACCCTTGGGAATGGTCTCGTGGTTGAGTAAGAAGCCACCGAAGAGCAAGCTGAACAGCATAACAAGAACACCAACAAGGTTGGCAACACCCTGGTTCTTGATGACGATACCAATGCACAGACATACTGTAGCGGCGGCGAGGTTGAATAGAACAACAAACAACATGAACTTCCAGAACTCGGCGGCGGTAGGAAGGAGACCCGTCATAGGATACACAATGACGGCCATGATGACTGGAGGAATGAGTCTAAGAGGCACGATATCGAAGACGACCTTGGATGCGTAGTAAGCCAGGGGAGAGTAGTATCCCTTGGCACGCTCTCTGACGAACAGGAGTCGTTCAGGAGCAAAGACGGTCAAGGAAGTGAGAGTGCTGAAAGCGAACAGGGCGAGAAGGAAGAAGAAGAAACCAAGACGGTTTTGGAAGCCCTTTAAGTCGTCGGTCAAGCCATAGAAGAGGAAGCCAAGGAAGACGGCCAGCAGGATAGCAATGGCGTAGTGAGTCAACATCAACAGAGGGTTTCTATAGAGATTGCGCCATGTACGCTTCGACAAGATGACGAATTGTCCCAAGATGCCAGTCTTGCGGTAGCCTTTGACGGTGGGTTGGCCGTCACCATTGGCCGCACCGTTAGATTGACCATTAACTTGAGCTGCTTCAGTGGCTGCATTGTGAATGTCGTCTCTGAGAGATGCGGCAACGTCAGAGTCGGCAAAGGCCTGGACAAGGTTGTCAAGATCAGTGCTTGAAGGACCCTCAGCATTGGGGGGAAGGCCGTTGGGGTCGTCGTGTGCCTGATTCACACCTCTCATTTTGAGCCATTGCTGGGTGTTGTCGAAGCTGTTCTCCAACGAGGATGCGTCGGAGCGAATGGTACTCGCAGTTGCTGGCGGGTCTCTAGATGACTGCTTCCTCGTGAAGAGAGCTCTGTCTTGCTGTTGCTTGATCGAAGCAGTGCGGCTGTTCTTGGGTCTGAGAGGAGATTCGGAAGTGACAGAACCACCTTGCTCGACGCTGAAGTTCGAAACACTGGGTACAGACTTGACGGCGATGGCGCTGCTTGCACGAGTGCTGCGTCCGATGTCTTGACGGAAAATGGAGCTGTCTTCAGGAATTTGAGGGTGAACAGTGCTGGCGTGCATAGTCAAGTCGACGAGGTAGTCTGCAATGTTGAAGCCAGGAGGGCAAGAGTAGCCGATGTTGTCGAAGTAGGCCTGGCAGTTTCCGAAAGGACCAGAGTAGACGGTTCTTCCCTTTGCGAGTAAGACTAGCTGATCGAAGAGGGCGACGATGTTGGAGCGAGGTTGGTGGATGGTGAAGACGACGGTTCTGTTATAAGTCTTGACAAGGTGGACGAGACACTCGACAACGTTGAATGCGTTGAAGGCATCGAGACCGCTGGTGGGTTCGTCGAGGAAGAGAATGCTGGGACTAGTGACAAGTTCACAGGCAATACCGACTCTGCGCTTCTCACCACCGGAGATGCCGCGACCGTTGCCTTCTTCGGAGCCGATAAGCTGGTCGCGAATATGGTAGATGCCGAGTTGTCTTTCGACATCCTCGACCTTTTGCAGCTTGGAGGCGTAGCTCATTTCCTTGGGCAGACGAAGCAAAGCGCTGTCGAGGATGGTTTCGTGAACGGTCAGGGTAGGCAGCATCGTGTCGTCCTGGTCAACAAAGCCGATAACGCTCCTGAAGTCGTTGTCCGAGACCTTCTCACCGTTGATCAAGAAGTTGCCAATGACAGTACCGCGCTTGTTCTTTCTTGCCAGGATATCCAGGAAGGTCGTCTTGCCAGCACCCGAGGCACCCATGATGGCCATGAGCTGACCAGGATGAACGGCACCTTGAATGTCTGTCAGGATCTGCTTGCCCTTGAGAGCATACGAGACGTTTTCGAAATAGAGACTGGCGGGTTTGTGGTCGGCAAGAAGAGCGGCATTTAGGTCATCCTCGTCGTCGGAAAGGTGGATCGGGCCGTACTTTGACTTTCTGCGCGAGAGGAACCAGACGATCAGAATGACGGCTACGACAAACAGGGCACAGCCAGCAATGACTCCGGCGATGAGTGGGGTGTTGATCCTCTTGACGGGTCTCTCGTAGCCAGGAACGTCGGTAACGTACAAACACTCGCCCGAGTGGCACTTGAGGGTGATGCTGTCGTCTCCAAAGACATTTGAGATGAGGTCGTTCATGGCAGGCTCGGAGAACTTGCTGCCGTCTGAAGCGCTGCCTCCTTCTGTCGAGACAGACGAGAAGCTAGCAGGACCCTTGATATCTTCCTCCAGGAAGTCGCCAATGTCGATCGAGTCGGCTTCGCCACAAAGCATGCGTCCGGGAATGCAACGACACTTGATGTTTTCACAGTGGTACGAGGTAGAGTTGCGGTTGGGTTCAGCTTTGGAGTTCCAGGTACAGGTATCGAGGGCGCAGTAGAAGGATTCTTTCTGATCGACCCAGACTAGTTACGGTTAGCAGAAGCAGGGCGAGTAGAGTGCGCAGTAACATACACTGGAAGTTGCACTCCTTGCGATCGGCGTTGCAGGAGAAAGTGGCTTGAGGCTTCTTCTCCTTGAGCTGGTCGAGGATCTTGCGATTGGTGATGTCGCAGATCTGGTAGTTCTCGTTGACGACCAGACCCTCACGATAGCAGACGCCGCCCTCGCCCTCAGGCATCATGGCATTGCAAGCATCATTTGTCTTGCAGACATTGCAGTTTATGCCCTCCCAACCCTCTTTACACTCGCAGTCATGACCCTGCCGCGGCAGTCTGTTGTTTCCGTCGGCGAGCGATCCACACAGCGGTTGCGAGCAGTCTTCTCCGCCGAAGCCAGACGGACAGGCGCATTTGCCGCTTGACTGTGTGCAGTTGGCGTACTGATGGCACTGGAACTGATCGAGGTTGCAGTTGAAGCATGGCGGGCAGTCGTCTGGCCGATCGCCGTATATCGAGAAGGGCGTCGACGACGATAACGAGTTTGAGAAATCAGAATGGTACTGGTTCGTCTTGTAGGCTGTCGCTGAAGACAGCAGTCCAGCAGCAGCGAGGCATAGCAATCTCATGCTTGTCGCGGATGGCACGCGAGTCGTTGGTTGAGTCGGAGCTCGTGTCGTGACGCGCCGCCTTGATTTGTGGCGGCTTCGTGCAGCTTAGGCAGGTACCGGATGGGTCTTCCTGGTCTTTCAACAACGACCGTCTCTTGAACAGCTACAGCGAGGAAGGAGCGATTGGACTACTTCAGAGGAAGTTGCCTGCCACTTGGGTGCAGACTGACAAGGCCCGCCGCTTCTCGTGACGTCCAAGCCGCTTTCGCTTGGACCACCCCCGAGCCGTTGCCGTTTGACAAGAGCTCCAGCCCTCCCCACACATTTCTTGCCGAGGTCGATCACGTCAAGACCTTCCTATCTTGGACCACTCATCGACTGCGCCTACCTTCTCCTACAAACTTCTGTCACCGTCGCTACCCTCTCACATCATCTTTCCAGAAGTCGAGGTTGCGGCGATGAATCATATCTTTCAAGCCAGTTTAGCCATAAAGTGCAGCTTTGACCAAAATGTATCGGCAGGCTTCCTAAAGCTGACAACAGCTCTCTTGACTCTCGAGTCGCAGCCCGAGCATGTACAAATACCTTGACGATACAGAGCAATCCTCCTCAAACGCTGGACAAAAAGATCACATAAAAATGCAAGCCGGATTTGGACCTTCACTTTCCCACTCAACATGCGCACAACTGCCTCAAATGCACGAAAATCACCAAACGAATGGTTCTGCAGCCTCTGAAGTCTCTTCGCGGAGTCAGAGTCATAATTCAGCAATTTCATAGAGGTATAAATACTTCCTGTTCTTACTTCTCACCTTTGCACTTCAAACTTCTCCTGTCTTCTGGTCGCTTCAACATGAGAAGCCTTCTTCCCCTCACAGTTGCCGCTCTTGTAGTGTGTGCGCTGGGACGTCCTTCACCGATTACACAACCGCGTTCTCTTTCGGCGGATCCTCCTCGCCTTACCATCCGTCCGCCTGTCCGGGCATCTAATGCTACCAGCCTTGAGTCCACCGTATGGAATCCTCCTTCTGATATGGTCAACCCTCTCGAACAGGTAACACAAACAGAAGGCTTGAAATCTCTCACGCTGACAAAAAAACAGGTTTGGGAGAGGACTTTAAAACGAAGGGGGGCCAACACTACTGAAAACGAATACTGGTCCGTAAGCTCAAAGTACACACCAGCAGGCCATTCTTGCGTGTTTGACCGGTGCTAATAGAACGACGTCTATGACATCGTTCCGCTCGTATCAGTCATGATGGGGGACTGGCTCGCTGAACAAGTACCACTCGCGAGGCTTCAAAAGAGCTTTACTAACTGTACTTTCAAGGTTGATACCGAAGCTTATGGCCAATAACGGTAGCATCAAATATTGCGTCAACTGGAACAATACAGAGACGGTCACCTCCCCTCAACGAGTCCTGATTGCTCGTGCCCTCCAGAAATCTATGCAGGAGTGGGTTGATGTCCTCGTCGGGTTTGACGGCTTTCCTCTAACCACTGTCGATGTTAACGTCGTTTCTTATGCCGCCAAGTCCGTGAATCAAATTCAAGGCGACACTACTGGTTTGGATATCAACACCGTTACCCAAAACAGCAAAGGCGAACCCGAATGCGATCCTCGATGCTACCGTACCAAGTACCTGGATTCTAAAACCGGCATGAGCGAATGTCCCGGCGGCGATAAAAGCAGCTACGATATGGTGCTCCGTCTTGAAACGATGCCCACATACCCAGGCATTAATATCCTCGGTATCGCGACTAAAGATTGGCAACGTATGCATCCGGGGTACTTTCTTTCCCATGCGAATGACGAGGAAATGTTCGTATTGCGGCACGAAATAGGTCACTCATTTGGTCTTCTAGGTCAGTGATGTTGTTTTACCGACAGATTCTTTTGTTGTGCTGACCTTTGATTAGATTTCCCGGATGGCCCCATCGGAAATCAAGGAGGCTTTCTCATGATTAGGCCCGATCACATAATCCACGTCGCCGAATTTGACGCTTGGATGCTGAGAGATTGGTGGAGGAAGACAAAGGCTCACCGTAATTGGTAATTTATTGTGAATGTCAGAGACGCTGGCGATCAGATACACGACACGCGTGACCGACGAGTCGTTCTCCTGTCCGAAAACGTTACAACTCGATGAAACGATCCCATTACCCGGGTCTAGACGAACCATTTTTGATTTTGAATCTATCAATCACTCAATCACCCCCTTCGAAGATGCATCACCACCCGTCATCATAATCGGCAGCAGTATGGTAGGAATGTTCATGGGTGTTCTCCTTGGCTATCACGGGTACGTTCCCCGCCTGGTATCCCCTCTCCCATTTCACAGCACCCCCTTCTAACTCTCATCCTAAAGCATCCACTCCATATCTTTCGACCGCCACCCTTCTACAGCGATTCATCCCCGAGCTGCTCTCTTCCTCCTCCGTACGTCAGAAGTGCTGCGTCAACTTGGTCTGGAAGACCTCTTCATCTCCGAAAGCGAAAAGAACTTCGACCTTGATGCTGGAATGTTGGTGGTGGAGAAACTCTACCAAGGCAAAACTATCGCTGCGTGTCAGGAAAGCGACCCCAAGGAAGTTGCCAAAGTCACTCCTAGTAAGAGGTTATGGCTCACACAAGATATGTTCGAACCACTTCTCCGCAACAACGCCGCTACTTTCGGTGCGCAACAGAAGTTCGGTCAAGTAGTCGAGTGGTATGAAGAAGTGGATGGTGGTGTAATCGTCATCGTTCGCGATACCCACACGCAAGAGGTCAAGAAGTACAAAACCAAATACCTCATCGCTGCTGATGGGAATAGAAGTGCCACCAGACGCAAAGAGAATATCCAATGGCATGGTCCTGGAAATCTTGCCAATAGCATCTCTATCAACTTTAAAGCTGATCTGGTCCCTTATCTCGGCACTAGAGCGGTTCATGGTGTCACTTACATCATGAACGCAGACTTCACTGGAGGCTTCCGTCTGATAGCTGGAGGGAAAGGCGGCTTTTTGATTGTTTCCAAGGCTAAAGGCAGAGAGACTGGCTTTGAACCGGACTCAGTTTTTGAGAAAGAGGCGAGGGAGATGTTTGAAGCTTGTTCGGGGATTGATGCGGAAGAGTGTGGATTTGAGGTGGACTTTATCTCGTACTGGACAGTGGCTGCATACAATGCAGATGAGTACGCCAGTAAAGGCGGCAAAGTGTTTATCATGGGCGATGCAGCGCATGTTATGCCGCCGAGTGGCAAGTTGACCCTCTCACAAATATAAAAGAAGCCGCTGATCTCAATATAGGTGGTATGGGCGGCAATACTGGCGTTGCAGTAAGCCTCCGAATCCCATTGAAAATCTACCAACATGCTAACAACTCATCACAGGACGCCTGCGATTTAGCTTGGAAGATGGCATATGTCCTGAGCAACAAAGCCTCGCCCCATCTCCTCAAAACCTACAACCAAGAGCGCCAACCAGCGGGAGACTTTAGCATGCACCAAGCTTTCTCCAGACTGGTCAACAGAGTATTTCACGGCAAAGGCCTTGAATGCGAGAAAGAGTTGCCGGACTTGGTTTGCGAACTGGGATATCGATACACCAGTGGCGCTATGGTGCCGAGCGACGAAAACGACATGGAGAGATCCCATGAGGACCCACATGATCCATACGTACTGCCAGGTGGCAGACTGCCGCATGTCTGGTTGATTGATGTAGATGGCGAGAAGCTGTCGAGTCTGGATCTTGTCAAGAGAAATTTCGTGCTGTTCACGACAGATGTTGGTTCACCATGGCTTCAGGCTAGTGAAAAGCAGAGTATTGCAATTGATGCATACCCCATCAACTCATCATCACAGCCTTATCTCGATGTCGAAGACTCGACAAAGAAAGTCTGGAAGATGGAAGACGGAGAGGCGTTGTTGGTTCGGCCAGATGGTATAATTGCGTGGAAAGCACCTAGGATGACCAGTGGACATGATGAACAACTCGCTGAAGCTCTGAGAATCGTGTTGCATGGCTGAGTAGGGTTATCTCTATATCATCGATGGTATCTTTGTTGTGCTTTGTCGAAGATCAGTCTTTGCGAATGTTCTTCCGCCGCCATCACTTACTAGTCAACCCCTCTGCTACGACAGGAGCTTGGCGCAAAAGGCCTCAACTTGCCGTTAAGTACCGCATGTGAATGGAAAACGAAGAACTGAGCCCTCAGATTCTAGGATTTCACAACTGAGGCGTGCGTAACTGCCTCAAAGTCTCTTGACACAACCAGAGCCAGAGCCAGAATGACTAAAGTCCACCAGAGCCTCCAGAGGGTATAAATATGGTATCCACTCCATATTCCTTCCTTGATTTTTACAAACCCCTCATCTCTGATCATTTGCACAATGAGGACCTCGATGCTATTGACCGTCGCTGCTCTTGTGGGTATTGTACTAGCACATCCTCATCCCAACCAAGACCCACCTCAACCTGAAGTGACCGAAGACGCTCGTCTCAAAGCAAATGATGTACGCATCCTCAACCGTCCTATCAATCGCGCATCGACTGCCGCCAGTCTGGGGACTACCACATGGGACCCTCCTGCCGGTATGGTTTCCGCTCTTGAAGAGGTAAGTAACATGAACAGGTGCGGACTTCAAAGCTTCTCGCACTGATGCAGCAACACATAGGTCTGGACCGAAACCCTGAAAAGGCGCCCTAATGGACATGGAGCTTTTGACAAAAACAGAGAATTCATCCCCAAGCTCATGGCCAATTACCACAGAACCGGTGCTGGAAAAATTGACTATTGTGTCGCCATGAGTAACGAGAGAAACGTCACAGCTCTCGAGCGAGCGAATATGAAATCTGGCCTCCAACGCGTGATGCAGGAATGGGTAGACACGCTCGTGGGATTCGAAGGATTTCCCATAACCAAAGTCGATCTCGATGTTATTTCCTACGCTGTTACGCATAGGAGTCAAGTTCAAGGCGACACCACTGGTTTGGATATCTTCACCACTTCTGAGGTAGACAATGAAGGCACGACAAAGTGCGATCCTCGCTGCTACCGTGATAATTTGAAGACTTCAACAGATGGCGAAACCACTTGTCCCGGCGGAGAGAAAAATATGTTCGACATGGAACTCCGACTCGCACAGTGGCCCATGAATATACTCGGTTTCGGTGCGGAATGGGGTCAAGCCTTCAGACCTTGGTTCATCTTCCGCCACACGGACGACGACATGTTGTGGACTTTGCGCCATGAGATGGGCCATTCTTTCGGTCTGATTGGTGAGTTTTGAATTGATCCAGTTATTGATACGCGGCGCTGACATTCTTTGGCTAGATTTTGGCACTGACACTGTTCCCACAGGTCAGGAAAACTTCGTCATGCGTGGACATCGTGCGGCTTATATCACGGAATTTGACGCTTGGATGTTGAGGGATTGGTGGATGAAACTCAAGGCTCATAATGGTTGGTAGCCTTGTCGCTTCCAGGCATTTTCGTTGCCCTCTGTGCAGATGAGGATTGTTCCGTCAACCCGTCTAGTGGTGGCCGTGTGCTTGGAACGTCAATGGTTGCGTGAAGCAATCGTGTTTTCCTCTGGTTTCTCAATTTGAGGTGGATGGTGGCTGTTTATGTACTGCTTTGATGATTTGTCGGGAAAGAGCGACCGCGGAGTTTCCATGGAGTTTCCGGACCCTGCTATTCCAGCGTACTCGGCGTACTCAGTGTTGCCTTGCTCTTCCGTTACATCGACAAATTTGGCGGAGTGAATCGTAGCTCGAAAGTTGTTGTTCGGCTAGCTTGGTTGATTGTCCAATAAGATACGAATGTTCTCTGATGTGTATGCAGGGAGGCCAGATCCGAAACACCATGTCCGCCAAGGTGTAAACAACTTCCATCCCAGTCGCGTGTCCTACGTTGACTGGACATTGCACACGGGGATCTTCGACCTAGCAACATCCTTCTAGACACCTCCCAGAATCTGAAACTCATAGATTTTGACTGCGCGGTCAAATTTGGGGAGGAGCTGATTGCAGGAGGTGCTCCTTTTTGTAAAATGAATAATGGGTTCAAATCACCAGCGGCTGGCGTCGAGACCGAGGTTTTCGCTATCGGGTCTTGCGTGTATGACATTCACCTTGGGCACGAGCCCTGGTCTGAGCTCAATGAAGTTGATGGACATGAGGTGGCGAAGAAATGGTGTAGACATGAGTATCCTCCACCTGGTGGCGATGAGATTGGTGTGATCATTCAGAGATGTTGGGATGGTGAATTTAAGTCTATCAGAGCGCTCGATGCCGTTGTCAAGACATTGCGCAGTGATGGCATGGTGGCTCGTAGGCCAAGCTGGCTTCAGGCTTGGTTTTTGCTCGTTGACTGCCGGTATTTTTTGGCCAAAGACGGGTTGAGCATGAATAAGAGTTTGGGGGCGAGACTTCGCTTCCTTGGCTGGTGGGGGACACACAGGTGTTTGTCTGTGGCTGTCAAGGTCGAAAGGGGGTTCACGATTTGGTGATAAGGGGAATGATGTGATCGATGGGTTAAAACAAATTGAGAGGTCGATATCGAGCTCGTTTGACATAGCATCGCTTCCAATGCAGATTGATTGAGGGATGGCAACTCAACTGGATGTACGACACAATCTGAGACGACCCTGTTCTTTCGTTTATTCAATGAAGCGGTCCATAGTCGTCCATCTGCTTTGCAGCATGTCCACGATCCCTTGAGTGTCATATCCAACAGCATCCTTGACGTAATCCAGGAAACTTATGGCTTGGTCGCGCTGTTCTGGATTGGTAATACAATGCCCGCATGCTCGTAGTATGTAACAAGCAACAAAGTTCGCGTCTTCTACCCATGCATTCGATCGTGCGAGGCCGATGACAGAGTACATGGGCCCAATAGCGTCTTGTTGGGCGATATTTGAGTTGGGATTGTACAATCGAAGGTACACTTGACATGTATGGTAATACTGCAGAGCAATCACTGGATAGATGGTTAGCGAAGTATCCCATATGTGTGATTCTCGAAGAGTGAGACTGCCGTACCTTGTGGGGCACTGATCATACTAACGATCGGAAAAGCCTTGTTCGCCGCGCGTGCGTCTTGTTGGAACAACGGTTGAAACCCTTTGCTGTCGTTCCAGTCCTCGATGCTACTTTCTAGGTAGTTCCAGGAGTCTTTGTGAGGCTCCGAGCCTGTCGAGAACACACGCCTCATGACTTTGGCGAGTAGAAGGATGATCCTGCTGGCGGCCGATCCAGCGTCTGAGCGACCAATTGCGCTTGTGCGATCATAGTTTTCCAGAGGATATTTGGGTACCTGCTTGTTGGTCTGGGCAACAAGTAAGTCTTGTCCAAGTCCTATCCAAGACGCCGCCTCAGCCAGTCCTCCCAGATTTGAGAACATAGGTGTAGCACTCAAGAGACAAGCGATTCCATCAAGATTCAGTGAGCTCTCGGCTTGAAAGCTGAACAGTTCGTAAAATCTTAGCAATACGATTGCTACTAATAGGTTTTCGTCAAAACAGCTTACAGGCTGAAAAAGAGCTTGGACTACCAATTCTAGACATTTACAGTAATAGTCAGAAGCTTCCTGAAGCTCGTCTTCTTCCAAAGCTTGATGTCTAGATGAAGCTGCCAGTACAGAAAAGAGCAGTATAGGAGATTGGACGGCTCTGGAAGGGACCTCGGAAGCAAATCGCGGTGCATCGTCGCAAACATCGAGCTACCATCTGTCAATATCTTCCAGTGTCGCGAAGTGAACGGTTCGTACCCATGGTGAAATCTTGTCGACAAAATGCTGTATTAGGAGGACCTCACGATATGTGACATCTTGAGTGAAGAACTCTGGAAAGATCGCGCAGCAAGGTGGATGATCGTTGGTGTCCTGGTATGATGTTTCCGCAACCGGTATGCTCGAACAAGTCAATAAAATTTTATCCACCAGAGCAGACTCCAGCAAGCCATCCTTTTCCTGCTTGAGTTTGACACGGGCGGCTAGCAAGTCGATATGCTTGACAGTGAAGAATTCTATTGCAGTATGCAAAGGCTCCGCGATGGAGGAACATTTCTCTGAATCTGGTGAGGCATGGGAAGGCGAATTTGCTTGGTAATGTCGCTCTTCGAAGTGTTCGTGGTATGATTCGTCATCGTCAATCATGCTATTGACATCTTCCCGCAGAAAACACAAATTCATGCTAGACGTCGGGAGCCATGGTTGGTCGTATTCATAGAGTAGGTCCGTTCGTTGTCCAGCTATGGTCGTAGCCTTGCACTGGTCGAATTGCCATGTCCGGCTTTCTGGCATGGCTGGCATATTTGGCTACGCTTGATCACCCACTTCGTCTATGGAGCCTGATCCTATTCATTTGCTTTGTTCGATGATTGTCATTAAGTCATCAAGTCATCAGGAGTCATGCAGACGGCCCATCCATGTTTGTATGTTTGTGGGAAAAAGGAAGTTGGTCCCTCGGTTGAACGCCCCACTCAAGCGAAATCTTCGGCGATTTCGTCATGGTCTTTCCAGGACGAGCACGAGGCCGTGGGCAACTCTTTCTTCTTCATTTCTCATCACCAGTCAACGCGCACAAAACGCTATTCATCAGAGAACATTTGCAGGCACACTTTGAGACACGCAGGTACCTTGTACTGTTCCTGCATTGCCAAGACGATCCCGAGACACATTTCCACCACCGTTGGAAGGGGTTCATACCGTTATGCCGCTCCAGCTATCCTTGCCTATAGGAATCGAATCGTTGCTTACAGTGGCTAGCTGAGTCTCAGCTCGATTGACCAGACTCGGTGTCGACTTCTCGCTTCTTGTGCATGATTCAGATGACTATTTGCCTTCCGCAGCAAAACCCGTTCGTCCATATGGCAAGGCGCACATGGACGCTGCTGAAGGCCGTTTGTATACATGAAACTGGATCATATACCAGTACTCTAGGCCGTCTTGTCATCCCAACAGGCATGCATTTGTAAGATAAGTACAATGTCGCTCCTTCGTAGCAAGACTTTCAAGCCATAAGTGCCTGCCTGTCTGCTGCACTTGGAAACATCGAGACTGTTTTTACTCCATCCTTCCGCCATTATGATTCCGCGTACACTTCTCCCCCTTCTTGTGTGCCTATTCGCCCACGTTCTGAGTGTATCATCGTCTCCGCTGGTAGTCGAACGCGCTGCTGCAACATGTGCTGCCAAAGACATCGCCACGGTCAAGCGCACAGTCGCAGACCCGGTGTACTTCTGCCAGTGGTGGCAACAAGAGTAAGCAAAATGTACCACTGTAACTTTAGTGCTAAGGTACTGACGCGGCGAAAAGTGTACGCACTAGATCGCCCTTTATGGAATTCAGTGCAACTCAGGTCGACACGCTCTGCAAGTGTATCTCGCCAGTCGCAACAGGCCCAAAGTGCAAGCGCAAGCGTAAGCGATCTCAGATCGAAGAGAGATCTGCGCTTGTCGCTCGATCTGCTGCATCTTGTAGCGCGGAAGTGAGTGCGCAGTTCACACAGCCATACCGCTTCTGCACATTCTATACTGCTTAGTATGTACATTCTGTCAGGGCTCTACCCGTATGCCACTAATCATCATACAGTCCGAGAACTACCTCGCCTTTCCGAAAATATACTGCATCCGCCCTAACCAGTTTGTGCAAATGCGCAATCACAAAAACCACTTCTACCAGCACCAAAAAGACTTCCACCAGCACTAAGAAGACGACTACGAGCACGAAGAAGGCAGTGGTTACTACGGCCCAAAAGCCGGTCACGACTACCAGCAGAAAACCGGTCACATCTACCACTAAGAAGCCGACAACATCTACAACCAAGAAACCGGTGACCTCTACGATCAAGAAGCCCACATCGACCAGTACGCAGAAGCCTATATCAACAAGCACGAAGAAGCCTACCTCGACAAGCACAAAGAAACCCACCTCGACAAGCACAAAGAAATCTACCTCGACGAGCACGACGAAGCCTGCATCGACCAGCACGAAGAAGGCTACAATTGTAAGCACAATTAAACCCACCGTCACAAGTACGAAGAAGCCTGTATCTTCAAGCGCAAAGACGACATCAACGAGCGTGAAGCAAGCCACATCGGTAAGCTCAAAGAAGCTCACGACAATCACGACGAAGCCAGCAACAACCAGTCTCAAGGTATCAACTTCAAGCACCAAGAAAGCTTCGACAACCAGCTCAAGGAGATGAGTAAGGAATTTGTTTGTCTGGGAGTTAACGGTGTGGGGACTAGATGGGTATTGGACACGATTGGCGTTCAGATGAACTTAGATATAGGTACCAAGATGCAAGAGCTGTGTAGAATTTGCTCTCCAAAACCGGTCAACATCTTCCATTAATGATCAAATATGCATTGTAGATTTGTGCGGTGCATAAAATTATCAGTACGTGTACATACGTATGCAATTCTGTGCATCAGCGGTCGTGTCCTCGCACCTTCCCGGCCCGAGTGATTCCCTTGCACACCTTATGATTCTGCTCTCGCGACGATGCGTGAAACCACATCCTGGCTCTCGGCTTCCTTTTACGGAGTGACAGGTGAATGGATCACACCGCCGGTTGACGCCTGTCGTCGCGCGCCAAAAATGCGGCAGAGCGCGACACCAAGAGAGAGCGAAAATAACTCACCGAAGCCATCCTACAGGCACATCGCTGCTGCTATTGTACTGCCACTCGGCCGAGATAACGATTATGGTTCAGGTCATCGCACCTGCCTGGAAACATTCAAATAGCGTGCGTGAGCCGGCAAAACTCAAGGCTTCATTTCCGGATCCCACGGCACGGAGACGTCCTTATCAGTAATTTGCCTGCGATAACTCGAAGACCGAAGACTATATGACCCCGAAGCCTGACCTCTGTTAGTCGAGGGTTCTCTAGAGGGAAACCACTGCCTGCTATGTCGAACTCGACTTTGCTGCTTAATGCAGCACGGGGATGTGGAGAGCAACATTTTGGACCTGCTAGCTGTGATGGCAGCTTTGACTTCACCTTATTATTTGAGCAAACACTTTTGTCCATTGTTCCCTCGTCTATGTTTCTATGCTGTTTCCCTATAAGCTTGTATAAACTGTACAAACTGGCTCCAAAATTTGAAGCATCGACATTTCGTGCTTTCAAACTGGTAAAGTTGTCGACTTCTCACAGATTACCTTGTCCATCGGCTGACTCCTGTCAGATCCTGACCAGTCTCCTCACTATCACACAGTTGGCATTATTGATATCATGGACGACTCAAGCTCACATTCAAACCACCGCAACAATTCCAGCTCTATGCCTTGGACTCATCGTTTCTTCCGCCATGTTCTTCTTGTCAGCGCTGACACATACTCGTTCAATGAGGCCGTCTTCACTCACGAGCGTCTACTTGCTATTCTCAGCTATCTTTGATGTGGCGCAAGTTCGAACAATCTTTCTTCACCGAATTAGCACAGTTCTATCAAGCTTGATGTGTCTGGCGATTGCTTTGAAACTCGCTCTATTGATAAGCGAGTCCTGGAATAAACGATCATGGTTACCTTCGGAGTACAAAGCACTTTCTCCGGAAGCTACTAGCGGCATTGTGAGTAGAGGTCTTCTATGGTGGCTCAACCCGTTCTTTTTGGTCGGGTTCCGGACACTCTTTGCCCAAGAAGATATCTATGCTATTGATCCGGAAATGAGGTCTCAGGGAATTGGACGGAAACTGGAAGAGTTGTTCCGTCAAGGGCTCGGTGCTTCGACGCCCAGTATACTTAACGATGATGCGAACTCCTCTGCACCTCGACCATCTCTATGGACTTTGCCCAAAGCTTGTTTCCGCTGTTTCTGGGTGGACATCGCGGCCATGATACCCACAAGACTTGCTTTGGTGGGGTTCACCTATGCCCAGACTTTCTTGTTTACTCGTGCCGTCAACTATCTTAGCCATCAAGAGCGTCTCGAGAACAATACTGGCTACGGGCTTATCGCTGCCACTTTCATCATATACGTTGGAATAGCTGTAAGTGTACGACTTGATCGGAATATTCCCTGCTGATCTCGTTCTTAGGTATCCACCGCTCTCTATCAGCAGCAGATAACTCGTATCATGACTAAGTTGAGGGGTGCTCTGATAACCATGATCTATAGTCGTATGCTTGTGATCTCGGACGGCGCCAAGAAAGATGGTGCTGCATTGACTCTGATATCAACTGGTAAGTGGTGAATTGTCTTCTCCAGTTAACTGTTTGCTGACAGATCAATGCTAGATATTGATACTATCACGAGAGTTCTTGGCGAACTCAATGAGTCATGGGCCAGAATCATTGAGGTTGCAGTAGGCATAGGGCTTTTGTATCGACAAGTTGGTGCTGTGTGTATCGTTCCGGTGATTCTCACCCTTGTTGCTACGCAGGCACAAACATGGGTATCGAAAAGAATAGGCTCGAGGAGGAAAGACTGGAATGCAGCAACTCAGAAACGCGTCAACACTACTGCCGCTGTACTTGGCTCCATTCAATCGGTCAAGATGTCGGGTACGTAACTCAGCGGAACATGATCTATTGACAGCTAAATCGGTATGTTAGGTCTTATGACTGCAGCCTCAGGACTGCTACACTCGCTAAGAATCAGAGAGCTTCGAATGCTTGCTTCGTTGTCGCACTTCATCATTGGTTTGAATGCAATCGGTCGGTCAAGCAATCACTGAACTATTTGAGTTGGTACTAACTTGAGCAGCTGTGGTACCGTCTGTTTGGGCGCCTGTGGCGACTTTTGTCGTCTATGCAATTAAGGCACGTATCGATGGCTCAGTCGGTCTAGGCATCTCACAGGCTTTCACATCGATAGCCCTGTTGAATCTTGTTACAACGCCTACAGCAAAGCTACTCGCGATTATGCCGCTGTGGGCACAGTGTCTGGGATGTTTTGAAAGGCTGCAGCAGTATTTTGAGCTTCCACTTTACCAAGACCCCCGCTCTCTCGCAACAACCAGCGACATCTTTGAACCTAATTCGAACACAGAAGGAAACAACGAGTCAGGTATCGAGATGACATCGCTACAAGCACGCGGGACCCAAGCTACACCTCTCATCATCTGTTCGAACATGGATGTATCCTTGTCAACCGATGGTCCCATCATACTGACTGACGTCAACCTCGGGATCAAACCAGGCTCGGTCACCGCTATCATAGGTCCGACTGGGTCCGGCAAAACTATCCTGCTAAAAACACTTCTTGGCGAGGCTCTCATTTTGAGAGGGAAAATAACCGTTCCAACGAAGAGTATTTCTTACTGTAGTCAAACACCTTGGATGGTCAATACAACCATCAGAGGATATATTGCTGGCCTAAACCTCGGTACAATGGCGGTAGACGAGCTCTGGTATAATACTGTTGTTCATGCTTGCGATCTTACCAGAGATATCGCAAGTCTGTCGGACAGGGACAACACCCAACTCGGGAGTAAGGGTGTCTCATTATCAGGAGGACAGAAGGCCAGGCTAGCACTTGCTCGAGCTGTGTATGCTCGCAAAGAGCTAATACTCCTGGACGACGTTTTCAGTGCGCTCGACGTCAACACTGTAGAGGTCATCATTCGCCGTCTCCTAGGTCAAAATGGACTACTACCAAGACTCAGGTCGACGGTAATTATTGTAACTCATTCGCACAAGGTCATACGCATGGCCGAACAAGTCATCGTACTGTCTAAGGATGGCCGCATCGCAAATCAAGGACGCCCAAATCTCTCGCTCGAATGTGAGTTGCAATCATCCGCAGCGGACGGATCTTTCGAACGCGCCAATACCGACGCTGTGCAGGTGGCCAAGATTCAAGCACCGAAAGGCCCGTCCACAGAGGACAAAGAGGACTTAGCAAGAAAAACTGGAGAATGGAGGATATACAAGTTCTACTTCCGTAATTTCCAAAAGAAGTATCTGGCCATGTTCATTGCTTGCTCTATGGGCGCAGCTTTCAGCTCACGATTTTCTCAAGTCTGGCTGAAATGGTGGACCACCGACGACGGCTCGAATATTGGGTTCTACTTGGCTATCTACGCCTTCCTCGCCCTGGCACAAACCTGTTTCAGCAACTTGAACATGTGGGTTGTCTTTCTGAAGATGATACCGGACTCTGCAATTAGCATGCATCAAACTCTTCTTGCCACCGTTGCAGGAGCAGCTTCATCTGTCTTTTACCAGACCGAGAGCGGTGCAATCCTCAACAGGTTTGTCCAAGACATGTACTTGGTTGTGGGAACATTACCTACCTCACTCATTGCAAGCGGAAACACACTATGTGAGACAATCGCATCCTTGGCAATGATCTCAACTGGTGCCAGCTATATGGGAATCACCATTCCTTTCGTGATACTTGTGATATACCTGATACAAAAGGTGTATCTCCAGACCTCTCGTCAACTGCGCCTACTCGAGATCGAAGCTCGCGGCCCAATCTACTCCCATTTTCTTGAGACAATTGAAGGTGTGGTCTCGATTCGAGCCTTCGCGTGGGAAGAGGAGGCAAAGGAAACTCATAACAGACTTTTGGATATTGCACAGTCACCTTACTACTTACTTTCGTGCATTAAACGTTGGCTGAAGTTGGTCTTGGATCTCATCGTGGCGGCTCTTGCGGTTCTGGTCGTTGCTCTGGCTGTTTCTCAAAGAGGTACGACATCTGCAGGTCTGCTTGGCGTGGCCTTGACCAACATCCTCGGGTTCAGTCAATCGCTTACACGTCTTGTCACCGAATGGACGACTCTTGAAACCTCCCTAGGCGCCATCGCACGAATTCGATCTTTCGCAACAACCACTGAACAGGAAAGCTCGACTGTAACTCACGAGGCTACGCAGGATCTTGTGACCCGAGGCGCAGTGGTATTCTCTGGCGCATTCGCAAAGTACACCAGTGATCTGGGTGCGTACGACCTGAACAATGTCTCTTTCAAGATTGCTCCAGGTACAAAGGTGGCAATCTGTGGCCGTACTGGTAGCGGAAAGTCAAGTCTGATGCTTGCTTTATTCCGTCTTCTCCCGCTCCGCCACGGCAATATCTTTGTTGACGGCACTGATATCAAAGACGTCAACCCGGGCGTGCTTCGCCGCAGCATCATCGCCATCCCACAAAATCCATTTCTTCTACCTGGCACAGTACGAGAAAATCTTGACCCGGAGAATGAGCTGAGTGACGCACACTTGCTCGCTGCAATCGACAAGGTGCATCTACTGGAACTAATCATTAGTCGTGGCGGCCTCGATACAGATATCGACCAGCAAAGTCTTAGTCAAGGTCAGGCACAATTGCTCTGTTTGGCGAGGACTGTTCTGCGGAAGAGCAGATTAGTCGTTCTCGATGAAGCGACCAGCAGCCTAGATGCCGAGACTGACGCCGTCATCCGTGAGGTCTTGAACACCAGCTTCAAAGACTGTACTATTATCTCTGTTGCGCACAGGGTAAGTTTCGAGGATACTTTGACTCATGAGAACCAGCTAACATTGAGCAGACAGCAACTATTCTGGAGTCGAAGATGGTCATTATGATGGATGCAGGAAGCGTCGCTGCTATCGGTACACCTGGCGAGCTCAGAGCTTCCAATACGCACTTCAGGGAGCTCTGTGGACTTGTTTGATGGCTGGCAGAAATCGTGGTCGGAATTTGGAGCTGTTGGATCAATGCTCGTGATTCTCATAAAGACACAATATTTATCACCCTCCACTCACTCACTCCTGGTTCTTGAAGGGTGTTGCTAATCTGCTACAGCCGTCCAGCTTCCTTCATACTACTCTCCCACTCCGCTCGGACAGATTGGTAGAAAGCATCATTCAACATGACTTCAAGACCAATCAACGCATTCGCCTTGCCAGCACGGAGGGCTTCTGCATGACCAAAATCTTTGCCAGCCGCTTCGCGGAACGCAGGGGTGTGTGGCATATCCTCCGCCTTGATTGAAAATAGGGCTTGAATACCAGGAGTGATGTAGGTACAGTTTCCATGATCGGAGCTTCCGTTTTGAGCGTGCTTTACCAGAGATTCGTCAATAGAAATCATGTCCTCGGCAGCCAACCCAAGCTCGGTTAGCATATACGAACGATACCGTTCAGCCAGAGTCCGGTTGGACAAAACATCTTCGTAAAGTGCATCCCTTGATCCAATTAGCCAGCGCAGCAACTCTGGCAAATCCATCCAACTTACCAGAAAACTTCTACTGTGCAACCCGTAGCTGCAGCAGCACCCTCAAATATCGGCACAATTCTCTCCTTCAACGCATACAGTCCCTTGGAGTTCTTCGCTCGTATCGAGTAGCCACCTTCTGCATAGTCTGGAATAACATTGGGCGCTTTACCAGCTTCAAGGATAACACCTTGAATACTCTCGTCCTTGCCGATATGCTGTCGCAACAACGCAAGTCCATTGTACGCATGCACAATAGCATCACAAGCATTTCTACCATCCCAAGGTGCGCCGGCAGCATGACTGCCTTTACCGTGGAATTTTGCCCTAAACTTCCAACTCGCTTTTGAGATAAACAGGGGCGTGGAGAAGGAAGACATGCCATGCGTCATGAGACATACATCGCAATCTTTCCATGCGCCATGGTTTGCCATTATCCACTTCCCACCTCCTGTCTCTTCGGCCGGTGTTCCCATCACCACAAGCGTGCCTGGGATTTGCTTCTCTTGCATGACTGCCGCCACACCGATGGCTGAGGCAAGAGTGGAGGTGGCGATGAGATTGTGTCCGCATGCGTGGCCTATCCCCGGCAAAGCATCGTATTCTGCATTGTAGCATACTGTTCTTCCACCTTCTCTGACCGAAAATCGGGCTTCAAATGCTGTCTCTATACCGTAGACTCCTCTTTTCACCGTCCAGGATTTGGATTCGAACCAGGATGATAGAAGATCGGCGGCTTTGAATTCTTCAAACATGACTTCTGGGTTGTTCCATATTTGTAAATTTATGGTTCGGAGTTCTTCGTTTGCATTATCGATGGCAGTGGTGACTGTTTTGACAATGTTAGATGGTAGGCCATCTTTCATAGACTCGGTCATTGTTGTTCAATTTTGTCAGAGCTTTGCGAAAATGTGGAGGATCAAGAGTGATCATTTGACCGAGAAGAGATGGATTGATATGTTCCATGTTGCTAGCCGAGTTGGCCGGCCGCTTGTAGATCATGATACGACCGGCCCTCGATAGGCCGAGTGTACAATGTAAGTACCTTGCTGTACGCGATGGTGCATCAAAGAGTCGCTGATAGAATGGCAGTATCTTCTCTTGGATTCATTCGAGAACAAACGTCAATGGTGCGCAATTGACGTTGCACCTAGAACATGTCCCGCCGTGCCCTTCTGGTAAGGCCAAGTGTTGTGCTTTCGGACCCCGAAGCCTCGGCCAAGAAAAATTCGACGCTTCCACCTCTCACCCTTGGGAAACACTAATGTATAGCTACATACTCGCAGGACTGGCAAAAAGACAGATTAGACCTTGGAGGGAGCAAAATAGATGATTCCGCCCGGGTTCGAACCGGGGACCGCCTGTGTGTTAGACAGAAGTGATAACCAACTACACCACAGAACCATTGTTGTAGAATCCTGTTTGTGTTTGATCAACAATTCGTGGCAAACCACGTGCGGACCACGAGGCTTCACGATCGTGTTACCGATCGCGGCCCGCAGTGCCGAGTTGCCGACCAGTGCCATCTATTCCTAACAGGGCGAAATTCTTCTTCCTCCGTCTCACCTTCTTTTGGACATCGCGTCGCGTCAACATGTTGTATATCATGCGCCGACAACATCGTCCATCGAACCTTATACAGACCATGACAATTTTTCCGCCTCTAAAAGACATGTCGATCCAACGGATGTGATTTCGCACCTGCCCTGGCGAGGGTGAGATCGTCTTCGAAACAAATCCCCGCTCGTTTCATCTGCAAGAAACAAATGATCTCCATATGGGCATGGTTTAGGGCATACTTGAGGCAGGAACGACTGACGACTATATAATGGAGCTCGAGATGACTACCCACTGCCATTATTTCACGCTTCATTCTTCTCATTGTCATCTCTTCTATTCTCGACTTCTCTTCAATTCTCAAGATGCATCTTCCTTCGCTTCTTCTTGCCGCTGGTTCGGCAAGTGTTGTTCTTTCTCAGCCTCTTACTCGTCTCAGCCAACGTTCAAGCAAGCTTCAATTTGTCGGCATCAATGAGTCCGGGCCTGAATTTGGCGAGGCAAACATCCCTGGCACCTACGGAACTGATTACACCTGGCCCGACCTTTCTACCATCAGCACCTTTGTCAACAAGGGTATGAACACCTTCCGTGTCAACTTCTTGATGGAACGACTGGTACCTAACGAGATGACCGGCTCGCTGGATGCCGCATATCTCGGCAACCTGACTGAGACCGTGAATGGTATCACCAAACTCGGTGCCTATGCCATCATCGTCCCTCACAACTACGGTCGCTACAATGGCGAGATCATCACGTCAACCGAGGATTTTGCTGCGTTCTGGAAGACGGTCGCTGCTGAATACAAGGATAATGACAAGGTCATTTTTGACACTAACAACGAATTCCATGATGAGTCTTCTACTCTTGTTGCTCAACTCAATCAAGCTGCCATCACTGCCATCCGCTCTGCTGGTGCTACATCGCAGTACATCACCATCGAGGGCAATGCTTACACCGGTGCTTGGACTTGGACCACCACTCAGGGCACCGATGGCAAGACCAATGGCGAAACCATGGGCTCTCTGACCGACACTGTCGAAGACAAGCTCATCTATCAGATGCATCAATACCTTGACTCCGTACGCATCCCTCTACCCCCACTCCCCATCACTCGTAGCTGATACATCGCACAGGACGGCTCCGGCACTTCTTCAACCTGCGTTTCCCAAACCATTGGCAGTGAACGCCTTCAAGCCGCAACAACCTGGCTTCGTGACAACAAGAAGATCGGACTTGTCGGTGAATTTGCTGGTGCCGTGAACACTGATTGCGAAGCTGCTGTCAAGGACTTGCTTGCTTTTGTAGCTGAGAACTCTGATGTTTGGACTGGCGCTTTGTGGTGGGCTGCCGGTCCTTGGTGGGGTGACTACATGTTCTCCGTCGAGCCTAAGGATGGAGTTGCTTATAGCACGTATGCTGATGTTGTGGCTTCGTATGCCTAGATGGATGTCATGTATGTTCAGACGACGAAGCAAATTCTGTTCGGCAAGAGTCAATCTTCCATTTTCGCATACATCATGGGCTACCACTTACAAGCACCAGCTGCAGAAGAGTAATCCGTATACTGAGTATAAGACTGCTGCATGTTTCTTCTCGGCACCTTGTGCAGAATAGACATTTGGTTTCTTTCCCTGACTTCCCGCATGTAGCTTGCTTGTACATCAGAAGGTCGACCGTCGATTTTGGCACTGGTGTCGCCGAGGTACATTCTTCCCACTCCGGCGATCGTGACGACGGCCAAAGCACAACCCAGAAGGACTAGGATGATGATTAACCAAGGTTGTAGTTGACCCATAGTTTGTGATAGAACGTGTTGATGGTCGGCGGAGAAATGCTATTGTTCTGGACTTGGGAAGTGAAAATACGCTCGGCATGACAGATGGGCAGTCGCAGCTGTTTAAGAGATGCAGCCTCTTCCTGGATACCAAGACCTCTTTCCCATCCTTCCTTCCTTCCATCATGCACCTCGTTTGCAAATACGAGCCGCTTTCATCTCAGCTATCGCAGAAACTCCAGATATACATGCACCAAGCATCAGGCAACATGTGATGCGCAGTCAAAACCAAGCCCCGTTTGTGCTGTACACACTATCTTCTTACCCCTTTGCTGGGCATTCCATATGCGATCTTTCTCGCTATTGGTGGGATTTATCGAAACAGCCAATGGGATTGCATGCCCTCCCCCAAGAGAGAGAATTCTTTCCACGGATAACTGTTTCAAAACATTCGCGCACCTGCATGATGGCGCTGCTGTTTTGGAGCACTTGGCAGGCACGAAACGTCCTGCTTTTTTGCTCCCTGGAAGACCGCCCACGCGCGTCCGCTTGGCTTGGCGGAAGTTGTTTACGGCCAACATTCCTACGTCCCTTGTTATATTGATTAGGGAGATAAACGTCTACTCGTGGGATTTCCGGGGGCTGTGCAAAAGAAGGGAAGGAACGAACGCAGCTATTTTCGTACGTAGCCCTTGATACGGACGTAGAAAACAAACACAAGTCGGGTAAAACAAGATTGAAGTGATGAACATTGTCCTGTTTAATCGGGTGACCGGTCTTGGTATGCAAGAAGTGGTTGTTATTGTCGTTTTCGTCCTCGTATGTGAGCGCGATATATAAATACGATGGTTCGTATTTTGGAGCGGATAAAAGGTTGAGTGGTTAGCGACAGGGTCACTTCCACAACCATGGTTTCCAACATGAATTCTTCAATTACGACGGCAAGCTACAAGTTAATAGGAATAACGTAGTAGCTATAGAATTCAATGTATCTAAGAGATATTTTAGGAGAGTTAGAAGCCGATTACATCTATGCAGGTAGAGATATCGTCGATTTTCTCATCCTATAGTCGCTTTTCTACAATCTAGTCGTTAGCCCTACGGCTCTTAGAAGATGTGTTAGATTAACTAACTAAACAGAGTAAGACGGTTTAACTGCGTGTTAAATTCATGAACTAATAGCTAAGAGTAGAAGGATAGAGCGCGAGGCGCGTACTATAGATATAGCTACGTAGGTAGCCCGTATACCGCTAAGGCTAGGGCGTATAGGCCGGAAGACTATAGTTCAAATCCTAGCGGAACCGTGTCATTACCCCCCCTAACAAAAGGCGAGCTCCTATAAGCTACATTGTCCATTTCTACTATAACATCTAAACTACTAACTTTTTTCGTGTTTGCACTGTTTACTTACTATCCTATAGCACTCTTATAGCTAGAGGGGTAATAAACTGTATAGTCGGCATGCTAGCTAGGCTTATAGTCCCCCTTATACGGATTACCGTTATATAGCTAAATAGCTCGTCCTCTACGGCGAGCGGCTAGCATATAGGACAACTAGTAGTTTCGGAGGAGAGCCTAGAAGATGTTAAGGATCGTCTATAGCATATAGTAAGGTTACGAGCAGTAATCCATTATATTCTTTATAGAAGTAGCGGCGAACGCTTAAGACTTAGATAATAGATCCGACGAAGCTACTAACTCTATAGCGGTGTCCCGTTCATCTACGTCTAAAGGAGCTCTAGCTGTTTCCTTAAAACTAGGCTAGGGCCTAGGGCTATTTGCTCCCGTTATATAGTAATCCGCGACCGCCTATTCTACGCTACTAACTAGTACCTACTATAGCTCCTATTACGGTTCCTAACTAGTGTATTCTATAAGGTACTATAACTACTTGCCGCGACCTCTCTTCTTATAACGTAACGATATAATGCGCTTAACTTCCTAATGCTCTTCTCCTTCCTCGTTAATATATATAGGTAGTAGCGTAGAGATTTGTTATCTAGGTAGAGGATCGTCGGCGGCTAGAGTAAGGAGAGACATATAGAAGACAAAAGTGCTAAGCTTCTAGTCTAGTAGTAATTTGATACGATAGGCGCGAGGAGAGTCTTAAGGAATACGTTTAAGGACTTTAAAAGGACCGAGTCGTTTAGAGTCGAGTTTCTTAGAAGGGCGCATTCGGTTATTAAGGTGTCTATAGTCGAGCTAGACCTTGTCCCTAGGGTTATAAGAGGGCGCCTCTTAAGTCTTATCGCGCTCGGCGCGTGTTACCTAGATAAGTGTTAATTCTTTAGCTAGGTGTAGATAAAGTTTGCGTATATCTTCTATAAACTATACGGCTTATTTACGGGCTAAGCGTACTAGTGCGGCTACGGCAACACCTAGTAGCGGTAGTAAAGGCAAGTTAGGGGAAACTATACGTATGTTACGACTACAATTAGCGAAGAATAGTAATATGCCTATGCTCTCTAAGTCTCGGTTGTTTAGGGCGAACTTAGCAAGGGGCAGCTAGTTTACCTAGTTATCCTAAGTATAATTAACGAAAGCTCGAAGGTACTATTCTATCTGCTAATTAGTGTTCTCGTCCTAGCCGTTCGTCTATAGATGCTATACTGTCGACATAGCCTATTTAATGCTAATTAGCTTTATAAGTTCCTAAAAGAACACTACGGTCTACTAGGTTCTACGATCCGTAACTATCTCCTAAGGTACTCCGTAGAGCTTAATAATGTATAACATTATAAAGGCAGCGTCGATAGAGCCGATGTTCTTTATAGGGATAAAGTGTTTGCGTTTAGTAAAGCGGTTAGTAGTAGTCATAATATTCGTGTACTTAGTGCCGTTATAGCTAGAGCTCTCTAGAAGGGCTACTACGAAGTCGATTAACTAGGAGGTTCCCGGTCCTAAAGCTACTTTAAGGGGCTTCTCTCGACTATACGAAAAGCGAGGTACCTTAGTTCTCTAGTAGGTATAACAATTCCTAACAAACCGTTTAACATCCTCGGCTATGCTAGGCTAGAGGAAGCGCCGAGAGAGTAAGTAATAGGTTCTAGTACGCCTAGGATGTCTAGCAAGTAGGGAGTTATAATAGGATTTAATGACCTCGGTTCTTAGTTAGCTAGGGACGTATAGCTTACCGTCGATTAGGCATGCGTTGTTACGGATACTATAGTCGGTTAACGACACTAGCAGTTTCTTTAGGCCGTCTAGCAGATAGGGCCGTAGCTTTAGTGCGCTATTAGCTAATGCGGTTCGCATTATAATAGCTAGGTTATCGCTTAATTGTGCCGCGACAATTCTGCTTTCTAGGCTCTATTCGGATAGCGCAATCTAGTTGTCGCTAGACAATAGATCGGCTCTATATATAGCTATAAGTAGGACCTCTAAGGAGGAGGGTTTTATGTCCTCGGACGATCCGAACTCGGCGATAGTATTAGTAAGGTTAAGCTCTATATAAAGGCTTAGGTAAATGTTATCTATAGTAATCATTGTTTAGTGTCTATCGAGCTTACGCTCGTCTTCCTAGTCTTAAGGAAAGTCTGTAGACCTTCGATAAAGCGTCTAGTTTTACCGCCTATAAACCTAGTTAGTATAATAGCTTCTAGTTAAAACTAGACATAAACTTAGTCTATCGGACTTGTCTTCTTATAAGACGTTGCTTAGTTATAAAGTACTCTAGAGCCTTATAATCTAATAGGACTAAGGTTAGTCTACTTAGTAAGGCACTTCGTAATTTAGGCTCCTATTCCTCGAAAGCCTTAATAATAGCTAGCATTTCCTTGTCGTAGATCTCGTAGCGGCATTTAGCTAGTATTATCTTTTTAGATATAAAGGCTACCGGCTTTAATACCTATGTTCCGTCGGGAAGGTTATACTATTATAACATAACGGTAGCGGCTACCTAATTAGAGGCGTTAGTCTCGATAATGGTCTCCTTATTATAGTCGAATAGGGCTAGTATCGGCGTAGTCGTAAATCTTTATTTTAGCGTTTCGAAGGCTTACTCCGCTTCTGCGCTTATAATTAGCTTCTAGGCGATCTTTCTTTGCCCTTTATAGTTCGCCGCCCCCTTAGTTAATTTAGTTAAAGGTCGCGCGACATAAGAGAAGCGTTTAATGAACCTTCTATAGAAGTTAGCGAATCCTAAAAATCCTTAAACGTCCTTTAGGACCCTTAGTAGGGGCCATTTTTAAACTACTTCGATCTTCGCTAGATCTATCTCGAGTCCTTCGGTCGTAATAATTAAGCCTAGAGTTTAAAAGTATCGCCTAGTAGTCGGAAGCTAGAGCTCTAGGGGGAATAGTCATTAAGGGGTGGAACTAATACGTGTGTTGTAATTAAGTTAGTTAACTACTGTTGCAGTATAGAAGTCTTTATGTTGCGGCTTCTCTACATTACCTAACTTCCTCTTACTACATCTGTCACCCTAACTGCTATATTGTAACACTCCTCCTTAGTCTAGACGGCAGATGCTAGTAAGACCTAGCTAGTTAATGAATCTTACAAAGTCCGGCTTAGGCAATAGCTTTATGAAGCCATCTATAACCATATCTCTTGTCCCTATAAACTCGACATTAATCCTGTTCCTTCGGTGTAGGTCTCTAACATAATAGTATGCAACATCGATATGCTTTAACCTCTCGTAAGTATAGGCATCTCTAACTAACGATAGAGAGGCTTAATTGTCACTAAACAGTTTAACTAGTGACCTAATAACAAAGCTTTACTCTTCTCTTACAGTTAGCTAATATTGGTTGCAACTAATGTACTTGCTATAGCCTATGTCTCTTAGAAGTTAAGCTAGCCATTGTAACTGCTTTATAGCCTAACACATGGCCATGTATTTAGCTTCTATAGTTAAGGTTGCAACTAACTTCTGCTTCTTACTAGACTAGCTAATAGGACAGTTGCCTATTATGAATATACTTCCTAAAATGGATATCCTGTCTAACTTGTCTATTACGTAGTCTAAATTAGAGTAGCTAACGAGTTGTTATATACCTTCTGCATTAAACTCTAGGCTAAGGTCTATTGTTAAACGTAGGTACCTTATAAGGGATTTCAACAGTTTAAAGTGCCCTTCTAATGGATCTAACAGATATTAGCTTAGCCTTCCGATTGCAAATGCAATGTTAGGTCTCGTTAGAATTGCTAGGTAGATAAGGCCGCTAATGATCTTTTAATACTCCTTCTAGTCTGCTCTCTTGTCTTGTAGACTAGCTAGTTTTAACAGATTATATCCATTTAGTAGAACACTAATTAGATTAGCCTTCTCCTTGTCCATTCTATGCCTTAATAGAAGATCCTTAGTGTAGTGAGACTAATCTAGGGTAATCGTTCTGTTCTTTCTGTCACGGATAACTTAAACTCCTAGGATCTTGCTTACTTCTCCTAGATCTTTGATCTTATAGATCTCTCTAAAGTGTTTCTTAAACTAGTTGATGTTGTCCGTCTGTTTAGATCTAATTAGGATATCATTAACATAGACTAGAATAAGGATTTCTTTCTCTAGATGTCTTAAAAGGCATAGGTCGGCGTCTGTTTAGATAAAACCNATATTCTNNAACGATTCTATGNAGCTCTAATTCNAATCTCTTGCAGCTTATTTTAGGCTATAGAGCGATCTTAGGACTTTAAGTACACAACCTAGTAGGATGTTCATTCTAGGTAGTGCTACTATATAAATCTCCTCCTTTAATGTTGACTCGGTAAAGGCATTATTAACATCGATAGCATGGCACTTAAGATCCTCTATTGCAACAATTGCAAAGAACACCCGCAGTGTATTATGGCGGAGAGTAGGCGTAAAGGTATAGTCGAAATCAACTCTAAAT